ATATGTCGAGACGGTTTGTGTGGGTTTCTGCTTCAGCCGACGCTAGCGCAGATTTGGCGAGGTTGCGCTAACCCCAATGCGGACTAGTGGCATTCGGAGCCGCCACCTCAAAGTTCAACGGGAGAAAGGAGCAGAGATAGTCACATCGCGTAGGGGATCGTGGATCTCGATCTTTGTCGCGTTTTCATCTTAATTGCTACCTTCAACCTTCATTGGTGTCTTAGCTCCCAGTTGGACTTTCTTTCTCCAGCTGAAAGTCCTGCTACTTATGACCTCCGACGTGGCTTGACGCGACTTTGATACCAACGCAACATCTTCGAGGGAGGGTCCCCATCCATTCCCATCATGGCTTCATTGCCACCTCCACCTCCTCCTCCCCCGGGATGGGGTGCAGCTCCTTCTATGCCGCTGGCCCCGCCGCCGCCAGGCTACCAGCCGCCGGCCGACCCGACCGTCGCAAAATTTGCGCAGAAGAAGAACGAATGGCTGCGCACGCAACGCAATCGATTCGGCGAGAAGCGCAAGGGAGGATTTGTTGAAACACAAAAGGCAGACATGCCGCCAGAGCATTTGCGGAAGATTGTCCGGGATATCGGCGATGTTTCGCAGAAGAAGTTCACCAACGAGAAGCGTAGCTATCTTGGTGCGCTCAAGTTCATGCCTCATGCAGTATTGAAGCTTCTAGAGAACATGCCCATGCCCTGGGAGTCAGCAAGAGAAGTCAAGGTTCTCTACCACGTCAACGGATGTCTGACTCTGGTCAACGAGACACCGCGCGTCATTGAGCCCGTTTTCCACGCTCAGTGGGCAACGATGTGGATGTGTATGCGTCGCGAGAAGAGCGATCGTCGACACTTTAAGCGTATGCGCTTCCCTCCTTTCGATGACGAGGAACCGCCTCTTTCCTGGTCCGAAAATATCGAAGATGTTGAGCCGTTAGAACCCATTCAGATGGAGCTCGACGAGGAAGAAGATGCGGCCGTTTACGAATGGCTCTACGACCACCGCCCCCTCCTCGACACTCCCCATGTCAATGGCCCGAGCTACAAGAACTGGAACCTCTCTCTTCCCCAGATGGCGACTCTTCATCGTCTCAGTCACCAGATTCTAAGTGATGTCGTTGACCAAAATTACTACCACATGTTCGACCTTAACAGCTTTTTCACTGCCAAGGCCCTTAACGTCGCTATTCCTGGCGGACCTCGTTTTGAGCCTCTTTACAAGGATATTGACCCTAACGACGAAGATTTTAGCGAGTTCAACGCCATTGACCGCATCATCTTCCGTGCCCCCATTCGAACCGAATACCGAGTCACCTTCCCCTTCCTATACAACACCCTACCTCGAAGTGTCAAGGTCGCTTGGTATTCTCACCCCCAAGTGGTCTATGTTCGCACCGAAGACCCCAACCTCCCCGCCTTTTACTTCGATCCTGTCATCAACCCTATCTCTTCCCGTTCCGTCGCACCAAAAAATATTACAGTCAGCCACGAAGACCAAATCTTCGGACCCGGCAATAATGAAGACGACGAATTCGAGCTTCCGGGTGAGGTCGAGCCATTCTTTGAGGACGAGGAACTTTATACATCCGATACTGCGTCCGCTATCGCCCTGTGGTGGGCCCCTCACCCATTCGATAAGCGGTCCGGCAAGATGGTTCGTGCACAGGATGTGCCACTGGTCAAGCAGTGGTACTTAGAACACTGCCCTCAGGGTCAACCCGTGAAGGTTCGGGTCTCCTACCAAAAGATGCTCAAGAGCTACGTCCTGAACGAGCTGCACAAGAGCACACCCAAGGCCCAGAGCAAGCAGAACCTGATGAAGACTTTGAAGACGACTAAGTTCTTCCAGCAAACAACCATCGACTGGGTCGAGGCCGGTTTGCAAGTCTGTCGCCAGGGTTTCAACATGCTTAACTTGCTGATCCACCGCAAGAACTTGACTTACCTCCACCTTGATTACAACTTCAACTTGAAGCCTGTCAAGACTCTCACCACAAAGGAGCGTAAGAAGTCTCGTTTCGGAAACGCTTTCCACTTGATGCGAGAGATCCTTCGCTTGACCAAGTTGATTGTCGACGCCCAGGTCCAATACCGTCTAGGCAACATTGATGCCTTCCAGCTTGCAGATGGTATCCTGTACGCTTTCAATCACGTCGGTCAGCTCACTGGTATGTACCGATACAAGTACAAGCTTATGCACCAGATCCGTTCCTGCAAAGACTTGAAGCATTTGATCTACTACCGATTCAACTCTGGCCCTGTTGGCAAGGGACCTGGTTGTGGTTTCTGGGCCCCAGCCTGGAGAGTCTGGCTCTTCTTCATGCGTGGTATCATTCCTTTGCTTGAACGATGGCTCGGAAACTTGCTCTCTCGTCAATTCGAGGGTCGTCACAGCAAGGGTGTTGCCAAGACTGTCACTAAGCAGCGTGTGGAATCTCACTTCGATTTGGAATTGCGTGCCTCCGTCATGGCCGATCTTATGGACATGATGCCTGAGGGTATCAAGCAGAACAAGGTCAACGTTGTTTTGCAGCATTTGTCAGAGGCTTGGAGATGCTGGAAGAGTAACATCCCCTGGAAGGTCCCTGGTCTCCCTGCTCCCATTGAGAACATTATTCTTCGATACGTCAAGAGCAAAGCGGACTGGTGGATTTCTGTTGCGCACTACAACAGAGAGAGAATTCGTCGTGGTGCAACCGTTGATAAAACCGTTGCAAAGAAGAATTTGGGCCGTCTTACGCGTCTCTGGCTCAAGTCTGAGCAGGAGCGCCAGCACAATTATCTGAAGGATGGTCCCTATGTTTCTTCCGAAGAAGCCGTGGCGATTTACACCACTATGGTCCACTGGCTAGAGTCTCGAAAGTTCTCTCCGATTCCCTTCCCCAGTGTTTCCTACAAGCATGACACTAAGATCTTGATTTTGGCGCTGGAGCGTCTGCGTGAGTCTTACTCTGTCAAGGGAAGATTGAACCAGAGTCAACGAGAGGAGTTGGCCCTAATTGAACAGGCCTATGATTCTCCTGGTACAACATTGGCTCGAATCAAGCGGTTCCTTCTGACACAGAGAGCCTTTAAGGAGGTCAAGATCGACATGAATGACAACTACAACAACATCAACCCCGTTTACGATATTGAGCCCATTGAAAAGATCACCGACGCCTACCTAGACCAGTATCTCTGGTACCAAGCTGAGCAACGTCATCTCTTCCCCGCTTGGATCAAGCCCTCAGACTCCGAAGTTCCCCCTCTTCTGACCTACAAGTGGACTCAAGGTATCAACAACCTGTCCAATGTGTGGGAAACTTCCGAGGGAGAGACCAACGTCATGATCGAAACCGAGCTTTCCAAGGTCTACGAGAAGATTGATCTCACACTATTGAACCGACTTCTCCGTCTGATCATGGATCACAATTTGGCTGATTACATCACTTCGAAGAACAACGTTCAGCTCAGCTACAAGGATATGAACCATACGAACAGCTATGGTCTTATCCGTGGTCTTCAGTTCTCCGGCTTTGTGTTCCAGTACTACGGCTTGATGATTGATTTGCTGCTCCTTGGTCTGCAAAGAGCCAGCGAAATGGCCGGTCCTCCTGGAAGCCCCAACGATTTCTTGCAGTTCAGAGATCGCGCCACCGAGACCAGACATCCCATCCGACTCTACACACGTTACGTCGACAAGATCTGGGTCTTCTTCAGATTCCAGGCCGATGACTCCCGTGATCTGATTCAACGTTTCTTGACCGAGAACCCAGATCCTAACTTCGAAAACGTAATTGGATACAAGAACAAAAAGTGTTGGCCTCGCGATTGTCGTATGCGCTTGATGCGTCACGATGTCAACCTTGGCCGTGCTGTCTTCTGGGATATGAAGAATCGTCTCCCAAGATCTATCACTACCATTGATTGGGATGATACATTTGCCAGCGTTTACAGCAAGGATAACCCCAACTTGCTGTTCTCCATGAATGGTTTCGAAGTCCGCATTCTTCCCAAGACCCGGAACATGAATGAAGAGTTCTCTGTCAAGGACAGTGTCTGGTCTTTGGTCGATAACTCCACCAAGGAGCGCACAGCGCACGCTTTCCTCCAAGTTACCGAAGAGGATATCCAGAAGTTCAACAACCGCATCCGTCAAATCCTCATGTCCTCCGGTTCGACAACGTTCACCAAGATTGCCAACAAGTGGAATACTGCCCTGATTGCTCTCTTCACCTACTACCGCGAGGCTGCTGTGTCGACCGTCAATCTTCTCGACACTATTGTGAAGTGTGAGACCAAGATCCAGACTCGTGTCAAGATTGGTCTCAACTCCAAGATGCCTTCTCGTTTCCCTCCTGCGGTATTCTACACACCTAAGGAGCTTGGTGGTCTCGGTATGATCTCAGGATCTCACATCCTCATTCCCACCAGTGACAAGCGCTGGTCCAAGCAGACTGATACCGGTATTACTCACTTCCGAGCGGGTATGTCACATGACGAGGAAACGCTTATCCCCAACATCTTCCGCTACATTATTCCCTGGGAGGCCGAATTCATCGATTCCCAGCGTGTGTGGATGGAATACTCGCAAAAGCGTATGGAGGCCCAGCAGCAGAACCGCCGCTTGACCTTGGAGGACCTGGAAGACAGCTGGGATCGTGGTCTTCCCCGTATCAACACTCTGTTCCAAAAGGATCGATCCACACTCAGCTTTGACAAGGGTTTCCGACTTCGTGCTGAGTTCAAACAGTACCAACTGATGAAGAGCAATCCCTTCTGGTGGACCAGTCAGCGACATGACGGTAAACTTTGGAACCTCAACGCTTACCGCACTGATGTTATCCAAGCGCTTGGCGGTGTTGAAACTATTTTGGAGCACACACTGTTCAAGGCGACAGCCTTCCCGTCCTGGGAGGGTCTTTTCTGGGAGAAAGGTCAGTCTATTATCCCGTTTTCATGCCTCATCAGGAGGACTTTGAGCTAACTTTTAATATAGCGAGCGGTTTCGAGGAATCCATGAAATTCAAGAAGCTCACCAATGCCCAAAGATCTGGTTTGAATCAAATTCCGAACCGTCGTTTCACTCTTTGGTGGTCCCCGACTATCAACCGTGCGAACGTCTACGTCGGTTTCCAGGTTCAATTGGATCTTACTGGTATCTTCCTACACGGTAAAATCCCAACTCTGAAGATCTCATTGATTCAGATTTTCCGTGCCCATTTGTGGCAGAAGATTCACGAGTCCGTTGTTATGGATTTGTGCCAGGTTCTGGATCAGGAATTGGAACAGCTTGGCATCGAAGCAGTTCAGAAGGAAACCATTCACCCGCGTAAATCTTACAAGATGAACAGCTCTTGCGCTGATATCCTGCTTTTCGCGACCAACAAGTGGAACATCACCCGGCCTTCCCTGGTATTCGACACGAAGGATGTCTATGAACCCAATACGACCAATAAGTTCTGGTTGGATGTCCAGCTGAGATATGGTGACTACGATTCTCACGATATTGAACGATACGTGCGGGCCAAATACCTCGATTACACCTCCGATAGCATGAGCATTTATCCTTCCAGCACTGGTCTGATGATTGGTGTCGATCTTGCATACAATCTCTTCTCAGCCTACGGACAATACTTCCCCGGTCTGAAGACTCTGATCCAGCAAGCCATGGCCAAGATCATGAAGGCCAACCCGGCTTTGTATGTCTTGCGTGAACGTATTCGCAAGGGTCTGCAACTCTACGCCTCTGAGAGCAACCAGGAATTCCTTAATTCCCAGAATTACTCCGAGCTCTTCAGTCCTCAGATTCAGTTGTTCATTGACGACACTAATGTCTACCGTGTCACGATCCACAAGACATTTGAGGGTAACTTGACCACGAAGCCCATCAACGGTGCAATCTTCATTTTCAATCCTCGCACCGGACAACTCTTCCTGAAAATCATTCACACCAGTGTCTGGGCAGGCCAGAAGCGTCTGGGTCAATTGGCCAAATGGAAGACAGCCGAAGAAGTGGCAGCTCTGATTCGTTCTCTTCCAGTGGAAGAACAACCCAAGCAGCTCATTGTAACTCGTAAGGGTCTTCTTGACCCTCTCGAGGTTCATTTGCTTGATTTCCCCAATATCTCCATCCGTGCCTCAGAGCTTCAGCTGCCCTTCCAGGCTGCGATGAAGGTCGAAAAGCTGGCCGATATGATTCTCCGTGCGACCGAACCCCAGATGGTGCTCTTTAACTTGTATGACGAGTGGCTCAAATCCATCTCGCCTTACACTGCTTTCTCTCGTCTTATTCTCATTCTCCGAGCCCTCCACGTCAATATTGACAAGGCTAAGATCATTCTTCGTCCTGACAAGACGGTCATCACTCAGGAGCACCACATCTGGCCCTCTCTCTCTGATGAGGATTGGATCAAGGTTGAAGTGCAACTGCGTGATTTGATCTTGAATGACTACGGCAAGAAGAACAATGTGAATGTGCAGAGCTTGACCAGCAGTGAAGTCCGTGACATCATTTTGGGTATGGAGATTAGCGCGCCTTCTCTGCAGCGACAGCAGGCGGCAGAGATTGAGAAGCAGCAGGAGGAGCAAAAGCAGCTCACTGCCGTGACCACCAAGACCCAGAACGCCCGTGGTGAGGATATTATTGTCACTACCACATCTCAGTATGAACAGCAATCCTTTGCGTCGAAAACTGAGTGGCGTACTCGTGCGATTGCGACGTCCAACCTCCGCACCCGGTCCAACAACATCTATGTCTCTTCTGATGACATCCGGGAAGACGGATACACCTACATCATGCCCAAGAACGTCCTCAAGCGATTCATCACCATTGCCGATCTTCGGGTGCAGGTTACGGGTTATATTTACGGTAGCTCTCCGCCGGACAACGACCAAGTCAAGGAGGTTCGCACTATTGTTATGATTCCTCAAGTTGGCAACACCCGGGATGTCCAACTCCCTCACCAGCTACCCCAGCATGACTACCTCCAGAACCTGGAGCCACTGGGTGTGATCCACACGGTTTCAGGAAATGAGCCGCCTTACATGTCTGCAGCCGATGTCACACATCATGCTCGACTCATGAACGCGCACCCCTCTTGGGATAAGAAGACCGTGACCATGACCGTCTCCTTCACCCCTGGATCCGTTTCCCTTGCCGCTTGGGGTCTGACTCCCTCAGGTTACAAGTGGGGTGCAGAGAACAAGGATACGACCTCGGATCAGCCACAGGGCTTCTCTACCAACATGGGAGAGAAGTGTCAACTGTTGCTGAGTGACAAGATCCGCGGTTATTTCTTGGTGCCCGAAGACAACCTTTGGAACTACAGCTTCATGGGTAGTTCCTTTGGCAGCGTGGAGAAGCGGCCTGTCTACGTTAAGATTGACACCCCGCTCAAGTTCTACGATGACCAACACCGTCCCCTACACTTCCAAAACTTTGCCGAGTTGGAAGACATTTGGGTGGACCGGTCCGACAACTTTGCGTAAACAAGCGTTGCACAGTCTATATTTCTATTTCCCGGGCGTCTGTCTTATTATTTCCCCTTGTTCTTTTTTTTTTTTCCCTATCTGGTTTGGCTTGTATCACGACAACCTAATTCATGTATTGCAGCGACAACCCAGGTAAAAGGAAAAGCAAGATGTATGAATTTTTGTACAATACGAGTTTTTGGCGAATCCCCTGTTGTTTATGAATGAAATCCTTTTTTATTGAAATCATGTCCCATGTACTGCTCGAGTATACGAGGCTGCAGTTTGCTCTGCAATGCATAGATCCACTAGTTGACATGGCAGCCACACACTTCCATACAGGGGGTTTCCTCTCAGGGTTGCCACGATGTGATCGGGTATTTCTCAATGAGATCCTGTCATTTGGCCAATGGACCCCTCCGTGTATGTGTCTAGGCTTAATTGGCGAGGAGCCATACGTGCGTTTCACTCAGTATACGTTTATGTTGTGTTAGCTGAGAGTAGGCCCGAGGCTTTAGTTCAGTATAGTGAAAGTATAAAGAATTACTCAAGCGCTCATCGTTTGATTAGGCTCAAGGTCCGTCTACTAAATATTAAATATAATCACTAGAGGCGTAGGTAAGTGCCAGGTCCAATAAGGAATGCCCTTGCGATCAAGGCTTACTCCCGCATCCCACCAACCTAGGAAGTCAAGGAACAGTACGGAGTATACGCTGAGCCACTCGGCCCAATACCTAAGCTGGCATTCTCGGTCGCCCAAAATACGCAGATGGCCATGTGCTCATTGCAAACAAAGGAAATATTGCTAGGGGATGTTCGAAACTACCCGCCACTCACAGCCTGCATAAACACCTGTCTATATTCCGCTTTGCATCAGAAGGGTCAGCGTTATTGACAAGTTATGGACAGATGACGGCCCGCATGCAGCTAGAAGAACTCAGGAGTCCATCTCAATCCTGGTTCTTCTCTGCTATTTGACAGACGCAGAGGACGGGCTTGGTGTGGCGCAACAGGTCGATGTGACTGACTCGCAAACTTCCCCTGACCTCCAATGATATCTTGTGTATGGTCCGGATTCCCCATTGTTGGCTTTGAATCCTTGCCTTCTTCTGTTTTGTTTCCTTCCAGCTTCTCCTATTATGGAAGGGGTTTCAGGCCCAAACCCGAATCTTGTCAGGTTGATCTTATCACCCACTGTTTCAACCCCTGCTCTTCTGTTCTGGCCTCTGAACCTGCGCCGCCTTGGCTCCGAAGAAACCCGGTGCACTGAGCAAATGGCTTCTCTTCGCTTACTTGCCTAACCTATACCATGTCCATCAGCCGATGTCATGTTGTCGATTCCATCCCCCCCGACAATGCGACGCGCTTGTTGAGATGATCACCCTGACGAATGAAAGGTTACTTTATACCTCCGTATGCATCCGGTTAAAAGCCGACGGCCGTCATATGCCGTGATCTTTCTATCGGTTCATAGCCCCAGCCTACCCTGGTCGATAAGTTGTTTCGTGTTTTGCCCCCTTGATCTCACCAACAAACCGTGTGGTAACTATGTCCCTTCCACGAGCAAAGTCTCGGGAGCTCGAAGAGTTGATGTCTGTGCGAAAAGAGTTCACCTCCATTAGCAATTGCCCTGAAACCCAAGCCGATGGATGCCTATCCCAGAGGTATTGCCGATGTTGACCGTCGACAATTCCCTCTTGCGGTCTGGTCCACTGGAGATTGGTCAAATCAGCCGGGAACGCACGCTCCAGTTGGTTGCCGGTACGCATGGGATTCTCTCTCTTGGTTAGGCTGGAGATTTCCGAACGATGGTGGAATTTAATAACATGCCCTGTCCGGTTTGGTTTCTAAAAGTTAGATATTCAACTCCATTTCATCTTTGTTATGTCATGGCTTACGCTTGAGCAAGCAGCGAGCCCTGAAAACTGGACATTCTCAAGTGATTCTGTTCTGTCTGAGCCCAATAAATCAGGGCCAGAGGGCGTTTCCAGCTTACCGTTCGTTTTGTGCATTCTCTCAGTGTCGGTATATGCCTACAAATAATACTCAGTACTGCAAAGGATCTATGGAGGGATATAATCCACATGCTCCCGTGGAAAATATAACCGATAATGTTTACTACGTTTCACGCCACCCACAACAAAGTCAGCCTACCGAATACACCTACCCTCATCAAACCAACCTGTCGTATGTACCACTTCCGCCTCCACCTCATGTCACTTCTGTCAACGACACCACACGCTTTACGAGTATTACGCTTCCGTACCCGAACCAATCCCAGGACACCAGAAATCTGGCTCAGTACGACAGTCGAGATTGGATGCAATGGAGCACCCGTATGTCGAGCAGCATGCCGACGGAGATATCTCCTCCAATACCACAGTTAATAGAGGATAGTCACGAGTCTCCCCAACGGCATAGGGACAGTGAATATTTCCCCCCATGAACAGTTCTCATAGACACAGGATGCCGCAAATACCAGAGCTTCAGGACGAGCTCGAAGACGGATCGCAAACAACGAGCAGATCAACAACCCACAGGTGCTTGGTAGGGAGAGATGACTTCCCAAAGCCCCGGCCAAACTGTGAATTCAAGCAGAAGTTCACACCAGATGATGATGAGCTCTTAAAGCTTCTGAAACATGATAAGAAGGACCCTTATCGACTGGGGTCCAAGGATGACTCGCTGACATGGAGGCAAATTGCGGACTTTTTTCCTGGTCGAGCGCCAGGAACCTTACAGGTACATTACTGTAAGGAAGTCAATGCGAAGAAGGCACCGGAATGGACTGAGCAATTGGTTGGTATTGCATAGCGAAATTCCTCAAGTCGAGTGCTAATGACAGTTGCAGGACAACAAACTGAGGGCTGCGATGGCAGAGTATGAGAAGGAGCGATGGCAGGTGATAGCGAAGATAGTCAAGGGAAAGAACTACGCAGCGGCTTGTGAAGAACGAGCACGACTGTTACAAAAGCTAGATCTAGAAGGGCAAAAACCACAATATTCCAGGAGAGACCAGGCAGAGGCTCAATTGCAAATGCACGATCGAGATCGAGAACAAGAAGACATGGAAGAGGAACGGGCAATGCTGGCTAAGAATCGCAAGACGCAAGGAAGGAAGCGAAAGATGTAAAATCAAGACCAGGAGAAATTGAAACGATACAGGGTTTTGCATGTTAATCGGGCCTGTCCTTAGCGTAAGTTCACGTTGATCAGCTTCCTATACTTCACCATGCCCTACCTGTCAAGCCCTAACTGGCCCAAAACGGCCAGTCTGCGTCTTTGGCCTTTATACTCCGCCCGACTCAGCTCCGCCAATCAGTCGGGCTGACTCATCATTATCCATGACTCGATTGGACAGGCGAACTGACCAATCACAGGCGCTCGGGCCAAAGCGGCTTCAAACTCGCCCAACCTCAAACCTCCAAACTCCCTCTTTCCTGCCCCAAACGCCCGCGTCATTCACCCCATCTCCTCCAGGACAATGTTCCTCCAACGTACAGCCTCCGCCCTTGCGAGGCGCTCGCCTGCCCGCGCTTTCACCCTCGCCCAGCGCCCTTTCTCTTCCTCCATCGTTCGCTGTACGTGACTCCCATATGGCATGATCCGAGCATGCTTCAACCCCCGCGCATCCCGACGCAATTGGCTTCCAATTGACTTCTTGCATGCTATAACGACCTAAATGCATGGCATTATTCGACTACAGTTGACTGACGCGAAATATTTACAGCCAACGAGAAGAAGTGGGCCACTAAGCAGGAGGGCAAGATCCTGACCTTCGACGGTGAGTGCTCAGTTTGATTTTATGGCAACCAATGGTCCACAAGCTGGCATATATCGCTCGAGAATACTCTATCCGACCTTCAAACCGATCCTTTGCTGCACAGCTCAGGGTCATGGAACCTCGGATGTCGGTCGCGTGGATTCTTTTTCCGAGGGATAGGCCAAGCTTGCCATTATACGTTGAATCAAAACCTCAGAGACAAATTACTGACTACTGTTTCTTGCTGGCTTATAGAGATCAAGGTCGAGGATGACCTTCTTCCCCCCGGTGCCAAGTCCGGTACCATTCCTACCGACCTTGACCAGGCCACCGGTCTCGAGCGTCTGGAGCTCATCGGAAAGATGCAGGGCATTGACATTTTCGACATGCGTCCTCTCGATGCTTCCCGCAAGGGTATGTCTCACTATGCCCCTATCGCAATCTCCGGATGACGAGATTCTCGCGGATTGCATGATCTCACATTCCGGGGTCCCCGACATGAGCTAATCAAATCATCATATAGGCACACTCGAGGACCCCATCATCGTCCCCGGTGCCGGTGATGAGCAGTACGCCGGTTGCACCGGTTTCCCCGTCGACTCCCACCAGGTCAACTGGCTGACCGTATGACTGCTCCTATCAAATCCAAGCTTAATCAGGCTTTATATTTAAACCCGGAAACTAACTATTGCACTCTCAGGTCTCCCGTGAGCGTCCCATTGAGCGCTGCTTGGAGTGCGGCAACGTTGTCAAGCTGAACTACGTTGGACCCGAGGAGGACCCCCACTCCCGTATGTTGCCCCTGTACTTTGTACCTGTGTAGGATTGGTTTACTAACTTTGCCTTACTCAGACGACCACGACCACGGTCACCACCACCCCCCTCACGTCGAGCCCAAGACCTTTGCCGACTACGTCAAGCCTGAATACTGGTACCGGTAAATGCTTAATACCGCTATTTTCTTGCGTGGGCTTTGCCTTTTTTGAATCTGGCATGGAAATTCCAATACAGTGTCAACATTATTGCGTGTGTCTCTCCCTGTTCTGTCTCCGTGACTTGTCTGTCTCTTTTGTAGAATAGTGCTCTAGTGGATGAAAATGAGAGTATTGTGGGGTTTATTACTTTTTGGTTTGGATCTTAAATATTGGTGATGATTTTCTTTTTTTGTAGATGAAGTGAAAGAAAGGTATGGTCTTCGATGCTCTTATTGAGATATGGTATTCTTGTTTCAGGGAGACTGTCCAATACTTCACAATAGGCACTAACTTATACATACTTACGATCCACATCAACTTATAAATTAGCATTTTCTGTCTCAAGATAATAGGTCAGAGAAAGCATTCTAATTTTTCTATGGTCATTCTTATTATTGTAGCACGTATATTTCTATCAACGCATATTCAACACACCTTTGTAAAGCTTTCGATATTCTAATATTTCCATGGAGAGATACCGCAGAATACCAAAGAAGGCCTCCCGTATATAACAGAAAAGAGATTAGACTTTTTACCGTGTCTCTATGGCAATATCAACGACCCATGAAATGGAGTTCGATGTAGCGCAGAGGCGGGTAGACAAGGGCAGCCCAAGAGAAGCCGACATAGGTTCCCATCTGACAAAGGAAGAAGGTTAGCATCAAACCCAGACAAAAAGACCAACAGGCCAAGGGAAAACACTCACATCAGCACCATACTGGCCGACCAACTTAGCAAGAGGTCCGATATACCAGACTTGAGCCATACACAAGACGGCTCCAACCCAGCCAACAATAAAGGCAATCAAAGCAGCCACACCAATTGGGAGCTTGGACGGATCGCGCCAAACCGCCCAGTTATAGCCCGTCCGAAGACGGAAGATGAAGCGCTCTTCGAGGATGATAGCAATCCAAATGGCAACCCAGTATCCCATCAAAGCCAAGAAATTGGTGAAGATCTCGGAGAGATGGCTGCGGCCAACAAGGGCGCAAACAACATAGATGATGACAGCGATGGTGTTCCAGATCACGCGCGGAACCATCTCGGCGTAGCGGCCGAGGATCTGGAAATCAATGCCGGCGGAGTAGGTGGGTGCGACGGTGTTGGCAATCAGGCCTAGAGCGCAGATTACGGAGCAGAACTTGCCGAAGCCGTGGAGCGGCCCGAATCCTTCTACGATGAGGGCGCCTTGGCCTTTGTTGTAGGCGGTTGCGTATTCTGGGTGGTTGTTGATGCCGGTTGCAAGGCCAATGCCGCAGATTAGGGCCATTGTAAAGGAGAACATGAGACCTGCTAGGGTAAGGCTGAAGATTTTCAGGCGTGAGGTGTTTTCGGGGTAGTAGACGAAGAAGTCGGCTGCTAGAGGGCTGTAGGTGATTGCAGCACTTAGACAGATGGAGAAGAATGATAGTCTGTGGTTTGACAAACGTTAGAGTTGAATATGAGGTATGAGGTACTGGGGCTTTTGAACTTACCTGTTGCCAATCATGGTCCGAGTATCTTCATCTGTAGGGGGAGTCGACAAGTCGAACTTGGTAGATGCGACACCAAACAGGATGCAAACCACGATGACTTGAGGCACAAATGCAAATCTGTAGGAAAACCTTTGAGTGACTGCATTTGGAATGTCAATATCATTTTCCAAACGAACCTTTCATAGAAATGGAAGACTTGGATTCCAAACGTTGCCACCGCCCAACTGATGACAGCAATGATAACAATGCCTGTATTATCACAGTCAGTACAGCCGACTTCATCACGCCCTCTCAGCATACATACCGACGGCTACCGACATGCCTCCTGGAGAGACAGCAGATAAGATCTGACCACCAACAACGCAATCAATCAAACAGTACCCAATCATCTGAACGAGATTGAGCAAGACAATGATCTTACTGGGCCACCAGCCCATTGAGTACCGTCCAAAAGCCTATGAAACAATTAGTATTCTCCGAATTGATGATTTGACAGTCCAATAAAGGGCACGCACCATAGTTCGAATGCCTGACACAGGCCCCCAGGTCGCCATCCAAGAGGAGGCCAGGGAACCGATAAGAGCACCAAACACAGCACAGAGCGCCGAGTCTCGGAAATTGAGGCCATACACTGCAGGCCCCAACATCCCGAGTGTAATGTTATTGGGCGCAAGGTTAATCGACACCCAGAGCAGGAAGGCCTGCAGATATGAGATCCACGAGTTTCGCTTCATGCGCTCATGTGCTGGAACACGCTCGATGCCTCGTGCTTCCAGGTTGTACTCGACAAGATGGTGCTCGAATGATCGGATCAGCGAGCCCAATCGTGATCCGACGGGGTTGTGGCGACTGGTAGTAGGCTCGTCATGTGTCTCTGCACCCTTGCTCACGACGCCGGACTTGTTCGCATCGTATGGAGGGTCTTCCGTTTTGGAATGCACCGCTAGGGTGGGGATTTCGGAGGCCATACTGCGATACAGGTTAGTATTGGGTGGATTGCTGAAGAATGGGCAAAAGCGCGCATGAGTCCTTTCGCTGGAATTATCCAGATCAAGTGCTACCGTATATTCTCAGAACGACGATATGTCGAACACCGGTCTCAATGCAGATGGCGCATCTATATACCTTGATCTTTGGACAATACCAGGCTACTCGTCTTCATGATAATCGTGGCGGGGGAGGGGAGAGATTGTGTCACCTTCAGGTCACTGTGAATCCTGGTGGCGTTAGCAGATTCAGTCTGAGTGGAATTGAGAATGTAGTTCACCTGTAAAGCAAGACTTGTCTCCCAAATCGAATTGAAAAAGTTGGTGACTCACGCAGAGTTGGGGAAAGACGGGGTCGCATGCCGAAGGCCGCGGGGAAAGAAAAAAATTAAGGCCCGCATTTACTTTTCCGCCTCCATAGATCTACAGTGTACGTGCACAGGTCTAGGCCATATTTTGCCTTGCAATTTCCTAGTTACTGGGGAATCATATGGTATTGAGGATCACAGCGCAAAAGATCCGAAGCGCTTGGGGGGAGAAAAAAAAAAAAAAAGGAAAGGGCAACGCCTGGACGCAAAGAAAAAGAGACGCATGGCGCATGTTCATAGGTCACCGCGCAGATTGAAAACGAAATCGAAAGAGAAATAGAGAAATCCAGATCACCAACTCCATCTGCCTTGTAAAATCAGTGGCCTCCGGCCATAGATAAAACTTGCGTCGCTCTGGAACGGGAATCCGGAAGAGAATGCCAACTTCGTAAAAAGATGCTAAGAAAACGAGATCATCACTTCATCAGAGGCGTCATAAGGGTCAGACGTTCTTGAAATGCTCTTTGGCATATTGTTCGCAGGCCTGCAAAATGGTCAGTGTGAATGCGCAATATCAGATTCCCTTCTAGACTTACTTTGGCAGGCTTGCCGACTTTCTGACCGATTACTTTCCACTTGTTTGCCTCGTACTCTTTGATTGCCTCACGAAGTTTCATAGACTGTGCGATGTCAGCGGGCGATGCGGCGAACATCAACGAACTCGATATCATACCTCGTCTTCGGCAAATTCGGCGTAGTGCATGTCCTGCAGCAGGTGTTAGTAAGACACGCCATATGTCGAGGATATCTTTTATCGCATACCTTGTACCAGTGCTTCTTGACACTACCCTCGGTACGGGTTGGGAAAGTCTACAATAGGCAAAAAACAGAGGTCAGTAATTTGAAGTTCCAATGCAAAAAGACGCGCGCGCGCACCTTTGCGATCTCGGACCAGCTTCGGCCTGCATCGCGCATGGTCTTCAGCCGTTGCTCCTCCTCGGCGGTCCATGGCGTATTCGTCCGTCCCTTCTTCTTGGGTGTAGACTCAACTTGGGCAAAGGCGTTCGGGTCGCCCTCGATTGCGCCGCCCACCTGATTCACGGAGCCAGCTATCATAGACGATCCTGTCGCGGGGGAAGGTGGGCGCTTGCGCGAAGTCCCGTGCTGTTGTTGAGTAGGTATCGGCGCAGTAGGAATAGGAATGCCTTCAAATGTCGGCACGCGATGAAAAGGATGGATTTGTTGTTGAGCGAGCATGTGAGGCGGAGCGCTGGTGGTGGCCGACGTCTTGATTCGCTTTGAGGTCGGGGGAGAACTGGGGAGAAAGCGCTATATTAGTCAAGTGAAGCGACCATACATGGAGTAGTGAGACAGAAATGTGACGAAACGCGACCCAGTGCCAAATCCAGCCCAGTCTCCCTCCCACAGCTGGAGGCCGGACGGAGATCATAGACGAAGGGACTTACGACATGGTGAAAGACACACGCGGTTTGCAATCACACTGTGTCGAATCATCTGTACATACAAAAAGGCCGCGTAGGGGGGTTAGCAGGATCTGGTACTTGGCGCGCCTTGGTCGGAAAGCGTTACACTAAAGACGATGACACAGGCGCATCCCAGGTAGAACCAGATTGATCAAGGGTGACAGCGACAGAGGAAAGTATTTTCTCGCGACATAGGCAAGTTCCAGACCCCGATCAGAGTGTATAGAGGGGGAAGGTGTGGGGGAGAGAGAGCAGAAAGTCAGAGGAGGTTGGGCTCACAGGTCAAAATCGCATGGTCGAAGCGTCGATTCGGGGACCTCGAATTCTTCCGCCGAATACGGGGAGAACATGAGGCTGGAAGAAAAGAGAGCGTTGACTTAAGAGGGAAAGAGAGGCACAAGTCCGAAGAAAAGAAGAGAGAGGGAGAAAGGACAAGAGCGAGAGAAAGAGAGAGAGAGACAAGGTTACAGAGAGAAGAGGAGGAGAGAAATGGCAGACAGTAGAGAGCGGGGATGGAGTCACCTCATATCACAACACTCACCATATTGAGGAGTTGAATCTGGGATTCTGGGAATTATGTTGATCGTTGAATGGTTTATTTGGTTTTCAATTTGACAATTTCTTCATTTCCAATCTCAAATTCAAATTCATTTCTCTTTAGTGGTGAGGTTCTCCTCTCATGCCCTCTACTCCCCGCTATGCTTCTTACTTACTCTCTGACCTACATCTGACATTGGACTTCTTCAGGTTCAATTATATAGCTTCTGCATCCTATTCTTTGTTCGTGTCGATGCAAATGCACCTTCCACCCCTCCGGTGCCGTCCACTGGTTCTTCCCTGGCCTAGGAACCGATGCCCGGACAGGCCCCCCTGTCACAAATCATGGCTTGTTCTGTGCTTCAATTCGGCCGGCGACAAGATGCAGACGCAAAGATGGGCACGTCCGGCAGCTTCCATGAGACATTTGGGCCGAAGAGACCCGCGAGTGGCCTGTTCCAGAATCCGGTGACCCGGCGAGATCTCACAACACCGTGCGAGGATGACAGGACACGCCCAATGCGAGTCAACGACACGCCCGAGGGCCTGATTATTGTAAAGTCATCCAATGGTCCGGGAGCTCATCCCGCAATGCCAATATTCTGTAGAAGTGTCCGTCCAACCCGAGACTTGGCGGGCTAGATCAGCCACACGGTTTCGCCTGAAGCCACCAAGTCCCATTCCCCTCTCTTGACCCCCATGCAAGGTCTTTGTCTAGGAGATGCATGCTCTGTGGTGGAGGAGGTCCCTGTCAGCAGTTTCCCTGTCGGGGTACGACCGCGGGGTCAACTGAAGACATGTATATAGCCCAAAGATCCAGCCTCTCAACTTCTTGCCGGCAAAGTTTCTGTCACACACGTTACTACCCTGGTCAATGGCCAATCCGTCGCAATTGGCATTACTGGTTTCAAGGCTGATAAGGACTGGCTGATCTCCTTGTGATCGCCAATTGAGAGCGAGGAAGACAGAATCTCGAGTTGCCATCATTGAAACTCTCCATTTGTCTAGGTTTCATGCATGCAAAAGATCAGGTGTGCTAGACTGCGCTTGATGCGGCATTGTCCCAATGCAGACTGACAGCGCCAAGCATACCTGGGGTCAACTATGACTTGCATCGCCTATTTGCACAAATAGAGAAGGTTTGAGCCGTTTGGAAGTAAACGCTATCAAACACTATGACCAGCTCGAGGCAACCCCCAACAGATTTGACAAATCTATACAAATGGCTACAGCGATATCGATCTCAATGAACAGGTGCAATCACTCATCGCTTATATTGCGCCCGTCTCCCTGAATGCCGAACCATGTACAATGATCCGCTGTTGAATGATAAGACTATCTCATGCTAGTTCCGGGGGAAAGATTATCTTCTTCATATGTGAAAGCATGAGCCAAACAGACCACTGACGCAAGATTGTTAATCCTACAGCAAGATCATCCTGATTGGGAATCTTACCGCGTCACCTGCATCACCTGGAGCATCTAGGCCTCGAACCGCGTCAGAAGAAATAACCCATATATCAATTCAAACCGGCAGATTGTCTGGTTGGTATCACTCTCAAAGCTTAAGAAGAACCTCGATTTAGTTTTAAACAATTCAGATGTCTCGAGGTCTACAGTCGTGTGCCCTAAGTTAGTACTTGTTTCTCACCGTCCCCGCATCTCTGCCAGTTTTATCCAGCTGTACTTTTTTTCGGTGGCTTGGCTTAGTGCCTGCACTTGCTCTGTGTGGATGCTCAAGAGCTGTGTCATAAATCATTCAAATACTAACCCGGAACTAGATCACGACATAAAAATGCCAGCATTTATATATCTCGGTTAAGGCCGGGAATTTTTCGGAGACTATATAATCCAGAGTTGCAGCGAGCAGCACATATCGAGAATTTAAACAGGCAGCAATGTAGCCTCCTTCACCAAGCTTCCATAGACATGCATGTTGATGCCTGGACAGCTGGTGCGACGGTTGATCTACGCCCTGACGTCAAGCGTCACGTGAGAGCACGCGCGGCCCAAGCTCATGTGGAGCGCCGATAACGAACTCCCCAGGCCTCAGCCCGAGTACCTTCACCTTCGGAACATCTTCGTGAAGCTCTTTGAATCGGATTCTCACGGAGAAGAGGTGTTTTATACCTCATTTATTGAGCACGTTCCAACATTCTCACTCAGATACTTGGCATAGACCTCAATGGTGGTAGCCTGACAAGTGTTCACACCGCACGTCTCGTCCCCGCCCTGATCTTTCATCTACGACCTTGAAATCATGGGTTCTTGGAATGCATTTCGCGTTATTGGTGACCTGTTTCATCTGAGCTCTATATGCGTTCTGATATGGGCAATTCACAAAAATAAGAGCGCCGAAGGTTCGTGTACCTTGATTGAATCCGATTTGAGATGATACCCGCTGGCCACTGACACAAGTTCTTCTTCTAGGCGTCTCACTCCTCACGCAGCTCCTCTATGCGATGGTTTTTGTTTCCCGTTACCTCGACCTGTTCTCATCCTATACATGGACAGGACTGTCAACATGGCACACCGCTTACAATGTTTCGTTTAAGCTCTTCTATCTGAGTTCGTCATTCTATCTGGTGTTCTTGATTTTCAAAGTCTATCCGCGAACAAGAGAGAGGGAGCGTGCCTGGAAGCTTGGCATGTGGTCCACGATTGGGTCCCTTGTACTCGCACCCATTGCGATCATGGTTCTGGAAAGGGAAGGATACCCTAGAAACTGGTTTATGGAGGTAAGCTGGAAGAAAGCTACTAATCAAGAGTAAGGAATTTGACTGAACCAAATCGATAGACTTGCTGGGCTTTCTCTATCATCCTCGAATCCGTGTGTGTATTACCGCAGCTCCTTCTACTGCGCCAGACTACGGTCCCAACTGTGATCGACTCATATTATCTTGTCACTTTGGGCTCATACAGAGCCTTCTACATTCTCAACTGGATTGTGCGTGTGTCGACGGAACACAAATTCGACGATTGGATTGCAGTCGTGTTTGGCATTGTACAGACCGCCTTTTACGTGGACTTTGCCTGGGTGTACTACTCACGCCAGCGCGTCAAGCTTCGCAATGGCGGAGTTGTGGACTCCGAGGATTACGGAAACAGCTGGCTGGTGAACCGAGTGGTGAACTTCCGGGCATCACGACAATCTGCAGACGAAGACCAACATCTCCGGGACGAGGAGGAGGGAGTGGACGGCCACTTGAATCACAATCGATGGGGTGCGCGTGGCATATCTATTGCGGCGGACGATACCCTGGACCAGAATGGTCACGGTAAGGGCCATCGCCATCAGGACAGCTTAGACGGATTCTCCGGAGATGAGGATGAGGAAACTGATGAGCACCGCGCTAACATCTCCCATGAACGATGATTTGCCACACTTATTCCCGCCCCATGAGACAAAACCCCCAGCAAAGCCGTTGTTTTGAAGCATAGCATAGCCCCGACTGGTTTGTAAATGGATGGACTGCACGGGAATACCCGTCTTTCGAGCCTTACTGGCTAGGGGTTCGATATCCACATTGATTTATTTATTTTCCAAAGATTTTTCATTTGATATTTTGGGGAATTATCTACAGTAGATAGCCCTAGAAACCGAATGCCAGCGGCCCCCATATTTGGGGCTACTTGTGCCACACTGTTGCACGATGTGACCCCAGAATGATTTCCTGTCCCCAAGCCCCCAAGCCCGCTTCCAGCCCTCTTTTCCCAGGTGGGAAGGACTCTCAATATCGATGACCTGACCGGAACGTAGAGTTGCAATACTTGACAAGTTTGGGGGCGATTCCGACCTGCACCATTTCCACCTTTTGGCATGTTCATCGCTTGGCGTCTGACAGCTATGCATGATCTCACCCAGAGCTATCATGTATGCCACACTTTCCATTGCCAATTGCTGACATTTGTGATGATAAGTCCAAGGTCCAGACACGCCTGGCGCTTACAGTAGAATGCACCGAACACCTCTCTCTGTGGGGAGATGCGATGGAGACCAAACCCTGCCCTCTGATTTGCCCGGCGCCCACCCAGATCCGATGATCTGCCAATGTTTTCATCATTGGGACCACGCGCAAAGAAAGTTCTTCTGCACCTTCGGGAATAATGGGGTTACGTCGGGTGTCTGCATGAGCGCTTAACCAGCGGTCATGAATTCTCCGTGGACACAAGCCACCAAGCGGCTCGCGGAGCTTTCAGCCTCGAACACCGGATTGATCTTGGACCAGTCCAGAGCCGCCGGCGAACAACGCCCGCTGGCCCTCCAAGGATTATGATCCCTCCCCATGGTCTTCATCTGATGAAGAAGGTGACCGATTAGCATCGTTTCTGGGGGCTGCTACTGGGGCTCCTACTGGGGTCTACTGGGGGGCTATTGCGGGCTGCCGAAATGCCAATTACGGCGAGATAGACAAGGCTGACAGCCATGCCAAACACCCAAACCAGAACCAGATCAGAGACAAAGACAGAGCAAAATTGTGGCATTTGGGGCCATCAGGTTTGGGGGCCAAATGCAATCTCAAATCACTACGGCATCGAACTACGTTAAGCGCTACGCTTTGTCTGTTTTGTGCCCAGAGCGGGATCGCCCACATGGACCCCCTACGACCCGCCCCGGTTTTTTATTTTTTGTTCGATTGGAGGTCGAACTGGGTGGGAATGAAAAACCCCCCAAAAACACCCCAATTTGAATTCTTTTGTTTGGACCCGTGGCAGTGGGTCTGAAGTCATAGAATGACTGCCAATTTCTTTTTCATCATGCAGAGTCTGAGCCCCTTCTGGGGTGTAGAAATGGGGGCGGCACCGTGCTGGATATCAACACTTAGACTATCGGATCCGCAGCGCTTAAATATAGGCCCTCGTCGAGTCTCTGATGGAGTTTCTCATGTTCCAATGCGGTACAGTGCTCCTCGGCGGTACTGAGATTGATTTTGGTGCTCTCTGAGCCTATAGTTAACACCTCCAAACTACAGTTCACATCCTGCCTCACAAGGCATTCGGGTACCGGCTGTGATATCTCTCAAAGGGGAATATACCAGGCAGACCGGTGCATCCAACTCGCTTTAAGCACCCCTCTTTTCCTCGTGTGGATGAATCTTATAAAATCTGCGGCTGTCGACTGTTGGAAATGTGAATCTTCTCAACTCGAGAAACATTTCCGGAATCAGGTCTCTTGATATACACTTGCAACTAAGGTTCTACCCAACCATCTAAATCTTCCAGCCGCCGCAGTGCCACATTTCCCCCTGCGTTGAGTTTCGTCTCCTGTTTCACAATCTGTGGCCTCGGCGTCTATCTTCCACTTCAACACAAACACAGTCAACGGTGACATACTAGGCGTGTTTCACCTTGGAAGGGTAGCCAGTCAGCATCATGTCTCGTCGTCATGAGATCCCGACCTCGGAAGAGATGCGAGAATACTATGAGAATCTACCGGCTAATTGGTCCATAGACGCGGTATGCAGCCTGTCAAGATTGTATAGATCTGAATCAAAACTGACCATGCAATACTACAGTCTCCGTTTATGGGAGTAAATCCTCAATATTGCACAGAGCCCCTAGTGCCACCAAGCATCCTGACGCCAATCAGTCTCCCGGATAGCTCATTCCGACCAAGCCCAGCACTCAGTCACCACTCACAAGACTACCACGGACAAGAATACCAATACAGCATCAATGAATCCATCCCAGCACCCCAAGGTCTGGGGATCAGCGCCCCATTCCCAAGTGAATTCCCTCGGACCTCAGCACCAAATGCCAGCTACATGTACGCCCCAGACAACACGATGATGGGCATGGGCCAGACCCCGAACATGTCACCACAGGCGCCACCGCCGAAGCGCGCGAAAAGCAACTCTTCGCAGCAACCATCCCGTGATCAACCAATCAACATCGCCCCAAACCCAGAGGGCATGCGGCAAATCGAGCTTGAGCGCATGTATGGCCAGCCCTCTCCGCAGCTCCCGCCTCGGCCTCGCGCGCCTGGCCGTGGACGTCGTGACCCTCAAGCCGAAGATGAAGATTCGTTTGTGGAGACGCTGCGAGACCAGGGCATTGCTTGGAAGGTGATCCGTGAGATGTTCATGCAGCATTTTAATAAGGATGCCACCGAGGCGCGATTGCAGATGCGTCATCTCCGCCGGAAGCGAGAGCGGGTTGCGCGGTGGGACGAGTCAGATGTGAGTATGTGTTCCACAAAATATGACCTTGAAAGCTACGTGCTTGGGCATTTCCAATTATGCTTTGGATCATTTGTCTAATGAGTTTGTCAATTTAGGTCCAGCTCCTTATCCAAGCACATGAGCTTTGGGAAAAGGACAAGTACCGTGCCCTTTCTGATATGGTAAGATATAGCAAGTCTCCAATAATATGTTGGAAACATGCTCATATGGCTTTCCTAGATCAAAGAAATGGGCGCCACGAGATTTTACTCTCCAAATGCATGCAAAGCTCAAATGCGACTAATTGAGACAAAACAACACCGTCGAAACCGCGCAAGTGCTACACCTTCAGCAATGTCCGATCCGGTTCCCACTACTCCAACCACTCCTAAAATGTCTCGAAAAAGACGCCGAGCTCAGTCTGAGCCGGATTCTGAGGATGAGGACGAGTATTTCTAGATTATGGACCTTTATCTTCTTCTTTTCTATCCCTTCTTCACATTTCTTCTTTTTCTTATTTTCCCTCCCCTACAAGACCAGCGTCTTTTTCATCTCTGAAAGATTTTACACTCATGAATGTCACGATCAGCGCGGGATCTGACTGGCGTATTTCTGCATGGCCCTTTCCACTATGCCATTATTCACTTTTTTATATAGCATATCATTTTAACATACAATCTATATTACTCTGACCCATTCCTCTATTCCTATACTGTAGAAATCGATTTTGTCTGTTTCAGCCAAGGTTGGACCAAGCCTGGCCCCTGCGTCATTTAGGGCGGTCATACCTGTCGCGGCCCGACATTGGGGGCTACGAACAGTTCTATAATTATTCATGAACATGAAACTTCCAACATCTTTTTTTATCTAGATGTGTGGCCAAGTGTTCATATGAAACTTACCCCTGGCAAGAGCACTGTATACCGGGGGCGACGAGGGCAGGCTAGCGGGGATATGCAAATCGTGAATATTTCACGGGAGGATGTCCTGTACGCCTGACTCAGAACCCCCACCCATACAGACTCAGGCATTGGAATGGAGTGCATTCAAACGTCTAAAAAGCCCAGATTTCTAGATTGCTGATAACTCACCGATACCTTTACATGAAAGCCGAGAAAAATGTGCGGGATCATATTTCAAATACCGCCACCAACGCGACTGATCATCTCAACTAAATCAGTTCCTCTAGACTCCGCACTGTACCCCACTTTCATTTAGAACGCCGAAAGTGCCGAGAATGCAGGATGCAGATGATGCTAGTTTTGCAACGTTTAACCGTTGCGGCTCTTCAACCACGCGAACCAGGGTTCCCTGGTTCCGTTTGAGTCCTGTTAGTATCGGAATAGAATGACGCATCCCTTAACAGTCGAGGAAACCGTACAATATTTCGCTCTATTTCAAATTCAATCATGGTGAGGTTTGCGCTAGATCTTGCAGGATCCATGTGGAGATCTGTGGACCTGTCATAGAGTCGGACTTGGGCTCATTGGGTGCGATCGGATGATTTGTCAAGCATTGCTGCTGTACAGTATCCGTACAGAGTATATAGAGTACACGTACGGAATAACGTCACTTCGTATGAGTAAAACTAAGTTACTGTAGATAAATTAGTGCCATTCAAGTATTTGTCAGTTCTTGCATGACACCCACCTAGCTCGAAGCGAGTGCTCTGTTTCGAGGATGGGTTTTCACGCCACCTTGGCCTGTTTATGATAGCTTCACTGATCTATTACGTGGACCGAGTAAGTTGGAAAAAAAGTATTTGGAATTTTTGTAATTCAAATAGCTGTTCAGCAGTGAACGAGACTCAATCACATGCCAGAGGGTGGTAGTTTAATGCTGAGAGGAGTGCGAATTGGCTCTCATCGTACCACACATACACCCCACTGTAGGAGAGAAGAATAGGCGAAAAGGGCGAAATGACCCAGGAGAAACCCCATTTTAGACTACCCTTATCCAGAACTTCAAGACGGACGAGGGAAAATGAAAACCAGTATATTAACAATATCAAGTGAACGTTGACATGAGTTCATCGATATGGAAAGTCTGATGCCGATGGAATCAACGGGCACCACTGAGTATTGCTGGACATGAGACTCACGATTGGCCTTTTACTGAAAGTGTAGCAATTTGGTCACTTGCCTACTTATGAATACATCGAAATAAAGATGCAAGAGATCATCCCAAGACAAGCTTCTACACTGTATTTATTTGTTCATCAATAGCCCTGAAGATTGAGGCGAATAGACCAATTGGAAACAAAATGGGCGAAACAACAAGACGGAATCAAATAAGGACCCCTTGGACAGATGATAGATATTCCGTTGACACATGGCGCTTCAGTTGCCAGAATATGTCCGGCAGATATGCAACGGTGAAGAGTCTCGGCTACTCCTATGCTCAGTACTTCCCTGAACTTCCCTGAAGTACGCAGAGAAGAACAATAAGACAAAATAAACAGACACAGCGACCTCCAGCGCTCAAGGGATGGGGATAACTCGGCAATCCCGGAGACCGAACAAGGAGCCTCACTTATCAGTGCATCTCACATCATAATCTCGATACCACAGGACCTCCTGGCATTAATCTGCGAGGAAATATGAAAGCGTTACATGCGAACAATATGAATCCCGTCGGAACCCAGAAACAACCCTGCACCATGATTCGCCCAAGTCAGTAAGCAGTACACGTAAGATTATGCATGATACGCGGTTGGAAGTTTGGAGGAGACCTATTAGTTGAGAATTCCCACGAAAATAATCAACAGAGGCGCGAATATGGTGACTTATTCGTTTGTCCAATGTTGATAACAGCGCAGCCCCCCGTGAGAAACCCGCAGCCACAATGACGTAGTTATGCTAGGGAGGCCCGGAATGTACAGCTTATCAACAAAGGGTGCAACTGCGGTGTGAAACATATTGTATAGCGGTTAAGTTATCAATGAGGGAATATTTAGCCACGGTCTTATGGATAACGGGAGAGGAAACATGGAAATGGCCCCATTATTGAGAGCCTCGTGGTCACAGGATTGTGCATTAATCAAGTCGGGCCGAATACATGGGGGAGGTACAAAGCCCCAGCCAATAACGGCTCGGAGACAACCGTCCATGGCTTGCAACGAATCCTGCGGATAAGGAGTCGGGATGGAAAAACAAGGCTCAGGCTAAACTTCGGAAACAAAACTCCGTATGAGCACACCCCCGTGGACGAGAGGGGAAAGATGACAGCGAGGTCAGGCAAGTATCCCGACCTCGGGCATGGAACAGCCAATTGCCGACTCGGAAAGTAATCGTGGAGAGAATGCGGAGAGAGTTAGTCCGGCACTCGGGCCTGTGCCACGGTTAGTCCGAGGTCTAAGATCCACTGTAGCCCTTCATGCGGCACGATGATTGGCTGGTCGGCGGCTGTCCGAGGCTTGGTAAGCTTGTCTTTCCCCAGCCCTAGTCGACCCTAGTCTAGTGCATTTAGTCTATTCACTTGCGAGTTTGGGGCCCCTCGCTTTGGGTGTGGGGGATCCCAATGCTACCGTGTGCTTGCTATTTAGGACTGGCCCCGCCCCTTGCGTGTGCTCGTGGGAGAAAATCCAAGCTTTTCAACCCTTCCGCTCGGACATTGTACATCTTTTCTTGGTAGCAGTTTCTCGATCGAATTGTCATGGCAGGAAAGCTGAGGGGCAAGTCGTTGAACCTTGTCATCGGTCTCATTGGTGCTGTGGGCTTCGTGCTCCAGGGCTATGACCAGGCAGTTTGCAATGGGTTGTTAACGTTGGGTTCTTTCATTGCGGTATTTCCTCAGATCGACACGGTCAATACCAAGGGAAGCCAAAACTCACACAACTCTACCATCCAAGGTATGCAATCTCTTGATGGTGGAGGAGGTCTCTGCTGACAGCCACAGGGACCACGGTCGCAATCTATGAAGTTGGATGCGCACTCGGCGCCGGTTCCTGTGCCTTTCTGGGTGACAGGCTTGGTCGTCGCAAGACCATCTTTCTGGCAGGTTGCATTGCGATAGTGGGGATCATTATTCAGTCGACTCCGTTCTCACTCGGTCAACTTATTGCTGGCAGAGTAATCACTGGTCAGCCCCATCCCACCACCCATTACTGAATTCTCATGACCTAACCGCACTGCACCATACAGGTCTTGGCGTAGGTGGCTTCACAGCTACCATCCCAATGTACGTCTCCGAGTCATCCGGCGCAGAAGCTCGCGGTCGGATGGTTTTGCTCGAAGGATGGTTCGCTATCGGTGGTATTGTCCTCGCAACGTGGCTGGAATTCGGACTCTACTATGTCAGCGACAACTCGGTCAGCTGGCGTTTCCCCATCGCCTTCCAAGGTCTATTTGCTATTGTTGTCGTCGCCTGTATCTTGCTTCTGCCCGAGTCCCCCCGTTGGCTTGCACGCGCTGGAAGAATGGACGAAGCAGCTGAAGTGCTAGCTCGCTTGGAAGATGTATCGGTTGATTCCGAACATGTCTTGCAGGAGCTGGAGATTATGCGACAGTCTCTTGTGCTGGATGAGAACAACGAGTCAACCGGCTCTTCTTCGCCATTTGCGATGACCGAGAACGGCCACCTACACCGGACGATCATTGCTGTGGGTGTGAACATTCTGGCACAAATGACCGGTGTCAATATTATTACTTTCTATTCCGATACCATCTTCGAAAATGATCTGGGATACTCGGGCACCATCGCTCGAATCATCACTGGATGTCTTCAGATTTGGCAATTCGTGGCAGCTGGTCTAGCTGTCCTGCTCATTGACCGAGTTGGACGTCGTCCGCTCTTTATCGGCGCTGCCGCCGGTATGACCATTGCCCAGGCCTGTCTGGCTGGGCTATCAAGCGACCTGAGTAACCACGCCGCTGCGAGTGCGTCCCTCCTATTCTACTTTGTCGCACTCTTTTGCTTCCCTATTGGACTGTTCCTGGTCCCCTTCATGTACGCTGCTGAGATTGCACCCCTACGCACCCGTGCCAAGGTGACGGCCATGTCGGCGGCTGCAAACTGGCTCTTCAACTTCGTCCTTGCGGAAGTGAGCCCTGTCGGATTTGCTACCATTCACTGGCGGTACTATATTGTATACGCATGTATCAGTGCCTTTGCTTGTGTCAGCTTCTACTTTTTCTGTCCTGAGACCAAGGGACGGACTTTGGAAGAGATTGACGATATCTTCGTGCAATCCAAGTCCATTTTCGACACTGTCCGAATTGCACGGGAGATGCCCTTCCAGTCAGAGCTGCTGGCTTATCCCGATGATACTGGGAAGGGCGGACTTGGAGATGCTCAAATTGAGCGAGCTTGAATAGAAGATGACACGACTATTACGAACATTGTTGGAAAACAGGGGGCTATCAGAATCATAGATGTACTTGGTCAGCATCGGGGCTTGTTAGATAGAAGATAGAAATGGTAGAAGGGATTTCATTTGATCATGTCAATTTCTCGTGAAAAGCAGCTCGTAATTCAATATTCGTCAAGCATCCGATTCCAAATGCCGGAATAATACGAACACAACGCGTGAAAGTGGAGGACGCAAGATAATGCTGCGACTGTTTGACCCTTTCCACAAAGGGCACATGATACTGCCTCGTATACATATCCAATGCAAGCAGATGCAAGGGAGTCGCCACTAATTGTGTCAACACAGGCACTGTCAATTGAGTGATAACCGGCTTGGCATGAGGATGCGCCGCGAGGTTATCCGGGATGGCGGCGGACAGCCAAGGTGCCAGCGTAAAGGAGCCAAAGATAGTGACACCATCGCGTACCAGGAAGATAGCAGCGGCTGCTCGAGCGATCGATTTGTTTTGTCGGAGGGGTGTTGGATTGCCGGTCTTCGCATCGGAAGTCTTGCCGAAGCCATAGATACGTGCAAATCGGATGTCTTTCCACAGCGCTAACGGCACATTTGCCAGCATCGTCGTGGCAAAGGTTATTGTCCCCGCTGCACTTATCCCCAGCTTGCGACTGACGGTATCGGTCACATTGGCGACCGAGTAAGTGGCCGCGTAGAGAGCCCAAACGTAGCCGAAGGGACGCTGGAACACAAACAAGTGTGGTTGCTTCAGGGCTGCGATCGCATGTCGGCGGAGACCGTAGAGAATTGGCTGTCTGAATGCAGATTGCTCCACGATGGATCTAAGCGCGTGTTAGTAATTGTGAGCGCGCTTGGAGGTGAGACTTGCCGGTCGATGAGTGCGACTGCGGGCGTTACGATGGTCGCGGAGATGGTCGCCGCAGCCAAATCGCCCACCAGTTGGCCCCGATGTGTGCTATTCCAACCAACATGAGATTGAATTTCCATCGTGAGTTGGAGTCACATCGTTCTGACTCTCTTGCTTATCTACCGGGGAAAATACCACTGACTCTCTACCCCAACATGACCGGCTACCCTTCCGACGTCGCATACTTCGAGGAACAACCACGCATTGGACGTGAATCGGGGCATCGTCACTCGGTCGGAATGCGATACCATCTGTGGGGTGACGGGACTGCCCCCGATCTTCTCATGAGGGGTTGGTTGACCTTTAAATTCATGTGTTCGTCTCGACTTCATGATTCTTCCAGTTCACATCGCTGTTGACTTGACATATCCACCATGTCTACAGCTTCTCTCATGAGATTGCGCGCCACCCGGCCGTCGGGCCTTCGCCTGCGCTCTGTTCCAGGCCTCTCTATGCAGACTCGTGCTAAGACGACTATGCCCTTCCGCCTGCCCGATGCCAGGAACGAGCCCAACGTGAGCAAACATCAACTATGAAGGCCGCTCCAAGCTAATAATTGTCTAGCCTGAATACAGGAAAGGATCTCCCGAGCGTGCCAAGGTCGAGGAAGCTTTGAAGCAGCTTCGGGCTCAGATGCCCGTGCGAAGTGAGCTCTTCTACGACGGAAAGTTCCAAGCCAGCTCGCAGTCCTGGGATCAGCCATTGCCCGCCGAACACGGAACTCCTTTCACAAACTACCCGCTGGCTACTAAAGAACAAACAAACGAGGCTATCAACAAGGCACTGGAAGCCAAGCAGAGCTGGCAGGATACCCCGTTCGTGGACCGCGCCTCGATCTTCCTCAAGGCTGCTGAGTTGGTGTGCACCAAATACCGCTATGAGCTTATCGCAGCGACTATGCTGGGCCAGGGAAAGAACATTTGGCAGGGAGAGATTGATGCTGCTGCTGAGTTGGCGGACTTTTTCCGCTTGAATTGCAACTGGGCTGGTGAGATTTTGGAGAAGCAGCCCACTCGGGGCAGTGACGGCATGTGGAGGTGAGTTTATACAATATTCCTGAAACTATAAGGAATTTCTGGCTAATTTGAGGCAGTCGTGTTGAGTACCGTCCCCTGGAGGGCTTCGTCTACGCTGTCTCCCCCTTCAACTTCACAGCAATCGGTGGAAACCTGATTTGCGGTCCCGCGCTGATGGGTAACGTTGTTCTGTGGAAGCCCTCGCCATCCAACGTCTATGCCAGCTACCTGGTCTACAAGATTCTCCTAGAAGCTGGTCTTCCCCCCAACGTTATCCAGTTCGTGACTGGAGACCCACAGGCCATCACCGACACCGTGCTTGAGCACCGTGACTTTGCTGGTCTGAACTTCATTGGATCCTCGGATGTCTTCCGCTCTCTGTACGGCCGGATCGGACAGGGCGTTGCCCAGAAGACTTACCGCGAGTTCCCTCGCATGGTTGCCGAGACCAGCGGAAAGAACTTCCACCTTATTCACCCCACGGCCGATATCCCCAGCGCCGTGAACCACACCATCCGTGGCTCTTTCGAGTATCAGGGCCAGAAGTGCTCTGCCACATCCCGTGTCTACATCCCAGAGTCTCGGGCCGAAGAGTTCCTCACTGGCCTGAAGGCTGGTGTCAAGGAAATCACCATTGGAAACCCCGATAAGGACCTTTCAGCCTTCATGGGCCCTGTTATCCACCGTGCCTCTTTCGAGAAGATCAAGGGTATCATTGATGCCAGCAACAAGGATCCCTCGGTCAAGCTGATTGCCGGTGGTACCTATGATGGTTCCGTTGGCTACTATATTCATCCCACTGTCTACCAGGCGGACTCCCCCGACCACCGTCTTTTCAACGAGGAGATCTTCGGTCCTGTCCTCACTGTCTACGTCTACAAGGATGCCGAGTGGGCCCAGACTTTGAAGGATGTTGACCGCAACGGAGGTGGCCTCGCCCTGACCGGTGCTGTCTTTGCCAAGGACCGCGTTGCGATTCGCCAGGCTGAGGATGCTCTTCGCTACTCTGCTGGTAACTTCTATATCAGTAAGTCTCATGATCCAATAGCAGATGTGACCAGAGCTAACCATTTATCCCTACAGACTGCAAGACCACTGCTGCCCTTATTGGCCAGCAGTCCTTCGGTGGTGCTCGTGCCAGTGGAACTAACGACAAGGCTGGCAGCGCTGACCCTCTTCGCCGTTTCGTCAGCCCCCGTTTGATCAAGGAGGAGTTCTTCCCCCAGGAGGGATTCACATACCCTAGCAACCACTGAGGGGGTTGGATGCATTATGAACAGTTTTTATAGACGCTTTAGTAAAATATGTACTCTCACAATTCACTCATGCACTTGTTATGTCTACACATCTTTATCTTCAAAAACAAGACGTGAATCTTTCCACCTCATTCTTTTCTTTTAAGATAGTGCACCTACCAAGTAATTCGATCATGCCTGACAGGACTGTGTACTTTATTGCTATACCTGCCATGCAGTTCGATCTCTTTATTTCAGTTGGGAAAGGGAATAGTCAGAACCGAAGTTAGCCTGTCAGTGTCTCGTGAAAAGCTCTCTAATAATTGTTTTGTATGGCCATATTAGCAAGAAATAGTTCATACATTGAGTTCGATACCACCGCGCTCTACATAGATTCATGTCTTTATTGCTTGGAATACACAGAACTATACTATGCCCACCAAGTAAGATGCCAAAAAAGAACCAACCCTAATACACAACCAAATCCAAAAAACGCATGACCCCAACACCAGCAAGACAAGCCGAAAGAGAGATAACCCCAAGCCATAACATAAGCCGATATTCAACCTGTGGACCAGAAACGACGAGTTGAAGCTTATCAAAATGACCGGCAGGCCTCCCGACACCTCCCCACCCTCCCCGCACTTGGGAGACAGCTCGGCCAGGCTACCCGGGTATACTTAGATATAACTATAGACAGACCAGGCTGTTGATCAATTCAGTAGAATACCAAAATGGGAATTTCCAAATCCGACCCAGTCATCATCGTAGGCGGAGGAGCCTTCGGCCTCTCCACCGCTCTACATCTGACTCGTGACGGGTTCACAAACGTGTCCGTCTACGAGAAAGATGATCATATTCCTCCTCGATTCTCAGCTGCAAATGATCTCAACAAGATTGTTCGCGCAGAGTATGAGGATGCCTTCTATACCGACCTGACAATTGTTCGTTTGACACTCCGTCCATACAGCCATACATCCCCCAAAGAAACACATCCTAACCAACATCTCTTCATGCACGATAGGAAGCCATCGCCGCGTGGAAAACCCCCCTCTTCGCCCCTCACTTCCACCAAACCGGCTTCCTGCACTGCGTGTCCGGCGACGCGCCCCAAAAGGCCGTCGAAACCCTCGACCGCTTCCGCAGCGCAGCAGAAGCAAACGCCCAGATCAAGCCCCATGTGGTCCCTCTCAACGGCACCGCAGACATCCGCGAAGCATGCTGGCAGCTGAACGGCCCACTAACCGGCTGGAACGGCTACCTCAACCGCTTCGATGGATACGCGCACTCAGGCAACGCCCTGGCAGCCGTCTACCGCGCAGCCCAGGCAGCCGGCGTACGCTTCTACCTCGGCGAGCGCGGCGCCACGGACGAGATCGTCTACGTGAGCACTCGGCAGGGCCGCAAGGCTTCCGGGATCCGCACGAAAGACGGCACCTTCCACCCGTCCTCGCTGGTCATCGTGGCAGCGGGCGGGGCCGTTGGACGTCTGGTCCCGGAGCTGGGGACGAATGTCGTTGCCAAGTCGTGGTCTGTGGCGCATGTTCATCTCACTGATGAGGAGACTTCCTTGTTGCGGAATATCCCGGTGACTTATGCGCGCGACCTGGGATTCCTCTTCGAGCCTGATCCCGAGACGAATCTTTTGAAGATTTGTCCTATGGGGGGTGGGTATGTCAATACGGATGCTCGGAGTGGGGTGTCGCATATGCCTGCTTCGTTGGAGGAGAGTGCGTTTATTCCGGAGCATGACGAGAGGCAGATGAGGAAGTTGCTGGCGCATACGCTTCCTGCGTTGAAGGATCGCCCGCTGGTTAAGCGGTCGCTTTGTTGGTTTGCGGATACTAATGATTCGGACTTTATTATTGATTATTTGCCTGGGACTTCGGATTCGGTGGTTGTTCTTTCTGGTGATTCGGGTCATGGGTTTAAGATGTTCCCTATCTTTGGGTCTTGGGTGAGAGATTTAGTGGGGGCTGGACAGCAGCAGATTAAGAGGTGGAGGTGGAAGGAGTCCAAGCCTGCTGGTGACAGTGGGAACTGGGGTGGTGATGTTAGTTGGAGAATTGGGGAGTCGAAGGAGCTTGCTGAGATTCGTCCTGAGAGATCATCTAAGCTTTAGATTGTCTAGACTTGTTGATTTATGCATATATTCATGTTTGTTTTCATGAAATTCATTCTTGCTTCATCTTGTATATCGTAAAACTATTTTTTATTAAAATAGCAATGCATTGGGGGCAAAGTTACATGGAAAACCATCATTCGTTAAACATGACCAAAAAATCTACCAAATGCTATGCTCAATCATCGCATTAGATACCCATTCAGTATCAAAAGTCTCAATAGAATCTGCGACAGCCATAATTTCAGCCGAAGTTAACATCGTTCCGAAATCACATTCTCCATCCAACACAGGATCCTGCCTGAGAAGAGCATTGTAGTGAGTAGACTGTGGCATCGAGCCCGGAATGGAGGTGGAAGATGGAGAAAGTGGGTTAGGAAGGACATCATTCTGTTGGAAGAAGTTGGGCACCGTCAAAGGTTGAGATTGACCTCGAGAGATGCAACTCAAAGTCTCGTCCAGTCGTTGCAACTCTGACCGTCGGAAGCTGGCGACTTGGTTACCGTCTCCGATCATTTCGTCGAAGATTGCGTACGCCTTCTCCAGCCAGCTTGGATGACTGTCTAGTAAGCGAGGATCGATTGCCGGGCTAAGAAGAAGGATCACGGTGGATACAAAGAGAGATTCAAGGTCGAAGGGAAGAAAGGTTTCTGGAACCAGGGAATTAGTCCATGTGTATCTGAAAGGAGAGCTGCATGAGATGCGTACCTAGAAGGCCTTGGACCTGTAGACTGTGAAGAATACTGATAATATGTTGAGCGGATTCAAGACACATCTGCATCAAGTTCTGAACATTCCGAGATGCATTCAAAGATGCCAGGCAGGATTCTGGTGATTCAAATTGTATTTTGAGGAAACAGAATAACAGAGGTCGGGTTGCGAGGATAATACACTTGACGAAGATTAGGATTGCATTGAATCGGTATCAGGTAAGCACATACCTGATGATATAGAAGGTGTAAAGAGGCCGAAGTTCGGGAAACACCGCTAACTTCTCGGTCCAAATGTAACGGGACTGCCTCGCGAAGTTCATCGGCAAGGCTTGCAATGTTCGCCAACGCCGCTTTAGTACTGAGTAGGAACGTTCGGTTGATGCGTCCATCAATGGCATATACTTCTGTGAAACAGTTAGATTTCATCTTTATCAGGAGGAGCCAGTTGAGCCTACTGCTGTTGACCTCAGCAATAATCTGAGACAATTTGATATGCATGCCGAGGGAGACAGTCTCTGCTTGGTCTGTAAATGTAGGAAGCTGAGTTTGCACGTAGCGATCATTGATAGACTGGGGTAGACCCATAAGAGAGGTCATTTCCCGGTCTAGAATATACACTGTCCACCAAATCTTGCCACATCTTTGCACCGTGTCATGACCTAAATCTTCGACCGGCATTCTGGTGTGCATTCCCTGTGCCATTGCCATTCGCATGGCTTGTCCAATCTGGAAATCTGGTCAGTCTGTTATGCAACTCCTTTTCTCCGAGGATCTTACATAGTTGTGCGCCGACGTGCGGCAATCAATGCACTGAGAATATAACGCAATACAACAAAGGATTTCAGTCGCTACCATAGGATCACGGTATAGAGCGCCAGGGTCAGGCAGAAGTTGCAAAGCTTTGACAAAGTAGCCAACTCCAGGTGGCTTTTTCCCTTGTGCCTTGGGTTGAACAAAGCCTTTCCCAAAGGCCAAAATAATCAGGAAATGAATATACCATAAACTATTGGTCATCGCGTGTCCATCCCCGGAGTAGAACTCCTGAAGCGAGTTCATGAACTCCCCTTCCTCAAAAAGATGATATAATTGCCCACAGCGGAACTTGACAGCGTTGATCAGATACATAGTGTGGTCGCGAGTAGGAACAATGGGAGCGTCTGGGCCCGGGGTTGTTCGTAACCCGTCCCATGGGAGTTCGTAAGTCATCTCATCAAACAGTAATGCTTCCGGGGAAAGTGCCTCTTGATAGGCATGTTGGTGTGCTAAGCTGAGAATTCGCCGAGTGAACGACCAGTTTGATGAAGTTCCAAGATAGACTAACGGGGTCAGAACTTTGCCTTGCGAAACATAAGAAAAACGCACATGTTCGGCCATTTGCAGCAGACATAAAGGCAGGAGGGCCACTTGAGAGCGGATTTGTCAAGCCAGAATCTGCATCTTCGTATTCCTGAGACTCATCATGATCATCGGGAGTGATCCTATCCAGTGATGTATCTTCACGGTCCTTTGCATCTGTAGGGAATCAGCAGGCATAATTTTCTGAAAGCCACATAGACACACAGACCATTGGTTTGTAAGCCAAAGCTGGAACTAAAAGGACTTCGTTGGCCCTTTTCCGACTGCTCTATAAGCGCAATCCTTTGCTGCAACTCCATGATGTACCTGCGTCGATCCTTAGTCGTGAAACTTGCAGATTATCCATTGAACCTACCCTCTTGTGACCAGAATCTTCTGGTCTCGATCATTGAAGATACATGATAGCTTGCGCTTGCTGCACCCATCGCAAGGCTGCGATCCGGAGCATTTGATCTTTTGTCTTCGGCATCGCACGCAACTGATGGCATTTAGCAACCGAACCTCCACCGAACTGAATGTCCACTAACGCATTCGAGGATCGCTTTGCAACTCTTCCATCACCCGCCATGTGTATTGGCGTTCTTGCAGGGTTTGCAGTGAAGTTGACGGGATACAAGGGTTGACATGGCCAAAATGCGGGGGGCCAAAGGCAAGAAGTGGAACTATGATTGGGGCGGCCTAACAAACGAATCATAAAGTGGCAAAGATGCTCGTCTTATCGCTACCGGGCGCCTTCCCGATTATCAGTTCACATTGGCTCATCAAAGTTAAGTTGCTTTTATCGTTGCCCGAGGAGATGGAGATTTGTCTCCCAGAATTGTCGGCAATGGGTGTGGCCCCAATGTTCTGTCCACCACTCGCCAAAACTATCTTGTACATCTGATTCATCCACCCGTAGAACTCGCTCGTCTCTTTTGAGCGCACAAAGTGCACAGGAGTGGGACGCTTTCAATGCTCCTTGATCCGACCGAGCCACGATCACTTTGAGCGCACCCGGGTCCGGGACTGCGGGAATTGGCCGCTGACCGGCGGCTTGTAGTACAGTATTGAAGATCGCCGCCCGTTCTCGCCAAAGATTAAGTACATTGACAGCATCTTGTTCTTCTTTGATATTCTCATGTTTGTTGACACTGTTGAGTTTCATGCCGCCTGTTTTGCCGGCACGAGCAGGGCCGATCCGCATACTTTGGCTAAGAATGGTGTCTCGTTTCCAGCGGAGACTTCGCCCTGCAATCACACGGGCAGCGGACTCAAGAGCATTGTGGATATGGGAGGCAGTTGCGGAAAGGTTGGTTCTGTTGGAAGGCGAGGATCGTAGTTGAGATTTGACCTGTGTAGCCTCCTTTTGTAGATTTTCAAACACATCTAAGAACAATTCGAGAAGTACAGATGGCGGTGGGATATTTGTTGGGCGAACCGTCGGCGATGATACTGGACTGGTGACCGTTGGCGAAGGCGTATTGAATTTGGGAGCTGGTGATGCACTGGGTCCATCGGTGAAATCCCCCCAATCGTCAAAGGCATCATCGTCCCAGGTTGATGTCGAAGCCTTATGAGGCTTGACGGGTGGTTTTGCCTTTTTCACGGAGACCTTTGGTGGAGGCTTGCTAGCGGGTGCGTCTGTGAACTCACCCCAGTCACCGAACGAGTCATCATCCCAGGTCGCCTTGGGTTGACTTTTAGGCTGATTAGGTTGAGAAAGTTGTTTCTGACGAAGAGTCTTTGTTTCCTGGTTCACAATTGGTGCCGTGTCGCCTATTGAGAGAGTCTCGAGCAAGTCGACAGCCCCCGAGGCTCCGGAAGCATCTTGTAGAGGGGTTGAGCCTAGTGATCTGGGAAATGCAGCTACTGATGATGGCTGGGATGGAGCCGTTGGCCTGGGAGCCTGTTGGGAAGTAGACTCTGGTCCTTCGAAGTCACCCCAGTCGTCATCCGCATCACTTCCTGGTGCGTCGAAGGCTGTATCAAACAATACATCACTGTTTTTATTCAGTGGTAAATCAAATTGCGGTTGAGAATGGGATCCCCAGGGGGGTTGAACTGCGGAATGATTCCCAGCTGTCTTCGGGATTGGATCCGCAGCTTTGGTGTGTTGCAAAACACTAGCCGGTGCTCCGAAGAAATCAATATTTTCTTGATTCAGGTCATCGAAAAATGAGGTTTTCTGGTTCTGTTGACCAGAGGAACCACTGGCTGGGGCAGGAGCCTGGCCAAATTCTGCTAGTAGATCGGCAGACATATCGTGTCATGAAGCTGTCAAAGGTGACATTTGAATCTGGGTCTGATTCTGCTCGTGCAGCAAAGCAACCGATTGTATATCGACCTCAACCGAAGACCCCGGGTTTCCCACTTAATGCTCGGTAACCTTCAAGTGAAAGTGAAGCGAAAGTCCAGCCTCGGATCGTAAAGATGTCGCAATGACGATAAGGCGGTCTACTTATCGGCTCCCCTCACCTTCTCTTGTCAACAACTTCGGCAATGAGAACCATTGAGGAGACACGGTATTTCCCCCTACTATGATTGGAAATATCCTATTACTGACTTTCGCAGAAAACGATGGGACATCTTGTTCACCGACAATAATACGACCTCCGACCTCCGAGCGACCTTGCGATCCGACCAGGGCGGGAACCTATGCGACGATGGGCTGAGATCAGTTTGCTGGAAGGTTCTGTGATTTGGAATCGCTAATATTGGGTCCAAATGCTTATAAGAGAACAGGCATTTCTGGTTTTCGACGGCCTAGATCGAAATGAATGGGCGGCCAAGCTCGACGAATCCCGCGACACCTATGGTGCGCTCCGAGATCATTTTCTGAAGTATATCAACCACCCGGACGACATAGACTCGAGTGTCGATCCGTTGGCAGACGATGCAGAGGTACGCGTTTCTCTGCTTCGTCCTGATAGCACCGAATATTCCCTTATCTGACCAATCTTTGGAATGTTCAGTCTCCTTGGCAAACGCTTCGAAAGGATGAGACGCTGCGCGCCGAAATTTTACAAGATGTCGACCGATGCCTGCAAGAAAATTTCTTCTTTCAAGAGCCTGCTACAAAGTCTAAGTTGACTGAAGTCTTATTTGTCTACTCCAAGCTCAATCCAGATGTGGGTTATAGACAAGGAATGCATGAACTGCTCGCACCAATTCTTTGGGCAATTGACCGGGACTCGGTGAAGCCACAATCTGGAAAGTCTGATCCAGCCAACGATAAGGACCAGGAACTGATGCTTCAACTTCTTGACCCTCATTTCGTGGAGCATGATTCCTTTACGCTGTTCCTTTCTGTAATGCAGACAGCTCGCATCTACTATGAACACAGTGAGACACGATCTGCAAATGGTCAGGCAGAAGTGATTCCAATAGTAGATCGTTGCCAATATCTGCACAAAGAGGCTTTGATGATTATTGACCACGAACTCGCGGAACACCTCGAAGCAGTTGATGTTCTACCTCAGATTTTCTTGACGTAGGTACCAGTGACTTGGAAACATGCGATTAATGTGCTAACTCTGTACAAAGTCGCTGGATGCGCCTCCTCTTTGGACGGGAATTTCCATTTGATGATGTCTTACTCATGTGGGATCTCCTATTTGCTCATGGACTACGGTCTGATCTCGTTGATTTCACCTGCATATCTATGCTTCTCAGAATCCGCTGGCAATGTTGGTTGATCCGCTGTCACTCGTGGAACCCGATTTAGCTGACATACGTGATCTAGTGCTCGAGGCAGACTACTCGACTGCATTGACATTATTACTTCGCTACCCTTCACCTCATCCACATGAACCGCAAACCTTTGTGCACGACGCATTGTACTTGGAACAGAATCCTACCGCCGAACGTGGTAACTTTGTCATTTCAAAGTACTCCGGTAGACCCCCAGAACCAAAGAGTCGTAGCCAATCTGGCACAAGACGAAAGGCTTTTCTATGGGAAGACTTCAAGAGACGAAGCGAAAGCACCTCACCCGCTCATTCCCCTGCGCAGAACAACTCGAAAAGCCTAGAAGCAATTTTCCAGGATGTTTCACAGGGCATTCAACGCCGGACAGAGGCTTGGGGTGTTGCCAAGGCTGTTCGAGGTGCTGTGACCGAAGCGAGGAAAAACATGCAGACAATGCATTACGAACCAAATCTCCGAGCTGCCTCTTCAAGACCCGGTACAGCCGCGTCAGCTTCTGAGGCTCAACCATCAGCGCTTACAATACCTGCGGCCACGGCTGCGCTGGAATCGAAGATTGACAGTCTCGAAGAAAGGAACAAGACATTGGCAACTGCCCTTCGCGAGGCACTGAGTGATCTTCACTTACAGCTGAACAATGTCAAAGACATTGATCCCGGAACCAACGATCTTATGAAGCAAGCTTTGGCTAAAGCCGTGAGCGTGCAGGTTTGCCTCCAAGATGCATCTGTCCCAGTAGAGTCCATCGAGCAACCACCGCGTGTAGACAATGAAGCAATTAGCCAGCATGAGCTTCAAAAGACAACCGATCTGAAAATGGGCGAAAGAAAGCGCGACATCCAAACTAGGGTTCAATCGCAAGCACCAACTTCCGCTAACACGAATACGGCCGGGTCAAGTGCCGAAAGTGGAACCTCCAAGCCTGTCCGCGTCGCCACGGCAAATCGGATATACACTGACAAGCAAGCTGAGGGCGTGCGGGCAACTACCTCGCGATCAAATGTGCGCCCGTCCCTGACAGATGCAGGGTTCTCATGGATGCTTGGTGGCGGCCGGAACCTATCAGGATTCGTTAGCTCCACGTCGCCGCCGCCGGAGCAGACACGCCAGCAGGACCAAGCCCAAGCCCGCAGACCCAGCACCTTGTTCGGATCTGGCGGAGATGAGAATTCAGGGACAGACGCCGAATCGGGTGAATTGGCTCTACATAGCCTTCGGGGCTCTCGGGATCCTCTGTCAGGGGATGGACCATTGTGATCGCCTCGGTTATGGCCTATATCACTGGTTGCATATCCTCGCCGGTGATACACAATGTATGCGAGCCCACGGGGGCCCACTTGTTATCTCCCAGGTTCCAGGCTACTGTACATAGTTCTTTCACAATCGGACTCGGACACCTCAAGGAGTCAATCATCGTCCCACATCAGGCGCTCGGATCTATTGCAAGCCACTTTGCATCATCGCCTGCAGAACCACTTTCGAGATCGATACTTGGAAACCAGCTGGCATCTCTTTGAAGCGGGGTAACCTTTGCCTGAGCGTCTCTACAGTTGACAACAACGTCCATCGGGCTCTTGTAGAACATTATCCAATCTCCTACCCCTCCGCTCAACATACATGTATCAAGCCAACTTGAGTCGAATCTTTCATGCTCTCGCTCCACGCGCTGTAAACCCTAAAACAACATTAGTACACCCAAGTGTCGCACTAAAAGTCACTAGAAGAGTTTATTGCTCAGCTCTGCGTGGTTAGATCTATACTCCGAATTTATTGTCATCATGGTCGCTCTTTTCTGCTCTGTCCCCATACCTGAGTCGGTATTCAGGTCATGTTCATCGCTTGGTCTTTGAACGCCCTATGTCCGAATTTCCCTGACTTGGGACTGTATAGACCAATATCCTTCATAGATCTCTCAAAGCGGGCACCCAATGGAAATGCTATGCTGCCACATGGGATAAAAGGCGTCGATCAGCCGACCCTGTCCAGGATAATTTTAATCAGAAAAATCCAAGCAAGAAAGAAAGCGATATAGAAGTCCAAGACGACATTACATCACGGAAGGGGACCCAGTCCTTTGGCATTTTCCCTTGGGCTCCCCACCTCACTAATCCCCCGCTGCGCTTTTCTTTTCTCCTTTCCCTTTCCCCCCCCTACCATCTCTACAACCGCGACTTTCTCTTTTTTACTGCGTGCTCAGCCGCGACGCCACATATGTCGCCTGAGTCCTTACGAGGCAGCTGCCCCCTCGACTGTCGCAGCGAATGACCACAACTCTACACACCTATACATGTCGCATAACCTCTCTTTCACGAGTGCTCGTCTCGATTGAGCCTCATCCCTTCCTTTCCACCTGACCTCGATTATTAAACAGGGGTGAGAAATAATAAATTCCTAAAAAAAACCCCACGGAGAATGGGTTCTGCTTTTAACCCGGATGGTAAGTGATTTGCACATGCTTTTGATCTTGACCTTGCCACTGTTTCACATTCCATGGGCCTCGGGAACCAGGGAGATTCAGAGAAGAAGTGAAGCTACAGTTCTCGGGTTGAACCTAGACGTGCTGGAGCGCTCGGGCAAAAGCTAACGTGGAGGGTGTGCTGCCGGGGTTACTCTCAACGCAAGTCACTTCTTCGGGGCATCTGACCGCGGAGATCAACCGTCCGGATCACTGGATCATTCCAGGGCCGTGGAATGGAAACTTCGGCACGCGCCGATTGAGTTGACTATGAATGCTGATCGGTCATAGGCGAGCCCAGTCCTCTTTCGTCGCCCTTAGGACCCCTCTCAGAGTCGCCCGAGTCCGAGTCAGGATTCCAAAAACTTTCCTTACAGACAGAGCTGAAGAATTCGAGGGATAATAGTGTATCTTCGGGATATGACCCTATCTCAAGGTCGGCGAGAGTTTCTCTACTTCCGCATCTCCCTTACTGACCTTGCGACATTACAGCAGATCTCCGTTGTTTGAAAGCGAGCATGGACTCGGCCCGTCTGGACTGGATCGTATACGCCAGCACCAACCCTCGCGTGTCTTGACCCTTCCAAACCTCTCTACATCGTCCTTAGCTCCGATGGCGGCTCAACGCCCCGCTGCGTCGCCCCGCTCGCGCTCGTCGTCTCGAGTTAATCCCGGCCTCTTATCCGCAAACCAGAGCTTCACGGATTTGGAGGACCTACATCGGTTTCCCTTGGAGTCATTGCACTCTTTTTCCTTTGCACAACAATCGGAGGAATTCCTTCACAGTCGCCAAAATATCCTCAAGAGATCCATTGATTTCATGCGCGACCGCATGGGATGGGCTGGTACCAATTCTGCCATCGCCAACGCACAAGCCAATGCCAGCGGAGATACGGAAATCCAGGGTATGATGGACCTTCTGGCCCGCGCGAATATGCTTGAAACCCAGGAGCACCAAAGTCAGGCTCGAGGACCCATAACCGGACCTGCAGATATCAATGGCGACAACATCTTTGAGAAGGCCTTCTCGGACAGAAGCTCTTCTACCTCCCCAGTCAGCACCCGTGACATGGCATATGAATCTGCCGCAGGGTCGCATCCATCGGACGGCTCCCAGTTCCTGAGTCCTGTTCCCAGTGATCGTATTTCGAATCAACGGAGGGACCTGGCTTCAGCCCCGATGTCCAGGCGCGTAAGCTTAAAACGTACATACACGGACCTCTGCTCAGTCTCGCTCAAGAGCAAGCTGATGGAAACTCTAGCTCAACCTTACACCTCTTCCGCGGACCCTTTCGCCTCCCTTAGTTCCTCCACCGCTGGATTGGGATTTCCGTTTCAGGCTCTCCACACCCACAGCAGCAAATGGACTCCGGTATCCCAGGCCGTCTTCCGAACTGAAGCCCAAGCACCATGGACCATCCTGGCCGCTAATGATCTCTCCTGTCTGATTTTTGGTGTTCTTCAATCTGAAGTTCGCCGTCTCAGTATCCTGGAAGTTGTACAGAAGGAGCACAGAGACTGGCTCGAATGCAAACTTCGGGACCCCAGCACTGACGCCGCCGCCCGTATGCCGCTTCAGCCCGAACGCGCCAATATCAATGCCGTGAATCCCAAGTTTAGAGGTCTTGGAAATGGAGTGACCGCTCAACTACTTAGCAAACCATCCTCCCGGGAAAAGTCACGGCGGTCCCAAACTGACGACGGTTATGGCTCCAGCACGAGAAACCCCCGAAATGCAAACCATTCAGCCAACAAGTCACGCGGTGTTCTACTGTGCGGTGATGTGGTTCCGATCCTAAAACGAAACGGGACGCGGGGCTCCGCTAGCGTGTGGGTGATGGAAAAGCGTGGTGGTCTGATCTGGGTTGTGGAAGAGATTACAGAAAACGCTGCCTCTGTCCAGTGCGACGATTCCTGGAACGTTGTGGATGTCAAAGGTGACCCTGACAAAATTTGGGGCCCATCCGTTGTCCAGAAGGGACAACCAATTACCGACCTTCTCCCGTGTCTGCCAGCTGACTCTCTCCAAACCTCCTTTGACCAGGGAGTAACCAAGATTGCGGGGTTGAAGCACTTTGCCGCGCGCACCGCAGCCGGCGTTTGTATCCCTGTGGCGGTCGGCAAGGGAGGAGACCGAACCCTCCAAGTGTCGAGTTTCCCCCACGTCGCTGGAATGATGGTCTTGTCGTCTTCGTCATTGAATGTCATCAGCTCTAACTCCGTCTTCTCCTCTGTCTTATTCGGCCAAGAACGACCAGAAGGACTCCACTTTACTGATTTGGTCCCTGACTTCGATGAGATCCTGGACGTTTTAACCGAGGAGGACAATGTGCCATTGGTTGATGGTATTGTGATTCCTGAACACAGCTTCCGGCGGGCACGGACGCTCTCTATCCTTCGCGATGGAAAGGCAAATGCAGCATCAGTATTCACAGAGCCAAGTGGTCTTCTGGCTAAGCATCGAGATGGTTCAACTATTGTTGTGGACATTCAGTTGCGCGTGGTCAAAAGTGGAACCTTCTTCTCAAAGGAGAAGGCCGAGAAAGAGAAAGGGAAGGAAAGGCAGAGAGCCCAGGATCGTAACAGCGACTCAGATGACAGCGATGACACAATTGCCGTCACAGAGTTGGTCTACGCATTGTGGATTACCTATTCAAGGCAGATCCATGCTGCTGGTCCTGCGGCCGGTCTGTCCCCATCATCGGTGCCCACCTCCAAGCCGACTTCTCCGACACATGATCCCGACTCGGATCGACACTCAGGATCCAGCTCCGCCACGCAGACCCCTGACACTCGCAGCACCTCCGTGGAGGTGTCAGCGCCAACCTCGACCCTCAGTCAGCAACTCAACGAGGCTGCATCGCAACCCCTCACCGACCGTCCCGTGCAACCGGTTCCCGAAGTCAATGCGAAAAATGAGCTTCCAGCGAAACGGTCCATTGGTGACTACGTGATCCTGGAAGAAATGGGACAAGGCGCCTACGGGCAGGTCAAATTGGCACGTCTGAAGAAGCAGCCTACCAAGAAAATGGTCCTCAAGTACGTCACTAAGAAACGAATCTTGGTGGACACATGGACTCGTGATCGCAAGCTCGGCACTGTTCCTCTGGAGATCCACGTCCTGGACTTCCTACGACGCGACGGACTCAAACACCCTAATATCGTTGAGATGGAAGGTTTCTTTGAAGACGATATCAATTACTATATCGAGATGACCCCGCACGGACTTCCGGGGATGGATCTCTTCGATTACATTGAGCTCAAGGCCAACATGGATGAATCGGAGTGCCGGAATATCTTCAAACAGGTTGTGAGCGCGATCAACCACTTACACACCAAGGCGCTGGTGGTGCATCGCGATATCAAGGATGAGAATGTGGTCCTCGACGGAGAGGGACGGATCAAGTTGATCGATTTCGGTAGCGCGGCCTACATAAAGAACGGACCGTTTGATGTCTTTGTCGGAACCATTGGTAAGCCCCCCCCCCCCCCCCCCCGTTTCCCCGTTTTCCCAAGGCTGTGTTATGGACTGGGCAGGGGTAAGATGCTGACTGCATGAACTAGATTACGCCGCCCCCGAAGTTCTCCAGGGCAGGTCGTACCGAGGCAAGGAACAGGACATCTGGGCCCTGGGAATCCTCCTTTACACCATTGTCTACAAGGAGAATCCTTTCTACAACGTGGATGAAATCCTCGACCACCCCCTCCGCATTCCCTTCCTTCCCTTCTCGGAAGCTTGCATTGATCTCATCCGGACCATGCTGGATCGCGACGTTGACAACCGTCTCACCATTACCGAAGTGCTTGAACACCCCTGGATGGTGGAGTGCTGATCTCTTTCTCCATGCCTTTTACTTATTGAGAAAAAAATATAACACGATACCCCACAAAGTTGATTTCGTTTTGATGATGGCAGGATTTTGCGGGCTGGGGATTGGGTATCATTGGTGGAGCGAACAACTAAGGTGGACTATGAACATGAACATGAGCATGGCACGATGACCGTACTTTTTTTCCTCCTTCTTTTTCTGGGCTTTTCTACTTGCATTATTCCATGGCATTTGATTATACCTTTGCATACGACATGACCTAGAGAATCCGAATCTATATCACATACGGCTTCACCGAAAGATCTGGGCGAAATTGCGGGGGATTCGTCCGAGCCGAGACAGTGGCTCATTTCCTTGGCGAGTGGAGTGGAGCATTCAGAATGTATTACTAGTGGCTTATCTCAACTGTAGCCTCCCAAGGATGGACCTGTGTCTACTGTAGAAGGGTGTAGTCGCATGCACATGTGGCATCTGTTACACCGCAAGGCTGAAAGGGATAGCAATAGAAACCGAAACAGAAATAGACACAGCTACAGACTCAGACACAGACACAGAAACAGAAACAGAAACAGAAACAGAAACAGAAACAGAAACAGAAACACAGTGGCATACATCGCCTCTCGGGCCCATACCCCCCGCAGTGGCGCCCAGCGAAAGAGGTCGGAGGCGAGAAAGCGAATCTGCCAGGAACAATCTCACGGAGTCACGAGAATTTCGTTATCTGCTCAGCCGATGAGGTTTTGGTCATCAGATAGGTCTGTGCCACTCAGGCGATCAGAATGTAGAAACGGAAGATCAGACAACTCGAGGAAGTGATTTGATACAAGTAGATAACGTTCATGATAAGCAGTACATGGGGAGTACATCATTCGCTATGTGGACCCTAGGCATCTGCCAAGTTTAGTCGATGTATCGCATTCCCTACTTGCTCAGGTGCATTCCACTCCTTCTTTTTCTTTTCTTTTTGGTGGGTGATCTTACCTGTTCCCCTCTACTTCCCCTCCACTTCTATTTTTCATTCTACTGTGACCCGCTTGAAACGTCAACCCGGCACGAGTGCCGTAAAGAATAGTCTGTTTCCACGGTTCCGTTGGCCGTGGACCCCCGAGAACAATAACAGTCGTGGTTTCCCCCCCACCGGCCCACTGCATTGCCATTTATTGCGTCGTCTTCTTGGGCAGTCACTCTCAGAAGGAATTTGTGTGTTTCAAATCACTATGCAGGTCTAGGCGATCACGGTGCAGTACTGCGTGCACTCCGCCGACACTCTATACCTTCCGATTGCTCCCCCGTTGATAACCGACTTCGTCGAACCTGCCATCCTCCGGATCGCACCGACCTCGGAAGACGTGAGGACATACGAGTGGACCAGAGAAGGGTGCCGAGCGCTTGAACAAACACATCAATATGGCCGCCCAGATATCCGACGAGATCATGCCGGAGGGAACCTCGCCGGCGAACCCGACAGCATGCGGGCAGATCCCATTAGATCAACCGCCCAAGCTGAAGGGCCGGCAGAAGTTCCTCCAGAGTCTCCAACGAATGTCCTCCAGCCCGACATTGACAAGACGAGCGCGCTCAACATCTACTTCTGGCCTCCGGCGAGAGAACAAGGCTTCCTTGTCTTGTGTTTCGTTATCGTCGACCGCATACTCGCCTTGTCTACCAAATGGCAGTTCCTCGCAGCTCTATGGCGGTCTCAGTCCTCGCCCTGCGACTCCCGGGTATGCAACTCCTGCTGAATTCCCGGGCTCGAACCTTCGCCCGCGTCTAGTTGATACGGATGGGCCCAGTAGCCCTCTACCCCGCACGGTACCTTTGCCCTTGGATATTGTGAGGCCGGCCTCACGGGGGTCACCGCGAACAGGGACGCCGGTGGGAACCAGGATGGAGGAGATTGTCTTCCCGGAACCGGAGGAGCCGGTGAAAACTTTCGATTTCTGGGGGGATATGCCACGGGAGCTCAAAATGGAGGTCTTCCAGCATTTGAAGCCGCAGGAAATTGTTCGCTGCTCTGCTGTTTCCAAGGCTTGGAATGAAATGTGCTACGATGGACAGCTATGGTCTAAGGTTGATACGACCGAGTACTATTCCAAGATCCCCAGTGATGTCTTGGTGAAGCTCATTACTTCCGGTGGTCCGTTCATTCGCGATCTCAATCTGAGAGGCTGCGTTCAGATGCGTGACAAGTGGTCATCGGAGGGCGAGCGCATCTCGGATTTGTGCCGGAATGTCGTCAATTTCTCGCTGGAGGGCTGCCGTATCGACAAGCCTTCTATCTACTCTTTCTTGCTCCGCAACCCTCGTTTGGAAAATATCAATGTTTCGGGGTTGTCGAGTGTTACAAACTCCGCTATGAAGGTCATTGCGCGGTCTTGTCCGCAACTTGAGACATTGAATGTTTCATGGTGCAATAATGTTGATAGCTCTGGTCTTCTTCGGATTGTCCAATCCTGTGAGCGGTTGAAGGATCTCCGAGCTAGTGAGATCCGCGGCTTCAACAACGAAAAGTTTACATTGGCTCTGTTTGAGCGCAATTCTTTGGAGCGCTTGATTATGAGTCGTACTGACTTGACCGATGAGAGTCTGAAGATCCTGATTCATGGTAAAAGTCCCAACGTGGATCTCCTGACCGATCGCCCTATTGTCCCACCTCGACGGTTCCGCCATCTGGACTTGCACCAATGCGCAGAGATTACCGATGATGGGTTGAAGAGTTTAGCCCACAATGTTCCAGACTTGGAGGGACTGCAAGTTTCTCAATGTTCTGAGTTGACCGACAGTTCGATCATCGACATCATCCAGACCACACCTTTGCTGTCCCATCTGGAAATTGAAGACTTGGAGAACCTGACCAACAATGTCCTCGTCGAGCTCGCTAAGTCATCATGTGCCCAACACCTAGAGCACTTGAACATCAGCTACTGCGAGAGTCTCAGTGATACGGGCATGCTCCAAGTGATGAAGAGTTGCCCAAAACTCCAGTCTGTCGAAATGGACAACACCCGAGTCTCCGATTTGACTCTTATGGAAGCGTGCTTCCGCATCCGCAAACGCGGGTACAACGACGATCTCCCGAAAGTCGGACTACGGCTCGTGATCTTCGACTGCGCAAACATCACCTGGGCAGGCGTCAAAGAAGTGCTATCCAGTAACGCCTATATCCCCCGCGCGTCACGCAAACCCACATCAACAGTTGTGACAGTGACACAAACCTCTGACGAGGGTTCTTCCCCCATGACCAGCACATTTGTTACCCCAAGCTCCACACCTCCTCCTTCGTCGACCTCACCCAATGAAATTATCCAGCTCAAGTGCTTCTATGGATGGCAAATGACCGTCGATGAACACACGAAGCGTGTCCTCCGCGGTGATCTGGCTGCTGCTTCCCGGCTGGACCGGAAGTGGGCCGATTACATGATGGCCACGGAGGAGGCTGGTGCTGCTGGCGCCGGTGCTCGTCGACGTCGGCGCCGCGCTCGTGAGGCTGAGCGCCTCTACAATGTCGACGAGGATGAAAATGACGCTTATGGTGTGGGTGCTATCACTGCGCTTGGTGGTAGACGTCGCCGAGCTCAAAGTGGTGGCGGTTGCACTGTGATGTGAAGACATCTAGTACTTTCTTCTTTGTGTTCTAGAACATTTACTCGAGTTTGAGGTAAGACACCACTCAACTCTACTGGTGCAGGACCACCGACAGGACAAATGAATCGACATGATCTGTTTATCTTGGGGCATTTTCTTGCTCAAATCTTCCCACGAACTACGAATTACGCATACTATGGCTCCTGATCTCCGATTTCAAATCTCTTATTTCTCGCTATCTACATCTATCTACCCATCGCTATCATCACACCTTCTACCACTTCTGACTTTCTTTTCTCCCTCCTTTTCGTTTTCTTCCTATGGCGCAAGGCGCAAATTCAAGAATGGCATTTCCATTGCATGTCTTATAGCATTGATTTTTTGGATCATTTGAGTTCAGGCTTATTTTAGCTCTAGCGCATCTAGAGGGGTCACTGGCGTTTTGAACCTGTCGGGTTCATCGGGCCTCTTTGATGATTTCAAATGAGCTTTACTAGCCTTCGGATGGCTGCCCTTTGAGGATACTTTCTCTTCCATATAATCTTCTCGTATCGTGAACTGACTCGTGGGTACTTCTCTACCCGTCCTGTTCCATCTACTCTGCTAGCTTGAACGCCCTTGTCAGCTCATCTACACCGTATGCCTCATCTTCGTCAACCTATGCAGTCTCATTTACAGTCCTGACTCCATTTCCTTCTTCACTGAGTTACATTGCATCAAAATTGTTATTTGCCGGCCATTCGCTTCGTCTCCGTGAACTAACTTCGCGTTTCCCAATTGCGTTGACATTACCAGCATTTCATTACTGGACACATCTCTTTCGACAGTGTCTTTGTTACTTGATCTTTCGCTGAGTGTTGAAATTTCCATCAAGCCATTGCGAAATGATCGAAATTGGTTGACTCCCTCCTTTCACTTGAATCATCTTCCTTACTCGCGAAATTCTTCTACTAAAGAACATATCTACATTCTCGTCAATTGCGCTTCAGGCATTGCATTCATTATCTGTTCTCTTGCATTGAACATCTTCCATACCTTCCTCTTACCTCCTCGCAAGTGACAGTCACTAGCTTGATCAACTACTTGACTAGGTTCATACTTCTTACCTTTCTGTGACTTGTTGATTCATCTTCATTGCAGTGCCTATCTTCCTACTTCGTCCAAGTGACGATTTGTCTAACCTCACATGCTTCGACCTTTCGCACTGCGTCCAAGTGATCAACTCTTCCCAGGCTGGTGAAAGCAGTCACTTTCATCTCACATCTCATATCCTACACAGCCCACGCCTCGTCTTTATTACTCCTGAGATCTTGCTTAGATCCTTGATCCATACCAGGGACCAACCTTTTCTTCATCATCCAAGTTCAGGGTTTGTATTTATTGTCATTGTATCATCTTCACTGCTCTATCTACTATCTTTCTTGCTTGATCTTAATGACTGGCTTTATATTCACTGCTTGTATCGCAATCGCCATCTCATTATTTTTAATCCTCCATCATACAGCCCTCCTCCTTTCAGGATTCCTCTTGCTCACTGGCTGATAGCTTTACTTTAGCTGTTCAGTATCCTGAAGTGACCAACACACCCTTCATTTTTCACACTGCGCCAACAAAAGTCTTTCTGACCGGCTTTTTCTTCTGCTTTTTCCAACTATGCCTCGGAAGACAGCTGTCCCAGGACGCTCGACGCCCACTTCGGGGGTCCCAAAAGCCAAGAAGCAAGATTCGAAGATGGCATGCGAGGCATCGGCCCAGTCGTTGAAAAAGTTCAGGGACTCCCAAACCGACTTCCAAACCGACTGTTTCGAGTTGCTGAAATTCCACGAGGGCAACAATCCTGACATTGAGTGGCAACCCTCCGACGGAATCGGCGCAAACGCCATTCTATGGAGAGAAAAGGCCGGGTTGAAACTAGTCAAATCAGTATCTTTCACTGAACACGGTATGGTCCAATTCCCACCAGCTAATACACGGCTCTGCGACGAGCTGGTCTACCTGGCAACCAAAACCCTACCTGTCGAGCATCGAGCCCGAAAATACCCATACGACTTTAACAAACGCGGCGACATCAACCCAGACCGCGTGCCCTCAGGTGCAGCACCCATTATCTGGGCCCATGGGCTGCCCTTCTTCCCCGTCTTCAAAGGCTACTACATTCTCTGCGGTCGTGAGCACGCAGCCTGCATCGGCTGGCTGATAAATGAGTACGACTCAAGCGTCACGAAGAACCACCCAAGGTGGTCCATTGGCGCAGTCATTGCACCGGAATCTGCAGCCCGGGCTCCTCACACAATCGATCGCCAGATGAGCGTGCACAAGCCTTTTGGACAGGACGTCGAGATTTGCTGTCGGGGCTCGCGTGAATTTCGCGATGTTGTCTCGGCTGATCATCACCACTGCGCGGTTGTCCCTCATCATAATCGTGCCATACTGCTTTGTCCGTTGTGGGCGTTCCCCGGTTACAATGCCCGCTGTGGCCCGCCAAATGATTATGGTGATGCTACGACTGTCACGAAGTCGTTCTTCGAGAGTAAGGGTTTGGGAAACAGATACCCGACCCTGATTCGTCCCTATTCCAATATCTATTCCGATGAACTAAAGGTCTTGGCTGAGTCGGATGATGCCTGTGGCTCTCGAAATTTTGATGGTCATGATGAAAACGTGGACATGGAGATTCAGTCTCCAATGGATAAGGGCCATGACACAGTTCCTGCTTCACCTGCTGAGGTCCATGCATCTGAAACCCCAGACAATGCCATGGTATGCGTCGAAGCACAGGAATCTGTGTCAATTGATGATGACAAGGACACAGTTCCTTCATCGCCTGCTCATACCCAAGGCTCCCCAAGGTCGAATGGTTTCATGGATATGGCGGAAACCCAGGATCCTGTGCCAATGGATCTAAGCAGTGATCAGGTTCATTTCCAGCCAGCAGAACCTTTCCATGCTGATAACTCAACTGTGGAAATGAACATCAGCACTCCCCCCATCAATCACGTTGCTCAAATCACTGAGAGCCACATGGAACCGACTGCCAATCAGCAGGTTGGTCCCTTGTCCGGACAAGAGGTGCAGCCTTGTCTTGGGCTATCGTTTGGCCTTGAGTCGTCCCCTGAGCCTGCTCTTCCTCCTAGACTCGAGCCATCCCTCCGAGTCGATTTGCTTCCTGAAATGGACCCGTCTTGAAATGATGATGAGATTGCTATCTGAACATATCATGCTGTGTTGACGAGGGCGGGATCATGATATTGCCACGAGAGAGATATGCGTGCCACTATTACTTTTATTTGCGATTTTCATTGTCTTAGGTGGTTTTTTTTTGCCGTATTCTTATTCCCTTGCTTAGGTTTTTGCAAAATTTGCTATATCACCCAGCCTGCTGAAGTAATGCGAACTACCGCATGTATTTTCGCGTATCATTTTCTTCAACCTTGCGTAGGTTTTAGCCTATTACTTGATATTTTGATTTTCAGGTCCATAAATCAAGCTAGCACATGAAACTGTTACCGGTCAGTCCTTACACAGTCTAGCCTCGCTGCAGCCAGAAGCACCCTCTAAGAGACAGAAAATGAAATAGATAAGCTCAAGACACGAAGACCGAAAGACTAGGATTTCAATATAAAGCTTGTACTGTTTTTGGTTCAATCGCGCTAAACGGCAGTAGAAATGCTAAGATGGATATCAAGATGAATGAGACAAGAACTATTTCTGCAAATCGATTTCGCTGGTTACTCGAAGAAACCACCATCGCTGTCGTCTTGCTCCTCCGCGATGACTTCTTGGGGTACATCACGCTTAGAAGATCCTTCACTGCGGACCGACTTCTCCTTCTTGCTCTTCTTATCCTCCTTGGGCAGATGCTTCTCCTTCTGTGAGACGCCCTTGGGCTCTTTCTGAGAATCCTTCTTCTTGCTTTTCTCTTGGCTGGCATTTGAAGCGGGCGCTGCGGCTGATGTGTTCACAATCTTCTCTCCGTTGAAGTTGATGTTCAACTTGCCGTCGCGCAGAAGGTCCAGTGTCTTGTCGGTCATGCACTGGGCAACGACGGACCAAAGTGGGGGCTTGGTTGACTCGATCTCGGTATCAGGCTTTTTGGACTTGGTCTTTGACTCAGGCGCATCGGTTTTCCCGTCCGACTTTGGGTAAATCGATAAGTATTTTTCGGTGAGAGGGTAGTAGATCGTATAGTTGAGATTGACATGGCCAGTGTAGATTTTTTCGGCAAGGAGAGCCTTTTCCTCTGTATCCAACTCTTGTTCCCTTTGGCGGCGCAGCTGACGGTTGAGATCCCTGGTGGCAGTTTTGCGGTCTGTTTAAATGGCGAAGCATGTTAGCAAGAAATTGATTTGATGAAGATTGAAATTCTCTCAACGTACCAAGGAAGCGGACAAAGTGGTACTTCTTGATTATCTGCGATCGTTCTCTGCGTGCCGTTTCGTCTGCGAGATCTTGTTCGTATCCGGAGAGCGCGCGTTCTTGCAGAATGCGAGCATCCGCAGGCAAATCCACTTTGTTGAGAAGGCGCTTCACATCCCGAATTCGCTTCTTGAGGTCATTGATCGAAGGGTACTCCTTCTCAGGCTTTGGCGCAAACTTGTCCTTGAATTTGCGGGTCACCTTAGGTTTGGCACCATCGCCGAAGTCCTGGTATTGGACCTCATCGGTCTTTTGCTGCTTCTTGCGAGGGGCAGCATCTTCAGACCCCTCACGGGCCTTTCTCTTAGGATCACGGGGATTGGGCATTATGTGTTGTGCTGCGAAGAAAAAAGACGAAGCTTGGAGTTGATAAGAAAAAAAGATATCGGCCTTTTGTCGGCCCGTCCCCACGATCGTCAGCCAATGAGCTCCGTACCATCCCTCTCTTTGATTTACATCTGCTCTCATTGCTGGCTCGGTGGTCGTGATTGATTTGGTTACTTATGCAGCCTGGTTTTTGGAAACTGAATTGCTAGGACCAGCATGGAGTCCGCCATTCGCTGGTCCCCGACCTCGTCGGCTACCGATCAACGCTTCCTGTCCGTCGACGTCACGAGGAAGTCGTTTCGTCTATGTAGGGTGACCGGGTTTGATGGCAAGAACCTGCGCCATGAACTGCTTTCTACTCTAACCAATGTCCCTGGGTTTCGTGCATTTGACTGGTCTACCTCAAATGAGAACCTAATCGCCGTGGGCCAGTCATCCGGAGAAGCCACTATCCTACGCCTCGATGGTGATAGCAAGGAGTCGCTTTCCTTCCCAGTCCGCAACCAGCGATACTGCAATGCAGTTGCATTCAGTTCACATGGGCTGGTAGCATCGGGTCTTGATCGCGTCCGAAATGACTTTTGCTTGAACATCTGGGATGTCAATCAACGGCTCAGTCCAGCTGGCGGGAGCAAAGGGTTCACTGAGCCATTGAGAAAACTTGCTAGCTCTGAGCCCATAACAAGTATCAAATTCTTCAGAGATCAACCTGATACTCTTGTGACTGGTGTCAAAGGCCAGTTTGTGAGAATTTACGATTTAAGAGGTTTGTTCTCCTAGGCTTTTGGTCATATATTGCGGAGTTGCTAATACATGTGATAGAGGGACTTGGAGCTCCATCTATACAATTCCCCACTCGGTGTGTCCACAATTTGGTCATTGACTGGCTGGATGAGAACTATATCGCTTCTTGTGTGCCTTCTAATGAAAGCACCATTTGCGTGTGGGATCGTCGCGTTGGCACCCGGCTGACCTCACCATCTTTGGGGCCTTCATCTAGCGGTCCGGACTCAGGGCCGGCAACAGCTGCGCTTCAATTCAAGAATGTTTTCAGTCCGAAGGCTTCCATTTGGAGCTTGCGCTTTTCCAAGACCAATCGAGGCAGTCTGGCTGCACTTTCCAGCACCGGACATTTCAAGCACTACGAAATCGCCAAAGACTATCTGATGGAAGAATATCGCTCTTCTATAGATGATACTCTTGGCCAGGGTTATTCCAGGAACTACCCGGAATCAGTATATACCAAGCGCGTGCGGGACGTGTGCGTTCCCTTTGACCATCCCACTCGCGGCTGCAAGGAGAAGGACCGGATTGTGTCTTTCGACTTCATGAACCTCAGTATATCAGCTCAACCAAGTGCTATCGCGCTCGATGGCCATGGACAGCCTCAGATTATAACCCCACAACTACCCTGTGCGCCTGTTGATCTATCCCCACAAAGTGTACTAGCTTGTGGTATATCATCGAGCGACTCGGAAGTCAGATCGATCCATCCTCTTTCTGAGCATATCTCACCAATCTCAGAGTTGGTTGAAAATATCCGATCACGCGTCTGCTCAAGCTCGCAAGGCCACGAAGCAAAGCCAAATGGTCAACTTTTTGCGCCGAAGATTGATGAGCCTGACCCTATTCCGAGCCGGGAAAGTCGAGAGCGCGCCATGGCCTTGGGGGCGATGGGCGTTACGCTTACTGCAAAGGAAGCGCTCACCCTGAATGCCGTCAATCAGTCTCGGTGTCGGGAGGGCTACCTTTTTGATGAATCTCGGAACCGAAAGGTAGTTTCTGAGGATGCAGCTCTGCAAGATCTTTGGGATTGGATTGAACGTGAGGTACCTGGTTCATTTGGGATTCAAATACATACTAATGGATAGTTTAGGCGCGCGATCTGACTCCTCGGGAACGTCAATGGTTGTCAATGGCTTAGATCTGAATTACCTAGGCGTGAGCAACGTCTGGACCAACGATATAGGTTCGCTTTTACGCTGTTTGTTCCTGGCCCCTTGATACTGACCAAAAATAGGCCAAGGGTCGGAGAAGCGCTCCATCGGCACTAGCTCCGATGATCCGAAAAGTGTTGCGGCTGCAATAACATCTTTAGCCGACAAGCTGGATCTTCCCGATATAAAAGACTGCGATACTGACTTCTCTACTCATCGCCGACTCTGTCTCCGACTCTGTGGTGCAGCCCAGAATTACCGCAAACTAGAGGAGTCCGTAAAGAAACTATCTGGCGAAGGTCAACATACCAAAGCTGCTGCGCTGGCTGTCTTTCAAGACGAGCCCAAGTTGGCTTATCTTGGCCTTCGAAGTAACCAGCCCACTCAAGCTCATAAATTGCTGGCGATGGCAATAGCCGGTGCTGCCAAAGGAGACAATGGCACAGACTGGGAAGAGACCTGTGCGGAAATCGCCACGGAACTTACCGATCCTTATGCTCGAGCAATTCTTGCTCTTGTGAGCAAAGGTGACTGGAACGCAGTCATCAAGGAAACCACGCTACCTTTGAGATATCGGGTGGAGGTCGCGCTGCGCTGGCTGCCAGACGATGAGCTATCCGAGTATTTGAAAACTGCCACGACTGAGGCCATCTGGCAGGGTGACATCGAAGGTGTTGTTCTAACAGGTCTGGGCCATCTGGCCATGGGGCTTTTCCAGTCATACATTGGAAAGTTTAACGATGTTCAAACCCCGGTGCTAGCAATGAGCCACACGGTGCCGCGGCTGATCGGCAATGAGAAACAAGTCGCTCAGTTCGAGGCTTGGCGCGAAACCTACAGACGCCAGATCAACTCGTGGAAAATGCAGCTGGAGCGAGCCCGATTCGATGTGGGATCCCGTCGCTTTGCCATAACCGTGGATGGGCAAAAGCTCATGCCAACGCCGCCACAACAGGTCAGCTTAACCTGCAATTACTGTACCAGCCCTCTCACCCAACACGATGCTTCTTCCGAAGTCTCTCCAACAACAAAAGGCGAGACTGTCCACCCTACTGTCGGTAATCCACTGGCTCCCGCGACCATGGCTGGGACTGTGTGCCCGCGCTGTGGCCGACACATGCCACGATGTGGAGTCTGTACCCTATGGCTAGGCTCGCCAGATCCGATGTCTCGCGCCAGTATCGCTGCTGATGCAGAACCAGCGTCACGCAAGCCCACTGGTGCTGAACTGATGAAACGGTTCGTGGTATTCTGTATTCATTGCAATCATGGGTTCCACGCACACCACGCTAGCGAATGGTTCAAGCGGCACAAGGTCTGTCCCGTTGCCGAGTGTAGCTGCATTTGCGATCGATAATAGCTATTGTCTTGCGCCTAAGTCCTGGACTGGATGTGGCTTGATTTTTCTCTGCGATTGTATATACCCATTATTTCTTTGATATTACCTAAGGAGAATAAGCACCTTTGTCATTCTATACATCCGATGATGTCAGAGTGAATATCCCCCATTTTCTATCTCCCATATAACAACAAGGATACATATTGGCCGGTGCCGTTGGAGAGGACATGGGAAAACTAGTCACCAAGGCCATACTCCCCCGGGGTAGCGAAGTGTGCGCTAGGCCAGACAGCCAAAGCTAAGTAGCCGAGGCAAAGCGAAGACGAGGTAACCGTTAACTTATAAGTTAACTTAATAACAATCGACAAGTTCGATTCTTGCCCCTCGTCCTATAATTTAGGCCATGCACATCATGCAGTATAACTATATGTAGACCCTTCATTTTAGTGAAGACGTGCGAGAGTCATTCCCTAGCCTCTTACTGTATATTTTTGGAATAAGAATTGGAAGCATAGTGTCATCGCTTAGCGAATACGTTGGCTCGAAGCTGTACTCCAGGAGCCGCATCTCAGAGCCCCACTTCAAATCATTCCCGACTTTCTGCATTCTCCCCACCCCTCATCTTCTGCGCTCTGTCCCTCATGTCAGACAGGAATAAAAGGTCTGGCCGTGGCCAGGGCCAAGGCCGCGATGTGCAGATTTCCAAAGCTTTGAGCTTGTTGCTCCGTCACGCCGCTGAGAAGGAAGGGCTGAAGATGAATGAGCAGGGCTACGCCAGTGTAACAGACGTGGTAGGGTTGACAGCCTCATGCACCATACCATTGCAGTGAGCTAACCATCGTACAGCTGGCATGGAGGAAACTCAAGTCCCTCAAAGTCACCTTCCCCGAGATCCTACACGCCGTCGACTCATCCGATAAAAAGCGGTTCGCCCTCCTCCACATTCCCTCCGCACAACCCACCGAATCTACAACCCAAGCAACGACAGTGCCTACGACAGGGCCAGATACAGAGCAGGAAGCTGCTACCACTACAAGCGGCGATCAGTCCTCAACAACAGTCCTTGAGTCTGCACCCACCACGAGCGACGCCCAGCAAACCGCTACCGCTCAAGCTTTGGCCATAGCTGCGAATGACAATGACCCCTCACACTTCCTCATTCGCGCAACGCAGGGTCACAGCATCAAGACTGTCGAAGCTGCGTCTTTCCTCGAACCACTCTCCCTGGACGATGAATCGAAACTACCCGATACTGTAGTCCACGGCACATTCTGGTCCACCTGGCCAGTCATTCTACAGTCCGGCGGTCTACGCTGCATGGGTCGGAACCATATACACTTCGCCACCGGCCCGTCATTGGAAGCCGTCTTGGCTCAGGATAAAGATGCAGTCCAGGCGAAGCCAGCAAGCGGCGAGGCGCATGTCATATCTGGCATGCGACGCGACGCCCAAGTCTTGATCTATGTCGATATCCGGAAAGCACTAGCGGCGGGCGTTCCCTTCTGGCGAAGTGAGAATGGTGTTATTCTGAGTGATGGTATCCCCGTGTCGAATCAGGCTGGCAAGGGCGAGGAGGCCAAGTTCGTTTCGCTCGACTTTTTCGATGTTGTTGCGGAACGGAAGGCCGGTCTTGGTAAGCTCTGGGAACGTGGGCAGGTCCTGCAAGAGCTTCCGGGGCATCTTCTTCAAAAAGGCAATCCGAAGGGTCGACGATGAGCTGCATACTTAGAAAGACATTACATATTCAACAAATCCAATATCCTGTCCAAATATCTCTGTCTACATCTATGATGTCTATACTCTCCCAATATAAATCCGCATCCGACAGTGTGGAGATCGGAAGTGAATCTACCGATCCGAAGCGCAACCGACCCTTTTTCAACCTTCGCATCCGACGCCCCAATGCCAGCCCTGCCAGTCATGCCAGCGCCGTGGATTTGCGGGGTCATCCTCGAATAAGCGTCTTCGGTTTGGTAATGTCTGGGGGCTCCGGAACACCTTATCGGGTCCTTGAAGGCACTGGGGTCAAACTCCCGTCGGATCAGAGCGCGTATATAATATGGGGATGTGAATCAAATGCTACTTTCTTACTGACGCTCTTCTCTTCTTTTTGATTCCCTCTCTCAACATTAAATTCACGCATCCCTCTCCTTATTCTTCCCCCCACCTATAACCAACTCACATCAACGCGCAAACATGGCCACGCACCGCTTCGATCCGACCTTCACTGACCGGGTCATCCAGGCGATGGGTCCCAAGACCTCGCCGCGCATGCGCCAGCTCATGTCCGGGCTGATCCGCCACATGCACGACTATGCGCGCGAGGAGGAACTCACCGTCGACGAGTGGATGGCCGGTGTGAAGATGATCAATTGGGCCGGACAAATGAGCGACGACAAGCGCAACGAAGGGCAATTGGTGTGCGATGTCTTCGGACTTGAATCGTAAGCTCAAATTCTGCCCCGCGATGACGTGTAAAGGATGGAGAAGAACGAAAACGAAAAGAACAAAGTCGAGTTTCTGACATCTCTCTTTTCCCCAATAGTCTCGTCGATGAAATCACCTTCAAGCTCGCCGAGGAAGCTAAAGATGCGCCCACTGCCACGGCGATCCTGGGCCCCTTCTTCCGGGCTGATACGCCCTGGCGCAAGAATGGCGAGGATATCGTCAAGTCCAAGCCTGCGGATGCTGAGATGACCTTGATGCAGGGTCGTGTGTTCGATTTCCAGACTAAGAAGCCGCTTGTTGGCGCCTCTGTTGAGGTATGGCAGGCTTCCACGAATGGGTTGTATGAGCAGCAGGACCCCGAGCAGGTTGAGTTCAACCTGCGCGGTAAGTTCAAGACTGATGAGGACGGTCGCTATTGGTTCTACTGTTTGCGCCCGACACCGTATCCCGTCCCCGATGATGGTCCTGCGGGCAAGCTTCTCGAGTTGATGGATCGTCACCCCTTCCGCCCTGCTCATATTCATATTCTTGTAAGTCTGGACTCTTTTGTTGATTTGCGCAGATGCTGATCGTGGCTGTAGGCTACTTGTGAGGGCTACCGTCCCCTCACTACCCAGATCTTCGATCGCAAGGATAAGTACCTGGACAATGACTCGGTCTTTGCTGTTAAGGATTCTCTCGTTGTGGACTTTGTGCCGCGCGAGAATGATCCCGAGGCTGCCCTTGAGCTTAACTATGATGTTAAGCTGGTGAAGGATGGAGGTAGTGCTTAGGCCTAGGAGCGAGACAAAACAGCGTATTGGGTTTTTGGATCTTATGTTAATAACGATAGCGTTCTGTGCACATATTGAATCAATCATGAATTTTACACAAGATCGTGTATTAAGAATAGTTGCGAAGTGACCTTCTGTTGTCGCGACAGCATAAGCATTATCTTTCGATTCTAGACCAAATCCAAGTCTTGTACACAATATCATTTATACCAAGTTCATGCTCATTCAGTTCTACATAAGAGCAATCCCAAGGCTCTAGCAACACACACCGGCAAACTTAGCAATCAACGCTCCAACCTCATCTGCAGCCTCAATACAATGCCAATGACCCACCCCCTTGAGAACCTCCAAAGACTTCTTCTCACTAGAGACATGATCAAAGATATGCTGACACCCCTCCATAGAAGCCGACTTATCCTCCTCGCCCGCAATAAGCAAGAAAGGCGCCTTGACAGCAGCATAATCCGCCGGCTTTGCAGTAGCAATGGCGCGACAAAGCGCCGCATACCCCTTCGGATCCTGACCCGAGATCAACTCTCGAATAAACGCCTTTTGAAGGGGCGTGCTGCGCGAGCCTACAGCTCCAAACGGAATAGTATTTGCCATTGATTCCATTCCGGCTAAGACGATCGAGATGGTTAGTATGCGGAACGTGGGAAAGAAGTCAATCCATGGAAAAAAAAGTAAGACTCACATTCAAGAACAGTCTCCGATCTTTTACTCATGACGGTGACGAGCATATCCGACGGATGCGTGGGTCCAATAGCGACAACGCCCTGCATGCGATCCGGATACCGCGCGCCAAGCTCGGTGACCACCAGACCGCCCATTGAGTGGCCCACGGCGATGGCTTTGCGCACTCCCAGGGCATCTAGCACACCAATGACATCTTCGGCGATGTGCGGGATTGAGACTTCGTCATTTGTATAGGGGGAGCGGGCGGCGCCGTATGTGTCGATTGTGATGCAGCGGTGGGAGTTGGTTAGGTGTGGGATTACGGGGTAATAGTAGTTTTGGGATGAGCCGAGGCCGTGGATGAAGATGAATGTTAAACCGGTTGGGGTTGGCGGGCCTGCAGGGTGGGAGTCTGCGTAATTGAGGCGATGGCTGTTTGCTTGGACGAAGGGCATGGTGGATTGGATTGGGGGAAGGGTGAGGGTAAAGCGAGAGGAGGAAGAGGGGGAAGTGGAAGGGCTCTATACAAGTGATAAGTGCAACGTCATTCCCGAACTAGGGTATGGGCTATATGGGAGGGACTAGACAGCTATAATCATCCGTCGGAAGAGCAGTTCTGAGTGCAATCCACTCCATCTTTGCACTTCCCGACCTCAAACATCCGAACTGGGGGCAACTCCCGACCGTCGGACCGCAGCCGGGTTTTCCCCCCAAGCTTTCAGTTCCTGATGTGCATGCATCAGGCGCCAATCTAATTGTATTCTCCAAGAAGGTGTCCATGTGTCTCAAGGAAATCAGCATCATCGTCTCGAAAGGATTCCGATGCCACCAAAGTAGGCATTTTGCGCGGCTCGTCTGGTTGTAGGGATGCGGATCGCTTGGGCATAGAATGACCGATCATGTCGTCCTTCATCGTCTGTGTAATAATAGCTGCTTCGGCTTCAAAGAAATCCGAGGCATCAAACTGAAATGAATCCCCGAAAGAGGAACCCAGTGCGGGCACCGGAGCCTTTAAGAAGGAATCTTGCCTGGGTATGGATTGGGGGTTCGTTTCATCGTTAACAGGTGGTGTTGCAGCAGTGACTTGAATTTCTTCAATTTCCTTCAAAACATATTCGTCGTCAAATGCCGAGCAGTCGGAGAATTCTTCATTATCCCGCGTCAGATGGGGATCTTCTTCGGTATCATGGCCGTCAGAGTCCCCCGAGACGCCTGCATCCCGGATCTCAGTGACATCAGGACCTTGAAGTTCAGATAGATCATTCTCCAATTCTTCATCTAAGTCATCAAAAGCATCCGAGTCAGCTTCCGTATCTCCAGCGGCGCTGTCAGGCTCCGTATCCCCTCCATCACTGTCCACGTCTGTCTCTGTTTCCGTATTTGTAATTTCAGGTTTGGGCGGTGCAGGCGATGTTTTCTTAGCTCCAAGGAACATTGAAAGAAGTGGCTGGCTGGATGGAACGCGGAGATTTGGATCAGGAATACCCCGACGCTTTCGCTCCTCGCGGGCGCGCTCCTCCTGCTCGATTTTCCGTTTCTTGTTGGCGATACGTTTCTTTTCCTTTTCGCGCAGCTGCTTGGCCTTTTTCTCTCGCTCCTCCTCGCGATCTATCCGTTCGACCTGGGACGCGGTAAATTTGAAGCGTTGATTGCTGCGCTGGTACCGGCGTCGCACTGTCTTGGATTTCTCCAAAATGACGCGCCGCGGCTCATCCGGCATAGTGTGGGCAACCGTCGCAGCGACTGCCTGCTGCCTGATCGGTCATGGGGGGTGGGGGAGCTGAGGTTTGAAGATGTCAACGTTCTCGTCTTAGCGGTTGGCGGTTGGCGGTTGGCGGTATTACGTTGTGCCGACCGGTCAACAAACTGCCTAATTTGGCACGATCAAAGGCTTTTCGTCTACTACCTCGTTATTCAGACGTGTAAAGTCCTCTGATTCAATTCATTTTATACATCTAAAAATGGGTAACTCATGGAATCTTCTTGGTGACGTCATCTAGATCTTGCAATCGCGGACAGGGTCCCAGCAAACAGGCGCATAGGAATTGAGCTTCAGACTGGCCATGTCCTCATCGGACAGGCTGAAATCGAAGACCTGCGAGTTCTCCAGAATGCGAGACTCGGTCACTGACTTGGGAAGAGGAACGTATCCCTAACACACAGATTAATCAACCGACACCCCAAGAAGAGCGGAACACACATACCTTTTGCACACTCCAGCGAACGAGGATCTGGGCCGCACTCTTGCCATGTTTCTTGGCCAGGTTCTGCAGAACAGGCTCCTTCATGCGGGTTGCCTGCACAAGGGGAGAGTATGCCTCAACCACGATGTTACGCTTCTGCAGCCATTGGGCAATATCCTCACGCGGGCACCAGGGGTGGATCTCGTACTGGCCAACGGTGATCTGGCCACCGCCTCCGTTCTTGATGTACTCCTCCAGCTCCTCGAGTTGTGGGATACCAAAGTTGGACACACCGAGCGAGCGGATGTGGCCTGCCTTCTGGGCCTCGACGAGGGCGCGCCATGTGCCGAGACGCTCCTCCTTGCCACCGTAGGGAGCGTGGATAAGCATCCTGTTTGGATTGGAATTAGTTTTTTTTGCTCTCAATTGTTTGTAGGGGACACGGAAAGTCATACAGATCAATATATCCGAGGTTGGCATCAGCAATGCTGGCCTCAATTGCCTTCTTTGACTTCTCATATCCCATGCAGGTCGCAGGCACCTTGCTGGTGTAGAAGATCTTGGAGCGCTCGACCCCGGAGTTGCGAATGGCATTAGCACTCTCTGTCTCATTCTCGTAGTACTTGGCGCTGTCGACCTATAGGAAGATTGTCAATTGGGGATGCTTTGATGCGTGAAGCTCTATGGTTCCCTACATGACGGTATCCGAGCTGGATAGCTTTGACGGTCACCTTCTCGGTAACATCGGGGGGCCTGTTGTAAGGTAAGTTAGTTACTTCAGTCGATATGCCATGTAGTGGCAATCTTACGTTTGGTAGACCTGCAGAACCAAGATTAATAATTCAATTCCAGCATCAATTGATCTCCAGGGAGGTTGTACTCACTCCGAATCCCACGACGGGGATCTCGTAGCCTGAAACCAGCTTGTAAGTAGACTGAAGTGAAAGTGCCATTGTCAGAGGTTGAAGAAGTTAAAAGACTAAAGTGAGAGCGGACCGGTCATCTTTAACTCTCTATCCCGGGCCACCTCGGTGCCGTAATTCCCGATGAATCTTGGGGGCTTCTAGTGGCAAGTGGAGACCATGAGAGGGGACCCAAATAGGCTGGTCCATGGCAGATCAATACGACGTGGGGCATTTGGTGAGTCATTTAGAGCAAGACAGACAGTTATTGTATGTTGTTGGCTGACATCTAATAGCTAGCCAAACCATTGATTCCAACAGTTGTAGAGTGCTGCTGTATAGACGATCGTCTTTGAGCTTGCCCCAATCAGATCCGATTAGGGTTTCATGATAAGAGACAATGACATCATGGCATGGAATTGGCCGAGCCCTTGAGAACATACACCACTGCATCAACAAAGTGTTCGGTGTAGCCTTACATGAATACAATGCATGAAAGTCTCCGTTAGCCTCAGCAAAGCACATCACCTTGGAACATCATGCAAAAATGGCCGGTAGCTGTCAGGGCGGTCGGCAAGGGCAGTATCAAGTGGTGGGGTTGAATTATCCAAGTTCAACTGAATCAACGCTTCTGTTTTGCATAGACTTCCAGGGCTCTACCTTCTTTGGGCTATTGATCAACTTTATAGGCTTCCTTGTATTGTCAAAGGGGAGCAGTTATACTCCAAGTAGCGGCTTCTTGTGTCAGTCTAGGACGACATCGCGACAACAAGATCGTCAACACATCTTCCGTCGCATTTTAACCTACCAACTCTTTACCGACAAACAAATATCTGGACAGCCCAAATGCGTTGTATCAAGAACAGAATTGAGCACAAGGGCTCTGGTGAAGTGACGCTGTGCCCAGATGAGCCAGAAGACATGGTATATTGGTTTCCAATTCCAATAGGAACCCCGCACTCTACTAACACGACTGTTTCATAGTGGCATGCATACAACCTGATTCGACCCGGTGATATTCTTCGTGCTAGTACCATTCGAAAAGTCACAACGGAACAAGATGCCACCGGATCAACACGCTCGCAGCGAGTCCATCTCAACCTCGTAATTCGCGTCAAGAATCTCGACTTCGATCCGCAGAGCTCCCAGCTACATGTTTCCGGGCAAATTATGAACGAAACACAACATACGAAAATTGGCCAGTACCATACCCTCGATTTAGAACTGAACCGCAATTTCACATTAGAGAAGGAGGCTGGATCAGACGGAGAGGGTGCTGGCTGGGACAGCATTGCCATTGAATCGCTCAAGGATGCTGTAGACGAAGGAGGGAAACGCCGTGCAGAAGCTATCGCGGTGGTCATGCAGGAGGGTCTGGCACATATTTGCTTTATTGGCCAATTCCAGACAATAATGAAGCAGAAGGTCGAGATGTCTGTTCCGCGGAAACGGCAGGGCGGAAGTGATCATGATAAGGTGAGTGGGCTATCGTGGCCTTCGGGGACAAATTGGATACTAATGTTGAATTTTGAACAGGGAATGAACAAATTCTTCAAAGTTACACTCGAAACGCTCCTTCGCCAAATGGAGTTCAATACCAGCATCACTTCTGGCGCCAACGAGGCCGTACGTCCTGTTCTACTGGCATCCCCCGGATTTGTCGCATCAGGCTTCCAAAAGTACATTCAATCCGAAGCAACAACGACGACACCTGGTTTGAAAAGACTCCTTCCCAGCCTGGTGGTTGTGCACTCTGCTTCGGGGTATACAAATTCGCTATCAGAGGTGCTGCAATCCCCCGCGGTCAAGTCACTGCTGGCAGACACCAAGTACGCCCGTGAAACTAAGTTGATGGACGACTTCTTGGAGCAACTACGCAAAGAAACGAACAAAGCAACCTACGGTCCCCGCGAGGTTGAAAATGCAGTAGAGCAAGGTGCGGTCGGCCGCGGTGGTGGAGTGCTCATTGTTTCAAATCGGTTGTTCCGGTCACAAAATATCGCTGAACGTCAGCGCTGGGTTACGCTTGTAGATCGTGTGCGCGAGGTTGAGGGCGGTGATGTGCGAATTCTTAGTTCGGATCATGAAAGTGGAAAGCGTCTTGAGGGATTGGGCGGTATCGCTGCTCTTTTGACTTTCCCTATTCTTGATGAGGATTTAGAGTCTGATGAAGAATAGTCATTGGTTATTTAATATCAAACATATTTCTCTTTCCTCACCTATGATCGATGTTTACTTGTAACTGGGCAAAGTGTTTGGCTGTTTATATATTCGTATCCAGCATAAGACCTATAGCCTTGCTTCGATCAACAGGGTTATAACCATCCCACATATTTCATCATTAGTCTAAGCAACTCCTATCTAGCTACGAATATCAAAATGTTGACTACAAGACTAGTCCAACTTGAGGTTGTGGAGCAAGTCTGAATCTCGATCTATTTGCTTACACTGCAGCCCTAGTTGCCTCGTCGGCATAATTTGCCCGCTGCATCTCTGGCATGGAGAATCCACCCAGTTGCAGATCGGTCCTGCAGGGGAAATGTTTCAGAATCCAGCTGGCTGCTTGCGCCGCCCCCCTTTTGCGGCTTCCTCTCTATGAACGGTACTGGTTATGAAGTGTATGAGCCATCATATCCATATTTGATCCTCAAAATGAATTTAGGTGGCTATCTTTCCCAGCTAATGATGTTGCCCTGAAGATGATACCTCAGCTTATTCAAACTAATTCCATGATAGCTAGCTTAGATACTGTATACTTGTCATGCTCCCTATATATTCAAGATTATCGACCATATTTCGTTGGAAATTTGCACTCTCATTGTATATGAACAAAGCAAATTGAAAGAAAAAGCTATACATTTCGATTAATGAAAAACCAAACCAAACAATCTGACATCAAGTATCCAAGCTTGCACCTAAGTAATAAATACAATATCAACATCCAGATCCCGCAAACTGGAAGCGACTACCAGCGATCAAACTGCGTAATGTTGCCTTCTTGTCCAACCAAAGTACGGAGTCTGGTGGACTGCCCCTCCTTGTTGTAGCGATAGATGACGCACATGAACTTCTGAATATTTGGGTTGGGGTCGTGGTTGAAAATGCCGTTTTCAATGCGGAATTGACCCTGATTGTTAATAGCCCCGAGGAATTTAGGCACAACGCCAAAGTGATCAGGGGTGCCTTGGTCGTAGAAGATCATGCTGCCATAGGTCACGACAAGGATCTGGGCCTGTTCACCATTGATCTCATCGAGAGCCTTGGGTCTCAAGCGAGACAGCTCGCCCCGGGCTTCTTCAATCTGCCGGCTATGCTCGCCCCGGGCTTCCTCAATCTGCCGGCTATGCTCACCCCGGGCTTCTTCAATCTGCCGGCTATGCTCATCCCGTGCATTCTGGCAAGCAAGAAACTAGTCAGTCATTGTACGTAGACGGGAGTTACTGGATATTAACATACCTTGAGCTCTTGCTCTAGCAACAACTTGTTCGCTTCAAGCTCCTTCTCATTTTTGGTTTTCTCTAGAGGTGCCGTAGTCTGATGGTGGTTTATTGTTAATCCCGTGGATGAAGTACCCCAAGATGTGTGACGACTTACAGGAACCAGCAATTTAAAGATGGTAGGGCTGAGATAGCGCCAGTTGCGGCTTGGATCAGTGGCAATCTGGGGGTTCACGGTCACTTCGTTCACCTGAGCTTCAATGTTAGCAGAGACCTGGGGCTGTATTTGGGGCAAGGCCACCGTACCTCGCGAACAATCTTGATCATCTCAAATCTGCAATCTCGGCGCGCTTTGTCGAGATCGAACAGATCACCTCTGTAGGGGACCACCTTGTTGGGAGGCAATGGCTTCTCCACAGTCACATCTTTGTATGCTTCACGGTTGGCTTCGATCGTTTTCACGACTCCCTCGTACTGAGTGACTCGTTCTTTGTAGTCTGCATCAAAGTTTCCTGCGTATTCTTCCATTCCGGGGACGACGTCTCTCGGTCTGGCACTGGCACTACCTCCGTTGACATCGCTGATGGCTGTGGTGCTTTATTAGACTGGAGACAACATGTACTTGGGCAGATTTTTAACTTACTTTGATGGATGTCCTTCCAGAGCGTTTTGTATTCCTAGTAACACATCAGTATGTCGATTGAAGGGACACAAAGCAGAAAAACTTACCGCATAGGCATCCAATAGCCCCGAAGTGTAAATACCAGCATTCTCATAGTCCAGAGGAGATCCACGAGTCGTCTGCTCGTGATAGCTGCGCAAGGCAGTGTACTTGGTCAATATGGCACTGCGGAGGTTAGTTCGGATCCAGTACAAAATATCTGCTTTGAACATACAAAGTTCTCTGGGGACCTAGAATGATTGTTAATAAAGTCAATGGACGATTGCAAGGGCCAACTCACAAGAAGCAACATTGTCGGGGAACTCCATGGCAACTTGCATCAGGTTATTGACATCCCATTCCACGATGCCATCGGACTTGATATCACCACCACCAGACCAATTCACGCTGATCTGCGTGCTGTAATGCTCTTCCTTTGTTTGATCTACTTTTCCTCCTTTGATTTCTGCTTCTCCTTTCAATAAACCTCCAGCACGAGAAGCCGTCACCTTAAATTCACCACTCATGTCCTTGACAGCCGACTTCTCTTCCTTGGTCTTTGTGACCAGAGCATGGAACACACCACCTTCGATGAATCCCGAAATAAAACAATCTCCGTAAAGCTCGGTGAACTTGCCTTCTGGAGCATGGGCCAAGGGACAAAACTCGACCACATCATCTGCAACTCGACGTTCGTTGGTCACCTGGACTGTGATGTCGTACTTGACATCGGCCTTGGCGAAGGTAGAGTCGTTGACATACTTCGCCTTACCACCACCTCCACCACCAATGGCATCACAAGTGATTTGAAGAGCACCTGGTAGCTAAATGAGTATTTGAGATCAAGAGCAGATTGCAGGGAATAATTTTGTCACGCACCGGCGATATTCAGCTTTTCAGTGACTTCGCTGATGTTGTCCACAAACCCGGCCTCCCAGCTCACCACTTGGCTGACTTCCTTCTGACCATCGATCATCTTGGAACGACGGACAAGCTCTCCTTTCTGGTTCTCCATGTAGCCCTCATCCTTCTTGTCGGAAGAGGTTGCCTGTGGGACCTGCGTGTGAAGATCTTTCTCTGTCGCTTTGACTCCGCCAGCCTTACGAACTACGTCGTTGAGGCACAGCTGCTGGGTATAGCTGTTGAAGCTATATGAAGAATGAAGGTTAGAGACTCTCTATGTCCAAGTTCGGTGTCTAACTCACCCCATGCCGATCCGCATGGCTTCGTTGTAAGGGGCCAGCATGAGAGCCATGATGACTGCTGTGCGATAGAAAAAGACAATAGGTTGGAATGGGGAAAGGTTGTGACTGAATTACTAACTCTGTTGCAGAGAGCAGAAGCATGGGTTATATACTTGAATCTAGCATGAAGACCCACCAATATCACCAAAGCAGTATTGCTTGCTCCAGTCTGTGCAGGCTCGGCTGTCAGGGCGAGGAGCAAAAAATGCTCGCGCGAAACATCCATGTTTGTGAATTGCTCGCCCGATCTGGAAAGACATGTATCAAACAGACATGAGGAGCCTACCGCAGCTGAATGAGACGAGAAACACGCGGAGAAGCCGGTCGTCTATACTTTCCCCAGACTGGCATCGCCAGAATGTCTTAGATAGTGAATGGGGAAGCACTTGTTGGTGGCGCAACCCATTGCAGATGCTCCTCTTTCACGAGTCTATATTCAGGTACCTGGGCTAGATCCGCCTCCACAGCATGATAAGAGGAGTGAAAAAGATTCTTTCAACTGTCTCGTATATCGAATTTGCAGATTATCAGCTCTACACGTCAAAAACTACCAAAGTCATGGGTTTAGTTGAAGATTTCCCCAAGGATCCATTCACGCCTAGCCTACCTTATGCGGCCTCCGCGCAGCTTCCAGTCACCATGCCCTGGGGTGGAAACATTATCCGATTGGGTACGCCCCTGACAGTTGGGAGTTGTCCCCAGGAGACGAGATTCCTGGAAGATCAAAGTGCCTTTGCCCCTGAATCACTGCGCAAGAGCTCGCTGGTCTTTCAAAGCTCCTGCCAGGGTACAGTGACCAGATCCACCACCACCTCCGCAGCAGAAAGCCATGAGCATACCTCGTTTTCCTTGCAGGCGCAAGTCGGCGGGTCTGCGATCGGCGTGTCCGGGCGCGGAAACTATGAAGCCCGGGTGGCGACCAACCAGCATGTAAGTTTCTCCACTCTGCTGCAGAAATGGTCTGAAGAAACGAGTCAACTGACTTGGTGAGCGCCCTGACAGGCCCAGAACGCCAGCTTCCGTGCAGAATACCAAGCTGGGCGTATTGGCTTCGACGAACCCCCGCGTCTCTCAGCCGACGCCCTTGCTTTGCTCCATAATCGCGCCGACCCGAACGCTTTCCGAGCCAAATATGGGGATTATTATGTTGGGGCTTATCTGCTTGGTGGCGCTAACTCGCAGCTTCTCTCATGCACAGCCATGGGTGCCTCGTCTTCCAAGGATATGAGTGCTCAAGTCACGGGGAGATTCTTAGGATTCAAAAAGACTGTGAGCATTGAGGATCATGAGCGAGCCGAGGCAGCGATGGGACAGTATGAATTGGTCGCCTATGATTCCCTCGATGCCTGGGATTGCACTCACAAGGGGGGTGCTGGGCAGGCAGATCTAGAGCTCACGGCTCGCGCGAACTACGATCGATGCAGCACCCTTGTCAATCGCGTGGCCGCCAAGGTGGAGGCGATGCAGCTGCAGCATGGCGCACGCGTGCCCTGGGATAGCTGCGAGGCTATTTGTCGCGATCATTTGGTGGTCCAGATCTTGTTGCTTCCGTATGCCAAAGTGAAGGAGTACGCATCGGCTGTTTTGTCCGCCGCCCAGCTTCCCCAGCTGAGCTGAAACGATGTCAGACAATGTGTCGTGAATAGAACATGTATTATGTGACTATTGGTTTTCTCGGGAGAAATTGACAGAATTGAAGTTCAAGCCAAACTGTGTTTTTGGAGCCGACGGAGTGTCCGGTCTCTCCATCAAGAAGGGTGTTTTTAATTCTCGGGGTTCAATATATAACCATGATATCTCGGTCTTCTGTTGAGGTTATTCAATCTTTAAATCTGTTCCTCTTGACTCAATTGTACTCTATCCACCAAAAATCAACTCAAGATGGCTACCATCCTTGCTCCATACAACACTGCCATGCGCCTGGGCACTGGTAAGCACATTGTTGCCTTCATACTTCCACCTTTGAATGGACATTGACTTCTTCCAGGCTTTAACTCTTTCACCCAGCAGCTCTGTATCGACAATGCCGTCGTCCGCAATGACAATGCGGAGCCCGCCTTGGAGATTGAACTCAAGGAGAAAGACATCCCCCAGGAGGTGACTTACAAGACATCTATTGTCGATAAGGTCACTGATGTGACCAGTGCTATGAATGTATGTCATACTCCTCCGCTTTCTCAACATCATACTCACCCATTGCAGATCAGCGCGGCATTCCTCATCAAGTATGACAACTTCGATGCCAAGGGCAAGGGTTCTTTCCTGAACACGTCTAAGGTCAAGGAGAGTGATGTTAGCTTCATGATTTCTGTCAAGGTCGTGAACCAGGTGATTCAAGATCACTCTTTGACTCAATTCAACCCTATTTCTGGGCTCAAGGGCCAGAATTTCACCGAGGTCTACGGTGACTCTTTCATTTCTGGTGAGAAACCCTCCGATATTTCATTTCTGTATGCATTGCTGATTACATTTTCTAGGGTTCCAATATGGTGGTGAATTTACCGCTGTCATCTCCGTGAAGGCCAAAGAGAAGGAAGATTCCGAGGATATCAAGGCCAAGTGAGGCTACCCGGCATGTCAGGCCCGTTCTATTGAGCATGAAGCTAACATATCTCCTCAGAGCTCGAATTCTCTTCACTAAGGACAAGGGCAGCCTCGATGTCAACGGCAAATTCAGCAAGGAGAGCGAAAGCTTCTTCACAGAGAACGAAACCACCGTTTCGGTGACCTATACCGGTGGTGGCCAGCACCTGAAAGAACGTAAGAACGCCCCCTTCTTTTTCCTTAGTCAAATCCGTATCCACTAACACATTTAATAGGCGACGACGACTGGACATTTGAGACTATGAAGACTGCCGCCCTCAAATTCCCCTACCTCGTAGCAGCAACACCCATGCGAACCCACGCAATCTTAACCAAGTACTCCTCCCTACGCAGCTACTACGCCGCCAGCGTACCCACCAGTCTCCCCAGTTTCGAGCATGCCGGAGTCTACACAGCCCTCCTGCAGGAAGCCTACCTTGACTACAAGACCGTAGCCAAGAACCTCCAGGTCCTCGCATACGATGTGTCCGCCGGTACCCAGACCCTCAAGATGTCGTCGGCGGGTGGCGAAAAGAGCACTGTTGCCGATTCCACAGACAAGGACTCTTCTAGTGGCAGTGACGACGATAATATGGTTCCTTTCGCCAAGTCTGCTTCGGGTTCTATCAAGGATAACTACTCGTTGCCTCCTTTGATCGTGAAGCGGCCGTACCAGCCCTCTTTGCAGGGTGTTGAAGCTGCCCGGGCTATGGTCCGCTTGATGCTGAACCGTATCGTTCAGGAGGTTGATCTCATTTCTAAGATGCCGGAACTTGCTTCGAGGGAGGATCGGCTTTTGCCTTATATGAGTCCTTTCCTGTTCAAGGAGCTCTTGCCGGTATGTTGCTCTCATTCTATGTTTGGTGATTGACGGAAGACTAACAGAGGGTTACTGTGTAGATTGGAGAGCTTGTGACCAAGACTGTTCCTGTTCCGGATGCTACTGGTCCTATGGAAGAGGTTCCTTCGATCAAGCAGCAGATTTCCGGCGGGAGGATCTTTGCCTGAGGGGGTTTGAAGAGCTCTGGGACTCTCATTGAAAGATGATTGAGTCGCTGTGTAATTATCACTTTTGTATTGCATCATATGCAGTTTCCAATTTACTATATTCTTTTCTATCCTTTACTGTCCGTAAGAGAGTAAAATCTGAATAGTCGTAAATTCTTTAATCAATAAGTCAATCATCAATCATTTACATGCTAAGATGAAAGAGAAAATACAGATTTAAACCTCCGGAAAGTCTCCGACTTCAAAGCCTGATACTCACTATCCGTCCGCAAAACAGCATCACGGTTCTCAATAGCCCGGCGAAGCAGATATGCCAGACATTCACCAAGACCACCCCAAGTAGAACACTTATAAACCTCAGGTGTTCCATCACCATCTTTCATCTGAAGCAAAGAGAAGCTGACCTCATCGGACATTCCATGAAGTTGAGCAAAGCGCACAGGGATAGTAGGCAAGCCCGCGGTGACGCGATGCTTGTGGAGCTCGTGGGCATTCACCACACTTTCTTTATTGTGACTTGCCAGGAAGAGGTTCACTGAGGGGAAAGAGCGGCTTCCCTTGTCGCCAAATTCCCCGATGTTCTTCACCAATGCTCCTTGGGCAATTGTGTTATATGCGTTATCCGTTTCTTCTTTTGTGTCATGGATCAGGGACCGTTCGTCTGAAGCCATGTATGCACCTCTCACAACCTTAAGGCCGAGAGTGAATCCGTCTTCCTTTGCTGAAGCGAGATCTCCAGCGAGTGTTGTTGGTGTGCTCTTCAGGTAGGCTTGGTAAGTGTTATAGATGGAGGCATAGCCATCGCGGTTGTATTTGCGCATGAGATCCAAAGTGATACGGTGAATGCCCTTTTGGAAATGTTGAGATTCGGCGTCGACGAGGATCCGAACGTTCTTGGCTTTGCACTTGGAACAGATTTCGTGCAGGGCATCTATCATCTGCTGTGGTGGCAGTTCTCCAGCGGAGAATGCTTCGGTGACCTTGGTTCCGGCACCGGTCAATCTGTAAAGGAAGTGTTAGTCATTCGATTATTGTAGAATCTACCAGGGGAAGAAAAACACACTTCACAGCAAGGTAATCCTCTCCATCCAGCATATCAACTGTCTTGACTGTTCCTTCCCGCCACGATTCAATGCTAGGACAGTGGCGAACCACTGCATTGATAGAGACATCTCCATGCTCGCTTTTCAAAGCTGCAATCCCCAGCCCATGCTGCGAATTAGTCTTATGGTCAAATACAGTTTCTTTGGCGTATGTCATGATCACGCCGCGGAAGCCCATATCTTTCAATTCTTTCATTGTAGAGTTGACTTCCGCGCCGTTTTCTCCAGCACAGAACTGATCATAGAAGGTCTTCTTTAATATTTTATGCAACAGAGGATTCCGATCCACATCAAAGAGCCAGATGCGGTTCGGCTTAGAGAGGAAGGACATGACCGACAGGGCGGGGATGAGGATGTATCGTTTCGAGGACACGGTAGATACCAGCAGTGATCTGAGCAAGACACGAGCCGGTAAAGCAGACAGAGGAGATGAGACCGCACTCGAAACCGCCTTGGACTGTCTGTGTGCGGCTTGTGCGTGTGCCTGCAAGGTCGAGGTCAACCGCACTTGCATCGACACATGGTTTGTTGGTAGGGAACATCTCAGAGCCGTGAGAGGCTTTCCAGGAAGCAAGGCACCCATTTCTGGCGATCAAGGCTTGAGACTGAGTTAATGCTCGTGCCTGGTTGAGAGATCGAGCCAGCTTCTTTTATCCTTTTGATCTATACCCCTCGCACCGTATCAGGTAGCATCTCGGGCAGGCGTCCGATGTCTTTGATAACAGACATACTCCAACATGCGGGGTTGATGATTGTTTGCACTGGACAGACGCTCCACAGAAATAGTCATTGAGTCCAGATACCCGCGTGTAGGCTGTTTTTCTATTGGTGTTCCGGGGCATTTGATCGTGGGCTGCTTGCACGGGAGAGTCGCCGGTGGCGGGGTTGCTTGTGCTATCAACGGTTTGGCTACCGATTACATTCTGATTGTAGCGATGAACAATTATTGACATAACTCTGTGTGTTTGCTGGTGGGTGATCCAGTTCTGTTATCAATGGTGGGATGCGTGGAAAAGAAGCAGAGTACGTGTGTCCAATCCATTTGGGTGTGATGTAGACTAACATTGGACATAGCCGACACTGGGCAACAAGTCAATCACAGAGAGTACCAGCAGTCTTGAGAGTCTTGTTCACATTTCCTTGCAAGCACTCTTCTTGGCTCGAATATCGGTCTCTGACCACACGTCAAGGCTCATGAATCCAGCCCGCGGTATCACATTCAGCCCTCAAACTTGACTGCTTGACTTGATGTGAACGATATCAACCAGCTTGATGGTTTATTTCCATGAGTCACCAAATAGTCCTTCCATGCCCGAGGGATTTCCTGTCGGATGAAATCGGGGGGGATTAGGGTTTCGAAACGTGAACTTCTCCTTACAGCCACAGCTTCACTATTACAGTTGGCGCTAAGATCAAGCTTACACTGTATATCGGAGAACAACCTCTCAACGATAATCAACAACAGGACTGTTGAGTCATGGTCTACAATGTGCATCGTAGGAAGCAGAACTCCTCTGAAATAAAAGGGGGCATGCTCTGAGCCCAATGTCAGTTCCACACATTGTATAGATCTCTTTTGAACATACTTCGGGTTCAATTGCATTCATTTTTTGAATTCTTTGATAACTATGGGTCTTCCAACTGACATGGCCCGCCTTTCCTTTGCGCCTACTCCACGCTTCCTTTCACTATCAGTTGCTTGTCCTGTGCGATGTGCTGGAAAAGGCATATACAGAGGCACCATTACATTTCCGCTGGCATCCATCAAGCGACATCATACAACAGACACACAAGCTAGTCAAAAGTCATCATGGACTCACCCCATGTAAGTCGAATCCAAAGGCCCACTAGAAGAACATCAAAACTGACCACATCATTCTCAACAGCTATTCCAAAGAGCAAATACTCGCCGTTCATCCCTCCCACCGTCAAGCCGATACCTGGCAAGACAAAACAGCACTTACAAGCGTACGGTTCTTACGCTGGGGGATGGACCTAGTATCAGGCTACCGCTCCCACCCATCCACACAGAACACCCATTCCAAGAACAACATCATGACAGAACAGAAGTGGATCACAAGATTCATCTTTCTGGAAAGTGTCGCTGGCGTCCCAGGCATGGTAGCCGGAATGCTACGCCACCTGAAAAGCATTCGAAGAATGCGAAGAGACCATGGATGGTAAGACATCCTCCACGTCTTCATCTCTCCCATTCCCCGGAGCCCAATCTAACAAAAGCAGGATCGAAACCCTCCTCGAAGAAGCTTACAACGAAAGAATGCACCTCCTCACCTTTCTCAAACTAGCCTCTCCAGGCCCGCTCATGCGCCTGATGGTTCTAGGCGCCCAATGCACCTTCTTCAGTGGTTTCTCGCTGGCATACCTCATCTCCCCGCAAATCTGCCACCGATTCGTCGGCTACCTAGAAGAAGAAGCCGTGATCACTTACACAAGGGCAATCGAGGACCTGGAGAACGGCCATTTGCCCGCTTGGGAGGCTCTGCAGGCGCCAGCTATGGCTGTCAAGTATTGGTCTATGCCTGAGGGGCAGCGGTGTATGCGGTCGCTTCTTTTGTATGTTCGGGCTGATGAGGCGAAGCATCGGGATGTGAATCATACGCTGGGGAATTTGGATCAGAATCTTGATCCTAATCCTTTTTCGGCCAAGTTTCGCGTTCCGGTTTCTGTTCGGAGGGTTGGGAGGGGTGAAGCTGGGAGGGAGAGGGATGTTGGGGGATTTGGGGAGTTGGGGGAGTTAAGGGCTGAGCATAGTCGGAAGGAGATTTGATGCTTTGCATCTACATACTCTTACGGACTATTCTCCTGTTAGCACATGTTGTTTCATGGGACTTTTTGATTAGATTTGATTGCGGCTAGAATTTGTTTTTGTTATTGGTCGTTTAGGAATTGTTGACTACTAAGCTTGGGCTACAAGGTTATTCCAATCGAGGCATTGATTCGTCTACATAGTAGATTCGCCTGTCTAGTTAAAACACCGAACTCCTCATTATTGGATATCTCCTTTGCGGGTTTGTGATCTTCTTTGGGATAAAGAACCCCTATAGTTCCATCAATGTCACCCCCTCGTGATGACGGGTTGGCTGCCGTGGCCCGGCAAGGGTCCCGGGAGGTGGTGAACCGGACACCATTGGCTGTATAGTTCAACAGGCGATACTGGGGTAGAAGACTACTCTTTTGACATCTGCATTCTGATAAGACGCCAGGTGACCTAATAGCGGTGTACAGTGAGAACCGCTTGGCATGTGTGAGATGTGCCTGGGCAATGCAGTCCGCTTCGATGGATGAATCTACAAATGACACACTCTAGAGCATTATTCTCACGGGTTACATTCATACTGTCAAATGATTTGTTTAGAATTTTGAATCCCCCCGGTAACTCCATTGGTTAGAAGTAGAGAAAAGTGTAGATACACGCAAAAGAAGACCATGATAGATAATAAGACGGTATTTTATCGTAGATGATTCCATGGGCTAGAATTCCAGATTGACTAGAGCTCGCCGCAAAGCTCGAAACCATGTGTGTCTGGTTAGTCCAATGAGGTGTCCCTCGCGACATAGGGCCCGATTAAACAACAATGAAGTGGCCTAGATGCCCCATTTCTGGTATTTGTCCAAGTGTGACCGTCGAATCTGCAATTTGGGATTGGGGTTGGGCTCGGCGGGTTTGCTGTCGTCAGAGACTCCCATGGGCGCGCGGTCGAACCATTCTAGTTCTAGACTGTGCCGAGCTAAATTGGGCATCCACACCGGCGCCATCGGTTCCGGGATATGATGCATTATTTGTTTCTGTTGTTGCAGAGCTTTGTGTGATTCGGCATTTCAGAAGTTTGGGTAGCTTGTCACATTGCTACTGGCTAAAGTCGTGGTCGTATGCATTCCGGTCAGGAATCGGAGTTGAAACCATGACACTGATGTTGGCGTATATCGCAAGAATTGAGATCAATTTCAAAGTGTTGATAATTGTCAGGCCTAATAGCTTTGTGCTGATACCGTGGCGGGCTGTGATTCGTTAGTAGTTGGTCAAAATCGAGGTGCATCTGGGGAACCATAGGGAAGCGTCGGCAGGTCGCACAATGCGGTGTCGATCCCTTGGCAGAACATGTAACAAGTAAGGGATAATATCTTACAGGGCTGTTGAGTATACTGTTGCGTTCCTTGCGACCCTTCTTGATATGGTTCTTCAAGGCGGTCGAGTCCAGCGGTTTGAGAAGTTCGAAACTGCAAAGTAATTCACCCGAGACGGACATGATCGCGCCCCAATTATCAAATTCACCGCAGTACTAAACACAGTCAGTTGGGTTCTTGTATGAGACATGAGAAAGCTTACATTAGGCGCTGAGAACACGGTCACCAGGATCCGATCCTGATAGAACTCATAACCGTCTTCAACAACCATGTGGGCACGGCAAACCAAGTCGAAGTCATGGCGTTGCAAAAAGTTCATGATCACCTTCTTTCCGAAGCAATAACTGACACCTCGTTCATTAGGCTCCCAATCTTCTTCCATGTCTGCCGGGTCACTCCACAGGAGATCATTCAAAAGACCATAGTCGGGCACATCGGTGGGACGAGCGATACCCCGAATATCATCCATGTGAGAGAGACTGGGTGAAAGACCACCGTGAACACAAAAGATTTTGCCGGCGACAATCGCAGCGATTGGAAGGGTATTGAAAGTATCGATGAAGGTCTTCCAGACCTTAATGTTGCAACGACGCTTACACTCATCATAAAATCCATAAACACGTGTGACATTGGCGCACTCGTGGTTTCCGCGCAACAAAAAAAAGTTCTCGGGATATTTGAGCTTGTAGCACAACAGCAAGAGGATAGTCTCCAGACTCTGTTTACCGCGGTCGACATAGTCGCCCAGGAAAAGGTAGTTTGAGGCAGGTGGGAAACCACACATCTCGAACAGTCGAATGAGATCGGTATACTGACCATGGACATCACCGACAATCTTCACAGGAGCAGAAAGCTCTAACAAAGCAGGTTGAGAGAGGAAAAGCTCACGTGCGGCCGTACAAATGGCGGTAATCTCTGCGTTCTTCAGACACACAGTCTTGGTAACTTTGGCAGAATATCCGGCATCCAAAAGTCGTGTGATCATGTCGTCCAAATCAATGGACTTCAAAGCACCCATACCCATACCAGGAGAGCCAGATGTCTCCAGAGGCGCATTCAAGATGAAGTCCAGGATAGGGTTCAGTTGGTTCTCGCGCTTCATCAGGATTGATTCACCAACAGCTGGGGCAACACCGGTCGGAGGACCACCAGAAGGAGGACCCTCAGACACATGGTCCACCTCACCGCTCTGCTGCATCGCATTGACATCCTTGTGTCCTTTCTGCAAACTGGTAGAAAGCGAAGGGGATGGTGGTGGTTGAGGAGAGCCGGGTCGGGAGGCATCTTCGGAGCCAGGCGTCTGGGGAAGACCAGCGTTGGAGCCAGGACGGCTGCCAACTGATTTGGCCGACTTGATTGAACCAGCATCCGATTTGTCGGTTTGACTTTCGGTTCGGGAGAGCGCGGTGGTAGAGCCACGAGGGCTGTCAGAACTCCTCGCGCCAGGGATTTTCGATCGGATTGAGCCGCGGAAAGAGCGAAGGGATTCCTTCGTATCTGATTTGGAGAAGGACGGATAGGACTGCAAAGGGTCGCCTGAAGCGTTACCCTTGGAATGTGACTGACCCATTATCGCTAGACGTGGAGGACTGCCAAGCTTAGGTTGGAAGGATCGCACAAACGAAGGATGTTCAAGGTGCTACGCCGAGAAAGCCCCTTTTGTTTTGGAATGTCTTGGCCCGAGCTCCTTCAGTGGTATATTAAGCACGGGGATGTCCTGCCTGACGGGTGGAGGTGGGATCTGCGAGTAGTGATCTTGACAACCCTAAGCCAAGTCGGAGGGGCGCGGATGGAGAAAAGGCGATAATGTGATCACCGTGACAAATGGAGCGATATAATGATCCCACTGCGTCGCAGATGAATCCCTAATCAGCGATCCGGCTTATGGTGGTTGCAGACGGAGGAGGTGTCAAAAGGTGAAAAAGCTCAAAAGTGGAGGGTGGGAGCTCCGAGACGGGAAGCTGAGAAGCTCTCCTGTACAGTGAATTAGCCTCTTTCACAGGCAATGCAAGCGCGGTATAACAAGGCTGAACTCCACCAAAACCCAGTTGGCATGTGGAGGTTTGAAGAGACAGAAAAAGCAAGGGAGGAGGTGGTGGGTTTGCGGGTAGAGGAATGCGTCATTATGTACGGGGTTTGAACGGGGAGTATTTATCCACATCACCGCAGACGGCAACCCCACGACGTTGTACTTACTGGGTAGGTGAGAGCACACACAAACAGATCTCCCGAACAGAGGTGAAAAGGGAAAAGGTCGAAGTGAGAGAAGTCAAAAGAGAGAGAGGGGAAGACTCCGCCACCGCTAACGTGAAAGTCGATCTGCTATGTTTTTGGCCACGACGGTCTCGATTCGGTGATCTCGGAGGATCTCTCGGTCCGGGCTATACAACAAAGAGAGTCTGGACTTGGATATTTATAACTTTAAGACTGTTGATGTATTACACTTGAGATTCTAACTTTTGACTAGATGAGAAGGATGGGTAGTGCTCACTTTTTCCCCCAGCTTCATATCCATTCAAGAAATAGCCGAAATGGCGGTACTTTTGTCTATAACTTATTTGTGCGCCCTGTCTTGCCTTGAATCTTATGATTGTTTCTTTTTTTCTTTTTTCTTTTTCTTTTACAGTAGACAAGCACATTCTCATTAGCGCCTGATAAGCGACTGTGCTCAGTTTCTACTATGTACATGCATGTAGGATTGGAATTTGAACCACCTGAAAAGACCAGTGCAAATGAAGTTGAAGAACCAGTCAGACTCTTGAAGCTTTTTCCGACCCTACCCGGCCATTGACCAGGACATCTAGTTGGAGCTTGGACCCCGTAATGCCTCCTATCAGAAGGGACAGAGATTAAGGTGCAGCACCACTGACTCAACGACTTGGATCCACGTTCTGGAGCAAGATAGACACATCACAAGGGAAAGTGGTGCTGCTCTCCTGTTGGCTTTGTTCACACATAATACATCGACGAAAAGTCCGATGGACAGTAAGCTACACCTCCCCCACCCCACCCCTGACCTGCTCGCAGCGGAAGCGGACACGAGCCACAGAGAAGTCTTGGTTTCTGCACGAAAGGAACACTTGCTGCTTGCCAAGGTATCTCTGTGGCGGGGACACCGCCTTTTGCCCCTCTATCCCTGCTCATACAGAGTACCTGCGAATATCTGCCAATTGTTCTGTGATATCGAACAGCGGACCTACTGGCCAAGCCTAGTAATACGCAGCTGCAGTGTTCCCCAAGCCACGTTGACAGAACAGCGAGAGCCAGGGCCCGTAAGGCAAACCTCCTTGGCGGCCCCACGCCCAACCTCGTGCTAGCGGAGACCGGGGGGAGAGTGGCGTAGGGTATGGAAGGGGGGCAGAGCTCCGAGTGCGGCGCAAAGGACGCTGGGATGTGATAGGTCGTGGCGACCGTACTTGGTCTTAGGTGATAGAGCCAGGTTTGTCATTTGAGGGGGAGTAAGGAACAGCCCCCGAATCGGAATAACAAGGTCTTGTGGATACGAGTCTTCGTTGGAGCCTAGAGGTCTACTCCAGCTCAATTTTCGTGATATGGCGCCCCGGGATCACAATGAGGCCTATGAGTCGGCTCGTCATATTCACCTTAACTGTTGCGCTCTTTGCTTCTGATCCTCCAGTGTGTCCACTTTCGCTTACGGCGGCTTCAACTGCAGATGTCGTAGGCATGCGGTATTCAAAGGAATTAGCGAGGATGATATTCCGGTCCTATTAAGATTCGGTCAGTCCAGCTCAGTGTCGGTCCTGTAGGCCCACACCAGTGACCACTTACTGCATCGGTGCACTTGAAGAGTCCAGTAAACATCCGAGTGTCGGTCGTGTGAATCCGCAGTGAGCGACCTAATAGCCTCTCCAAGTACTGAGTACCTTGGCTGTTGTCCATGGTTGGCGGGGTGCTCGTGTCAGCTGCGGAGTTCTAATGCACCAGATGAAGTCCGAGGGTCAAGTGGAGGTGTGTCAAGCTTGGAGAGGGCAGTGGAAGTTTGATGGACGGTCAAATGATTCTCATGGCAGGTTTGGGGTTTCTCAAAGTGATGGTTCAACTGGGGGAACGACGCAGGTGGGCAAACAACCGTTTGTGGGGCCTGAGGCCGCAAGCTCTGACCAAGCACATGTATAAATCCGAGTTGGGCCAAAATGATATTTTGAAGCAAAGTAGCGCTGGGGATTCCTTGGCTTACACTTGATGGTTTCTTGTGCAGCTAGTCGACCTTGGAATGTTGTTTTCTATTCCATTACTGGTCAACTTCGACGTTGTCGTCGGTATGCGACACTAGCCATCTAGCTACGTTAATTCCATACAAGTTAACCTGAATTAAGCTAGGTATTGGCTCATTATATTCACTGCAAGCAATAGACCATGATCTCTCAACTATTACTGATTAACCCCATCAGCGCCAATGACACAAAACACCCGCTTTGTGTACAAGAAAAACAATACCAAGGCCGAGAATAGCCTAAAACACCTTGCCCAAATCACTCAATAGGTATCACGAAAGAAAAAAATGCGAAAGGAAGCCTTTTCGCATATAAACACCAGCAGCCAGTAGCATTGATTGTCACGAAGTCGGGCGATTATACCCACGCCATGCCCACAACCCCGTTCTGGGACAAATGGCCAGACCCATCACTGCCACTGCCACTATCGACATCCATGTCCATATCCATATCCACGTCGGCACCCATCTGATTGAACCCAGGACTGTTGCTGTCACTTGCGCTCGAGCCCTCTACCGAGTTATGCTCAAATGCTCGACGTCGAAGCATGTCCTCTTGGGCCAGAGCTGTCTCATTTGCGCGAGGTGCAAGTGCTTGACGAGATGGTCGGAAGGGCGATGATTGCTGAGGTGTTGGTTGGAAGAACCGATGTAATGTTTGCTGTCGCGGGTCTACCTCTTCGGGTGTCTCGAGAGCGGGTTCTGATTCCATTGTATCCATTTCGACTGTCGGAGCAGACACTTGTTGCTTCTGGGCGGAAAAGATCCAACGCAATGTGTTTTCTGTGTTCTGTCAGCAAGGCTGAAAGGGCGAGGTGATCAAGGGATGCCTAATCGCTGATTGGGGCCGGAAGGAAACACATACGGTAAATAACTTGGTCGCTTGGACGGTCATCTCTGAAGCGCTTTCGTGTCCGACTGTGCAGGTGATTGTTTCCATCGATCAGCATGCCCCATTCGGGGGCCGGAATTGATGGGCTGGATGGGACGGCGAATTCAGCCTTGCGCTTGAGGGACATGGTTGCAAATGAGAGGATAAGCTGGAGAGGAATTGTGTGTCCAGAACCTCAGGGAAGTGTCAGGGAGTGAGATTGAGAGGAAGAGGAAGAGAGAAGCTGAATAGTGAGAATGCGATTGGCCAAGCGCGTCATTTGATTCGCGTTACATTCAGGACACGCTAGTCCGAATCGGGTAATATAGCTAGTGTTCTCTTAACCGGAGGCTCATTTCGACCATTGCGGGTGTTGATGAGGAATTCTGGCTCTAATAGACCATATTAACGTGCAAAGGCCGGTATTAATTCCCTATACTATTGTGCGACATCTCTAGTATTTGGCTATTCCTCTGGTATCCAGGACTATGTTTCAATATCAAGCATAACATGTCCTCGGGGGAATAAATGTTATGACATTTGACCTAGATGGCCAAAACCAAAGACATAGTAGACAGCTCAAAGGGTGAAAGTCTCAATTATACGCGTCACCGTCTATTGATCTGAGTCATAAATTCTCTTGGCCACTGTAAATGATTCCTTGGACATTTGAGTGTCTTCATGCTCATGGAGCTCGTTAGGGGTCCCTGGGAATCCCCACCCTGCCGATGGCTCCCCGCTTCGTTATCTCCCCGAGCTTCACCTCAACAACAATTCTATCTCCCAACTAACATGTCTTCCCGACGCGCAACTCACTCTGGGTCATGGTATACAGACAACGGCCATGCCCTGGCCCGACAGCTGGATGGATGGCTGGGACTGGTGCCGGACACGATGAAAAACATCGGTTCGCTGCCGAGCGCGGGGGCTAGAGTGATCATCGCACCGTATGAAACCCTCGTCTAGGATGAGCTTCAAACCAATACTGAACAAATAGGCATGCGGGCTACTCGTACTCGGGGCCCTGTGCTGCCTACGCATACAAGGCCCTGGATCTCTCGAAAGCGTGAGCTGATCATCCCGCCATCCCATCTGTATATGCTAATGAGACCAGGAAACGGATCTTTATTCTAGGACCATCGCACCATGTTTCACTCTCAACACTGGCACTCCCAACCTTGACTTCTTATCGTACCCCTCTATCCGATGAACCCCTCCCACTAGACACCGAACTGATTACCCAGCTGTTCGGCACACAAGCAATCAGACCGAATGGATCAAAGGTTAGCTTCACAACCATGACAAAGTCCGTCGACGAGGACGAACACAGTATCGAAATGCATCTCCCGTACATCCACCGCTTGCTTCAGCTCCAATACCCAGGTGCCCCAACCTCAGCATACCCCCCTCTGGTCCCAATCATGGTGGGGAATACCTCGGCTGCAACAGAGCAAGCCTTTGGTAATCTTCTCGCTCCCTACCTAGCCGATCCATCCAATGCGTTTGTCATAAGCTCGGACTTCTGCCACTGGGGTCTTCGCTTCCGCTACACATACTACGTCCCACAGACTCCCAAGCCCGGGCCGTCACTCCCAGTGTCTAGTGACCGACTTCCGCAGCCAGGTGCGGATGCTAACAGCGTCAGCGATAGCATTGAGATGGTTTCTGCTGGTCATCATCTGCGTCAACGGGATCGGATCCCGAGTCGTGAGCCAGCCATTCATGAAAGTATCTCGGCATTTGATATGGCGACTATGGCTGCTATTACCACCGGGTCTGCGAAGAAGTTCCTGGACGTTATTGATCGCACGGGTAACACGGTATGTGGACGTCATCCGATCGGGGTGATCATGGCAGCTCTGGAAACTGTCACGGCTAGTCAACCGGCGGACAAGGAAGGGCGATTCTACTTCTTGCGTTATGAGCGAAGCTCGGATGTTGAAGATGTGGATGATAGCTCAGTCAGCTATGTATCTGCCTTTGCAGTGCTGTAGGCTCATGCATTTCAGGCCCGCGTAGTCTATACAATTTGCTTTTCTTAGATCACAATGGTATCAAAGTTGAAGAATGATCATGAAATACCGAGAACATCTTACAGACGAGCTTACACTGTGTTCCAGCAGAATATTTGTCCTCCGAGTATCAATTTGAGGGTCGGTCGCGTGCTCAATTCGGGATGGAGACATTTCTTTTGTGTGATGTGATGTAGCACTTGCACTCGGATCGCTGTAATCACCAGACTGACCTTCGGGGACACTTGCCCAGGTTGACATATGCTAGCATATGCTCAGTAGAAGTTCTTCCCCAGGTCCCCTAGATTACCTTCACGTCATGACTTGGTAGATATCCCCGTTCGAGCCGTCTGAATACTACACAGGACATCTGTACGCTTGCAAGATATGGCAGGTCTATGCGAATCCAACAATGGAATAAGGCATAGATCACGAGATCAGGCTGGCCGAACAATGTTGCATTATTGTCGGGGAAGTACATGTAGCACTAGAAGCATCGTTCATGCCAATGAGTCTGGAGACGATCAAAATTTCTTTTACAAACAGGGTTCAGGTGAGACTTGAATTTCTTCATCCCTCAAACACCACAGCCAATGAGACACATTCACAAGAGATACACCGTGCGTGCACATTTGTGCTCTGTCAGAATCGGATTGCTCCTTTGTTCAACCTATTTCCACGTGTGAGTCCTCCTCTACCTGCAGGCTCAGAGGCTTAGCCCCCCCAGGCACCTTCGACCATCTCGTCTAGAGCAGATTTTCAAGATCTCAACCGTCTGCAGCCCTAGATCCAGTTTCCGACCCCAAATCTCAAACTAGCCCCCAAAAGACTAGACCAGACCGACTAGATCTATCCAGAAAGGTCAATCTGCAATCAGCCCCAGCCTATCTATCAAACTTCAAACACGCCCGTCCCTGAAATTAGCCGCCGACGAAAGGAGGCGTCGACCAACCAATCCCATCACCCCATCCAGGTACAAGTCTTTGTTTCCCAACAGACCCTTGCATTTGATTGTGCCCATGTTCCGATCCACAGGGGGCGCAATTCCCAAATCTCATTTCTTGATGCAGATTCACATTCCCGGATTGTAAGCGCCGACGTCCCCCGTCTGACAGGGTGATACTGTAGCAGTCGGGTCCAATCCGATAAGGCTGACAGCCAGAGCCCGTAGTGCCTTGCAGGGCACCGGAGCATTGCCTGTGGATTGTGCTGCAGAATGGGGTTTGTAGGCGCATCTAAAGGGTTAATGACCAGGGACAATGTGGCGTGAATGGAGGGGGGGCGGATTGTCACAGACTGGAAAGTCTATAACTTAACTTATATCAAGAGTCTCATTCCCCCCCTGATATCTTGTTTTCTTTTCTTGCATGAGCTCTGGTTTTAGTTCGCCTTGAGATTCAGTTCTCGTTCACTCCTTTATCTTACGTAACCAATCCTTGGCTGGGCCTTGGATTTTGTGGATTTGGCCATGTTTCGCTTTCTCTTTCTGGTCCTCGTAGGGCTGATCACTATCATTACGGCTTCACCTGTGCCTGTGCAATTTAACAAAATGTCGATTCGCGATGAAGATGCCAATCATGGCAACAAGCTGGTTTTTTGTCATTTCATGGTGAGACATGTCTTTTTTGATTTCTTTTAACTCTTCTTATCGGGCACTGACGGCTGTTAGATGGGCGTTGTGAGCAACCGCCAGAATGCCAGCGAATATGATGCCGATATGAAACGCGCCAAAGAGGCCGGCATTGATGCCTTTGCTTTGAACATCGGCACCGATTCTTATACCGATTTTCAGCTGAACCTTGCTTATCAATCTGCCGCCGACAATGGCATGAAGGTGTTTATCTCCTTCGATTTCAACTGGTACAATGTCAACCAGGGCAGCGAGGTCGGCAACAAGATCAAGGAATTTTCAACCCACCCCGCACAGCTCATGGTCGATGGCAAGGTTTTTGTGTCGTCTTTCACCGGCGATGGTGTCGATTGTGGTGCAATGAGAGCTGCAGCTGGCTGCAATATCTTCTTCGCGCCAAACTTCCACCCTGGTCAGGGTGATTTCAATGATGTGGACTCTGCCTTGAATTGGATGGCATGGGGGAGTGATGGATACAATAAGGCTCCGACTGCTGAGCGGACGGTGTCTGTTATGGATGGTGATGCCGCGTACCACGCGGTGCTTGCTGGGAAGCCTTACATTGCTCGTGAGTGACTATGAAGATCTCCCCTGGTCTCCCCTGGGATTGTACTGACGGAACAGCCGTCTCACCCTGGTTCTCGACACATTTCGGCGATGAAGTCTCCTACAGTAAGAATTGGGTCTTTCCCTCGGACCTCCTCTGGTATAACCGATGGAGAGAAATCCTCGCGACCAAGCCCCGTTTCGTGGAGATAATCACCTGGAACGACTATGGCGAATCGCACTATATTGGTCCCCTGTCATCACCTCACACAGACGATGGCTCCTCGAAATGGGTCATGGACATGTAAGTACCCAGCCCTCCCAGCCATCCAGTCCACCGATTAAGCAAGACAGGCCTCACAACGGCTGGCTCGACATGGCCAAACCCTTTATTGCCGCGTACAAAGCAGGCTCCGAACTCCCCATAGACTTCCTGGAAGAAGAAAAAATAATCTACTGGTATCGCCCCACCCCGAAATCCGCCAACTGCGATGCAACCGACACCACCATGCAAAGCGCGAACAATGCCAGCGGCAATTTCTTCCGCGGCCGCCCAGAGGGTGCAGACACCATGCAAGATGCCGTCTTCGTAGTCACGCAGCTAAAAGAGCCCGCCTCGGTGGAGGTGACGTCGGGCACGAACACCCAGACCTTTCAGGCACCGGCAGGGGTGCGAGCTTGGACGGTGCCCATGGGGGTGGGCAAGCAGGTATTCCGTGTGATGCGGGACGGACAGACTGTGGAGGATCTGTCTGGGACTAGTCTGCGCGATATTTCCGACGAGTGTCCCTGTGGCATTTACAATTTCAATGCTTATGTTGGGACGCTGCCTGCGGACGCGGAGATTGATCGGCTAGCGCCGGATGGACTGGCCCTGTTGCAGCAGGGATTGAAGGTCTCTTGTCCAACTAATACGCTTGGCAATGCTGATTCTGGTGTTGGTGCTGGCGCTGGTGCCGGTGCTGGGGGCTCTTCTGTACGTTCTCGTAGTCCAAGTCCGAGTGGGTGCTGTACGTGCTAGGCGTCTAGATGCAGATCAAAGGGCAGAAATGCATAGATCAATTCTAGAATTCAGTCGGAACCAATTTATTTTCTTGCTCTTATCTGAGCTTAAGTGGATTTGGGAGAGCTTGGAATGTTATCTTTTCACCGACTCTTGCTTTGTTGCCCCTTGACCGTTTCGGATTGGAAACTGATGCAGGTGCTTTGTAGTTCGGTCCGGTCTGATCAGCAGGTCATTGTCATACTAAGTTATATTTTGATCTTTCCTCTTCATTTCCACTCTAGCTCCAACTTCAACAATGGCCCGTATGAAAGGGGTCTTTTCGTGGGAAGATGTTCTGGCACAGCGGTATCAGAGTAAGATAAGCCGATCTCATCTCATCAATCTCCAACTTCCTCTACTTTCCACTTCACACTTCCATTTCACCTCAACAACTATCTAGACTCACAGAATCTCCAGGCAACAAACCCCCTCCCCTCCCCCGCAAACGTCTCCAGATCCAATGTCCCCAACCCCAACCCCAAAGCCGGCTATTGGCCCGGTTATCACCGGAACTCCGTCTCATGATCTGGGAATATGTCCTGGGAGGTCAACGCATACATGTTATTCAAAGAAGCCAGAAGCGACTGGGACACGTACTCTGTCCAATTCCCCCTGAGACAGCTTCAACGTCAATATCATCATCACCGTCATCTTCACGGTCCTTGTCACCAATATCAGCTTCAACATCAACATCAAACCACCACGCCCGCCGAAACACAGAACTATTTTGTGAGATCTGCCATGGAAGTGGAATAGCCCAGCCAGCAAAAGAAGGTGATCTAGCGCGCCGAAAGAAGAGTATGCTTCTTGCATTAGCGTTGAGTTGTCGATTAATGTATGTTTGTTTTCTATACACCAACACTTTACTCCCACCTACCCAATCCCAATCCCAACCCCAACCAACAATTCTACCAAATCTAACAACACTAACCCATTGTCCACCAGCTACAAAGAGTCAATCCAAAAACTATACACAGCCCCAATCCTAGAATTTAGCAATCCCTGGACGGCATCTTACATGCGCCCAACAGTCCCGCCAGAATCATGGTCCTCTATCCGGTCCGTCGAGCTGCGCTGGTCTTTTCCAGGCCATTGGCTTCCCAGTAAAGATCCCGTACGGGCTATCTACGTATCCGCTGGACGGGCGCAGTGGATTGAGACTTGCGTTGCGTTGAGGGCGGTCGCTGGGCTGAGGTCGTTTGTGCTTATTCTAGGACGGACTTGGTTTGCCGAGGAATTGGGGGCTCTGGGGGTTTTTCTGGAACCGCTTTTTGGGTTGGGTGTTAGGGATCGGGGGTTCAAGGGGATGGATGGGGATGCAGGGGACGAGCCCTGTAGCTCGGATGGAGAGGATTGGTGTGCTGATTTGGAGAATTCATCTTCTGTTTCTTCTGTTTCAGAGAGTGAGAGGATTGATACTTCTCCTGCTTCGTCTCTCCTTTCTTCTCCGTCCTCCTGTTCTTCCCTTTCATCTCTGGCTTCCGTGTCCAAGAGCTATACCCTGGATCTCACGCCTTACTTATACATCGCAGACATGGGCACATGGGAACTGCGCTTGGAAAACCAACACTACTATGCGAGTGAGCTAGACAAGCTTGAGAAGGATCTTCAGGTGAGAGGGATAGACTGCAGGATTACGGCGGTGTGAACGTGAGGAAGGGTTGGAAATGAAGATGATAAGCTCGAGTATGCGCATCAATGGTGTGATTGAGATATTTGATAGCAGAGCCGATCATTCATTTATCGAATTTCCCTTCAGGGTATGATTAACCCTCGATCATTGATCTAAATCAATCATGGCTGTCTATAACCGCCTATCTCTTGGCGATCAATGTTCTAGAACAGATGGTACGTGGACAAGATACACCACACATGAAATTACAGTAATTGGACTTGTGTGTCAAAACAAGACTGGTTTTTAGGACCAATTTGCTGCGTTGGGGCTGGAATGAACACACACTACGCGCAAGTAAGACACCGTTACGAAGTACGGATCGGCGTGTTGATCCCGACGGGGGACACGTTAGGATGAGGTGTACTGCATACGCACTCGGTCGGGAAAGGAGGTGAGTAAAGTTAAGTTATCTCCAGATGCACATGCACAAGCAGACTGTCACTTGGAAAGAAACACACTCCGGATATCATAACCACTGTTGCAATTAACATTCCACCCCCTCGCCCTGAGATTTTAACTTAGCCGTGGGCTAGCCCTAAAAAACAACTCCCAAAGTTAAAGACCCTAATGTGAGACCCTGGACCCACGCACTATAATTGGAAATACATGTACCGGCCTTACGGTCAGGGTTTAACTTACAGGACGGACCGTGCCTTGAGCTTGAATGATGGGGAATTTGATGGCTGATGGTAAGTGATGAGATCATGATCGGAGATTATTTGATCTTTTTCCATTCCATCTGGATCAAGGGTGTGCGTGTGTTATGTATGATGTCGCCAGGGGCAAAATAAAAAACCTGTGCTTCGTCGGCTCCACCGGCAGGCCAAGGGCGCTAAATATGAGAGCGCGGGGAAGATCGCACATCATAATCAAACCGATGTAGTATGGCTGTGGTTTTGTTCTAGTGTAGTATTGGTATATTGGTATTGGGAAACGAGATGGGATGTGAGGTAAAATGTGGTAAAAAAATGTGGTTATTGTATAGGGATGTTCCCTGTAGAGATAAAAGTAGTAAAGGGTAGAAGAAGTTGAGGGGGAAAACAGAAAGACCCAAGAAAGTGGTCAGGTATAAGGAGAAAAGAAAAGAAAAGAAAAAGATTGAGCTAGCAATCCAGCCAGGAGATGCAGATATGCAAGTGTAAAAAAAAGAAAACATCGTGAGAGAATCGGGTGCGTGATTCGTACAACATGTGCAGACCCCCATAAGATATTAGAAAGATAGATAGGAAAGAAACATTCGAACGGTGATTGACACCATGGACGCCCTGCAAAATAATGCCTTAGCTAAAATGATGCGAAATGTCCTGGAAGCCCAGATTAAGTGCTCCAGATGTGTTGTCCCAGACGTAAGGAAATGATGTCTCGTAGTGGTGGAGATTGTGTGATCGGTGATCGGGAACGATATAGTGGTCAACATTGCCAGCCATGGATGGGCAGGTAGCCCTGCTCCATCGAGTCCGCGGTCGCAAATGCTCCCATTTGAGCATGGTGCATGTGGCGTTGGCGGGGCCAGCGGCGTAGGCTGTCGCTCAATGCGATCGCTGGGGCCTTGGTCAATGGTGTCCACCATGCCGAGGGATAAACGTCGATGCGCCTGTCAGTCCTAGGTCAAGGGCTGTAAATCCAGGTCGCTCGATCGTTCAATGTGGGATTGAAGGAGTCCTTCAATCGGAATATAAATTGCCAGATACCGGTTGTGGTTTACCGTCCTTCGGGAGAACGGTCGGGGCCCGCGTTTCCGTGGCCTCGGGCGGCGAGCCATTCGGTCGATGCGCCTTGGCGAGCTCCGGGGTGCTTCTGGTCCTCTGGGCGGCCAACGAGGTGGCGAGGAAGCATGTTGTTGATCTCTGCTGCCAGAGCAGAGGCCATGTAGCATCTAAGTTCCTTCTCTTCGCGCTCATCTTCCTTCTGTAGGCGGCGTTGGTCGGTCGCCTTCAACCCTTCACGGCGCTTCCGTCGAATTTCATGAATGGACCAGAGAACGACCTCTTCGGGGGCGCGATTGCGAGGGCTTCCGTGGCGAGAGAAGCTGCGGACGTAGCGGCGAGTGACATCGGTCGCACCATCGATGGAGAACGCGACACAGTAAGAAATTTTGCGTTGCCATCCTAAGACACAATTAGTATCAAGTAGTGGGAGGAGAAGACATATCACGAACCTTCAGTGTACAGGCGAGGCTGGTCCCAAGCACCTTCGCAGGCATCAACATGGACCCAGCGTCGCTGGTGTTCCGAGTATACTTCAGTCCAGACGTAGTCCTCGGAGTTCCAAACCCAACGAACACGGGCACCAACCGCACGGCAGAACATGCTAAAGCAATTAGCCCATTCGCCGACACGTCCTCGTCGGGACTTGAGCAATTGCCAAACATCGGAGTATCGGGGGAATCGTTCGTGGGCGCCACAGCTATTATCGGAGCATCGGTAGAGCTCGACTCGGGATGCGCCCCGAGCGGTCTCGTCGGGGGTAGGTGGCGTCATGCCCTGGGCGATGGTAGGCATGTGGCACTTGGAGCACGGGGGGTTGTTGACAAATTGGAAGAAGGATCCCTTGAACCACCTGGATAGCTGTCAGCAAGGGCGCAGAGTCTAGACCGTGGAGAATTCCAACATACCTCAACAATGCTCGAATTACACAATCTTGATAGCCCCATTCCGGTTTTCCACCCACGCTGTCGGCCTGGGCCTGCTTGATTTGAGATTCCTCTTCGGCTTCGGAGTACAGACGATCAAGTGGAATGACGGACAGGGCCTCGTCGAGAAGGCCTGGATTTTCGTATTTTGTTGGTGTCACTGAGAGCCCCTTGAGTAGATTGAAGAATTTGAGGGAGGCGGGATCCTGTGGCGGCGAAGGGAAGACGGGGAGGCCCCGCAGGGCGGAGTTCTTGGGCTTTGGTGAAGCCGGAGTCGTAGCTGCCGATGGAGGTGGAGGTGGCGCCCGTGAGGGAGGCGGCGGAATCGATGAGCTGGACAAATTGGAAGGTGCTGGAGATTGGGTGCGCGATCGAGGTTGTGACTGTTCCTGAAGGCGGTTGAAGCGCTTGGTACGCATCAACTGTTCGAATTCGTGAGTGAGGGTTGTGGCATCGTAGTCCTTAGCAGTCGGCTGTGCCGACCTGTGTCTGCCGTCCGCCATGGTCGAAAGGGAAGTCCCGGCAGACTTCAGTAAGTGGTGCAATCCAGGGTTAGTCGAGGTGATGGGCGAAGGGTCAATTTCACCCGAAGCGGCAGTGAGGTTGATGAAGAAGGAAGAGAGAAAATAGCAAAGAAGGGACTGCCACCGAGGTTGACGTAAGAAGGTCCAAGTCAGGAGGAAGAGCGAGAGAGAGCATACGCAGTATTACGAGCGTCGTCAGCGTCTCGCCCCAATCACGGGCCCCGCGGCCAAGCCGCGTGTGCGAAACGGAAAGCCAAGAAAAAGACCCTTTTTCTGTAATTTTCTTTCCACTGTTACCATTCTTACGCTCTTTCTCGTTTCCTTTTCCATCTTCCACTGTCTTTCCTCTTTTCCTCTTTCCACTCTCTTCTATCTATTACTTGGCACTCAGTATGATATTTTCTACATTGTGGTGGTATTCTGTTTTTTCCCCCCGGAAATGCTATATCTCCTTCACCATCATATTTAACTATATCAGAACCACGTAATACACAGTATACGCGCGGCCATGGACGAAAATCGCACTTCGCACACCCTTTTGCCCACCCAAAGGCTGGAGACGCGCAAGCGTCCGCCTTGGCATTTTGCAAGATCGGGCTAGAGCCTCCACCGCCCTAAGCCCGATGAGGCGGTGCTGACTGTATTCGGCAGTATGAAGGGGGCTTGGCACTGTAACCTGCTAACTTAGTATAAGTTAAGCTATAGTTATGGTCTATTGTAACTTTCGAAATATGTTCTGGTTACCACCTTAAAATCTATGCTCTTTCTCATGGGCTCGGGCAGACATATAAATATGGACCTGCACACGCACGCCCGCGATTGCCAATCACCACTCCCTGTTGGTTTCTCCCGAAGACCCTGAAAACCGGTGGAGCCGAGTCGCCCATAGGGTCATCTCCTATCGAGTCAGGCAGAAATAATACACTTCTTTTAATTCCATGGTTCATAGTCGATCTACATCCCGTCTCCCCAGTATTGTCGGAATATCGCGACACCTCGCGACGCGTCTTTCATCTCTGTGAATCCCATGACCCGACGTGTCAACGGTTGGAGACGCTATGGTCTATACTTAGCACTCTTAGCCCCAATATTGATAACCAGGTACGGTGGACCGATACAGTATCGGACTCTAGGGTTACCAGGATGTAACCAACCCTCAGCCCTGAAATTTTCGGGAAATTACTGTGTTCCCTACGGAGTACTATCTGGGGAAACCGATCAGCCGCCGTTGTTTCATAGTCTGCGCCGCGTTTGAGAGGCGAGGTTGGGTGGCTGTGCGAAGGATAGGCAACCAACATACCAGTTAGAATAAGGTATAAGGAAAGGGTTGTCACGTATCAATCCGAGATTCCACATTCACATCATGTTAACTTACAACTTACAGAACATGTCAGTATCAACCCCTTTCCCCCCCCCCTCTCCCAAATGAATTTCCTCCGTACATGCTTAGCTCTGATGGCGCAACCTCAATAAATGGGTCCACTCAATTGCAAAGACCCGTCGTACAGTATGTGTAATGCAAGGAACTCGTGGCACGGCTTCGTCTCCAGGAAAGGGAGTAAAAAAAAACAAAAAAAAACGGAAGAAAAGCACCTATTAAGCCGAGCAACGAACCAATTCGCGTCCGTCAAACTCTCCCCGCCAAGAGCCAAGACCCGCGTCATCTAGAAAATCAAACTAAGACAACTGCTTATCCTCTGTATACGACGTATCTCCAAGCTTGACTCCCCCGCCAAGAGAGTGTATACGACTTCGTCACTTGGCTTTGGCTTCAATGTCGCGATACACACTCTGCGTGTCCACCGTCTGTCCTTGCCAGATATTGGTACTCTGTGGTGACGTCGACAACGCTCGTGCCGTCCCGAGCCAAGGGGGACACGCACGCATCGGAGATCCTACTGCACTGCTGACATCCTCCAGAGTTTGGTCTTGCGTTGACATGGATCGACGTTGACGTTGAATCTATGAGTTCTTTTCTGACACCGACTTTATGAGATACTAGCGTTGTCGCTAGGTGGATCGCTGCGTCGTGATCGATCCACTCCAGCTCCTGCACTGTCGCAAGCTCCTTCATAAGGCTTGAAAATTCTTCCGCGCGCTATCGTTTTTGCGCTGTTTTGGGTCGTTGCATCACCTCTATCCGGCGGCTTGGACCGACGCTATTGTCGGAGCGACATACTCTAAGCATCGTTGGTCCGAGTGTGCGCGGCTCTGGTGATGTTTGCTGGACTAATTGGGTTGCACTATTCACTAGTGATATTTTTCAGGTTTCTTTGTCTGTCATATTTCTCGAAAAGGGATGGTTCTTAAGCTAGGTATATCAGAATTTGCAAATCGGTTACTGGGGATTGGTCATTGGTTAGGGACTTGGTCATGGCTTCTACTGCTAACCTTGGAAGTATAATGGAACTGTCTTCAGGTATACATTGGCTAAAAGGCACCAATTGACAGTTGCTGGTCAAGCCTTAACGTTAGTTTATTCTCTGCCTTGGGGCTGAGGCTAACATTGGAAGTTAGTCATGATTAGATATCCCTGAAGGTCTTCCAAGGTTGGTGGTAAAGGTTCTCGTCCCATTTAATCATCTATGCTTCCAGTGATTGGTACACAGAATATTATCTTACAGCCTCGTTCAGTCTTGGGCATCCATTATATCAACCAGTGAAGCATCATGCAGGGCCGACATGTACCGCTATGTACTGTGCAGTCTGTAGCATGATCTCACCTAGTAGGAAGTCTCAACGTTCGAAGCACCATATTTCCAAAACAATCAAAATGTTCCAATTATTTGACTGGAATAAGCGGAGAATGCTGCAAATTCCAGCTTGCCTCTATCAACATGACGGTTGGTTTCGTTTCTGATGTCTTCCAGGGTTCAGACAAAGATATATTGCAAGCATTGCAAGCAAAACTGACCCGACATCCCGACACAACATCGGTCTATATTCTTACGCCAACCCTAAACGATGACTTGCTTTCGTAGTTCATTCGCAATACACTTGAGCTCCCCGGAAAATCGAGGCATTCGTGTGAGTCGTGCCTTCCCATCGCGCTTACAATGGATATTCTACCTTTCGACTGCATTCTCACTGCGTTGACAATCCAACTACTCCGTACAATTCATACATGCCGTTATTATGACAACTTTTATTGCTTCCTTGTGAGTTGTTTTATGATCTATGCCTAACAAGACTAACCATCTATGTTGATGACCCGAAGATTTCTTCCCTGGACCATCGACTTTAAGAGAACACCTGCTGCAGACAAACGAAATGAAGAAAATGCCCGGGCAGCCTTTGATGGCTTTCCCCCAATCATTGGTCGCTTCTCAGATATGAATCACACCCCAATCAATCCACCCAATCCTTCAATTACATCTGAAGCCCATGACGTGCTCTTCAAAGGATATGTACCAGGACAATCGTACGAGACTTGGATCGAGCCGGACCTTGAAGGCTTCCGCCACAGTCAGCGCCATGAAGTCAGTTGGGGCCGCAGTCTAATCTACAACCAGCCTCGGTCTACAGCAACAGAAGTTCCATGTGCGCCCATTGTCACAATCTCGAATCCCCAGATAGAGGGGCCAATTTCTTTGGGACTGGATGGAATATCAAATGCCTCACACATTGGAGATCGAAACAATACTTGGTCACCTGGTTCATCGGACGACGAATGGACTGGGCCGGATCGGCGTCCTATATTTCGCATGGGCCCTACCCGGGGTATCAACCTGCATCAATCCACAACAACCGGGTTACCGCAGTCTCCAATGTTCGGAGTACCCCGGCAGGCGAGTCAGTCAGATCTCGATCTCCATACACAAGATGGATCATTGCATGCCGCAACGCTTGAGGAACAAGAAAACGATTGGGGGTTGCTCTCCACTGCGGAATGGGAGATCAAGGCATCCGAACAAGGCAATGGAGGTCTTCATAATGCTATTCGTGTTGCCATCCGAGAAAGTGCAATCAAAAAGATGTACTGGGTGGGCACCCTCGGCATGCCTATCGATTCATTGACAGAGCCAACTCGGTCCCATATCACCAGGCAGTTGGAAACGACACGCGATTGCTTGACGGTTTTTGTGGACGACAGTGAATTTGTGGGTTATTACAATCAGTTCTGTCGCTCGATACTCTGGCCAATTCTTCATTATCAGATGCAAGAGGGCCCTCGGCATGTTGAATACGAAGAATTCGCCTGGGAGCAATATATCAAGGTCAACGAGGAATTCGCTGATATCATCATCCGAAATTACAAAGAAGGGGACAAAATTTGGGTCTTTGACTACCACCTTCTACTTCTTCCGGAAATGTTGAGGTCCCGTCTACCCGGGGCTAATATTGGCTTTTTCTTGACTACGCCATTTCCTTCTTATGAAGTTTTTCGATGCTTGTTTTCACGCAACGATTTGCTGACCGGAATGCTAGGCGCTGATCTTGTTTCATTCCAGACAGAGGAATATTGCGCACACTTTGTCCAATGTTGCTGCCGGCTGTTGGGACTCGAAATGGTGAAAAGTGGGCTTCAAGTCCGGCATCGTCGTGTCAGTCTCTGGCATGAGCCTATGCAGATTGATGCTGCCTATTTACAGCATGTTCGCCAGACACATGAGGTCAAGGCCTGGATGACTACTATTAACAACGCATACCCGGGGAAACGCCTCATTACAGCGCGCGATCGAATGGATGTACCAGGGGCAGTCAAACATTCACTTCTGGCTTTTTACGAACTCCTGAAGACATATCCTCGATGGAGAGGTATTGTAGGTTGATCAAGGTTCTTTCTTTGGTTTGTGAGTTTTGCTGAGACATGATGTAGGTTACTCTTGTCCAGGTCATATCTGCAGCGCCTGAAACCCGGGACGTAGTGGACGAGATTGTGAACATTGCAACGATGATCAATGTCAGTTATGCGTCTGTCTATTATGATCCCTTGGTGTTGGTTTTGCAAGACATGAAGTACTCCCAGTTTATCGCCCTGCTGAGCCTTACAGATATCTTCGTATCCATGTCCCAACGCGAGGGAATGAACTTGACCTGTCATGAGTACTTCCACTGTCAAGGCCGATCGCATTTCGGATCCAGCTTTGGGTCAATAATCGTGAGCGAGTTCGCAGAAACTGGAGCGCTCAAAGCTTCCTTCACATGCAACCCATGGGACTACAAAAATTGTTCCAAAACGATCAATCAAGCACTGGAGGAGCCATTGAAGAGTCGTAGAAAAAGGTGGCATCAACAAAAGAATACAATGGAATATATGAGGCACGGTTGGATGGACTGGCTGCAATCCAGACTCCGAATAGCCTGCAAGACTCGATACCCTCCCCAAAGCGACGCTTATCCGTTGATATTTCGTGCCGTGGCACACCTCTCTAACTGCGCAAGCTCACGCCTTTTTCTTCTCGAGGATGGTTGTCTCTTTGGCGAAGGCCCAGGGGATATGTCGCTGGATACCTTGAAGAGTATAGAAACTCTTGCTATGAACCCCAGCAACATTGTCTACATAACCAGCAGGCGAAGTAGGATTCAAATGCAACACGTCATCGACACTCTTCCTGTCAATGTCGGATATATTTTCGAATGCGGATGCCAGATCAAATTATCTTGCGAATCCCAGTTTCGTTTTTTCCAAGATCGAAATACACATGGGTGGTTGAATGGAATATGGCACATCATGAGACTCTATGAAGACCGAGTGGGTGGAGATTGCATTGAACGAAGAGACTGCTCCATGGTATTCCATTACGGCGCTGCAGATGACTACCCAGCCGCACTCCGATTCGGAAATGAGCTAGCCTTCCTAGCCAGAGCTTTGCGCGGCAACGAGTCCTACAAAATCATTCACAAAAACGCCTCCATACACGCCGAGCCTGATATGAATATCTCCATGGAATCTGGTATTGAGTTTGTCATGAGCACAATCCCGAAACCTCAACATCCAGAGTTTGTCTTTGTCGTCGGGGGAGTTTGCGGCACGAATGCCTTGTTCCGCTGGGCAAATCGTAAACAATGCGATATCAAAACACCCCCTCATCATGCGACCAAGGGCAGCAGGAGTCCTGCTGCTCCCTTCTCGTATGTCTACACAGTTGGTATGGGATTGTATGTTGAGGATGCAAGGTTCAAGCTGCCGATGGACAGGTCACTGATGAATATACTGGAAACTTTGGCTAGTGCACCGCATGCTTCCGCACCTCCAGTGAGAGGAAGCACATGATGGATTTGTTTTGTTGGCTTATTCCTAGTATTATTGTTATTTTGTTGGTTGCTGGTTGCTGGCGCTGGCTGCCGTTGGAGGCTTGGAAAGGTAACGTTTTATGCTTTCGTTCAGTTATGTATTATTAGAGAAATGGACTGTGGTTTGGAGCTATCAGCTTCAACTTAAGTGCAAACCTTCATTTGATATCAGAAAGTTACGAGGATTCGTCCATAGGGCTGGGTGTATTGATATACGGATAGGTTGGGACAGAATAGTTCGTTATGGAACATTCATTTGCGAACTTCATTTGCTGAAATCAGATACCCGGTTTGAATTACAGTATTCAATAATACTGCATATGAAAATGAAGCCAGAGGATAGCGTTGTTGAGATTTATGGTGGCCGGCCATGGTTTATGCCATGAATGAGCCATGACGGCAACCGCAGTGATTCATCACCTGGGAAATCTAATCAGGACTAGCTTAAGGCAGAGTTTTCTGGTATATAAGGAGATTCTCACACAAATGAGAATCTCCAGACTTAAACACCTCGATAATCTATTGTTAGATTATCTATATTGTACGGTCGTACCGGTCATCATTCCTACTTGCATCGTAGCCTTTTTTAACAAGCGTAAGGTCATTGCATTCTCACAATAGGGTCTGTTCCCAATTTTAGGACGTGAGGCTACTATATACATAGCCCTCAGTCCCCGTGTGGAACACGAAGTGTACAAGTTGTCCTTACAAGTTGGATGAGGTATTTATATCTCTTGTATTAATCTCTACAGATCAACTTGCAAACACGATTTCCCACAATTCATGATGATGAGTCTACTAGTCCGTGTAGGGCAAGGCAGGTCAACTCATTCATACATACGAAGTCAAAGCAGCGCAAAGTTATATTCTGAGTCCATGCTGCATGACGACTAAGCTTCTAGGGAAAAGGAAGCCTGAAGAGGTATAGCCATTTGCTGCAGCTGCGAGACCATGGATCGTCATTGTGTAGTTCAATTCTGCAGAGGCGCCACCGAAACGAGAGACGGCACCTTGATGAAGTAGCAAGAAGAAGAAGAAGATACATAACTCATAGAACAGCCGAAAACAGCAGATGAGACGTCCATCTAGGATGATAAAGAAGACACTGGAGAATGAAGTGGTTGAAAATAAATAAGAGAATTTCTCATCGGTGCCAATGAGCATGAGAGCAACCCAAGAAAAGTTATTGCGCCGGGGATAAACGAACATGACGAAAAATCAGATGCGGGTAGAACGAAGAATGTAGTGAAGCCCATGCGAGTACAATTGGAAGACGAGAAGGATATAACATGATGAGATATTATGAGAAAAACCATGAGTCATGAGCCATAGGTACAAGCAACAAAAGTTGAATGTCCCTTGCTTTTCATGTCGGACTCGAAAAGAAAATCGTGGGATACAGGGTAGAAAAGGAGACCGGCCTCGACATCCCCAGAAATGTCTGGATTTCACTCAAGGCTTCCCAGGCTGTGAATCTGTACCGGACGAGATGAGGGTTGGAGCAACTCGGCGCTTTTTCTGCGGCTGTGTTGAGGATTGTGATGCATCCTTATCCTCCTTTTCAGATTCGCTGGCAGTCCTTGCATCGCGCTTGCCCAACACACTGCCACTAGGAACAGCACCACCTTGAGTACTTGATGGCGTTTGGGGTGGGGTTGTTAAGGGGAGCGTTGGGAGTTGTGCGGAATTCGTTGCCGTCACCAGTGGGACGGAGCCCACAGTCAGAGTAGGGTTGTTCACCACACCGGTAGGTGGTGGTTGCGACGACTGGGTGGCGATTGAATTGGCCGAGTTCGACCGTGCGGGGCTAGCTGGAGGTGCGGCAACTGCAGTATGTGACGGTGCGTGTGGCTTAGCTGGGGATGGTGCATGCGTTGGGGTAGGCAGAGGGGTGGGATTTGTGGATGCTGTGTTGTTTTGAGTTGTCGAATTTGGCCCTACTGGACCGGTGTATATCTGTCCGAGCTCCCCGGGGGCAAATGAAAGAGCAGAACAGAATCCATCCGAAGAACTCATGAGCAGTGTCAGGCCATCATGAGACCTACAGTGTGTTAGAAAAAGACGAGAGAAAATGGAAGAGGAACAACTTACCATGAGAGGTCGGTGAATGTAGCGAAATGCAAATTACTGACAACAGTCAAGGGTGTTTGTTGCTGCGTGTCATACACCAAAATGGCATCTTGGGTGGCAACAGCATATACGATTCGATACGGAAGCGCAAAGACCGGAGCCGAGTTTTGCGCTGCGTCTTCTCCAGTGGTCTTTGGAGATGGTTGAGGTTTCGATGGTTCAGCCGGCACTGAAGATGGGGGATCCATCTGGAGCTGGCTAGTCGAGGATTGGCCAGCAGTGACCACAGGGTCTGGAAGATTTGGGAACAAATCTTCGCCAGAAGACGTGTCAAGGGTGAGGTTTTTGGCGGGCTGGATACCATCCTTTAAGGTGTAGAAGATTGGAGAGCATCTGACCGCAACTGAGGGCTTCTTGTGTCCTGGAAGGTGGGATATTGGGGGCTTGTTGAACCCTGCCCGTGTGTAGACGTAGACTGTGTTGATGATCTCGTCCGTTGTCTTCGCAGAATCCGTAGCAGAGACATGGGAAGTCTTGAATTGTCCAGCTGGAGTGAACAACAGACTTCCGTCGGGGGCAAATGTGAGTCGTCTGAAGAAAGATGTGAACGTCTCGTTCGCATAAATACTGGTGTTCTTTACTCCCAAACCACTGAGACCCCCAAGGCCACCGACAAGGCTTGGAGAGGAGGTCTCCATTGGTTTCACAGCGGGTAATGGTAGAGACGGGGCAGGAGACGCAGAGCGCCGGATTGAAGGAGACGAGCCGAACGAAGACCGTCGGCTATGCGACACTGGAGGAGGATCCATGGGAAGATTAGAAGCCATTGGGGTTCCCGGGGTTGAGGGAGCAGGCGATGCAATCGCAAGGGAATTGGCGGTGGGTTGCTGGGGTCGGCTAGTCACATCTGGAGGCGCAGGGCTGCTGGAGGAGATACGCTTGGCTGGGAGATCCATCTTAAGAATCTTCCCATGTGGTGTCAATGTGAATTGGCCATCCTTGGTTTTCAAGGAATAGATATGAACCGATCTGTCGGATGACTGAGTTGCAACAAATTCATTCAGCGGATCCCAGGCTACACCTTGGACGTAGTGTGAATGCTCTGCAATCTGTCGAACCATTTGCCCTGGGGAAATAGACCTGTCAGCTTATTCGACTGGTTCAAAGTTACATAGAGATCACCAACCAGTTTGAGCATTATAGATCCGGGCGATGTTGTCCATGCTGCCTGTAATGATGAAAACACCATCAGGGGACCATGCCAGGTCGTAGATCTCGGCGCCGGACGAGCGACACATGTGCTTCACGCGCCATGTCTCCTTGTCATCCGAGCGGTCCTCACCCAACCCGGGTTGTGTCTGCAGCTCCGACGGTACCCACAGCAGGACATTTCCATCGTCTCCGGCGGATGCCAGCATCTCACCTGTCAACTGTCAGATCTGCAGTCCTGCGCTTTCTAGTCAAGGAATATACCTTTCGGGCTGAACCGAACCACATTGACTGCCTGTGTATGCTTTAATAAGGTACTTAGATAGGTGACTTTTCGGTCATCTCCGATAGATTCCACCTTCCAAAGCTGTATATAGGTCAGATCACGGTCTTCGGGGAAGGGCGAGGGAGGCGGAATCATACTCGAACGTTGTTGTCACTTGAAAACGCGACTGTTAGCCAAAGGAACCATATCCAAGATCGCAGAGAAAACATACTTGCCAGCAGTAGCTAGACGGCCCTTTCCATTGGGGTCATAATGCACCGAATAGATAGGGGCATTGTCGTTATGCCATGAGACGAGCAACGGAGTAGCCTTCATGGCGGACAACGCAGCTCAACACGCTGTATTGACCACCTCCGATGCAAATGAAGGGCGTCGTCTCAAGGGAGAGACCTCGAATTCAGCAGATGGTTTCTGCCGAGTGATAGCTCGTTCCGTGCGAGCAGGATTGATCAGAGAGGGTCCTCAATTTGAAAAACGAATAAGGAGAAGGAGAAAGAAGAACGATGAGAAAAAGGAAGAGAGGAGAAAGTAAAGAGGAGAGAGAGTTCAGAGTAGGGAAAGTCGTGGTCCGCGATGATGCTTCGAGTTGTTTGCGCGGGAACGCGACCGTCGATTAGATATGCCGAGCCTCTGACTCGCTTCTGGCACTTGAGACTCTATATTTCATGCTTCAATTGGACATTTATATTGGAAAGTTGCAATCCCCAACGCCTTCGGTAAGTAAAGTTACATAGAATTCCAGTTGGTTTACGACACCCAGCTGCCAATGGTCTCTCCAAACCAACTGACTGCCTTCTCCCGCCGCTTGTCCCTTGTAGTATCGTGATTCTTCATGAAAGGTCCGACCTCCTCCACGTATAACTTTTGCTGCTCCAGTTGCGCATAGTGCGCCCTGATCTCTAGCTCTCGCTCATGAGGTGTGAGCTTTTGTAGCGGCTTGGAGGGTTTGAATCCTGCGGGGATGGGCTCGCCTCCGGGGATCTCCAGACCAGGCTTCTTCTCGGCAGGGGGCATCTGCTCTGGATTGAACAGGGATGCAATAGGAGGTGGCTCAAGACCGGCGGCCTTGGCTTCTTCGATTCGCTTTTCGTAGTCTAGCATCTGGTGGTAGAGCTTGTCGGCGTGCATCTGGATGCGCTCTTCTTTTTCGGCGTCATATGAGAAGGAGGATGCGTAGCCAAGAGCTTGGAGGAATTTCTAGGCGCAACCGTGTTAGTTGAAGTATATATATAGACATCATAGGTCTTAGCTTACGGTTTGGGTTGTGAAGCATCGAGAGAAAGTGCCGTTCTCCGCGGAACACATAGTCAATCGGGCCTCAATTTGCTTGCGCCAGTTGCCAGTCTGGAAGCAGGTGGTCAAGGCTTCATGTTCCAAAGCGCAGTTCTCCATTGCTGCCCGTTGAACTGTGTCGCCGCGCTCCTTGTGTTTCTCAATCACTCGCTCCGCCCCGCGGACTCCATTACTCTCATCGATCTCCATCGGTGGCTTATATGTCTTCCAAAGGTCGGCATAACGACCATCTTGGTAAAGGGAAGCCGCAGGGACTGTTGGTTTCGAGGAATCAGAAGGTTCGGATGTTTGCGTAGGCGTCGGAGTCGGCGGCTTCACACCGGCAGGGACGTATTTCTCGGGCTGCTCCTTCTCGAGATAGTCGCGAAGACCCGGTTCGAGCTTGTCAACCGGGTCAGATTTGCTGTCGCCCCAAAACCAACCCATTTGGACTTGCGAAAGGTAACCGTTGAGGGTTGCGGAGAAATCGGCACAAAAATGGATCGGCCCCCGATCGCCTTGGCTCCGACCGCAATTGGCGTTCTACTCCTCAACCAACAACACGACGCGTCTTTCTCGACGCCGTTCCTCTACTATGGAACCCAGTAGGTGTTGTCTATCTACACGTCTTGGAATGGTCGCTAACCACTGACAGCGCGAGAGGAGCGGCAGCAAATGCGGCAGCGTGGAGCTGGGTACGCGCCTTACTTCTACCCCGCGAAACAACATAGCTAATGTGGCATAGGACGCGCAAAGCAAAGGAAGTGAATTTCGGATTCTCTTTCGGTGGTCTTGCGCCTGAGCCATCAGCGCCTGCGCCGCTGGCTATTGTCCCTCCAATTCAACCACAAACACAACCCGCGACTACACCACCATCACCCGAGGCATCGACCCAAGCCGAGAAGCAAAATGCGCGTACACCAGGAAGCGCGCGTAACAAACTCCCCGAGAGACCTTCAACATACGATATTCCTTCAGACGACGGACCCGAACAAACGCGAAGTAGCAAACGGAGGAAGATCAGTAAGTGTGGCGCAAGACGTGACTTACGCTTCAGCGTGTGCTAATCCTGCTCAAGACCCAATCGAAAAAATACAGCATACTCCCACTCGGCGAAAAAGAGCGCAACCCACGAATGGCCACTCCGAACCCGCTGATAACAGCGCAGGTAGCACTGAAAGCCAACTCAGCAATGCACCCCAAAGCACCGACGCGACTACACAACAGGAACAACCCACCGGAAATCCTGAAGATCAAGTTACATCTATTTCGGGGCCTTCTATTGACACCCAGCGGCCGGTTATTGAGCCCTCGAGCGCTAATGGTATGAAACCAGTAATCCTAACCGATACTGAGCAGCTTGCTCAGAATGACAAATCGGAAAACGGCGTTACACGGGATCTAGTAGCAGAAGGCAGCCAAGAGCGAAATTCATCACCCAAAGCATCCTCATCTGAGACTCAGTCTAGGGCCAAACAGCCAGAAAAGACGAAGATACCACGTCCAAACCGGCATAGAAGTCCATCACCAATCAAACCTTCCGAGAAGGTCCAAAGAGACAACAGAAATAAGAGAGGTACTACAGAAACTCCTTCTCCAGCGGACCGTCTGGCCGAAAAGCCCACAGCGCCTCCACAAAGCAAGGCATCGACAGAGCTTGCTGAAGCTAATAATGCTGAGGCTGAGACTGAGGCAGCTGAGGGCGCTCTGGAGTTCACGAGAAATTCACCCGGGCAAGGCCAGCAAGCATCTACAGAGCCTCTCCAGGCGACAAAGAAAGCGCGCGGCCGCCCACGCAAGTCGATTGGCCCTCAGCCACCAGAAACTACAACGAATACGACACTAGCAATTGCACCCGAAATACAATCTGGACCGACAGCAGTACAAGCTGAGGCATCAGCACAGCCCAAACGGCCTCGGGGGAGACCATCTCTCAGTGGGAAGACCAAAGTCGCAGGACGTATCAGGAATTCACCTGAACTCGTACCAGAATCAGCAGTGTCCAAACCGCAACGCAGCAGACCTAAGAAGTCCAATCATGAGGCCAGTCCCGAGCTCGAGGTTGAAGCGGAGACAGAATCACCAGAAGCCGATGAGCCTGTGGAAACCGCAGTTCCCAAACCACGTGGTAGACCTAGCAAGAAAGGGAAGCGCCCGGTGGAGCATGAGTCTGAACCCGAACCCGAACCCATCACAGAAGACCAACCAAGCTCTGAGGCAGCACCTATATCCAGGCCACGTGGCAGGCCTGCAAAGATGGCGAAGCGTCCTGTGGAGCACGAGACAGAGCCCGAAGCTGATGCCGAGGCCGAGCAAGAGCAATCAGCAGTTGAGCCTACAGAGCAACCTCGCCGAAAAGCCCGTGGGCCCCGAGGAGAGAGCTTCCCTGTCACTGTTCATCGTCTCGCCAATGTTGTTGCTCTGGGCAGCAGGGTCGCTGCCGCAGCAGATTCTGGAGACGAACAAGACTCCGCGGACGAGCTATCATCACGCCAGCGAACCAAGGTGCCCAACCGCGGCGGTGTCAATCCTGCCGACGTATTGGGCCAGATATGCCGTGAGACTCTAGAGAAGACCCTCAATACACTCAAAGATGGCATTGCCAATGAAGCAAATGCTACACGGCGAGCCGAGTGGACACGCAAGAGAAAAGCCGTCGAGGCCTTTGGATTTGAACTCGAGAGTCGTCTTATGGATCTCAGTGAGATGCTGGACAGCAACTTTGTCCTCGGCGTGCAATTGAAGAAAGCCAAGAAAGAAATGATGGATCTACGCAGCCATCTCTACCGAGTGAAAAAGGAACGAGAGGCCGTTGCTTTACAGATGGACGCCGTGCGTGGTAAACACATCGAAGAAGAGAAGACCAAATCGGTAAGTCGCAGCTCTCCTTGCTATTTTAGTCACAAGAGCCCCTCCTAACCATCCCAGTCACGGACCACCATCAACAACTCCCTTCACAGTCTCGATCTTGCCCTCGAGCGTAACAAGAGCCGCACTGCAGCTGTTGAATCGACTACTGCAGATCTCGAATTCATGCTCCGCACCGTTGCCAACGTCAGTGCGCGAGCCCCAGGAGCCCAAGGAGGCCTCCTCAACCAAATCCGGGCATTTAATGCACAGCTTGAAGCTACTGCAAGCCGCTTAGAGCGATAATATGTATGGTTTACTGTTATGATACCAGTGTGTACATGGGTATATTCCTGGCTGGGCCAGGGGTGCATCGGATATGAAAGAATCAGGATCTCAAGCCCTAATTCCGAATTGCACTTTTTTCCGAACTTGAACCTTTAGGAATGATTAAAGATTACTAATCCCCCGTGGCCACCCAATCAGCCAATCCAACTCGCCAATTGCGGGCTACGGTTCCAAAGTTTTCTCCCGCCACTTGTAGATCTGATGCCAATGCTTGATAATCGGCGATGCTTGATAATCTCTAGCGTTTCTGGTAGATACTGTGGAATAGAAATAGTATATATAAGCGCCTGGTCCTCAATCTATAGCCAATATCAGTCCCCAACTCTAACCTCCTTTTCTCCCCCATCTCAACCCTAACTCCTCCCAATATGACCAAACTCTTCACCCCCCTCCGCGTCGGCCGCGTCGAGCTCTCCAACCGCATTGCCATGGCACCCATGACCCGCTTCCGCGCCGACGACAACCACATCCCGCTCCCAATCGTGAAAGAATACTACGAGCAACGAGCCTCCGTCCCAGGAACCCTCCTGATCACCGAAGCAACCTTCATCTCGCCGCGCGCCGGCGGATACCCCAACGTACCGGGGATCTACAACGACGCGCAGATCGCCGCGTGGAAGGAAATCACCGACGCCGTGCACGCCAAGGGCAGCCACATCTACGTGCAGCTGTGGGCGCTTGGCCGTGTTGCCTCGCCCGACGCCCTGAAGGCCGAAGGCGACTTCGACCTCGTTTCCAGCAGTGCCTCGCCGGCAGCCGAGGGCGCCCCTGTGCCGCGTGCGATTGAGGAGGCTGAGATCGCCGGCTGGGTGGCGGACTACGCGCAGGCTGCGCGCAATGCCGTCGCTGCTGGCTTCGACGGTGTCGAGATCCACGCTGCTAATGGGTATCTGATTGATCAGTTCATTCAGGATAAGTGCAATGTGCGTGACGATGGGTATGGTGGCAGCGTGGAGGCCAGGGGCCGCTTTGCTGTCGAGGTTACCAAGGCAGTTGTTGAGGCTGTTGGTGCCGACCGCACTGGCATTCGCTTCAGTCCCTGGAGTACGTTCCAGGGTATGCGTATGGAGGATCCTCTGCCGCAATTTGAGTATCTTGCGACGCAGATGGCGGCGTTGAAGCTTGCTTATGTTCATCTGGTTGAGTCGAGGATTACGGGTAATGCGGATACTGAGTCGACGGATCAGTTGGATTTCTTCTTCAAGGCTTATGCTGATGCTTCGCCGGTGATTGTTGCTGGCGGGTATAAGACGGATTCGGCGATCGAGGCTGTCGATGCCAAGTATCAGGATCATGATGTTGTGATTGGCTTTGGACGGCCTTTCATCACCAACCCTGACTTGGCTTTCCGTATTAAGAAGGGCATTTCGTTCGTGCCTCATGATCGGACCAACTTCTATGTTCCCAAGGACCCCAAGGGATACATTGACTACGAGTTTAGCGAGGAGTTCAAGTCTGTCGGAGTTCAGGCTTGATTGATTTGATGCTTTGTTTATTAGCGATATAGACTTGTACATAGCAAGATTTGAAGAGTGCATATATGGAGTGCATGATGCATGATACCGCAGCGTCGATCTCTGCACTAGAGTGCATACTAGAACTCAATTAGCACCCAATCCAACCCATTCGATATCAAACTCACCCTAAACCCTCTATTCTCGCGATCAGTCAAATCCAAAAACCCAACCTCTCCGCTCCCCTCACCAGCCTTCTCCCTCCTGGAATTCTCCCAAACATAATACCCCCTCAGCGCAAAAGTAAAAACAATCGCAACAGCAAGCGTCGCAACAATAGCGATCTTCGCCGGGACATAATCCGGCTCATCCTCCGTCCGGAAAGTCAGCGGTCCCAAAATATTTCCCAAACAAAACGACATCAGCAAAACCGCATTCATAGAAACCTTCTTGGTATGACCCGCCACATTCGCCCCAGCAAGCGAATACATAATCGGCAACGCAGACCCAGTACACTGCGTCAAATAATTCCCAGCCAGCTGCGCAGACTTATTCGACCGCGGCGCGAAAGCAAGTAAACACCCCCAAGCAACCCAGCCGAGAGAGCAGCAACAATACACAAACAGCGCTGGTTATAGCGACCCGCAGTCCACGACACAGCCAGGATAGTGACGATGCTCACGGCGCCGTTGGGAATATTCAGTAATTCCGTCTCTTTGGTCGTATACCCGAAGTTCTTGATAATAAGCGACGTGAACGAGCTCATGGCCGCATTGGGCACGTCCATCGCTGTCACGATAATGGCAATCAGATAAGTCTGCGGATCGGTGAAGATCTCAACAAACTGGCTGCGTTTAAAGTGCTTGTTTTCGATGCCGGTTTGGTTTTCGCGGAGTCGTTCGATGGCGAGGAGTTTTTCGCTGTGGCTTAGACGCGATGTCATGGGGTTGTCCGGGAGGAAGATCGTTATGCTGATTCCGACGGCTATAGTTATTAGGCCGAAGATGAGGAACATTATTTGCCAGGGCTTGAAGGTGTTGGAGGTGTAGAAGAGGAGGCCGTAGGCTACTAGTGCGCCCATTATTGACGCGGTGCCGGTGCCTAGATACCATATTCCCATTCTTTTGGGTTGTTCTGGGAACGGTCAGTTTGGGTGGGTGTATAGATGGAGGGTGTTTTTTTACCGTCTCTTTTATACCACATTGAAGTGATGAGGATTAATCTGGGATTGGGTGAGACTCATTCTGACCTGGCTCTAGGGTAGGGCACTGGTAGGACTCACGCCGGTGCAATTGCACTCTCGAAACAACCGAGTAAAACCCGGAGTACCATCAGTCCGGGGAAGTTCTTCGCCGTGCAGTTCAAAGTTGTCATAAGGCCCCATAAAGTGACTATTCATGTGTTAGTAGCCCTCAAAAACACGATGATATCAAACCTCCACTCCAACGATACTCACCATTAAACCCTAAATACTTGGCCGTAGGCAACCGCTGCATCAAGAACCCAGTAGGCAACTCGAAGAACAAGTACGTCACATAGAACGCCAGTGTTAGATTCGAGAATTGATCAGTGTGCATATTGGTATCACTCAGCAAGCCCATGACCGAAGCATAATTGACTGCAGAAAAGTAACAAGGTTATGAGTATTGATCACCATGCGTGCAGATTAGACGTCAACAATGGGAACTAGGGACGGGGACACCTACTAAGCACCTTGTCCAGATACTGTAAATTATAAGCCGCCCACATCAACGGCATGATCATCCAGTCAATCTTGCGGACGAGTGCTTTCTCATCGACCTCTGATAGATCTGCCACATCTTCTGAGCGGAGAAAGTCGAGGGCTGCATCGGCCTTGCCGGTAGATATTAGGTCGCCTTTTGTTTCTAGATCCATGTTGGAGGATATTGGGTGTTTCTCTGGTTCTGAGCTCATTCTTCTTGTGATTTGGCTGGGATAGGATACCAGGATCGTCGGAGGGCACACAGCACTGTAGATAGAGACAGTCACTAGACAGCAATCGATTGATATAAATACTAGTATGTCTGGCACCTTATCTCTTCTCCTCTCTTCTCCTCTACAAAACAGCCACCATCAATTCAAGGGCACAGCACCCCCTCTAACCCTCGGACCAAACGTAGGGACTAAAAGGAAGACCAACACCTCCAAACGAGATAACATCGTTCTCACCTTCCTGAAGAAGTGCATCGTGCGGAGAATTCGCGGTTGAAGCCGCCGATTGATAACCAACGTTGAATCTCAATGCGAGACTGCCGCGGGGGTTGACTGGGTTGACTAGGTTGACTCGGTTGGCTGGGTTGCTGGCGAGGGGATGGCGGGAAGTCCCAGCGCAACTGTCACATTGCTAACGAAGCGAATGGTGCAGCGCGCAGCTTAGATAAGTATCCTGGGGGTTCTGACAGGCTCACTGGTGCACAGTCGGCTTTAAAAGGAAGGTGATCGCTGAGATAAGTGTTGTCTTGGAGTTATAGTTGACCCCGCACGCGGGAGAGTCGGCAGTTGGAGTTTCTGCCCTGGTCGGGTTAGTAGTCAGTGATTGGGAAGTAGTCAGATTAGGAAGTAGTCAGTGGTGAGGTGAGCTCCAAGGTTGTTTGGAGGCCTTTGGAGGCCTTGGAGGTCTTGGACTGATAAGGAGTTGGGGTAGTCCACGGGGGTCCCTGAACAGCAGTTGCTGGAGAGAAAGTCAGATAAGCCGAACAAGGAAAGCAAACAAGTTGCCCCAGCATCTGACCGCTCTTCAAGACTCTTATAACATCATCCCGAACCTCTTTTTGAGACTTCCCAACCCGATCCGCGGCCCTCCGCACAGAAACGCATCCCAAATTCAGACATGACTCGAATAGGCGAGTTGCATGGATCTAAATCGGAACATGGTCACCACTTCGTCTGATCTCCCGCAAAAGTACAGTACAGTACAGTCTTCAGATCCAACATGTGTCTCCCCACACTCGCACATCATAAGATGCTCACGTGGTGTTGGAGGCTGTCCGACTTGGCAAATGAAGTGGATTTCGGGGCTTCTGGGCATCGCAACTGGGCATTTCCATCCGCCTTCCGCTCCGCCGAGCCGAATCGTCCCTTTTTCGGCTATGCAAAACACAGTCAGGGTCCAGTGTGAACCACGGATGGCAGTCCAATTATTTCGCTTCCGAAACTGGGAGTCATTGATCGGGGACGGGACAGCAGTGCGGCATTATGGTTGGCGGGAATGGAATGATTGATCAGATGAGCAACCTGGGAACTGTGGGGAAACCTGGCATTCAATGTTCAATGATTGACATTTGCGGCAAAGTCAGTTGTGCAGGATCGACTGCTGCATGACGATGCATGACGCTACTTTCATGCTGGGAGAGCTCTCCCCGCATTGCTAGAGTGATGGAATGGGAGAATCGAAGGTTTGGGTTCAGTAGAGTTGGGGCAAAAAGGTTGGATAGGCCATGTGGCTGCTGGGACAACCGTTGATCTGTGCTTGGAGATCGAGTAGCGGTCAGAGTTGGACTACTGTTGAATCTGGCTTTTGACTTTGCGAACTGCTTATAGTGCCACTTTAGTGCTTGTCTGCCCACCCCGTGGATAGAGTTCAGTCTTGGGGGCGACACCAACACTCGTCAAGGTCAGGATCTCTCTACTTCCGTAGAGTTACAGTCGGTCCAAATGTACCCAAATGAATGTACTTTGGTGCAAGGCAGCTCCGGGGCCAGACTTGCCCTTTGCTTCATGTCTCATCGGCTAATATCAGCCCAAAGTCAAAAAAATCCACCTAATTTTTGCACAGGGCAGGGCTAAAGCCAATCTCAAGCCCTGTGGTGGTTGTTTATTGTTCTTGGCACGCCACAAATCCAATGTATAAGGGGACCAACCACCACTAGTGACTAGCGACCAGAGATTTCACGGAAGACAGGTTGTACGAGGCAAGTGGATCGAGACACCGATCCTAAGCATTGCCGCTGCAGAAGATACGATAGTCTACACAGGGGATCTTGCATAATGACCGAGATGCATTAGTGGCGGAGTGATCCTCCCGTGTCTCTCCTGGCCCCCAACCCCTGGATACAATGCCAGGGGATGTTCACGGAATCCCAGTCTCGACAGGAGAAGAGAGAGAGGTCCCAGGAGTCAAAGCCGAGACAGTAACCGTCCGAAGCTGAACGGGGAAATCTCTGACGCGGGCCGAATCCGAAGCTAACTGGCACTCAATGGAGCACAGAGAGACGTCGACAGGTTCCACTTTCTCACGTTTGTCACTCCATCGAACCACTATGTGGAGATGAAGCTTGACTGTGCATGTCTAGCTTGAAAAAAAAAAAGAAAAGAAAAGAAAATATCAAATCAAATGGATTGAAAATCCCACGGTATTGCCCGATCGAGGTTTAGTGATTTCTCAACGGTTGAACCATTCCCTGGAGAACTCGTGTATAGCCGTCAGCAGTACCTTCATACTATAGAGATAGATCCAAAGAACCTAAACTCAGTCTGACATGTCCCGTCTTTCCGAAACGTCCAGCAAAATACTAAAAACCGGAGTTAAGATGAGGATTGTCCGTGTCAACGTTCAGTCCAGATATCCGTGCCCGACTCAAAAAAGGGGCAAAAGGGAGACAGCACACAGACTAGACCCAGACCCACGAGGTTAGTCCGGCCTAATGCAGAGAGGGAGAGAATGGGGAGACCTGCATCGACCACGAATCACGTCTTGGACTCCTGTCCCCAGTCCGATGATATAGTTGGGACAGGTGTTTTGGGCTTACTGTACGGAAGTATGGCTGGATGAATTCATTGGTGCGTAATCCCACCCGGAAACAGCTGACTACTGTCCCAGCTTTGCATTACCAATCCCCGTCGGTACTGGTCGAAACTCTGGGCTTGAGGATATTCTGGATAAATGGAAATCTTGGACCGAGGTCGTGACGCAGTTGACCCGGTAGTGCCGGGATTTCGCCCCCGAAGCTTCTGGGAGCTGCGTATTGGATCGTCAGTCTCTGCTCTCCACTGAGTTACTTGTCAGTACTGTATGCAAATTGCACCAGTGCTCTCTCTCCGGACTAGAGGAGGTTCGTAGCCGCGATTTTCATTGAGTAATTTCCGTGGCTCTTATGCATGGGGGGGGGGGGGGCTTAAGACCCTTGACCCACTGATCAGAGGCGGCTGACAAGAAAGTGGGAAATTCAATGGAAACACTGCCCCAGAGGAAAATGGAATTCCAGTGAAACTTGTCAGCTGTAAGCTGTAAACTGGTTAATGTCCGAGTTGTGTCTACCGTGAGAATTGTCAGAGTAGAAAAAGGATTCCCCGGATCCCCGCCCTTACCCCGGTCACTTTGTTATTATTATTATTTTTTTTTTCTTTCTTTCGCATCTCTTTCATATTCTTCCGTGCCGTGTGTCTGCTGGCAGTGGCTCATTGGCAGAAGTTCCAGAGTCTCGTGAAACTTCGTCCTAGTCCGAGTTCTACTCCCTAGTCCTTCTCTGCTGTATACATAAAGTGGCTCTCCCCTTAGCTCCATTCAGTTCCCACTTTTTTCCCACCTCTGTTTGGAAAACGATTGCACATCACTGCTTCAATTAAATCAGGAAAAAAAAAGAAAAGAAAAGGAAAAAAGACAGTAAGTTTGTTGGTTCCACCTCGTTCCGTTCGTCCCTTGTGGCTATATGAGCGGCCGGGTCATCCCAGTTTCCCCAAGTCAACTTTGTTCTTCATCTCAGCAGTGCTGTGGAATTCCTCTCTCCCATATTAATAACTGTGTTATCAATTGGGCTTTTTTCATCTTTTTTCATAGTCCAGCTAGCTGGTCTCTTATTTTAACGATCCCCTTTTAACGAGAATAATCAGTTCTGAAACCCCGTGCATCATGTCTGCGACTGAAGCATCAACCAACCCCGGTCTGGAGAAGGACGTCGGAGTCGCTCCCCAGACTCAGAACGGCGCCGGTGCGGCGATGCAGCCTCAAATGTCTGCCGAGGAGCACCAGGTGGCTCGCGCCGCCGCCCGCTTCGGATATGGACCGTTGGCTCACGTCAACACCAACGAGGCTTCGCTCCCGGCATTCGGTGGAGAGTTCCAGCCGGGTCTGTACAAGTCGGTCGAGGGTCGCAAGTTCGCCAATCCGGCGCCTCTGGGCCTCTGCGCTTTCGCCTTGACTACGTTCGTGTTGAGCGCAATTAACATTGGTGCGAAGGATATCAGCGCGCCCAACATTGTCGTTGGTCTTGCTTTCGGATATGGTGGTCTGGTGCAGTTGCTTGCTGGCATGTGGTATGTACCTACCTCGTCGTCCCTTCTCCCCAATTAAGTAGGATTGAACTAACGTTCCCCAGGGAAATGGCCGTTGGCAACACCTTCGGTGCTACTGCTCTCTCCTCTTACGGTGGTTTCTGGTTGGCCTTTGCTATCGTCTTGACCCCCGGTGGGTTCCAGATCGAAGAAGAGCTCGGCGCCACCTCCAGTGATCCCTCCAACTTCTACAACTCCATGGGTCTGTTCTTGATGGTATGTCGCCCTCTCCCATCACTCATCCTGGATGCGCACCTGGGCAGAGCAGAATGCTAACGTCATCAATATAGGGCTGGTTCATCTTCACCACCATCATGCTCTTCTGCACCCTGAAATCAACCGTTGCCTTCTTCCTGCTCTTCTTCTTCCTGGACTTGACCTTCCTCCTCCTCGGTATCTCGTACCTGCAGACCGATTCCTCCGGAGGTGTCAACGTCCCCGTCCAGAAGGCAGGCGGTCTCTTCGGTCTCCTGGCGGCCTTTGCTGCCTGGTACAACGCCCTGGCCGGTATCGCCGATACCAGCAACAGCTTCTTCATCATTCCCGTTGCTCACTTCCCCTGGTCGGCCACTGGCCGTACCCGTCGCAACAAGTCGGAGCGTGAGCTCGCTTAAATGATTGTTGCGGATTGAGTTGAAATCGAGAGGTGTCCATGCCATCTAAGTGCGTGTGGCACTTGTAATGTTTCTGATACCCAGCGCTGTATGTACCTGTCGCGGGCGATAATCTCAGCTCCCTCGGATCTTGGCTGGAGTATGTGAGGCGCCATTGTCGACGCGTTCGCTCGTCGCTTGATAGTTGGTTCGGTCGCATGCTCGGAGATCGGAGGAGGGATAGAGGTTTTTCGTCTTGTGGCTTTGTGACTGTTTGCCTTTTTGGTTTGAGATGATCAATACGGAACATCTCTTCCTTGGGCACTGTTGCAAAAGTGTCTGGCTGCGTTTTGCTCTTTGTAGCAGCGTGGCTGGTTAATTGTTTGGTCGGTGGTTCCTGGTGCAAGCCTCCTGAATTGGTGCTTGTATGGAACCCTGGTCTTTTTCCTTGTTGTATTTAGTCTCCTTATCTGCGAGTTTTTGACTCTGTAATTAATTCCATGTTTGATGACAACGTGTCAGATGTTCTCTCCCTTTTTGGTTCTTGTATGAAGTTTGAATTGGGTTCGGATCTTGCCTTGTTCCGAGCTCGTGTGTTGGTCGGCTGGTGTTGGCGCGACTTGCGTGTCGGCACTGAAGGGTAGCTGGTGGCAGTGGTGGTGCTGGTCTGTCGCAGGTTCCAATTCCAATAGAGCCCACGTCAATGCAATTGACCATGGACGAGTGAGTCGTTGCTAGTTCCCAGAACCAAGCATCAGTTCTGCATAAGTCAACAAATCACAACCCCACCGAGACGAGGGTCAGCTAGTCTGGCATAGATCATGATTGTAGACTGGACTGTAGAAAGTCAGCTGTAGACAGCCAGCTGTAGACTGTATGTTGTAGACTGTAGGTTGTAGTAGTTGAAGACAATAACCCCTGCTCTCAGCCATAGCAGCAAAGAACAGTCAGAACAGTCAGCCTAAAAACCCAATCCAACCCTCAAAGGCAGTAAATAGGGGCAAGGGGCAAACCCAAGTATACACCCGGAAACCCAATAATTTTCCAACTTTCAGGACAACCCGTTTATTATAATCGGCTTTCCGCAGGGGGTGGAGAAGCCGATTCTTTCGTCGGGATTTTCTCGGGCTGAGACTTAGCTTGGTTTGAGATGTCAGGACGAGGATAGGCTTACTGTACACAGTTCCCATATTCTGTCTTGTCGGTTGATGTTTGTGTTGCAGGTTGGATCTGAAAACAGAAAAGATATTCATATAGACCACCCTCAATGACTGTTCAATTGCTCTATACTGTACTGTGCAGTTCGAAGAAAAGAAAAGCCTCCATGTCCAAATCACAAGTTCTCACCTCAGACAATTACCGAGCAAACACCGATACTCCACCCGGTGGAAACTCGGTCCTGTCTCGGGGTGCTGTTGAGACCAGTCAAGTGAGCTAAAGCGTTTATCCAGACGGTAATCGCCCGTTGATCGGGATGCCGAGACTGTCAGGTGGACCAGGTGAGCCTGTCAGATGTGCATTGGCCGGGTTGACACGGGAAGATGAGGTATATTCGGGGTTTGGGGCTTGGCTGGGATGTCGCGGGCGTTCATGACAATCATACTGTACAGTACAGTCATTCCGCATACGAGGAATGGAATCGTTATTCGTTCAGACTACGCCACATGCTAAGTTATATACAGATACATACAAGCGCTACAGCACGATCAGAAGAGGAACTACCAGGCAAAACAGGCAGGATTGGCACCAAGTATCAAATGCATTCCAATGCTAGCCGAGTAACTCAAGCCGGCTCCACCTGGCACTGCATCAAGACCTCATCCCAAACCTGTCGGAGCATGGGCAGATGGACACGATCGACATAGAAAAAGCCCAGCAAGAGCGCTCGAGCTTCTTGCCAAGTCGAAATCCCCTGTAGGCGCGCCGCAGCAGCCAGCTCGGAAACGAAGAAGGCCCGCTCGGCTGGTAAAGTCGCGCTGCACACAGCGCCCATGACGAGCTGCCAGATCAGCAGATCCCGACACAGTGCAAACAGTCCCATGGGGATGGTAGCGGCGAGAGCGGCGCGAAGGGCGAGAATTGGTTTGGGGAGGAGCTGTGCGACCATGGGATAGAAGCTCCAGATGGCGCTGTTGTGGAAGAGGAGACAGGCGAGACGGGTGCAGCCCTCGATTGAGTTGTCGCCTTTGACTTGGCCGGTTGGGGTGTAGCGATCTGTGTGGAGCATGTATTCCACGTATAGGACTTCGGTGTTGAAGTAGTCTTCGGTTTCTTCGTTGAATTCTCGGTAGCCTGTTTTTCCTTTGATCCATTCTGCGTACCAGGAAAGTTCGAGCAGGTCGTAGATTATCTGGGGCATGGCTTCGCCGAATATGCCCGGGATTTTGAGAAGGGGGGAAGAGGCGCGTTGCTAGGAGGGCGACGTCGTCGTTTGGGGGGATTAGGGAGAAATGGGCTGGGCGAGTGTATCGCACAAAGGGGAAGATTGGTTTGGCGTGAGCCATGCAGGCGACGCGGATGTCAGTCCTGTTCTTGTCAGCGACATCGTTGGCACAGGGCGTTGATGGACTCACCATGAGATTTGGAACCGCACGTCCGAGGGGACTTCATCAAAGTTCTTTCGCAGGGCGATCATCTGTCGCAGTCCTGCTAGGTGGATTTTGAGATAATCAGGGTTTCCCGATGCAATCTAGTCATCATAAGTCAATTATCATTCACATCTCATCTCGGAGACACTCACTTCAATCGTCAAGAGGGTGGAAACAGCAGCAATAAGAACATCACTCGATGCCTTGACGGGGTCCGACAAGCCCTCATTAACAAGTCGAATAGTCTCACCCCGGTGGTGGAATGTATCAATGACCAACTGACTCCTCTTTTGATTTGGGTCTCGAATGGGCAACTCGCCAGCCTGCATGGCAGTATTAGACGTTGCCATACAGATAGTCGCATGCAAAATGGCGGGATCGCGCTGGATCAGAGAGGCCCAATGTGCCTGCAGCTTGGGCTTATAACGCGTCTGCAACGGATGCGCTTCTTGCGTCAGATCCCACAAGACTATGTTCAAGTCAGTATATGCATCCAATCCCTCTTGACTGAATGAGTTACTCACAAACCCTCAAATGCGACATCATCCGATCCGTCAATTGCGTATGTCCAGTATGAAATGGGTCATTCGCACCCTGCCCAACACACGACCATATAGACGGATATGCAGCCGCCTCTCCATACCCATGATCCCCCTGTTCCCATATCGACGCCCCCGAGCCAACAGGGTATCCAGCCGAAGAAGAGGAAGAAGAAGTTACCAGCGCATTACTCATCCCAACTTCCTCCACCTCTGACTCTTCAGAGATCCGCCTCCCAGACCCGGCCAAGCTAGCCGCAGAGCTTATAGATGCGCGCGCAGGTCCAAGGCCACGGCCAGATGTGGCCGAGCCAAGCGCTCCGGCAGGCGTCTGGTATGGCGTCTGCTTCCATTTGTCTTTGTTGTATTGCTTCGTGCTTTCCATGCGCTTTTTGCGGTTATGCTCGGACATCACATGGGACCGAATCCGCTTGAGAGTCTCTTCCGTTGTGCCTTCTGCTGCTGTTTGTGGATCGCTGTTTACCCAGAAGAGCGTTGATTTCCCCGAGGCGTTGGCGTTCGCCTTGCGGGGCTTGCGGACCTTGGCGGGGGCATTGCGGGCTTTGGGTTGTGTTGGAGGTTGTGGTTGCGGTGGCACCGGAGCTGGAGCTGGAGCTGGAGCTGGAACTCGATCTTGGGTTGCAGTGATTGGAGCTGAAGCTGGAACTGGAGCAGGACCTGGACCTGGGACTAGAGGGAGTTGGGACGGATAGGGCTGGGGATTGACATGATCGACGGAGGCGTCCGGGGCCTCGCTCGGCCATGGCCGCGACAGCACCGGCAGATTGTGGAACTTTTCTTCCATTGCTGAAGGAGAAAGAAAAGAGCTCCCACGAGCCCGGGGGAAATGGAAGTAATTATGGAGGGAAGGAAATTGGATTCTTCATCAATCTGGGCGAATCACGGTTGCCGCTAAAGTGTTAGTGGGATGCGAGGCTGCGCCCGAGTCACATTCTGAAGAAAAAGACCAGAGTCCCTGAGGGGGTTGGACTCGTAACTTAGTTCCAGACAAGCTATGAGGGGACTCGAAGAGAGTTGATCCACTCTTGGCTTATCCACTGGGTGTTGCTCGTTTGACTGGTTGACTGGCTGGGTGGCTGACTGCTATATAGTAGATATGTACGGAGTCCGAAATGGTCGATGTTGGTGTGTCTTGTTAGAACGACTCTTCGACAGGTCCATTGCGAAAAATAAATCTAATTATAGACTGGAATGATCTTCCTTTGGGCCCCAAAGGTCCAATTCACTGAAATCTCGGTCCCCAATAGGTGGGCTGAGATACTGCCGGTGGTGGTGGTGACTACCGAGACACTGCAGAAGAGGAGAAGAGGACTGGAACTACAGTGCATGTACTCTAGCATGTGTCGATATGCATAAAACTGGGGTTGACAGACTCGGATTACCCGGTTATACTCCGTGAGCTCCACAGGACTAACTACATTGTGCACACTCCGAGCTACAAGTGGAGAAGCAGAAAGCAAGTCGAGAGACAGCGAATAAGATAGTCAAGGGAAAATAATCTACGTATATTCTGGGAGTCCCGAGAGTTAGGTCATGCCGGGTCGCGGAAAGATCGGCATCGTCTCCATCTGTTCTAGTCCGCCCATCGTGCCACTTTGTCCACTGGATTGCCAGCCTTGTCCGGTCTGCTGGTTGATAAATTGGCTCTGTCGGAAGGGATTGGTGCTCCCGGTAGGATTGGGCTGCAAAGTCGCGGCCGGAGGCATGCTGGGTGGGGCGGGAGAACTACGAGCAAACGGATTGGTTCCGGTTCGCTGGGGTTGGATTGGCTGCGCTTGAGGGAGCGGTGGCGCCTGCTGGGAGGGCGCATTCTGGAATGGCTCGGAGGGGTTGTATTGCTGGTTAGCGGTTGATAATCGCCGGGCGAATGGATTGGTGTTCTGTCGGCTGAGAGGACGAGCAGCGGGCTGAGCGCCTGTGGGAGCATTCATCAACATTGACTGCCGGAACGGATTGGTACCAGTCGTCTGAGGCTGCAAAGGCTGAGGGGTTTGTAGTTGCTGCTGTTGGAAAGAAGCAACGCCCTCCTGGGGAATGGGTGCCAACTGCGACTGGTACCCATACGGTTGTGGCTGCGCTGTGTACCCACCAAATCCAGCACCAGTTGGCATGGCTTGAAGCGGTTGCTGCTGAGGCTGCTGTTGTTGGGGTTGCTGTGGTTGCTGCTGCTGTTGCTGCTGGCCAAAGGGATTATTGGGCCCTTGTGCTTGGTAAGGGGCTCCGAATTGGGTTGGTTGACCAAATCCGGTGGCCTGGGCCTGTTGAGGTTGTTGCTGGACATATCCAGTCATCTGAGGCTGCTGCTGTTGGAAGCCAGTCTGTTGAGCATAGAAGGGCTGCTGTTGTTGGAACCCTGTTTGTTGGTACTGCATATTGGGCTGGCCAGCCGGCTGACCCATCGGCTGTTGATTCTGTTCAATTGAATCAAAGAAGTCGATCAAATCGACTGGCGCTGGCTTGGCTTGTTCGGTTTGCCTAGCTGGGGTAGGCGCCGGTGCGCTTGGTGCGGGCTTCGGGGCGTCGTTACTCGCGCTCATGGAGGCCGGAACCGGAACGCCCTTCTTGGCCAAGTACTCTCGGCGGCGAAGATCGAAATCAGGGTCGTTGAGATCATCCTCAAGAAGCCGAGCGAGGTCGGTAGAGGCATGCTTGAGCTTGGGAATTTCCAGACGAGTGGCGGATTGGAAATGTCTTGCGACTCCCAGGAACTGCACAACTTCCTCTGTTTGTTTTGTGAAAGTCTTATAGATTGCCAAGGCGCGTAAACTATCAGGCCTGGACATCTCAAAGTAGTGTTCTGCGTTCGATTAGATTCAATGGTCACTCTTGAGGTGTAGAGATCTTACCCAGAACATTAATCGTCCCCTCGTTCATGACCGAGTACAGGGTCAGTAGATCAAGAGTAAGAAGGCGGAAAGCTGTCAAACTGATCTCATTCTCGGGTTCATCGGTCAACAGCTATACAATTCGTCAGTGACTGCGCAATATCAAGACTTGGAAATCACCCACATCACACCGCAATAGCGCGCGGATCTGCTTCTGTACAATCTCCGTCTCTCTCAGAAGGCCTTTCTCCACACCAATCCTCTTCAACTTTCCCGGTCCGCTTCGTACGTGATCGGTTTTCGATGCTTCAAATGCCTGGGCGCGTTTGATTAGGTATTCGGCATACCGTCGGATATTATGTCCTTGCGATTGGGCTGCCACTAATGTTAGCAACTGTTTTCTCGTAAGCCAGAAACGGTCCGCTTACCTTCCGAGAAATTGCTGGGCGCAATCTTCTTCGGGTTATCGGACAGGTATCCCAACGCAGCATCCTGTTGACCTTCTCGGATCATAAGATGGAGAACTATGAGCGCTTTGAATACAATGGTCCATGCTGAGTCTCGAAGTCGTATTTGGAGTGTTCGGAATACTTCTGCGACACCTGCCTCGCCGGTGTGGGTTGCCACAAGAATCTGTTCAATGTACTTGGATTTGGGAGCCGCGAGCTTTTCACGTGAGAATATTAGTGACTGTCACGCGCAAACAAAAGCATAATAAACAACCCGACTCACCTTGAGCTTTGTGGCCCCTTTGACCGACTTCTCAAAGCCTCCGGCCATACTGCCTGACAGAGTCGCGAATTGCTGCCCAACCCGGGGATGAGAGGAAGTGCAAGTTTTCCAACGGCAGGGAAAAGACCGAAGAGCCTGCTTCAGGTATCAATGCCCTTGTATTATCCAGTTCCTATTTCAATGCCTGCCTCATGACGTGGCTCAATGAACCATTCTGGGGGTTCGGGGGAGGGAATTGAGATTCTAGGAGAGAATCGGAACAGCCGGTCCAGGGGTTGTCAAGTATGCAGGATAACAGGGTGAATATGAGGCAAAAAACAAAGCAATCAAGTTCGGCGACGGTTCCAGGGTGAGGAGAGAGTTGCTTGGGGGGGCGGAGTGTCCATGTTCCTGTCGCCCAATCGGGACTAGTGCGAATCAGCACGAGGACGGCAGTTGGACTGGACATCGGACTTTTGCATACATAGGACACCCTCCTAAACACGCGGAAGGGGTGCGGTTTACTATCGGGGTAGAAGATCAAGGCATTGGGAAGTTCAACTCTTTATATTCCTGAGATCGGAAATTCAATATTGCTCGACTATATATTTGTACCATAGATGTATCAGACACACCACATCCAGGTTCTGATTCAAACCACAATGACTTCGATACTTGGTGTAGAAGGTAGAAAAAGGTGATACAACAGTAGAAATCCAATCAACAGGACAGGACAGTTACGACAAATTTGAATACATACATCAGCAGGGTAGTAGCCTTGGTACACCGTCAGCTTCTTATACCGGCTTGACCTCGCCAGGCTCTTCTAAGTGAATTTTCTAATCGAGGCTGCAATGACTTCCAAACAGTCGTGATTAAGATACAGGGAGATACAGTTGACTAGATAAACTGGCTCCCTGGGCCATGAGTAGTCAGTTGAGGTAAACAGCCCTATCAGACCAAAAGAAGTCCGCCACCCCCAAAGCTGGATTCAATCAATTGTGAAAGATCAGGGGAGTTGAACTTTCCAAATACCCTGGCAAAGTGCTTGCCATCGAAATACAAACCGCTTGACACCCTCGCTCAAATACTTTCCACATTCACCACCCTCGTTCTTCCCTCGATGCCTCCCACCTCCCCAAGTATCTTGTGAGATCTCTGCCTTTGCTTGATCTTGATTCCATCACCATCATATCTTGATCCCACAAGACACCTATCTGAGGAGTGAAAGACACTCGCCAGCCATCACTTCCGTAAGTACGCTCTTTGATTATTACCTTAAGCTTCTCTTCTTGGCCAAGCACGAAAGACATCACCCATCACTTGAATATCTTGCCTGACTCAAACAGTCTTCTCTAGTCACTTGCTATTTCCGCCACTTATTCTCCTCCACGCTCTTTTGTCCAAGCAAACATGGAGGCCCCAAAAGAGCCTCGGCGCCCAACCCTAAAATGGGATGTTGCCATGCGGCAAGTATTGTGCTGTTTGTATCGCTTCTTTTGCTGTGATAAAAAGCAAGTGATGGAGATATTCTCGTTTATGTTCCGAGGCCATCTCCAAGAGCGCGGAATCCGTGGGTTTGTCCCGTATGCAACTCTCCACACTCAGTGGAGCTGGATGAGGAACAGCGGAGACGTGATTTGGTACCACGTACATATTGATACGGAGTTCAACACGGATGGAGATTGGCGTGAAGTTATACAAAGGATCAAAGATGCAGCTGAGGTCCTTCAGCTGCGTCTTCAAGAGAGGAAAGAAGACATTGACACGTCTCGGTGGAAATCATCAGGATCACACGTTGCGTGGGACACTGATTTCCATGCCTCTGTGGCTCTGACATCTGTAAGTAGATCATAAACCCAAAAATGTGCTTATATCCTGCTGACTATATTCTTATTAGCAGCAAAGGTCTGGCACGACTTCTCTCTGGCATGAAAGGCAAGGGGACTTTGGACCTTATGGCCTGAGGTTTTATGAATATTGTGGACAGTCAAACAGCAATTGTACGACTGAAACCATTGATTTCGCTGATGTAGCTACCACAGAGCCCTCCCAAGCTCTGGTCAATGATAAAGTGCCAGTTGATGAATCTCAACACCGCGATGACAACCCGCAGAACCTTGATCCTGCCCATCCAAGCGTTGATTCAATCCCGCCACTGCTGTTTCGTTGGTGGAACATAGATTCGCAAGGAACAAACTCCAAACTCGAGGTTGTTGCTGGTCTTTTCTGCATCAGGGAGACATTTGACCCGGAGGTTATTACAGCCACCGAGTTTGAAGCCTTCTTTAAAGCCCATGTAACAAAGCAAGAACTTGCGAGTCCCTTCATCTCGACATTTTCCTTTCCCCTTGCACCATTTCATCGGGCTTTGATCAATCAGAAGGGAGCCAAAGTGTCAATCATTGACACATCCAAGGTGAAAGCCAGGATTTTTTATGCTTACCCTCTAGCAGTTAGGACCAGGACGTTTACATTCAGCTGGAAAGGTTACGCAGAATATCTGGTTTGGGGGCAAATACCAGCGGAGGCAATTGTCTCGACCCTGGATATCGAGACAGTGCAGCTAATTGCACAGCTAAACCGGGATGTTAATCGTCTATTGCAACCGCAATTGATACAAGCGATGCCACGCTGCAATCAGAAGCTGCGTGACATACTGGCTACCAGACATAAATGGCAGTCATCGTTCAAATGCGGTTTAACCTTGAGGAAACTTCTTGTTTACCTCCAAGTTCCTCAGACCCATTGGGAGAAAATTGCACCAAAGTTCGCCCACTGCTGGGGGTGGAAGTATGTTGGCGAGAAAAGAGAATTCATGGAGGGTGCTCTGTCTGGAAACCCTTTCTCACAGGAAGAATTGTCGGACTCAGAGAGTGAATGGGTAATTTCAACTCTCCAGGCGACGCCTAAGAAAGGGCCCAAGGGCAAAGTACCAAAACTGGACGAGGACGACTGTGAGCCCTTGGATTATCAGGAATTTGAACAGAATGAGGAGTCTCGAAAGGATTCTTTCAATCAGCAACAGGAGCCAGAAACTTCCCAGAAGTCCCCAAGGAAGCCCTTCTTCTACCGCGGGTCTCCTAGTCCAGACTTGGATTGGGTACCCCCGGAAGAAGAAGAGGACACAGAGGGACACTCTGATGAAGATGACAAAGGAAATGATATCTCCGCGACACAATCCCAGTCTATGGAGGAACGGAGTGATACTACGGAGGAGACCTTTGTAGCGGAAACGATTGACAGCATGTCCGCTACCTACGAAGGCGAAACTGGCCGAAGACTATGTTGCATTGAATTGGGAACCTGCAATGCCAGAGAACACACATAACAGCATGCCATCCAAGGACCATGAAGTGAACCGCCCCTTTATGCAGGGCTCCTGTGTTGATCATGACAACAGAGACACAGATATGGACATGGTTGAGGACGTCGGCGAAGAAGAGGACGAAGATTTCCAGAGTGTGCTCGAGGAAGAATGGCCTTCTGAAGATGATTGCCCCGAACTCAAGACCTTCAACCCCATTCGATTCCGCTCATGATTGCCCTGCTTGGCTGAGCCATGAGAAATGATTCTACGAACACCATGAGAAGTTCATACTTACCCAGAGAGAACGAAGATGTGTGTGAGCGTGTACAATTAGAATAGTTGCTGTCATTGATGGAAATGACATTATTTGCAAACATATCATTCTGCAAAACTAGTCGTTCCTTTCAAATAGAACAGAAAAGACGTAACAACATAGCCAGACAGGCCAATAAACCACCAAAAGGCGATGGAAGCACAAACTAGGACGAGCTAGTCATTCTCGCCAAGTCTACGTGACTAGAAGACACATACTGAGCAACCGAAGTAGCTTAGAAGAGTGGGAATAACCCAGAATGCGCATTGAGATAGACTCCGTCAAGATTGACATATATAGTCAATCTTTTCATTGACCAGAGCTGTTGTACAGTTTCCATCGCAAGAAGATTGAAGAAATATTTTTGCTTTTTGCGGATACACTCATTCTTCTGCGAGGTATCTGGGACATGGAAACTCGTAAACTATCCCAATCCCCCTTCCGAGGATTTCCTGTATCCAAATCATACCGCTTCCTTCGCCGTTATGTCTTCGAGAACCCAATTATCCAACATTTAGAACTTGGCGAAAGACTTGACAGCCTTGCCAGTGCGGGGCAACACCTTCAACACGTTGAAGCGGACCTGTAAAATCGAGTCAGTTATGAATTCAGAGGAAAGAAATGGATCGTCATATTCCAGGTGTGATGGTAGAACCGCATTGCAGGTTTTCACACGTTGCTGGTAGTGGCGATGTCGGGGGAAAATTTCGACGTACAGTCTTGGACAGAGGACGGCACTGGCCGACGGTAACCCAGTCACCCTCCTCAACACGGAAAGCGGGGGAGACGTGAGCGGACAGGTTCTTGTGGCGCTTCTCGTAACGGTTGTACTTGGGGACGTAGTGAAGGTATTCACGGCGGATGACGATGGTACGGTGCATCTTGGTGGAGACGACCTGAAAAAGAAATTAGCGAGCTGAATCGTGTGCCGAGAAGCGAGGCAAAATTACCTTGCCGGTCAGGATACGGCCACGGATGGAGATCTGGCCGACGAAGGGGCACTTCTTGTCTGTTCAGATGTTAGATTTGCTTTTTGATTTGAGATTTCGAGATTGCAGGTTCATGGCATATCGAGGTCTTTTCAAGATACGAGTGTCGAGTGAATGTTCGTACACGCAATTAGAGATTGCAAATGTCTCCGAACTTTTCCTGGACCAGATATCTCCAGGTTCCGTGCGATCATCAATTCGCCCTCTTCCATCTTGAAAAGACCCTTTCATGCGTAGATTCTGGCAGTATCGAATTGAAGTCGTGCATACCGATGTAGGAGCCCTCAATGGCGGTCTTGGGGGTACGGAAACCGAGACCGACATCCTTGTACCAGCGGCGACCGGAGGTGGACTTCTTGCTGGAGGCCTTGCTCTTAGCGTTGAGGAAGATGTGAGGCTGCTTCTGGAAAGCGCGCTCGGACTGGACGGTCAACTCGGTGGCCATTGTTGCGGTTGTTGTCTCGACGAGGAAGCGGTGTCGAGGGGAAAAAGGTCGGGTTGGCGGCTGTCGAAGATGAGGAAGATTCGTCGACCCGCGGATTCTTTGGTAATTCGTAGTGTGCGCCACTAGTCCCGATCGGGCCTAGCGCACTTCGGGTTAGGGCTTTGCGCCTTTGTTTACTTCACGTGACTGCGGAGCAACGCGCTCGGGGCAATTAACGATAGCATGTCAATGTTGACGTCTGGATACAGATCTCCGGCCATGCGCATTTGATCTCCGGAATCGAGCTCCGCATTGCCCCTCATGTCTAGTCGAGCCGACTCCGCGACCACGCGACAGCGACCGCGATCTCGCCAGTCCATCGCTCATGTTCCGCGGTCTAGGATGACGTCTAATCTGGACAAAGAGAATGCGACGGCCGAGTTCGGCGCTGCACAGCCATTCGCAAACAGTACACGGCCTATACCAAAGGATAAAAAGTCTCGCAGCAAGAGTTTGGGACCAGGTGGACTTGATGCTCTGAAGAATTCCCACGGCAATCGTCGACAGGTAGTTATCAAAGCCCTCGATACGCATAGTACTTACATCTGACTGAATCCTATAGTCCACGGCTTCTAATCCACTTAAATCAATTCTCAAACCTACAGTACCCGTCTCCCCAGTACGAAACATCCCATCCTTCGAGGAGACCCGCCGTCGTACCCCAGCCCATAGTCAGCAACAAAGTCAGGACGGTGCAATGGACGGTGGCAATAAAGGAAAACAAGGGCTCTTAATCGACTTTGAAACAACACCAGGCCCACCGGCAGTGGACAACGATGATACATCGAACCCATTTGATACCTTCAATGCGACCTCTGCTATCCGTGAAGAGATGGCTGCCACCAAGGAACGAGATGAAAAAGAGCGCAAGGATCGTGAACGACAGAATATTTTAGAAAAGCGGGAAGCGCGACGTAAATCTATGGGTTCGTATTTGTTGCGCTCCATGGCAGAGGTGTAAGCTAATGAACCTTTCCAGCAAACCGACGAGTATCGTTTGCCCCCGAAGCCACTTTGCACACCTGGAATGTAGTGGAAATACCCGACGACTCAACTTCATCCTCTGCAGCGAACTCAACAAGACGTGCCTCTGCCGCTAACAATACCCCGAATCTACCTGCACCCTCCCCCGCCCGAGATTCTCTATCTTCACCAGAGTCTGAATTTGGATTCTCACCTCTTCGCACAGAGGATCTAGATCAAATAAGAGGGGTTGGGTCATCGAACGCAAACCACCACGATCTCTCTTCGAGTCCTTTCAGTGGAAGCTCAGTTGGCAGCGACGATACTGGAGCTCAAAGCATGGCCGGTGAAGAAGACGATGGCGAGTCATCAGGATCAGATGATGGTTTTGATGCAGAGAGCACTGCCATGAGTATGGATGATATGACAGCTCGTTCGGGCATGTCTGTCCAGTCAGACGGAACTTCCAGCTCCAGTTCTAGTGCCAGGCTCAACGAGGCACTGCGCCAAGCCGCCAAAGAAGCAGGAACTGAAGCAGTTGATGAAACCGGAGAAGTGTCTATGGAAATCGTGGACCAGGAGATCACAGGTGCCTTCCAACCCTGGATTAAAAAGGGCCAAAGACAAAGCTTCGACTGGGAAGATATTAGCGCGCGGCATGACCAAGAAAACATGGATCCGCCCAAGGGTGCTGCTAGTAGAGCCTCCCAAGAATTCGATGATGATATCGACGACGATGAAGAGATGAGCATGGATGTGACGAATGCACTGGGACGTATCCTTGGAAAACCTCTTGGCCGTCGCCAAAGCACTCGTCGCAAGTCTACAGCAGAGGAGTCCATCTATGATGATCAAACAATGGAAATGACCAATGTTGTCGGGGGCATCGTACCGGAGGATTCGCCATCACGAGTCTCTGAAGTTGATGACGACGAAGGAATGACTATGGAGTTCACCTCGGCGGTTGGGAAAATTCTCGGAAACGAGTCTTCTTCGACCCTCAAGTCTGATCACATGAACAGCGATCGCGACAATGAATCAGAGGATGGTATGGATATGGAAATGACTGGCGCCATTGGTGGCATCCTACAGTCAGGACAGCAGGCCAATGACAAAGTGCACGCAAAGCTGGTAATGGAGCTTGAAACCGACTCAGGACAACTGAACAGTTCCCCTTTCCAAGAAAGTGTTCGCCAATCTCCCGCCAAGTCACCAGCCAAGTCACCTCTCCGCTATCAAGTTGCAGCTGTGGCATCTGAGAGCGGAAGCCCCAGTCTGGCCAGTGTTAGGGCTAGACCTTCACGGCGCAGCTCTGCTGCATCTACGACCCCACGGTCTGCCAGTCGTCAAAGATCTCCAACCAACAAACCCTCAACTCCTCCTAAACAATCTACCCCTCAACCGAAGCCTTCCACCCCAAGCAAGACCCCTCCGTCCAGCGCGGTGACGTTCAGAAGTGCCTCACCTAAGAAGCTTTTCCAGCCTGAGCTTCAGCAATCGGCAGATAAGCGCAAGTCTCTACGCCAAAGCCTTTTTGAACATAATGCGGCAACAGGAGAGTCAACCCCACTCTTCAAATTGCAGCCTCGTGGGGCTCGCCGTTCCTCCGGACTAGGAATCGACAAAGAAGGTCTTGGATCGCCGCGTGTCGCTGCCATACTTGATAAGCGCCAGTCACTGGGAGACAGTACACCTCAATTCATTCCACAGGAGCCGCCCCGGTCTGGAGTACGATTCGAAGACCCACTGCGAATGCAAGAAGAGGAGGATCGTGACCGCGAAGAAGAGGAGCTCAGAGAAGACGGCCACCTCCCGGTGCCACCTTCCGAAGATCGAGATGTCACGTCAAGCTTGAAGGACATGATCCAAAGTCTAAGCCCAAAGAAGGCAAAGATTGGCAGCCGTAAGAGTCTCCACGTCGGTGCAGCCCGCGGAATTCTAGGCAAACGCCCAGCCGAGCTGGACCTGGATGAAGATGAAGATGAGAACTCACCCAAGCGACTGCGAGGCCACAATGTCAGCCCCGTCAAAGGCGTCAAATTACCGGCACCTCAAGCTAGGGAGGGCAGTGTTCATCGATCACCCGCTCGCAGAGCCATGAGCTCATCTCCTTTCAAGGGTACCACTACACCTTCTCAGGAACCACGCAGTGTCTCCAAGACATCAACCACTCCTCTCAAACAGGCTATTGATAATCTCCATATTGATTCTGATGCTCCGCAGCCAGAAGAAGGGGATTCTGAGGAGGAGCCTAAAATGGAGCCTATCCAGTTGCAAGATTTCTTAAACATGACCAACATCCATTTCATGGAGCTTACTACCACAAAGAGACGGCATACCACTGCACCTAGCAGTGCTACAAAGAAGCTGACCCGGGCATCTGGAGAGAATTTGCCCAAGCCACGCTCCATAACATTCGACGACTGTGTTGCAGCTGGTTTCTGTACAGTGCCCATGCTTGAGCTGTACCAGCACGTAAGTCTTGATCTCGAATGCTCGTATCCTTATACTGACAAGTTAATAGTCATGCCGAGAGTTAAAGTCCTATATTTCGGAAGGTCGACAAGTGATTCGCTCTATCGAGGCTGAGACATACGCGGAGAACCCAGCTCTCTTCCAGGAGTATGTCACCGCCCCACTAGACATTCGTGTGATTATGGACAACCAATTCCGAAATGTCAAGACCCATGCTCGCCTGCTAAGCAAGGCCACATGGTATGAATGGCGAATGAAGCTGCTCGAGGGGCTGAAAGAGGGTCTCAACCGACACGTTGAGGAAATGAAAGCAGATGATGATCTGCTGACTCAACGAGAAGAGCTACTCAACAGTAATGTGCCGCCTCTGGTTGAGAAGCATGCTGCTCTCGAGGAGGAGGCGGCCAATTTGCAAGAGTTGGTAGACGAAATGGAGAACTGTGACCAGGACGAGCTCCGTAGCACACGCAACAAGCTGTCTGAGGTGGACATTGAAATTGCAGCTAAGAAGCGCCAACTTGAGGAGCTGCAGGCTGAGGTCCAAGAGAAGACCATTATCATTGAGGCTGGATCCGAGTTGCGGGAAGAGTTCCTGGCTCAGATCCAGGAGGCAGAGCGGGTGAAAGAGGAATGCCGTGGCTGGAGTGCCCGGGAAATCAATGAACTCAAGGGTTAGTCTTTCGAAATGTTTTCTTACCTCGGAATATAACTGACTGTTCCAATAGCATCCGTCCAACGAATTGAGCGCCAAACCGGCTGGTCAATCGTCTCTGCCATCATCCCATCAGAAGAGCAGACAGGGCCCGTGTTAAAAATGGCCTACCGTGAACAGCTTCAGCTCGAGTTCTCTCCTGGGGCATTCATCTCCAAGTCCAACACCCAAGACGAGAGAAAGAACCTTCCACTAGACCTGACCCCTCAAAAGAATGCCAAAATCTCCCCTATCGGGTCTCTAGTCCTCCAATCTCTTCAACGCCATCTATCAACGATTCAACAGTCAACCGTCGCTCCAAAGCAACTTCTACGCTTCATCTCAGGCGCATGGGACCGCACAATCGGCCTAGAAAACGAAGCACGCATGCTCGAATTCTGCGGCGTAACCCGCCTAACCCTCTCCAAGCCAGACGAGGGTTCCCTCTCCTTGCGCGCACGCTGCACACTCCTCGGTGAGGGGACCGCCTCCACCCCCGGCCGCAAGAGCGCCACCCCAAAGAACAACAGCACCAAAAGAATTGACGTGGACTTCACCGTCCGCACTCGCATCGATCAAACCACTGCCGCAGACTCAGCTATCGGCTGTATGGACTTTGACATCGACGGGCTGGCAACAAAGGTCTATGGTTTCGGGACGGGCAACAAGTCCGGTCTTCCAGACAACGAACTGCAAAGTATTCTCGGAAAGGGTCTTCGTCAAAAAGATAGTGGTGTCCAGCTTGGGAATGGTGTGTGGTGCAAGGCTGTCCGTAACCTGACAGGATCTGTTTTCTGATATTATTTCCTTTTTCTTTCTCAATATTTTTTGTGGGTATTTTATGGCGTTGCATGGGAATGGGAATGGGAATGGACAAGGAGCGATTATTCCCCTCGGGTTAGTGGACTACCGGCTTTGGAATGGCGTTTACAGTCTTTCGTTATTTTTATCTCATATCTCACTCATATGCAGAATTATTTTTTTGTTCTCTTGGTAATAAGGCTGGTGTAGTCATTTGATCTTTCTACTTTGAGACTCGAAGTCCAGACTCAGAAGAGTATAGCCGGTGCCACGTAAGATAAAATTCACAAAAATTAGATGCAGTAACATGAATTTCAATGTACCACTAATGGCATTCTATGTAAACCCTCGAAGATGCATATGAAGATGAGATTGGCTATGAAAACAAGAGAGAAGAGAGATCGCTAACAGCATCAGAACCAAAACGAGACCACCACCACAAGCTAAAACAACCCCAAAAACCCGTTCGGCCAGACCGTATCCTCAGCCTGCCCCTGCCCCTGTCCCTGCCCCTGACCTTGACTCTCAGGAACAAACCCATACCCATACCCAAGACCCTGAGCATCAAAACCTCCATTCCCATCCATACCCACGCGCCCATCAACAGCAGGCGCACCATGAACATAAGACTCAGCCGACAAAATCGACATGGCAGGATCTGCACCAACACCACCACCAGGCCCCGCACCCGTAGCTTGCCCATCAACTGGGAAACCAAACCCAGCAGGAAAGAGCCCGGCAAAGAGCGATCCGCTATAATCCCAGTCGCCGGTCATGGGAACCTGGAAGAATTCCGGAATTGTGGAATTGGTTGTTCCGGTTGGGGTGCTGCTAGCGAAGGAGGAAGGGGAGTTGGTATCGAGGGTTGTGAGGACTGGTCCTGTTGGCGGTTCTGCTGTTGCGGAGAAATCTTGCGAGAGTTGCCAGGATGGCATTGTCATTGGGGGGTTTGTGTAGTGGTTGCCTGTGGCTCCTGCTTCGTGGAGGAAGGTTCGGTCTAGGTATTCGTTTGTGTAGGGATTCGGGGGTTGGTTTGAGGGGTGGTGGTGTTGTTGTTGGAGTTGGAAATGGGATTGGGGCGTCCTTGTGTCTGGACTCAGTGGGACGACGTAGCCGGAGGAGTTCACTGGTGGTAAGCCCTCTAGTGTGTCTGGGATACCGATGTCCATGGCCATGTTCATGTTTGTGTTTGTATTTGTGTTCATGTTCTCTCTGTCGCTCGTTGACTGGTCCGTTGTGTCCGTGGTCATGGCGTTGCGGAGAGTAGTAGGTTGTCGACGTTTATGCGAAGAAGAGTTCGTGCGTTTCTTATTTGCCGACAAATGAGGTTCTTCCTTTTCTCTTTTCTCTTCTTTCTCGACTGCCACTCTGGCGATACGTTCGAGAGTGGCGCTCATGCGGGCCATAAAGCCTGCGTAGTTTGATGCTCCGTCGCCTGGGACGAGAGTGGCGAAGAATGTCGAGGCCATTGTGAGGGATTGGAGGTCTGCGCGGACTTTTGGGTGGCGGAGGTCCCGAAGAATACTGGAAAATATTGTTGCAGCGCCTAGGAAGACGTAGTATAGAAGGGACCTGGTTATTAAAATTAGTTTTCAAATGACATAGATCAACAGGGGGTTGCTGTGGCTTACCATGTCCATGCAATGTCTCCCCATGGCATATTATTAATAAGTTTTAAGGTGTCACGAGCAGCTTGTGCGCCAATGGAGGCAGATTTCGAAGCCCGTCTAATGCTGAGGGCCTCGAGCTCCTTCAAATCTTTGGATGTCGCTTTGGATGTTATTATGTAGTGAAGAAAGAGGGGAATCCGGTGGATCATGATCAAAGCATTGTAGTAGACGAAGTGAAGACCGGCGGCGGCAAATCCTAATAGAAAGTCGGGTGCACCGGGTTTCAATTTCGGCTCAGTAGTCAATGGATATTCGCCTTTCCAGTTTTCAAGCTCCTTGTGTAGCTCTTTGACGGTTCTATAGATCTCCAAAGGAGGTCTCAGTAGTGCTTTTGCGGAGTATAATCGACTGTAGATGCGGCCCTTGATGATTGACATTCGACATAGCTGGCGGAAGAATGGGATATTGCTTGCGCTTTCTTTATCGCTTTCCAGCTCTGTTGGGAGAGGGACATCGAAATCGTCCGGATGTTGGGATGGGGCATTTCCAATTCTTAAGCAGGTGCTAGGGGCGTATTAGTACATAGAACGAAGGTTGTAAGTGTATTCAGACTTGTCCCACCTTTGGTCAACCACAAATGCAACCCAAAAGACACGCCGTCTCTCCTCCTGTTCAGCCGGACTGAGATCTGGTCGAGGGATATCACGATGTAGTCCCATTCGTTGACCCGATCGCATAGCGGCAGTGACAAGTGGCAGAGCTGATTGCGTACCGCAATTCCCACGAAGGAAGAACGCCTTTGAAGTATTAGAGATGGAAAATTGAAATTAGTCCACGTGTATACATACCATACTTAGCAAAGCCTGAACACTGAGCAAATCAGTGCGTTTCAAAGCCAGTTCCGTAAAGACCGACATGGCATTTTTGAAATACTCCCGAGCCCTCTCTCTGTCCTTTTCTGGTTTCGAGCTATTCGAAAACCGATATTCGTAAGCCAACCCAATGACCATGTTGATACTAGCCCAGCGAGCAGCATCATCGCAAGTTTGCTGGGTATATTGCCATTCAACCATTTTCATGAACTTGGACTCGAGATAAATAGGAAATAGACGATTGGCTGTTTGAAAGAAGTCTTTCATTAAAGAGAATACCTCTGATCTGGAAGGTAAAGGTTTGAAGACCTGCGAGGCAAAAAGGTCTTGGAAGACATCGGGTCGCCAATGATTCCACGGGTTATCGTGAATCTGTTCTGGCGAGACTAATCGCAAGAAACTGACATCGCCGGTTTTGCTTTTGATCCATTCGATGCCTGTCCGAGATAAAATTGACATGGAGCAAGATTTTCCTGTGAATGTGGTTAGCTTCGAGTATTTGGATATACAGTGAATATAGATCACTCACCGAAATACCGAGAATCATCTCTTTCATCTGCTCGGAAGATAGACGTAACCTCTAGACCAGCACCTTTTCGACAAAGGGAACTCATTGTCGGACTCGGAGTAGAGGAAATATCCTGAGAAGGAGGTTCATCGTCTTCGTCCTCGTCAGAGAAATCATCAGGACTCATGTCCCCTTCATGCAAGATGCCAGCAGTCTTCAAGAGCGCCTCAACTCTGACAATACGCTCTTTCAAAGACTGCACATACTCATCACTAAAGCAAACGAGTAAGCAACCACCTTCCAAAAAAAAAAACCAAAACATACCTTTCCAAGTTCTCCCCCACCTCAGGAAAGACACAGCGCGTACTGCTCCGCCGACACTGCAAACAAGCCCGGGCAGACCCGTCAATCTCGCATTTTGTCTTCTTGCGATGACACATCCGACAAGCCTAAACCACCAAAGAAGCAATTAGAACCAGAAGCCTCCATAAAGAAGCCAGCCGAGAACAACCGGGCTATGATGTGCAATCCAACGTAAAAAAGGGTAAAAAAAAGCAAGTCAAGAACCCACCCTGGAATTCGAAAATGGCCGCCTGAGCCCTTCGTCCATGGATTGCTCTGTGCCAGAGCCCGTTATGGACATTGGTATGGCCATATTGGCGTTCATGGCATGGGATGTTGGTATTGAGCTGGTGGGTGGCACTGGCACTTGCGCATGGGCCGCCACTTGATGTTCATCGAAGGCTCATATGCCAAGACTCAGGGTGCACTCTGCTTTCTTTTAGGTCTGGTCTTATTGGCTGTGTAATCTGGAGATCTGAGGCCTCTTTCTTTTTCTTCTTATTTGGCGCTTCAGGGTGGTTTGGGGGGTGATGTGTTTGATGCCAAGGTGAAAAAGGGCTGAATAATCCAGACGTCGGAAGTCGGAGTTGCCGTTTCCCGTTTCCGTTTGGTGATGCTCGGAGATCGGAGTTGGACTTCATTGTATGCGGGGATCAACGTGCACGTTATGTGGTAGCAGGGAGTTGTGAGGCATGAAAACAGGAGCAATGATATATGGTTTGATTTTAGATATGGAAAAGTTAGTTATGCTTAAATTCTCACTGACCCTTCCCAAGGTTGCAGGCGTGATACTCCAATATAAGCACGTTTTTGGTTGAAGATCCTGGACTCTTCTAGTTCCCACCAACGATCTTTCTAGGGTCAGGGGAATGATAAGCTTAAATCATATACAGTACTGTTCAGGAGTCGGCCAAGACAGCCTCTCGACGACCCATGGACGTTATCAAACCCGGGTATGGGGACCAGTCAGGATTCCGCTGACAAATGATCCCCGCAGCTCCAAAGATAATCAATACATACAAGTACGGACGAGGTGTCCGACAGATGGACTATGAACTACTCAATCACGTACTATGAGACCTACCGTGGGAATCATCTCCATCGGCGAGATGGGCCTGGGCATGGCCCGACTCCTCAAAGCCCACGACTACCGAGTGGTTACAGTGACAGAAGGACGAAGGTGAAGAGCCCTCGAACAGACCGGAAGAAAAAAAGACTGACAGGACCAGTGAGCACACTCTCGCACGAATCCATTCTGCGGGCATCGAGACCCTCGCTTCAGATGACGACCTGGTGATCCAAGCCGACTACATCCTCTCGATAGTACCGCCGAAGAACGCTATGGAGATGGCGCAACGCATCGCCCAAGCGTATGCATATAGTACCTCGCCACAGGGCCAGACCGAAACGGCAGATGGGGCAGGTCGCCGGCCGAAACGAAACGAACTATACTACCTCGAGCTCAATGCCGTTCCGGCGCGTCAGGCCGCGGAGATGGCAAACCTTTTCGACGCCCACGAAATGAAGATCTCGGATGACCCCGACGAGTCATGCACGTCGGGTTGCCACTTCCTCGATGGCGGAATCATTGGCGGACCACCGCAAAGCACGCCAGATGGGGCGTGGACCAAGCCTAGCGTGGTGCTTTCGGGCGCGGTGGATATGCATCGGGCCCCTGCCTTTGAAGCACTGGCAGATGTCTTGAATTTGCAGCTGGTCTCGGCGCAGATTGGAGCCGCGAAAACTCTTAAGCTGTCTTTTAGCGCGCTCACCAAAGGGCTTACTGCCCTGTCGATTATGTCTTTCTCCACTGCGCAGACGGCGTCGATGCTGCCGCAGCTCTTAGCCTTGTTGGAGACCCATTCGCCCCGAACGGCGGCATTGGCGACTCATGGCGTTATTGGGATGAGTCCCAAGGCGTACCGCTGGGAGGATGAGATGCGTGGGATTGGGGAGATGTTGGAGAGTGTGGGTGGGTGGCATGTTGGCGGATCGGTTTATGGGGGGATTGCTGAGGTCTATCGGACCATTGCGGAGGATACGTTATTAGGCCAGGAACGAACCGAACATCGTGTACGCGGAATGACGGTTGACGATGCCGCTCGGATCATTGCTTCACGGGAGGGTATGTCATCGAGCTGCGTAGGAGGGACGATCCCGGAGAGTAACGAGTCGCCCATGCCAAGCCTCGGGGATGGGAATGGGTCCGCGTCATCCTGACCGGTGGAGAGGAGAGAAACAGAGCGAGAGAGTGGAGAGAGCTGGGGGGATACCCCTAAGTGTAAAGCTTCATTTTCTCTTTCTCTCTTTTGATTTCTTATGTTATGATCCCTTGTACACTTATACTTTATACTATTTTCCACTATTCTGCTTCGACACCTCTACTCTATACTACCATCCCCTCTATACTCCCACGCCAAAGCGGTGAATCTCCAGCGAACCACAGGCCGCGATCACGACATTTCCCCATCTGATCAGATCATCGACTAGGGCCATCGTGCCTTCCCCCTTTCCAGCCGGTTTCGATGATTCGTGGCTTCAACTCTTAATGTGAAGGACGGTTGGTCGGATTAAGTCATTGTGGCCGAGATCTGGTTCTTTTTTTCGACTTTCTGTTAGCTAACGCCTACCTGAGGCCCCCCCGGACTTATTGGGGTTGGAGATTATTATTCTTCGTCCTTTTTACGACGCCTCTGATTGCCTCTCGCGTGGTGTCCACCCCCCGTTTCCTCGGAATTAAAAATTTAAGTCAGAGAAAAGAAACAGAGAGAGAGAAAAAAAAAGAAGGAAAAAAAAATACCAAAACCATACCGCCCCTCTTAACCCTAAAGGCCGAGGTATTCGATTCTCCATTCTGACTTCTCCTTCCCTCATCCTTCAACATGCCGGGGGAACCAAGTGGCTTTGACAAGATTGACAACTTCAATTTCTTGATGTCGCGCCACGATCCCGCAGCCAAGACTCGTCATTATTCCTTTGATGCTGATGCTGGGCTGGTCCCTTATGGCAACGTCAGTATGGATTACGATCAGACCGAGGGCATGGGTGGCCTCTCAGTCAGCTCCTACGATAGTATAGACGATGACCGCAGTTCTCTCGATCTCCGAGGGTATCCCTATCACGGTACGTTCAAGCTTTGACTGGCCCCAACGGTTGCATTTGTTACGCCATATGCAATGGCGGTCGAACTCTTTTGACCCTTGGGACCTATCTCATTTTTTTGCTCTCGTGTCTGCATGCCGGTCCAATCTTTGCATCGGGCTTGAAACAGCCCGGGCTGTTTCGATTCCGCTGGTTTCACCAGGAACACTGCCCTTGACCTTTAAATCCGTGCCTCTTTGACTGTTTATATGCAATATACCCCACGGGCTGCTGCATTGGAAAGATCACCGTCGGTGTTCCCCAAGCACGCAATCCGGCCAGCATATGACTATCACCCTGACCCTGTCCGAGCTGTTTTCCCTTCGATTTATACATGCACACCCTCAATAGGGCTTCCTTCGGGACTCTCGCTTACTCCTTCTACAGCTCCTGGCGAGAAAAACATCAACTACGGCCTCCCTGAGCACATGATGCCCTATTCAGCTCACTCCATCTATCCCCCAGTGCCCTTTGCGCCCGATGAACTGGGCCATGCACCGGGGGCTCTCACTCCATCGGATGTCTCGTCGTCCATCTCCCCGCCCAACGGCCAGATGGGCAACACCAAATATAGCACCTCCATCTCGGGAGACCGCATCGCCGCTGCCCTTGACCAAGAAGAGGGCGTCCGCGGTGCGGCCGAAGAGGACCGCCGCCGCCGCAACACGGCCGCCAGTGCTCGCTTCCGCATGAAAAAGAAGCAGCGGGAACAGGTCCTGGAACGGACCGTTCGCGAAACCACCGAGAAGAACGCTTCTCTCGAGGCTCGGGTCGCTCAGCTCGAGATGGAGAATCGGTGGTTGAAGAACCTCCTCACCGAGAAACACGATACCGGCTCTCGTCCGCCTCCCCCCAAGGACAGCTCGGCGCTCGACCAAAAAGCGGCGCCCATCAACTCCAGGCAAAAACATATCCAGCCCAAGAAAAAGGGCGTCGGCACTCAAGAGTGAGCACTCAATCGAAGTTGTGCTTGATTGTTTGGTCGTTGTTTTGCCTTGATTTCGTGTATCATCTCAGCCGCGGGCTCTCTCCAGCGTCCGCTTGAACCGGCATTTTCTTTATCTATTCTTGATCTGTTGTTTTTTTTTCTGTCCGTTCTACTCGTTTTGCTATTTTGTCTGCTGTCCTCCATCCCACCTACCCACCTCTCTCGAAAAGACAGGCTCCAAAGGTCATGATGGAAAAGGACTGAGCGAAAGTAGACCCAATGACGATGTCACGACCCTTCTCTTTCTTTCGTTCTGCCCACGCGTGCTTCTCCCGACCGTGGCTTTTTCGACTTCTAGGGATAGTCTTTGCTTCGCACTTTCAGATCTGCTCTGTGCTCTTGATCCTCTCCTCTCCTCTTTCTCCGCTATCCTCCAGGGCTTATACTCATTACCTCCTGCCCATCCTCCCGTTTCTCCTATACTAGACTCTACTCTACTCCCTTCCTTCCCTTTCTTATACCTCCGTCAGATCGTGTGTGCGTGCAGCAAAGGCTTGCTTTATTTTGCGTTTCGTTTGATTCCCTTTCCGCTGACCGGAAAGAGCGGATGAGTTGGCGAGTGGTGTTGAGGATTCGACTCGGGGAATTCGAATCTGGCTCTATTGCATTAGTTTGTTTCTTGCTTTTCTGGATTTGCCTTGCTTTGCTATATGAGATTTGGTTTTTGCTTGTCTTCTTGCTTCGTGATTTTATATACTACAGAACAGCTACAATACAGCTACATGGTACTCTTGCTTTTCACTATCATCTCTCGGCATATGGGATTTGGAATGGCGGATTGAATTGTCCGCATAATGTAGAAATGGCCAAGAAACGCAGTAAATGACGAACTCGAACGTATCAAGACGCAAGACCGCCTCCATGTGGCGTGCTCCGGTGCAACAAATTGCCTCATTTAGACCCGATCTCACTGGACGTTGCGATCGGTCTTGGCCCGGGGTAAGGGTCTTTCTCCACAGTGCCGTGCTGGATTCACATGTTCATTGCCACCTGATCTACTGCATGCACATGCACAATCACAGCATCTCTACAGAATTGGAACTACAGTACTGTACTTCTAGATCTACCTTCAGTTGGAGAATGAGCAAATCATCAATCGAGGAAATTCATTAAAACACCCACTTAATTACCCAGAACCAAAACAGACATATCATAACGGTTGAGCCGAACCAACAAAAGAAAAGACCGGAAACAAGAACCAACACAAACACGAAAACAATCCAACTTGAGATGGTATTACATCGATTAGAGGGGGAAGGAAAAGAGCACACGACAAGAGCAGACATGAAACCAACCCCCCCAAAATCCCAATTGGAAATCCGTGGAACAGGACAGGAACCAAGCCCTGACCCACCGGGAAAAGTGGAACAGAAGCCAGAACAATCCGTGGGCGTGAGATCACGACAGATGGGAAGAACTTTCGAAAGAAGAGAATTATATGCGGACATCCACGTCATTTGTGTTCTGCCCGGAAATCCATGGATAACACCGGGAAAGCACACTGTCGGATATTGAAAGGGCGAGGGGGGATTTTCGACAAGTGAAAGGAGAGATCGAAAGCAAAGGAGAGCAAGAGAGAGAGAATGAAGTCCCGTCTCACTCCCATTTAATCAGCCGTCATTGAGAGAAGAGACGACCTCTTCTATCTCCATTTCTCGAATAATCCCTTAAGCAGCGATGGGCTCGCGCTCTTCCTCGCGGCCTCGGGCCTCGCCTTCAATGGTGCTGACGCCATCTTCACCATCTTCATAGTTGGGGTGCTGGTCAGCAGGGAGCCAGGAGTCGCGGTCACCGGCCAAGGGCTGATCCTGCGAAGAGAGGTCGACACCGTCACGGTTCTTGCTCAGGTTGGTGCGGTGGCGCTGGGAGAGGGTACGCGAGCGCGTGGACAGGCTGGACTTGACGACTGCCTTGGAGCTGACCCAGTTGCTGAGGGCGTCCTCGCAGTCTTGAATGATGGCCTTGCTAGCGTCGTAGCCATCGTACGCGTGGCGAGTCTCGCCCGGGGTGACGGGGGTGTCGTCGATCAGGTCCAGAAGGTGCTTGCCGTAGCCGGCGACGATGGCGACCTTCTCGCAGTGCTCGCGGAGGGCGTCGAACTGGTACTGGAAGGCGGCCTTGACCTTCTCGCGGGTGATGTTGGACAGCTGGGCCTCGGCAACGAGCGACTCGGCTTCGGCGCGAACGAGCTCCTGCTCCAAGACGACGATGCGAGGGGAGTTAGGGTCCTTGTACTTCAGCTTGGCGATCTCGTCGGTGATCTTTTGTTTGCCTGGAGATGTGTTAGTGGTGGTTGGGGGTGGGTCGGTGGGGATCTTACGGTCTCGGCTGGGCTGTACGGAGGCCTCGATATTACGGATGCTCTTGATGGTCACTCGATACTGGTCGTAGCGGTCGACAAAGAGATCCTCTAGTTCGCCGATCTCGTAGATCAGCACTCCGAGCTTGTCCGTCACATCCGACACATCCTCATCGCAGGCTTCACCCCAGATGGAGAGTTGTTGCTACAGCGACCAGATTAGCTTCCAATTTCCAACTTTTATGACATTTTTTTTCCTTGGATAGAGAACATACAGCGACCTCCATGCGCTCTCGCGCGACGAGCTCCATGCTACGCATAACGTTCTTCTCCATCTTGACAAGCTGGGACAACTTCTTGGCAAGATCGGGACCGAAGGCGCCAGCGGCGTTCTTACGGAAGGCATGTCCTGATCGCAATATGTCAGCAAACTACTTTCTTTCCATAGCAATTGGCATCGGCATGGACTGGTGATCGCGATTCCGCTGGCCACGTTGGGCCGAGATTGAGGAATGAGGATCGGTGCCCGATTAGGCAGCCTTGAACTCCAAGTTCTCGTCGAAATCGCCATGACCAGTCGCAATTGTATGGCACTCACCGATGCCGCCTTTCCCTAACCATCTCCCGGTCTTGGTTGTGGACAATGGTGGTGGTGGGCTCTCGATCTGCGACGCGGTCGGAACCCGCGACTGGCGCATAGAGTAGGTACGATGCATGGTGATCGGTAGGGGTGAGAGAAGAGAGGAAAATAGAAATTCAAGGTTCCTGACCAGAGAAGTTAATGAGAAAAGAGTTTTTCCAGTGCCTTGCGCAGTAGTGACGTGAGATGAGAAGAGGGGAGGAGATTTAGAGTCAACACGTACTTGAAGCGGAATGCGACGGAAGGTGTGAGCTGCAAGCGGATCGACACAGGGGAAAGATATACTTGACAGCTGTGGGTTGGGGATTTTCTGCAGGAAGAAGTTCTCCTGAGGGGGGAGCTTTTCGGTGACGTCGACAATTCTGCCCAGCAACGAGAAGCAAGGCTGATTCAATTGGATGAGACCGGGATTGGCGGATCTCAGCCTCTGAAAGGTAAAAGGCACACTAGAGACCCAACTATTCACAATTCGGCAGTCAAGGCAGCTAAGAGCCAATAGCGTCGATCGTCTTGAAGTTGCATTTTTCAGATTCTCACGATCGCCGACGTCATTGATTTGCTGATGTCACCCTCGTGACTTGCTCGTGACTTGTCCGTGGCTTGTACCTGCGCAAACTCTGTCGTGGCATCATTGACTTTTCAAGTCCAGCATCACATTCTATGCAGGATATGGACCAGATCCACACAGTATCTAACAGAAGTTTTTTGACTCCCCTGGCCTGAGGTGCCTGTCCAGCTTAGGTGGATCTGGAGCTCGAAGCTTGGTACGCTAATCAGCCACAATCCCCTTCGTCGGGTCTCCAGCAAGATCTATATCTTCTTCTTCTAGAGATATAGGGCTATCATAGTTAGATCAAAGCCCTATGAACTATCAACAACGGAGGTGTCTCTCCAAGTGTCTTTCCTATGGACATTTGCATTCATAACGTACGTGTACTCGGAGCACCGAATGTAACACCTCTACAGTCCCACAAGTTCCACTGATCGCTATGATCTCCTGGAACGCCTGTTCGCTGGGGAACCATGTGGTCCAGTCATATTTCGAATCAGCCTAGAAGCCCTCTAGAAGCGAGGAACATACCAGTCGAAATCAATGTAAACCACGGCTAACTTTAATCGAACCAGAAGTATTCTTATTTTTTTGACGGAAAAAGGCAGCGAGAAGTGAAATAAGTAGATGAGAAATAATGCAAATACAAGAAGTGTAATAATGCTGCTTGTTCTTGTCGTAACCTAGATTATTTCTATGGACTAGTTATCCAATATCCCCTTCAGCTCAGGACTCTACACGAGTCTTTCGCTTCTTACTCGTTCCAGATTTAGCCTGGGTGGATGATGCCCCCCGCTTAGTTTTCTTTTGCGAACTGGTGGCTTCTTCGCCATTTCCTTCCGTGGCTGGTGACTCATCACCAGGCAAGATCTGGCCTCCTTGAGCCTCTTGTCGTAGTCGACCGAACGCCTTTTCCATGCGGCTAGGCCCACTTGATCGAACACGAGGCGCAAACGCACCTGCACCTTGTGGACCTGCCATGAACTGTGTGATATTGGACTGTGTGCCCTCCTGATCTCGACGATTCATATCACGAATGACGGGGACCAAAACCTCATCTGTGCGCTCTTGGCTCCAGCCGATGGTGGACATGAGAAAGTGCCTCAAACCGTTCAAGTCGGGTACACCCCATTGAAATTGAGAGGGGTCCGCATCAACCTCAGGTTCCAAATAGGCAGTGTCAACTCGAGTATCAGGGAATGAGGGCGGAAGGAAGATCTTGGATGCCTTTTTTCGGAATTTCTTCCGAAAGGCGAGATGAACGTCGTCAGGTTTGTTTGCGCCCATTTGCACTTCTGTCCACCAGTCGCGGAACTCCTCGAGGTTGGAGAATTCAGTAATGATCTCCAGGGCCGTGACAGGACCAATGCCAGGGATTCCCTCGGTGTAATCGCTACCTAACAGATGAGCAAAGCTGATGAGCTTTTGTCGATGAAGGGCATATTCCTTCTCTAAGTCTGATGCTAGGTAGCATTCCACGAATTTGCTTTGACTGAACATATTTTTATAGACTCGTGTTCCACCGAAAAGGAAGATATCGCTATCGTCCGTGACAATGCCATCAACAAGACCTAGCGAGACCAATTCAGCGCACTGCGCCTCAGCTTCCATCGGCGCAGTGATGTAGGGTAACCCAAAGAGAGTCAACAGCTGCTGACATTCATTGATCATTATAGTGGTCACCTCATCTGCATCACGACGTTCATTTCTTTGTTGATTGCGTAGCTGTTTCAGTTCTTGCTCAAAATCAAATGCATTTTGCATAGGAACAACATTATTTAGAGTTTGGGTGAACCGAGCATGCTCTTCGCCTTCGGCTGCAAGCTGTTTGAAGAGATCTTCATCTTCTGGGTCACTGTAATCGCCTTGATCTTCAGCAAAGGCCTCTGGTTGCTCAACATCGTCAAAAGGCTGGGGTCGGGGCTGGACCTCGTGGGATACAACAGTAATCTCAGGGCCGTTTGTCTGTGGCTGCGTAATCACATCCTCGAATTCAGGTGACGGAGAAGGCTCACTAGGGAGTGGTATCTCTGAGGTTTTTGCTTCGGGTACGGGCACCGATTCTTGATGTTGCTCTTTGGCAATGTCGAGTGGCGCTTCATCATCTTTCGTATTGGGTTGGGTTGATTCATTGGATGGCTCATCATCGACCTCGCGGTAAAGCTTTGCAATTTGTTCATCGGAGATTGGTTCAAGCTTTCTTTCTTCATTGTCGACTATTCCCTCTGAACCCTCTAGATCAACAACCTCCTTGGTGTCGGATATTTGATCGACATCAATTATCTCTGGCGAGCGACGGTTGGAAAGAAACAAATGATCCGGTGCCGCCAGTTTCTCTTCTTCTTTGGGGTCTTCGATGGGATCAACGATAAAATCTTGGTTCAAGCGCTCGCCAGCGAACCAGGGAGGAAGCGGGTCTGCCTGTTTAGGTTTCTGTGTGGATTCCTTTACGAAGCCACCTGCGCTTTCATCTGCCTCAATATCTTTACCAGTGTCTTTTGTGGCTTTCGTGAGCTTGATAGACTCGAATGGAAGAGGACCACCGAATGGATTTGACGGCTGAGGGGCCTTCTTTGTGACTTTGGTTTTGGCGACAGCAGTCGCAAAATCCATTCCATCGTCGCTTTCAGAATCGGGGTCTGGCATCGTCATATCATAAGAAGGGGCTCGCTCGGCAGGTCGATTGATGGAAATTTCTGGCACAATTTCATCATGGTTGGTATCTGGTTGCAATGAAAGAGCAATGGCTTGTTCAAGGTCGTCATCATCATCACCATTAAAATAGTCGTCAGTGTCGTTGTTCTGCTGCTGGGCACCGATGTTTCCATCGGCCTGGACAAATAGCGAATCATCATCTACTGCTTGGATTTGGCGGTCATTCACTGGCTGATGCAGCGCAGTCCGACGTGATTCAGCTATAGCTCTTTGAATGTCAAAGTCCTCGTCGCGTTGATGCTGAAGAGATCGATCAAATGCACCATCTTGGAGGAAAGGAAGTTTAGGAAGTCGATTGAGACCCTCGATTGGTACATCCTCGAAGTCGTCATCATCTGACTCCTCATTTTCCGAGGACAATATCTCAGGCCGATCAAGATCGATGGGTTTTTCCTCATCACCCTCTTTATTTCCAACAACACCCAGCACCCAGCCACCCACATGGTCATGATCCTTGACAAGCACATATTCTCTACCGCGTTCTCCCGCAACACGCTGCCCAGATTTGTAAAATGCTTCCTCGCCATTCATACCACTTATGTTCATTAGTCGCTGAGTAAGATCATTGCGCTCCGCAACTCGGTCGATCTGGAATCTTGAGAATGCCATGCGGTCAGGAAACATGGTATCTAGCTGCTCTTTGGAGTAGCCCATACGCAGCCGACTTCTCAATCTTGCGGCGTTCAAGATGTTGTACCGATCAGTCGCGGGCAAACTGAGGAAGAATGAACTATCGAAGTCAATCTTGGAAAAGTCATAAAGATTGATATCTTGGCCTTGGTGGAAATGTCGAGCATATTCCTCCAGCTCTTCTTGTGACATGATACGCGGGTCATTTGGTGCGCCCATATCCTGGAGCGAAACGTCCAGGTTCGGTAAGTGGTAGGCATCCTTTTTCTTGAAACGTCGAGTTTGTTGCCTTTCTTTCTCAGTCATGAACGCCTCATCTGCATAGACTGGTGCATCCGTCACCTCTTCCTCTTCTTGTCTCCGGTTCTTATTGCGTCGGCGAGTTTCTTCTTCTTCGGCGCTCCTTTGCATTTGTACTGCGAGCAACTTCCCCGCTGTCCTCACAGCATCTTCTCTGTGACCTTCGCGTCTTTTCTTCCGGCCTGCAATCGTCTGTCTCTTCATGACCGGGGCGCCGCCATCAAAGACGAACACGGGTCGGATGCCGAAGAACAGAAGCTTGCATATCCGACGGAAGAATCCGACAATGTGGGAGTTTCGCAGCGCATTTCCTTCTTTGTCTCGCACCGCTTTTAGGAACTGGTAGATCCAAATTGACGCGTCCACTGCGAGGCGTCTCTTGTTAAGCGTCTCGAGTTTGATAGGACGAGCGCAGGGCTGCACGACCGTCCAGAGGCCGGTGACACCCATTACAGGTCAGGGGGATGTGAGATCATAAATCCGCAGAATAATAATGCTGCATTTTAAAATCAAGTCCACGCGTAGCAAACCCCGATGCTCATGAGTGGAAATGCGAAACAGGACTCGATCAGTGACGTCCACGGGTCAGATTCCAGCGTCATGTACTGCCTCAGGCATCAATGCAGTCGCGAGATCACGTGTGTAATATCACCACATCTGGACTAGCGTTGTGTATTATGTAATCCATTTGGAGATCGAAAAAGTAACGTTAGTGGGCTTTTTTGGTTTGGTGGGATGTACTCTTGATCGGATAATCCAATTGAAAGAGTTTATGGTGAATTCCTCCTCTAGCTGATGTGTGGAGAGGTCGACAAAAATGTCCCTTTTTCTCCAGGTCGGTGCTGCTGTGATACATGTGTATTGCTATCTCGCTGACTCAAATTATAGCATATTGATGCTTGCCTTCCGGTAACAGCATTGAAAGCCTTTGGCTGGGCCGATAAAAGATTCGTCTTTGAGGGCCAAGGCCCTCATTTCCGTGTGGTTGACGATGCCACTGGCGTTGTCTCTGCGCAAATCCAACCATTTAAAAGAAACAATGTTCATGGTTTTATTACTCTGAACCAACGGCCAACGGACCATGGCACAGGCCATGTTCAAATGATCGTCTGGGGCGGAATTTCTGTGCGAGCCATCAATCTCGTCATGGGACCTGGTACTGAAGTGTCCTTGTCAGCCTCCAGTGCCGAGTTCTATGCCCCGGACTGGATCATGAGCGGATGTGCCTCTGCTGAGAATGGCCACCATGGGGCATTCATGATCACTGCAAACAATGCTATCATTGGATTGGAGGTAATCAACAGTGAAGACTCGAAAAAAGAGACAGTCATCTCTATACACCAGCTGGCTACCAGTGTAAAGTCAATCCTTTACTCTGCCCATGTGATTGCACTCTCTCCTTCTCATATTCTTATGGCTTCCGGCACTGTCTTCGGAGAAATTATTGTATGGTCCTGTTTCTTGCAAGGCAGTGAATTACGCCAGGCCAATGCCATCGCTTCTATCCACCATTTCTTCACAGGGCACGATGGTTCGATTTTTGATGTCCGTATCTCTCCTCAAATTGCGTCCCTGAACGGAGGACAGTTTGGCAGACTTCTAGCAAGCTGCAGTGATGATAGAACCGTGAGAATCTGGGATATCTCGGACTGTGAGCGGAAAACCGCACAAGATCCTTCCGCATACTCGACAGATGGATATGACTTAAGAAGCACAGGTTTTGGTCCTGTCGAGGAGGGTGAGCAAGGCGTTGGATCTGAATCGTGCGTGGCTCAGGCATTCGGTCACATAGCCCGCATCTGGGGTGTTCATTTCCGGTCTATTCAGCATGATGATCAAACTGGAATGGGGCTTGTATCTCGGGGTGAAGATTCTACATGTATTATGTGGGATCTTACCTGGAAATCGACCTCCACAGGAGCAACACAGTATCAGCTCAAACAGACCTATTCATTACATCCTCACTATGGCAAGCATATCTGGTCACTGGATCTTTGCAGACTTGGTTCTGAAACCATTGTTTACACGGGAGGTGCGGATGGTGCATTGAAAAGTTTTGCCATTGAGGAAAACGACGATCGATACCGGGGAAACAACAATTTCATGGTAGAGCAACCTTCTTCGTTGCAAAAAAGGCCACACAAAAGTCAGGGTCTGAAAGCATCCGCTTTTGTCTCCCACGATTGTCTTCTTGGCTCTTCTGCACAAGGTCAAGTCCAGCTTGGGTATTTGAAGGGCACAGAAACTAATATTACTTGGAAGGAGCTATGTATTCAGCCTGAGCTTGCTTCTTGGGTATTGATGACCAGTGAACCCCGGAAAGGCTTAGCATTGATCAGTAATGCCCGAGGACTAATTCGATTGTACAATCACAGTACAAAATCGATTGTTGAAATCACTGAATTGGGTACACGGCCTCTCAATATGTTTTTCCTTGAAACCCAATCAGCAGAAACTGAAACCTCAGATCCGTCCAAGGGCTTTACCTTCTTGGTCTGCTATACGGCAGAAGAGAAGGTAACACTTGTCACAGTCTCAGATATGGAAAGTGATTGTCCAAGTGTTGAATTATCTACGATTGGCGTGCCACCCTCTTTCGTGGCGGCGAGTGCAGCTTTAATTTTCAGTGGTCAATACTTGGCCGTCGGCTCCAAGGGCGGCGGACTTGCCATATTCGAAACCTTTGATACTGACATAGGCTCACGACCAGTGTTGCTTGATCGACGTGTTCATGGCAAGGAGTTCGTCAATCACCTTAGCCTGGTGTCATCTGTTACCCAAGAGCATGGCTCAAGCGTTGAATACCTATTAAGTTGCGGTCGTGATGGCACATATTGCGTTCACAAACTCGAGCTGTGCAAGGACAGAGAAGAGGCAGTATCAATGCAAATAGTGCACCGTACCGCATCTCTAGTCGGAGGCAACATCGAAGGCGGTTATTTCGACAAAATGACCGGTCATTTCATGCTATATGGATTCAGATCTCAAGACTTTGTTCTCCGCAACGAGTCCAAACTGACAGACGTTGTATCAATCGCTTCTGGTGGTTTCCGCCGGGCCTGGGCTTTCCATCCAGGAACGAAAGATAGCGATGCTTTGTTCACATGGCGAGACCAAGGAGCTTTGCAGACCACCCGTATACGCCATGATGCTCGCTGCTTGTTGAGAGCCGGAGCTCATGGACGCGAACTCAAATCAGTTGATGTTTTCAATCCGATTGGGGGAGGTCAGTCTCTGATTGCCACCGGCGCAGAAGACACTACTGTTCGTCTCTTTAAATCGGCCCCTTCAATGACTGCTACTTCAAAGACTGCCTTCGAGTGCCTGCGGGTCTTGGATACACACAGATCCGGTATTCAACAAGTGACCTGGTCCAAGGATGGAAGATTTTTGTTTACTAGTGCTGCCTACGAAGAATTCTTTGTCTGGAAAATCAGCGAAGTCCCCTCGTTTGGTATCGCTACGAAATTGATTGCCGCCAGTCCCAAAGACGACGCAGACTCGGACCTCCGGGTTCCCAGCTTTGATATACTGGAGGTAGAAGATCACGATGGGGAACAGAGCTTCATTGTGTGCCTTGCTCTCGCGAACTCCACTCTCAAGGTATGACAATCACATTCCCTCAACTTGTCCTCGAACCAAGCTAATATCGTATTAGATCTTCCACTTCTCGCCATCTAATGAGGGTCAATTCACGCTTCTGGCGTCTGGGCGATACACGACCAACTGTTTGACCCAAGCACACTTCTTGGTGAAGAACTTGTCTGTGAGCCTTATCACTGCAGCCACTGATGGCCATTTCACGCTCTGGGATTTGACCAGCATACTGGAGCCGTTCTACACAATTACGAATGCGAGCTTGAAGGCTAAAAAGCCACTTGATGGCTCCTCGTTCTCGCCTGAAAACATCGCATGTGAGAATCGGTACCAGATTCATTCCAACAGCATCAAGTCGCTAGAGTTGGTACCCATCTCTGAAACGACCACTTTAATTGTGGCAGGCGGTGATGATAACTCAATCTCTGTCTCTCGCCTGATGACGACGCCCGACTCGAGCGTTAGCGCGCAGGTGGCTACGGTGTCAATTCCCGATGCGCACGCCGCGGCAGTGACTGCAGTCAAGGTGCTCAGCTCGCATGTGTCTCAGGACATTGCCTCCAACACTGGATTTACCAGTATCACTGTCGCATCCTCTGGAAATGATCACCGAATCAAGATTTGGTTGATCACCCTGGATCCCACGCAGCTTGGTACACAGGGTATCAAGGTTGAATTCTTATTGAACAGATATAGCTCCGTGGCCGATGTATCGTCCTTGGGGCTTATACACGGATCTGAGCATGATGTTTCTGCAGAGACTGACGATATTGGGTTGACAGAGAAGCCAAAGTTGGTGGTAGGCGGTGTTGGCATGGAGATGTTTGGTGTCAAGTTGTAACGAACTCGACTTGCATTCTGACGACGTGATGTTTCATGTACATAGAGCTTCAATGGCACATATTAGCCCGACATTCCGAGAATATCAAGCCCAAACTGGTGTTGACGTATCCCTTTAGCTGCATAACAGTGCTTAGCCCGTGTCCAAAAGGGCAAGGCCTTCCCCGCAAACCCCCAAGTGAATGCGTAGCCTGACATTTTATCTTCAAAATTCTTGTGAGGCCCTACTCTCCATTTCCTGCAGAATTGACTTCCGTGTCAATATCGACCCCGCAGTCTAGAGCGTTTCATGCATTCAACCGGCTCCATGTGGTGGGCCGTGACTCGGAGCCACTGAGACCTGAGCATACTTAGGGGTGGAACTGTTTGCCAGGGTCGACATGATACAATTAATTTCAGTCAAGTCCCAAAAGAAAACGGAAAGGCAGGAGTACATAAGGCAGGCGCTATGGAGAAAAAAAAGGCCACACTTGACAACTTGGTTCCTCTTTTCTAGTTCACCTATCAATTGTGCACCATGAAGCGTCTTTTTAGTATAATGGCCGGTGTGGGAATGGTTGCCGCTGGGCCTTTACAACATCGAGCCACAGAGACGTATTTCTTTACTTTGTAAGCAACCAAACTGGTAGATGCCACATGAGGAAGCTGACCGAGAAGTATAGTGGTGATTCCTATACCCAGAGCAACTTCGATGTCAATGGCACACAACCGTCTGCTTCAAATCCAATGGGAAATCCAACCATAGGTAGGCCATCGCCACCAGAAGCAGGTTCAAATGTGGTTGTTCTGATATTCTACAGGCACCGGTACATCTTGCGGTGGTCTCAACTGGGTCGAATACTTGACCACAGTCGACAATGCCTCGCTGATACTCAGCTACAATCTCGCGATTGGGGGAGCGACAATCGACAACCGAATTGTCAGTGCCCCGTATACAGATATGACTACACAGCTTGGTTACTTTGAGACCTCCTACAGTCAGAAGCCAGCCTCTGCGCCGTGGTCTGCCAGTGACACCGTCTTTGGATTTTGGATTGGAATCAATGAGTATGAGATTCCAGCCCTCAATTACGATCCCAGCTAATCGAAAATTCCGTAGTATTGGCTGGGCCTATTCAAGCAATGACGCCAGCGTCTTGGTTCCGAAACTAATGGCGCAGTACGAATCTCTTGTTGAAGAGATCTATGCAAATGGTGGACGGAAGTTTTTGTTCCTCACTGTTCCCCCCACGAGCCGCAGCCCACTTTTCCTTGATCAAGGGACGGACGTGGTAAATGCCCACGCGGCGTGGGTCACGGCTTACAACAAGGGCCTTCAATCGATGGTCAAAAGCTTCAAGGCGAAGCACAGTGGCGTGAGTTTGGGCTCCTCCACAGATCACTTATCCTATATCGGGCTAACCCATGGCAGACCACCACCGTGATTTACGATACTTGGAGTTTCATGACCAAGATCCTCGACAGCCCCCAGAAGTATGGATATCCGAATGCCACCTGCATCAGTGAAGATGGGACCTCGTGCGTCTGGTATAATACCTATCACCCAGGCTACAAGTATCATCAGCTGCAGGCAGCAGATATGAAACCGCACCTTAAGTCTCTTGGTGCGTGGTAAACGAGTCACGGACCAGCCAAGGAGTAGTATCAGCGTGGATCATCAGCCATGTCAAGTTTCAAAGTGACTCAAACTGTGATGTTTCATGGGGAGCGATCATTTCTTCTTTGAGTATCAGATATTTCAGATGGGCCAGTCCCTGTTTCAGCTGCAGTCATCTTATTTCGGACAAGGTCCATATTCTTCATCCCCACGTTGGCTTGCACAGTATGGTCTATGATCCGCCGAGGGGAAAATTCTGTATCCAAATGCAAATAAACAAGTAGTGCTGTCGAGTCCATTGCCTGATATTCGTGCATGTCTGATTACAACGTCGATCTATGCCTCAAACGCCACGGGCTTGCTGGGCATCTCTGGGCACCAACAGAACAATGCGCATAAAAGCCACCTATGTATAAAGAAAGCTTGAAGTGGGACAGGTCCCTGACGTTCTGTCTGCTCCAAAGACACGGCATCCACTTGGCTCCGTTTCGCAATTGGAGAGAGCCAAGAAGATCATTATGGCCAGGCCTAATTCTATGGACTTTCTTTGGGGAATTTCTACTACTCAGTATGGCAATATCAAAAGTTGCTCTGTACTCCACTTCTTGGAAGTCCTTCCATTTAGTCTCAGTTTGAAAGTCATGAATGCTCCGTGTCCTTTTCTAACATGGGTTTCTGGCACGAGCACTACGTAGACTAGCTCAATAAGGAACGGATTCCGAAGTCTTAGAATAACTATAAATCACGTCCCCCATTCTCGGTGTTGAGATGCAGCAGCAGGTCTGGTTTTACCTACTCCCCTTCGGACTTTCACTTCTCATTTCCGCTCACTATTCTTTCATTACCTTGTAAATTGATCTGTGATTAATTACTGTATCAATATGAAGTTCACCAGCATTGCTCTCCTCGCCGCCGCGGCCGGATCCGCAGCAGCAGCTCCTGCCAAAAGCCATGCAAAACGAGCTTCGCCATTCAAATGTTTGTCTGCATGAGCCTAGCAGTGGCTGAAAGTGCTGATCACTCATTCTATTCAGGGTTTGGAGCAAGCGAGTCAGGCGCTGAATTTGGACAGGGCAACCTTCCCGGTGTCTATGTATGTTGGCTATAGATGTGTTTGCGCAGATCTCAATTGACCAATAATCAGGGAACCGACTATACTTTCCCTGATACCGATGCGATTCAGACCTTGCAAGGAAAGGGAATGAACATTTTCCGAGTGCCGTTCTTGATGGAGCGGTTGGTTCCTGATTCCCTGGCTGGATCGTTCGATAGTGCCTATCTGGGAAATCTGACCTCGGTAAGTGATCCCAAACCGTGGATTCAAAGCAGGTAGATGATTGGATGCTGACCTATAGTACAGGTTGTCAAAGCCATCACTGACACAGGAGCCCATGCCGTCCTTGACCCGCACAACTTTGGCAGATAGTAAGTGGATTTAATCGATCTACCATTGCTCAAGCAAGTTGATACTAATGAGGACATTATAGCAACGGCAACATCATCTCAAGCACTGACAACTTCCAGACCTTCTGGAAAAATGTCGCCGGCGAGTTTGCTTCGAATGACCTAGTCATCTTTGACACGAGTTCGTCTGCCCCCAGCTCCAATTGTCTTCAACACAGCATTGTCTAACAAGTATCCCTCCAGACAACGAGTATCATGACATGGACCAAACCCTAGTTCTGAACCTCAACCAAGCCGCCATCAACGGCATTCGCGCAGCAGGCGCAACAAGCCAATACATCTTCATCGAGGGAAACAGCTACACAGGCGCCTGGACCTGGGTCGATGTAAACGACAACCTTAAGGCCCTGACCGACCCGCAAGACAAGATCGTCTACGAGATGCACCAGTACCTTGACTCAGATGGGTCTGGAACTAGTGAAACTTGCGTGTCGACAACTATTGGAGAGGAGCGAGTGACCGATGCCACGCAGTGGTTGAAGGACAACAATAAGGTTGGAGTTCTTGGTGAATTTGCCGGGGGTGTTAATGACCAGTGTAAGACTGCTGTTACTGGGATGCTTGATTATCTGGGGGAGAACTCTGATGTGTGGATGGGTGCTTTGTGGTGGGCTGCTGGGCCTTGGTGGGGAGATTATATCTTTAGTCTGGAACCTCCAAGTGGCACGGCTTATACTGGGATGATGTCGACTTTGGAGCCTTATTTGCCTTGAGATCTGGTCGTGGGGGTCGCTTTCACTATCAAGGGTGTGGTTACAGTTCCCTGTAATATGGTTTGATACCTAGTCAACGCCACTGTTCTGTTACCTGGACCCCGTGCCTACAACTTGAACATGCTAGAAGAGGCCAGAAATCTAATGGAATATTGCTTTTCGGAGAATTTGCACCGCTATGGTACCTCAAACTGTAGTAGCATAAACTGGATTAGTACTTGATATGGTTAGTTGTTCTCCCGGTGGCATTTATAAAGTATCTTCCTTTCGAGTCACCTGTCTCAGCTGAAATTGCCGAGTACAAAGCTGCACATAGCAATACAAATCCTGGTTATGTTTAGAGTTGCAATCGACGATCAAACCTTGGGTTTCTTGGAATCTTCAAAGGCTTTAGCCCTTTCAGCCTGACATTATGACAGGTCAAGTTCTTCTCGGGAATTACTCCCCATTTCGAGGACTGCATTCAAGGGTTAGTGGCTGAAGTACGCGCACGTCAGACCAATGACACTGCCAATAGTAAGGTCAATGTCATCTTGGTCAATGAGCGTTTTCAAAATACGAAGTGAGTCAGTGTTTGCGCAGGCTGGTTGGTTTATTGACAAAGCCTGCATGGTGCGTAGTTTCATTGCTGCGCACAGGGCAACTAATAGTGCCTCTTGGTTATTCCAAGGCGCTGCTGGGACAATATCATCGATGCTTTCCTAGCCTTCCCAAATATCTGCGCCAAGTTTGCATGTTAGATGTGAAAAGCATGTCACCGTGATTATTCTGACAATCTGATTTCCCAATCTTCGATAAGCCGGGATACTTGCTTGAACGAAACAGGTTTCGTTAGGAAGACATCCACCCCTGATTCCAATGCTTCAGACTCGTCGCGTAAGCTGCTGAGTCCCGTGAATGCGATGATCTTGGCTGAAACGCTGTTGCCTCGTTCTTTTTCGATTGCACGTATCGTACGAGTCGCTTCGAACCCGTTCATTATAGGCATGGACATATCCATGAAAATAAGGTCGTATCCCAGCGGCGTCTTTTCGACTAAGTCGACGGCTTCTCTGCCGTTTTGCGCTGTATCCACATTCGTGAGTTTCCATTTCTTCATGAAAGTTTGAATAAGTCGAAGGTTGATATCATTGTCATCGACTAGCAATACCCGGGGTTTGATTTGGGCACCAGATGATGGATTAGAACAAGTTGGGTCGCTATATGAGGAAGCGGAGGAAGAGAGGGAAGGTGTTTGAGCACTGGAAGCACCGCTTCCAGGTGTAAGGCGAGAGCTGTCTGTGCGTGAAGACTGGTCAGAAGATTTTCGCTCCGCAGGTTCCATGTAGCTGCGAGAAACGGTCTTGATATTGGCTGATTCGGTCAATGGTGCTTGTAGACTTCCGGATGTCGATGATATGGAATCCCCAGTGGATGGATTTGAGCCTGAGGGCCTAGGTCGTTCCGGTATCACAAGTTCTTGTTTGGGACGAGCTGGACATGGCGTAGAAGATGGCGACTTTGGATAAAGACAATTCAAGATTCCTTTGGCGAGTTTCTGGGGACCACAGGGCCGACGAAGCATCACCAGGGACTCAGCAAAACGCGACCACTGTGTTCTGGTATCACCAGCATTGCCTGTGTCGCTGCGAAAAACAAGAATGCTTGGCAATGGAGCATGCAAACACTGTAGTTCTTCTTCAGTTGAATCACTTTCGTTGGCAAGTAAAACATCAACATGTTCATGTGCAGACCAAGGCACCAGCTTCAGGCCATACCAGTCAATGATATACTGAGCAATGGAAGACCAGAAATGGTGTTCACCAAGACAGGAGGGATCTACCCCCCATATCGCGATGCGTTTCCCAGTCAAGTCCAATTGACGCAGTTGGTAGGGTGTCGTGAGTGTCTGTTGTTCCAAAGTCCGTATGTAAGGCGTTGATGACGAACTATTCTCTCCCACTGGACGCTCAAGAGGTATTATCACCTTGACAGTAGTGCCTTCGCCTTTTCGGCTTTTGATTCTGATATTTCCATGGAGTGTTTTCACAATGCCACGGACTATTGAAAGGCCCAGACCAGTGCCAACTGATAGTGTGTCCTCCTGTGCGAATGGGGTGTATAGACGTGTCTGTAGGTACTCATCCGACATGCCGATACCCGTGTCTGAAACCGTCAACGTCACCATATCCTCGAGGCCCTGACGTCGCGAACGACCCTTTGAGTTCTCTGTGGCTTGTATTGAAACAGATACCAATCCCCTTTTGGTATATTTCAAAGCATTCCCAAGAAGGTTCATAACTATGCGTCTGAGGGAGCCGGCCTGAACATTGTAGAGCCAGTCATTACCACTAATATCGAGAATAACCTCCACATTTGAATCCCAACCAATTTTGTTGGCCTGTTTCGATGGCGAAGAAGACAAATTCGGCGACTCGTCAATGGGATGGTCGACTGGCATAGTTGACCTTTGGATATGAGAATGCCCCAAACACACGCTATCCACAACATCTTCTATTAAAGTGGCAACGTTTGTTGACACAGGTGGATCGAGCCGCACTGGGATATCGTCTGGAGCTTTCGGTCTCCATGGATCTTTTTTGCGTTTTTGCCTCTTCTTCTGTCTTTCCAATGATAATATCTTGCTGAAATCCAAAACTTGATTCAGAGTATCCAAGAGAGTCCGGCCACATGAATTCACCGTTTCGAGAAGAGACTCTTGGAACTGGTCCAATTGAGTATCCCCCAGAAACTCGGCAGCTGCCAACACACCATGTAGTGGGCTGCGTAGTTCGTGAGAAATACTGCCTATGAAATCTCCCTTTTGGCGGTCTGCGACAACTGATTCAACACGGCTGTATTCTGTCATGATGGAAGAAGCGAAGCCAAATATTGAACTTAGATCGATATCCCGACTGAAAACTCGTGTCGACTGGGTGGTCCATGAGAAACACCCTGCAAACCACTGTAAACTAGTGGCGTTCCACAATGGAACAAACATGACCTGAGTAGCATCAGGGAAGAAGGCTTTCAGTGTTTTGGCCTCCAAGGCCCTGGATGTTAAATTATATTTGCGAGATGCGCCCACAGATTGCTCTTCGTCTGAGGTAGACAAACTGCCATCGCGGTGAAATGACCAGAGTCTACCTTTCGGGTAGCGACGTGATAGCTGGTTTAGAAAGGCATTGTCGAGTTTGACGGCTGGGTACGATACCTCAGTACTCGACATGTATGAGAACGGATCTTCTCTCGTGGAAAAAGCAAGGAGAGGCCCAGGTGTCTCAGCATCAGCTGGATGCAAAGCGCTATGGGTGAAGCTGTCTGAACAATCATCACTGGTCTCCAAAAACATTACACTACCAGCACCGTCCAGGTCCAGACTTTGCCGTATAAGATTCGCAGCTCGCTGAAACAACCAATCCGTGTTACTTGAGACCATCGAACCGCCATCACCATGTCGCGAGCTATGCGATGACGGTGCTGGACTAGCTGAAATGCCAGCCCTCAAGTCTTCGCCAGAAAAAGGGCTTGCAGACCGTGCGGCAGCATCTGAGAGGGGCACCACATCATCGGTCTCGAACTGTGCTGTACGAAGATTTGAATCGCTATGTTGAGAGTCAGCAGATCGGCTCTGCCTGCGATAAGGCGATGTGTATGAATGGGGACTCCAGTTTGAGCTGTTCTGATGAGCAAGGGGAACATGATCGGCGAAGCTGGAATTGCCGTCCACGAACAGACGGAGACCCTGTGATAACCGGGAGGCACGGTGACCTTCAACGGCCTGGCGGCTGACCCGTAAATATTCCATAACCATAGCTCCCACTGTCCCCAGTATATCCTTCTCCGTATCAGACAGGCCCTCACGGGGTTCAGGGTCCAATATGAACAAACATCCCAAATTTATGTTGCTGTCGGACGTCAAGGGTGTTCCGGCATAAAATCGGGAGTGTGGCTCGCCTTGAACGAAAGGCAAAGCTTTGAAGCGCTCCTCTTGTTGAAGATCGTTGACAATAAGAAAAGGATATGTTCCATCTTGGTGTTCGGGCGGCAGTATATTGATTGTTTCCTGTTCGAAGAGATACATCAGCATTGAAGGTACAGTACATAGCAACTTTGATGTGCCCTCACTCACCTGACATATGTTCCACGTGCTAGTCAATGTGGATGTTCCAGCAAAGAGGTTGTCACCTTTGTTACCGAATAATGTTGAGGTTCCCACGTTGGTCGTTTTGGTAGCTTCGGCCAATACGAACTGAGAGTCGCGATTCAAGATACTGAAATTGATCAGTCGAGTCAAAGTATTTAGAGGTCCTTGGTACAATAAAAAGCTTACGTGATAAAGGCACGTTGTGCATTCAGGCGTAAAGCTGCCAGCTGTGCAAGAGAGGTCAAAGTCGTATTCGGGCTGTACAAAAGATTTGCATCAATCGAGGCCGTCTCAGAGACATTGTCATCCAGAACAGAAGTAGAGGAGCACGAAGCAGTCGAGGGGCCGACATGAGAGGTCAAATACTCGCCAGCGGACCATGTTGCATTTAGCGCTGCTGGATTTGTAGGCTGAAAGTAGCGATAGGTCTCGCGGGTTTGACGGTCTGCTTCATGATCAAACAAAACCTGCTCTGTAAAATTATCCATTGTCGGGTCGCCATGGATGGAGAATATGTGAAGAAGTGTGCATCACCCAAAGGGAATATTTGCGAGCGGGGCAGTTCAACAGGTTAGTGACGGGCAAGCTATGACGTAGCTAGACGCCAAAGTACAGGAGATCGCAACATCAATAAATCTTCTCTCCACACTACCCCACAACTGCCTATTTTAAATCGAACTCCTGCTCAGGGTTCGATGTCAAATGTCTGGAAACTACTGACTTCAGAGCACAACCAACTTAAATGCCACAGGGAAAGCAAGATCTTTGTAGCCAGTATCAAGCAGCCATCATTATAGTATGAAGAATAAGCCTCGCAAATGACGCAGCTTCTTGTGTTTCTGCAGGATCATACTATATTTGGGAGGCCCTCCATTTTCGTCTGGGAACCTTGAACGGCCCGGTCCATCTGTACATGTCAAACAAACATCTGGATTCTCAATGGTGTAGGTTGCTAGACCCTGGATATATATACCCTTGGGTAGTTCACATGCAGGCTCAAACACCAACTCAAGGCAGGATCCGGTTACGATTTTAGTACCGGCTCTGTCCATCGACATTTGTGTGATGACCTCAGGTTAAGTTCAATTTCATAGGACTGAACAATGCGACACGCCAAATATACGGTAGATAGCCGGTTGAGAGTCGCTAGACAGTATTTAGAAGGGTATGTGCAAGGAATGATAGTCATAACGTGTGCCATAGAGCGCGCCTCATATAGATTGAGGAGAGCGCAGCGATTTATCCTGAAGGGTTTATCCATCTTGGCATCAGCGATCAGATATGTACAAAGTGTCAGCCGATGACGGCTGATATTGACGATCGACGTCAGTGCGTGGCTTTGAAAAAGAAAAAGAAAACATAGGAAACCCCCCCCACCACGAACATCTAGAACCATGGCAGTGTAGAGGTTCGTAGGGCTCGCTAGAAAAGGTAATTTTGAGAAAAAAATAAATAAATATAGATTAGAAACATGGGGAGTTCCCAGAATCGTTAGAAATGAGTGCGTGGTATGTGCAGTTTTCGGGCTTCGGGACACGGCATAGTGCCAAGATTAAAACGGGGAAGCCTAAGAGATTAACGAGTGGGCTTACGCAGCTACGAGGCGAAGGGAAAAAACTAATGAAGGGATCCACAAGGCTGTTCAGGGTAGAAAGGGTGACGAGGCTCGAGTTGCGGAATCTCCTATTGTGGCCACTAGAATGATGATCCTACGTCAAACCATGGGTCATTTCGATTTATCAATTTGGGTCAGGTACAGACATAACTGAAGTCTGAACGGCATGTTGTGATACATTGTAAGAGTCATGTATCATGTAGAGAGAGAAGACAAGATATCGGGACATATTCTATATGCTGTTACCGACAGACGATTCACCTTGCTGTCAAGTTCCATGTTGACTGCTGACTCTGAAGGGATAGTTAGTTACAGACAGGGAGGGTAATACCTCCAGTCCCAAAACAGACTAGCGGCAGCCACAAATAGAAGCAAACGTGGCCCTGAGGCGTGACCTGCCAAGCCCTGATTGGCCCGATGATCCCTGCGCCTCTTTTCAAGGAGGCTGGTGCTGTGTGTTTAGTTGTTGCGATGATCATGTTAGGTTAAAAAGCACCTGCCTCCCCCTTCTCCATCATCCATCTTACTCAATCCTGCTATCTTGCTATACTATCTATATTCCCCTAACCATCCACCCCCCAACAACATCACCATGGGAAAAGCCGGTCGCATGGCGTGTATCTTCACGCCCTATGTCTTGACCATTGCGTCATTGATTTGCATCATTATGGTGGGATTGGGTTGCACAAAGGCCAGCTCAAGTACTTTGAACAATCTATACTTCCTTCGCGTAAGTGGTCCACTACCTTCGAGATTCTAGGCCCATCTAACCTCGACGCTCGATAGCTTGACATTTCAAACATCACGGCAAGCTCAGACACAACAACAGAGATCGAGAATGCCCTCAGCGATGCTGGAATCACCTCCGTGACTGTGAGCGACCTCACAAGTGCCATCGAAACAATTGAGAATGAATCGGGTCTCGCCGACTACTACGACATTGGTCTCTGGGGTTACTGTGAGGGCGACATCTCGGGCACCAAGAAGAACATCACCTCCTGCTCAAAGCCCAAGGCCGAGTTCTACTTCGACCCCCTTTCGCTCTTCGGTCTGGAGAACACCAACGCCGAAAGCGCCCTCGGCACAGACGCCAAGAAGCTCATGAATGTTTACAAGGCAGTCTCCAAGTGGATGTTCATCGCCTACTTGGTCGCTTTTATCGCCACTTGTGCTGAGATTCTAGTCGGTATTTTCGCCATCTGCAGTCGCTGGGGTAGCTGTGTCACCACCATCGTCTCGATCGTTTCGTTCCTGTTCACCCTAGGAGCCTCTCTCACATCCACAATCCTGTTCTCCATCGCAAAGGGCTCGCTCGGCACAGCCGCCAAAGCCTATGGCGTCAAGGTCTCTATGGGCACAAACATCTACGCTGCAACCTGGCTCGCCGTAGTCTTCTCTCTGGCTGGTACGATTTTCTGGATGTTCAGCACCTGCTGTTGCTCCGGCCGCTCTCCCTACGGCCACAAGGATCGCGGTATCAACCGCGGCTCCGTCACTGCTGAAAAGGCTCCCTATACCTACGAGCCCATTGATGCTGCCCACGCACCCTTTGGTAGCCAGCCTTACGCTCCTCAGGGCCACAACACTGCCTACCCTCCCCCTCTCGCCCACCATAACGACATCCCCATGACCAACCAGCGTCAAAACGCTTACGAGCCATTCCGTCACGTCTAAGCACCAAAAAGACCACGATATTTGAATGTATAACTTGAAGCGTTTTAGACTGGCGATACCAAGGCGTTTACCATGGTTTTTTTGCATGCCTTTTATGACCACTTTCCTTTGGATTTTTTTTTGGATGTTCATTACGCTATTGGCACACATGGACTGAGGTCTCTGAGCTATTGAAATATGTATATTGTTTTGGACCTCTATAGAGGAATGATTATTTCTGCATTTTGCGATTACAATACAATCATGACATCCCATAATGTGCCGCAACCTCGTAGCCAAGTCTTTATATTCCCCAGCTCAAAGATCTTCATTCTTAGTGAATCTCAGAACAGTGGCTCTTGGGAGCCTTGATGCCGAATGCCTCAGACCCTACACACAAACGCAGTATGAGTAAATATGTATGTGGACCGGACGGGGCTCGAGCCTTGTGTCCTGGAAACCGTAAGCTCCGTATGAACTGAACTTGAACTCAAAAGCTGATTACTGTCGATCTCCATTTCGCTAAGTTTAATCGCTGTTTGAGCGTTCCTCTGGGGGTAAAGTGGCCGGGAAGCCCCGGCGTGGAAATTGGACTATTTATCTTGATTGTGCACTGTATACTGTAAAGGTCCAAGTTATTGGAAAGTCCCCGCATTCTATTGGAGTTGATTACAACTGGGGGGGGGGGCTCCAGGTGGAGGGCGGGAGGGTAATAGCTTGTAGCTTGCGTTACAGCGTTCAATAGTTCTGCGGCTAAAAATTGACTGTGGCGCACAAAGAGGATATTGTACACGAAAACACACATGGCAATATTGTGGCCACCTCGTCCTTGTTCAATAGAGCATATCAATGAAAATCAAGGGGTATCCACCGGTATGCATACTCCCCCATTGGGTATTTGCCTGACCAGCGCCGGAGGTTAAAGGAAGCAAAAGTAAAAAAAATACAAGTGGAGAAATGAAAGAGATTTGGTGGGCTATCACGATGATTTAGGGCCCTGTTCTCGTTTGTAGGTAGGTCGGCAGATGACGCCTTTATCGTCGAGTTGGATCTTGGCCCCTCCACGGCGATTAAGCTCTTGGAGTACATTTTGGTCTTCTCGAGCCCAGCGTTTGAAAGGCGTATTGGGGTCATCGGACCATACAGGACCAGTAGGGAATATGTTTCTGAGAGATCGAAACCAGGGGCGTGGTCTTTGTCCCTCTTGTTGGACATGTTGAGCAGGAGCGGCGAATGTGATAGAAGCCTCTGGCGAAGCTTGGAAAGAAACGTGAGAGCTACGGCGGTCCTCATTGTCATCGCCAAGTTCAATGCTTGCGGTTCTGTGGTGGGTACGATATACCTCTTGAGAGTCATCGGCTTCGCTCATGTCAAAATCGCTCATTGCATGCTTGACCTGTATGTCATCCTTGTCAAATTGCATTAAATCCACAATATCCTGTTCTGAGCTGGGAAGCACAGGATATTGGACACCGATACGCGATGTAGGAGCCTGAGAGCCTGATAGTCCATTGCTGGGAATGTCTTGTTCCAATTTGACTTGTACTTCAGGCTGCGTTGCAGGAAGGACACCGACGTTGGTGCTTGTATCAGCGGAAAAGCCACTGGCACTCGCATTATCAAATGAATCAGTGTGGAGATCTGATAGTTTGTCCACAATACTGGCCCTGAAAGAGGGGTCTACCCCTTCACTGGTAAATGCAGGGCATGATGGTGGTTGATTTGGCAAAGTTGTTGAGCAAGGTGGAATGAATTGAGATGCTGCCACACTAATTGCGCGAGTGGTTAGGCTTCGTTTCTTGTGCCGGGGCCTTGAAAATTTTGAGCAAAAGAAGTCTTCGTAGACTAATGCCTTGGACTCTTGCGATGCGCACTCTTCTATGTGGCGCGGATAATCTTCGAGATTTAGGATAACAAAGTCGTCCCACAGAAATGATCGTTTCAACGCGCCAGTGTCTCGTAGGCCCTGCAGCTTGGCACATGTCTCGACGAAATGTGTAAATTCTCCAGAGTATGACTGATAGTCATTACAGAATTTCTCATAATACATCAAGGCTTGGGCGGTCTCGTCAGGCTTGTCGATAAAGCTCTGACGCCGTGCCACCAGCTCACCATTTAAATTTTGTAACGCCACCTCAGTATCATGAATACTTTCATTTAGTCCGACTTTAGGAGATCTCGATGGCGACTCTGCATCAGGAGCTGTCCAGACGGATGAACCACACAGAGAAGTGTCTGGGAAGTACGTTGCGCCATCAAGAGAAGAAAATTCTCTCATGGAATTCTGACTTGGTGCGTTTAGTTGGGACATGGACTGCGGATGAGAGCTAGAAAAGGGAATAGATGAAGGGTTGGCAGACGGCTGTGAGCTGAACATAGAGGAGTCCCACTGGCGCCGAGAAGTCTTTGAAGAATTAAGCACAACTTCTGTGTGAGACTGGGGGGTTTCTTGCGAAGTCGGATTTAAGCTGCTGGTTTGGGTCTGAGTGCCTAGCACGTCCACCCGAAGAGATTCGCCATCGATCGGCAAAGATGAATTTGGTGCCTTTTGAGAAGAGTCATCTTGCGCGTAAATTTCCTGCGAGTGGTAAGTCGCGAGAATTCGAGTTTCAGAGGATGTATTGGCCGCTTGGGATGATCGCCGCTGGGTATTTGAAACTTCCGGTTCAATTGCATTGTCATATTCCTTCTCGCAGCGCAACCGAGTCATTTTGATGGTAGGCGTCTCAACAACTTGAACGCCTCTCATATTGGGTCTTAGAAGTGATGGACCGGAGCTATTCCCCGAGCTGTCCATTCGTTGCTCAGGCTGACTGCTCGGTGGAATACTTGCCCCAAGACCGTAGGGAACGCATGTCTCCATCTCGGCTTCATCACTCTCATCGCCACTTGACTCGGGTAGAAGGATCTCTGAGAGAGCCGGGGGGCTTTCTGAACGCAATCCACCCTGACCCTCTTGAATTGGGGTTGGTTCTTGTTCCTCATCGTCAGTCCCTAATCCGGAATGAACGTGCTCTTGAGACGAATTATCACCAGGGCCTTGAGACTGGGATCTTGCCTCCTCTGGGATTATCGTTGACTCTTCACGAGGCTGGGACTTGCGCTGAGCGACGATTTCTAGAGCATTTTGTAAGGCGTCAATCTCCTGCGCGGACTGAGATATAGCACGAGATCCATTCACAACATTTACATCACCATCTTCTGCAGTTTGATATGCGCTAGATTGAGTGCCGCTCGGCGTGCAGTTATTGATGCTCCTGGATTTCCTCGAAGGGGGCGGGCTGTTGGATGGGAGGTTCTTTCTAGGGGGCCTTTCAGGTGAAGACGGCCAAGAAACGATTACTGAACCTTGGCTTACCAAGTCAGCGACAGATTCAGTCCCGTCCTCTTCTTGCTGGGTTTGGACCGGATGAACAATCTTCTGATCCTCCTTCTCTGCCAGGAACTTTCTTCTTTGAGCAACATCGTTCCATCTCGACAGAAGTCTGGGTGGTACATGACACAACGGTGCAGGTTCGCTAGAGCCTAGTTGGACCCACACAAGTGGCTCAAAAAGATTGATTTGCTCTTTGGGAATATGAACATCATTTGTCGATATCTTTGTCATTCCATTCCATGGATCTGGCGATGGGTCCTGCATGGGCACATTTGCTACCCCGGAAAGCACGGACTCGGGCTCAAGCTCACCCAGGCCCTCTTTGATTCCTTTCAAGTCCTTTGGAGTCAGGTCCCCAGTATCAGTACGCTGTCGTTTGTTTGCTGACGCCTGAATGACCAGCTTTGGCTGCGCCTGGGGATCTTTGTCATCAAAAGATGCCTGTAAAGGTACACCCGTGCTGGAACGTTGTCTTTTCTTTGAGAGTACTTGACTTTGTCGGATATCCTCACTTGCAGTCTCGTCTCGATCAACGAGACCAATTGAAGAATACGTAGGTTGCTTCTCAATGACCATCGAATCAGCGATATGCGCACTGGTATTGAGATGGGGAGATTCAGTATCGAATTCATCAGCGCATGCACCTTCAGCTGGTGTGTTCGTCAGTCCATGCGAGGAGTGTGCTCCTGATTCAACCGGTATACTACTATTCTGTGACGGGGACTGCCTGATGTTACTAACTCCCAGCGATGGGCTATATGAATCAACTTGAGGTTTTCCCAAAGCGGCAGAAGGTCTCAAGAGCCCAATAATGGTGTCCTTGTCGAGACAAACGCGATTTCTTTTAGAGTTGTCTCGTCGTGCGTCGTGGTTGGCATTAGGCAAAACTTGGGAAAACAGTTGCGATCCCATCGATTCAACCTGAGAGCCAGGAGGGGTTGGTTGATGGAATTGGGATATTGAAGGCCCAGCCAAGACAACATCTGCTTGACCATTGGGTCTGGCACCAGCGGAAGCTGACTGTATTCTCTGACAGGCTTCCCTTATGAGATTTTTTATAAGTGGAGTTTTTTTTAGCTTGGGTTTAGGAGGCTCTCCTTTTGTGACCTTATCCCAACGTATGCGAAAACGATTGACGCGAAGCTCGATCTCGGGGGAGCTTGTCGAGTACAGAAGAGCCAGCTTCACATCAAGAAGCTCAATCAGCTGTCTTTTGGGTCCGTCTTTAATCGTTGATGGGCATGGGAAATTGGCCTCGTGCTCATTAAGCGATTCTCGCGAGAAGATGGCATCGATTTGATTCTTGGAGTCTGTCAACGTAGCGCGATCACCGTCTCCTTGGTCCCACTAATAGACACCAGATAGGTTAGTTACAAGGGACTTTGAGAGGTTGAGTAAGTTCATACCTTGTCAATTATCGCTGACATCACAAGTCTGTGGAGGCTGAAGCTGACACAACCCTCTTGGGTTTCCGCTTGTATTCCATCTTCACTGTGTCGGCCGAGGTAGAACAGAAGACATTGTTCGGCCAATGCCGCGAGAAAGGGACTAACTGGATTCATCGTCGGAATCCAGTTCTTTGACAAAGGTAGATCTGTGTCATCACTGAGGGTGAAGAATGAGTATTTGATGTAGTCACATCATGAAGCTGCGGTGATACACTAAAAACCGCCAATCGATAAGACGCGAAGCGCGCCCCGGCTGACTCAGCCCCACCACGTCATTTCACAGCTTCCGGTGCGGAGAGATCTACAGCTTTTTTGACCTCTACAGCTTTTTCTCGCCCGGACCTTGGGGTTTTGCGCTGTTGAGCGCTCGATCCTCTTGTGAATCATTCTATCGCGTTCTTGCCTCGAATGACCGGCCATCAACGGTGCCTCATCTCCTGTGTGGGGATGATCTGAGATCTTTCTGCCCAACTAAGACCTCATTCTGCGATATCCTGTGGATGCACATCACCATGGATTCGCAACAGGCCCAAGGCTCACGCAGCCCGTCAGAATCTTCCGTGTCACTTCCTCTCGGTCGACGCCGGTCCTTCAGCTCGATGGCAACGACTCAAACCGACCGAGAATCGATGAACACAGCTCTCGATCATATACACAATACAGCTTATCAGTCTGAATCACTCACTCTGTTCGAGGAATTTACCAGCCCTCCGCTACCGTCTTCTGCATCTGACGAGAAAGGGCTGTCCGAAGAGCTGCAAGGTGGACTAAGCGGTCTATACAGCCGGTTTAGGACTTCCGTGGGTGGAGTGAGGGATATTGTCAGCGGTGGGAAGCCTACAGACAAGATCGTAGCCGAGTCATCCGCAGCCAGGAGTCCTGCATCGGAGCGTTCGCTGGTCAAACCTGCCTCAGACCCAGCCAGTAGCTCGGCTGATCACCTATCGTCACAGCCCGCCTCTTTGCAAGGATCAAGGCTTCAGTCGCCTGTCATAGCGACTTTCCAGTCCCAGCAGGATCCATTGCCCTCGACAGCAACGGGAAGAAGATCAAGGATATCCTCAAAGAGTGGCAGCGTATCTTCCAAGACATCCATTCCACCGTCCCCGGGGATCAAGCCTGGTATTGCACCTTTGACCAAAGCGACCGGAGCTGCCGTTGCTACAGAGCCAGCTATCATCCAGCGCCATGCAAATGTCATGGGTGAGCCATATCACTCACGAAGTAGCTCCGTTAATGTCCCATTTCAAGCTCCATTCCCAGGACTCCACAGTGCAGAATCCACAAGCATCGGCAGCAAGGATGGCCCTGTGGATCTTTCTTTGAGTCAAACTTCCTCGTTGCTGAGCCAGAATCTTTCCAATTCGCCGGTGCTATCGGGGAAGATGCATGACAGCCATGAGGACCAATGCCAATCAAATCCCAAAGAGTTACATGTTTCGGCCACCCACACACCAGACAACCAGTCTCGAAAATCAGTATCTACCGATCCACAAAGACCGTCTGAAAACGTATCGCAAAATGCAACACTCAGAAATAGTAAGCAGGCTGAGCCAATTCAGGACCACGTGTTTCAGCGCTTGGGAGATAGATCGAACTCACGAACATCTTCGCGCTATGACGAGCCGCGAGCTTCAATATCTGCCTCCGCCAGTATTTCAAAACTTTCTTCCCGTGATGATTCGGCATATCAGCCGGATAAGACTTCTACCAAAGCGGCGCCTGTCTCTCGCGAGGGCACAGAAGCCAATGAGCCGCCCAAGATCATTGTCCCCGATCAGTCTAGTGATAAAAAGGTCCCAGCCCGATCTGGTCGACTACCTGGCTATGATATGTCACGAACTTCCACGGCAGGGACTGTGACCACAATCTCCTCTTTACCTCCACTGAAAACGAAGATCGATCAGGTCACCAATAGGCCCCCGCAACCTAGACGTCAACTGACCGCCGGTGGCGATGGTGTTTTGTCTCAGTTGAGAAACAAATTGCTCAGCAAGGACTTCTGGATGCGGGACGAAAACGCCAAGGACTGCTTCCACTGTAGCGATCCTTTTACCACATTTCGCCGAAAACACCATTGTCGAACCTGTGGTCAAATATTTGATTCAAAATGTACTTTGCTCATTTCGGGAGCGCGATTTGGTCAACCTGGAAGCATTCGAGTCTGCAAACCTTGCGAGAAAATGATAAATGCCCATGATGACGATTCTTCTGAGTTCTCAGATAGTGAGCAAAGCCCCATAGCTGCCAATCCGCGTGTTGCTGAACTCGGCTGGGGCAACAACACGAGAGCATCCGCAGATGACGATGATACATCCTCTATCATCTCCCAATCGATTGATCATGTTCTCAGAACCCCAACAATGGCCATACCGGCCACGCGGCGCGCTGGTGAGGGTCATAATCGCCGCTCGGCGGTTCTAGAAATCAACCCTGATCGCCCGTTGGCACGACCTACTTCTTCGCGATCGCTGCGATCCTCACTCGGTGCAAGACCACATTCTATGAGTCACAAGCGACATCATTCTCGCCAGCAGTATATCCGAGGCTTCAAAACACACGAAGACCGAGCCCCTTTTCAACGCCGACATGCAGATGACTCCGGCTTTGAATCACGGCTACCTGCCTTTCACAAAGACAATATCATTGATCCAGATCTGGCACAATATCTTTCTGACGATGCGTCAAGTGGTGACGAACAACCTAGCCTTCTCTCTGCAGTTTCTGAGGGCGTCCTATCTAAAAGTGGAGGCGACGGTGAGAGAGCCTCTTTAGGCGGGCTGCTAGCCTCACTGAAAAAGGGCAGATCTGCTTTCGGAGACAGGAGTACTCCTAGCATGAATAGAGACCCCGATGAAACAAGTATCACTAGCTCCAGAGCTGTGAATCTACCTCGTTCGTCTCGTCGCCGGAATATGAGCGTGGCAAGCAGTATGCACCGCAATTCACCCAGGACATCAAAAGACATACTTCAAGACGTCTCCTTGCCACCGGCTTTGCCACTCAAGCTCAACCATGTTGGGTTTAAGATGACCCGGAGCTCCTCAATGAGAGGACACGGAGCACCGCCAGTTGAACTGAACCGAGCGAGTCTAGAGCATGTACGAAAGCTTCTCCATCAACTTCTTGTGGAGTCCGCGATCCCTGGCGGTGATAGTTGGGCGAATGCCCTGATACCAATATTGTTGAAGGCCGCAGATGAAGTCGACCCAGATGTACAACGAGGAGATGATATGGATATTCGTCACTACGTCAAATTGAAAAAGATTCCTGGTGGTCGGCCTGGGGATACTGCCTATGTCTCCGGTCTCGTCTTTACCAAAAACTTGGCTTTGAAAAGCATGAAAAGAAGCATTCCACGTCCAAATATCTTGATCATCACCTTCCCTCTCGAATATGCTCGTCAGCAACAACACTTCATGAGCCTCGAGCCTCTTATCAGGCAAGAACGTGAATTCTTGGAGAACTTGGCCAGTCGAATTGCCGCATTACACCCAAATTTGCTTTTAGTCGAAAAGAACGTTTCTGGCCTGGCACTTGAACTCCTTGAGAAAGCCGGTATTGCAACTGCCTACAATGTGAAGCCATCTGTTCTGGAGGCAGTATCGAGATGTACACAGACAAGAATTGTCACATCTATGGATAAGCTGTTGACAACAACTTTGCATAGTGATTGCAGCAGCTTCGATGTGAAGACTTATGTCCACAGCGGTCGGAAGAAAACTTACATGTATATCTCTGGCTGCCCGAAAGAGCTCGGCTGCACCATTGTCCTACGTGGTGGCGATGACGAAGTTCTCGGGAGAGTGAAAAAGATCACTGAGTTCATGATTTATGTTGTCTACAATCTTCGATTAGAAACATCCGTCATGCGAGATGAATTCGCACAGATACCAACCTCGCCGACAGAAGAGCAGGTGATCGCTGAAAAGGACAAGAAAGCCACATCTCAAGCTAACAAGGAGAGTGAAACTCAACACGTAACCGGTGAAAAAAGTGTTGATGCCTCCGACAGCCAAATTCTTGTGGCATCTGATGCTACGAATGTCCCAGACGATATTCCAATGCCGACTTATTATGACGATATGGTTCATGATCACCAGACTAAGATTCTCTCTGCCTCGCCTTTTGTCAAATTTGAACCTCCGTATCTTCTGATGCGTACACGAGAAATGGAACGCAGACTTGCCTATCTGAAATGTCTTCGTGATCAAGATGGGAACTCTGATGAACTCACAGATGAAAAGGCTAAGCCACAAAAGTTCGTTCTCATCACCCCGGAAATGGTTCATCAATCACCGCAAGATGCCCCAGCAAAGGTCAAGGAAGTGCTGCGTGCTGCTCATGACGCGGAGTATGATCGAGCGCTGTACCATTATCAAACTCAAAAGCGCCAGTGGGAGGCTTACGTTGCAGGGAACGCCAACATGTTTGACCCCTATTCACACCAGAACCTTGTCGTTCTCTACAGCCTCGTTTGCACTACAACATCAGTGCCTTGCTCTGGGCCAGACGTCTTTGCTCTAGAGTTCTATAATGAACATGGCGATGACGTTATCTTCGAGTCCGACCTCACAATTGGTCAATATGTTGAAGACCTCTGTCACTCAGCCAATGCAGTTTGTACCGTCAATGGCTGCGAGAAACGCATGTTTGAACACCATCGTCAATATGTTCATGGTGATGCGCAAATCAGTGTTCTGGTACAACCATACCCATCTAAGCTGCGTGGTCTTCAGGACATCGTGTTAATGTGGAGTTGTTGCAAGATCTGCGGCAATGAAACTCAAGTGACCCCAATGTCAGACAGCACGTGGAAGTACTCATTTGGAAAATACCTAGAGTTATCCTTTTGGGGCAGAAATTTGCATGCTCGAGCTGGGGTCTGCCCTCACGATCTGCAACGGGATCACATTCGCTATTTTGGATTCAAAGATGTTGCTCTGCGAGTACAGTATGATCCAATTCGTCTTCTTGAAATCATCGTTCCTCGCCCTCGTGTTACTTGGAAAGTGGACAATGACTTAAAGCTAAGAAACGAAGTCTATACACGTACAGAGCAGCGCATCAAATGCTTCATGACATCTGTGAATTCTCGCTTGAAGGGCATCAATGTCGACAGTGTTGTTCCTGAGTTGGTAGACAGTTGCAAGTTGGAGATTGAATCATTGATCAAGAAGGGCCATGAAGATTTCAACACCTTGATCTGGCATCTGCAAGACAAATACACATGTTCTCGCTACTGGGAGATTATACCACTGAATGAGGTGCTTCGTGCGGTGCAAGAAAAGGTTGTTGAATGGGACACCACCTTTGCTGATTTTGAGAAGAACTTCTTCCCCTCTGAGAAGGATATTAAGCACATGGCAACGCTGCAGCTCAAAAAAATTTTCCTTGACAAGGATGCCACATCAGTCTCTCCAGAGGATTCTTTGCAAGCTCCAGCCGATGCAGATGATGAAAACGACGAGGAGTTGGACAGGCCACGCATGATGAGGCGCATGACTCTTTCTCCAGAAAAAGCACAAAATGTTCTGGTCTCAGTTGTTGAAGAACACGCGGGTAAAAAACACCGCGAAGTTGAGCCACCTTCTCGTCCAGAATCAACCGAAGAGACTCTCGAAGAGAGAGTCTCGGTCGATGCAACCGATAGGAAAAGACCATCCCAAGATGAAGCTGTGTCGCAAGAAGAAGTTCGCCATTTGGACTTGGCCATTCCTTCGGGTCAATTAGAGCGTGGTCCAGCCAATACCAATTTCAGTTCGAACCAACCACTGCCAGACCCCGATTTCCCGGCAATGGACTCTACTGATGGATCATCGGATTCTGTATCACCAAAAACGCCTGTTTTCCCCAAAGAAGTGGAAGATAGCGAAACCACCCTCCCAAGTACCCCAATACGCCGACCTTCGGCAATCCCTCGTCCTACCGACGCATCGTTTCGGCGCTCTGGTAAGGCACGATCTCCTCCTCTCCTGCGTGCTCAATCCCAGCCAGCGAACATTCCGAGGGACAGGGCTATCAGCAGCATTGCACTTCCAGTTTTGAAAATGTCAACCACCAACCCAGTTGAGCTTGATAAATCTGGAGGCGAATCCCCCAAGTCAGACAAGAAGCTGAGCGAACGTTTGGGCCTCAGTGCCCTCAAAAATGCTCGCTTTGCTTCAGGCCACTCCCTTATCCCACGATCTACTCCTGGAAAAAGGGGAAGCTCGCGGGTCTCCAATCTTGCAAGACATTTCGAACAGTTGAGTCGCGAATTCGAGAAAGAAAGACAGCGCGAGAGGCGCCAACGAGCTGCCCGAGGAACTTACTCACGTGCATTCCCATTGGCGTCTTCGAAGCCCATTGTGGAAGTCTACCGAAATGTAAGAGAGGCGGTGGAAGAACGCGAACCTCCAGTTGACGGCGAAGAATCTCCGCCCTCTGCGACACGGGTCCCGATGGATAACTCAAGTCGTAAATGTGATGAAGTCACCAATGAGACATCGCGTGAACAGCACTATCAACACCCTTTGCCATATTCCTCACCCACTGAGCCTACCGAAACGGAGGCGGATCATCATCCCGAGGCCCACCTGTTCTCTGATGCAGAAGTAGACGAAGGTCAAAGTGATGACGATCGAACCATGACTGAGGATCTTCATCCAGTGGATTCGCATGAAGAAACTAAGAACTCGGCGGAAGACGAGTCAATGGATTTCAAGGATATGCCCAAGCATGAGCGTACTACCCTGTTGAAGATGCTAACAAACTTCTGGTCTGAGCGCTCTGCAAGTGGATGGGCGTCCCTTGATTATCCCCTCAGTGTTATGGATCACGTTTTCGCCGATTGTGATATCATTGTGCGCGAGGATGAGCCAAGCTCTCTGGTAGCATTTGCGTTGGACTCGTCTGATTACAAAGAAAAGCTCTCAACCATTCAGCAGCGGTACGACGAGATGGAGGAAGATCAGCCAGAGCCTAAGGGTGATATTGAAGCCATGGATGAAGCCCGTGTCGAGCATGCTCTCTTGCGACCAACGGGCACACATCTCAAGTATCAGTTCCAAGAAGGCCAAGCCAAGATGCTTTGCAAGGTTTTCTATGCGGAGCAATTTGATGCACTGCGTAAAAAGTGTGGCGTGGCAGATCGGATAGTCGAGTCCTTGTCCCGTTGTGCGAAATGGGACTCGAAGGGCGGCAAGACCAAGTCGTTATTCTTGAAGACTCTTGACGATCGCTTCATTCTCAAATCCCTTTCGCCAATCGAAACACAGGCTTTCCTCAAGTTTGCTCCTGCATACTTCCAAATTATGTCCGAGGCGTTGTTCCATGAACTGCCATCTGCGATCGCCAAGATGTTTGGCTTCTACCAAGTCATCATCAAGAACCCGGTCACTGGAACCGAATTCAACTGGTATTTGCTTCTGATGGAGAACTTGTTCTACGATCGCGTTCCTACCCGCATCTTCGATCTCAAGGGCTCCATGCGAAACCGCAAAGTGCAAAGCACCGGGGAGCGGGATGAGGTCCTTTTGGACGAGAACATGGTCGATTTCATCTATGAAACACCTCTTTTCGCCCGAGAACATTCGAAGAAACTCCTCGGCCAAAGTGTATGGAACGACACTCTCTTCCTTGGTCGCCAAGATGTCATGGACTACTCGCTCATGGTTGCCATTGATGAAAGCCGTGACGAGTTGGTGGTCGGAATCATCGACTGCATCCGTACCTACACCTGGGACAAAAAGCTGGAGTCCTGGATCAAGGATAAGGGATTCGGTGGTGGTGGCCGCAACAGACCAACCGTCACCAGTCCCAGGGAATACAAGGGTCGTTTCCGGGAGGCGATGGCCAGATACGTGCTCCAAGCCCCAAGGTATGTGGTCTCAATCTCCTCTCTTTGACCGTAAAATACTCATTTCTCTAGCTGCTGGCATCAATTACAGCCAAATTTAATGCATCGATACGCACAGGGCGAGAACCACGCAACCGAAATCGAGGTGGATGACGGCTTCCTGGAGGATCCCAACTTCTAATTTCCCACGATTACCATTCTGTCAACACTACAATAATGACTTATGATTTGATGATGCATCCTTGCCCCGATTTGCTTTTTTGGACATTTGACATGTCTGTTTTCACACGCTATGCCATGTGCATTTTACCATATCACAGCCAAGACGATGTTTGTGTCCAACCATCTTTACGTCCCCATCATACCTGATTTACCAGCGAATTCACATGAAGCGGCGCAGGGGTATATTTTGTTTCATTAGATCATACTCTTGCATGAATATGCACATGACATTCCTTTAAATATAAGCATCATAGTCAATGGAACCACTTATTCTATATTCCACATTGTTTAATCTACTCGTTTTCTACCCTGGTCTACTACGTAGGGTCCTGGTTTTGGGCGCCAATTAGGGCAAAAGGTCAACATGAACCCCGACTTGAAGACAATTCAGCAGCAGGATCATAGGAATCCAGCATAGAACCTAGACAATAACCTTAGCGACAAACCAAGTTCCCTACGTGCAACCCTGAGATGTCCCCCCCCTCCCAATCACACAACCGCAAAGCATAATGACCTGCCATGGAGCCATCGGCAAAAACCGGGACGCAACACGGGATATTCGGGAAATGCTTTTAGCCATTGGAAAAGGCAAAGCTCTTCTTTGCTCATTTTCTGTTTCGACCTTTCTTCAACTCTTGTGCGCATCCTGCAGACTCACACGCTTCCTGCGACAGGGTGCGGACTGCGCTGGCTGCATGTCGGGGGAGATCGTCACATTCTCGGGTTGACGGTGTGCCTCGGTCACAGCAGGCCACTTCTCGCGTCCCCGCATTTGGCGTTTTCGTCGAGTTTTCGCTTCTTTTTCTTTTTCTTCTTCTTTTCTTTGCTTCTTCTTGGGTTTGCGTGCAGATGCGCTTCTGAGAGAGCTCGGGGCAGATTCGTTGCATTGAAGGCGCACATGCGACAACTTGCCACAGAATGCGCGAGGGCTCGTTTTGAGACTCGGACGGATCAGACCGAATCAGATCAGATCAGATTACAGACTTCAGACTTGATTAACCACGCTTTACTTACTAGGACACTAGGACACTACTGTATCTACTAATCGCAACACGTTGAAAACACGGAAAACATTGAAATTCGTTTCATTTACATGAGCAATGATGCATTAACCTTCCAAAAAACGAGCCATGGTCCAGACCACAGCGAAGAAGAAACTTGGCTTCGAAACAAGAAAAGAGGTATGTATCCCATCCGCACACCGGCGGTAAACAAATAACGGATCATAAAGCTTACCATCTATCGGCTAGATGATTGAACCTTTTACTCCATGGAGAGACCGAGGTTCTCCTCGGCGGGCACCACACGAACGGTGTTGGTGTGGCCCATGCCGCCGCGCCATCCCTGGACACAGACGATGGGGTCGCCCTTGTTGACAATGCCGAGCTTGAGACCGTGGTTGATGGCCCACTTGAGACGGCGGTCGACATCCTCTTGCCAGATCTTGACGTTGAAGTCGGGCTTGGTCTCGGGGAAGTAGAAGGGCCAGACACCGCGGTACAGGTGAGAGTACTAAAAGACTTGTCAGCAAAGAACGACACTCGAGGATTCGATTTTTCAAACTTACGCGAGAAGCGGTGGCGTTACGGGTGACCATCAGAATGGGGCAGACGGGACGGTACTTGGACAGAAGGCGGGCGGTTTTGCCGCTGTGGTCATGTTAGCATCTTTTCATGGTGGATTGATTGCGGGACTTACCTGGTGGTCAGGACGACGATGGCACCAGCGTTCAGCTCCAGAGAGGCGCTGACGGCAGCCATGGCAATGGACTCGGAGGTGTCAGTGGGGCGGGGAGCAAGGTTGCGGAGCTCATCGAACACGTTGAAGTGAGGGATGGCGACCTCGGCCAACAAACAGGTCTCGGACATCATCTTGACGGCCTCGCAAGGGTAGTTACCCTTGGCGGTCTCACCAGACAGCATGACACAGTCAGCACCGTCGAGAACGGCGTTGGCAACATCGGAAACCTCGGCACGAGTGGGGCGGGGGTTGTATGTCATGGACTCGAGCATCTGAGTGGCACAGATAACGGGCTTGCCCTTGATGTTACACTTGGCGATCATCATCTTCTGAGCGATGAACACCTTGGGGGCGGGGATCTCGATACCAAGGTCACCACGGGCAACCATGACACCGTCGGTCTCCTCAAGAATCTCATCGAAGTTGTTGACACCCTGCTGGTTCTCGATCTTGGCAATGATCTGGATCTCCTTGCCGTCTTCACCGAGAATCTCACGGATGTGCTTGATGTCGCTGCCGCGACGGATGAAAGAGGCGAAGACCATGTCAACGTTGTTCTTAACGCCGAAACGGAGATCGGCAATATCCTTCTCCGAGAGAGCGGGCAGGTCTACGTCAGTGCCGGGAAGGTTGACACCCTTGCGGGAGGAGATGTTGCCGTTGTTCAGACACTTGACCTTGAGGGTCTGGTCGTCAACAACCTCGATGACCTCGAAGGACAGAATACCGTCATCGACATAGATGAGCTTGCCAGCAGAGATCACCTTGGTGATGTTCTTGTAGTCAAGGTACCTATCGTCTGTCAGTCCTTGCCACCCAGCAGAGGAAATTCAATCCAGCTACGCCAAACGTCGAACCCAAGCTGTCATCAAAGGAGGGAATCTTACATGTTCTTATCGTCACTGGCGGTGGCGTATTGCTCATCGGTGGTGATGTTGAGGATGGTGCCCTCCTTGATGGGGAAGTCCTTGTCACCGACGGTGTTACCAGTACGGATCTCAGGGCCCTTGGTGTCGAGGGCAATGGCGAGAGGACGGCCAGTCTGGATACGGGCGGCCTCACGGGAGTTGTCAATGACAGATTGGTGGTACTGCGTGGATGTCAGCAATTGAGCGATAAGTACGTTGGTTTGCAGATACTGACCTCGTATGAGCCGTGGGAGAAGTTCATGCGAACAACGTTCAGGCCAACTATTGCCAAGTCAGTTTATCTCCTACACAAAAGAGAATAGCTCAACGCTATCAGAAAGTATCGCCGTACCTGTGCGGAGAGCATTGATCTTCTCGGCGGAGTTTGTCTTGGGACCTGTTATCGATAGCCTGTTAGCGGGGTATTCTTGACCGGAATTTTTTTTTATCTGTCTCTCCCTCTCTCTCTCTCTCACACAGCTTGGAAATGGAAGTTAAGTTGAATGAGTGACGTACCAATGGTACCGATGATGGAGGTACGGCGGAAGTTCTTCGCAGGCACCATCTCGGTGTTAAGCTTGGAGTGCCACTCCAGCTTCATGCGGTTGCTCAGGTGGTCGAGGGAGCTAGTGGCCGCCATTGTGATGTGATGAAGAAGATCTTTTAGTGGAATAGAGGGAAAAGTGAGAGCTGATCAAATTGAGGATCAGAAAGGATGGAGAAGAAAGAATGAGAGGGGAAGAGAAAACGGAAGTTGGGTGAGGGGCGGGAGGGAAAATGTTGACCACCGGTGTGAACATCTCCGGCCACATCCCAATACTTTTTTTGGTCTCTACTAGTGGTGGACCATCGAATTACCCTATCAATTTACACCCTTTACTAGATCTGCTCGGTATTATTTTCTCTCTTTTCCTCTATTCTTGTAGCTCTACACCGAAATCCATGCGGAGGTCGGTAGCGGGACGCCCGTTTAGGCAGAAAAAAAATTATATCTGTCAACTCCAGACCGCAAAAAGCGGAGGACGGAGTGCCCCGTGCTGTCTTTCGCGCAGTACATTGGAGTCCCCCTCTGCTCTTTGGCCTATCGAATAAACGTGACAAATAGAGGCACTTAATTGATCGAGCCGAAACGGTTCTCGGTGGGAGAGCTTATCGGCCGAAATGGGTTTAGCGTGGGTAGTGTAGCAATCACCCAGGTGCCGGGGCAGGTGATTAAGTCAGCGTGTCTTATGTCAGGCCTCAGCCTCACTCCAGAGCTCCAGCCACACTCGACGTCATGTGAATTTGCACGTGACCGTTTCGATTATGCCCGTCCCCATGACAGCTGGGATCATGTCTTCTTGTGCATCTTCAGTCTCTGGGTGACGGTCAAATCCCTCAAAATCCACAGAATTGATCTTCTGCATTTGCAAACATGGTGAGAACTCCCTGCTGGTCTCTCTCGGGCAGCCGAGGTTTCCGATCCACTTGGGCACGAAGCATGAAGCATGACTGACTCTGACTCTTGGTTGCGACCTAGTTCGGCCGTCTCACTCATTATGCATTCGATGCAGTCCTCTGTAAGTGGTTTGCCTCTACCGCATATCCAGACTTCGAACTGATCCCAAACTCCAGTCTCCGCCTTTCTGGCAGGTGTCAAGCGATCGACAGGCTTAACGTAAATACACCCTCCCCGACGGTCTCCTTCCTTGGGATCCAAATATTTCCCTCCGCTCCGCTCAGATATGTGGGATCATATCAAGAATATTGGACTAACTCTGTCACCCCGCGCACCCCATCTTTGGGTAGTGTGCGCGTGGGAACTTCACAGCCCCAGCGTTGACTCCGATAAAATCTCAGACAACAAGGAAGTCCAAAAATGGATCAATAATTACCTCGGTGTGGGCGAGTGGGTGATGGACCAGTCCGTTGCTGTCATGGGTTCTTCCGCCTGGTTCGAGCGCCGCCGGTGATTTGCACAATACATACTCAACTCAGCCGAACCTCCGAAGCAACCAATACTTTTCAAATGGAATTAAGAATGGTGTGTGTGACATTGGCTGATGAGCTAGCAGAGTGGTGTGCTTGCTGCTCCTGCTCTGCTTCACCCTGTGGAATGTGACGATATCAGTTTGTAAATATTGCGGACGGTGTCTCCTTGCCTTCGGGCTTGTTCGTGCCCAAAGGCTGGATTGACGAGTGATGACCAATTACTATCTACGCTCCACTTTTCGACCGATCACTTTCGACCGATGTTTTAAGGTCTGGCGTCCTGGCTTTGAACGGCTTGTTTTCGATACCTTTTTTTGTGCCTATTCTTTCTCATACAAATCCATGAGGTTAGCAGACAATTAGTCCTCGATCGTGTTGGTTGGTTTCCAATGGGGGTTATGTTGGGGCTTGGGATATTAGGCATTTGCTATGGGCTTATTAGACGGAGTCGTCCAGGACTGTAGTCTGAAAGGTCAATTCTGCTGATACAGCGGAATGTGTGCGATATAGCCTCGGTGTTTCCTAAAATCATTTCCTAGGAAATATAACATCAGACCCAAGTCACTCTTCATTTAAAGATGATGGCCATCAACAAGGGGGCAGCTCGGGGCGTAATTCGTCCAAGCAATCAAAAAGGTAATCGCTCAGGGGTATGTAAAACAATACAAGAAGGTCCAAAGCACGACAAACATCTCAAAAGGTCGCTCAAGTCTTCAGTAGACCGTCAATATCCACACGCCGGTAGTAGGAGATGTGTCCCATTTCCTCCCAATAATGACCCATATAATCGGGAGAAATGAGAATTAGTTGGGACTTGATGTAACAGTCTGATGAGGTCATGTTAGAAAACACGATTTTGATTGACATGGAAAATCACTTACCATCATGGAAGCCTAATCCCGCCACATGTCCCTCGCAATGGACGATACGGGCTCCTGGAAAGGGGTCGTCTGTTGTAACCCGAATAAGGCCTTTAGGGCCAATGTCCTCGGCAATAAATGAATATTGACCTCGAGGAACATTGGGATCACCTGTGAGCTTGATAGCTTCTAGGCGACCTTGATGCACGGTCTCTGTGACATCCATGGTCTCACCAAGATCTTCACTTTCGGTGCTTGAGTCAGGTTGACGCAACAAAAGGAATTCACACCCATGAGCTGAATAATCGCCGACCCATATTCCCTGGTAGGGCTTCTCCTTTGTGGGGGTGTAAAGTTTGGGGTCAAGAGTCGAGTAGGTCACCGTGGCCTCTCTTGGGCCTGAGGAGAACACATGTCGGTAGTTCGCCCATTTCCTCAAACGAAAAGCATGCTCTGACAATTCGGACAGAGAACATGGAACTTGTGGGCATCCTGGCGCCTCTGGGTCAATCCTGGGGTCACGACTTACCCGTGCATCGCTAGGAATGATTGAGGGTGGCCAGAAGTCATTGGATTGCGGTTTCGTAGCAGAGCAGAATGAAATCGCACTGTAAACATGCTGCACTTCCAAAGCCATTGGCATCTGACGTTCCACAATCAAGGAACGTAAGACTTGCATTGGGGTGGTGGATGAGTTTGGTTCCGGGTCTTTGAGGAACAAAACAGGATCATCCAGCCACAAATGAACCCGAGGATCAAAATGTTGGATAATCACATCTGGATTCGACTCCCACACATCAAATGAAGGAGTACCACGCTCTGCAAGGATCCGATATGCTTCAATCACGCCTCGGCGGTTATCATATCGCGCCAAGATCAAGGAGCCAGTGTTCTCATTGTCTGCAAACCAGATCTTATGCTGCGGTATGAACCAGCATGGATGATACGCCAGATATAGACGACGAAATGATTGGAAAATACCTGGATCTCCAATGGGGGTCGGAAGTCTTGCATTTACCAGGCCAGCCCACAGCAGATCGCTGGATCCATGATCGACAAGAGCCCGGCAAGTGGATGAGGCACGGGCCAAGTCTGGCGCTGAGAGATAAGAGAGGATCCAGTGGATAATTTCCGCGGGCAAATCTAGAAAGGATGTGGAGTTTGATGGGGATTTATCGGCCATGACATAGATAGAGGATTGATCTGAAACGAGATCACTAGCATACTGAACAGAGAGGGGCGGTCAGCTATCCTTGCCACAGTGTCGGATAGATATGACGAGCATACCGTGCCGGACGACGTGTCGTCATCCATATTGGAGCGGTTTCACGGGCTCAATCTAGGCGTTAGAGTGCCTGTGTCACAGATGGCATCACTGAGAAGAATAGATGGGAAACATGGCAGAGAGGAGATGTGTTCAAGTTTATGTGCCACAATAGAGCTCGATAAGAAGATAAGGGGACAAGGCCCACTTTGTCATATCTGTGGGGTAACTCGCCATTCAGCTGCCGTGAAATCGGAGGCCACTCACGAGAACGGACTGTCTTCATCGCAGGGTCGTTTCAACATTATAACTGCTGCCCAGAGGCTCAAGACACAGTCACGTGTTGATGACATCACCTGCCTTGATTGCACGACCAAAATATGACATAGACCACCCTAGAGCATCATCACAGGCATAGCAATAATGCGGGCTAATCAGGAAGAAGCCTAAGCTTATGGCTCCTTCGTAGCCCTAGTTCTGGCTAGTCTTGGACAAGCAAATAGGACATTCAAAACACGTAAGCCTAAGTATTTTGGCCTGAGGCAGCAGATCACATGATCACCCAAAGAAGCACATTGTTTACGCCGGATTAGGAAAGACCAATCTAGGCACGCGCCTGCTGCCTGCCTCGCCCCACAGTTTGTTTGTTTACAATATTTGTGATCTATACAGTTGGGCTCTATAAAGGGGCTGCACGGTGACTTTCCATCCTTGTGAAACCTTTCCTCTGGTGTGAAGTTTCATTTGTGGCAAATTAACCCACGATTCAAACATGGATATCGCTCGACCAGCAAGAAAACGGAGGAATAGCTCTGTATCCAACTCGAGAAGTCAATCTCCAATCTCACACCGAACCAGGCAAAGCCTTACCGGGGTTGCTTCAAATAATGGCTATTGTCAACAAAAGCCAGTGAACGTTACACCAAAGAAGTCAAGAAAAAGAGTTCGGTTTTCCGATCCCGGTCCTCAGTTGCTGCAGGATGCAGACATCGGATCCACTGGCTTGACGCCAGCCATGCGGCGTACATCCTTCCAAGGGCGGGGTGCATCGTCAGGATCAGGGGATCGCACACCTAGCCGTACAGCACGACGCAGATCCGCTCCGACGCCCCGGTTCCAACGGCCTTATGACCCGGTTGAGCCATTTGATGATGATTGTACGGAGCGAAGGATCCAATTCACGCCACTGCGTCAGATTTTGGATACGCGAACCCAAAGACGAATCCGCCGGATTGGGTTGAGCGATGAGATCAATGATATTCAACGCGAGAAGCGTGAATCGAGCAACTACGAGAAGACCATGCGTAATCTGATTCAAGAGCGGGATGCACTGAAGGAAGAGCTGAGATCTATGAAGCAAAGTGGACTGGGCTTCGAAGGCCAGTCCTCGGTGGCAGAAGCTTTTTGGATGACGCCGGAGACACCTAGGCTTTGTGATGCGGTGTCTTCGGCCTCCAATCACAGCCCGCATGACACTACTTCAGTCAATGGCGAAGATGATACTTTTATGCTGAACAATACTGCAATCGTTGTGTCCAGCTCCCCTGATCTCCGTGGTGTTCAGAGTTGCAACCCACAGCTCACGGATACATGGATGCTCGAGGAAGCCTCAACGATACATTTATCTGCAGAAGCAGCCGAGGCCGACACCCTTGCCATCGATCTGGAGACTGCAAGGAAAGAAAAGAGAAATATGTTTGATGCTTGTCGATCTCGATTCTCCGGACTCAATGAGCCCGCAATGAAGGAATTGTTGCGCCAGTCGTCGCCTCCTCCAAACTTCTTCGATAACGTCTTGGAGATCCTGGGAAATGCTGTGTCTCGTGCTTCTGATGCTGCTGATACCCTTGAAGCAGTCAGTCATGAATGCTCTGGTCTTGGGTTCTCTGGCGAGGGGGTGGAGGCTGTTATCGCCGATATGCGATCTCATTTCCGCTCAGCACGTCTTGAACTCGAACGTGCCGTTCCCGGTGAAACTTCTAACGTTAGTCTTGAGGATGGCAAGGGGACTCTAAGGGCATTGGTAAGACGCGTTGAGTCCCTGGCAAGAGACTTGGGAACAGAACATAGTTACCACCGTGGCTCACTTGGCCGCGAAAAGGCCCTTCGAGGTCAATTCGACGCTTTACTACACCGATACGAAGCAGCTGCAGACAAAATTAAAAGTCTCGAGGATTCAATCACATCTTCAGCGGGGGACATGCTCCACACGCGAATGCGAATGCAAGATCTCGAGCGCGAAGGCCAAGAACAGGCCGTTGGGATTGACAGATTAAACACTGCCCTCGACAAGTATCACGACGAAGTAAAGGGTCTCGAAGACCTAATCGACAATCTCGAAAAAGAGAACATGGCCGCGAAGGAGGAATATGCTCGACAAATCTCCAAGCTCAAGAAGCAAGTTGCCTATGAGCGCTCCAAGAGATTCACTGCCGAATCTTCCGCTTCCAAAAATGATGGCCGCATTAGCGAGCTCGAGAAGACAGTTGAGCACAATCAAATCCAAACCTGCGACTTGATGGCGCAGGTAGAAATTCTCGAAAAGGAACACCAGCGGGCTGTGGAGGCTCTGGAGCAACGCACCAGCGAGTTGCAGTATCATGAAACGGAAACTGGCACTCTCAATGTTCGCATTTCAGACCTCTCCACATCATTAGATGGAGCCAAAACCGAGGTTCAACGTCTCCGCCTAATCAATACGGGCCTTGAGGAGCAACTTCAACAAGAGCTTGAGGCTCGCGATGCGGTCCTTGACAAATGGGCTGCAGACCAAGCACGGTCATTTGCCAACATGAAAGAGGCCATCAATGCAGATCGTCGGAGGGCCAAGATCCGCGCGGCTAACTGGGAACAAAAATCGGACGATCTCATGTCCGATGCCACAACAATGGGCTGTGGAAGCGAGCCCATCACCCCTGTCAGCATGACACGTTTTGTGGACGTTGAATTTGGTCGGGGCAAGGAACGCCGGCGAATGGATAGTGGTATTGGGATTCTCACTGAGGAACAACTCCTGAAGGATGATGGTGTATCAGACCTACGGCAAGGCCTTGATTCTGATATTGATTTACCCTCATCTGAATTCGTTTAATCTGTATTATAGACTCTTGCCTTCACTTTCGCTTTCCTTTCATTTGTAATATTGTGGCATCATTGGAAACACCAGCTTTTTTTCACATGTTAGATAAAACAGTCTCTCATTATATATGATATTGCGCTTTCTATAAATATATAACAAATGGTATCACTCTCATAAAAAAACAGGATTCAAAGACAAAAGACACAAGACAAGCCAGTTCAGGAATGAATGGCTTGCGGGCCAGTTTCCTCACTAGCCACCTTCAGCGGCCGAGGCTCAGGCTCCATATGCTCCTTATGTCCAGGCCGAGCAAAGATAGCACCAAAGAAGTTGAGAATGTTGGTGGCACGAAGCACCATCGTATAGAACAGCGTCAGCCCAACCACAAATATCTCCTCCTGGGCAGCCTGGCTATGAGCCTTGGGGCCATCAAACTCAATCTTTCCAACCTTAGAGACAGCCCATTGGTTGGCGCAGAACCTAGCAACAGGATTCTGATTCTCATCAACGCAGATGAAGTCCCACGTCTTGAATCCACAGTCGCTTGTCCAGGTCATGGTGACTGGGGTGTCGGTGTCGGAAAAGTTGAGAGAACGGTGGGTATAGACTGTTTGCCAGCGTTTCTGGGCTAGCAACGTTCCTTTCTGTCCGTGGAACTTGTAGTTGGCGTTGATTGAGACCATTGAGAGCTTGCCTGTTCCGACGACTTCTTCGTCCGAGGCTCTTTTCACGATCATACTTTCTGATTTTGGGAGCAGGTTCCATGGGAAGTCGACGATGTATTTTGGGTCTTTGCCTGGGCTATTGATGTCCGAGATGATGGCTTTGAATTTCTTCCATGTCATGTCTACTTGGAAGGTAGGGTTGGAAGTAGTTTGTTGAGGCATAGCTTGTTCGGGCGTATCAGAAGACATTGTGAAGTTGGAAGTATTCAATTGAGTATCATATGACGGGTTGAAGACTGAGGGTTTTCAGGAGGAATGTGAACGCCCTTATATAGTTGGAGATGATCCCAAGGTCTCCATCACAGCCCTGCGGCGCAGAGTCTTGGCAGCAACTTTACCCTCCCGCTGCGCTAACCGCTTTGGGTGCCACTGGCCGCTGTCCCAATCAAACGCTTATTCTCCGCTGTTCTTCCGAGGGGCGATGATGTCAATCAGCGTGAGATTTGGGGGCCAAATCATAGCATTTCCCAAATGCGCGGGATAGAGCCAGAATCGATTTTCAGCTGCAAAAATGGCCATGTTGATAGAGTTTAGGTTAAGCACTGGTCTTGGCGCTATACTTGATTCTTGACGATGACGTTGGTGGACGTAACTACTTACTGTAGCTCCGGCTCTCAACTTCGCAACCTAATACTTTTCATCCTATAAACTCACATTCAATACGCTCACTGTATTCCAAAGATGGCCGACGAAGAAACAAATGCCCACAAATACCGCCTGAGGGTAACAGCAGGACCGGAATATGAGCCCAGCACTCACCAAGTGGTCCCGGTAAACGGCGAGACCCTTCGAATTGAGAACGACCATGCAATAATTAGTCTCTGCGTGCGAATTCAAGATTACACAGGTAACACACAATCCTCATGGCCCGTCTCTCATTCAAAAGAGCGTGCGCTAACTCAAACAGGCTTCCCTGACGGCTCGGCATCTACAAGCCCATATTTCGAACATCCAAGACACACAAAGGACCAGTATTCAATATCTTTCTCAATAATCTTCAAGGAGCCCGTAAACGGCAACAGTCTCGTCTTCGGAAATGATTTCGACAAACCGATCCGCGACATCCTCCCGCCAGGCTTCAACGCAGCCCTGCGCATGGTCAAATGGACTCTTGACCCTAGTCTAGATGGGGATGCGTACGCTGACAAGCCGTATCTGTTTAGTCCTGCACTGGCTACATTGAATTATCTCCGGATCGGGGAGAAAATGAGCAAGTCGGATGAGGTGCCAACTTTGCATAATGAGGTTATTGAAGAGGGTGCGGATGGGGAAGAGGCCACTGAGACGCGGAAGGAGTGGCCTGATGCAGATTCGAGGAAGAAGTTCTTCCAGGACGAGGCTAAGAGGAAAGACTTTGATTTCGAAGCTGGGAGGCTGTATGTGGCCGATTTTGGGAATCCTTATCTGGCTTTCAGTGGTGAGTTGTATACGCCATTCGGATGATTTGATTATGGCTGATTCGTATGATAGATTTCTCGGTTCGACTTCCTGGGATCACTATTCATGCTATGAAGTATGTGAGTGATAAAGATCATGACTTGCGTTATGTTCTGAAGGATGCGGAAACGGGTCGGGTTTATCTTGTTGTTGTGTTTACGGTTGTCCTACGTGATATCGCGCCCGATCAAGGATACACTCAGGCGGATGGCAAGGGCAGCCTGGGAAAATTCGACTGGGAATCGGAACCATCAGCGGCGGATGTTGAGTGATACGCTTTGTTAGGTGGCTAAATCCACTTAAAATTTAGATCAACATAATACAAGAAACAATTTTGGTCTCCTTGCGAATCAACTGCAAACCATGGGTTATAAATACAAGGTACCTCTTACAGTCTCTTCAGGACATCGTCCAAGACCTGCTGGGTGGTGGCCTTGCCGCCCATGTCGGGGGTAAGGAACTTGCCGGCATCGAGGTTACCATCGACAGCAGCGTAGATCTTAGCAGCGGCGTTGTGCTCACCGAGGAACTCAAGCATCAGAGCGACACTGCGGAAAGTAGCAATGGGGTTGGAGATGCCGAGACCCTCGATATCGGGGGCAGAGCCGTGGCAAGGCTCACCAATAGCAAAGTTGTCACCGACGTTAGCGCTAGGAACGAGACCGAGGGAGCCAACAAGGGCAGCGGCACCGTCAGACAGAATGTCACCGTACAGGTTAGGGGCAACAATGACATCGTAGTACTCGGGCTGGCGGAAGAGCTTGTAGACCATGGAGTCGACAATCTGTTCCTCGACATGGATGGAAGAGAACTTCTCGGCGGAGAGAGCCTGACGAGCAGTCTCACGGAAGAGACCGTCGGTCTGGGAGAGGACGTTGGATTTATGGGTGATAGTGACCATGGGCTTGGTGTGGTGGGTGGTGCCGGGAGCGGCGTTGCGGATGGCCTGGCGACCGAGAGCGATCTCACCAGCCATGGTGGCAATGCGAGAGGAAGCACGCTCGGAGATACGCTTGATAGCCTCGGCGACCTTGCCGTTGGGGCCATCGATGGTGCGCTCCTCCTTCACGTAGAGATCTTCGGTGTTCTCACGGACAGTGACCAGGTCGATGGGGTTGCCGCGGCTGCTTCCAGCGGTGGTCTTGACGGGGCGAACGTTGGCGTACAGGTCGAGCTTCTTGCGGAGAGCAACAATGGGGGAGGAGTAGCCGGCGACCTTGGTGCTTGGGGAGCTGTTGACGGCGTTAGCCGGGTCACAATTTGCATGACCAATTGTTGCTTACCTGACAGCACCGAAGAGGGCACCATCACACTCCTTCTTGAGAGTGTCGACGGTCTTGTCGGGCAGAGCAGTTCCTGTCTTCTGGAAAGTGTCGAAACCAGCCTCGAGGTCGACGAAGCTGAACTTGAGGTTCAGGGACGAAGGAAGAGACTCAAGGAGCTTACGGCCGGCCTATATCAGAGCAAAAAGACATTCAATTAGCCAATTGGTCTGTCTTGAAGTCGAGAGAGCTACCCACCGGGATGACCTCCCGTCCGATACCGTCTCCGGGGATGAGACCTATATGATCCTATTAGCCAATTGTTGGGTAATCACATCGCAGAACCGGGCAGTTGTACCAATGCGAAGTGTCCGGGCAGCAGCAGCCATTTTGATAGACTTATTGAAGAGTTGCTTCCTGAAATCGACAGTCGCCGTCATCGGAGCTTTTCATTTTGTATGCGGGATCGGATAATCCTTGATCCGAGCATACTCCGGGGTCCGGAGTAGATGTCGTGACATATCTACAACGACTCAAAAAGGCTTCGGTTTCCCTTACCTTCTATCAGTTGGAAGAAGTTTTTTGATTAGTATGGTCCTACGTAGTCTCTAGTCAACCAGTGAAAGAGCAGGGGTAATGGTCAGCCGTAATATCACAGGCTATGGATCTGCACATGCACTACCTAAACGGGTCACTGAGCGCGAGCATGAGAGTAAATAACCTTGGATCAGGTGCCACTATCCAAGCGGCTCACAGAACCTCGGATAGTCTTTTTTTCTCTTGAATCTTTCTGTCGCTTGTCAGCCATTAAGCTCGTCTTTTTCGGCCAAGCATATACGCGCTAAACCCAAATGGGTCACTTTTCGCGATGTGGGTCCTCAAGTATAGAGTCAATGAATACGACAAATTGAAGCTCCAAGGACCAGAGAAGACATTTAAGCAGACCAAAAATCCTTCATTAGATTCCCACTGCTATTTCTATATTTTCTGCTTGTCAAATACGGTTTCACTCCTTGAGACAGCTTACTATGGCACTCAGCATTCTATCCCGTTCCTCGGACTCCCCGATTTCGAGTGGAAAGCGCAATATTGCCATTGCAGAAATCGTGATATTCTCTATTATCCATATTGCCCAGTTCAGCACAAGATTCATGCAAGAGCGGCAGTACTGGCATCACACCAAGAATAAGAAAATTGGACGCTGTGTACTCTATTCTTGGTTCAGTATGGTTGGTCTCCTGTCGCAAAGTAAGTGAAGCGTTCCTTTTCTCGCACCCTGAATAACAATCTAACATTCAAACAGTTCGTATAGCTGGCTCGGCTGTCATCCTATCTACCTCACACCCTGACAAATCAATGCTCATTGCCGAATCCGCCTTGCAAAGTGTAGGCCTCTCGCCTCTTTTGTTCGAAGTTAGTCTGGTCATGTTACGATGGTATGTCAACAGCAAAAACTACTCAAGTCTCTCTGAAATATTAAATAACACTTCATTCTCCAGTGGACAATCCGGAGAATTTGGCCCCGGCAACTCGAAGTGGTCCAAATGGACCCGATTCGCCCTACACTTCTTCCGTTTCCCAATTTTCATTGCCATCGTCTTGGCAATAGTGGGAGCTTCTATCAACATGCGTGCCCTAGGAGAAGCTGGATCGGTGGTTCTTGTTGTCACATTCGCCTATGTATGTTGTCTTGTTGCTTGGCTTGCATTCAAATCAGGAACAATTCTTCCTGAGTCTGGAAACCGTGCTGCAATCGTGACTGTGTTCACTCTGCCATTCCTCTTGGTGCGGGTTATCTATTTCCTTTTGCTGGAATATGGTCCTCCCAGGTTCAACCCGGCCACTGGTGATATTGGTATTCTGGTTGGAATGGGGCTTTTGATGGAGATTATCATTGTTATGATACTTTTGGTTGCTCGTGGTGTGGCTGAGCCTGTTATGCCAGCTTTTTTCCCTAAGTCTCTCGTTTATGAGGACTTGGAATCGCCTGTAAATTGAGGATTGGGCATTTCAGGATAATTCGTTGACGGCAAGGATAATTCATGTATGTATGGCTTTTTCAAATAGCTTTTGCAGGTTTATAAAATTGGTTTGTAATTTTCTGGCTGAGCTGCCGCGTAGGTCTTTGAAAACTGTCCCAGACGGCTCAGAATCCATGATCTGGTTACTGGATCGACAATTTCTACCGCCACGCGGAGAGGAAACCCCATTCGATAAGGCCCCATTATTCCAACACTGGTGTACTCAACTGATTTACAAATTTGGTCGCGGTAAAAAACGACCATGGCTGCGTGCTCACCGGGCTGGCAACACGTTCTCAAAATCTCATGAATTATCACCATGTAGGAGTAGTAGCCGCAGTAAATAGTTGCCTGGTTCACATCTGTGTATGTGAGAATGACAGGGTATAGTTCATCTCCTGCTAACGAGTCGATTTCAACTGGGAGCGGTGCAATTTGAGAAAATTTCTCATACCAGGTGGCAAGCTTCGCCTGCATCTCGAGGGCTTTTGAGAGAACTTCGGTTATGGTTTGCAGGGCTGCTGCACTTGCCACATCCATGTGTCTCAGGCTATAGAGCTTGTGCACAAGACTTGGTGCATGTGTGAAATATGCAAAGAACAGCTCGATGCTGTAGTGCAGGTCAGACGGCAAGTCTGTTGTGAACTGCTGTCGCATCTTCTCGTGCCATACATCTGATGCCAAGAAGCACTCTTCGCCCGAGAACATTGAGTGCATAACCTGCCGTCGTATGAGCAAATATACAGGTGTTTTGGTCTTTGAGTATGAAGGGGACATACAATTAACCCTCGGGAGGCTTTTAGTAATGAAATTTCAAGCGCATTAGAATACCTGTCTGGTCCTCGAATTTTGACCAACTGACTGAGGCCTTTCGCGTGCCTCATCCATGACTCTGGGTCATCAGTGTCGGTGAAGAGCTGGAAATTATCAGCATCCATTGCAGTTAGGCTATTCTGGGCAAGCATTACCTCATACATGCACAGTAACACGACCGCACAAAAAATATGAGTCGATAAGCTTTCAGCCGGGGATCCTAATGATCTTCGTAGACCACGCAAGGCTTCCCCATAAGCTGAGCGGGCATATGAAACCATTTGTGGATTTTCAGCCAGGCGTCCAAAATGATGTGCTGTGAAGGATCTGATAGTCGCATCCAATACCCGATTCTGACCATAGATAGATGGAAGAAACCCGAACCAGCGGGTCACAGCATGAATCGGACTGGGAGTGACAGGCTGAGAGAAATCATCGATTAATACACATAGATGTTGTATAACATTCCCGTCTGGCGAGGTTAGAGAGGCTGGCTCCTCTCGAGGAATTAGAGCTTGACAGGTCGGGTCAAGTTCAATTTCCGGACTGGAGGTACCACTCTTGGGTGTTTCGTCCTTCTTGTCCTCTGCCGGACGACGCTTGTCTCGGTATGGCTTTCCGGTGATGAATTTAAAGCCTTTATCATACCCAGGACATGGCTGACCATAAGTCTCGCATCTGGCACATCCAGGCACTCTTCGGTCACACTGTGGCATCTCAGTAACATGACATAGGACTCTATTTATGGGACACTGACCTTTACCCGGCGCTTGACACAGCGCAAGCAGCCATTGCTACGAGGCCCACCAACCATATTCAGGCATGATCCAGGAGCTGCTCAGAAGTGATAGATCCCGAATACGAGAATGTGGTGTCACGTGCATGGGGATCCGACTGGTCTATCATTGGCCACACTCACAATGACCAAGTTGATCGGACGTTCGAATGGAGAGATAAGTTGTGATAGACTAAATATGTTCTAGAAGCAATAAGCTGCAGAGTGGTACTGTGGGGAGTGTATGCATGTCAGCCCTTGGCTTTGGCCCTCCTGGTGGTTTTTCTTTTCTCCATATACAATTCAACTGTCAGTTATCTCTGTTTGATGAGTGTTATATGCTCTTCGATCCTATTACTAGGTAGATCCTCTACATCCTCTACATCTCTGCATACTTGAGCCACGCGGGACGATACCCCGCATAACCCTGTCGATCTCGCCAATTCAATATGGAAAATAGTCTTATTGACGTATCAACTAAGCATATTTTAGCTTGCTCTTAAACATGGAATCCGTGGGAGGGAAATTCAGGTCAACGGTTCGGCCCTATCGACCGGTGGACCAAGTCAAAGATCCCAGCCTGAACACCTGAGGCAAGATTTCCCCTTACTGAATCATATCATATTGCAATGTGTCCAGACGTGTTTCGGGTGTTTCGGGACTCCTTAGGTGGCATCTCCCAAAGCCCCTGAAACTCCAGATCAATTGGCGCTAGTCCACACTAGCGTGATGTATGTAATAGTTTCCCTTTTGCTCATTCTGTCCTCACCTTCATTCATCGTGTTGAACCCTTCTGGGGACATGCAGTGCGGTCTGCGGCTTACCGATTAAACGTCACTGTTCTCCCGTTGCTTATCCCCAACTTCGCCCCCTGTGCTCCGCAGACGCGTTCCGTGACCCCCCCCTTCACTACACATGCCCTTGCTCGAGCGTGAGCCTCAGCAAAATGTCCGATAGCAACCCCCATCACCCAGGCGTGCGCAGCTTGCTGGCCAAGTTCGAAGGCCAATCTCCGATTACCTCCCCGCCCTCCCGTGGCAGATCTCCCGCCGCCTCAGATTCCTCGGGGACAGCTCGACAGTTGTCCAGGGTCCGCGCGAGCTTCGTGAATGTCGAAGGAGCCCTACAATCCAATCCAGCATCGCCATTGAGGAAAACAAGTGGACGGAGTGATAGCCCGGGCATATTTGGACCGAAAATCAAATCAGAGGATGTGCAGCCGGATCGGCAGAACATGGCTTCACCCACTCCAATCAGCTCGGTAGAGCACACCCAGAACGCGACTTTGGCCCAGATCATGGCGGAAGGTCGATCCGAACCCCTTCAATCGAAGACCCAACCGAATAAAACCACCCAGGAGCCTGCTGCACGCTTGAAGACTGAGTCCCAATCGCAAGACGCGCCGAAGGCAGGAACTGCCCCCGCCAAATCTAGGTCTACAACCTCTGAGACCCCTTTGCAGAAGTCCGACGGTTCAATCAAGAGAAAGCCATCTACTGTTGGATCGACGGCTAATAGGCCATCGACTACTGCCACATCGACTGGCGGAACCCGATCCCAAGCTACCTCCAAGCCATCAGCTCGCGAAGTGGCCAAGGAGCGTTCTAACTCCCTTGCCCATAAGCCGAGCCGTGTCTCCTTGAACCCCAAGACGACAACACGGCCAGCCCGAGGTGCTACTCCCGTAGAACCTTCAAAGCCATCTCCTACAGTGAGCAGATCTACTCGTCAGGCTACAACCACCATGCCACCACCCCCTAAGCCAGCAAGCACTCGGACAGCCAACACTCTGACGAGAAAGCCCTCAACCCTCAGAAATGGAGCTGGATCCCAACCGCAAGCGACTTCATCGACCGGTGTTCGCAGACAGTCATCTCGCGCCTCGCTGCCGGCCCAGTCAGCCAGTGAACGCCCCAGTTCTCGGGCCAGCGATGCTCACTCCAACAAGCCAGTCAACGAGGGCTTCCTTGCTAGAATGATGCGGCCTACTGCTAGTTCCGCCAACAAGTCCCTTGAGAAGACGGACGCGAAGCCTGTGCCCAAGACCACACCGGCTTCAAAGGCCCCCCGGCAGTTTATCGGTGGCAAGATCCCTGAGCGGACTGCTTCACAGTCAAAGCCTAAGACTACCACTCTGCGACCTCAGAGCGAGAAGTCTCAAGCTGCAAACAAGGTTCCTGCTCGTGACCACCCTGTTCCTCAGAAGAAGCAGGAAAGCGAGAAGGAGAATATCGTGGAGCCTATCGAGGCCAGCCACAAGGAGCCCCTCGCTGTAGAGAAGACACAGGCTACTGCCGCGGAACAGCTCGAAGCGGTTTCTGAGCCAGTTGAGGAAATTGCTGTATCTGTTCAAGCTGAACAGCTCAACGAGAAGGCTATCTCCACCGCCGAACCAGTTGAGAAATCGGCTGAAGTGTGTGAGCCCCTTGTTGAAGCCTCAATTGATCCTGTCGAGCCCGAAACTAAGGTTGAGGCCGAAGTTGAGGAGGTCCTAGCCGCAGTTGATGAGGCCGAGGCTCCCATAAAGGCTGAAGTCGAGGTCCCTGTTGAGACAATTACATCAATTCCCGAGGCTATTGAGACTACCACTTCCCCCGTGGTGGTTGATGCCACCCCAGTTCAAGCCAACGAGACTATTGAAGAGCCCGAGGCCTCTGTTCCAGCCCCTGTCGAGGCTGAGGTGTCTGAGCAGACGACTGTTGTCCATGAGCCGGAACTAGACCAGAAGTTCGAAGCCAAGGTTGAAGTTTCCGAGGAAAACGAGGCGGTTCCAGTCAAGGACGTCACCGTTCCTGAGGCTTCAGAGCCCGAGGAGAAGGTCGCAGAGGAGAAGTCAGCAGATATCAAGCCTACCGAGGCGACGCCCGCCACTGAGGCCGAGTCTAGCAACATCGCCCTCGATATCACTACTCTGGCACTGAACTAGTGGATGTCATGTCATAGTAGCACCACGCATAGAAATGCTACACTCCGCCTATTGCATTTCTGGTCACATTTTGAAACATTTTAATCTGTTTGGTTAACCCTCTGGCTTTTCTCTTCTTGCCCACCGTGGACCTCTTATCTCTTTTGAGGCTTGCCCTCAGTTTTCCAAGCTTTCATACCGCCAGGGGCTTTTATCTTCTCCATTCTAGCATCATCTCCCCTTTTATGTTTTGGGTTCTCCGGTTATTCTTTCTTCCTTTGCATTCTCTGTACCGATTTTGAGCACATTATTCTTAGCGCTTAGGTGCATTACATGTATTGAATTTAGCATCTTGATTTGTCAATACAGCGGGGTTCAAAGCTTTACAAGGAAACATTTACTTCATTTTGGCCCATTTCCGAGTCTTGAATAAATTCGTAAACCCATATGAATGTGGAGATGTAAAAAGACTGATGATCATTGTTTAACAGACTAAACGCTTCAGTATGATCATGACCAGCAATGACCAACAAGAAAAACAAATATGCAAAGCCAAAACTTATCAGAAAGAACAAAGCAAGAACCATCACAGCCTTTTCTCAAGCTTCTTAAAAAACCGGTTAACACCACTCTCCAACCGCTCTGCCTTATCCTCCAACTTCCTCGGCCTCTGTCCAGGATTCTTCATAGCCTTCTGGGCATACTTTTGATAATGAGACCCAGCCTCTACCTCCGTAGGCCGATAAGCCTGACTATGAATATCATACTCAGACGCACCAGGCTGTCTCTGCTGCTGACTAGGTGCCTTGTCATACGAGTAATTCGAGAACCCACCCATAGGAACCGGCACTGAAGCCTGTTGCTGCTGCTGTAACTGCTGTTGTTGTAACTGAGCCGAAGGCTGGGACGAACACCCATAAACCTGCTGGTCATACAAATGAGCATTAGGGTCCTGAGGCGGCGGTGCAAACGACATAGAGCCCTGTCTCTGCGGACTAGCTTTTACATCCTGAAACTGAGCCGGCTGCTGCGGTGGCGGTGCAAAAGACAATGAATTCGATCTTTGTGGACTGCCACTGCCATTCCACGGCTGATTACTCGTGCCAGTAAGGAAAGACTGGGGGTATGACGGTGGAGGTAGGCCAGGGCTCTGCATGGAAGAGTGAGTTGAGAACGAGCTTGTGTGCTGTAAGCCTGCACTGGGCGGTGGTGAAGCGTAGCTTGATGCTCCAATTGATGTTGTTGTTGGTGGACCAACATAGGATAGTCCCGGTGTTGGGTTTGAGGGTGGGGGTGATGCGAATCCTCCTACACCTCCTACGCCACCGATTACTTGATGTGGGGGTGTGTAGGGAACGCCACTGTCTGCTGCGAGGGCAGCTGCTAGGCCTGTGCCGTCCATGCCATCTTCTGGAGGTGGGGTCTTCTCGCGATGCTTGATCGGTTCTGGGGCTGCTGGGGCTGCTGGGTTATATGGCAGCGGGGCGAAGCTTGCTGGGTCTTTTTTTTCCTCTACTGGGAAGTAGCCGGTGCTTTGGCTCTGATCGGTTGGTAGGCCACTTGGAGGAGGTGGATGGAAGTTGGTTGATTGGGAAAGTCCTTTGCCCTGAGATTCTGTGATTTGGGGGTCGGACCGAGAGTTACGTGTCTGACCGTTTTGGTAGGCTGGGTCTGAGACGGCGACATTTTCAAGTTGTTGGACCACTGAACTTAAGGGTTGCTCTGGTTGGAGAGCTGGCTCCCTGTCTGTTTCGACTTGGGTCTTGGGGAGGACTACTTCCGCTGTGTCCAAGAATTGGGTCGCATCTTCCTGGCCCCAGAAGTAGATATCTAGTGTATGAAGACGGGGATAATCTCGGAGATCATTTGGATCATCCCGCGGGTCCCCACTAGGCAGACGCCATTCATGCCGAGGGGACGCTGATGAATATGTGTTTTGCTGAGACGGGTTCGTGTGTGCATCGACGGTCAGGGTACAGAGTGTTGGGAATTGAGACGAGTGTCGAATGTGTACATTATTCAAGTCTCCGCAAAATGCATCCTGCTCTGGCGACCCAGGATTATTGGCTATCTCAATGCGGGCTTTGTTCTGAGCGGCGTCATGGTACACATATAGATATGAGCCCTTGTCAAAGCGGTGGTGATATGGCGACGGTCTCCGGGTTGGCTCTGTGAAATAGTAATGTATATCTGCAAACCTATTACTTCTGCATTAGACCAGATCCAACGTCTTCAGCTTCATGGGAAAGTTAGTTCGGCTTACACCGTCAATAGACGCTCCTCCCCGGCTAATGGTGGCATGATGTATATCAAAGAACAAAGAAGTGAAGAAAGAGAAAGAGAAAGAGAGATTCTATTGAAGAGCACAGCTAGACTGAGGGGTAAATTATATAAGTTTGACTACTCGTTGGGCGCTTAGAAGGTGATGTGATGGCATGGTACTGGTGACTTGGCCATCACATATATCCACTGCGGGCGGTAAAGTATCGGGTACCTGGTCACCCATCGCACGGAATTACCGTTTCTCCGAAAATTTCCACCCCGAATAATCGCAAGCAAGTCGGTGCTGCATCACCGATCTCCTGTCTTTGATTCCCCCGGACAATTGCACGTCAAGCTTTGTCAACACCTGTCACCCCATTTGCGCACCTGGGATTCTCCTTTTTTCTGTTCTAACAAGGATTCAAACACCTCCACAACACCTTTGTTCTCCAAACGGCCGCCGGTAGGGCCCTATTGCTACCATCAAAATGTCTCTCGTCAACCTCGCTGCCGTGTGCTCGCACCTCAACAATGCCACCAAGGCTCGCCTTGCCCTCACCTCCATTCCCAACAGCAACCTTCACCTAAAGCTCTCCCTCGCCCTCCAAAACTCCGGCTACATCTCCTCCGTAGTCCGCGGAGGCCCGACACCTCCCCCGGCCCATGCCATCCTCGGCTTCCCAGCTGCCAACGATACCACCGAAGGAATTGAGCCAATCACCCGCGACAACATCGCCTCAAGGCGGTTGTGGCTCGGTCTGAAGTATTGGCAGAACGAGTCCGTCCTAGGCAAGGTCAAGATGGTCAGCAAGCCCACCCGACGGGTGAATATTGATGTCGAGGGTCTCCGCCTGGTCGTCTGTGGCAAGGAATCCGGAGGTGTGGCTGGCCTCCGCTCGCCTGGTGAGAGCCTGTTCCTCTCTACAGACAAGGGCATTATGGAGGCGCGTGAATGTGTTGAGAAGAAGCTCGGCGGTTTGGTTCTGTGCCGTGTGCTATAAGCCTGTGATTGTTTCGGCGGCTCCATGTTTCCCGAGTGACCGCTGGGGTGTTTTCATTTCTTTCCTCTGTATTCTTTCGCATTTACTTTGGAGTTTTGTTGGTTAGTCGCAGCGATGGCTCTTGCCGAGATTCGTCCTTTGTGACCGTTTGGGTTAATACCTAGTTCAAGGATCTGTATATTAGATATCTGCGTGTATTTCGCATTCTGTGTACTCTGCTGGTTGTGCAGCTGTTCTCAATGTGACAATAGTGTATAGATTATGACTTGAAAGATGTCCATGTTCTCCTCTTTATATATGAGCTGGTCGTTCTATGTGGTCATTATGTGTACTGCTAATTGGATACAGTCTATGCGAGTGCCCTTCTGTATGAAAAGCCTCCCCTTCAACAGGTCAGGTTATAGATGGTTCTTAATTACTTCTCCTCAACTGACTTGTCAACTAGAGTTTAGGAAAAGACGAGGACGAAAACAAAGACAGCGAGAACCATGACCCAAATGGTAACTCCATTGATCTCACATACTGATATCACATAGGAAGATATGGGACAACAGTGAGGGTGCTATTTGAGAGGCAATTGGGAAGAATGAGGTGTATAACGTTATACTCCCATTGACCTTGTGCCACACTGCGGAGGATAATCTGATGTCGGCTATGACGAAATTCACTCCTCCCTCCTCAATAACATCAAAATTCTCATAATGAGCCACTCATTCTCCAAGGTCCTGGTCTCTGGAGGTACAGGATTTGTAGGCGCGGCCATTGTACGGGCTCTTGCTCAAAAATACCCGGACGTTGCCATCACCGTCATCGACCAGAATCCTCCACGGCCCCAGCACGCTCTGCCACACAATGTCTCGTGCATTCAACTTGATATAACCTCAGCTGAGGCAGTAGCTGATGCTTTCAGAGCCACAAGGCCAAATGTCGTTGTCCATACTGCTGGACTCATCCCAGACCTGGCTGAGCGGTTCGGACGCCAGCTTGAAGGGGAGACGTGGAAGACTAACTTCGAAGGGACACGAAACATGCTGAATTCAGCTCAGCAAACCGGTGTCATTGCTTTTGTCTACACTAGTACATGTTGTGTGGTGACTGATGATACGAGCAATCCTTATACCAACATCACAGAGGAATGGCCCTCGGCAGCCAGGTCTACCATCTATGGAGAATCCAAGGTAAGCGCACCGCACCTCAGTTGACCGCCTCCATCTTACGCCACGCTTATAAGGGAAAAAAAATACTAACAAACGTTTGATAGGCTGCAGCAGAAGCACTTGTTCTCAAAGCCTCCAGCAGCGAATTGGCAACATGTGCCCTTCGGCCATCGGTACTTTGTGGACCAGGTGATTGTCAATTGCTCCCGCCGATCCACGCATGTATTTCCAAGTACGAAACCCCTTTTCTCATCGGGGATGGACTAAATTTGTGGGATGTCACCTACGTCAGCAATGTCGCCGATGCCCACATCCTAGCGATAGAGAATCTGGTATCAACTCGCACTGCTGCCGGGGAATTCTTTTTTATCCAAAATAACGAACCTATCACATTTCGGGATTTGTGTCTGGCGATATGGGCTCATTTTGGGCACATTCCCCCATTCGAATTGCGGATCCCAGAGGCCCTGGCACTTTTTGCCGGACTGGCGTGTGAGACAGTCACCCGGGTAATGGGAACAACGGCAACCCTGAGCCGTGGGAGTGTTCAAGATGCATGTGCTATTCGATATGCCAGTGGCGAGAAAGCTAAAGAGATACTGGGGTACGAGGCCCGTATTGGCATTGAAGAAGGTATCCGGTTAAGCTGTGAGGTAAGTGGGTATCACAAGCACAAAGAAATCACAATGCTAACCGGAACCAGGATTATGCTTCTCGCCTTGGGGTCAAGTTACCGGCCGAAATCACCACCCGGAAAATGTAGCCAATGCGAGGTTGATGGAGATCAAGATAGAGTTTCTGACTGCAAAACGGCTGGAGTGATACCCTGAAGATAACACGATCGTTATGAGTTCCTCTCTTAGGAAGGGGGCAATGATATGATTTCATGGCTTCCCTGGCCGGGGTGTTGTTGATAACAATGCCCGGTTCATACTCGAGCACAGACATTGGGCTGTTGGGCTGCAATGCTCCGTTGACCACAGCTAGCTGAGCTCTCCACAATTGACGAAGTTCATCTCTGAGAATGTTTGAGGCAGAGACATGGTCCATGCGGCTTATTGGCATTGGGCCTCAAACCAGCCCAAAGAGCCCAACACAGATTGACTGCGCGTCACGGGATTTGCCTCAGCCTCAGGTCATGACATGTCTACCTTCGACGCAGATCTCACCCTCTCTGCAACATTTGGGTAGCCAATATCCCAGAGGCACCCCAGTCCCTGCACTTCCTACCCAACATCCATCTTGCTGCCCAAGACTTTACCCCGATATGATTGTCAAACCAGGGTGAAAGTGGCGTGGAACCCGGGATGTTGGGGATTGTCCACTAATTTATGAAGATCGAGGCTTTGAACCATGTCTGTCGTCCCACCAGCGTTATGTCTATGCACCAACAGAAAGCCCCACAGCGTCTCGCCTGCCAACGAGCGTGTACACCGGTTCCATACTTGATCGATCGAGATCTTCAATGGCGCTGGCGTTTGGCAGTAGCGGTTCCCTGTTTATCTTACGCAATTGGCCTCTGGGACTTCAACAGTGCCCAGGCAGCAAAGACCTCATCTCCCTAGATTACATCTCCACCGACGCCACTGGCGTAAAGTCTTTTAGCGCGGCTCTCAATCCACTTCTGTTGCCGTTGCATAGGTCTTGAGACTCGCTTTGGTTCCCCCCTTTGTCAGGCACGCGCATCTACTCAGCCCGGCTTGGATCATTTTCTGTGGTTTATATTTATAACCTGTCCTTTTCTCATCGTGGATTCGTCCAAATCTTCCATCATATCTCTTCCTTTGTACTTTCAAACATTAAATTCAAGTTTATATTAGGCTGCTGTAAAGCCTTGTCTTACTTTCTCCATGCTACCCATCCTTCCCCATCATCCATTAACTGCTGGATCGGCAAGCCTGAACCCGTTCTCTTTCCCAGCAAGTCTTGGTTCTTGTGCAAGTTCAATCAACTCCAAATTGGATACTTGGTCTCGCCATAGGTCAGCAAAGTCAACTATCGCCATTCCCTCTCCTACTCCTACGCCAAACATATTGGAACCCGATGCTTATACTCCGTAGCAGCACCATGGATCAACATCCCGTTTATGGACCCCCCGGCGACCTCCCCCGTCATCTACCAACAAAGGTATTTTTCCGCCATCATTCCACTCGTCCAATTATGTCTTTGTGTTCGTCAAAACTACTCCCAATATGGTTACTAAATGGTAAAAGGTCGCCAACTACTCCCCGCGGATATGGCTACAGAGACGACCGTCATATGTCTGTAGGGTCTATGGATTTTGATCCCTCTCGCTACCATGGAGCCCCCATCTCTATGGACGCCCACGGCCATATGATGAACTCCCCTATTGGAAGGGTGTCCTATCCTTCCGGACAACCAGTGCCTCCACCCCGGAACTATGAATGGAGCCACCCGGCTCACTTGCCTCAGGAATCCCTCAGGCGGGACCTTGGATCAATGCCCACCCCGGAGAGCCCAGAGTATGTCATGGAAAGAAACAGCCGGCGAGCTGCTGATAAGTCCAGAGGAAGCCCACACTATTACTCCCAGAGACGGACCTCCAACCGGGATGAATTTGATGGCCCACATCAGCTCCTGGAACCACCCACCAAGCAGGTCATCGCAGCCCAGGACAAGGAGCTCCCTGAGCTCCCTACTAATCTCGATGCCTCAGAGCAAGACAGCATTCTCCACAAAGTCAACGACCGCTTATCCCGATGCGCCTATGACTTCGTCGCAAAGTATCAGTTCCGCGTTCCAATCGAACAGGACAAGAGACCCGTCAAGGTTCCCTCGGACCGCGAGTGGACCGAGTGGGTGCACCTCTTGAAGCGCCTGGCTACGACACGCCGCATCCCCGCCCATCTCTTGTACAACCGCCAAATCAAGCAGCTCATCACGGTGCTGGAAAACTCCCTGGAGATGCGTCACGCTGCCAAGCACCAGTCCAGACCGGTTAAGGATGATCGCAACGTGCTGCAGCTGATCTCTGCCGGAATCCAGGTTGCCAAGATCCTGAAAGATTCCAGCGCCATGCATTTTCTCGATTGTCTTTATGTTGACACCGAGAAGCTGATCTTGGAGCGACGTGGCCGTCGTGTGAGATTCGCCAACACTTGAATCCACCGGATGGAAGATGACCATTTCTCTATAAAAAAAGGAATCCCTGGTTGGACGCCACGGTTTTAATGAGTCTCCGTTGAGCACCGCGCTCTCATGGATTGCGCTGCCCTTTTGCTTTGTTCTTGTTTTACCACTACCCTGGATCATGTCCCATTATTCACTCGAAACCCCCGTCCTTGGAGGAAATGTACCCCGGATATTAAGTAAAACCCACTCAGGATGGACTCCCAGGCAGAACTACCCAGCCCAGATATTTGAAGGATGGAATTCCCACGGCTGGCAGAAACATATTCGGGTCCTGCTATCTGCAGGGAGGCAGGTCCTTCGTTTTCTGTCCAGTCCAAGTCACATGAGGTTGATGTATGTTTTAAATGAATGGATATTGGTGGTCAGAATTTACCGCCATCATGCGTTATGTCACTCGCAGCATCATGTTTCGTTTTTGTTCTTTTCTGACGATTTCTCGACCGTTCGCTTCGCATTCTCGGTTCGATCGTGTCCTGATCACACCGCATGTTGTCGTTGATTGAGTCGACCAAAATTGCACGGGGCAATCGATTCGTTACAACCCAATGACAGGCTTTGGGCACAACCCAAGGTTGAAGCACTGCTCCGGATATCTTTTTCTTGTATATTTGTGAGATTAAGTTAAGCTCGATGTCTGTTTTATCTAATTGTATTCTTTGGGTGATTCAATTGCTTTTCGTTCTCTACTAATAAATGGATTGTCTCAGGTCTTCAAGCGATGCTTTTTTTTTACTATACAACGACCAACGCATTTGAGCCCGACTTGATTTGAATAAAAAGAATGTCAAAAACAAAATTACTATTGAGGCTAGGGCTCCGTTCGGGAAAGGTAGGAGATCAAAAACACAAAAAATAGTTTCCCTGGGAATCGAACCCAGAACCTTTCCGGAACAGATGCTAGAAGCAATTGTTAACGGAAAATCATAACCGCTAGACCAGGAAACTTGTTGATGTAAGAACTACTCATTACTGACTATATCAGCGGGAATTTCAAATCTTAGAGCCATGAAATATTCGGCCACAAGTAGCCGACATGAATCATGTCACTATATTTTGAAGCATGCTAATTGCAATTTCACATATCTTCTGATTGTTGAATCCTAAATAATTTATAACATTCTTTTATTACCAATAACGATAGGGATCGATAATTAGACTGCAGGAATTTGTCGGGGTTCATGAATATATATATGTTTTTCGCACACTTGCGCCATGAAGGCATAACGATATTAACAAAACCGGATAAACACCGAGAGCCGCTAAATTCAGTAATAATGTACACACAATTCGAATAAGAGACCCTAGAAACTAGCCATCTCAATCCAGCTAGCCACAAAAGCCAGACGACGTCCCCGATCAGCAGCCATACGGCGTGAAAACTCCTCAAAACTGAGTCTTGCACCGCTACCACCACGCTCCTTAGCCTCGCGCTCAATCTGATCTAGATAGGCCCATCGAGCCAGTGTTTTAGGCGAAGGTCGACGAGGGGCAGCGGACTCAGGAGCCTGGTCACTGACCCGGTGCGGGGGTGGGAGTGGTTGCATAGGGGAGGGGGGAAGCTTCGGCGCGGTTGCCTCGGCTTCTGGAGAGGAGTGGGGAGATGTCGGGGCAGGGAGGGAGGTTGTGCCGTGGGGCTCGAGGCGAAGTTGAGCGGGGAGGTCAGGGTTTGTACTTGTGGTTGGAGATGATTCGGAGGCCCAGTCTGATATTTCGGACTGTGGCTGGAAGACATCAGCATGGAAGGAGACACCGGAATGAAGGGTATCTGCGTCCGGGCGATGATGTGGGAGAGTTGGGTCGTAGGATGGTGTTGTGTCCTCGACAGTTAAGCTGGATGGTTCACCATCGGATGTTTGTGAGATGGTTTCATCATCAGATTGAGAGGAGGCGGTGGATGTGTAATCGAATCCAAAGGAGCCTCCTCGCCAGTGATGAGGTTCGTAATCGGGATTATTGAGATGGGTTGGTCGTATATCATCCTCGTCATCATCATCATCATCATCCAAGGCATTGGCATCAAACAAAGGAGGTGCCAAAATTGGCGCCGTGTTGCGAGGCTCAAGGACTGGACTTTGCACCACGTATCCAGCGCGCTGCAACAGATCATCGAGCGGCTGGGCGACGGTAGCTTTTTCAAGTTCTTCTTCAGTAGGCACATCCTCTTTAGGGGAACGTTTCTGAGGTCCCTCCTTTGCTGCCATTTCGATCTCGCGGGCCCAGACCCTGCGATCAGCGCGGGTGCGGTGAACCTCCATCATCAGATCTTCCCGAGGCTTGAACAGAATGTCAAGAAGCTCATTGAACCCTTGCTGCGTCACTTGATACAGAATCTCCTTACCGACATCTCTTTCGACTTCTGGGATCTCGAAGCCACCCCATCGTTCACCAACAGGGATGCTTCGTGACGAAGTCGATGGGTTGGATCGGAGGTCATAGTCGTCAGTCAGATCATCCTGGAATCGTACCTTAGATGAAGACCGGGAACGGGGAGAGGGAGGATGTGAATCAACTTCATCAATGTCGTCTTCATCGCTCGAGTTATCGATAGCTGGATCTCTCTCGTAGCCCTCAGGGGCAACGGCGCCATCCTCCTCGTCCGTGTAGAATGCTCGGCGTCTCCAGCGCTCGTCGATGCCATGCCGACGCGTCTCATCAATCCGCCTTTGATCATCATCGCGCAGCCTACGATAAATGGTAGTGGCAACGCGGGCCCGATCAATCGGATCTGTAATATCCTGAGGAGGTATATAGGATCCAAGGGCCTCGACTATAACTTCCTCACGGATGTGCTCAGCTGGTGGCCAGGTGTCACTAGCCACTGAAGAGCTAGACCGATCCGAACCGCTTTCGCTAGCACGGTCGTTATCATCATTCTCCTCGTCATCATCGCCTTCATCTTCGTCCTCACCTGCATCACCTGGACGATGCGGAGAGTCGGTAGGTGCCAGGCGAAGTGTAGAGGGGAACATTGGCCGCACTCGACCAAACTGCTCTCGGACAGCTGCATCGCCCACGACTGAGTGTCGATCACCATTGTCAGCACCGTCCTGTCGCAAGATACCTTCGTTGTCTATTATTTCCATGTCACCATCCCGGTTCATGCGCTTGCCTTCCCCGATACGTGAACGTTCACCGGAAGGAATGCTGCCAGGGAATGCAGAACTGATGGGCTGGCTACCGAGAACCACGTCGCGGGCACCACCTTCCAAGAAATCATCTTCCATACCCGCAACCATGTCTCTGGTAAGTTCTCTGCTCAGAGCATAGTACGCCCTGAAGACTCTAAGGAAGTCCTTTCGCTCGACGAAACCATCTCCATCGATGTCATAACCACGGAATACACGTCGCAGTCTCTCATCGTTACTCTTGTTATTGAGACTGGCCAACCCCTTGAGGAATTCTTCAAATCCAATAAGATTATCGCCATTGGTGTCGTAAAACGCGAACATTCGGTCGTAAATGAGACTCGGAGGTGGTGGCCTGATAGAGGTATTTGGCACAAAGCATCGGTCAAAGGTTTTGCGGTCGATGGCCATGTACAACTTGTTGGGATCATCTGCCCACTCATAATTTGCCAAACAGCGAAACTGATCCCAGAGTGCATCAAGCTCTGTATTTTCAAAATTGGTGTCTTTCATGAGACGCCTGGCCAGAGGACGAGGGAGGCTCCGCGGGAGCATCGAAGGCTTTCCAGGATACCACACGGGCTGAGATTGGCGAGGGTTCCCAAGGAAAGGAGCTGGGATCCGGACTTTGTAGAACAAATGGGTCTTGATGTGCACTTGCATCGCCTCGCAAGTCTCACAGAGATCGTAATCAATGCAATTTGCACAGCGGTATCTGATTCCCTGGATCGGCATCGCGCCACAGCTGTTGCATGTAACTCCACGATGAATGTACCCGTCTCTCCTCGCCTGATCTTCGGCGATGTGGTAGAGCAGATTTAGCAGGTTCTGGCCCTCACGAGTAGGCGATGCATCGTTGTTTCCCTCCCGCCACGAGAAAACACTCTGGTCATCTGCTACCGTCTCCACCCCGTCAGCATTCTGTGGGGGCGTAGGCACATCGGGGAAGGTAGAAGTGGAAAGGGTAACCCGTTCACCATTCTGTCGGCGCCGACGTAGCTCCTCTCCATAGTTCTGATCTCCATTGAACCGCACTAATGCCCGTTCAATACCGGCCCGGGAGATACCCCGGTGCTGGAGCTGTTCCGTCAAGTATGTTCTTTCGGGACTGTCCTCTACAAGGGTATGTGCGGATGGGAAGTCGAGTGCAAGGAACGACTCCAGGAAGGTGTCCTCCATCATTTCACGCATGCGCTCCGCATGAGCAGACGGGACGCCAACTTCCTCCATAAGCTGGTCGCGTGTTGCGAGTAGCGATGGTAGAAGGCCGCTTTCCACACGCCGGCCATCTTCTGTCTCAATGCGGAAGGTCCCATAAACGCCATTTTGGCGCTCTAGCTGTTCCAGGTGGGCGATGGCTCGGTAAGACGGAGTATCAACGATTTCGAGCTCTTCGGCTTCGGTTCTTCTTGAGCGGCGTACAGCACCTCGGCGTCGGATTGAGGACGGGGGAGCTTGCCCGACGATACTGCTGTGAACATAAAGAATCGCATAGGCGGCAGCAACGCCAGTGAATAGGTAGAGAATGGGGCGATATCGAGCTAGTGAGACCGGCCCCGAGTGCGGTTGGGACATTGCGGAGGTTGGGAGGCGGAAGAGCTGTCAGAAGCTGCACAGAGAATGTCAGGAAAACAAGGTGAGGCTCATCCTGGTCCTAAGCCCATCAAAACAATCTGAATCGCAAAGAGAAACAATCAAAAGCTCTGATGTTAAGTGACCAACCAAGAGTGCATTTGAAACGTTGCCGAAGCGCGGAGCTCAGCTTAGTAAGCTATACTTCCTGGCGACGACAAAGAAAGCAAAAGAAAGAAATTCTTTACACCTGCGTAAGTAGCCATCAGGAATTATACATCTATATACGGTGAAGTCTCAAAGAGTCAATAATTTGAAATACATTCATTCGCAGCATGTTTTTTACCTAGTAGGTTACTGAATTGATCTACTATGTATGCTCAATATAAACAGTCTAAACCCCAGCTCGAAGGCTAGATATGTACTTGTCAACGTCCGTTCACACCATACAACATTTGGGGAAAATTGATATTCCCTTTTTTAGCTCAGCGGCTAAGCTTGCTTTCGCGGATAAAGAAGCCGCTCAGCAGAGCAAAGAATACCACACCAACCATAAAGGCGAATCCCTTGTTAGTGGACCAGCCATAGGCATCCCGCACAATCCGAGCGGTCTGTGGATCTAGTGTCTTGATAAAATTAAGACTTTCTCGCACGCCTTCAACGATCTGATCTATGTTCTTGCTGTCCTTTAGTCCAGACCTCAGTCGGTCGCGGAGGAGCTGTTGAACAACAGTCGATGATAATGAGAGTCCAATTACGGACCCCAATGAGCGGAACAAATAAGAGCAAGCAGTTACTACTGCTTGGTCTTCGTAAGTAGCGTTGGAGACTGAGTCATTGCTTAGTATATATCCAGGGGTTGCAGGGGTAGATGAAAACTTACTCAAACCTATCAAAGTGGTGGTGACGCCAATGCCATTTCCAAATGCGGCAATCATCATACCCACGATCATGGGGACAGTGCTGGCTACAACACCCCCGGAGAACAGATAGATGCAGAAGCAACCGGTTGTCAGGAAGGCATACGCAACAACCGTCAACCAGTAATACTTGCCATACCACTTCATTAGCATGCCCGCAAATACTGAACCGGACACACCACAGAAAATACTTGGCAGTAGACGCAAACCAGCGACGGTGGCAGATACGCCATCAACAGCCTGGAAGTATAGCGGGATGTAGAACAGCGCAGCTAGCCAACCCCCAAAGCTGAAGAAGTTGCAACAATAGCACGCAAAGAAAGTGCGGTTGAAGATAATATGACCCGGCGCAAAGGGTTCGGCTGCCAAGTAGATCTCAACCAGGATGAAGATGACAAACAAGAAAGCGGAGACACTCAGCGAGATGATAGTCAAGGGTAACTTCCATGATACGTTACTACCACGGTCAAGGCCAACCAAGAAGCCAAGAACAGCTCCTACAAGAACAATAGCGCCGAGGAAATCAATTCGATGCAGCTTTGTTTTCCAGTGAGTGCTCTCACGCTCCGGGAGCTTTAGCATAAACGAGACGGCAACGAATGCGACAATGCAAAGGGGAAATTGCGCTAGGAAAGCCCTAAACGAAGTGTTAGCACACCATTTTGGGTGGGGCATGCATCATTCATACCAACGCCAGCCAATGTAATCGGCCAAGATTCCCCCCAACGGCGCACCGGTACCGGATCCCGTGGCATAAATGATGTTGATAACGCCTTGCCACACACCTCGGTCACGAAGGGGCACAATATCGCTCATCAGGATGCTAACAACAGTGGTCATACCACCCCCGCCAATGCCTTGGAAGACCTAGTAGAAAGCAATCAGTAAAGCACTATTTAGAGGTTATTTTGGGAACTCACGCGAGCAGCAATCAATTCATTGATATTCCGTGCCAGGCCACAGAATAGACAGCCAATACCGAAAATGGCATATGCAAACAGCAGGCATGGCTTACGACCAAAGATATCGCTCAGCTTTCCATATAGCGGTTGGAACGAGGTCAGGGTCAGAAAATACGAGGTTGCAATCCAGCTGGTCAGATTGAGAGATTTCAGATCACTACCAATCTGACCATAACTGGCCATGATAATTGTCTGATCTGCCGCCGACAAGAAGATCTATAGAGCGAATGAGTCACAAGGAAGAATCACATAGTGGTTACCAAAGACTTACTCCGAGCGAGATCGCAGGTACAATATACTTGAGCTGCTTCTGAGCATCAGAGAAGGGCTCCTTCAGCTGGTCCTCACCTTGGACCGGGACTCCTGATTCCACATTGTTATCGGGAATCGTGCCGTTGGAAACAGTGCCGGTGCTTGACCCCAGCAAAGGGGAAGTCTCGCTTGGCGAACTCTCTGGAGCCATTGTCGAGATCGATGCCTATCTTCGACTTGCTCCAGATGGCCTCAAAGGACAAAGTGACTCAACTGAAAGCCCCAAGAAAGAGAAAAAGCGGAGTCGCAAAAACATACAAGGCCTCTTCCTAGCCTCACGTGCAGATAAGCCCTCCCCTCACTGACAAATCCGACTTAGCCGTCTCGGCCAATGGCCGATCTCCACTCGCATCTATGCCGCTCAGGCCTATCTCATTCCCGACTACATCGGCAAACTATGGACTAGTCTGGTTTAATATCTATGATTATGCAGATAGCATCGATAGCATCTAGGCATTGAACGGTCGTAAATTCGGTTACAAAAAGGTATTCCAAAATGCAAGTCTCTTCAACTCCTGTTTTGCGTCAATCTATGCCGAGGGCATAGGAACTGGACCACCGGGTGAGTCGGGTAGGCGTGCGGTCAGAACCTCGACACCATCCTCAGTGACGAGCATAGTGTGCTCAAACTGAGCAGAAAGGGAACCGTCCTGAGTGGTGCTGGTCCAGTCATCGGGCCAGGTGCAATCACGGTGAGTACCGATGTTGATCATAGGCTCAATAGTGAAACACATGCCGGGCTTTGCGGTGCCAACAGCCTTATTCTTAGCGTAGTGAGGAATGTTGGGGGCGCAGTGGAAAAGCTGGTTGATACCGTGACCACAGTAGGTCTTGACAACACTGCAGTTGCGGCTCTTAGCGTGCTTCTCGATCGTGTTTCCGGGATCACGGAAAAGCATGCCGGGCTTGACCAAGTCAATGGACTTGTCCAGACATTCGCGCGCGGTTTCCACCACACGGACAGCGTCGGAGTTGGCGAGCGACTTGTCTCCAACATAGTAGGTTTCGTTGATATCTCCGTGGAAGCCCTTATGGTACAGAGTAACATCAATGTTGACAATGTCACCATCCTCCAGCGGTCTTTGATCGGGGATACCGTGACAGATAGTCTCGTTAACCGAGGTGCAGACGGACTTCGGGAAATGCATATAGTTCAACGGCGAGGGATAAGACTATGATTTTATCAGCAGGCGAACACGAAGAAAAAAAAAAAAAAAGCGTCGTACTTCACGCTCTATGCAAGCCTTGTGGACAATCTCATCAATCTGGTCCGTCGTGACACCAGGCTTCAATGCGCGAGCAGCCTCATCCAAAACCTCACGAGCCAGTCGACAGACCTTGCGCATACCATCCTGCTCTTCCTTGTTTAGAATAGTGATGGTATGGCGGCCAATGATCTTCTGCTCAGAACGAGGGATACCATCGCGGGCGTAGTCCGGGTGCGGGATCGACTTGGGGATGGTTCGCTTGGCGGAGAGAGGGTAGACAGGTCGCAGGGCACCCTTGTATGGGAAGGACGGGTACGGGTTATAGTTGCCGGTGGCTGGATCTGGTTCAGAAACTACTTTCGGAGGGAAAAAGTTGGTGAGGATATTACTCTTCTTGTGGGTGGTCTTGTGTTCAGCCTGGAATTTATTAGCCGGTGGTTTCTCTTGCAGAGAACAACATTGCATGCAGCCTCCATTTTGCGCAGAGAAAGTGCTTACCCAGCTTCGCTTAAAACAGTCCTGTGAACAGAAGAAGCTGTCGGTGCCGCTCTTCAGACATGTCGGACACTGCAGGGTGCCTGCCGGGTTAGGGCAGTCTGTACCCTGACATTTGCGGGATTCAGCCATTGTGACAAACCAGACCCTAAAGGAGAAAAGAATATATATAAAGCTCTGAGGGTATCAGAGAGTGGATCAGAAAGAAGCCCAAAAACCTCAAGAAAATCCCCGCGGGCCTTGAGGCCTCGGACGCTAATCCTGTCAAAGCCTAGCGCAGGTATATACTTACACCTGAGGCATTAAGGTGTCAACCGATAAACCGATAAGAAATTGACGTCTTCGGCCGATTTCGCAGCACGTGATGAGAATTTATCCCTTCCCACCGGGGCACTTTTGTCGCATCCTTCTAGCCATCTTGGTCAATTGCATATAATGGCTGTCCCGAAGCAGAAAGTGGTTGTTGTGGGTGCTGGTCCGGTGGGAGCGTTGGCGGCGCTATACGCTGCATCCAGAGGAGATGAGGTCGAAGTATACGAACTTCGTGGCGGTATGTTCCCAAGACTCTCCGTGTTACATTCCTGTTCCTCCGGAGTTTTATGCGAGGTCAATAGTGCACAGTCAAAGAATGTTCTTGCTAGCTCTGGCCGGCAATGAATCATCCTACTTATGGCGGTGTCTCGCAAGGTCCCTGGATTCATGGGCAAGAAATTCCTTTTGTTCAGCCTCCATTGCACTGGACTGTCGTGCCCAAGAGCCCTTGCACATCGCATGACTCAGTTGTGATATATTGCGAAATTGCCCGATCTGACTTGGCCATCCGTAGATCTCCGGGACCCTACGACCGTGCCATTGAACTTCACCAAGTCAATCAATCTAGCCCTGTCTGAACGTGGTCTTAATTCTATGCTGCACTCGGACCGGCCCGATTTGATCGACAATGTACTCCGCGACGCGATCCCCATGCATGGGCGGATGATTCACGGCCGAGACAGCGGGGAACTGTGGGAGGCTGCACAAGCCTATGACGTCCACGGCCGGGTACGCAATCACCTGCATGGCAGTAGCTTGTCTGCATGTCGAGCCTAGCTAACTCTCATAAGGCTATTAACTCAATCGACCGATCAACGCTCAACAATGCACTCCTCGACGAGTTGGAAAAGGCCCCTAATGTCAAGTTGTTCTTTAACTACAAGTTGACTGGTGCGGACTTCCGCACCAACAAGGCCTGGTTTGAGCGCCGAATCCCTGGTGAGACACCTATGCCCGATGATGCGGGCATCGCTGGCCGTGTACCAGAGTATGAAGTGTCCTTCGACTACCTCATCGGCGCCGACGGAGCACACTCGGCCGCACGCTTCCATCTCATGAAGTTTGCCCGTGTTGACTACCAGCAAGAATATATCGACACCTTATGGTGTGAATTCCGAATCCCTCCTTCAGAAGATGGAGACTTCCGCATCTCACCGAATCACCTTCACATCTGGCCTGGGCGCGAGTTCATGTTTATTGCGCTCCCATCGCCAGACAAATCATTCACCTGCACCCTATTCGCACCATCCTCACACTACACATTCCTGGAAACCCAACCACAGGAACTGCATGAATTCTTCGACTCTCATTTCCCAGGCGTATCACCAGAACTAATCAGCCCAGAAGCTCTAACCGAACAATTTGCAACAAACCCCCATCTCCCTCTGATTAGTATAAAATGCAATCCGCACCACTTCGCCGCCAGCGTCACCATCCTCGGGGACGCAGCACACGCAGTCTTGCCATTTTACGGCCAAGGATTAAACGCAGGCCTGGAGGACGTCCGCGTTCTTTTCGAGCAACTCGATAAACACGGCGTCTACGACCCTAACTCAAGCGTCTACACACGAGGCCTCAAACGCCAGGCCGCGTTCCAGGCATACACAGACCAGCGCTGTGCTGATACACACGCCATCAATGATCTCTCGAGGGAGAATTACCTCGAGATGCGCGCTGGCGTCAAATCACCCCTGTACAAGCTGCGCAAGGCCATCGAAGAGACGATAGACCGTCGGTTCCCATTCTTTGGTTGGAAGACACAGTATGCCCGCGTTAGCTTTAGCAACCAGCGCTACTCGGAAGTCGTCCAGGCTGTTCAGCACCAGAGTGACGTGCTTGGTCTCGGTTTGACCGGAGCTCTCATCGCTAGTGCTGGTGCTTTGTCGATTTTGATGTGGAAGTATCCCAGGTATTTCTCGCCTGTGCGGTTGTTCCAATATTCGTGTCGTTTGGCATGTATTGGATTGAGAGCTTTCCGCAGGTTCACTCATATCTGAAGAAAACATGACGCGTTGTGGTGCGTTGGAATGTAGGGAATGCGATGATATGCATGTCTCTTGATGTTCATTATTGACTTGATATCCGCTTTGTATCTATTTTGCATCTGTACAGTTTCTCTCTTCTATCTGCCTAGAGGACCTAAAATTTCATCCAAGCATCCAAGCAATGTAATAGTGAATAGACTTGAAATTCCCAACGTTTTACAAACAGGCTACAGTTTGCAATAAGAATAAGCATCTCGGACAAGAAGTATCCAAACATTTAATCGATGCCTGGATGCCTTAATTAGGGTGGTATAAACTAACTAGCGCAAATTCTCTAATCCCAGTACTTGATAATACCATCCAACCCTCCAGTGACCACCTTGCTAGTTTCCTGGGGATGCCAGTCCAGACAAGTAACAGCACCGCCATCCTTACCACCAGCCTGGATCTTATGATACAACTTGCCAGTCTTCCAATCCCAGAAGCAAACATAGCCACCGCTGTCACCAGAAACAATAAACTGTCCATCAGGCGAGATCTTAAGATCAATGGCATAACCAGCATTGTTATGGCCACGGAAGCTCTTCTTCCGGTTTTGACGGAACTTGTCTGTGGCGCCATAGACGACGATTTGGTTGTCGCCTGACTGGAATGCGACATACTTGCCGTTGGGATGAGCTGCCGCGCGGGTAAGTGCGAACATATATGGCTCGGCGATGAATTTGATTGGAACGGGGATACCGTATTCCCATGCACGCAATGACTTGTCGTCTGAGGTGGAGATGAATCGTCGGTTGTCGTCGACGAAGGTGATGGTGTTGATGGCTGCCAGGTGGTGATCGTATTCTTGGACCAGCTCACCGGACCGTGTGTCGAATTGGACGATCTTCTTGTCGGACATACCGGCCAAGAACTCATGTGAGTGCTCTGCGCCGGGGTTGAAACGGACGACGTGTGGCGTCTTGCCGGTCGAGAATCGTCCGATGCACTTTCCGTATTCCGTGTCCCAGAGCTTGATTTGTTTGTCGTATGAGCCGGTAAGGAAAGTCTTGCCTGTTGGATGGAAGTCTGTGTCTGAGATTGCCTTGTTGTGCCCGGAGAATGTCCGTAGGAGCTCCCGGGAGTGATACACATCCCAGATCTTGGCCTTTCCATCGGCAGCCGAGGAAAGGAGCAAGTGACCAGAGTTCGGCATGAAACGAAGAGAGGTAATGGGCTTGGTGTGCGATTTCCAGGTTTGCACAAGCTTTTTCGGCACGTAGTTCTTGACGCTGCCGGGTTCTTTGCGCAGATCGATATCCAGATCTTGGGGAACATGCATATACGTACGGCCCTGGTAGTCGAACTCCTCCGAACCATGGAACTCTGTAGTCTCCTGCTTGGACAGATCACCCTCGTACTCTGTGGCTTCCTTGCTCATGGCCGGCATGGGCGCCGCAGTAGCCAAGGTCTCGTCTTCCTCGACGTATTCCTCATCGCTAGCAAGTTCGCGGTCATCCTCCGCGTCAACCTCGACCAAATCATATTGCTGATCATTCGTGTATTTTGCCCAGGGTCCCAAGTATGCGCCCTCTCCTTCCACAACGCTAGAGTCACCCTTCTTTTGACGCTTTGTCCTCCAGGCTGCGGATTGATCTTTGGTCGGCTTCATCTGCACGACATCCCGGCCTCCAAATTGAGCCGCATTTTCCAGATTTCCGATAAATTGATCTGGTCGGGTGGGATTGCGTGTGTAGCCTAGACTTTGGAACGTGCGATGTTGCGCTGCGAAGGTCGACTCGCTGATAGCTGCCTCCTCCGCGAATCCAGTCGGGACATTCTTTCGCTTGATCCCGTTTCCTGGGCCTGAGCCTTTGAAGGGGTTTACAGGGCCCTGGGAGGGACGTGTGAGATCATCGTATGTGGCGTTGAAAGTGAGGGCCTGCGAAGAGGTGTTGGCGAGGGTCATCTGCATATGCGCTTGATCCTGTAGAGTCGTTAATCTTATCTATTCGTAACAATCAAGGCACAAGGACCAATTTGACGACAAGAGCAGAGGGAGTAGTGGGGACCAAACCTCTGTATTCACGTCTGGTGCAGCAACGACTTTGGTTGCGGCTGTCGCAGCGACGCTCCTGTCATCGTCGCTGGAGTCATAACCGGCGCCCAATAAGCCCGACATGATGGGATTGGAGAATATGTAAGATACAAACTCCAACTTCCTGTAAGAGAGTCGAGGCGGAGTCCGGTGGAGTTGGTTGAAGGATGGGAATTTTACGGGCGTCGGGAGAGCCGCGAGGTGAAGGCCGCGGAACCGTCAAGCTCTATCAACCTTATCCCGATTTTGCGGTCAACCGGTCTATAGCTCCTGAGACAGCCCACAAGCTTACTGCAAATTATGTACTTGCGACACATATGATTCTAGTCTCGGCAATAATAAGTCGAGAACTTTGGGTATCGTACGCTCTTCATTGCCAACCGCGTAGGAGGTATATACAATTCACAGGCCGAAAAAAACGGGCTAGATCAATACAGAACAAGATCAAAAGTCAAACACAAATAGCAGGGAGGTCGTATGCACCACCGCGAGTCAATTCCAGTCTGAATCAACCCAGCACACCTCTCCAGCCCAAGATATTTCAAGCGAAATATCTATTACATTCTCACCACTGCACCGCATCGCATTCTATCTCAAGACTGAAAGAAATCGTTGCTCATCCCTAGTCATCACAGCTCGAACGACAAGAAAATGGCCGTGATATACCAAGTTATATATGGTGCTGTTGCCGTGGGCCAGTGGTCATGTTCGAATGTGAACCAAGCCGAAGAGAATATTCCGAGGGCCCCCATTTAGATTTCCATGACTGCAGTCCATCGACAGGTGAACCCTTCTAACTAGGACGACCATGGCGCATCGCATGTTCGGTCTTTTCACAAGTCAGTTACCCTCATCGCGAATCAGGGCCACGATCATGCTGTAGAGGTAGAAGAAGAACATCAGGAGGTGGAAGCCAAGCTTGATGAACGATTCCTAAAGAAAAGAATTCGAGTCAGCCATTGCACGAGGCAGATTGCCAGCCGAGAATACTAACCTTCTTGTGCACATTCAGCTTGCGGAAAATCTCGGTCGCATCCAAGAGGTGCTGGTTATCGTAGATCCTATAAATCGAAAGAGGATCGAATTAGTCTCGGACTCGGGGTGGGAGAGGGGTTTGAGATCCGGGAAGCTTTCAACGTACTTCTTCGCGTTGAACGCTACGAGGGGCAAGTTCAGCACGATGGCGAGCCAGTACCCATTGATGATGAAGAGGAAGGTCAGGAAAGCGTGGACGGCGGCTTCGGGGATGATGTAGGCGTTGAGACGGTTGCAAAGGTCGATGGGGTTGATGTAGTCGCTGGAAAAAGGGGAGGCGTCAGCTTCGATTTCGCATTTGGCGTGGTTCCAAGACAGAATCCACGAAATAAGAAGCTAGAGGAACTCACCATTCGAGGTCACTGTACATAATCGTGAAGAACACCTGGAGGAAGAGGTTGACGGCGTTGATCAACACCGACAACAGGTAGAGCCACGCTTCGCCGGACATGTTGGGCGGGAGGTTGACTTTCTATCGGATAGAGTTGAGAGAAGATCAATTGCTAGATAACCAGAAGATATGAGTCAAGTGCCGACGGGAGTGGTTGGGTGTGAGGTGCGGTTCGCAGAGGCACCGGAATTGGAGATGTTTGTGGGGTGCCCGAAGAAGGCAGCGGAATCGCACAGAGTCCTCGGAGATTAGCGCTCACTCACAAATAATATCCCACTGAATCTTCAAGACAGTGGAAAATGGTGACAGAGCCCGACAGTATGAGGAGGAGAAGGTGGATCGAAGCTGAGGGAAGTTGAGATTAGCGAACTGCGCTCGAGCCTGAACGGGCGGTGGGAAGTGGCTCATTAGCGTCACCCGCAAACGGGGCTGGTAACGTACTTGATAAGAAGGAAGTTGACACGAGGAGACCGTAGAGGTAAAATAAATTACCGACAGTGATGAGAAACCTTGAGGAATGAAGTCGAGAGACACTGACAAGCTTTGTGAGCGGGAGGATGACGTCGAACACGTGCATGTTACATCTACACGTTACCAACTACACCTTTGGAGAGAGAATATGATAAAAAAACGTTCAGTGTCTATGTACAAACTGACACCAAGTGACGCCAGATACAGATCGTAACATACAGAGCTTCGTGTATCTCTGAAGGCTTGGTCTCCAATGATCTAGATAGAACACGATGCAGACAGAACATTGATACACTAACGCCAAAACAAAAACGCAGGACAATAGGGAGCATTCCTGCAAATTTCGAGTTGGGATGAGTCAGGCAGACTATTACCGCTTCTCGATGAGCAGGAAATGCATCGCACTGTACGCAATGATGATAAACGCGCCAGATATCACAGCGAGTCCAATGACATCGCTCCAGTAAGCCTGCGTATCAAATCCAAAGGCACTCAAAATTGATGCCCCAGGAACTTCAATATCCAATCCGTACTTGTGATCAATCAGAGTCAGGAATGTTACTTCATTGACAATCAAGGCCTCAAAGCCATAATGGAAAATGGAGAGCTGGCAGGATCATTAGTAATATGAAATAAATGTACAAAGGGTGTTGTGAAAGACTTACAGTTTGCAGCCACAATGCTGACGCGGGAATTGCATCATGATTCAGCAAAAGACCGGCGAACAGTAAGCTGAAAAGCATGACCAGACTGCCGATGAGGTTGGCAACTCCGCCATCCCGGAAAATGATGCCAATGAAGAGACAAATGTTGGCGGCGGCAAGATTGAAAAGGACCAAGACCAACAAGAAATGGAAAAACTCGGGCCATGCCGGAATCAAACCTGTCATGGGGTAGACGATGATGCCCATGATAATGGGGGGGATCAATCTCAGAGGAACAATATCAAATACAACCTTGGCTGCAAAGTAGGTGATCGGGTGGTAGTAACCGTTGGCCCGCTCACGCACAAACAGAAGCCGCTCCGAGGAAAACACGTTGAGACTGGTCAAAGTGCTGAAACCGAACAAGGCTAAGATGAAGAAGAAGAGACCGAGGCGATTCTGGAAGCCCTTGATGTCATCGGTGAGGCCATAGAAGAGGTAGCCAGATAAGACCGCAAGTAAGATTGCAATCGCATAGTGAGTAAGCATCAACATCGGGTTTCGGTATAGATTACGCCATGTGCGCTGGGACAAAATCATGAACTGCCGGATCAATCCAACTCGGGCATAACCCTTAGATTCTGACAACAGGGGTGAGGTAGTTGAGCCGTTGGCAGCCTGGACGTTCTGGACAGCAGATAAGATTTCATCACGAACATAATGGCAGACGTCAGAGACTGCGTAGCTGGCGACTAATACGTCAAGGTCACTCTGGCCGGGGGCTGGAGGAGGCAGCTGATCTGGATCATCAAGAATTTGAGGTGGAACGTTGCCCTGTTGACGGGAAAGGCGATGCCATTGTTGATTATTCTCAGCCACGTCTAATGTTGCGCTCTCGTCATCCGTCTTTGGCGTCATTGGGCGTTCGTTGTTCTGCTTTCGAGAGTAGAGTTGGCGATCTTGCTGTTGTTTCAGAGATACCCTTCGATTGGTCTTGGGTCTCCGGCTGGTCGAGTCACTCGTATCATCCATGCTCACATTCGAGGCACTAGCAACAGATTTGACGGCCCTCAGGCTGCTAGATGCAGTCTTTGGAGGACCAGAACGTCCACTCACAGATGCTACTTCATCCGTGTATGAGTGTCCAGCACTAGCATGCATTGTCAGGTCAACTAGGTAATCCGCAATGTTGAATCCTGGTGGACATGAATAGCCCACTTGGTCGAAATATTGCTGACAGTCCGAGAAGGGCCCGGAATACACGGTTCGTCCCTCGGCAAGAAGAATCAGTCGATCAAAAAGAGCAACGATGTTTGAGCGCGGCTGATGGATCGTGAAGATAACAGTCCGATTGTAGGTCTTCGCCAGGGTCACCAAGCATTCGACCACGTTGAAAGCGTTGTACGCATCGAGTCCACTAGTGGGTTCATCCAAAAAGAGAATACTAGGACTGGTAACCAGTTCGCAGGCGATGCCAACGCGGCGCTTCTCTCCGCCAGAGATACCACGACCTTTGCCTTCTTCCGAGCCAATCAGTTGATCTTTGATATGGTAGATACCTAGCTGCTTTTCAACTTCCAAGACTCTTTGCTCTTTGGCTGGCCGGCTCATGTCCCGTGGAAGTCTGAGCAAGGCACTGGTCAAGATGGTTTCATGGACCGTCAAAGTGGGAAGCATTGTGTCTTCTTGGTCGACAAAGCCCACCATAGTCTTAAAGTCGGCATCATCAAGTATCTCCCCGTTGACATAGAAGTTTCCTTGCACCGTTCCCCGTTTATTCTTCCGGGCCAGGATATCGAGAAATGAGGTTTTACCCGCACCGGATGCTCCCATGATAGCAGTGATCTGACCTGGTGTGGAGGCACCTTGAATACCCGACAGAATCTCCTTTCCGTTGAGGGTGTAGGACACATCGTCCCAATACAAAGCTGCCGGTCGGTAATCCGCCAGAAGCTTGGCAGTTTCGTCATCAGAATCATCAGAAAGAGATAGACGAAGGTAGCCACGACGTGCGGCGCGGCGGGACAGATACCACACCAGTAGAATGACAGCAACGACAAACAAGGAGCATCCCGCTATCACACTAGCAATGAGTGGGGTATTGATTTTCTTCACGGGACGTGTGTAACCAGGTTCATCAGTCTTATACATGCACTCTCCTGAGTCGCAAGAGAGGAAGATGCTAGGATCACCAAAGACCCCGGAAATCAAACCGTTCATCTGTGGCTCTGAGAAGATGCTCCTCGTACCTTCGGGTGTTGATTTGGTGTCAAAGGTAGCTGGACCTTTAATCAACTGATCTAAGAAGTCTCCAAGGTTGATCGATCCATTCTCTCCGCAGAGGAAACGTCCCGGAATACACGAACATTGGAGATGTTCGCACTCATAGTGAGTGTTGTTGGAGTTATAGTCCGATTCCATGCTCCATTTGCAAGTATCCAACCCACAGTAGAACGATTCCTTCTGATCAACCCAGAACTGGAAGCTACAAGTCTTATCTTCCTCTTTGCAGCCGAATGTCACTTGTGGTTTGCGACCATCGAGTTGCTTCAAGATCATATGATTGGTCACATCACACATCTGGAAGTTCTCCTTGACCGTGACACCTTGTTTGTAACACACACCTCCTTCACCCTCCGGCATCATAGCATTGCAGGCATCATCGGAGTCGCATACATTGCAGTTGATGCCCTTCCAACCAGGCTTACACTGGCAGGTATCGGTGGTACGTTGTGGTCGTTTGTTGTCGTCGGCCAGCGACCCACATAGAGGAATCGAGCAGTCATCGCCTCCAAATCCCGGAGGACAAGAGCATTTTCCGTTGAAGTTGTTGCACTCTGCAAAGTGTGTACAGTTATCGTTGTTGAGCTGGCAGTTGAAGCAAGCTGGACACTCGGGGCATCCGGGTGGTGTATCGCCGAGAGAGTCATATCGAGGGAGCAGGCTAAAGTCGGACACTCCGCTCCATTCTGCGGCAGATGCCAACAAGGGAGTCAAAGCGAGCAGGGTAAAGGGCAGTACGCGAGTCAAGCGCATCTTGAGGAAAGGATGGCGACAGCCCTGATGCGCGATACCAGCAACCAGAGAAGGAATGCGGAAGCTGATCACCAAGTAAATCAAAACAAGTTAATAAATACGAACATCCATGGAGTAGAGGTGAGGTGAGGCAAGCAAGTCCAAGTATGAAGGTCGGAGGCGGAGTGGAGAGGTGAGATTGGCCCCAACGATGACGCGGGCGGAGAGAGGCTGGGCTGCATGGATGTCAGGAACCCGCGACATGGGTGACTGACACTCTTATGCACAATTACCCCTGTCTTGATTGAAGGGATTTCTGCTTATTCTGCTTATTTACTGAATTTACTGAATTCTCATTACGCTTCGTATGTCTTGCATTATTCTCCGTAGTCATAACATGGCCCCAATGCGGGGGAACACGTGATGCTCAGAGAAGTTGCCGTCCGATTTGGCCTGTCAACTCCATCTTGGACAGGCCGGACAGAAACCCTTGAATACGTCTGGGCAGGTTTGATCCTGGAAACAATTTGATCAAATCCCCTGAGCTCCAGTGTGGTCATAACCAGACGCCGCCATGGTGAAAATCGAGGCCTTCGCAGTTGAACAGGTACCTCCCCGCATTACTCGATTATTCGGTGGCACTCCTCTGTTCTTTAACTGTGACGCGAGAGAAGTGACAGTTGCTGATTGAATAACAGTGGATGGACAAGTATGAGACAATTGCCAAATATAACACCGCTGAAACCTGTTGCGCATCCATCTCCATCGATGATCTTCGAGCGCTATCCGAGGATAAGGAGTCCAACCCTTTGACCGAGCTTCAGTCTACCAAGCTCACGTATGGGGCAATTCGTGGGTCTGACAAGCTGCGTACAACTCTTGCCAATCTATATTCGGCGAAGACACCCGCCCAGCTGCCCAAGGACAACGTGTTGATAACCGCTGGGGCAATTCAAGCGAACTTCTTGCTGCTGTACACGTTGGTTGGCCCAGGTGACCATGTCATCTGCCATTACCCCACATATCAACAACTCTACTCTGTGCCTGCATCATTGGGAGCAGAGGTCAGCCTGTGGAAGTCCAAAGAGGCTGACGGGTGGCAATTGGATCTCGGAGAGCTGAAAAGCCTCATTCGTCCCAACACCAAGCTGATCATTATTAAGTATGAGAATCTCTGGCTCAGTTCATTGTATTTCACTGGCTAATAGTTTCTACTTGATAGCAACCCGCAAAACCCAACTGGAGCCATTGTTCCACATGAAACTCTCAAGCAATTGGTAGAAATCGCACGTGAGAAATCTATCATACTTCATGCCGACGAAGTTTACCGTCCAATTTTCCACGGCATCAGTCCCATGGACTCGAAGTTCCCGTCATCTCTTATCTCGCTCGGGTATGAACGAACCGTGGTGACAGGATCAGTTTCCAAAGCCTACAGTTTGGCAGGATTGCGGGTTGGCTGGATTGCTTCACGCGATAAATCAATCATTGAATCCTGCGCTAATACACGGGACTATACCACTATCTCTGTCGGTCAGATTGACGATGCGATCGCCAGTTTCGCACTATCCCCCGATTGTATTCACAATCTTTTGAAGCGAAATATTGAATTGGCCCGGACCAATCTTGCAATCTTGGAAAAGTTCATTGAAGACCATCGATGGGCCTGTGATTGGGTCAAGCCACAGGCAGGAACCACTGCATTTGTGCGTTTTAACAAAATGGGAAAGCCGGTAGATGATGTTGCTTTCTGCGAGATGGTACTAGAAAGAACCGGTGTGATGCTTGTGCCCGGAAGTCTTTGTTTTGGAGGGGGAGAAGATTTCAAGGGCTATGTTCGGATTGGGTTTGTTCCCGAAACGGAAGTATTGGAAAAAGGCCTGGAGGCATTGCGAGTATTCATGGAAGATGGGTATGAAGATGTTCCTGTGGTCAAAAAGTTAGCCCTGAGGTGATACCCAACACAGTATTGCGCTGTGTAAAGAGACCTAGATGAATGTGGCTACTGTGATGGATATACCCCATTTGTAGATCTAAAATTTCCCACAACTCCGAAAAAAAGTTGGCAACACAAATAGTATATTTCTAAGGAACCAGGTCGAATATAACGCTAGGGCAAGCAAAGTCAAGAGACGCCCCCAAGTGATAACGTTAGAACATAGGCGGTGACGTATGATCAACAGAGCAAAGGATCCACTCCATAGGCTTAATTTATGCACCAGTTCCCTTTGCAGGATTTACTCTAGTAGGCACGATATAAGATAACAATCGAGGACGCATAGGGTAAACTGGCTGACTTGGACCAGTCGAGACCTTGTGTCTTTGTTGAATGATGTATACCCAGGGGGGTAAACATACGTATACTCCACTTGTAAATTGGACATGAGGTACAATGGAGCAAAGCGAGGGAAAGGACACGATAGACAGGGAAAAATGTGGCACATACTGAGGGTACCTCGCAAGCGTACAGAAGACTCCGAGCTATTGAAATAGTGTAATGGCTGGTCAACGTGGAATGCATTGAATTCATAGAACGTGCATTAACTTAATTAGCCTGAGAACATTGAACATTGAAATGTGCACGAGTTATGTCATCGAACCGAGGCAACTTCCCCAATCTCACCACTCTCCCAACTTCTTGGCTTTATAACCTCGCTCTCCTCCCTACATTTGGAGACTCTCTAGTGTTCTGTCGGTTTTTTTTTGGTCTTCAGAAGAGGCCAGCCCAAAAATAACCACACCACATTCTTTCCCTTAGCCACGCGCACGACACTCAAACTGAAACCCGCGACTCTGTCTACGTATTCCTATCACACTACTCACTCAATACAGTTCTTCTCTGGGTCTCATTATAGATCGCATTCACAATGTTTCCTTCCCTCCCAGGTAAGTAAGAGGATTCCTGGTAAATTAACACTTCGCTAACAAGCCATTTCTTCGCGCAGATATTCCCTTGGGTCTTGCGCTACCAGCCGCGGCGACAACGCTGGCATACTTGAATGCAAAATGGTCACTTTCCTACGATGTCAATATGATCAGATCGCTTTTCAAGATGAGCATGAAATTACGATTTGCTGAACGTGGCGACCGTCTGAATCTCTTCTACACATTGGAAGCCTTTGCACTTGCCCCCACAACCGCCAACCACCCTTTCATTGTTTATAATGGCAAAACATGGACATTTCATGAAACGTATCTTATGACACTACGCTATGGATCCTGGTTTAAGAAGAACCATGGTGTCAAACGCAAAGAAATCGTCGCTATCGACTTCATGAACTCGTCCACGTTCCTCTTCATGGTGCTTGGACTTTGGAGTATTGGAGCAGTTCCGGCGCTGATCAACTATAACCTGGCTGGCAAGCCACTCACTCACTCGATCCGGGCATCCACCGCGAAGCTCCTGATTGTCGATCCGGATGTTAGCCACTGCTTCCCGGATGAGCAGCAAAAGGTTTTGACTTCACCGGGCTTCCGGGATGGCAAGAGCTCAGTCAAAATTGTATTCCATACCCCTGAGCTGGAAGCCGAGATTATGGGATTGGAGCCTGTCCGGGAAGATGACGAGGCCCGCAATGGGTTGACACCCCGCGATATGGCCATGTTGATCTACACCAGTGGCACTACTGGACTTCCAAAACCTGCCATTGTTAGCTGGAAGAAGTGCTGGTCTGGAAGTGGGTTCATTTCAGATTGGATGGGCGTCACTCCTTCTGACAAGTTCTTCACATGCATGCCTCTCTACCATAGTTCTGCTTCGGTGCTCGGCTTTATAACTTGCTTGATGAGTGGATCAACTCTGGTCCTTGGCCGTCGATTCTCAGCGCGGAACTTTTTGAAAGAGGCTCGTGAGAATGATGCCACAATAATTCAATATGTGGGCGAAACACTACGCTACCTCTTGGGCGTAGCCCCTGAGATAGATCCAGTAACTGGCGAGGACCTTGACAAGAAACACAAGATCCGTTTAGCATTTGGAAATGGTCTGCGGCCTGACATCTGGAACCGGTTTAAAGAGCGCTTCAATATTCCAACCATCGCTGAGTTCTATGCAGCCACGGAAGGCACTGCGGGTGCATGGAACATCTCGTCCAACAATTTCTCTGCAGGTGCCATCGGTCGAAACGGTGCCATCGGAGACATTGTTTTTGGCCGTTCAACCGCGATTGTGGATGTTGACCATGAAACTCAGGAGCCTTGGCGTGATCCGAAGACTGGTCTTTGCAAGAAGGTCCCACGAGGTGACCCGGGCGAGCTGCTATTCGCTATCGATGCAAAAGATCCCACTGCGGCTTTCCAGGGCTACTTTGGAAATAAGAAAGCGACAGAAGGCAAGATCATCCGCGATGTAATCAAGAAGGGCGACGCCTACTTCCGCACCGGTGATATGATTCGATGGGACAGAGATGGCCGCTGGTTCTTCTCTGACAGATTGGGTGATACATTCCGATGGAAGAGCGAGAATGTTTCTACTAGCGAGGTCTCCGAGGTCTTGGGTGCCCACCCCGAAGTTTACGAAGCCAACGTGTATGGCGTAGCACTTCCAAACCATGATGGCCGTGCAGGATGTGCAGCCATAGTATTCCAACAACAGATGTCAAAGGGGAACAAGTCCGACCCTGCATCTGAACCATCAAGCGAGGTTCTTGCTAGCCTGGCTGCACATGTCCTCAAGAATTTACCTAGGTTTGCCGCTCCCCTCTTCTTGCGGGTCACACCTGAGATGCAGTCAACTGGCAACAACAAGCAGCAGAAGCATGCTTTGCGGACCGAAGGTGTAAGCCCAGCCCTAGTTTCCAAGAAAGACTTGATCTATTGGCTTCAGGGTGACACCTATGTTCCCTTTGGGCAGAAGGACTGGGACCGCATGAATGGTGGTCAAGTTCGACTTTGATTCCTTGCGGTTTCTGTCTCATATCTCATTTGTTCCACCTTTCCTAAAGCACATCGTATTTTTATTTACCTTTCCTCCATAGATACCCGCCATATCTCTCAATTTATCAATATGTACACGCTGAATTGGTGTTGTTATTTTACTCTTAATAAAGTTCAATGTTATTGCCTACCCATGAAAAGCGGGCCATCGCGGCGCTTGACTATTCATGTGTCGTTTTGAAATTTAAACTCACCTTCTAGAGGAATGCTTTTCTGATTTGTAACAAGAGCCGTGATAAATGTATCGGGTGCAAAATGGACCCTTTTACCATATTTTAATAGAAACCAAAGACCGCTGCGAAGACCGCCTCATTGTACATTGCGCAAGTCCGTATATGCGATCTAATATTTGCGATTTCATTATAACAGTATACAAGGAAAAGAGGAAACGAGGGACAGACAGAAAGAGAAAAAGAAGGAAAGAAAGAAAGTGGAAAGGAAAGCGAAAGGGAAAGGGAAAGGGAAAGTGAAAAGGAAAGCGAGAAGGAGGGAATAACGATGAGGGCCAAACGAAAAGAATGATCGATCACATTCTCGCCAAGAGTGACATAAAAATAGGAAAAGGGCAAAAGAGGGGGATAATTTGACTTGTTCTCAGCCGTTAAACATTAGGATGTCGTCTTTTTGGCCTTGTTCGATCGGGAATATGGCAAAACCCGGAAGAGGTAGTATAGGAAGATGGCGCCGAAGATATTAAAGGTGAAGTATGCCCAGAGAATCCCGTAATCTCGCCACCGGTTATCCCAGAAAATGTCACGACCGGCAAGATATTGATCAGCTGAGCGGAGGGGACAGTACTGACACTGCCCAGTAGAAGACCAGTTGTAGAGCTGCCCGGGTGCCATCTCCAGATACTTTCCGAGATACTCTCCGCATGTTTGTCCGAAAGGGGCCTCCATACTGATCATTTCTCGTTCTGAGCAATGAATTGGACGACCATGTAGTGCAGTTGCACTGATACCACCGACATAATAGGTCAAAGGTGAGACTTTGTGCATCTGGCTCCAGAAGGGAGGCAAAGCGCTCGGTGGCTGCATGACACCGTTAGACAACAGCGACAGCACAAACATAAAGAGAGCTAGCATACTGCCCAGCACTGGACTAGGCACTGCAGAAGCTACCAATGAGGCAAAGCTAGAGGCATACAGGAAGAATTGCAACACAAAAAGAAAGACGAGCCCCTGGCGCTGCGGATCTTGATTACCACCATAGACAGAGAAATAGAAAGAGGCCCATGTGCAAACCCCAAGTAGAGCCTGCCAGGGTAACTCAACCACGATTTGTGAAAAAATGAATACCTTCCAGGAATACGTCTTGGATGGTCGCTCGCGAAGCTCGTACAGAGTCCGCCTGCCGATGAATTTTGGCATAATCCTATTCACGGTCAGTTCCTTGTTCTTTTGTTGAAGGGTAGGGATGATATAAGATGAAGTCTTACTGGTTGACCATGGTGGAAAAAATGGTACATAGAAGGAATAGGCTGAACAAGGTATTTTGAAAGCCTTGGTTAGAGTCGTCGGACATCCAAAACGAGAAGCCGACGAAGAGACCACAGACAATACCCAAAGCAAGCTTGGCTATGATGTAGTCCGGCTGGCGATAGTATTGCTGGAAGTCACGCTTCATGACCTGGTATAATTGAGCAGTAATTGGCATGGCAAATTCAAGCTCGCTTTGAGTGTCGATATTCGGGGCCTCAGATGGATTCGAAGAGATCTGACGAAGATGATCAAGAACTTGCTCATTTTGAGGACTCCTTTTCCAGATTGCTACCCAATCGAGGGATTGAGAGCTTTCCTGTGAGCCTTCGCTGACCACGTCAAGTATGTATTCGGCCGGCTGCAAGAAGAAAAGTCAGCCCCAACACGTCGAACATTGGGGATGTAGTGAGCGGTAGTCCATGACCTACGTTTTCGTTTGATCCGCATGGACGTGCACCATTTGTTTCCAAATAATTCAGAAGAGTGCGAGAGTGATCCCCAATGTCCCCAAAGTATACAGTCTTACCGCCTTTCGCAAGTAACAGGAGGCGGTCGAATTGTTCGAACATGACAGCACTGGGCTGATGGATTGTTGCAAGTACCGCTTGTCCATGATCAGCGAGCTTCCTCATAAACGAAAATATTGCCAAAGAGCTTTGTGAATCTAGTCCACTAGTAGGCTCATCTAGGAAGATCAGTAATTCAGGCTTTGCAGCCAGCTCAACACCGATGGTGAGAAGCTTTCTCTGTTCGATGTTCAACCCTTCGCCAGGGTTTCCAACGACGGCTTCAGCAAAGTCCTCCATTCCCAATAGTTGAATCACTTCCTCCACGAATGCATATTTTTCTTCCATAGAGACCGACCGGGGTTGCCGCAGTGCTGCACTGAACCGAAGAGCCTCTCTGATTGTGGCAGTTTCACAGTGAAGATCATTCTGTTCCACATATCCAGTCTTGCGACAGATGCTGGTATTGAGGCTTCTACCGTTGACCAGCATATCTCCCGTTACGACGCCACATGTCATTCGCTGGGACAAGACATCCAAAAGAGTAGTTTTCCCTGCACCGGACATTCCCTTATTCAGTTAGCACGAAGCACCGTGTTTGAAGGAATATTTGATTAAATGGTACACACCATAAGAGCAGTGAAGGTCCCTGGCTTGACCCAACCGCTAACATCATCCAACAGCCTTTTTGTTCCTCCTTTGACTGGAATGTCGTAGCATAATCCCTGCCACGAAAATATATTTCCTTGATCTGGCAACAAGTCACGAGACTGCGAGTTAGACTTCGAAAGCTCTTTCGATACTTTGGGCCCCGGACCGGTTTCTTCGTCTAGGCTCAAGTTCGAGGGTATATGACCAGGAAGAAATGACAGCGTCTTGGGAGCGGAGGCAGAGCGTGGGACAAGCTCTGTCAGAACGAGATAAAACACGTGGAAGGAAATAAAGAACGCAATAAGAATGCCAAAATTCCTCCATAGATGATCGTAGGAGTAACCATAATGCTGCTCAATATACCTGTCTCCAGACACGAAGTGCTCTCCGGCGACAGCACCCGCTTCCAAGCAAGTAAAAGACAGACCCAAAAGGGATGGATAGTCCGGTAAATATTCCACGCATTCGGCCTGCAAACCGTGGAACTCGTTAGCCATGATTGCTTCGAATGCGTAGAAAATCGGATTGAGCCAACGGATCCAACCAAGCCATGGGCGCATGTCGGGCTGCGGTATAGTAAACCCAGTGTATACCGCAATGCAGATAATGATAATTCCACCCAAAGCCATTGCTTGACTGAGTGTTTTAGTGATCGTGGCCAAGCAACGAAACAACCCGGACATGGTCACAACCGACACAAGTTGGAGGAGGATGTAAATAAAGAAGTGTCCAGGCTCTCTTTGAAGATGTGCCAAAAAATATATGATGATGCTGGCAATCAGACATCGAAGGAGCTTGATAGGGAGATCTATGATAACTCCAGCGAGGGCCTCAGTGAACGGGTGAACGAAGCTGAAGCGAGCTTGTTTTTCCACGACTGGTCTTTGACTGTACAGGACGTTGATCTCCAGCAGAGCAATCAAGTTGTTTGTCAGAACTGCCAAAAAGATGACGGATGCCCTTTGGGGCATTCCCACTGAGGTGGCTGGAATATTATAGAAGAGAGTGCTGATCAGAACAGCTATAACAATTTGAACCACTGCGGTCGCAATAATACCTGCACGGTCATTTAAAGTTCGTCGGTACGCTCTGACAAGACATAATCGTATTTGCATCGGCACAGAGAGAAGGAACGGGCTGGATGGTCGGACATGGTTGGCCTGTTCGGTACGTTTGGCGTCGTTCAATCTGATCTCTTCTTGTCCATCGAGAGGGAACCTCTGAGAGTGATGTTTCATCTTCTCGCGAAGCTCCGAATACTCTGGACTTTGTCTCCAGTATGTCTCAAAATGTTCTGGACTTCGCGGAACCTTCTCTTCCATGCCGGCTTGAGGTAAACGCTCACTTGGATTAGTTATGGAAGTGAGGAAATCGGCGCTGACCTGTCGAGGATGACGTTTCCATCCCATCTTTTCAAAGTATGCCACAGCATGATGGCAGGGACCAAAATATACTTGCCGCCCTTCATAGAGAACTGTGACGTTATCAAAGGTATTGTAGATAGGCTCCGAAGCCTGGTATACTGCGGCAGCGTGGCATGATTTGGTGAGGTTGGCAGACAGACGAAGAGTTTGGACAAAGTCCAGTGCACTGGTTGCATCAAGACCTCGTGTGCTATTGTCCCACGCACCGATGGGAGCTCTCGCTAGGGTCATTTCAGCTATGCTGTAGTTTAAATATTGTCCAGTTAGTCAATGTGAAAGACAACGCAGTGAAGTTGGAAATCACTTACCTCACTCGTTTTCTTTCTCCACCACTAACTCCACGAATATATTCGTTGCCCACTTGGGTATTTTGCGTATGGGAGAGCTCGAACAGGGCCAAAGCAACCTGCACTGCCACCCTCGCATATTCATCGCGACTCATGTTACCCAGCCTGGCATGCGGCGCGCGTGCATACGCAGCAAACTCAAGGGTTTCACGAACAGTCAAATGTGGAAAATGATGATCTTCTTCTTGGTTGTAGACCACCTCCCCACGATGTTCCTTTATCATCCTAGCAAACGAAACTCCCTTGTACTGGATCTTACTGGCCGGGTTTAAACTCAAGCCATCCAAGCAACCACAAATCGCCTTAAGCAATGTTGAACATCCACTACCTGGGCGACCCAGAACCAGAAGTAACTCGCCATTGCTCACCAGTCCATCGAAATTCTGCAGAATATTGGTTGGCTGTTCCTGACCTTTCGTGCGAAGGAAAAGGTTCACAATCGTTAACATAGGGCGAATCAAAGCCGAAAGAACCGTTGGCTGAACTTGGAGAGACGAGGCAGAGCCCTGAATAGAGAGATCCTCGAATAGAATTCCACGATGTCGACCTTCACCGGCTATGGAATCAAGGATTTGGATATTTCGCTTTGCCCATTCATGACGATCGAATGAGGAAGAGTTGAGAGGTATCGGGTCTGCCTCTTTGTTCCAGATTTGTATGATAGGATCTTGTTCATCCCGGCTAGATGGAACACCAGAGGAGCTCTCTGGGCTATTGCTCGCCACTGCGCTGAGACTCTGTCGTTCACCAGATTGCTCGACGCCATCGATGTCGGCCATAATGGCAGGAGAGGCCTTGGGCGTTGTCGGAAGTATATCAAACGAGATGAAGCGGCTACCACCAGGACTGGACACCTTGGAGAATTACGCGATCTGACAAGATCTCGCATATTTAAAATTCCCGTAATTTCTTAACCCCTATGATTTACCCCTGCCGGCATTTTCCAGGTCATCCCTCTGTGATTGGAGATGAATGGAATGTGTAGGTGGAGCTCAGTGGAAAGCGAAACTAGTGAATATGCAAAAAACAATACTATGCCATGCAAGGGTGCCTTCGAAGTCAAAACATCCGTTCCGTGCCAGGTTATAAAATAATCAAGCTATTGACCCCGAACTTTGGAAATAACGAATCATCTTTAATGATATTCAATCACAATTCAAGGGCATTAGCTTCATTGGACACTATTTGCTATGCGATGAGTGCAAGAGCTGAGGATAATACTACAGATCGCTCATACAGGTCCATACTGTAGTGTAAAAAGACTTTGAATGGGCATTTGATGATTTGAAGTAGATGAGATGTATTTGAATACCTTACAGATACACGTCTACTGTACGTTAGATGGCTTTTAGATGATCACGCTAGGAAAAACAAACCATGCGACGAACAAGGGTAAGTAAACATGACAATAGACGGAATACCAGAAATCTCTTCACTTAGACTTAGTGTAAAAGAAACCGAGAAAAAGCAGAATCTGTCAAATAATCTACCAGAACCATAGCCTGGAGATGAGATAATCAAATCCAGTCGCGATGTGATATTCAATCCCCTCACAGCCAATACTCAATCCCAAACCCAAGCACCCAAAATATACTGCTCAGGAAGCAATACGACTTCGCACTTTTCTCCACACCGGACGATTTCCCGATCTGGGTTGCCTTGAGGAGATTCTTGAACCCGAAGAAATGTCCACCAACGGACACAATAAAGAAGGGAAGGCCAAGGCCAGTGAGCAGCCCAGCGAGTGCAATGAGCGCAATGGACGTGTAGAAGAGTCCGTAAGCCAGGATGGGAATGGAATTACGGAACCGAACGGCCATGCTTTTCACGCCGACTTTCAAATCTTCTTCAATATCCTGGCATGCATAGACGATGTCAACCATGATGATGACTGTCGCAATAAATAGAAACATACACACGGTTGGAATGAGATGGTCGAGAGGGTCAACTCCTAGACTATGCATTGTCATCGGGATGGCCCATCCAATGTTCCCCAGTGTCAACTGAGGGTAATCTGTGAACCGCTTGCCAAAAGGATAAAGAAGCGCGAAGAAGATTTTGATGATAGCTTCAATAATGCACTCCCCGGAAGAAATAATAAAACCGAGCTACCGCATGCAAAGAGGGCAACAGTAAAAATGACAGCATTCACTTTTGATACAGCGCCTCGTGGTATCGGTCTGGATTTTGTTCGCGCGATTTGACCATCTAGATCTGAGTCGATGAGATCATTCCAAACGCATCCAGCACAACGTAGGAAGAATGACCAGGTAGAAAAAAGGACCAAGCGATGCAGCAGAATTGATACTGGAAGATCTTTTGCAATCGATGCACTAAAGGCAATACCGACAACATAAGGCGAAGTATTGAGGTAAAATCCCAACAAGCGGTGGATTCGTGTTAATTCAGCATAAGGCAACAAGGACGAAGGAAATAGGTTGAGAATTTTGTTTTGAGGCTGGACAGCCTGATTCTTGTTCATTCCAGTCATTTTGATTTAAAAGAAGAGCTTGTTTAGGCTGTGCTGCATGTGTGATCGGAGGGCTGAGATCAGGACCAAGGTGATATAATTTCCAAAGAGTATGTAGCGATTAGAGGAAGAATAAATGAAATGAGTTGAGTTGGTGTAGAAACCGATAGAAAAAAGAACCTAAGCAAACACTGGAGAGTGGAAACGATACAAGCGTATCAAACAGCTGACTGAACCCTAAAAAGCCGAGTCTCACGAGAAATGAAATGAAAATCCGACATTCCTTGCCTGACAGATCTCATTCCTCACAAGGATAGTATGACACAGTAGACCTAGACACTGTAACGCAACTCCACAGGAATGTCTGGACAGACGAGTAAATCTATCGATTTTAATTAGAGGACGCCTTGCGTAGATCAATAAGGTCAAATGTACAAATGCATGTATGTAAGCTCGTGCTATGCCAATTTGCTAGAAGAGCCCCTGCATGTTTACAGTAGTCACTGCTAGTGATCTACAATGCGTTGTGATATATGCATGCATAAGCCGACTTTCGAGCCACTGGGTTGATGCTTTGAGAACTATTACCGTGTCAAGAATGTAAAAAATGTCTCAAGTACGGTAAATACTGTACTGCTCCAGTCATTTGATCGACAGTGGCGCTTGCTACGTGCTGAGGGAAAAGGATCGAGACGGCCAAAAGTGGTAAAGTGCTTGGATGTCCATAGACCTGGGCACGCATGTCAAATGAAGCGATAAGTCGCCAGAGAAAGATCACGCTTGATAAGGTCGAATCCACAGAAAGGCCCAGCAAAGCGTGATAGGAAAGATCCAAAGAAGCCTCCATCGTAGTTGAGCAGCTGTCTGGCCCTTCTGATCCTTGGAAACTTTTTGAACCCAGCCCGGCCCGGATCGTTCGGGGAATGGAAGGAAATCGACCATTTCCCCCGAGACAGAACCTTGGCAGTTCCCCGTTCTACAAAGCCACCTATAAAGGGAAAGACATAACGGCCAGCAAACGCCTTGACCCAGTCATCACGCGTGTGAAAGCGAGCTCCAAATCTAGATCGCTCGTATGTACTCTTTGCAGGTTCGTATCGCAAGCGTCGATACTCCCGAAGCATTGATTCAATGTGAGCCTGAGATATGCTGGGAATGCCATCCACATGGACAAGTCGATGAATCAGTGAGGCTAAAACAGCAGCATCCTCAATAGCTGTGTTTGCTCCCTGACCAATGTTTGGTGTCATCTGATGATCAAAATATTCAGTGTCTTTGACCTCAATGCAGAGTAGTTTATGGGTAATGAGTGGTTACCTTGTGCACGCTGTCCCCGAGAAGAACTATGCGATTAAAATGCCAGGTTTCGAGCAGTCCCTCCTCAAGTGCCGTCATAGATGCGACAACTCGATTCTTCCAAAGATCACCAACACAAATATCCCCCAAAATGGTAATGTCAGCCAACTTACTGCAAAGGTTGGCTGCGTCATCCGGTGAATAGCGGGGAACATTGGGATAGACATATGCTTGGTCGAGTTTGTGGATAATGAACCAGAACACTCGGCCATCCTTGCCATGGAACGTGATCACGGAAAACTTGTCTCCATACCGGTTTATATGTTCTCCAGTTTCAAGGCCGGGTATCGGCTTCGATATCCCAAAAACGCACGTATATTCAACCTTCAGACCTGAAAATGCAAATGACGACAGAATTAGCACCGGAATATTTCAAAAGGAGCCCAGAACTGTAATTGAAAAGGGAGATAATCAACCTTTCTTTTCGCTTTGTAAAATGTACCCAGGATCCATGGCATCAGCCAACCGCCACATCTCTGACCGGGTATGACTATGGACGCCATCTGCGCCCACAATGAGATCGCCCTCAAATACATCCCCGTCGTCTGTTAATACACTGGCGCGCTCAGGTCCGAGACGTATTTCCGATACACGCTTGTTGGTGATGACGTTTGACGTGGCAGGGTAGTGTTTGAACAATATTTCTAGAACCTTTTGGCGGTCCAGAGAAACTATAGGGTAGCCAAATCTGTGATACACGAAGTCAGAACAATTTTTTCCCTGTATAAAAGGGGATCCGACAAAACCTTTCATGGACTTTCTTGGGTAGCAAACTGCTGAATGAATATCCATCCGGGAAGGAGATATGCATTCGGCTTAGAGGTGCGGTGAGCTTTTCAAGGGTACCATAGACCCCCAGTTGTTGCAAGATTCGGGCTCCATTTGGCCAGATTCCTATGAAGGCGCCTTCTTGAGGAGCTATCTCGGCTCGTTTTTCAAGGATGATATGGTCAATATTCGCTTTGGCCAGACAATGGGCCAGAGTCAGACCAGAAATTGACCCTCCAACAATGATGACTCTAAATTTGGGTTTCTCCATGATTTCTGGTCTTGGACTAGGACAAGGGGAGAACCAGGTGAAGTATTGGTGTGGTGCACAAATTAATGAATCACAAGTGGATCCTAGGATAACTCGAGCCGAATGAGATCGCCAGGCTTCTTCATGAGACAATCTCGCCCTGTACCCCTTGCTGTTGTACACTCCACTGTACTATGACGAGGGGGATTTCTCATAAATAAGATATACATCCAGGGGGGAACGCTCACTGAAATACTTGTTTTTCGGCTATAATTCCACGGCATTCTACTTAGATACACACTCTCATTGGAAGTCCTGTTTTTATCCAGACTGTAGTTACGTATTTGATAAGATACGAGCGATTCCAAAAAATTGACATGCCATTTATGGTCCTGGCTAACACTTGGCGCACATGGCTATCTACTTTGTACAGAAAAGCCATTGTCCGCAACGGATCGGGACAGCACAAGTAAATGAAACACGAAATCAACTAATCCATAATGCGCAATATGTATCCACACCATACCGCACCGAAAGACTTGTCAAGCGATGGCTTGTGGTGTCTTCGCTTTCCTCACTTTGTATAAATGTTCGTCTATTTGATCTTCTTTTCTGCTGAGACGTTACGCTTTTCCTGACGTCGAATAACATAATACAGACACGGATATGTGATGTCGAGCACGACAGTCAAACCGATATAGAATTGACACATGGGGCTCTCGAACCAGGGACCCGCGGGTGTATCACAGAGATAGTAGATGGTCAGTTTGATGAAACCTCCGAAGGTTGCAATCGCGCGCAGTGACCTATATTTAAATCAGCACCCGAGAAGTGGAAAACAAACGAAATCAAGCCATGGGGGATACATACCAGGTCAAGATGGAAGCGCCACGAGTGCTGTTCCGACTCAGAAGCTGGCATATGGGTCCGAGACTTGCGAGCGTCTGGCATAGGACACCTCCCCAAAAGAAACCATTGTCAGGCCCAACCTCAGCGGCGAAAGCCAACTGACCGGCAAGGAAGCCAAGAATGACCACCAAATAAATCAAGTAGATGTTCTTTTTCACCATTGGCACATCGTTCCATTCATTTGGTGCAAACTTGAGAATGTACATGACCACAGCAAGATGAACCATAAACCACACTTTCACACCACCTTCCCAATGAGCACTTGCGGCTGGGTGAACGAAGGCATACACAAACTCCCATGCAATGTCATTACAAAGAGGAAATATGCCTGTGTTTGGAATCTTCTCTCTCCCAGAAACGTACATCATACTAAAGTAATTCAGGGTCCAACAGATGCCTGCTAGCTTCCGGAGAAATTCCGCAACCGCACCGAGTTCATCGCGGTATTCTAGTACGGCAGAGAGTAAAGCAGAGTTCCCCATAGCTGGTAGGTTGAGAAGATATTTGTGAATGGCAGGAAATTGCAGAGAAAAAAAAATCGGTTCACTAGAATTCAATGGATTGAGATTCCCATGGACCATGTGCGATCTTTGAGAGGTCGGGACTCTAGGCTCTCCGTCAAGAGTAAAGATTTTCAATGCAAGGAAGGGCTGCTCACCTTGCGCCTCCACAATCCATGCATACATGAAGCATGCCGTACTGTACATGCATCTGAACACAGTAAACTGATTGGTCAGCTGGGCGGAGACGTCAACGGATCCATATGCTGTGGAGCTGGTTGATACATAGTTCGTCGGCACGGCTCGTTGACTAGGCGCTCTAGGCGAATACACAATGGAACGGGATTTCTCCTAGTTTAAAGCCCCATCCCAAGTGCAGTGAGTGTCTCAAGGTCGCAAGTGCTACGAATTAACTCATGACTATGATAAACCTCTCATGCTGCTGGAAATGTTGAGTAAGAGACGCACGGAAGGAAAGAAGATAGGGGAAAAGAAGGGAGTTGGGGTTATTGAAAATTACAGTACAATACAACGAATGACAAATACGAAACAACAAAATACTGGTGAGATCAGCTGTCCCGATGCGAATTTCTCGAGTATTTTGTTATTTCACATTTTGATAAGCATTTGTTTTGACCGCAAGTTTTTGAAGTTAAGCTATCAAATACTGTTTATCCCTTCGTATGATACAGCACAGCAGATCAGAAACTGCTTAAGGATTCGTATAGGCCACGTAATACTAACCTAAAACAGCTACACTGTACACTTGACTAAAACTTACGGCAGAAGAAACAAGTCCTTCTCGTTCGAAGACAGTAGATATCAGTAGAAGACAGACTTTGTTTCTGTTCCTCACCATATTGGGAGTCCAGGAAATGGTATTGCGTGGCTTCCAACAGGGAAAGGTAAATCGGACTAGCGACTGATATCAAGCACATGACTTTATAGCGTTCACTGTTGTCTCGTTGCATATGTCGACTTTACCTTGAATATAGAGGGTTCTATAGATATGCCAGTGACAAGGATAGCCACAAGTCTTGTGTTGCACTGAAATGGAAGTGTTTGGTTTGAAATTTCTCACTTGCTATTTTCGCGATAAATCTATCAACCTGTGTACTACGGCTAACTGTAATACAGAAGCTTATTTATTACACTGTTGACTTTATAGAGGAATCTCCTCCTTCCTGCGTCTGATAGACACCTTGGCCATCGGATCCGCCGCCAATCTCATGCCGAACTTCTGGACCTTGGGCTCACACCCGTCTGCCAATCGCAAGTCATACTTTAACAAAATGTGACACAATGCTATTTTGATCTCATTAGCCACAAAAAAGCGCCCTGGGCAAGCATGTTGCCCGAAACCAAAGCCCATTTGCTCCGGGGACGGCGAAACGAGTTGAGCAGCGGCTTCGTTCTTGGGATTATCAGTTTTGCGCATGTTCGCAAAGCGATAGGGATCGAACTTCAGCGGGTCCGGATAGACATTTTCATCCCACATTCTGTCACAGGACACCAACATCTTATCGCCCTTGGGGATGATTTGTCCGTCATGAAGGATGACATCTTCGCGGGCGACGCGTGCCATAATAGCTGTTGTCATCATTAGGATGTGCCTCACGAGACATGATGGGGAATGGAATGTTGAACTCACCAATAGCCATAGGCTTCAGCCGCTGGCATTCCTTGATAACACTATCCATCAATTTGAGCTTGTAAAGGGTCGTCTTTTTCCATCCTTCGGCCTGAACAACTGTGACAATCTCCTCGCGCAAGTCGCGAATGAGCTCTTCTCGCCCACATATGTCCAGAAGAGTTTGAGTAAACAGATCAGTAGTAGTGTGAATGGCAGCCGCCGAGAGGGCAAGCTGTGCCGCTGCTGGGTCGTAGTGACGTCCTTTGGAAGTATCCTCCAGCCACTGTATGGCATCATGGTATTCAACACCCTTGCCTGCCCGCTCAGCAGCACGTCTCTCTTTCAAAACCGGGTTAATGATTTTCCTTGCCTGTCTGAGCTGTCCCTGAGCCTTTCGGCTTGTTGGCAGCCACCGAACGGCAAATGGGCGCAGAAATTCTGGCAGGAGGCGGAGCTCCTGCGCGGCCGTGAATGCATTGATAGTGTAGTTGATCGTAATATCCAGCCAGTTAGGATCGCGGCAGATCTTGTCCCCGAGGAAGATTCTAGACGAAAGTTGGGCAACCATCTTCAGAATGGCAGGCTTTAGCTGCAAATCATGCCACTCTGTTGCGTCTGTCCACTGGGTTTGCAAAACGTGTGTTGCTTCTGTAGAAAGTGGCGTCATAGCATTCGCTGATAAATAGGTCTTGTATTAGCAGTGTCCGCAAGGGCAGATGAAGCTACATACCCAGATTTTGTGTAATTTTGACGCGAACGGTATCTTGAATAATGTTGTCATTGGCCGTCACTCTGAATGGCTCAAATCCAGGAAGATTGACGTGCAACTCCGTTGCCAAATTATCAGTCAGGCTCAGTTCAGGGAGGCTGCGCACATCATTGGCATATTTAGGCGCCAGCATTGTTCGTGTGCCATTGTCAGTGATAATACGAAAAACCCCAGCCTAAAGACGACCACATATTAGTGTGAGGACTCATAATATTGATAGGAAGCATACCTCGTTCAATCCTTGTTTGATCAATGTAGCAGCATCTTTCATGTATCGCGCCCGCGCGCGAGATTTGCTGAATTCAAATGTTCTCCTCGCATTGATGAAAGGAAGCTCCGATTTCCGAGATGATGTCAAAAAGAAGAAAAGAACTGGCAAAGCGACCAGAAGGATGGGTGCTAAAGTGGGAATATGGGAAAGCACTTCGGGCGACATTGTTTATCTGAATACCATGTACAACGAGGGTAGTTGCGAAATGATACTGGTCCCAACAAGTCTCTCGCTAGTCGCTTGCGAGGAAGGGGGGTTATATGATACGAGCATAAAGGAGATTACGGATCCGACAAGATTTATGCAGGTGTATGCGGAAAGTAAAGAAGTGAGAACTTTGTCATTAACTGGTCTGAGACCCCTAGATTGATCAGTGGCTGGCTGTTGCCGCCTCTCCTCACCACACAGTAGGACCACTTCTACTGCCTAAGCCCCCCTTAGCGCAGGCCGCTGACCACAATGTGATTTGTAACATACCAGGGTGAAAGAAAAAAGCAACAGCGATAATGCAGCGTATATCACTGCGCAGGGGGCTTGCAAGTGGACACTGCATTATCCTCTCACCTATCTGCAAGGACTCAGGGCATGGCATGCTAGACCCGCTGAATGATCGACAAGATTTACCACTTCATTCTATCAAAATAGCTCCGGTAAATTCATTCAATTCGAAAAGTTCACGTACACTCACCAGTGACATGATTAAGTGGTATGTTACAAGCAGTATTCCGTAATTCAACGAACATGTCCACATCCACGGCAAACACCATATCAATCCTTCATGACTCTTATTGTGCTGAGGAAGAATCAGATTTATCAACTAGTATGCAGTCCGCTAGACCGTGGTTCACAGATGGAAGCAATTGGGATGATGCGGTATGGGTCTGAGATTTGATTGAGTAGCTAGGTTGTCTACTTTGTTCTCGTTATTCATATAGCGAAATCGATCCCCTAATACTGAGCGCTCATCAAATAGTTGACCAGGCATTGTCAATGGGAATCACAGCGCCATTGATTCTTCGACTAGCCGGAGAAATCAAGAACAGCAGGGAACTAGCAACGTCCTCTGGCGTAATAGCATATCCTTTTTCCTTGTCCGAGGAATGTGCCGCATGTATTGGCGACATGACAGCCAGGGCATCTCTGTCAAATGCGTTGATATCCAGGTCTTTCAGGATGCCTGTATCATTGCTGACACCTAGTTTCTATCAGCAGTGCAAAGGGGCTGGGTAAATACTGAAGAATCTTTCTCACCACCGGGACATATAGCGTTGCAACGAATGCCTTCATGCTTGAACCGCCAAGCTACATTCTTGGTCACCCCAATAAGGCCGTGCTTACCTAGATATGGATAGTGTCATTCCTGATGCCCTTGTTAAGAACTAGTATGTGATCCAAGAGGCTACTCACTCGCTGTGTAGGCTACGCCCGAGACTGCGCCGCTCAGCGCAGCCTTGCTGGCAACGTTCACAATGCTGCCAGACTTCTGCTCGCGCATGATGGGGAGCACCTCACGCATCAATCTGACAGGAGCAGTGAGGTTCACAGCAATGCATCGATCCCACACGCTGTCCACCACTGAATCTGCGCTCTGGTTATGATCCATAATGCCAGCAATGTTTAGGAGGGCATCAATTCTCCTCCCGAATGCTTCATTGCACGCCAATACCACACTCTGTGGTGTGCAAGGATCTACCAGATTTCCCTGGCAGAATGCGAATTTGGGATGCTCATTGAGTGATGTCGGTGGCGAGGAAATATCCACGCCTAGAACCCGGGCACCTTCGGCCAAAGCAGCATTTGCCGTGGTCAACCCAATCCCCGATGAGGCACCAGTGATAATTACAACCTGGGTCATTCAGACATAGTCAGTAAAATCACAGAGTGCGTCTGGCACCATCCTCATACGTACTTGATCTTGAAGAGATCCCATCTTGCAGGTGATTGCAGGTGATCGATTAATAGTGCAGTGGAAGTAAGGCAGAGAGAAGACTGTTTTACCTATTTCGAATTGTCAAAAACCAAAGTTGGTGAGCAACAAGTTGAAGGACTCACAAGAGACGGTGGGTGATCGGCATCGCTCATGGACTAGTCTCCGTCCAATGCAAAGAGCTATGCAAGCTTCAAATAGCCCTGCTGGCTGAGCTGAAGATGACGTGGTATCAGCAAGGGGGTCTAGACGAGGGATCGGACTAGACCCGCCAGACAACGTGTCCATCTCGGCTTCTCCCATACTTTAATCTGATCTTCAGTTCAAGGTGGGTCAGTTTAATTATTATTATTTTTTGTTTTACTTTTTTTTTCTGGCGCCCGTGCAACTGGCCAATCACAGCAAGTATTGTGGGCCTACAGTTCAGTACTGTACTGTACGCAAGGGAGCAAGATTTAGTCTGATGCGAGTCTTCAATGTTGCCTACAGTACTGTACTGTACACGGCCAATAACCAATCGGCCCGAGAAATGTTCACTACTGTACTGTACTGTAGAGTATCCAGACAGTTCACGGGTTTCTTGTCATGTAATGTTGACTGTCCAGTCAACATTTTACAGTACCCTAGTATCACACCGCTCCTTCCATACCGCCTTTTTTAGTCGCGGTACGTTGTAGAGTGTTATACTTTGCAATATATCACATGCAGCTTCCCGTAGCGAGGGTCTCGAGCTGGCGTGATATTCATAATGGTTACGGATGGTCAGGAACACACTGTACTGTATTGGACAGTCGAACCAGGTACCTTCAGCTTGGCCTGCGAAAAGAGTCGGAGACACTCCCCGCGGATTTCACTTCTCTGTTAGAACATCTACTGTTTAAAGATACTTCTCGTCGTCAATGAGCAGTCTAGATATAATATGACAAAGACACAGTACACCTTTCCCCCTGGCTCGACCGTCCTGGTCACTGGGGCCAATGCCTACATTGGATCGCACATTATCAACATCCTCCTAGGCCTCGGATACCGTGTTCGTGGCACTGTTCGCACGCCCCGACCTTGGTTGAATGAGTATTTTGACAAGCGCTATGGAAAGGGCTTGTTTGAGACAATCTTGATCGCGGATCTCCAAGACCCCAGTGCATTTGATCATGCTCTTACTGGAGTGTCCGGGGTAGTCCATATGGTATGTTCTAACTTTCCTACAAGTACCAAATTGAAACCATGAGAGAGACATTATCTGATGAAAAAAGGCCCAAGCAATGCCATGGGATCCAGCAAATAGTGATCCTGTAGGATACACTGTGGCTGGAACTTTGAATGTTCTCCGATCTGCATCTAAGGAGCCCTCCATCAAGCGCGTGGTACTTGCTTCGTCCATTGTTGCCGCGGGCTATCCGGAAGGCAACAAGCCTTTTAAATTTGACACGGGTGAGTTATTCTCGAAGGCTTCCTGAAACTTGATCAAATTTTCATGTTATCCATGATCATATTTAGATTCGTGGGACAAATCTACACCGGAAACTGCAATTTCGATATATACCGTGTGCAAGACCGAAGGCGAACGACAGGCTTGGAAATGGGTAGAAGAGAATCGTCCTTCCTTTACTCTGAACACCGTTCTCCCCTGGATGAACGTGAGCTTGCCCCAAGCCCAGCCATATCTGTTGAACATGTTGAGCACCGCTAATGATTTGGTGTCATGTCCTTAGTTTGGTCGAACCCTTCATCCTGAAATTGGTAGCTCAGGACACAAATGGATTCGAGGCCTTTTGAAGGGGGATTCGACTCCCTTTAAGGTGGTTCCCATCCGTAAGTATAACATTTGTCTCCCAATGGACTCCGAGAACATCACTAAGCTGTCATTTTACAATTAGCATGGTTCATTGATGTTGAGGACTCTGCACGACTCCACGTCATCGCATTGCTCAGTACGGAGGTCAATTCGGAACGACTGTTCGGGGCCGCAGCACCTTTTGTATGGAGCGATATAACGGCTATTATGAAGAAAGCGGATCCTATGAACAAGCTCATCCCAGACGCACCACCGACGGAGAAGGCTAGTCTGGGTGAAGTAGTGCCAGCGCAGCGGGCCGAAAACCTCATTCGTTCCTTCTTTGGACGACCTGGTTGGACTACTCTTGAAGATTGTATCAAAGCAACCGTAAAAACCGCATGACTTGGAGCTTGTCACTGGGAAATTGCAGCAGGCACTACGTACAAGGTTACCGATATGTATATCCCGAGGATCTAGCCAAGCATCAGTTCGAGATAACGTAGTCCTCTTGAAAAACGGCATGTTTCATTTTCAAATGCACCTTGGCAGTAATTGTTTCCAATATATATCCTATGAAACATTCCAATGTATCTTCTGCGTTCAACTTTTACATACTAATCAGTCGCTCACGTTGGTAGAACGTTAGATCTTCGTCGTGTTCGGGTATTAGTTTTTATGAATTTCAACTGTTTTAAAACGTTTCTCGCATTACTGATGCAACTTATCCATCTTCCGGCTTGCTAGTACGAGATTTATTGAGCTGAAATGAAAAAGATAGTTTATAAGAGCAAATATATTGGTCAAACATAGTTTTTATGTGATAGAGTATCTCATCCCTAGCTGGAATCTCCTCATCTCAATCTGATCCTGTTGCGCTCAAGCCATACATGGCAGGTCCTGAACTGCAGCATTGTCCACACGTCTCCGAATCACAAGCTTAGCGACTGGATCAGCAGTTCTAGAAGTTCCATGACGACGAACTTCTGGCAAGCGCTCTGCGTCTAGTTTGAAATCATATTTCAACAAAAGTTGGCACAGTGCAATCTTGAGTTCATTAGCAGCAAAGAATCTACCTGGACAGGCGTGCTGTCCGAAGCCCCAGCCGAGGTGGTTTGGCGAAGGCGAAACTAGCTGAGCGGCTGTTTGAGCCTGGCGATTGGGGGACTCCCGCATGCGCATGTACCGGTAGGGATCAAACTCCTTTGGATTCTCGTAGAAATCTGGGTCCCACATAGCATCCGCGGGAAATAGAATGGTCGTATTCTTTGGAATAAACATGCCGTCCGATAGAGACACATCTTTGGTTGCGAGACGACGCATAGGTGCTAGGAGGAATGTCAGTTTCTTGTCCTTCTTTCCAAAGGCCGGCATAACTTACTAATGGCAATAGGCTTAAGTCTCTGACTTTCCTTGATAGTGCTATCCATCAAAACCAACTTGTAAAGTGAGATCTTGCTCCAACCATTGTCATTGACAACAGTCATGATCTCATCACGTAGTGCTGTCACCAAGTCTTGCTTTCCAGCAATATCGAACAAAACCTGGGTCAGCATGTCGGATGAGGTATGAATGGCCGCCATGGAAAGCAAAAGTTGAGAGATAGCGGGGTTATAAGGACGGCCTTTTGCGGTATCCTCCATCCAGTCGATGGCATCGCTGTATGACACTGGTGTCTTTCCTGCAGCTCTGGCAGCCGCCTTTTCCTCTTGTCGCTCTTTCAGAATTGGGAGAATTAAACCCAAAGCATCGCGCATATCTTGACGCAACCTCCGACAGGTTGGAAGAAACCAGTGAACAACAGGCCGGAGCATATGAGGCCATTGACGGAGCTGCTCGGTAGCCGTAATTACATGCACAGCGTAGTTTATCGTAATGTGTAGCCATTCAGGGTCTCTGCAAAGCTTTTCGCCCAAGAAAACACGAGAAGACGTCTGGGCAATAATCTGCGTAAGGCTCGATCGAAGGGGTACTGCGTGCCATTCTTTTGCTGGTCAGATTCCTCCATAATGGCGTACAAGGTAGGAACTGCTTACCATGTTCATCTGTCCAGTGGGTTTCAAAGCTCAGCGCTGTTTCAGCAGAGAGATGCTCGGTGACACGTCCTGATACAAATATTAAGACAAGGGCCTATTTCTATATCGGCCAGTGTGCACTCACCTAGTGTTCTAGTCAACTTAGTCAATACGGCGTCGTGGAGAATGCGTTCATCCTTGGATCCTTCCCGGAAAACCTCGAACCCCGGGAGATGAGACATGAGCTCCTTAGCAGAAGCTTTATCACGGCTCAGGTCGGGATGCTGGCGGATTTCCTCCAGATACTTTGGGGACAGCACAATTTGGCAACCATTGTCGGTGATGAGACGGAAACCTTTTGCGGACTAGTTCCCAGTGTGGTAAGTATCAGCTTCAACGGATGACAGAGAATGAACACACCAAAGCAAACCCATCTCTTATCAGCTTAGCAGCACCAGAGACGTAGCCCTTCTTGGACGAGAGCTGGCCGAGCTCGAAGATACTGTGCTTGTTGATAATTGGCAGTTTGGATCTTTGGAAGAAGATGGAGCGTAGAGCCCAGGATATCAGAAGGACAAAACCGGCACCAATGAGCGAAGCTCGGGTATCTTGGTTGAGAAACAGATCGACAATCATATTGACCAATCGAGGACAAAGCTCAGTCTTGACGACGAAAAGTTTCGAGTCCTCAAACTCAATTGATGAGTAGCTTGACTGGGCAGAAGGACATCCTCTATATCTTTTGTACCTACAGTAGTATCGACTCAACGTATACTTTACAAATACCAATCCCGATGCGTTCATCGTGCAGTCACAAATAATACAGTATGTCTCAAAAGCCTCCTTCGAGCGTGAATGGAAATCGATCTTCATTCCGTGCTTGTTCCACGTAAGCTCTACTTGCAACTAGAATGAGTAGTTATTCCCTAAATTTGCTTATGCTATGCTGAGCAGACTCTTGTGTATGCATGCCAAGGCTGGTGGCGTTTGCGCCTGCCGCTGAATGACGATCCCGACCCCTGTAAGATATGTGAATTCCAATTATTCTGATTAGCTCCCATCCCATGATAAACTACCATAATCATTTTCTTCGCTGCAAAAACTCAAAGAATTGTCTCATAGGGGCCATACTTGTTGATAGACGAAACTCGTTGACCTAATCACGAGGTATCATCCATGAATTTAAGGTTAGCATGGCGGGCCGGACGGAAAGGTTATTTTTTCGCTAGGCTTGCAACGCCACCACTAGAGGCTTCATGCATATCAAATTGAATCTGGCCAAGATGAAATAACGCTACCAGTAGATAAAGCATGTGTTGTGCAGGATCTTGAAAATTACAATTGCAACGTAGTTTCGGGTGTAGCCCCTTCCTTTCCACGATGCTACTATGGCTACAAAGTCACATTATGGTTAGTACGAAAGGGGTAGCCAAGTGGTATTTCAGGCTAAGTCTGTGGAGTCTTAGCAGCCACTGACGAAATCTTTGATCAACTCCTTAGCTAGGGGTGAGTGCGCCACGAAGCCGGTTTATGCACGCCGCGAAGAGGATAAGATAAGAAGATGAATGCAGACCAATAATTGAATCTCATTTCCGAATAGATTAAATAAAAGGTGAACGCTTATGGACAAGAGAGCCAGTAAACAATTACTAAGTTGGTGCACCAATTGAACCAAGCCTGTTTTAAAGTAAGAAGACTAAGTCATTGTTTTAGATTCTAACATATTGGCCATCCGCATACTGTAGGTACACGATCAGATGCCAACCAAGGGCCAGAACCCTCTGAATTTATGAGATTGATATTTCTTTTTTATTTGTGGGTCGGTATAGATTGGCTAGATGTAGGCACTGGGTATCAATGATTGGAGAAGTCATATGTACATTGGATAGTAAAACACGTACCATTGCAGACGGTATGTTCATGATTCAAATATAACGTTATGCTGTATCAAATGTATAAGTACATACTGTACATTATAATCGACTGAGTTAGGTATACGCATGCTATGAAAAGCGGGATAATGCACTTTAAGGAAAGCCTGAATGCTTTCCAATCACGTCAACTATCCAGACCCTTTGGACCAGCGGTGTAAGAGAGAAGCGATGGAGTAGAGTGTAGCGCCAGCCAAACTTGTATAATATTTTTCATCATGGTAATACTTGGATGCAAGGCGAGTTCCGGCTGCATTTAGAGCATAGCGCCTAAAAACGCAACCCCCTACCTTGTTTCATCATGAGAGGGCGGTTCATGTTTATGGAAGGGGGAATATTCAATCTACTTCGGTGCAAGAAATTTAGAAATACAGATGCTGCTATGTGTGAAACCTGAACTAACAAAGAATGTTTTATACTGGCGAGAGCTGAGGTTGTTGAGAATCTAGGCAGTTGACTTATGGCTTATGCCATGAATGAGCCATACATTCGACTGCGGCGATCATTCATCATTTGTGTATCGGATTTGGACGGATTTGGACTAGCTTAAGCAGACTTTTTCGTGTATATAAAGGGTTTCTCATAACAAATGAGAAACTCTAGACTTAAATCATCTCCTGCACTGCAGTATTATTCTGACTCGTTATGTCTCTCTTTTGTATTTTCAACAGAGGTTGATATTATATTAAAGGAGAAGATAAATGAAAACCGAATACAAAGCAATGGGAACAAAAAGAAGCTCGCATAGTTAGATACATGTTTGTTAGATAATTGTAGAGTTTAAAGGCTCATCACATTGGGGGATCCTTTCAGGGTTTGACATGTGACTTCAAAAATCTGTAGCCATCTTGAATGGCCTGCAATGCCTCCTGATTCTGTTTCATGTCCGGATAAATATCGAACAGGTGCACTGCATCGAGTACTCTGATATCAGAATCAACACCGGCGGCAGAAAGTGCAGCATATGTTCTCTGAGCCTGAGCAATGGGAATCAAGTCGTCACGGGTGCCATGAATGATAAAAGTAGGGGACTTGTAGTTCTGGGAACTGATCTGGGCCAAAGGACTGATGGCCTGGATATCCTCCACGCTGGGTTGTTCCAATTCAGTCAATGAACCCTTCTGAGTCGGGCACTGATTGTTGAGGAGGACGGGAACCGTCTGCCCTGTCCAGTTCATGTGTAACGCTATGCGACTGCGAGAATCACTAGGATTCATCCAGCCCCCTAAAGAGGATGGAGGATTATATGAAGTGATAGGCTTGGCTTGAATGGCTTCCCACTCATCATATGTCTCTCTAGGTGGAGCAGCTTGACCAAATGGCAGGTTTGGCTGACTCCAGAAGGGATCCTCATAGTCCGTGGGACTGTAGAATGACAATATGGCCTCCGGGGGCCGGACGTTAACTTCATCGGCGGTCCAGGCAAGAGTCATGGCAAGATGACCGCCGGTTGACCAGCCAACACTGACGACATGATCCCCGTCAGGTTTGATGTCGGGGCGTTGGAGGACCAACTCAGGCAACACCTCACGAGCCCATCTAAGGGCATCCCGGGAATCTTCCATGGGGCCTTGCAAGAGAGACACTTCTGGACAGAGCCGGTAGTCAATGCTGACAGGCAAAAAACCTGCGGCAAGCAACATTTCGGTTTGCTTGGGGCGGATGTCCTTCCGAGATAACATGACATGGCCGCCACCATGAATCATGAGGGCTTTGGAATAGGTCAGTCATAATTCGTGATAAAGATGTGTCGAGATTGGCTTCACATACCAATAGGCCGGGATCGGCTTGACGTCTCAACTTCTGTAGGGTAAAAAATATCCGCCTGTAGCTGAACACCATCCTTTTCCGCAAAAGTAACCGTCTCCTCCAAAACCAAGGCGGTGTCTTGGGAGCCGATATTCGCAGGAGATGCCACAATCAATCGGAGGATCTCAGACTCCTTCGATGAGTTGCTACTCCAATCGACCCACTGATAGCCAGCCTGGCGAAGGGCCTTATCCCAGGCATATTCTGTAGCAAGAGCGTGCTGTCGACCATCGTCGAACATCCACCATCCCTCGAGCAACCCGAAAACCAGATCGAACCAGAACAAGTTGCGGGTCAGCTCAATCAAACAAAGAATACCGTCAGGCCGCAAAAGGCTGTTGATGTTCTTGGTTGATCTCATAATGCTAGGAGTAGCGTGAACACAGTTTGATGAGAGAATCACATCATATTGTCCCAACATTTCTTTGGGAGGATCCTGATCGACATTGAGGATTGTATAGCGCATGAAATTGTACTTTTGGAACTTCTTTCTAGCAAGCGCAATCAATGAGGATGAGATATCTGTGAAGGTGTACTGGAAGCGGAGCCCACAGACATCCGCGAGTTGGGCAAGAAGGAAGCCAGTAGTACCACCGGTACCAGCACCGATCTCAAGGATCTTAATCTCTCTACCGGGGTCTGCCTTGCTGAGGACATCCCGGAGAAGCTGAGTCAAATGCATCGTTGCGGACAGGAACATTGGCGCATGGGTGTATACATTTCCGATGAGCTCACGTGCCTGTTTATCCTGGAACAGCAGGGCGAGCGGATCGGCGTAGCCAGTCAAACACTTCGCCAATTGAGAGCCAGTTGTACGAAGCAGATTGTGTTCTGATTCATGACGAGGGTATTTTCGGACGATTTCCTTATGCAAAATGGATGCGGGCGTAGTCGGAATGACGCTCTCAGTCCTGAGAATGAGGCTCCCTTGCCTTTGAACTAACTTAGAGGACTCCAGAATTGCATAAAGCTGGTCCTTTACCTGCTGGTGTTGAGGAAGGACTGGAATATTTGGAATCACCTGTCCGGGCCCGAAGGATTGAAGCGGAATGCCCATATCTTGGAAAGCCTCGACGACATAAGCTGTAACAAGAGCCATTTGTTGAGGATAGACAGAATTACAGAATCCAGTCCACTGAGTTTTTTGACTGTGAGCGGTAGTTGTCTTGAGGCCGTCAAACAAATCTCTCGACAGCTCGGCCAAAGAATTACCTGTGGCGGGCGCTGCGATGATTTGGTTATCCTGGCTTAATTCCTGCTTCACTGAGACCTGAATAGCGGTCTTCGCTGGGGGACACGCTTGTACAGCTTGAGGGGCAGCATCCGGGAAAATGGTATTGGTCAGATTTTGTATATCAGGAATCTCCACCAATGCATCGACAGATAGACTGAAGTTGAAAAGCTTCTTGATCTCGGCCAAAACTTCAGTTCGCATGAGCGAATCAACACCGATATCTTCGAGACCCGAGGATGGAAGTAATTCTCCCAGCGGGATGCCGAGGAGAGTGTGGAACATTTCCCGAACAGCCTCCAATTTACCGCCGCTGGCGTCAGCTACTTCTTGAGAGGTAAGCGGATCTGCCATGGCGGGAACTTGAATCTCAACTTGGAGCTCTCTCTGAATTGACGGAGGGGCCAACTCAGGAGCGTCTTTGTTCAATCTTCTTAGGACGCGAGCCAGGTTGGACATCAGAACGCTTGTAAAAGTCGCAGACATGACAGCAAGGAGCAGTTTTCCACTTTCGGAATCAAATACAAAGATATCACTCATGAATTGCTTCTTGGAAGGTCTATCATAACTGGTATATGTCGTGGTAGTTCCAGTAGATTTGGTGTCTCTGGTGATATATGCATCACTCAAAAAGATGTCCCCAATGGCACTGCAGACAAAGACCTCGTCGTCGCGTGTTTCGGACAGGCAGTTGGTGTGAATGCCAGCTACCTGGAGGAAGTTATCGACGAGGACGGGGTCACAAATGCAATTCGCACTTGGAGAGTCTTTCAAGGAAACGAGACCGGTGGCTTCATGTCCATCGGCAAAAACGTTTTTCACTCCTCGGAAGTAGTCTGCATATTCAACGACCCGATCAAAAGTCTGGTAGACGGGTGGGCCCATCAATCCACTGGCATTCAAAGACTTTCCAATTGCTTGGGAGCGGGAAGGGTCGATTAGTCTGTCTAGTGACCGGAAACGCGAGGCGGCCTGCGACGGTCCGTCGACGTTGTGTAGTCCAATATTACCTGTCGCATGTGTCTCTGTGCCTGAGATGGGCTGCCGAGTGAAAAGAGAGAAGGTCCAGTTGAGATCGGTGTCGGTCTTTGATAGCCGGAGAGAGACTTCTCCTTCAGACTCCAGAAGTAACGGGGCACAGATGCTCAGATTTTGAACGTGTGGCATAAGCCCAGAGAGCCCACATAAAGCCACCTTGCTTGCTGCCTCCAAGATAATCTCAATGTAAAGAGACGCGGGACACAAGTGTTGACCAACAACGGAATGTCCCTGAGCACATAGGCGGTACACTGGGTGCGCAACATTGACGGAGAAGACGGTCTCCCGAGAGCTTTGTTCAATCACTTTCACTAGTCCGCTGTTATCTTCGGGCAACGAGGTGGATGTCGTGGGAAGGAACGCGCTTGGATCATATGGAATCCAATGCTTGGTCTTCGCAAACTGATAAGGCGGCAGATTCACAGACTTGTAAGAGATCGCCTGGTGATGACTGAATGCCCAGAACTGCACGGGGATCCCCTTTGACCAAAGGTTTGACGTGGCTTTGGCAATATTTATCTGTGCTTGGGAGCCATGAAGATTGATTGATTGGAAGACATGGCCTTCCGGTGATTCAGAAGACTGGATAATCTGTCGGATCATTGGAATGACAGGAGAACCTGATCCAGCTTCAAGCCAGATGGCTGGCCCAACAGTCTTCTTAGCAGCCTTGATCACAGCTGATTCGAAGTAAACAGCCGTACGACTGTGCTGAACTATTTTTGAAGCATTCAGAACTGCCCAGTCTTCCGACTCAGAGCAGGCCTCGATTGGAATTTGTGGATCATGGTACACAAGTGACTTGGCAACTTCAGTGAGACCAGGAACGATTCCGTCAACCAGTCGAGAGTGGAACCCATGTGTACTGCGAAGTCTCTTTGTCTTGATGAACATGGATCCGCCTGCAGCTATACTTTCAATGTGTGAGATGGAAGCCTCATCCCCGGCAACGACCATATCTCGCGGGCCGTTGATGCATGCGATGTCAACAGTGTTATTGCAATCGTTTATCAAGTCCACCACATCCTCGTGTGTGCCTTTCATTGACAGCATGCTGCCATGCTCCGGGCCCCAGCTGCTCTTGATCAGACTAGCTCTCTGTGAGATGAGTGTCATGGCGTCAGAAAGACTCAGCGTACCGGCAACGCAAAGTCCGGTGAGCTGACCGAAACTGTGACCAATAATGCGGTTCACTTTGAGTCCGGAATCTATCCAAGCCTTTGCAGAGGCGTATTGAATGGAAAAGAGAAGACAGTGGAGGGATACCAGGTCATCAATGGGATTGGATTGAAAGATTGTCGGGAAAAGACTCGGTAAACCAAGGGTCTTACAGGTGCTTTCACACTCCATCTAGATTTGGGTAATCAGAATCACTCAACAATGAGAAATTTTGGGCAAGAATCAACTTACCAAGCGAGTTCGCAAATATCCACAAGAATTGAACAGGTCTTCTGAAATACTTGCTGTATTACCAGTTTGACCTCCAAAGCATAGGATCACAGGAAGGGGGTTTATCGGTCTCTTCTGCGTACAACTGTCGTCTGTGATAATCCCAGTGAGCTGCTTCAAAAGGCTGGTTACATCCTGCGAATCTGTAGAGAATGTGGCCGTGTATTCCATCGTCCTGTTCTGCTTGACGGCAAGATTGTACGCGATATCTTGCACAAGTCTTCCGTTGGGTTTAATTGATCGTTCGGTCACGAAGTTGTGAAGAGCCTCACAATAGGCATGGAGGCATTCGTGGGACTTTGCCGAGATGTATATTGGGACTTCGGATGTGCCTCCATCAACGTGATCTGTCCTACCCGATGGGCTCTGGTACTGCTTGACCAGAAGGGCCGCATTACTTCCGGCGGCGCCATAGTTTGTCACCATAGCCGCTGGATGCGAAGAATTCCAGTCAACAGACTTGTCAGGAATTGTGATGTTTTCATGGCCCGCCGGAGGTATCTTGGGATTCAAGCTAGAAAAGTTCGCCTGCTTGGGAATCCTGGCTTTTTGAATCATCAGGACTGTCTTTAACAACGCAGCAACTCCCGATGAAGTCTCAGTGTGTCCAATGTTGTCTTTGATAGAACCAATTCGGAGCTCTTCAGCTCGACTTGCTCCGCCGAACACTTGCCGAATACTATCAAACTCGATCGGGTCTCCTACTTGCGTTCCTAAACCGAAGTTAGCATAAGGGACGAGGAAGTATCAGTATAACACGTACCGGTGCCATGAGCCTCTACATAGCTGACTTCGTAAGGAGAAGTTGCTCCAGCAGCTAGGGCTTTGCGATATAGAGATTGTTGAGACTCCGAAACAGGGACTGTGATTGGAGAACAGTTGGAACCTTGATTCACTGCCGAGCCCGCAATGACTGCCAAAACTGTATCATGGTCGCGAAGAGCGTCTTCTAACGGTCGCAGCATTACCAAGCCTGCGCCTTCACCACGACAATAACCATTTGCATCAGCATCAAATGCCCTGGAGGCACCAGTTGGGGACAAGAATGAGGCTGCAGCTAGGTTCTGAGTTACTTTGGGACTGCTCATTACATTCACTCCTCCAGCCATTGCGATCGAGCATTCCTTCGCCTGTAGGGCCTTGCAGGCCAAATGAATTGCCACGGCGGCGGAAGAGCAAGCAGTATCAACTATCAATGATGGACCACTCCACCCAAAGTAATGACTGATGCGTCCGCTGTTGAATGCCTGAAGAGTGCCAGTGGCGGAAAATGCATTGGAGTCCCGGGACCCAACGTTATCTGTGTAGTCATCTGAGCCGACACCAATATAGCAGCCGATGTCTGAGGTCAATGAAGAAGCAGACATTCCGCAATAGCCGGCCGATTCCATGGCGTTGTAGGCGACCTCCAACAGCAGTCGCTGCTGAGGGTCCATGGATTCTGCTTCGCGGGCAGATATTCCGAAAAATCGATGATCGAAAGAATCGGGATCTTCTAAGTAATTTCCGAAGAACGGTCCCTTCGGCTGTCGTAAGAGCTCGTCCATCTTGAATCGATCGTTCGGCATCTCGCTGACAGCGCATCGTCCCAATTCGAGCATATCCCATAGCGCCTCAACGGAATCCGCCTGGGGATATCTGCCAGCCATCCCGACAATGGCTATCGGGGTTACTGCGGCATATTGATGCCCATTGAGAATAGAGATATGCTCTCCAGCTGCTTGAACTCCATTGGAAGGGGTGTGGCTATTGGTGAAGCCGTTCGTGTCTTCAGACGAGACATGATGTCCGTTTTGCTGTGCTGACTGAATGCTCACACTTCGTGGAATAATGGAGCTACTCCCTACTGTGAGCAAGCGAGCATTGTTGTCCACTTTCTGTATATCGTGGAATGCATTTGCAACAGTTGGGAGCCACTTGCATTGCTTCACCAAGATGGACTCCAGAGCAATAGCAAAAATGTTGCCTTCCCCGATAAGGTTCCCATCCACATTGGAGCGGAGAGGGAGCAGCAGTTCGTTTCCGCTTGGTAACTTGAACCGCTCGTCATGTTCAAAGTACTTGACAATTTTTTGTACAGCCACCTTGTGTGAATCGTGATGGAATCGTCCCCTCAAGGCAATGGGTTTGGCCGAGATATTATGACATGTAAGATCTTTCACCAACGCTTCCATGCCTTCCGCTCTAACCGTTACTGTCATACTATTGGAATCAAGTTCACATGATGCATAGGCCTGCGAAGCAAATTTAGTATAACTGTAGATCCAGTGGGGTTACCGGGGTACTTACCTCCGGGTGAGATGCCATTACTCGTTGAAATGTCTTGCAACCAGCGAGATCTCTCCATCTTACAGCAATTGAGCGAAAAACGCCGTTTTCTAACTCGTCCAAGTCAACCAGCGCGCCGATGCAGACGGCTAATCGAACGATCGTCGCTGTGAGTGACCGCAGCTCTTGCTCTCCCTTGGAGCAAGCGAGGACGACTGCAGACAAGAAGCCCACGCAGAATCCCTGAGTGTCGATAACACTTTGATTTAAGTTCAAATCATTGAGCTTGATGAAATCCAAGATTTGACTAATCACAGTGAGGGGAGTAAGGACGACATTCGTAGGTTCTGCTGTGACTGGTGACGGCGAGCTATGTAATTCTTGTACCAGTGTGAGCAGCTGATCATTTCCCGGAACTTGGCATAAAGATGGCAAGGCCTTGGTTAAATCGGTCCAAAGAGACGGCAGCTCCTGGAGAATCTCATCAATGAACTCAGCCGATGAATCTTCAGTCAGAGTCTTGCTTATCTGAGCTGAGACTTCATCGAAATTGCTGCATTGCGGTCCAAATAGCACAGAGACCGGCTGTCCGACGCTTTCTGTTGAAGCTTGCATCGGGTGAGAATTGATGTTAAGAACAAGTACAATGATGGAAGATGCAGTAGAAGTAACCGATCTGAGCTCGCTGAGGTCCAAGGACGAAGATTCCCTATTAAACAGAGACCGTATCAAGCTCTTGAAAAGCAAAACATGTGTGATAGACCGAGCAGTCCAGTCTATTGAAGATCGTAGTATCTTTGAAGCTAGCTCCCGACATCCTTGCGTGTACGCATGTATCGCTGATCCAATTCCATCCTCTTGAGGCCGATTCCATTGCCCCCTGCAGGCCGAAGTATTCTAGGTCTCAGCTACAAAGAGGCAATCCACAGTTGCTTCCAGCATTTTGCGTAAATTCTTTCTTCGACGGATTCCGTCATTGATCGGCGGGGAGCATTTCCGTACAGAAATGGCCCAATCAGCACATAGATTGGGTTTGAGTGGCTAGCTGGCTACTACGCGGTTTTGTTTTTGTTTTCCTTTTTTTTTTTTTTTTCTTTAGTCTTTGTTTACTCCAGCTCGCCTGAAGATGTTTTCAGCTTCTCTTATCTCGAGACATATCGGGTTGGGGGTCTGATTGGTGGATGTTTCTACATTACATTCCTGTCTCGGAGCGTCCGAAAGGCATCATGTTGATATGCAAATATATGCATGCCAGTCCCCCACTCCCGGCATATATTAATTGGATGGCTCTACGGGAAGGCGGTCTCGTGGGTCCAAGATTTGTCATTTTCTACGGAGTTTACTGGATCACTTTTATTCGCCCCTTACATACGATATCTGATGTGGCGAGCTGCGTTCTCTATTTCCACGCTGACCAACCCGATGTGACGGAATGAGGAATCCACATGTATGGCTTCACATATACTACTGTACAGTACACAGCACACTGCACTGCAACATGTAACGTGCATATTCTATATCACCTGCAGGAGAGCTTCCGCCTTCCAAGGTTTACTAGACGATTGATTACGCAAAAATCAAGGAGATCAACCCCACCACATCGTATATCGTTCCTGGAGCCCTTATTCTCTTTGTAACCATCCTTCATTCTCATGAAACACCTCTAAAATATTGCCCATCATGCATCCAGACTCTCAGCTTCAAGATGCAGTTACCAAGGGTTTCGACCCCAAACTGTTGTACGATCCTAACCTGGATCATGTTGATGAGCCAGTTCGATCCATCCTCGAGCAGTATAGCAATATCCCCGCAGAAAAGATCTTGGACCATGTTCGTCAACTGGTGAGTACAAGGCTTCTGATTTTCAAGATTAAAGAACTGACCGTTATCAGAGAGACCGCGCATTCGAAATCGTACGCCTGCGCTTTCCCTCTTGCATGTTGTCACGCTCACCATGTCTAGTTTCCATATGCCTGCGTCGGCAAGTTTTCCTTCTTGCAGCTTAGCATTGCCTCCTCACCTCTTTACCCAGAGATGCTTCGCCGGGTTAAGCAGGGAGACAAGTTGTTAGACCTCGGGTGTGCATTTGGCCAGGAGCTTCGCCGCTTGGTACGTTTACGTCTCTGTACCTTCTGAAATTTAGCTAATAACTGTAGATCTATGATGGCGCACCCTGTTCAAGCCTGTATGGAACTGACCTGCGTCCTGAATTCCTTGAGCTTGGCTGTGATCTGTTCCTTGATCATGATAAGATGAGTGGACAACTCATTAGCTCCGACATCTTGGATGAAAATTCCGAACTGATGGGACGGCTCATGGGACAGCTTGATATGGTATACATATCTCTGTTCATTCACGTCTTTGACTGGGATAAGCAGGTTGAAGTGGCTAAACGAGTACTTGACCTACTCGCTGCGAAGCCAGATTCACTGATAGTGTGCCGTATCATGGCATGTCGGGACCAGAGTCTGATCAATGCCTCCCTGGCTCGCATGCCATATTACTATCACGACCTGGCCAGTTGGAATCGCTTGTGGGAGAGAGTTCAGAGTGACACCGGCCTCCAACTTGATGTGCAAAGCTGGGAGCAGCCGGACGAGTTGGCAACAAAGCATCCGGTCGAGGGCGTCTACGTCCTTGGTTCCTCTATTAGGCGAACATGAACACCAAGTCCGATAGAACTTACTCCAGGTACCCATTTGCAGGCTTTATAATCTATCTCAATTCCTGAAATTACACCATAAACCAATCTAAGATCGCGTACAGTAACATACGTGCATGCGCAGTACAATCCACAGTACTCCAGATATTTTATTTTGATCGCTTTTGCAATATGCAACGCTAAATAACTCCGCGTGATGTTTCGATTTGTACGGAGCGCCACTTGCGCACAAAAACAGGGATCTAAATGTCCCTATTCACGACCCAGAGACCATGATCTTTTGTAAATGAGACCAGGCGCTGAAAAAACACCAGACTCACCGCGGAATGTCAGCCCTTGATGCAAGCGTACCAGGGCCCAAGCACGTTACAATGCAGACAATCGAACAAATATGATACATATATATCGTACTTACAGTACGCCGTGCCGCAGAAAGTTGGGATCCACTTCACCCGCAGATGCAGGGCGCGGCCAACCTAGCAAGGAAAAGGCGAAAAAGAAATCATAATAAAAATGATAGATTAAAACATAATGATCCACAATGAATTGATCCACAGTAACATGTACAGCGTGCACAGGGCCGAGGCGAGATTTGAAATGAAAACAGAGCACAGAATATGTAATGTATCAATTGGCCGCTAATTTGTATGATATCCAGTAACGGCGCCCTTGCAATCTAGGAGCTCCGTCAAAATACCTGGCATTGCGACCACGCCGTAGTATCCTCATTCTGATCTTCCCTCCGCGAAGACGTTCTCTCAGACATATATCCAATCCACCAATATGAATTTCCTGTTTGGCCCACGACGGGCCCAACCAGTCACTGTGCTCTCGGACAAAATAGTTCCCCTTCGCTCCTGGGATACGGCCCTGTCCATGCGTGGCACAGTCCTAGATGCAGCGTTAGTTTTCCGTGATGTACTTGATATATCCAAGCTTCATACTGCTTTGGACCAGCTGTATTCTACCGGGAATTGGAGTCAGCTTGGAGCTCGACTTCGTTTGAATGTAAGTCATGCAATCTTTTTATTCAAGTATGGCTACGTGTTGAAGGGAAGATATCTAATCAATGGATTGTCGCAGGGTAACAATGGGTTGGAATATCACATTCCAGAACGCTACGATGATGCTCGACCGGCTTTCATATTCACCAATGTCGTTCATCACATGTCCATCAACTCTCATTCTTTGGCAGCCCAACTCCCCGAGGCTGATGACAAGGCCAAGCTCTGTGTCTCTCCAGAAAACTTCACTCCGCTTGTGCGAAGCGGTGCTACCCCCAAAAGGCTAGACGACTGGATTTATTCCGACAATCCGCAGCTTTTTATCCACTCCGTTAGTTTTCAAGATGCCACCATTCTGACTGTCACATTCCCACACACTCTTGCCGATGTCATGGGGATTGGTTTATTCATGAGCGCCTGGTCTGCTATGGGTCGGGACGACCCTGCTGCCGTGCCGGCCCTGGAGAGCTTTGAATCCAATCCACTGACGGAACTTGGTCAGAGAACCCCACCAGAGAAATATGTATTTTTTGACAGAGTACTAAACAAAGGTCAACTGCTTTTGTTTGTTGCTCGGCGTATTGCAGATTCGCTTTGGTATCGCCAGGAGGAAAGACGCACAATCTCCCTTCCGGTTAGGTGCGTCAAGAAGATGCGCACCAAGGCTATCGAGGAGCTTGAAAAGTCCAGTGACCATGGTTGTACGGAGTCCAAACCTTTCCTAAGCGAGAGCGATACCATACTGGCGTGGTGGGCACGTACACTCTATATTGCACTTGGTCTGCTACCAAGTCAACGGATTCTGCTGAACAACGCGTTCAATCTCCGCACATCGCTGCATGATTCTTTTTCGTCTCCTGAGAATGCCTACCTGGGAAATTGTGTCTGCATGTCACCTACATTTTTACAGGGATCCCACCTCGAAGATGAACCATTAAGCAAAATTGCTTGGAGAATTCGACAGTCAGTAGCCTTACAACAGACGTCGGAACAGGTCGAGGCTGTCACAGCTTTGTTAAAGCAAACTATGGAAAAGTCGGGCTACCTTGCCCTGATCGGCGAGCCAGGTATGTTGCTTCTATCATCTTCAAATTGGCACAAAGCCGGAATGTACGGTTTAGACTTTTCTGCGGCGGTGACTACGCCTGGGAAAGACCTCCGTAACCGGGCAAATGGTCTTGGAAAACCGTCGCATGTCAATGGAGTTCTACACTCCGATCTTTCATTCAGAAATACTTTTGCTGTGACAGGCAGGGATGCTGGTGGTAATTGGTGGCTCAACGGTGTCCTGCGGACGGATGCATGGGCTCTGGTTGAAGCTGAACTAGAGAAAATAGATGATTGAGAGTTTGCGATACTCGTTCGCTGCCGACTATTCCTGGAGCAATATGTTGGTTTTATGTCTATTCCGTTTCTCTCCTCCGTAAGACGGCGTTGACTCTTCGTATGATGGACTTTCGAGTGGATTTTTGTTAGAATCCCATCACCGAGGATACATTTTCGTCGTTTACATGTGTGATGATCTCAATCAAGAAATCTTTTTGCAAGTCACTATATATATGTGCAGTAGCCATTTCCGTCAAGCTTTGAGCAATGGATTTTTTAAAACTATCTGTTATAGCTATATGAATCCTCAATAGATTCATGATTTATTTGCTAGGCACCGAGGCTTAGGTTGGCGTTTTGATATTCGATTTTAAGAAAACTTCAAGTTCCGTCCCTTTGAAATCAAATTCATTTCAAAAGGTGCCACTTGACAGATCAACTTTGATTTTAGATCTTGAACACGGAACTTGACTTAGAAATATCACGAAGATCGAATTCCTTTTGTACTGTAGATGGGTGAAATTGTTTCTACGACTTGCCTTTTCTAGAGATTTACTATTAGAAGGAACACGGTTGGCTAGCTAGAAGACTCATTGCCATGCAGATGCCGGCTAGATTAAATTTAACCTGCACCGTATGGGATCTTACTCCAATTACCCGTGGCTTCATGCATCTTCAGGGCAAAGATTCCCGATCTGCACCACTCTGAATATGGATAATATAGTAATGCAGCACTTACATCGGGATTTGGCAAAATTTGACACCGGAGAGACTTGCGGTCAGAGTATGGCACATTTCCTACGAACGGCCGAAGACACATTTCCAAGTACTGTACGAAAGATTCCAACCAATGCCCGCTTCGGACTGTCGATCGGTATCTTACGGAGCGGCAAAGCTACCAGGATGATCGTTGGCAAACGTTGGTTTCCACGCTTTGGGCGTTATCAAAGTTTAATATCTAGTTCGTACGTGTGCATGCCCTGGGGCAAGAGGGCGCAGAACAAGATGACTTGGTTGGACTCGATATCAGGTTGGTTCACTTGCAAGATTTGGATTCTTCTGTTGGTTTTATTATTTCACACGCTTTTTAGTTACTCTTTTTTCCCCCTCTAATTATACTTGTGATTCTCCATTCGTGGTACTTTAGATGTTCATATTCATCGGCTACACTGCGCCCCACTGTTCCCCAGTTGATCGTTTTTCTTTTTCGATCTGTTCGTTTTGCTCTAGTGGCGGTGAGAACTACCAGATCTCAATTGGTGCAGTGAAGTTACATCATACAGTACATTTGCTGCATGACTTTGGATGTTCTGGATCGTCCTTTGCTGAATTAGTAACATTGGAACAATGATTGTGCTACGATAGTCAGTAGACCCACGTCTCAGCTCGAACAAAGTTCCCCCCCCACATTCCAGGTGCTAAACGTGCGTCATTGAAAAAATTGCTCACTCGTGACATGTTCAGATCATGCTTTGACTAGAGCTTAGCAAGATATGTATTAGGATCTCATACAAGATTGTTACTGCAATAAAGCTAGGAGTTACTCAATTATCTGTCTCTGGCACTAGTTTTGCAACAACGCAAAGCTCCAAAAATTGTTAGACGGGAAAACTGTAGATCAAGCTCGTCCATATGAATACGTAAGTGTGTTTCCTGTGACAGAGGGGGCAATGTCAGCTGGGCAGTGACACTTTTCGATTTGCATTGCATGGTTGTACACTATTTGCCTAGGACACCCACACTGCATTGCAGAATGTGATGAGTATCTATGAATGGATACCACGCCGTAGCTTGCGTGCAGATTTGCTACGTGGAGCTTGTAGATAGACATCATCATGGATGCCTAACCGAGGGGTGATTGTGCCTCTCGACCTTGTCCGATTTCCAAGCATTCGCTACTACAGTAGATAATTCTTCTGAAATTATATAAAGAAGACTTCTGCCCACCATCCAACTTCTCTTCTGGAACAACTTCAGCAAAACTAAAGTTGATCAAATCGTCCAAATGGCACCTAACAAGAAGAACATCCAGGGAGATATCTGGTAGGTCGATACTCTACTGATATTTCGGTTTAACCCTTTTTGATAATTAAATATCAGGCCACGTCTGCCTAAAAAGCACGAGGTGTTCGTCTTTTTCCGAATTAGTAACCCAGCACGGTTCAAGAAACACTTAGCCGGCCTTGTCCCGCTGCTCACGACCGCTCGTGATGCTGAGAGATTCAGATCCGACATCTACAAAAAGAAGGCCGCAGGCACACTCCAAGGAATTGTTCACTTATCCGCTATCAATATTGCCTTCTCCGCTAAGGGGTTAAAGAAAGTAAGTTTCACTCAGCTGTGATCCTGTCAACCATGCTAAGTAATACCAGCTGGGAGCCGAGTCATTCAAGGATGATATCTTCAACAACGGAATGTGGGAGGATTTGACTTACCCAATGGAGGGAGATGACAAGACAAAGCACAACGGACTCGATGACCAGCATGATTGGTACCATCAATTCACCCCACGCCTGGGATACATTGACGGCGTCTTTATTATCACCGGTGATAGTGAAAAGACCCTGACTGATACCGTTGAGATGGTCAAGAAAACCTTTGGAATTGGTCTTACGGGCGAGCCAGTCAACGGATTTCCTGTGGTCGACCAGCCAAGTATTCAACTCGCCTTCCAACAGCAGGGACATGTCCTGGATGATGACAGAGAACAGTGAGGCCCCCAAGTTCTATCAGATAGATGAGACCTGACTGACCCGTTTGATTTAGCTTTGGATGGGTTGATGGTATCTCCCAGCCAGCTGTTATTGGCCTAGACACCGACGCAAAGGTTGAAGAAGCCAGAAAGGGCTTAAAGCCAATCCAGGCTGGGTAAGCTTCAGTATATGTTCATTTTATGCCGGTGGATTGAGTCGCTGACAGCCATACCAGTACCATCCTTGTCGGAGGCGAAGGTGATGAAGGGAACCACCCAGCGTGGGCCAACGAGGGAAGCTTCATGGTGTTCCGCACATATGAACAGAGAACACCCGAGTTTATCGCGTAAGTAGGAACTGTTGGATTTAGCTCTTTTCTTTGGAATAGTATTGACAATCTTCAGATGGTGTGCCGCCAACACCAAGAGACTGGCTACTGAGGGTCTGTCAGATCTAGGGAAGGCAGAGCTTCGCAAATTCTCTTCTCGTATTGTGGGGCGATGGCCCAACGGTAAGACTCCTTTTCCAATGTGTTCAAATCTACTCGTAGCATCTGCTTACTCGATAATTACAGGGGCTCCGCTTGAAATTCACCCGGACAGTGATCCCACACCTATGCGGAGTGCCGATCCAATTGCTAACAAGCAGTTATTGTTCAAGGAATGGAAAGACGCAGGGTTAGACCCCGACGCAGAATATCGGAAATTGGAAGAAGAAAACCACACAGATGCCTTCACTTACAACCCCGATGACCAAACTAAATGTCCTTATGCCGCACATATTCGGAAGTGCGGGCCTCGTGATGACTTCCCCAACTACGAGAAGCATCTCATGCTGCGACGAGGAATTCCATATGGACCCTTGACGCTGAACAATGAAAAGGGTGGTGGTGTATCACAGCATGACCGGGGTCTCCTGTTCGTTTCTTACCAGAGCAGCATTGAAAACGGATTCCGATTTGTCCAGAAAGGTACGTTGTCTAATCTCACTCACATCAAACTTGATAACCAACACTTTACAGTTTGGGCAAACGAAGAGGATAAGCCTGTTGATTTCACCTCCAAGTTGGGAAATGCCGGGCCCCAGGGTATCGATGCTATCATCGGTCAAATGCCCCCCGACTACCGTCACGAGGAGGATGTTACCAAATACGAAAGCCCAGCTCCAGTTGCAAATTTCCCTGATGTTCAGAAGCCCGTGCCAACCCCCAACAAGCACTTTATCCCCATCGAACGCTGGGTTATCCCTCGTGGTGGCGAGTACTTCTTCGCACCTTCAATTTCCGGATTGCAAGATACACTTTGCAAGTGAACTGGGAACCTATGCCGGCCGCGAACATGTGTGTTTGATAATGTGATACTTGGACTTACTTGAAACTTGTCTTTGATCGGCGGTAGCTTGCAGCCCTGTGACCTTCTCGGCCCTTGGTTTATGATAGTAGTCATTTAGAGGACCTGTTCCCTTCTCGGTAACAATCATCATCTCAATTGCTTTTTTATTCTGGCTATGAGTTATATCACATTCTGGTGGCAGCATGAATGCATAAAGTGTACAAAAATCTAAGAACCCAATTTTCAAGATAGGCTTTGTTTCACGTAGAAATCCGTTCCCCAGGTAGCTACATTGGAAGTCCGTCCCTGCCTTTTTCAGCCCAGACTAGTGTACCGTATATTTCGTTACAGTAATGATCAATTTAAGCAACGTGATTAAGGTCCTGAGTGATCCTGTGCAACGTAGCGTAGTTCGCGCATGCGCTTCCAAGGTTTTGTGCCTGAAGCCCTTTCTCGAACAAATCTAAGGACTTCTATGACAATGAAAATCCGTGTCGCCCAGCAAAAAAGGTCGTAATATACCATATATTTCATAAATGATCGGTCTTTCTTTGAAGTGAAAGAGTTATTTGACCCAGTGGGAATGTTTGGACACGAAACACAGTTTCCATCAGGGGTTGAGGCAACCATCCATCAACACTGCTTATCCTATCTACTGGTATCTATCTTGGTTACATTGATCTTGGAAGACTTATTCGAGAATGGAGATGTTTCTTTTCTGATTTTTTTTTTAGGGGATACCCCTTACTTGCTCCCCAGGGGATAGATGGGGGCTGAACGCGGTGTGCTGATATCCTCCAAAGAATGCTAACTTAAGCGTGAAACCAAGATTTTACAAAATTACGTGGCTTTACCAAGATAAAATGACATCCAAAGTCATCTGTCATTCATTCTACACTTAGTTTTGTTAACCTCAAATCAAAATTGAAGAATTTTGCAAAATACCATCTAGCACACGGACGCTGCACATTGAAAAAGCAAGGGCGTTATAGAGCCGACCCTTGCTATTTAAAAATTTCAGCCCCCTAGGAAAAAGATGTACGGCACGGCACGATCCACAATATACGCGTTCGTGCAATATTGGATCGTCGTCATACATTCTGTACAGTTTGAGCCGTGTATATATCTATCATGCATCTGGAGAGGCCAATCAGTATACCACTTTGATAAGATCTACGTAATGTATCCTCAAGGTTTCATTGATCGTGTTTGTCTGGTCTCGCGTTAAAAAAATGCCTCATAGCCTTGCGTGAAGATAAACAGCTAATTGGAGACAGCTGCTGGCTCAGGTCCACCATTTCCAATAGCTTTCAACAGTTTACATTGTGCATCCAAGGATGGGCATGATGAGAATTACGACCCAGCTGGAGCTATAGTACTAATGAAAACCCCATATAAATACCTTATAAATTCAGGCCATGGCTCTGTGTAAATCCTCTATCCTCTACAGCTCTCCTACAGCTTCTGTTTTGAACAATCCCGAATTTCACAAGTCTCAAAATGCAGCTCTCATCCTTCCTTTTTGCCACTCTTGCGTTGGCCATCTCTAGTGCCTGGGCCAAGCCTGATGCCTCCGATGATGAGCCCACCTGCTTGCGTATCTGTCGGGATGACCCTGTTACCTGCCAGGCCGGCTGGATTTCTACACAAGTTGCCGCCGAAGGCGAGGAGGTATGTTTTCACTCAATCTATAACCTCTACTAGATACTAATTTAGGCCGAAGCCATGCTGGACTTGCTGCGACAAATAGACGAGACTCCAATGAGTGACAAAGAATTACTACTATCGAAGGTGCATATGCTTGGAACTTGAAGTTTTACCTGTGCAGTACCAAAACCTCATGGTCTAATGGTATCGGCCAAAATTTACAGTAGTGTTGCTGCTTTTTCTGCTCTCTTCCAATTATTTGGTAGTGTCTTCCGAAATGATTCATCTTGAGATTGTCTTCTAAAGATTCTGCTACCATTCACTAAATAATTATGCTTTGGCCTTCAGCATATGTTTTTATTTCATTGATATAAGACGTTTTCCAAACAGTAACATACTATCCAACATTTGCAGAAAATCGGTAAATCGAAAATACTACGTTCACTCAATCTTACTGTAATCCCTCAGCACGCTAATGCATGTTCCCTGTACTGTTCCTTGGGTCTTGCTTCTTTTTGACGTAAGGAGAGGTGTTCGAGAGTGCTGACCCACCTCAGCTAGCCACCAAATTTGTGACGCAACGACAAAACTTAACATGGCCCGTCCTATCACATTCTTTGGAGTACTGTACGGAGTAGGCAATGATAAGTTGCTTTCGACGCGCCCGGTACTCTGCTCATAGTTTTTCATCGATAAGAATTAGGGGAATCATACCTGTTGTGTATTTGTCATGTCGCTCAAGAATACGGAGTACATAGTGAGCGTACCGTAGTTTGAAAGCGAAAGAAGTAGTCGCGCAAGAAATTGCATACAAGGATCTTGTTGGCTAGGGCTGTATCAAATTCATCCGAGAATCATGACTTGTCTTTGCCCTCGCTCTGTTTAGCATGTAGCTTATCGAAAATCACCCATAACCACTGTCTCTTGGTACGAAGCAAGATATTTCAATGAAATCATGCATTTGAGCATGCCTGAACATGAGATATATGCACACAGCTCCTCACAAAAATGTTCGTTACGGACCGAAAAGACTTTAAGCTAGCTTGCAGAAGTGAGACTTTCGATATTAAACATTAACCCGATAGCACCATAAACAGGTTCATGGCTACTGCCTACAAATGATTAAACAGGTTAAAACGGCAGCCGAGAAAAGTTGTGTTGCATTCAAGTTACGGGTTGTCCATCATCTAATAATGGATAGGGTTACTCGCGTCGAGTCTCTCCAAAAGCTAAAATAAAATTGTCAGTTATGCATCAAAAGCCGACAGAAAAAGGAGTAGCTCATACCCAATCATTAAGGTCAGCATCGTTATTTACGAGGTTTTCGAACTGTTCATCCAAGCGTTCTAAATTTAAATGTTAGCCTGATCCATATTCTTTTCCGTTTGGTTCCACAATCGTAACTCACCAGCAGTCACATAAATGTTATTCGGAACGAGGTCGTTCATCTGCCAGCTTTCCAAGAATTTGGTTGCTTCGGGTGCAGTTCCCACCTGGCTGAGGTCATACCGAACAGCTGTTCTTAGGTTAGCAATATCGTTGACGCAGAGCCTTGACAAATCTCACCTTCTTCTCCCAAGCCGTTCTGCTTCAAAAAATCGAGCGAGTTTCTAATTTCCTTTTCATATGTATCTACAGCCTCAACGTTCGGACATCCATCGGTAACGGTCAGAATTAGGAGTGGTTTGGCCAAAGGCAGGCCGCTATTGATTGGCCCGTATAGGAAGTCATTCAAGACTTTCCCTTTCAGGTGTGTACCCAGCTCAGTCGATCCATCGGGAGTAAAAGTCATTTTCGAGGAAAGTTGGCTGGGATCAAGATCATTGAACTTGTCGCTCTTGTTAATGAAACGAAGATGAACCTTTGTACCGCTTGGAGCAGCTTGTGTAATCAGCCATGCCATTCGTGAGACCATAACTGCCTGTCGATTCATGCGGTCATCCTCCTTCATCGAGCCACTGTCGTCTGAAGCGAATATATGTCAGCTGGGTTATATTGTGCAAATTGACAACATGAACTTACCACAGTACAGGATAGGCTGGTACAACCCCTGGCGGGACATAATGGTTACGTTCCTGGGTGTTGCACCCGCAACGGTCGAATTTTTCAGAATTCTCGCAGAATTTTCTGCTATCTCGGCCACATCTGGACTACCAACGGGGTAAAAGTCCTCGAGACCCTTCGCACTGATGTAGTCTTCAAGGTTTGCCTTGAACTCTTCTGCCGTACGGGGGTTCGTGATTTGCTGTTCAAGAATTAGCCAATCTAGAAATTATGGAATGTGCACAGCCAGATACGTACACCGGGAGTTGGTTCTGATAATGCAGCAACGCGGTTTATGGCATTCAGACCAACATCTTTAAAATTTTTGAAGTAGGCCAGAGCAAATAGACCGGTGCTCACGAGAAGATTCTCCAGTTCGGGCTTCCATTCCGGAGCCTCACCTGCGGGGCGAATAGCCTTCTGGACAGCGGTGTTGGTGGACTTCTCTGCAAGCTTCTTGGGTGATTCTCCCAGTTCATTTGACTTGTCCATGGATGCTCCTGCCTGAATAAGGGCACGAATGGCCTCGGGGCTGGTGCCTTGTCGAATTGCCGACATCAACGGAGTGTCTCCGTTCGGCTTTGATACCGACTCATCTGGCTTAGAACCGTGCTTGAGCAGCAGCTCGACAATGCGGCCACTGTTTGGGGCCATAGTGGCTGCATAGATCGGGCTTTTGCCATCCGGCGATACTCTATTGGCGTCGGCACCATTCTGCAGGAGTAGCTTTACCGCACTGGCGTGGCCGTTTCGGATCGCAAGATCAAGAGCTGTATCACCATAGCTATCTAGATCATTGACTTCCACCTCAATCAGGAGTTGGGGAACATTATTCAGGGTAAGGGTTCCGCTTCTCGCGTGAGTGTGAAGGTTTTCCGACATGGTGAAATTTTCTGAGAAATAAAGCTGAACCAAGGTCTGATTGAGTGACTTTGAGTAAGATAATTCATACTATGAATCGAGTGCTTCACAGTCATACTTATATCCTCAGCTCAAGGTCTTGCCACTCTGTCTGCAACTGTCAGACCTCTTCATCGGGCCTACTGACACGTAATGCCTGCCGGTTCACCCCACTCCTCTATACGCAGGTGACATATCACCTAGCATTTGCATAACCCACGAAAACCATTCGATTCATCCACGGATAATAGTCAGCCATCTTCCATGCGGCCGAAATCTTGAAGTCGACTCAAAGGACGATCTGGTCCATCATTCGCTGGTCAGGAGTAGGTGACTTCAATGCGTCATATTTCTAAGCTCGTTGGTTCAGAAGGGTTGCACACCAGCTGCGCCATTGCGAAGATCTTAAGGTGACCGCTAGTTCCGGCCCGATGGACCCGTATTCAGCTGAGCCATTCGCTCCATTGACAGCCGGTTGGCTCATTGGTATGTCGTGGAGCGTAAAGCTGCAGATTCTGGAATCAATGGAAGCTTTTCATGATATCTTGTCGACAAGATGATCTGCTCTAGGATCCATCTGTAACTGGGCCTACTGTACAGTATCTCCATATGAACGAGTTCGGCTCCATGCGCTCGGCCTACGGTAAAAGTTGGCGTCGGAGTAATAAGAATACTACTTTATGAGAGGTGTTGAAACCGGTTACATCTTGTTAGAATGCGCACAGATTCTGTAAGATCATCGTTCTTCTGTCGTCGTGCAGCTTGGAGGTGGGATTAGCTTTGTGACGACCTTGTGCATAGAGCACACCTGGGCAGTGGGGAACCCCTCATGCGCTAGTAAGTTTGTAGTTGGAATGAGCGCTAGCCTATCCATAGTGTATTTGTTGCTTTTTTTTTTTTTTTTGCTTCTTTGGTGCGTTGGACTGTAGTAGAAATTTGCCTTAGTGAGTACAGTACGTTGGCTTAGTGTTTCGAGCCAGGAATCTCGACCTACACTGGGCTTCATACGGAACGAGCCCAAAATTGGAAGACGGACACTAAGACAAGCGTTTGAATACGAAAGTAATGGGGACCTTTATATTACATATACGAGAAGATGTGTCTACAAAATGGTTGAACCAAGTGATTTAGAGAAAAATTCGGCCTCTCACGTTTGCAAGGGCTTCCTCTCCGAAGTTAACTGAGCCCTATCCCCTTTTGCAACTCTAGCAACTCTGCGCATCTCCAGTCGCGGGCCTTTGCTGGTATATCCTATGGTTGAGACCTCCCTAGGGTTATCAAACTTCCCAATCAGAGAAGCTGACCGGAACTCCATCTCGAGGACTTAGTGGGAACCAAGCCCCGTCCCTGAGATCGCATATAGCAGGCCCTGTCTTGGCCATCCGTGTTCCACATGAATCGCACACACTTCTTGGAACCCTTGTAGTTGGCACACTTCTCGGCGCAGTGCTTGAAAGAGTTCGCTCTTCCAGTACCCAAGTCGGATGCACCTTCATCATCAACTTTGTCTATGTCAGTACATTCTCAATCTGAAACGGGATGGGGCAGACAAACGCTTCGCGTAGTGGATCTTGAATTTCTCATTTCCAGCGGCGATGATACATTGATCGTCACGCGGCTCTGTGATTCGGTGGTTAGCACGCGGCGAAGAAAAAGTGGACAAGAGACTCTGCTACACAGGGCGGTTTTGCTTACCGGCATCATATAGATTGGTGCGACATTTTCCATTCGCCCCTTCACCATTGCAGTCGACATTGAGAGCATCGTATGACAGCTGAAGCGCCTCCAGCTTGGTGTTAAGCGACGTGATCTGTGAATTGAGCGATGTGACCGTATCGTCCATTTCAGTGAGCTCCATGTTCAGACTGTTCTTATCATTCTCGCACTGCTGCTTTTCAATGTTGAGGGTGCCCTTCTCTGTTTCACACTTCTGTTGTTCTGCGCGACATTGTTTTCTCTTTTCTTCAACCTCGTCAGAGTGCCGACGGCAATCTTGTTCTCCGGTTTGATACGCAAGTTTGTCGTTTTCGCACTGCGTCAATTTGGCAGGATCCACCTGGTTGGTTTGACAAACTTGAAGGTTATGATCGGCTAGTTCGAGGTCTTCTTTGCATTTCTCGTTTTCTTTAACGCTTTCCTCTTTTTCTTCAATGCATAGATCCTTTTCCTTGTTGCACTCTTCGCATCCAGTTTCAGGGATATCAGGGATAGGGGGTTCAACAATATCATCCACGACTTTCACGAGTGAGAGGAATGTAGCCGAAGCCTTTTGATCCTTATTGTCACCTTGGACGAAGTAGCAGGTGTCTTTCCGAGTGCCTGATGTTCGGAAAGAGATTGCGTCACACCCCTGTGATGCGCAAAGAGAGGCACACTGGTGAGCATTAGGCACCGCTTTGCCTTTGCTGTTCAGCGACTGGAGAATTGACTTGCAGGTCCATTTCCAGCGGACATTGTCGATCAAGACTTCGGCTTCTTGCGTTGATGGATCGGAACAGCAGGCATTGGGGTCATCTGACTCTAGGCAGCTTGGAAGTACTTCGGTAAAAGAAATCCAATCTGAATCAGGCTTCTGGTCGAGGTTGTCACCAATCACAAAGAAGCAATTATTTCCGCCGCGACCAGGCTTGCCAGATGATTTGAAAGCTGATGCCTCGCAAGACACGTCATCTGCGCAGAGTGACGCACAAGCATGGGCATTGTCAACCTTTTGGGGATTTCTGGGACTGAGAGATATCAAGCTCGACCCGCAAGTAAACTTGAAGGTGCGCTCATTGATGGAAACTTCGCCAGATGTTGCTCCTCCAGAGCAGCAGTCATTCGGAGTAGAGGAAGCCAGGCATACTGAGCTCGCGCCGATGGGGATTTGTTCGTCGGCGAAGGCGGAGGCCGCGCCTAACAGCAAAAGGAAGGATTTGGCAATCATGGTTAACCAAGGAACAAACTGAGTGGTGGTTGTAGCAGAAGGTTTTATCCTAGGTGCTGCAAGACCGAATAAATAACTTAGAGAGGCGGCAAATACGTTCTCTGAGCCCTTTTCTCCCTAGCTTTGGCGCTCCACCTGGATACAAGACATGATGTCAAGTCATGCGGTCATTAAGGAGAGAAGAGGTGTCAGGATCATAGACAGCTTGACGAGTTACATCGGTGGACCCTGAGGTGGGGAGCTAACACCCTGGAATGGCCAAATGATCCAGTTCAGCTCAGCCTTCTGCAGCAGGTGGGCCGGTGAGTCTGGAGTGCCGAAATCCTGAAAGAGCCAGTAGACCAATGAAAAGAGCTCGAAAGAAGGCAAAATGAGCTTCCTGCATATTATTGACACACGATGGTTACACTGCATGCACGGTAGAGCTGGGATCTGCAAGGAGGCTGCATGATTTGTTTTCAAGTTCCATATTCCTGCATTCTGCATATACCTCTGCGTCTCGGCAATGGCTCCACAAGCAAAAAAGCAAAAAGCAGATATACCATTGCCAATATGCCGATCCTACCTTCAATTCATTCATTTCCACTTCAGCTGAGTTCTAAGTTCAGGATGAACCATGGGGCCACGTAAATGTAGCTCTTTACTGTTTACGGAATGATTCTCACTCCAGGACGCACTAATCCTCCTGTGACAATCTCAAGTCCGGAGGAAAACTCTCAGGAAATCGATCTGAGTCCATTTAGCATAGGACTACAACAACCGTGTCTGATCGCAAAGTGAAAAGGAGTAGATAAAGGGATGACGCTCACCAGTTACTGCGTACCCTCGGTCGTTGTCCATCTAGTTGATTAACTCTCTCAGAAAGTTCACTTCTCGGCAGCCCCTCAATCCTGGAGGCTATCATGTCTTAACGTAGTATGTTATAGGGAAGCTAGCACACGTTGTTCTTTTTGCCTCGTCCGACCGGGTTGGGGGGGGAATTGTAGGCCATTAGCAAGCACTTTCATCTCCAGACTGACCTATCATATCTAGGTAAAACTAGATAATAATCATTCTAAACAATATTTTTAAACAATATTTGGCCGTTTTCTCATTCTGGTGCTCGTCCATGCTCAAGAGCGATTTGTTGCTAGAGTCGATCATCGTTGCTCGGCTTACTATGTCAATTTGTTGCAAGGGGCCAGTGAACAATGCAACCTCAATGAGATGGTATGCAGCATCTGAATTTTTAGCCGAATGCATCTCTGCTATTTCCGAGTGATTGCTTAGGTCAAGGGCCATTTCAGTATGAATACTTTCCATAAACTGATGCGTACAGCTCGTCCGTTATAGGAGTAAGAATGACTGGCACCATTGCGCTGTCACGACTTGGTCTTTTGCATTGATTAAGCTAGTGCCCATTGGAAAGTTATCGAATATTTGTGATTTGTGTTTTCTCTTTTTTCGTTTATTTCGAACGTCTGCTGAAAATGCTGAGATGAAATAATGGAGGTTCAAAATAGAGAGCCACCAAGAGCTACAAATTGCATCAGACTGGGACCTTATTCCAGAGCTCGGCGCCGTTTAAGTTGCAACTGATTATCGTTGTCCCATCAAACATATCCACATAGCCTACCTAATATTCCAATGACAGTTTCTTAATGTCTACAATGGCCCAGTCATATTTCCCGCTGGTGGATATCTCGTGGGCACGATCTCAATCGTAAGCTGCAAGAGATACAGTCTCCCGAAGATGTACAACGCCTACCTTTATAGTTCTTCAAGAATACCAAAAGTACACATCTAACAGATCCTTCGGGGAGTCTTGGTAAACCGGCCGCCGCTGGGACGGTATCCTCTTCGAATACAGCTTCGAGCCTGGTGGTGACAGTTACAAAGGATGCTTTACCAGTAAGCGAGTTATTGAAGGTCGTCGGACGGAAAAGCGTCTTTCTCTGAGCAGTGATATGACACTTTGTCTCGCAGAGTGCAAAACAATCTCGGCATTGCATTGAATGTGTCTGAGCCTGGGACCACTAACGCGCATGTCAATAAGTGACGCAGATTCATATACTGTGAAATAGAAGTTTTTTGTGGAATGGATGACCGGGCAGGGACGCGGGACCCGTGGACTAATAATGATTGATCCCGCACTCAGTGAGTTCTTATCCTATGCAGATGTGATTTACGCTCTTTCTTCTCTGTGACTTCAGGAAGAATAGTACTACAGAGACTAGTCGATTCCCGTTGATGACTTCACGATACTGAAGTGTCGCCGAGAAATGGTTGTTTTATCGATTTGCCGGGCCGCGGGCCGGTCCGATTACTCCACATGGCCGACCTATTGCCGACATGGCCTCGCCACTTCATCTAGCACATAATAATGCTTCATTCTTTGAATGATACTAGTTCCTCATTTGCATTCAAACAAATTTCCAAAAGAGATCTAGAAGCCCTGCCCATTCAGGTTTTTACGGTTGCAACAACATTTCCACTGAATCTCTGTCTAGAGCGATGATTCTCCAGGGCTGAAATCGAATTGGAATAAATGCTCTTCATGTCGTGGTGCTGACAAAAGCGAGAATATCATACAATATTGTTCTTTTGATGCTGTCTCTCGGAGTCTCGTATTGCTCGATGTGATTGTATCTGTAGATAAGACATGGTGTCATGTAGCTCAGACAGGAACGAAACTGAGTTTTTCAATGAGCTCGACTACATGATACATCTCTTGATATCTTCAAGCTATTTGCATTTTCAAAGCTCCTTACGGGGTTCAACCCTTCCGAACCAAATGCTGTCTTGGGGCCCTTCACTTTGACGGGGAACCATTGTTCACGCCGTATCTTAGTAATCTGTGAAAGGGTTCAACCAGTGTTACTTCTATTGAAATTTCGCGAGAATTTACTCTGGGTCGACATAGCTCTTCATGGCAACTATCGGGTACTTCATTGTATCGACACTTGCAGTTGCAATCTCTCCTTGAAGTGCCATCCGAAATCCACCAAATGCTTAGTTTCTTAAATGCAGCTAGTAGAACGAGCAGTGCCTTCAGACCTAGTCCAGTGCTCGCCATTCGAGTGTCGGAGGACGATGCGGAGTACTAGAGCGTAATAATTTCCAATATTCTTCTCGGTCTGATACTCTGTATCTCACCGCATTCACTAGCCACAGTCTACTGCAATGGCTGTATAAAGCAGCTCTAATCTGATGAGTACATACTGGAGCTCATTTATCTTGCTCTGTCCCACGAAGGTCTCTACCAAGCTCTTCGTGTTATTAATCTGCCTAGTTTTGATTCTCCATACGACAGTCTTGACGAGTAACAATCATGTGCGTACTTAGACAATTTCGCGTGCGATTACAGGATCACCTTGAGGTAATTTGACTCCGATGAAATTTTAGTAATAGCTCTGTCTACCTTAAGTTCTCATGCAGACAAATTTTTTAAATCTATCCCATTTCTACAGGATTCCTCAGAAAGGTCTCCCTTACAATGAATGGTATGCTGTGCCCCTCCAGTTCACCCCGCATGCCAAGCCCACAAATTGAACAAAGAGCCCTGGATTTCTCTGCCCCCAGCCCGAAGGCAGTCTAACTTCTCAATCCTAGATAAATTACATGATGTAGCCGGCTAGATCAATAAAAATCCAGACTCTGACTTCGTCTAGTATATTTTCAAGCTATCTCAAACGTTGCACCAGTGCGATGTACGATTACTCATCCCCATCTTCGGAGCTTCTATTAATCCGGATTTCATGCAGTCGGAAAATGGAGCCCCGCTGCGGTTGCATCATCCTCCATCACTCTCAATTTTCAACTGCAACTCAATTATCTTCATCATGGGTGTTATCAAGGATACTGTTCAGCCTGGCGATGGCCAAAACTTCGCCAAGCCTGGTGATAACATCTCCATGCACTACACCGGTCACTTGGAGACAAAAGACGGAGAGGTGTATGTTTTCGATCTCGGATCTAGCTAAGACTCAGCGAATGGAGATTACAATCAGGATACTAATCGCGACTTCAATATAGCTTTGACAGCTCTGTCTCTCGTGGTGTTCCCTTCCAGACCCCCATTGGTGTCGGAAGAGTCATTACTGGTATGTCTTGAAGTCGTTGTGTGAAGGGATCTATTTGTCCGATGACAGCTGCTGATCACGCGATATAGGTTGGGAAGAGGGTGTTCCCCAGATGAGCCTTGGCGAAAAGGCTCTTCTCACTATCACCCCGTAAGCAGCTTCTCTCGATTTTAATTTTCCTGGATTTTTCTAAGTTTTCATCTAGCGACTACGGCTACGGTGCTCGTGGTTACCCCCCTGTCATCCCCCCTAACTCCACACTCGTCTTGTAAGTCTATATGTCTGCGAATATGGAAATTTTGAGATATGGACAAAGCTGACAAATATAATAGTGAGGTTCAGCTCCTGGCCATCAACAACCTTCGCGCTCAGTAGATGCTTTGCACCTGAAAAGTGACATAAGGAAATGACTAAATAGCTGCCCAAAGATAGAGATAGCCGTGCCTTATAATGGATGGCTAATAAGGGAATGGAGGATTAACCAAAATTTCAATGGACTTTTTGTTTTCCTCCATAACTTCTACACTTACTTCTACACTTACTTCTACACTTACTTCTACACTTAACTTTATTATAATATACCACTGACGTGAGTTATCAGGTGGTAGCAATTCTTGGCATAGCCCGTAGAAATGTGTAGGTAAAGAAAGGTGCATAACAAATGAGTGAGTTGAAATAATGCGATACTAATTCATTGCTCTCTGGTCACAGCTCAAAACTGCGAAAAAAATCATGCGAAACCAAATAATCATCCTCATGTTTTCAATGTTTTCAACCTTTAAAGATTTCTATTTCACTGCTTACCGATCAAATCATTAAAGTTATCCAAAGGCGCGTCAACTTCAACAAGATTCCAAACCTGCTCAATCTGCTCCGCTATCTTCGGGTCAAGAGGACCCTTGGCAAACGCAGCAAGAGTCTGATTCAGCTGCTCGATGGTGCGCGTGCCAAAAATAACCCCATCCCCAAACTCTCCACTTAGTGCTGAGTTGTGTGCCACCCAACGATATGCTAGTTCGGCCTTGGGAATGCCAGACTCCTTTGAAATCTTATCCCAGAGTCTCAAGCCCTCAAGCATATGCTTCTTATTATAAAGGGCATGGTAAAGACCTCCAATCATTGACTGCGGATCCCATCGACCTTCGCCACCAGAAGCAATCACCTCTGCGCCCTTAGTCAAGAATCCACCCGCAATAGGCGAATAAGCATTAAAGACAATATTGTGCTTGCGCAATGTGGGTAGCAACTCTTTCTCCGCGCGACGTGCGACGGCGGAGTAGTTTCCTTGGTACACACTAGGCAGGGGATATCCCTTCTCGCGACAAACACGAACGACTTCATCCACCTCTGTAGCTAGGAAGTTGGAGAGACCGAAGCGCTTGAACTTTCCGGCTTGGTAGAGGGTGTTTACACCGGCCAGAAGCTCCTCGAGAGGGAATCGACGATCGGGTGCATGAATGTAGTAGACATCCACCTTTCGTGGCGTTAGGGTCCATCATCTGTCAAATTTGTTGATGCATACCTGATCTGTTTGTAAAAGGCTCAAGCTCTGGTTCGCAATTGAGCCAATCAATTCTTGGGAGTTTGCCTCCGGGGCAAACCCGCCGGGGTGTTTTGTATCAATTGCGAAGCGAGAGGCAGCCTTGACTTGGCCAAGACGCTCCTCAGAGCTCTGGTAAATTCTGGCTGTGTCGATCGTTTTGACACCGTTGGCTTGCAGGATGTCTAGAGCTGCGTTGACAGAATCAAGTGTGGGGTAAGATGCCTCGTCCATGATAGAGCCTCCGCCCCAGATGAGATTAATAGGAGCCATGGTTGATTGATTCGGATGGTTTATTAGGGACTGTGGACTGTGGACTGTGAATAGATGATGCACTGATGATAGCTCCAGAATTTCACTGTGAAACCGAGTTGGCTTTATAGCAGATGCTCCGTGGTTGATCCGTGTTCCAATGTTAATACCGTTAACTCCACCGGGATTATAAATCTCATCGATGCCGTTGATGTCATGATCAAATTGCGCGAGAACATTCCACTCTGAGAATAGGGTTGTTTCATTGATTTCTAAGCTCCTGCGAATTGGATATTTCCCGGTTCCCCTAAATCAGCCCCTGCATGAAACTGAACTGACTTTCCGCTCAATTTCCAGTTCTCGAACGCGGGTACACAGGAGATGTTTCATTGAGTCGATCCTTGGATGAGCATTCTGAAAACCTCAATTCCAAAGAATTTGTAATATCCAAAGCCAATCATAGATCCAAATACAGATAAAAGACCAATCGCTGCTGCTAGTCCATATCCAAGAATCATCCCTCCTAAGGCGAGGCTTTTAAGCATGCCCACGAGGAATGAGATTAGTGTCAAAGTCCAAATAAATACCAGAGGTATCAAGAGAAGTCGTTGGATGAATTTCAAGCCCGGGAGATTTTGAACAAACCTACCAACAGGTTGCTTGATCCAATCGGAAAACACCAATATCAAAACACACAGGGCCGAAAATGTTACGAGGAGAACGACCACCCCGATGAAGTCGTATAAAAGGGCACCCAGGTCTTTGAACCGACTTTGCATGCTAAGCACACCGGTAGCAACCGACAGAGGAAGAAAGACAGTAGCAAGAATTGTCAGACGCTCGACACTGTTTGTTTGTTTCAAGTTTCGCTCCAGGTCGAGAAACCTCAATGTGCTTTCCAGATCTTCATTGAGCCTTGTCAGACGCCCTTTCATCTCTGTGAATAGTCCTTGAAGCTCCAGTTCGAGTATGCGAAGTGCACTCCCTTTTTCAGAAGTTGGATATTCAAATCCTGACAAGGTCCTTGTCATTGTGAGAAGTGACTCCAAAGTGCAAATCAAATCATTTCCATTGCTTGTCAACCGACGGTGAAATTCACCTTCTTTCACAACTTCTTTGAAAATCCAACTCAGCTCAGAAACCCGTGGATCAAAACGTGCTTTTCGAAAGGTATTGTGCTCTAGCGTGTAGCTGTGTAAAGATTGTGCAAATTTTATCAAATTTGCATGCTGGTATTGAAGGAGAAACATTTGTTTCCAGTTTTTTCGCGTTCGCATCGGCCCATAAATGTGCTCAAGATCTAGTATATCTGCGACAAAACTATGCCTGGAAGCTGTGAGACCTAAATCTCGTTGCTTCGACAAGCTTGGCTTGCACGATATCAGAACTAGACCAGAGCATTATCAATATTTGATTATATTCGATTATCGCACATGGAATGAACAAAACAGACTGACCTGTCAAGCGGTGACATGCATCTTCATGAAGCATTATTCTGTTCACCATTCCCGCAAAGTCATGAGAAATACCGTTTAAAATCAACGCAAGACCAGATTGATGTTGTGTAGATTCAAAAAGACCTTGAGATGACTCAAAATACCATGGATCCATGTTATCTGGCGCTGGATGCGACAAAAACAATCCGCGATCCAAAATATGAATACCTTCAACGACATACCATACATGGTTGGCGTTAGACTTCCACAGAGACATCAGCCCATTAAATCCCGTTCGGTAGGATTTCAGCTTCGGATCGACTCCAAAGTTGCAACTGTAGTAGTTCTGGAGCAGTTCCTGAAATACAGGTCTGTCGCATATTTCATCGATGTACACACGTATTGTGCTAGTGTCCTGCTTTTGCCTTTCCAACTCCGCAACAGCACCAGAAATCTCATCTTCACTGTGAGCTTGGGTGATAAGAAAGATGTCACTGGTTCCTGAAATGGAAATGTCATAAACACCGAGATAACAGTGCTTGCCAGACATTCTGGGCTCATGGAATAACCAGGATTCTCAAAGACAGTTTCAACGTCTCTACACCAAGAACTAGCAGCCGCAGTCTATCCGAAGCTCTTGACGTCTAATCAGCTTGGGTAGTCTGAGATGTTGTGGGGTAGCTTGTTGGTGCCTGCGTGCTTCTGGCGCCTACGCATGCATGTCAGATTGTCGCATCGCAGGCATCACATGATCTGACTTAGGTCTTACTGGGCGGAAGAACAAATCTTTTTGTTCTAAACGAAAACAATATCTAATCGACAAGGCAGGCATTGGAGATTGCAGGTCTCCGAAAGTCAACTGGCGACTCGGTAGCTTCCACGGGTAAGCAATACTCGAAGGTTACGGGTTTATTCATCATATGAATCGAATAGCCGAGAGAGCCCAGTGAGATCTCTTTCTTTGAGCTACGTTCTACGGGGTCTCATTACACTTGGGCTCGAAGCCCCTAGCAGCGTGGGTCCGAGGTATAAAGCCGACTCAGGACCGGCAAATCGGCTTCCCCGCATATAAGAATTGGAGATTCTCCACGACTTTTTTCCCTTGTCCCCCGGACATCGTCAATCTCCCTCTTAAGAATATCATTATGCCCCCGCGTATATCAATGGCACACCTCCGCCCGCGCATACAGCCGCGAAGAACCCAACCGGGCGCAAACCGCAGCTTCGCCAACTCGCAACGTCTCCACTCTCCAGAGGCCGCGGCAGTAGCATCCTCATTCTTGTCGCGCTTTCAATCCCTTGGACCACAGACCCGGACACAAACTATCGATGCCAATCAGCTCCAGCTTCTCTCGCTCACTCTAAATCGCCCGACTCTTTTCCCCGGGTCCCCCTCGCTATCCAATGGAGCATCCGCCCCGCAGTCTGAAACCCCCGTGCCGCCGGGCTACCACCTCGCATATTTCACCCCTGCATTTATGGAGAGTGAACTAGGTGCCGATGGAACCGATATATCTTACAATCCGGACGTACCGTTTACGCGACGCATGTGGGCGGGCGGCGAGGTGCTCTGGCCACGCAGTGCAGATGGAAAGCCCAATCTGTTGCGGGTAGGACAGCAGGTGAAAGAGACAACACGGGTCCTGAATGCAGAGTCCAAGGTCGTTAAGAATACTGGAGAGTATATGATTGTCGTTGGGGTTGAAAAGGAATTCTCGAATGAGCATGGGGTGTCAATCATTGACCGGAGGTATGGCTTTCCTCGCGCGAGGAATATCAGATCGAATCACTGACTTTATGCAGGAATTGGGTGTTCCGTAAAGCTCTTCCCATCCCAACAGAGTCAAACCCCTCTAGTGCTTGCTCGACAGACTCTCATCTTTCAACCATGAACCCTACTTCTACTGCTATCTTTACCGAGGGGAGCACTCACTCGCGGACATTGGTTCAAACCGCCGTGACACTCTTCCGTTTCTCTGCCTTGACCTTTAATCCCCATAAGATCCACTATTCTTTGCCCTGGGCCCGAGATGTCGAGGGACACAAGGATATCGTTGTACACGGTCCGCTGAATTTGATCTCTATCTTAGATCTTTGGCGAGACACTCGTGGTTCAAAGGTCGCAGATCCAACATTAGTCGTGCCCCAGCGCATTTCATACCGGGCTACGAGTCCTTTGTATGCCGGAGATGAGTATCGCATTGTTATGGAGGACGGTGAGCCAACAAAAGTACAAATTTTAGCTCCTGGGGGAGTTGTTGCTATGAAGGCTGAAATTCAACAATGAAACGGACCGAGATATATTTGAACGGGTAGATATGAATGAGCTACACTAAGACTCTGAGAAAAATTCAAGCTTCCTCTATTTTACCTCCCACAATTCAACTGAACGAGGAGAAATTAAACCAAACCAAAGTCAAGACAGTGGTTTTCCAATGGTAATGTGAATAGTTCAGGGATCCAAGGTTGATGGCCCCCACCTGGGCACCCGTCTTATGTTATCTGTCAGTGCTTGGATCACGTGTACTGGATTTCAGAGGCGCCTTGGATTGACCAAAGAACCTGAGCCTCTTTCATGTTAGCAGCCGTTTTCAAAAAAGAAAACTTCCCGAGCCCAAAGCGAGACTTGAATGAGAATGGACGACCAGGACCCCGCAGCGGAGACGCTGGCCCCCAAGAAGCGGACTCGTGTCCAATTTTCATGCACAGCATGCAGGTTTCGGAAGTAAGTAACTGTTATTCGAATGCCCACTGCAACTTCTGACTGGGACCAGGTTGAAGTGTTGTCGCAACCACCCATGTACCAATTGTAAAAAGCGAGGTGAAGCAGCAGCATGCACCTACGTTGGTCGCGGCCCACGAGGCAAGGCCCATCATGGACAGTCCAGCCCGACTCTTGTCCAAGACCGCCTGCATCATCTAGAAAACCTGGTGATGTCGCTGGCTCAGAAGCAGCAGCCTGAAGATGAGTTTGAAATTGATTTCAATGCCCCACCAGGGTCTCGGGGCGCTTATGTGACGCCCTCCCCCGCCTCTGACCGGGATGCCATATCGACTTCAGTTGATACAGGCACATTGTTCGTGAAGAATGAGGGAACTAGTTACATTGATAGCGCAAACTGGCGCGCTATCTTGGAAGAGGTGTGTTTTCGATGGCGCTACGCTTGTAAATGACCATGCTGACTGGTTTGCAGATTAATGGAGTGCGAGAGTACCTAGACCAGAATGGAGCTGACTCCGATGATGAAGGTCTTGAGGATGACCCATATGAATCATCTTCACCTATTCTACTGTTTGGCAGTTCTCGACCGATAACCAAGGAGGAGATGCTTGTGGACATCCCTCCACGATCAATAGCCGATCGTCTTATTTCTCGATTCCTCAAAACGACTGAGCCCGCACTTGGTAAGAAAAGTTTAATTTTGAAGCGAATCATGAATACTAACATTACAAACAGTTGCAATCCATGTTCCTACATTTCAAAAAGAGTATGAACAATTTTGGCAAAACCCAAGTGAAGCTTCATTCACCTGGATCTCCCTTTTATATTCGATGATGGCTCTATCGGTTTCCATGTATCACCGAAGTGCAGAGCCATTACCCATTGATATGTCGACTCCGACAACGGCATTGAGTACATTCCGCAAAAGATCGTCTCAATGCCTTATCAAGGCAAACTACATCAATCCAGGACGATACAAAGCGCAAGCATTATTTTTTTACACCTTGTCTGAATTTTATCGGAGCCAAGATGCTCAAATTGGAGTATCCTACCTGCTTGGAATGGCCCTTCGCCTTGCTATGCGCATGGGTTACCATCGCGACTCTCATCATTACCCCATGCTCTCAGCTTGGGAAGGAGAAATGCGCCGGCGCCTCTGGGCAGTACTTGTGCAACTTGATACACTAATCTCGTTCCAAGTTGGCGTCCCTAGAACCATTCAACCGTGGCAATACGATACTGAATTGCCCGCAAACTTGCTCGATAGTGACTTTGATGAAAATTCCACTCAATTACCACCCTCAAGGCCTGAAGATCAACGAACAGCATCTTCATACACGAGAGCAAAATCCCATATTATGAAAGTCTTTGGTCAGATCACAGACTTAGCATTTTCTCGGGAACCCTCTTCCTATGATGAGATCTTGGAAATTGACCGCCGCTTGCAGACCTCCCGTGATATGTCACCTTTGTTCCTGCGAATGAAGCCAATGACACAATCAATTGCAGATCCTACAGAAGTCATCATGCGCCGGTACACTTTAGAGCTTTTGTACCAGAAGGCACGAGTTGTGCTGCATCGCCGGTATATCGGTGAGACGAACCCCAAATTTGCATACTCGCGATCAGTCTGTCTCACCGCAGCTCGCGAGACATTACGACACCACGCAGAAATATGGAGCGAGTCCATGCCAGGTGGCCAACTATACGCAGAGCGTTACTTCTTGAATTCCCTGTCAAACTCGGACTTTGTGCTTTCAGCCATGATTTTATGCCTTGGGTTATCACAGGACGAGGATCGAGGCGGTGCTGCGCGTCTCGGTGAGCAGGAACGTGCGGATTTCGTTGTCCTTTTGGAAACCACACATCGCATTTTCCTGGAATCACAGCATCACTCTGTAGACACGCAGAGGGCAGTGACTGCTCTGACTATTATGCTAAGTCGTGTCAAGGATAGCAGAGTCCAGCATCCTCGAACGAACACTAATCAAATCATGCCAGCCATCCATAGTACAGTGCACCTACATCCTCTTCATCGAACATAGCTAACAAATATCTCAGATTTCACTCCGCCTCAGTCACATGGTCAGTCAGTATTGGACAGACATGTTCAAACGTTCCCAGCGGTTGCAGAAGTACCAAATCAAATGCACATACCCGACCAGACGCCGGCGTACAACTCACTGGGGGTAATTGGAGACATGTTAAATCTTCCAGCTCAGCTGGACTGGGTAAGATTCCTTGCATTTCATCTTTGATGGCTGAAGCTAATTGACCATGTAGCGCTTGTACGACAGCCGCATCTCTGGGATAGAAATGGCCACGAATGATAACGTCTGGTACTCTGCTTCCTCACCGGCGCCAGCATTTGACTTTGGCTCACTCTCCTCTGGCGTGTCACCGATGGATCATCCAAACTATCAAGTATAATGACTGAGAACTGCAGGTGTACATGTAGTTAATGAACATAGTTAACGTTATTTGTATAAGACATTGATCTGCTAACAGCCCATTGTAATAATTGTCAAGAGGACAATGGGGATATCAACAACCGAGAACTTCTGCACCAAGTAAATCTACGTCCAGCATGATTTGTTGCAGTCAAACAAGTCCAGAGTGCATACCAATTCCTGCCGAGGCGTGGAGTCTCCGGCGCAGATCCCGCGGAACGGGGACTTTTTCCAGCGCAGCACAACCACTGCCAGGAACCAACCTTGTTAATCTTCCTTCTACACACACGCCTCAATGCGATCCTTCCGCGCCGTACGACTCCTCAGTCGTCCAATTACCTCAACTACCGGGTTCCAACATATCCCCAAGCAACAACTATCCCAACAACAGCGAACAATAACCACAACCCAGCGACCAAGCCTGACTCGAGCTCTTCCCTCAAACAATGCCACCAAACCAAGCCAACCAAGCAGGTCCTTTGGTCTTCCCTCACTATCAGACTTCCTCCCCTCAAACGGCGACAACAACAACTCCCCGCACCGCGTCCTGACCGCAACCCGCAACCTCCCCTTCAACCCACCTCTCCTCTTCAAAGTAATCTCCTCGGTGGAATCCTACAGCCAATTTCTACCATTCCTCACAGCATCAACGGTGACAGCCCGCGATCCGGAAACAAATGACCCTACACAGGCCTTCCTAACCGTCGGCTATGGGCCCCTCAGCGAGACATTCACCTCGCGCGTGATCTGTGACCGGGAGAAATTGACCGTGGAAGCGAAGAGCGGATCGAAGTCTGGGCCAGAGGGAGCTGAGAAGAGTGCTTCGTCATCTTCTTCGTCTGGTTTGAGTGGGTTCTTCCCCGGTGCTACGGAGGGTATCTTTGAGTATCTGTCTACCCGGTGGGAACTTGTTCCTATTACATCTGCTGAGGCGAAGGGTGGTCCGTTGACGAAGGTCAATCTCGAGGTGCGGTTTGAGTTCCGGAGTCAGATGCATGCTACTCTGATGAGTGCTGTCGAGGGGCAGATGGCTGGTGTTATGATTGAGGCATTTGAGAAGCGGATTCGGGAGGTTGAAGGGAAGGGATTGTGAGAGTTTGTATAAGTTGTGTGGATGGACTGAGTATTTTGTACATCATAGGAGTTTGGGATTGGTATATACGCATCTTGCATGTGCTGCGGTAGATTTGACTTTAGACAGCAGACGGATTTAGAGCATATCGCCAATTGATTCTATTGGATGGATTCGCTGTACAAGACCTCAAAAAAGGCCTGTAGATGAAAGTAAACATGGACCAGAAAAAAAAAGAAACATGATAGTATATAATACAGATTATCCAGACACAGAAATGATTTTCAGCTTAGAGCATGCTCATGCTCCGGCCGCGGTTAGCAGAGCTCCGCACGCCCTTGAGCGAGCTGACGGCATTGTAGTTGTCGGACACCACATCCCAGTTAATCCGATCCCACCAGCGCTCAAGGTACTCGTCCTTGCCGGCGATACCATAGTCCATCATCCAGGCGTGCTCCCAGGTGTTGACGCAGAGAATAGGCTGGACGTCAAGGGCGCCGGGGGCGAGGTTCTTTTGGTTCTGGGCGTGGGCACCCATTGAGCCGGCGAACTGGTTACCCAGCTGGGTCTCGGGGGTGTGGGTGGACATGTCGACAGGTTGACGGCGGGAGTGGGCGGCTGGGTAGGGAGAGCCGGCGTTGTAGGTGCAGAAGATGTGCATCATGCCCTCACGCTCGAGGTTCTTAGCGAGCCAGACGAAACCGGGACCGAACATTGAGCTTGCTGTGGCCAGGAAGTCCAACTTCAGGGACTCGACGGAGGAGCAGGTGTCGACGATGTCCTTGGAGAACTTTTCGGGGATGGTGGTGGCTGTGGGAGACTGAAGGTATTGGTTAGGATGGTGTGATTCTATGCAGTATTAAAGCCATTGCTCACCAAACAGTTGAAAAAGAAGTGATTGTTGTGAGCCATTGAGGCGTAGTTGAACACTGAGGCCATCTCCGGACGCCGGGAGTACTTGACCAGCAATTCTCCGGGTTTGGCATCGGCATCGACAGTGTCTATAATTCCATAGATTAGATATGAAGTTTCAGATATGCACCATCACGCATTGGTTCGATGAAGAACAAATTGGACCGGTGTGTTGTTCCGCAGGGTCGGAGTGCCGAACTCACCTTGTGTCAACAGGTTGAGCTTGTCAACGAGCAGGGTCTGGTATTGGGTCCAGGAAAAGTCGAAAGCCTCAGGGGAGAGGAACTCCGGGATACCGTTCTCCTTGTAGGTGGCATCGTGCTGCAATTGAGGAATGCGATGAAGGCCACGGATCTGGAAGCGCGAGAAGGCGGAGGTAGGCTAGACATAACGCGATCAGTAATTGCGATCGGGGTAACGGACGGACTGAAACTCACCGGGATAGAAGATGAAGCCACGCGCAAAGCGCTCTGCGGCCTGGCGAGTCGGCTGAACATGACGAGGGGTACTGTGAATGGTCGAGTCTATCGTGCAGAGCTTCGACGTCGAAGAATTTCCCTCCCGACGTGATGCCCGATTGGGACTAGTCCATATTATATAATACATCCACCCAGCAGCCAATCACAGCCCCCCGAACTACTTCACCTCTACTGTACACACAACTTTCCATATTGTAGTCGCAGTTTGATCTTGTTCTAATAATATCGATAAAACTTACCTATAGATTCATGCCAGTATAGTCAATGACTCCGGTCTCAAAAATTAGGGAACCGAGTTTTGATGTTTGATACTTTGTTGAAATGGCATACACATAACTTGCATACTTTCTCCCCGTTTTCTCGCTCAACTCTTTTCTTTTGTCTTCTTATAGTCTCACATCCAATCTTCTTTCCGTACTTCCCGGCTCTATTGTGGTTCTGCAACACTTCTCAGAGTTAGCGCCCATCTAGCTCCTGATTTCATCATGCGGTCGACTTTGAAACAGCCCAGCGCCTATTTTAGGACGGCGCGTGCTCGGAATCTTTGTATGCAAGACAGTGCATTGGGCTGAAGAATGACATTCGTTGGCTTCTTTTATTAATTTTCCTTTCATCTATTCTGAATCAATGCCCTTGTCTTTTGTCTTTCCCCCCCCCATTGGAATCTTTCTTCAGTGTTGACCTTCCGCTTTTTTGATCTACATTCAACAAAAAGACACTGGCACACTTCTACTTCTCGGATTTCAACGTATTTCTGGACAAGTTCCACCCGAAGATTTGGCAGAAGTACATAATATCACCGAAGAACACGTCCACTCAACAGCATGGTGTGCTCAATAGCCAGCAGCAGAAGACCATCCATCTTGCTTCTCTTGACTCTTTGGGCTAGCATCGGACAAGGATATGCATTTGACTCCCTCAGTCTGACGACCAGAGCCTCCGATTCATGTCCTAGTTCATATGACCGCTGCGGTAGCACGAAACTTCCAGACAACTTCTGCTGCTCATCCGAATCAACCTGCATCAGTTTGGACGATGCCACATCCGCCATCTGTTGCCCCAAAGGCAATGACTGCCAGTACATCACACCTATCGTCTGTGACATACAGCAACAAAACGCCACTCTCTATCCATCAAATCCCATCAAGACAACGCGTCTCGGCGACAGTCTTCCAAAATGCGGCGACAAGTGCTGCCCATTTGGCTACAGCTGTAGCGGAACCACTTGTGTCATGAATGAGGCTGCCGCAACAACCGCAACAGCCTCAGTCTCCGAGTCCACAACCACAACTGGCTCTTCGTCCTCAACCTCATTTACCGGATCCGCAACACTCGGTGCAACTTTTACCCCAGTATCATCTCCATCGGCGGCAGCCTCCACAAACGCTACATCAGCAGTCCTATCAGAAACGTGTCCCTCATTCCCAAGCAAAGCAATAGCAGCAGGGTTCTTCCCAGGAGCAGTCTTCGGCGCTGCCACCGCCCTCCTAATATCCCTCTGTCTCCGACGCCGCGCTCGTAACGCTGAGACCAAGATCCAGGAGTCAAAATTCCCATCGCACTGGTCTCATCGTACTTCCACTGGGGCTGTAATGAGCATCTCAAGACCAATAGTCTCCGAAGACGCCTCTTACCGCACCGACTTCCTCCTGCGAACTCCACTAGATGCCAAACGCACTTCGGCTGGAGGACGCTCTACTCGCTCTAGAATGCATCGTACCGGAAGCCGAGTGAGAAGTCTTTTCCACAACAATCCACGATTGGAAAAAGACGTACCACCTATCCCGGTTAATCCTGTCACTCCCCCGAGACAACGTGAGCCTAGTACGGAGAGTATCAAAGTTTACTCTCCACCTGGAACATTTGCACAGCCCAGGAAATACCTCGGACCAGAACCGTATTCTGCTGCGAGTGCGAGGCCTGATACTACTTTTACGGAAATGATTCAAGGGCATGGATTCAGTGGACCCCAAGGGCAACCTTCTTATCGTATTCGTGAGGATTCGAAAGAGAATCCGTTCAGGGACCCGCCTACACTTGTTTGAATGCGAAGTAGTTGAGTTTTGGTTGACCTCGGATAGAAACTCCCTCGATACAAATTTTGTTTCACTTGCATATGGACGGTGTACCATGATATCCATGTTTGTATTCTATCCTTTGTTTTGAATGGTTGGATGTCATTTGTTGAGATACCTATTTGCTTTCTTAATTAATACAATCAATGCAGCTTTCGATTTATATCGTGCCGCTTAGAAAGCTGCTTGTCATAGCAACAAGTAGGAGCAAACGTCAGACAGTAAGACTTAGGGATGATCAGGAGAAAGATGCTCGAATGGGTGTATATAGAAACTCTTAGAATACATGAAAAAAGGAAAATAATAAAGGGCCTAAGCCGCCGCTGCTGCTTTCCTCGCTTTACGGGCAGCTGTAATCCTCTTGAGCTCCTTAATCAAGCTGACTACAAGGGGCACACCAATAGGACCCAACAGAGGCAGGTAAACAGCGACCTTGTGCTCATCAGGGAAGTAGACCTGACCAACCATACTCTTCTCAAAGAAGCTACGCTCAGCTTCTGTCTCGGCAACACGGGCACTGGCAAGCGCAGCACCGAAGCGGCCCTCTCGCAAGTGAGAGCAGGTAGCACCTAGGTGGGAGAGTGTGGTAGAAACAGAAGAGGCGACACTGGCTGGGATAGGGATTGAGGGAAGAGATTCGGTGAGACGGGCCAGAGAACCCATTGTAGATGATGCGGAGAGAAGGAGGGTGGCTGCGCGGATACGAATGGAGGTCTGAAGACGGAGGGGAAGGGATGCCGGCGTGCTTGGCGTACCAAGAAGAGTGAGGAGTTGGTGAGAGAATGTCATAAACGCAGGACCCAGAGAATCATGAGAAAGATGGGCGGGATTGGACTGACCCTGCTCGGAATTGGCAAGGGCCGGGTTGAGGAGATATACTCCACCCCATTGGGGAACAATCCAACTTGAAGCTCGGTTTTCCTTGACAACCAAGGGGGACTGGGATGGGTCTGGGACGTAGAGAATGAAGTTGATTGTAGGTCCATTGCCGATGCTTGGGTTGAGGGGCCACTCGGCAGCGTTGACGAAGGCGCTGAGGTCCTCCTTTTGGAGTGTCCATGCAGCCTCTGCCTCGTCATATACGGGACGCGGCGCAGTAGGTGCAAAGTTTGCATACAGCTGCACCTGCGTGTCGACCGTAAAGTTGCTGATGGGCTCAAATGCCTGCAGGAGTGGAGTAAGGTACACCTTCACCGCAGCCTCAATGTCCCAAGACGATGGCTCGGATCCCGGAGTAAAGAGAGAGAAGGAAAGATGATATGTCTCGGCATATTTCATCGATCTGCGCAGTCTGCGACTGATACTCTCGGCGAGTGGTGGAGACGTCGAGTCAAGGCCGCCAGTGTGTCCGGACAGAATGTGTGCTATCGTAGCCTTCTCCTCGCCATACAATCGCTGCAGCTCTTCCGCAATGAATGCAGAAAGCGGCGAGTTCGAAGAGGAGGGCACGGGGACCTGGCTCGGAGGATAGAATACATCAAGCTGCGTCGTGGCTGCATGAAGCTCAGACCGAGGGGCTGCAAGACCCTCTTCGGCCAGCAGACGAACCGTCAATGCAGTGTCTGGCGCCTGTCCTTCGGCACTTATGGCTCCTTCCAAACCATTGTCGGCATTATGTGACACAGTTGCGCTGTCGTTGGCAAGCTTTAGGCGGAGGTGGTGTGCCGCGAACTCGTTCAGATCATCGAGGGTATGTTGTGTAGTTCGAAGCAGATGCTGTGACTCAATATATTGCATCGAAGGTGTGGCAAGGTGAATTTCCAAGGGGAAGACTGGTCGACATGCCTAGAAGGGTGTTTGTTAGCATCCAACCTCCGAGACCAGAGACAATTGCACGCGCTGTACCTTTCCATCGGCCCAGTCCACCATCTCCTCGACGGGGAGATGCGCCCTGTAAATAGACGTTGTCTTCCACCATATTGGGAATCCTAAGAATATAATCACTGCCCAGAATGCAGCTATCACTCGAAATCGCGTTTGGACGGCAGTCGGGGTCTCTGGGGGTGGAGGGCTTTGTGCAGTGGATTCGTTGACTTGTAATGTCGGTTCTTGAGGAGACGCTCGGTCTCCTTGTTTGGTCGTCATAGTCGAAACATGCTCTCTGGAGAGCTAAGGAGGAGGTGGGTATTCGTGTTTGGGGAAGGTTCCCGGGCGGAGAGGCCAGGGACCAAGGTGGCCGGCCGCATTGAGCATAAAGACTTTCAACTGACATTTCGGGTTCAATTCGATTCTAGTGGAAATTGTCTTGTAGAATAAAATAACTGATTCGTCTATTACGTCTTGCGACTACGGAGATTGATATTTTCCAAGGCATATCTACGATCTCAATAGGAATGATAGGCTTGAGTATAGTTGAGTAAGTGATCAAGTCTCAAATGAGGCTTAATCTTGTCATTGTTGACATGTTTCAAAATCGCAAATAAAAAGGGTATCATGCCCAGTAACGCCGATCCAATGTAGCGGTCAAAGGCTAACAGGCCTTCAAGCCGTACAACTATGCAATGTCTAGTATTCCTTCTCGAAAATCTTCTGGATCGGTTTGGCGGCCTGAAAGCTGTCAGTAAGGTCTTTGACCATCATAATTATCGAACTTGAGGTACATACGTCCACAAACTTTTCAAGGTCCTGGTCGAGGTTCGCCAGGTCGTCCTTCCTCTTCTTGTTCTCCGCAATCAAAGCCTGCTTGCGCTTCAGCAGCTCTTGCCGCGCTTGTTCGAGCTTCTCTCGCTCAGCATGCTCATGGTTGATGCGGGCGATCATCAGGTCATGTTCGTTGGTCTCGCGATGTTCCGGGTAAAGCTCAAGAAACTCCTCCACGGGAATCAAGGGAAGAGATCGGTATTTATGACTGTCACACAATATGTTAGCTTATCGCAGGAACAGAAGAGCAACCCCCTAAATGATAATTTCAATCACATACTCATATGCTTCACATGCTGCGATCTCACCAGTGAGGTGCTTCTGTTCGTAGTAGAGGTTCTGCAATTGCAGATGAAGTCGGTCGATCTCCTGTCGGGCCTCTGCCGTGGCTTGCTTGGTATCGCGAACGCGGAAAATAGCTCCTCGATTCTGCCCGCGGAGTTGAGCCAACAAGGCGAACAAGACCTTTTGTTGCTTAGAGGCGGCCAAGGATATTTCTTGGAGTTTGGAGGCGTCGTTGGGGAGGGTGTCGGGGTTTAGGATGGAGAGCAGCTGATTGCACTGCACCAGCGTCTCAGCACTAGTCTGCAGGACCGGTAGGAGCGACTCCTCGGTGACGATCTCACTGATAGCCATGGCAAAAATTGTAAGATCTTGAAATTTTACCCCGGTGGCGAGAGAGGAGAGAGACCAAGCCGAAAAACATGTGGAGATGGGAAAAGGCGGGAATCAATCAGGCGCAAGGCGGTACCATGTGCATCCTTGGCTGGCACTGGTTGGGACGCCTTCTCTCCTTCATCTTTCTCTCTTTTCTCCCAACCCTTGATTTGTTGTGTTTTTGAGGTCTTCATAGCCCCTCCTTCTTTTGACGGTCCTTGCACTCCTTTATTCTCCCGGATCCCTCGGCCTCAACCTCAATCTCAACCTCAAACCTCCCCCGTCCCGATACCACCCTTCCCCCTCAACGCTTACACTACATGGCCTTCAGCTGAACTAGACTCTCATGGCCTGCGGCACTTCTTCAATGGCGGTAGAGTCTTATCCCGAAACAGAGGCGTTTGCCTCTGCTACTGCGACCCCCAGTGAGGAGACCGGTCTTCTCCGCGATCGGCGGCGCAGACATTCATTCCAAGTTTCTAGAAGACTGTCGTGCGACTATCAAGATGCCGACGCAGTTTTCGTTCGAGTATGTGACGACTGTCCTCCACAGAACTGCTCACTTGATATGATAGGTCTAACTAAATCATAGGTCGAACTGTTCCTAGCTCAATTAGAACGTCGAATGCAATGGATCGAACAATATCGAAAATCCCACATGATCGGGATTGACGCGAGTCTCAAACGGGGCTATGCAACATTGGAAGCTGTCAGAGACCAATGCTCAGTTGCATCAGGCGAACTGATGGGAAGTGGCAAGAAGCGGGCTAAGATCTTAGTGGAGACTCTTGAAGACCGGTACAACGAGGCCCTGGTCACCAAAGAAACACTGGAGCAAAAGGCCCAGGCTGGAGTCCGCCTCATGGAGTCGTTCCTATCCGAAATGGAAAACCGAGCCCACGCAGTCCGTGATCGCGGCATCTACGGCACCCTGGACGATGGGTGGAAAGTTGCGGAGGAAAGCTTAGTCCACGCTCGAGAGATCGTCGATGAAGGCATGGAGCGTGCCCGCCATGCTCGTGATACCCTCCGCAAGAATGTGGAGGAGGCTATTCGGCTAGCCCAGGAGAAACGCTTGATCAATTACCATGAGCTGCCCGATCCATGGAGAGTCAACCCTCACATCATCAACGGATATCGCTTCACCACTTCCAAAGTGGAATGTGTTTCGTCTGTCTTCGCCTACTCAAACGAAATGTTCAACATCTGGTCTCATGTCATCGGCCTTGTTATTGTCCTCGCCATTGCCTTTTACTTCTACCCGCTCCATACCAATTTCCACCTCAGCACGAAATCCGACATCGCAATCGCGGCTGTCTTCTTCTTTGCTGCATGCAAGTGTCTGGTCTGCAGTACCATTTGGCACACCATGAACAGCATCGCATCTCAAACTTTAATGGAACGCTTTGCTTGTGTCGACTACACCGGAATCTCGATGCTGGTTGCCGCCTCCATTGTCACTACCGAGTACACTGCTTTCTATTGTGAACCCTATTCTCGATGGACATATATTCTACTCACCATGTCTCTGGGTATTGGCGGCATTATTCTACCCTGGCATCCGACCTTTAACCGCCACGATATGGCTTGGGCCCGTGTTGCGTTCTTTGTTACGCTTGCCCTCACCGGATTTTCGCCCATCGCTCAACTATCTTACACTCGCGGTTTCTCGTGGTGCATGTATTTCTATTCGCCAGTCCTCAAAAGTCTAACTGTCTATTTCATCGGTGCCCTCGTCTACGCTTCCAAGGTTCCCGAGCGCTGGAAGCCAGGTTTCTTCGACTACGTCGGCGGCAGCCATAACATTTGGCATCTTGCGGTACTTGGTGGTATCTTCTTCCACTACCATGCTATGCAGGACTTGTTTGCCGGAGCCTTCCAGCGTGCCCAGGGCGAATGTCCGAATCTGAAGATCTGAACATTTTTCTGAACATACCTCCACGATTTCATTTGATTTCTGTTTCTATTTTTCTTGCTCATGACTTTTTCTCAAGGAGTATATGACCTTGTTCTCAGGTGTCCTTGCTGAAACACATAGACCTGCCGTGGCCCCGTTTCAAGTGCTCATAGATCTCTTTCTACAGAAGCCTTGATTCTGTTGATGCCCGTTCTGCCTGCATGGTTGGAGTTTGCTTTCGCTGCCTATTGCTTTACCTTCGATTCTTAGAGCATTGGTTTCAAGAAAACCTCTTTGCCTCCCCTTTTCCCTCAGTGGCGCCACTTTATCTGTCTAGGTTGAAGGGTGTAAGCACCATTTATTTGTTATTTGTTGAATCTTCTTTCCATTTGCTGTTTATAGGTATTTGAGACTATATATCATTTATCGCAGATCGCATTACGATATCAGAACATACAAATGCCATTTGCTCTTACATATTGCTTACTATACTTTTTTTTAAAAACTTATATCAAACAATGTTCATTGATTGTGTATGCAGATTCTGTGCATCGTCTAGTGTCGTACATTCATAACTCCATGAAGGAATTCCCTTCTATTTGCAACTGGACTTTTCCAAATTTCTGGCACCAAACGCCAAATCAAAATGTAACGTCGACCCTCCCCTCCACTTGGCACTGTAAACTGGCGGCATTGTTCAATATCCAAAGCAGCGAAGGCTGTGAAATGAAACTCGAGGAGCGTCACAGAGGCTGGCTTTTTGTAAAGAAATGTGCTTTCAAGGTATTGGTGAAAGTCATCATTTGAACAAGTATTTCAACCAGGAGACTTATTGGGTAGCCTCAGTAGCCTCAGCAGAGCCATCACGCTTAATGAAGTGACCCTGCATCCAGCAGCGGTACATCTTTAATTTGCTCTGACGGTTGACAATCAGTCGGCGATCAGCTCCCAAGAGCTTCACCTCGAAAGCCCCATTCTTCTTCGCAGCCTCCTTGGTCTCTTCTGACTGCTCAGCAGGCTCTGGCCTCTCACTTTCATCCTCATCAGCACCCTCCGCGGAAGCCTTCGCAGAAATGGGAATCTGCAAGCCCTTCTCCGCGGACCAGGTACCCCACATATCAACAAGCTGGTCCTGGTCGAAGAAGTAGACACGAGTACCATCACCGCGAACATAGAAGTTCTCTTCCATGTAACGGCCCTTCTTGAAACGCACTTGGGCCAGGTCACCACGGCCGTAGTCGCGGAAAAGGACACGGCCACCGGGCTTGAGAACACGGTAGACGTTGCGAATAGCCTGGTCCCACTGGGTAGGTGCCAGGGCAGAGAAAATGAAAATCAGGATGACAACATCCACTGAACCCTCCGTCAAACCAGGCGGGAGGCCGTTGTCCTCTTCCGTAGGCACAGAAGCGACGTCCCAGACATCAGCGGCCATATATTTCTCATTGTAATGCTCGCTCTCGCGCATGACCTTGACAGCATATTTCGAGAAATCACACGCATGAACCTTGAGATGCTCATTCTCGTTGTTGGCAATCAAAGGGAACGCGGTATTTCCAGCACCAGCACCAACCTCCAGCACAACCTGAGGACCAGCATCCTTCTGGGTGACCTCTGCAAGAACAGGGAACTCCTGACGCAGCCATTTGCGATCCTTGAAAAAGTTGGCTGTGTTGTTCTTATAGAAAAGGTTCCACCACTTTGCCGGGTCGTTGTTGAATCGGTTGCGATCAAAGTCCGATACTCGTGTTTCGCGCTGTTTGGCATACTGTGTTTGGGCAAAGGCCTTGAATTCGTCATCTGGCTCGACATGGTCCCAGGCATTGAATTCGAAGACGTCGTCGCCCTTTTCGAGGAATCGTGATCCGAATTGGAAGGGGTCGCTTCGCTTCATGTTGTTGCTGGGATCGTGGGAGCGACTGGGGTCCACCTGGGGAGGTTCGACGTTTTGGAGAACCTCCCGGACATCCCGGACTTCAGGTTCGATGGTCATTTTGGGTGGATTTTATATGAGGAATGGAGTTGGAAGAATCTAACTATTGGGGGTTATCGCGGGGAGAACAAAAAAAAATCGCAGGCCGCGATGCGATTGGCGGGGTGCCTGAGGTCACATGACTTTGTGTTCCACTATCCGTCTCACCGCCTTAACCCCTCGTCTCCTCCTGTCCAATCACAGATGGCCATGCTATACCGCCTTTGATAAATCCCGTTTAACATTTATCTTATCAACGCGACAGACCAGGACTTGAATATCTCTGGATTCAAGTTACTTACTGACAGGCCAGTGAATGACTGATGCCGACTTCGAGTTTGACTAGAACTTTTGGCTGTATGCGACGCCCCAGACCTGGTGAGACTTCAATGGGTAAGGACATGCGTGTATGCTGAAGACATGAGTGCCCAAATTCGAGGAGGGGTGTCAGATTATTCTCTGTTCGACGCATTCCTATCCTTCAAGTCCAAGAATCTAGCATTGTTGCGCGGTATAGATCAAATATGCATCGATACATGTACCTGTACCTGACAGGCCGTGGAGACATAGTGGAGACTGAGGTACCGATACCTACCTATCATCCTCGTCCGAGCCAATCACGAATCTGGGGAATTTGGATGCCTGCGGCGTCGAACTCAGCCCCAAGCTGTCCTCTCCTCCATCTCTCCTCTTTCTCGGGCTTCTTACTCTTCTCTTTCTCTTGAGTATGTTGCTTTAGTTCTGGACCTGCTTTCCAATACACCTTTTTGTCGTTTTAGGTCTGGGGCTTATCGACACAAGTGGGGTTGGATCTAATTTCCGATTGAGGCTCAACAAAGGTGTTCATGCAATAGTTGCCGTTGCCAGGGTCTCAGTGGTAGTGAGCTGAGAGACAAGTTCCTTCTCCCTAAAGCCCCTTCCCACATTGGCCTTGACTGTGCCAACTATACCGCTGCTCATCTCACCATGTCCTTCCTCTCCGCGCTGTGCGGATGCTTCTCCCGCGAAGAGAAAACCCCTTCACCCCCAGAAACCATGATCCAAAGACCCAACAACAACATCCAAACAGGCCACTTCACTCTCAACGGTGACGGCCAATTCATTCGCCCCTCGCCCTCGTCCTCATCCGGACACAGCGGGCACGGACCCCCGGATGACTCGGCAGATGGCTATTCCAGCGTGGTCCCGCTGCCGCAGTACACAGCCCGTCCGATGAGCCTCCACGAGAAGACTCTAGAAGCCCACATGCGCGATCCATCCGTGTCTTCCGAGTCACAGGAGTATCCCGTGGAAGAAAAGAACCGCAATCTCTACGACGAGGAAGTCACATCTGATGCTTCCTCGGCTATTTCCTATCCAAGCAGCTATGGAAATACATCCACTGCAACGAGGGAAACTCCACCGCCGCCATACTCGCCTCGTCATTCGGTGATGCTGAGTCGGTCCCGGTCTATCTCGGTTTCTTCGGCTATGGCTGTGATCGTTAATCCGCCGCCCATAGCACGTCTTAATGGTTCACGGACTGGGCCTGTCTATGTGGAGGATGATGATCGTTCTATTCGTCGTCATCGTCGGGTCTCTTGGGAAAGTCGGTGATTCCGTCTGGGCTAAGTAGTACGACATGTGCTTTTCTCGTTATTTGGTACCGCTTATGAGTTCGGTATCTGTCTAATATTTCGACGCCCGGTCTTTCGGGAGAGACGATCCGGTATCGTCTCCCTTGGGCCCTGGCTTCTGTTCTGACATGACTGCTGTTTCTGATCCTTTTTTGCATGTTGATTGTTTGTTTCTTACTGCATATGACGCGATGATGATCACTTCTTTTGATCGGACTTTTATGACATGATTGGATTTTTGGTACAAAAGATGGTCCTTTGGGAGTCTTTTGTTTGGGATATCATTGGATATAATAATACTGGCATGCACACGAGCATACGACTTCTTGTGGATGTGCTGCATCGACGCATTTGCCGCCGAGAACAACCTCGGCCACGTGGGCAGGCCCATGGCCTGACACATACATAGTGTGATAACTACTAGACGTGAATATAACTTCATTTGTCTCATGAAAATTCATCGAGTAATCTCCAACATCTACGTGTTATTGACTCATATTAACAGTGGAAAGGATATAAAATAATGGGTATCACTAAAACCACATCTCAAAACACCCTATACAACCTCGTTCTCCAGACCAGACAAATCAAACAGTACAAGCTGGTCGCCAGTCTCAAACAGATTTCCCTCCCGCTGGTGTCTCAACTTATACCCACAACACTCAGCCGGAAACTCCAACAATCTTAAAACAAGCAAATCACAACTCCCCTCGAGGAACATACAAATAGCAGTACACTCCGATCGAACTCTTGTCCGAACCCACCACTCCTTAACAAAACACATAAGCCCAAGCCACCAAGCAAGCAGCACAAGCGCCGGAACCTCCTTCCTCAGCAAACACTCATAATATGGCCCCTCAAGCCTCCCCATCCACGTATTATACGTCTTGAAACTATCCGAGCACCGCTCCGCCTGCAAATTCCCCATCAGCATACGTAATGGCCACAGGTAAGGCGTATTATCGACAGTCGATTCCTCGGTAATACCGCACAACTCAGCCAAATCCGAATGAAGACCGATTCTTCCAGGACGCTTGTCGTCGATGTCGATGGATGGATCTCTCAATTCCATGAATGTCTCCCACCACATGCTCTGCTGTAACCAGGGGATGGTTCGTTCAAGGAGGTAACGGAGTCCACCTTGGAGGCGGAGCCAGATGAGACTGGTTGGGTCTGTTGAGAAGACAAATGAGGAGCGCGGGGAGAATATTTCTTGGTGGAAAGAATGCATTGAGATCATCATGCAGGCTGAGTAGAGTTTGTCCATGTTCTGGGGTGTTATACTTGTTGACACTTCCCTTGAGTATTGGTTTATTGTTTGTTGCCAGTGGTAGGCTTCTGCTAAGCGGTAGGCTTTGTTGTCTGGTAGCAGGGTGCAGAGGTGGGTTGTTGCTGCTCCTATTATTGCGTGCATGAGGAATGGGGTCTGGGTTGTTTGTTAGGGTTAGATTGGAGATGGTATGTCTGTAGTTCGGACTTACTTCAAAGGCAAGTTGGACCATTTTGCCCATTACTATTCGAATGATGTTGTTGCTTTCTGCTGAGAAGGATGGGCCTTTGTGGAAGTGATGCAGTGCTTCTATTGTTCGGCTTGATGCTGAGGCGTCTGTAAGTATGGATGGTAGTTTTGCGTCATTTACTGGCGACAGTCCTAGCAATTCATTTAGTTTCTCCGATACCATCACAAGGGACATCGATGAAGCCGAGGAGTCGAGTGAAATCAGCTCAGGGTTTGCGTTGATGAACTGAGAAACAATGCTATTGCCTTTTTGCTGTACAGGCTTGGTCGAATAGTCACATTCGACATTATGTTTCTGGCACCTCAGGCATCGAGGCTTGGCTTCATCGCACTTGAAAAGGTTTAATTAAAATTGGTGCTCATCTTGATGGCCGAGGTGGGCACGAGATACCTTCACTCTTCGCTGTTTACAGTCTGCGCAGCCCAGTCGGGATTTGCGATGGGCCCGGCGAGAATGAAAAACCTGTTCGGTCGACTCCGAACATCCATGCAGCCGATTTCCTGGTTTGTAGTTCGGAACTCGGAAGACCAGTTTCTGCCCCTGCATCGGCTTGCTTCCGATCAGATTCCGATCTTTCTGATGTATCATGTCCCTTGCGTGGGAAGATGCAGATTTTAGGGGGTTCTTAATATAGATTTTCACCAGAAAATGAATAGGTGCTCGGTGAATATACAGTAATACTGGACAAGGCAAGTTGAGACGTTTCAAAGCATTGAGGTATTGGACTGCGACACAGCGCTCTGCAACTGGGATCGTGTAAGCCCGATTGACGGCAGTGCATGTGGCATGAGGCTCAGCGGCTTGGAACTGCGCCTTGCGAGTTTAATCGGACTCTGTTTCTATTCCATCAAATCGAAGGCGAAGAAATGGCGGCGGAGGCGAAGGGAAGATGATCGACATCATCTCCGATCTCTCGCGCTATCCCCAATCGGGCAACTCTCGTATTTGTTGCTTGGCACGAGTCCAGGCATCGGAGATCTCTAGATGTGATACATTGGCCTATATGGTCACCTATGGTCACCTATGGGTCAAGCATAAGAGCTATAAAATACCGGATTCTTGAAAGCAGACTAACGCCATGCCGTTCGTCATTCATTGAGTACCATCGATCCTCGATCCCCAGCAATCGATGGACATAGCTCGTACTTCATATTTTGGTCGTCTATGCAAAGATACAAATAGTTTTGAGGGTGGAAGTAGCCGATCTAGCCCATCTTCGCGTTGGAGAAGTCCATTTCTGGGATAGCAAGTTAGCAAGAAACCAAGACCTGCAAGACACCAGTCTCAAAGCATCAAAAGAAACCAGAGCACAAGATCAAGACCTACCGGGATGCTCAGCCTGGAACTTCTTCAACAGCTCCATCTTCTTCTGTTCATCGCTGCTAGGACCACCCATCTCCTTCTGTCGCTGATCATACATCATCTTCTCAACCATAGCACGAGTCTCGCCATCCAAATCACCCAGACTAGAGTTCTCCGGCGTGATCTTGGTCACGTCAATCTTAGGCGCAGTAGTCACAACATGAGGCCACCACTCAACCTTGTTGACCTTATCAAGATGCACATTGATTTCCTTGCCGGGCGGGGTGGGAGTGGTTTCCAGAGTCCAAGAGGATTCGTCGACCAGAATAGCGTGGGGGAAGTCACCCTAACGCACGAAATGAGATACCAAATCAGCTCATGCACAATAGATCGGGGGCGAATGGTGTCACTGCTCTCCGAGGTGACTGGTTAATCGGGATGCCGTACCTCAATGAGGGGCTCTTGACCCTTGATCGCAACCCGGATTTTGTTCTTGGTCAAGACCACATCCATGTCACGGCCCTTCAGATTGGCAGGGATGGGTGCCGTGAAATCCACATCACGAATTGTCTGTGTCCACTTGTAGGGGAGCTGGGCCTGTTCCGCCTCTTCGCGGGCCTTCCGCTCCTGGGTTTCGCGCTCGCGCTCTGCCAGCTCCGCGGGGGAGAGGTTATTCTCGGGATCGGACATGGCGTCAGAAAAGTTTCGGTCAGGGGAGGGGGGGACAAGTAAGTCAACGGTGAAGACGACGTGTTGGCTTGAAAGCTCGGAGTGGGATGTGATGTGGGGGGAACCTCCACTTCGCCGTTGGCGCTTTTGCCGCCATTAATCGCTTATTCACGACAGCCTTGGATTCTTCAGATCCGTGCATTTGGGCTGCATATTTTGAAACAATGGTTTAGGCATCTATGTGTAAAAGGAGTTTCAGCTGTTCGCGGGGAATCTTTCGTTCAGGTGGTGACGTCGATTTCTTACATCCCAAGTTCCCTCCCTCAAACTGATATATTATGTGAGTGTTAGTGAGATAGATCCAGCAAGCTTGGACACATATGAGAACTGCTATTGATCTTCTTTCCAGGACCCACTCAGAAGTACTATCAAAAAGCAACTCACTAGGCCTCCCAGACATACAGAACAGCCATGTCATCACACGGGAGTGGTGGCGCAGCCTTCGATTCGGGTAATGATGCTGGCAAGACTCAAGCACCAGCACCAGCACCAGTCACCAGCACACCGCTCAATAGCACAGCATTGTGGACCAAGATGTCCATTGGGAAGATCCTGAACTGTGTTAGTGAGGCTGATCTCCTGCCTGTTCCGGTGTCCTGGCAAGGATGGAGCAGCTTAGTCTCCAGCCATGACATGCATGGGGCTCAGAACTCCAAGACCACTGGTGGATAGGACCTAGGTTGCATAGCTGTAGACAGTGGGAAAGCGCCCAGGTAAAATTAGGGCATCCCGAGTCACGGCAACTACATCCCACCTCCCCCACTCGAGGCTCTGTATGTTTGCTCGCTCTCTGCCTCGTAGGATACAGTAGTCTGGGCTGACAGTATGATTGGGTATTCATTCTCATGCATATGCAACGTATGGCCAACAAAACGAAAGGCAGCAGCGATGGGCTGTGATCAACACCCGAAACAGAAACACCCTCTAATCCTCGTATATATCTCCCGTGATTCCCAGCTAAGATGCAATGAATAAAGTGTGTAAAAGTAAAAGAAAGACATGGGGTCCAAATCCCGAACAATTCCTCGGCTTGCATAGGGTGACGGTCATGCGATCATTGTTGCGAGTCTTCGTTAGACCGCTCTGCCGCTTGTTCCTTTTCTATAGGTCGTGTCAGTGGGCTTCTTGCATATGTCAGATTAAACACTCACCTCGGATCTTCTGGATTTGATCCGCGGTATTCTGGAGGATTTGATCCCAATATCTCTGATATTCCTCCACACTTCGCAGTTGAGGTTCTTTCTTTTCTTGACTGCCTTGAGCTTCAGGCTGCTGGTTGGTCTCTGGCTTATCCATACTGAATGGCGATATGGATATCTGATCTAGTTGATGGGTTGATCTTGGACAAGATGGGAGTGGTCTTTCAGACAGAGTTGTAGATTGAATAATTTCGACCCGACCCCTCGACAAAGCCTTTATATATTAACAGAATTCCAAAAATAATAATATTAAAAGACGAAATCCCGAGAGAGAAAAATCAAGAAAAGTCAAAAAAGAAAAAAATCAAAGGTTTGCTTTCGAAAATAGACCGATCACGCGTCTAGAAAGACCAGGGAAAAAGCCGTTCACCGACATCTCCCCTAGATTGGGGCCTGAACTGAAACGGGATGTCGGTCCGCGTTACCCAGGAGAGGTAAAGCACCATACATCCAAGACCTCTGATTGGAGTGTTTGCCCCCTTCTAGATTGTCTCTTTTCACATCTGTACAGTAGGAGACATGATGTCAGCCCGGGACCTAGCGTACAGTACTTGTTAAATTCCCTGAACTCCATCCACATTCCAAATGCTGCTGTCCGGACTAATAGGATGACTTCCAGTGGCAGTTCCGAGGATAGCCCGCGCCCAATCGGGGAAGTTGAGGATCCCATCCGCACCAGCCGATCGAGATATATGGGTCTGGCATCTAGGGGAACCGAATCGATACAGGACAGGAAAAAAGGGGGCACCGGGGAACCGGGTAGAGTTACGAGGGATCGACCGATCCACCCGGATTTGATGCTTCTAATTTACGATCGGTGGAACTATATATGTAAAATTATGGAGTACACCTGTCGACTGTCGGAGTCGAGACAGACCATGGGAAATCTCTCCAGTGAACCTATCTACCGACAGTGGGGGGGGAGGGGGGGGAGTATAGCCGACTCTTTGGACTAGTATACTCCCGTAGAACCTGTAGAACCTGTAGAACCTAGGCAACCGACATACATCGGCAGTCTGTCTCTACCCAAGGCTGAAACAACCCATCAAAAGCACCCCCAAAGCCCAACCACGTACATGTACAAGGAAAAGTGCCGGGCAAACATACCGGATATCTCTCTCCACTGCAGACGTTGCATTCCCACGTGGTTTACGCCAAGTTTCACCCCCCAGAGCCATAGCCGCTGTCCCTTGACCGCATCCTCTGTCCATCTGCCGTCCGACACGTACTCTTTGGGCTTTGCGCAACGTCACATCTGACCACACCACCCCCTCCCCCTTGGTGTGCTCAGGGCTCTTCTCTTCAGGCACTGGATTAGGTAGATTATGTCGGCTAGAGCGGCTTCTTATTTGATCGGGGCTTTGTTGTATCCGTATTGCGCAGGTGTCTTGACGTCGGTCGGTTCAAGAGAGGGGATTCCGGGTACAGATCGACCCTTGGACGATGCATGTGGTGCATTCTTACTGGTTCTGGTAGGTCGTTGCGTACTTTTGTACCGGACTTTTGTTCGGGGTGTGGCGCTATTATACAGTACAATGGCCAGGGGTCAAAAGGACCGGACGGATGAACGGTTATTGGATAAGGCTGAGGGGGAAAAACAAACGGCAGTGGTGATTGATTATTGGAGACAGATCGCTAGTATGGCCAACGCTTACAATGCCCGACATAGTAGTGGTCCTCTAGTGCCATCTAATCCCCCTCTCATGGAGATATTGGTGTAGTCAACCCAGCACCATAACAAATAAGAAGCTGTAAGAAAGAGAGGAAGAGAAAAAGAAAATATGAAATAGGTCGTAAAGTCTGGCACGGTGCCTGCATCCTTTGCCAGCTATGTCGTCAGTGTAGTTAGCAGTTCGAAGCCACTGCAGGATAGTGCAATCCCGGTGCCCCGTCTGCAGCCTCAATTTGATTGGAAAGAGGGGTCAAGGGCAACGAGATGGATGGGTTGATCATCTCGTTGTTACGCCGAGTTGGAACGCCGTGGTATTGACCCCAGTAGATCGCTTAGGGAAGATCCCGTAAATCGGATGAATAAATGATTCCCCTCATGACGCCATGATATAAGCTCGCTGAAGAAACGGGAACAAAAAAAGCATATGAAAGTAACGATAAGATAGACGGTGAGCCGGATTATCGGCTAATATGAGTCTTGAAGAAACCAGTCAATGTCATCAGGCTCAAAGTACGGAGCGGCTGTTTCCGCCGCTGCAACTTCGCCTTCATAGAGATCGGTGATCTGGTCATCGTAGCTGATCTCCGAGGGTAAGCTATCGCGCTGCTCGACGAGGTCAAAGAACTCGCCAGCATACTCAGCCAGCTCATTAGCCACTTTCAACTCCAAGATACTTTCTAGCACCTGCATGTCCTTTTTCCACTTCCGCTCGCACCGCGCATTTTCCTCTCGACGGCGACGGCAGCGGCTGTCACGAGGACCATCTCTCATGCAATTGGGACACAAATAGTGCTCCTCGCAATACGAGCATTTGCAGGGCGGGTATGCATAGATGCAGTCCGCGCATACATAGACCTTGCAGCCCGTGCATTCTCTGAGGTAGCTGGGGCATCTTGGACGCTGATCCCGTATGCCGCCTCGGACATCCCTGATACCAGTGATGGGATCGGCCGGGGGACAGAAGAAGGATTGACAGCCTTGCCATTTCGGAGTCGCGATGGGCGAATCAAAATAGATCGAGGATGACGATGACGGTGGGGAGGAGTGATTAGATGTTGGAGCAGAGAAGGAGCGAGATGGTTGATTGGAGAAGAAAGATGTAGGGGCCGATTCATCAGCGACATGGGAGTCGGGGGTATTCTCCTCCAGGCTATCTGACTGTGAGTTATCAATGAAGCCTTTAGTTGCCGAATCGAGAAGCCGCTGGCTCCTAAAAGGGGAGATCATACCCGGAAAGCTCATCCGGGTTAGGGGATTCCGGAAGATTCACCGCAAATCGACTTTGAATGGTTTGCTTCTCCGTCTCGAGGTCACGGTAACCGCAGATCCGAAGTCGTAGTCCTCGAAGGTCATGCTCAATGCAAAGGGGCTTGGAGCAACTCTTGCAGTGGACCTTCCATTGTGGGGAATCATAACATCCCTGGCACAAGTTCCGCGGGCATGGTGAGACTTGCCGATTAGGCGGTCCAAGCAACCATTTCATCATCGCGAGATGCCCCGCCTCGAGAGAATAATCCGGTTTGCTCGGGTCACCATATGCATACTTGGGAAACGACTTGCTCCATTCGCTGACGGTGTACTCCAGATCTTCCCAGCCTTGATTTCGGGGCAAAGGTACTGCTCGGACCTGGTCGACTTCGCGATTACGAGGTCCAATACTGATTCCACCTCCTCCAGAGAGATCCGGCTTGGTGCAGCACCAGTGAAAGTTGAGAACAGGAGTCGTGTCTGAGATTGATGCTGCGGGTACATTGGGGTCTGTCACATAATCCACTGGATCCTGCATTGAACCTGGGGAATGTGTGGCGCCAGGAGCCCACCAGAAGGGGGGTGTGGTGCTCAGAGTGCCTTCCGATAAGGGAATTGGAATGGTCCTGTGGATATACGGCCGTTCGTAGGCGCAGCTTGCACAGAGTGTCTTCCGACACCCAACACAGTGCATCAAGACACTGCAATGCTCACACCGCTCTGAAATGTCCTCGAGACAACCGTCGCAGCGAATTCCACGGACAAACTTGGTGTGACTTTGACGCAGGTGAGTCGGTGTCATTTTGCCTTCGCCCCAATCAATACCCTCGCCGGTTCCTAACGCCTCGCCGAAGCATCCAGTATCGCAGTTCTCCCACAGCTTTCCATCAAGCACGCGGGCTTTGGTATCTTCATGTTCGAGTGGACCGATCCAGTTCTTGGATCTCCAGAGTCGATCAAAGACAACCCAAACCTCCGGTGTACCTGCTCCGTGCGGGAACCTCGATTTCACATAACCAGCTCTGCGAGCGCATCTCCCGGCAGGCGTCGTGCACCAGGCAGTATCTGTCCAGATCCCTAGCTTATGGCATATATTGACAAGCTCATGAGTTGACTCGGCATCAGCATCCTTACGCATTAATGAAGACGAGAGATAGGGCCTCCTTCGGTGATGGCGGCATCTGTAAGCGTAGAGACTCTTGAGGGCAAGACGTTTCATCCCGGGGGACTGAGTACCGGTAGTGTTCTCCATGTCCATGTCACGTTGTAGAGCAAACATGGTGAGGAACGGCACTATGTGATATTTGAGCGAAACATTTTTGCAACCACGCACGGAAAGGTGTTCCAGGGTCTCCCGACGCGAATGTAGCACTGTTGATGTAAGATTCTCCCCCGATATCGCTGTGTTGTCCAGTTCCAGGCTCTTCAAACACCCACTGAATGGAACCACCACATTCATCAGGAACATATCCAGGGCATAAGGTCGAGATTGGCGCGGAGGCTCTGCATCTGTTACGGCCGGGTCGGTGATGGGAGGATTCGGCAAAGTTCCTGGGGGAAAGGGCAGGCGAAACGAGAGCGATTTCCATGCGGTCGGATATGATCGAAGAAAGGCACGTAGGTATGGAGAAGTGTGATACAGTTTGATGATTGTATCGGTCGGGATTTGTAGTAGTAGAGACTCAAAGATTGGAGCATTCGTGGTGATCACCCGCTCAAAGATCGAAAGCATCCGCTCTTCACGGGAATCCGGGGCATCTCCCAGCATCGCATCCATTGCAGCAGAATTTCCACTAGCAACCCCCTCTGGAACCATATTGTAAGGTCGTGGTTAACCACCACAGATCCTTTGTGATGAACTAAAAACGCCGGCGCTTAGGTCGAAAACTGGTACGCGAGGTCGCGAGCTCGGGTCGAGACACAGCGCATGATAAGACGACCTGAAGATGTGAACGAGGGGGCTACCACACCCAGAGGTAAGCCACCATGCAAGGCCATCAAAGGTGAAGTGTCGATAATTGATAAGACGAGTGTCGCAAGGGCCGAATTGTTGGTATTTGAAGGGGGAGAAAGGGAGGGGTACGCAAAGAGCGAAGAGATACGAGATCGCCCGCCAGGGAAACCCTAGAAAGAAATAGCCAAAAGCAAAGCAAAGCGTACAAAGAATTACTGGGAAGCAACTAAAGGGAGAGAAAGAGGAACAGAAGCAGCAACTGATGTCCGGATGCGCCCGTCAACAACGTCATGTGATGAGCCCCGGATTTCCAGACTTCAGATGTTATATAGAAATGCATTGATCGCTGGGTCTATTGCAAATGGTTCCGGTTAATGTTTGTTAGATGCGTCGCCTACAGTGTAGCCCCTAGCGATGCCCTTGCGCCCTTCCTTGACCAGGGTGCTATCATCCTCCTCATCCTCGTCATAACGAATGTCAAAGTCACTGCCCAGACCTTTCCATGTTCTCTGTGAGCGCAGGTACTCTGCACCAGGAGATACAGCACCGCCGATCATGGCTAAGTCACCTTTAGCCCGTCGGGCTAGCGCCCTCGCCGCGGAAGGTCCACTGGTAGATGATCCATCAAGCTGGGAAGCGCGGGGAGCCGGATCCCGCATCGGGCGCGAATGTGAGACGTATCGTCCGGTGCGCAGGTCAAATTCGGGCGGTGCCGATTCGGGTTCTGACATGTCATCTTCTTCAGACATGGTACCATTGGATGTCTCCTTGCTGATTCCATTGGCCTCTTCAGCTGGTTGGTCAAGAACCGCCTGGAAGTCACTCTGCCACGCGCCTGTCCACACGCGGTCCGCATCATCTTTCAAGGCCAGTTCTAATTCAAAGGGAGTGATCACTGGTCTCCAGAAGTCTTTGCTATCCACAAGGGAGCTTTCCCAGCAGCCAATGACTACCCAGCCGCCAATTTCACTGAAATTGGCAACCTTGGCAGCATTCAATTTGCCAACCACAAACATGTAGCTCTTCTTGCCTGCTTTTTCAATGCGCTCTTTGACGTGCTCCACGATGTGCAAGTAGTTCTTGACACTCAGAGTGTTGATAAGAATGCCCCAGATTGGCACCGTAGTCAACGATGTAAGAGTGGCATAGCGCCGACGCAGAGCCGCAGTAGTAGACGCAGGCAAAGGCTTAACATTTTCACTACCCAAGTTGTCTGTAGGATAGATATGGATTGCGGCAACCCGAGATGCAAGCGTCATCATAAGAGCAGTTGGCGGATCAGAGATATGGAACAGTTGCCAGTCACCCAGAGTCTCAGGCGACTCCCGGACTGACTCGGGGACAGTACGGTTGGGGATTGCCGATGAAGGCTCATGGACGACCTCGGTTGCATATAGATTGGTATATCCCTCTTCCACCAGGTAAGCATACAGCGTCTGAACGTGATCCGCGTAGGTCACATCGGCTGCGATGACGATTTTGGTCGTTGGATCAGGATATGTCGCCTTGAACGCTCGCACTACAGGCTCTAGCGGAAGAGCTTTATGTGTGAAGACGTAGATGACAGGCAGCCGCGCAGTGGGCGATAAGCATGATCTTCCGTAGTGCACAACCACGTCTGCGTCCACATGCTCGGCGGCCACCTCGTCGACACAGCAAGTTCCATAAGATGTATCTGCCAGGATTGTCAACCGAGGTGCAATCTTTCCAGTGTTGTGTTCTTCCACCTGGAGCTGAGAGATCGGGTGGGCCAGGTCGTCGCCGTTGCCGGTATCGGTTGGGTTCGCGGGCTCGGTGCCATTGGTGTTGGTTACTTCCTCACGCTCCAGACCCCTGCTGAGTAGCTGGAAAACTCGAGGGGCATCAGGAAGCATGTCATCGGGAAACTGAAGAGCGATGCGCTTGTACCGCGCTTGTCTGATCTCCTTCAATGTGCGCTCGATATCGTAGGTAATGGAGAGTTCATCGTCCGACACTCTAGCCGTAGGCTCTCGCGAGACTACCGGGGTCGATTCTTCAAAAATACGGTCGTCGGGAGTCGACAGTACAGGCGCTGCCTCCATTTCAGAGCTCATTTTGGGGGTGGTGCTGTGTTGGAAGAAAATAGGAAGCCAAAAACTTTTGGAGAAAAAAAAGATTTCCCCCACTTCCCCCCGCCATCGATAACAAAATACAAAATTGCCTATTGGATCATACGTTGTGCCAGAGGTTTACGACATTACTTAGCAATTATAGAAAATAGAAAGAAATCTACAAATCACAAAATATTTACATTTCAGCATCTGCTAGTCAAATTGGAGCATATCTACAGGTTGGCCCGAGCCGGCTCACCCGCCCAAACTCTGCGCAGTAGTTCACGGATAGGATCATGCTCAATCGGACGAGGGTTCCAGTAGGCATTGGAAAGCGCAATATCAGCGGCTTTGTCGATATCCTCCTCCTTCATTCCAAAGTCCTTCACGCCACGCTTGACCTTAAGCTTGGTCAAGAGCACATTCAGACCGTGAATGGCGTCACCGTTGCTTTCCGGCAGCACGTCGGCGAGCTGCTTCATAGTCTCGGGGATGTTAGGCGCATTGTATGAGATGGCATGCGGCAGGACTGCAGTGTGGGTCTCGGCATGAGGGAGGTTAAAGCTGCCGCCGAGGGTGTGGCATAGCTTGTGGTGGATGGACATGCCAACGCTGCCCAAGCATGTTCCACAGAGCCAAGCACCGTAAAGAGCCTTGGTTCTGGCAGATTGGGAGGTTGGGTCTTGGACAATTTCTGGGAGGGCAGCAGCAAGTGCCTTTGTGCCTTCCAATGCCATCAAGGTGATGATTGGGTTAGTGTTGCGTGCATAGAGAGCCTCGACTGCAGGAACCTGTTAGACTAGGTCTTATTTGGACTTCAACTGAGATTGCAGGGTACTTACCAGCATGAGCAATGGCATTGACACCGCTAGTGGCACTCATAGCCGCTGGCAGGGTCATCGTCAAGTCAACATCATAAATGACAATCTCAGGCAAGATCTTGGGGTCAGAGCGAGTCTTCTTCAACCCATCGGCAGTCTCGCCGAGAATAGGAGTCATCTCACTACCGGCATAAGTCGTCGGAATGCAGATATGAGGCAATCCAGTACGAATGCTGATAGCCTTTCCGAGACCAATTGTACTTCCACCACCAATGGAGATGACCGAGTCAGCTCCCTGTGCCTTGGCATACTCGAGAGCCTTGTCGGTAATGTTGGTAGGTGTGTGCATGGTGGCCTCACTGAAGATACCAGCGACCTGGCCCTTCAGCACATCCTTGACCATGCCCGCCTGGTCAAGTTGATGGGGCGTCGATAGTACCAGCGGGTTCTTCACCTGCAGACGGGCGACCTCATCGGGCAGTTTCTGAAGTGTGCCGCTGCCGAAGACGACACGGCCGCGGTTGGGGTTGTATTCGAAATCCATTTTGTGATGGAGATAAATTTCGCGGCGAGAGTTGGGATCTTATAGTCCCCCACACCCCACCCCAATGGGCGTCGTCCGTGGTGGGGTTTACCGGCAATTGCATACTTAAGACTCCCCGAGCCATTGCGCGTTGTATACCCGTTCTTTTTGGTGATGCTTTTTTTTAACTTGTAGATATTCTTTAATTTAACCCATGTATCCTGCGAGACTTGTCTTTTTTCTCGTGTATCAGACCTGAATATATCGATTCAATGATGTGCGGAAATGCCCCCGTCATCTTACTTCAGCATGACTTGAGCATGAATAAGCTTAGTTGTAGCCTCTAGGAGAGTCCCCCAGGGGCCCACGGACGGATATACGGATTACGGGGTTAGACTTCGACTTTCCCCACCGTTTGAGATCCAATGCAAATATGTGTTAACGATATATATATTCTTTCGATGACTCAAACCCAACACCGACGCTATGTACACTTTTCTGTTCGGGGGCGAATTCTGCAGAAGTGGGTATCAGATAATATAGATCGGGACGGCATTAGTCCAAATCGTGGAAGGCCATGACATGCTGTCCGCCACTCATGTCCTTGCCCTTGCCCTTCTTGCGCTTCTTGCGATCCTTGGGTTCCTCAACACGCTCCTCAGGCTCCGCCTCGCTGTCTGAGTCGTCATCGCTGTCCTCAGAATCCATCATGTGCTTATCTCCAGCGCCAGCGCCTGCATCCCCAGTATCATGCCAGACCTTGACAATCTGACCACCACCAGAGACCAGACGGCCCTCGACATCGAAGCCTAGGCCCACAACACCCTCGATCTCATCGTGCATAACCTCGGAGACGACCTTGTTTGGTCCAATGCGCACGAACTTCACTTGTCCGTTGCTCAGACCCGCGGCCACAAGCTTGCCCTTACCCAAGAAGTCAGGGGCAACGGCCATAGTCTCAATGGCATCACCGCCCTCATTGTCGCGGTGGACACGGATCCGCTCGTCTTGGTCATCCCACGCACCCTTCTCCCACAAGGTCATGATACCACTGGCACCTCCAACAATCACTTTTTGACCGCGGCTGGTTCCGCTAGAGGGCAGTCCACCCATGAAAACCGAACTGGTCAATTCCTCTTCCTGGTCTTCACTGCGCACCATGACGCCTCTCCGGAGATCGGTCACGGCCAAAGTGGTACCACCAGTGGTGACCCACTGCTTGCTGAAACCCGAAGTACTAGTATCGGAGGCGGGTAGAGGGGTCAAGGATGCGACGTAGTCATCGTGGGGGTGGTGCGACTGTTCAGGCTTCGCAGAGACCTTGGAGTATGGGACGCGGAGGTCGTATAGGTGCAGCGCACTCGAATCGGTAGCAAGAAGGAGGGTTTGCGGGGAAAGAGCGTGGACAATAGTTGGGCAGTCCACTGATCTATACGCGAAACCCCAAGTTAGCCAACACAGATCCGTCGGTCGTGGTCAGAGCTTCCATACCCGTCCTTCTCATACGGAATCACAATTTTGTTTTCGACCTGGCCGGTCTCTGTCTTTGCGGCCTTCACAATGCCGTCAGTTCCGGCCGAGTAGAGCGTATTTCCATCCGTGCTGAATGCAAGAGTGCGGCAGCTACCCTTGTGACGTCTGGTCTTCCACATGGTGTCAATGTGGCCCTTGCCATTGCGAGCGGAGGAGTTAGAAGCAGTATCATCTTCTTCATCGGAGTCCTCAGAAGGCAATCGGAAGGTCTGAACGTGGCCCGAAGCAAGACCAACAGAGACTACCGGTTCCTCGGGGTGAATCGCCTGAGAGAACAGATCCGATGGAAGCGGAAGCGTACAGACCGTGTCGAACATGGCTGCAGACCGGCAAATCAACTCAAAAGGGGATTAAAAGAGTGCTTTTGAGGACAGGCACAATGCAATTGGGAATTGGCACTAGAAGCGGTGAATGAAAAAGCTGAAGCTTGGAGCTGGCCGTTTTTTTCTGCCTGGCCGAGAATAATTCCGTCACCGCCTTTTCTACATGAATGATTCAACGAATAAAGTTAAGTTAATTCAGACTTGTCTCTCACTGCTACTGGCAAAGACCCGTAAAATAGTGTATGATACAAATGAATTTGACACAGACTCGATATAAATTCCACCCTATATCATCATTCCCGGCAATTGCTGGTTCTGGCTCGAAGACGAGCATACCGAGCCCCGCCTTCGGAGTAAAGCCAGTCAACAGCTGACCTGCATGGTCTCTTCTCCCTCTTATGAAGAGTAGGTGGAGCCAATTGGACCGAGCTTGATGTTGGAGTATGTCACGGAAGCCGAAGCAGAGTTAGACTCGACGTCAGTAGGAGCGCCAGAATCGGCACTGCAACTTCCGCGAGCAACACCAGGGTCAGTGGCAGTGGCATCGGTGGGGTAGTTGCTATCCAACCAGAGCATGTTGGAGTTGTGGTCATCCCACAAGCTCATAACGAGAACCATGCCCTGCTCCAAGCCCTTGCTCATACCAGCCAGACCGCCGTGCTGGGTGAAGATGTCCTCGTCACCGAAGGCAGTCTTCTGGGCAGTGCAGAAATCGGTAGTGATGGAGTTTCCGGAGACGCCGCTGACATCGGAGGCGGAGTTAGCGATGACCTTGCCGTTCTGGACGTAGAGACGCTTGATCTCCTTGAGAGTTCCGGAGTCAGTGCCGTCGTCAGTGATGAATTGGGTGACGACGGTCATCTTGGAGCTGGTGTCGACAATCTTGCCGGGTCCGTAGAAGCTGTCGTTACCCATTCGGTAGGGGTTGAAGTCACATCCATCGGGATCACAGGTGCCAGCGTAGCGGCTGGAGGAGTAGGTTCCTCCGCAGTCGTCGCCCTCGCACATGGTCTGGCCGGCAGCGTCACAAGGGTGAGGAGTCACGGCGGTGGAAATCTTGTTAGCTTCCCAGATATCCATCTCGTTGCAGCAGGATCCATGGCCACCAACACCGGCGTTCTTGTCGTTCGTGGAGGGCTCCCAGCTTTCGACGTTACCCTATTTCATGAATCAGTCATTTTTTCTCGAACATTTGGTTTCTGTCTATGATGTTGACTCACCTGACCATTGATGAACTTCAGGTCACGGGGACACTGGGAATCACAGTAGCCGGTTCCATACTTGGCACCAGCCTTGTTGCCATCGTACTTGGCCATACCACCATCGGAGTCCATGGAAACGAAGTACAAAGCTCCATTGAGTCCACATGGGAGGCCGGAGGTGTCCACATCGAAAGTGAACTCCTGGTTGAGTAACTTGAACATCTGGTAGGTGCTGTCATCCTCCATGAGGAACATACGAGAACCAATGTTGGCCCCAGTGACGAATTTCAAAGTCAAAGCGTTGCCATCGGTGGTAGCACCGTAAGTGCCTTCATAGTCGGCGCCATCGACAGCACAGTTGGTAGCGCAAGTCGCATCGTCGGGGCAAAGGGTTGCATCGAACTTTCACAAAGTCAGTCTTTCAATTTGAATACACGTTTCATCAGGAGTCCGATATCTTACTTCGTTGCCAGTGTAGCAGTTGGTAGAACCATCGACGGAGTGAGTCCAACGCCAATTGGCATCAATGACAACAGAGCCGGACTGCTGAGTGCAGCTACCAGCAGCAGTGCACTTCTGCCAGGTGAGAGAAGGGTGAGTCTCAGTGGTCAATGTGCCAGCCTGCTGGGCACGCACAGCCGCCACCAGGGCGGAGAAAAGGAAGGCACGTTGGTACATCTTTGCGAAGGATGAGGGAAAGGATTGCAATGTAGCGATGTCGTGTTTTCTGGCCTGCAGTTGAAGAACAAGAAACACGGGGGTCTCTAGGGTTCTTTATACTTCTCATCTTGAAGCTCACTCTCGGCCATATTGCCATACAAGGATTGAACAGGGTCCTTCGGTATATTCTGGCGTGGCGGATCGTAAGACCGTACCTGAACTGGCATAGACGACAGAGCTAACCCATCTATTGTCGATATTCCATACCGGGCGACCTCCGGTGTCGAACATTGATTTGGGAGTGGACCCGGTGCCGAATAAGGATGGCAAAGATCACCGGGCAGTTGTTGATGTCTCATCAAAGATTCTGGCCCAAAGTGGATAGGCAGAGTTTCAACATCTGTAAAGACGGAGATCGACCCGATCCAGTTCTGTTCCTGATATTGCAGCTGCTATTCCAGGCGTAGTAGCTGCGGGTTGGCGCTTTGTTGGTTCTCTTGATTGCCGCTTCATTGTATTCAGCACTGATGTTGCCTGAAAGGTATTTGGGGATGAAACTTGACTATGCCCTAAAGCATCATGAGACACGTTGTGGGGGGTGAGTCGCCAAGAGCGCCGCTAGATTGGAGTCGCCGCCATGGCGCTCCTCCACTTCATATCAAACCGGCAAAATTCTTTTGTGTAAGCCATCTCATCTGTGAGGCGTTAAGCCAAAACCCGAAGAAATCTTTTGCAGACCCTTCGGGTATAGGGCGTTTCAGCCCGAAACCACGCCCCTTCCCGGTAATATTGGGCTCAACGGACACCACGGGGAGAATATCCTTCAATAAGAGGTCGATTGTTTAGCGCTCAGGAGTTACGGAATATTTAAAGCGGTGTCTCTCGGGTTGAAATGAGACATGTAGCCACCGGTAGTCGGTAGAATGCGAAAGTATTCGCAAGCATGAACGGAGAACTTTGGAACCCTCTACATTGTAATTAGTTCAGAACCTTCCACCAAAGTCTTGAGCGGTCAATAGTGCATTATGAAGACTAACTTAATGGTAAGTTAACTAAGTATGATAGACTACAGCCCCCGCGCAAATAGGTCCACAATTCTAGAATACTTCCAAGATCGAAATGGAAGAAACGTTTAGCACAAGAGATAAAGTACATCAGGGTCTCACTTGTAGATAGATGGCACTTCATTGGTTCAATAGTACGTTGAAGCATCTAGAGTTAAAGCAAGTAAAATGAAGGACAGGCACTAGGTCTTGGCTAGGACTGTCGATCGCAACCCGGGTTCCACCACTGGAAACCTCTTCCTAAATGACTGTTCAGAAATTTGGATGAATTTAGCCTAAAAGAGGCACGTTATCTAATTTTATGCTCAGCTTACGATAGTATGTGTTCTGTTTTGGCAAGGAAGGACCGTAAGCGGGTATTTATGCAACTTTGGAGGTCTCAATTAAGCAAATAATTGGCTCGTTGACTGGATACTACTAGCAGACAGTAGAGCAAATAGCAGGTTTGGGTTTGTCCCCACATTGAGATCTTGTGTACCTGGCAAAATTGACACAGGCTTGCGGGGATATACCTGTCAACCGAACATCCCAGCCACTCCCGGTACATGGCCGAGTATTCAGTCCTGAAACCCAAAAGTTCAATTCCTTTCTTTTAACGTTAGAATCAAAAGTGCATATAACTTACTGGTCGTTGGACGTCGCACCCTCATGTCGCCCACGGAAAAATCGGAAGAAAGCATTGAATATGGTTACATCGCGTTGGGTTCGATCATTTTCCTGCGTATGCCAACAGATCCCGTTGCCGGATTTGGCACGGTAGTCTTCACCGTCAGCATATATGCCAAGCTATCTAGCTAATCATTTAGAGGTCAATGTACCCCGGGTGAAGGGACCTTTTGCGAGTGGACAGATTTTATCGGAAATGAAGAGTCGTGCTAAGGGATAGGACGGCTGCAAGTGGGAACCAAACAATCTTAAATTCGCTATGCTCTTACCTGTGTCAACTGGTGAAAGTCATACTATGTATCATTCTACAGAGCTACAACCACAACAAAAGCGATAACTATTATGATGACTTCAAGTTCAAGTTGCCAGTGGTATACTTCCAGGTGTCTTATCTGTCTGTTATCTAATCTCTTATCAAGCACATGGCGTCAGCGCGAGCCTCGGTCCTTCCTCACCCCAACGCATTCATCAAACCAACTCTGCTCCATCTACTTGACATAGTGGTACTCTCTCTTTACTTTATTAGTCGGTACAGTAGAGCTCTACTGTTTCAATAACATTGGGCAACAACCGCCTGCTCAAAACTAGTCGTCTCCCAGGGGTAGCCACCCGCAGCGCAACCATGGCCCTATACGGCCAAACCGCGGATTTCCTTTCCGAATCCTTCTCCAACCATAAGAACCATATACCTTTGCTAGCAGTTGCGGGTGCCTCATTCACACTGGGACTCTTTGCTCGGTCTCTTCTCTCGGGAGGCGAAATACGCCCGACCATCCTCCCCTCTCCTCGATCGACTCTTCTGCCTAGCATTTCGGAGGCAGAGAATCGCCAACTTCCGCTCCCAACGGATGTCCTACCCGGTGCGCGTGATGTAGCTACGCCTTATGGTTCTATCCGAGTATATGAATTTGGCCCGGAAACTGGTACCAAGGTGCTGTTAGTGCACGGTATCACAACACCCTGTATTGCGCTAGGTGGATTGGCCCATGCGCTGGTCGATCGGGGGTGCCGCGTGATGCTTTTCGATCTGTATGTGATTCGTTCATTTCGTCTCATATAGTGGGCGCTAATAATAACAAACCAGGTTTGGTCGAGGATATTCAGACTGCCCTGCAGATCTCCCCCAAGACAACCGTCTTTTCACAACGCAGATTCTGCTTGCTCTGGCCTCTTCACCCATTTCTTGGACAGGTGCTGAGTCCGGTAAATTCTGTCTTACGGGGTATTCCTTGGGAGGCGGTATTGCCGCAGGCTTTGCGGCCTACTTCCCCCAGCTTATCTCGTCATTGGTGCTCCTCGCACCTGCAGGCCTGATTCGTGATTCACAAGTCAGCTTCCAGAGTCGTCTTCTGTATGACCGTGGCTTCATGCCCGAGAATTTGCTAGGATACTTGGTTAGCCGTCGACTGCGGGCTGGACCCCTAGTCGGCCCCAAGCCCAAGAACCACAAGCTCAATGCCTCAGATGCGCTCACCGAGGAGTTGCCTTCACAGAATGCTGCTGAAGGTCAGCGTCTCTCTCGGAAATACCCCCACATTAACGTCCCCTCTGCGGTGGCGTGGCAAGTTAATAACCATGGAGGGTTTGTCCACGCGTTCATGTCGAGTATGCGTCATGGCCCAATTTTGAGACACCGTCAATGGAACACCTGGACACGTCTGGGTGAGTATCTTGCCGTGCAGAACAGTGTCTCTAGTTGCGAAGATAAGAGACCATCTGACAACAAAGTTCACATTCTCTGCGGCAATAATGATTCAATCATTGTCAAAAGCGAGCTTGTTCCGGACGCCACGGCTGCCTTGGGTGGAAATGCGGTTTTCAAGTTCTATGAAGCTGGACACGAGTTCCCCAGTACCAAGTATGAAGAGGTTGCTAGTTACATTTTTGAATTACTGTGAACTGGAGCCATCCGGAATGCCCCGTTTTTCAAGCTTAGTGACTCTTCACGTTCATTGATATCTCCTTCTCATATATTTGCTAGATATACACATAGATGCTTGCTCAATTTATACATTTCTTTCTTCTTTCACTTTGTGCCTGTGCCCTTGTCATCGTCCGTTGTTCAACACTGCGTCCATGGCATTGAGTTGGTTGGAGATCCCGTTGAGGTGTGCTGATCTGTCTCCAATCCGGGCACTGGCAAAATATGGCCCATCGGATGCTGGTGCCCGTGCAAATCTGTCCACACTATTCCGGTTGTTTCCCGGAACCTGGCTGATGTTTGCGCTGCTAACGGCGGCAGTATTTGTGGTGGTGCCATTGGTGATACTGTTGATAATGTTTAGCTGTCTAGCCGCTTCGTTTGAAGCTGAAGGTGAACTCACTTGGAGGCTTTTGGCTCTGAGATAGGCATGATGTGCGGCTGGTTGTGATATTTGATAGATTGGCAGGCTTTGCAGCGTAATAAAGGTATATGATATAGTTCTGTGGGCTTGACAGGCAACAAAATAGAGACGGCAATGTGTAGTAGTGTCGATGTAAGATGATAGGGTTCGAAAGCGAGGTAGGCCTTTGATTGAGATGGGCTGTCCTTGATTGAAGCTGACTGGATGTTCTGAGAATAATGAGACCATAGATGAGCAGGATCTCTTCTATATATACACTGCAGGTCTGAGGCTATGCATGAAGACGGCATGCCTTCGTGGACAGACACGCGAGCTTCAGCAGCTTGCATCGTGGCCCACATGGACCGGAGCAGCTAAACGAAAGTAGGAATGAAGGAAGGATCTTCGGTTCGCATCTACTTCAGATCCACTTGCCATGGGCCTGTGACGGCATGTCGACCCTTTGGCCCCAACGTTTAAGGCCAAGATTTCGTCCGCATGAACCATGGTAAGCGGGTCTGGGATTCCTGATGTGGGCAAGTCCGCGATCTCCATAGTCAAAAGCACATACCCGTTCGGCCCATCTATGTGAAACAGGCGACAAGCCCGCTGCTATTGGCCCAGCTGCAGGACACTGGAGCTAGGAGGGAGGTACCAGCTGCAGAAGGACGATCTCGTCGCTGCGATCCAAAATAATAATCGAGCAGAAAAGCGCATTCCGCCTCAACACATGGTTTACCACATGTTTCAGGTGAGGGAGTAACCGAATTGGGTATATGTGCCGTGGAATGAAGCGAGGGGCTGCGTAAAAAGCAATTCCAGCCGTTCTGCAAACGTATCTCGAACGGGATCCCCAAACAAGGGCAAGATCATGATCTTCAGAGAAGAAGACTAAAACGTCATGTTATGGGTCTAGAACTTTTTGAAACAATTAAGCCCTAATTTAAGACTGTTAATCATCTTGGCGGCAACGGCGCTTGGTGATGCCCGGCATTCTCGCGTGGAACTCGAAACAGAGGTCAAGGGTGAAACAATGTCGCGTGGTCGATCACATGGAGCTTCATGCACTGGACCAGGGGCTTAGCTCTATGTTCAAAGGATCTCATAGGTCCAAAGGGCTAAGACCGCGTAAAAGCTAACGATGCTGCATTCCCGGAGCCACGCGCAAATGCAGCCCCGTAGTCTTCTTTTGCCGTTCTGGACATGGCTGTTGCATATCTCTAAGCGGCTTAAGGCTAGACCAGAACTCTCGGCATTTGAATAAAATGATGGCGACAGATCCATACCAGCCACGTCTGACGCCCTACGAGTCAATTTGCACAGCCATAATGCCGGCCGACGGAATGCCAGGACCCTGCACTAGGAAAGTGAAGATCTCCCGACACGCGAGCGCCTTGTTTCAGAATGCTTCATTTGTCCATCTTGCAGCGCGCCTGAAATAGGGGCACGTGTATTGCGTTGTTGAGGTCGAGCATGATCGGTCTAGCTGCTCAACAGTCCCAGATAGGAAAATATCGGCGGCTGAGTTACGAGGGGGTCACTTAGTGGCACTTGTGTCACAAAGACAAAAGGCTCAAGCCTTGAAGGCGTTTGTTTACGGGATCGAATAGGTGGGCTTGGGCCTGTGGCTCAAGATTACCAAGAACACCACCGGATGCCCTAGACTATAACCCGAAATGAAGCACCCACTCCGATGGGTGCATCCTTGCGACCCGACCGTTCTTCGCTTGGCGTGGCTTGCGGTCCGCATAGTGCAGTGGACCGTACCGCGTGCCCTACCTGGATATGTATCGCGCTATACGAGGCACGTTAACGGCCATTTTACTAATGTTCGTTCAGTGGTATAGATCGGCCCCTGACTTCCTGCGCAAGCCACAGAAGCCATATGGGAGCAGCTGTTTCAGATAATAAGGTTGCTTTTCCCACGCGTGTCGGAAGTCTCATTCCAGTCTGGTTAAGCGAGCTATGTTTAATGATGTGGGCCCTCGTTATGCAAGGCACGTCTGGGCCGAGCTGTGGAATTCCAACAACCAACAACCTTATGTCCACTAAATGCGTCAATCCCCTGATTCGCTCTTAGGGCTTCCCAGATTTGAAGCCGAGTATTCTCGAGGCTGTCTCAGGTGAGCTGGAAATAATGTTGAGACGCATGTTCATCCTTATGTATGGTGGATGTTCAGTTGTGCCCTAACCCCCGCAATGATCTTCGTACTAGTTAACTGGTTCTTTTTTTAGTAAATAGTTTTTTTTTCCCCAATTATTGAATCGTCAGCATCTAGCCCCTGGACCTTACAGGATTCAATCTCCCCTTGACTTTACCTATCACAAAAACGAAGCTTTTAGACCCCAAAATCCAATCTTCCAAGGGGTCGCCGGGCTCCAAGGACATCCCCCGAAGGGGATAATGATCGGCGACACCGATCATCCCTTGAACGTTCGCCCTTGGAAATCACGGAGGCTTTAGGTTGAAACTTGATTCATGTTGACTTTATTTGAGCGATATGGATTAATCAGGTACAACTTGCATATTGTTGCCCTGTCAACCCGTTTTTCATACAGTCAAGGCCACGAGACCAGAGCGCCAGGCTAGTAGCAATAATGGCTCAAATTTCGGCGATCTACCACGCATTGCGCTAGATAACAACCCTTTCATGTCTTCTATGACAGATTTTCGCTCACAACGGCCTTTCTTCTCCGGCACGGAAGGCTACTGTGCTTGAGCATAATGCAAGCTCTGATCACATCTACATATGGAATGCATGCCGAGCTAGCCTCAATAAAGGGACTACCATTTCGGAATCGAGGATCTTCAACTCCGTCTTGGTCCTCAATTATGAATACATCTAGGCCCCGGAATGACGCGGTCACAGGCTAGTCCTATTTTTGTAGAGCATAGGGATCGCAATATGGGAAATTTTGGTCGACGCGTATTGTCTCTTGTTCTCGGGCTCGATTTCCTTAACCTTTCTTTCATGATCCAAGGGATATTAACACAGCCACGCGCACGTTGGGTAATGGGCTTGTCTATCACAGCATGAAGGCGAAGGCACACAAATGTGTTCGTAGCCGCAAAGGTAGATCATTTCTCCTATGATGAACAAGGCAATACGGGTCTGACTGGAGGATATCTTATTTGGATGTATATCCACACTATCAGAATGATCGGCTGCCTTTTTGAATTAGTCCCCTAGGAGATAAACAGTAAGCCTTCCTAATACAGCAAAGTGTTATTGTGACTTTTGAATAATGAGGAGGTCAGCCAATTCCATAATGACTCTACTTACTTCTCTCATTTTATAATACAAAATTCCAACCGCAATGAGATACCTATGACTTTTGAGATATTTGATAAAGTCATAGCAAAAGCCCCAATCGAAACTCATGCCTATTTGCATTCATCCCATCTATACAAGTCATGGCTCCTGATGTTCTTTTACATCAACATGTCGACTTTAAAGGGGTATAATGTTCAGTGGCTCGAAAAACGTTCTCTTCAATGAAATGCATTTGCTAGCCTCTCATCCTTGGAGTGAATGGCATGAAGCCCAGAGATTCTGACATATATAGTGCCATGAATCAGCGTAAGGACACCATCAATCCTCAGAATCGAGAATTGTAACAGCTTTGCTAAACTTCTCGCCGATGCTGCTGTTTTTTAAGGCCCACTTGGAGGTGAGGGCTTTCTCTAAAGCATCAAGGATCTCATATTGTAAAGCCTAAACTGAAGCGACGTAAAGATACTGATTGATCATCTTCAGAGTATATTTCAGAGCAGAAATGATTGCCTCCCCCAGTTGCGCCTTGTTAGTGATTTTCGATGTCTTGTCACCTCCGTCCCAGATCATTGCAGTATGAGACGAGATGTCAAAGTCAAGGAAACTAACAGTAGGACATTCACACAGAACAATGATTCCAAGGTTATCCAAGAACACGGTTGAATCGTTGTTTTACCTCGCAGAAAAACAAAGGTGGTCTCGAAATACCCGTCCCGGTGAAATACACTGACTTCCTGGACTGTAGGTACTCGAGAACTTCCCTCTTCTATTCGAACAGGGGCAAAATATATATGACAACTTTGTGTGGGATTTGGGACTTATCTTGCCGATAATCCTGCTGGCCTAAACAGAAGGTTCACCTGTACTTGAAAGTAGCAGATAGCGCAAAATATAGCTCATCCCAATCAGTGCTATTTTAAGAGGGGATTATATAATTGTATTCTGTCGATTGTGGGTGACACTAAGTGCTGTTGTGTCTCAAGGCGTAATTAGTGACATAGTCATGCTGCTAAGCCTACCAACCTGGTTCATCTCAAGATCAAGGCGACGTAAAGATAGAACAAATATAATATGACTAAAGCGGCAAAACGCATTGCAATAAAACGTAACTTTGCAGCCTATAGGTTATGAAATTCTATGCTGTTACAACATACTGTACCTGGATTCCTCGATCCGATGTTCAATAAACGGATATCCATAGGCTTAGTTGTAAGGAAGCTCCATTCACATGTTTCAAATATATTCCCTGTTCTAATGACTGTGGAAAAAAAAAACACAATGCAAGATCGGTGGTCCACGGACACTGTAAAGACAGACCTCTTTCCAATTTACAAGCCTTCTTCGGGCCTGGAAAACAAATAACAAGCATGAACGGCCAATGTACTAGACTGTTCACATAAAGGCGGATTATTAGCGTTTAATGGTTGGAGTGGGTCTTGTAGGACGCAAGCAGCAAAGGTCTTGCAATACCTTTGGCTGCAGATAGAACAAGACCCAAAGCAACAAGAGATAGGCAAAGCTGTAACCAACCAGGACAACACCAATGCACACCCAAAGACAAATTACTGGACCCGAGGCACGTGGATATGAAGTGGAGACGAATTGAAGACTTCGTGTGCGTCAAAGCATAACTTATACTACTGTAGACCAATAATGAAGACTTCCAGCCTTAGACATTTACTTGTAAGCAAAGAGTGGAAACACTCTTGTCAATTCAGATCAACCTAAACTATAAGTGTACTCACGGCATACTAGTTCCTCACTACTCAACTAGTGCGCCGTCGGTTGTATTTGGGGGATCCACAGTAGATTACCGGCATATAGTGTTCTAGGGACTATATTCCGTACAGGAATTTTCTTTTAATTGCGCTTGGGGCCCCCAAATTCTCTTCTCCAGCCTGGTGCTTCATTTTTCTTTTGCTTTTGGTCAATCGCAATCATGACTGTTGACGAGAAGGCCAGCGCACATGACACGGAGATGGGGAGTCCTCGGGACTCCACTGAAGAGCATGAGGTCTTCAAGAAAACCGAAGACGGTGTCAGCTTCCGTAATGTCGGCTGGTTCAAGGCATGCATTATCTTCGTGAAGGTTCTGTTCGCGACAGGTGTGCTGTCGCTTCCATCCTCGCTCTACTCACTCGGTGCAGTGGGTGGCTCTCTCAGTATCGTCGCCTGGGGCGTGTTCAACACCTACTCTTTCGTGATTTTGGGCAACTTCCGCAAAATGTATCCTCACTGCCATTCAATTGCTGATATGGCAGAGGTTGCTGGTGGTTTCTTTGCGAAAGAGTTGACTGGTCTGATGTTCCTCATTGGCTACGTCCTGGTCACCGGCAGTGGTATCATTGGAGTGTCAACAGCACTGAACGCCCTCTCGCACCACGCTGCATGCACCGTATGGTGGTCATTGATTGCGGCAGTTGCAATTATCGCGACTGCTTCAGTGCGCAAACTCCAGCATGTGGGATGGCTCACATATGTAGGATTCATTTCGATCTACGCCGCAGTCTTGATTGTTGTCATCGGAGTCACCACACGCGACCGACCTGCCGCCGCGCCCCAAGAGGGCCCCTTCGATCTCGGTTTCGTTGCTATCAATAACCCTGGGTTTGCGGCGGGCATGGTTGCTTCCAGCACTATCTTTGTTTCCTCGGCTGGTACCAGCGCCTTCATCCCGGTGATGTCGGAGATGCGAAACCCGAAGGATTACAAGAAGTCTCTGTATCTGTGCATGGCTTTGGTGACTGCGTCATACCTTGCCTTTAGTTTGGTGGTTTACAGTTGGTGTGGACAATGGGTGGCTAGTCCTTCCTTGGGTGTATGTCTCCTTTCAGACTCCATGTACTATCCATGAGCTAACCATTGCTTGATACAGAGTGCCGGACAAACGATCAAGATGGTGTCTTACGGTGTCGCCCTAATTGGATTGGTGATGAGTGCCACCATCTACCTGCACGTAAGTATTTCTACAACATTGCCGAGCAGTTCATGGCTAACGATGTTGTCTAGATTGCTGCCAAATACGTCTTTGTGCGCATCTTGGGCAAGACCCGTCATTTGCAAGCCAATACTACTGTGCATTGGATTACCTGGCTAGGATGCACCATCAGTCTCGGTGCTATTTCTTTCATCCTCGCGGAAGCCATCCCAATCTTCAACTACCTCATTGCACTTGTCGGTTCTCTATGCTTTGCTCCTCTCGCCATGTGTCTTCCTGGCTTCTTATGGCTTTACAGCAACGGCCACTACCGCAAGGGAACAATTGTGCAAAAGGTTATCTACCTACTGCACTGGGGAATGGTTCTTCTGGGAGTTTTCTTCCTTGTTGGTGCAACCTACGGCGTGGTCATTCAGATCATCGACGCCTACGCCACAGGAGCGATTGGTAAGTTTGATATATCCTTAATGCTGCCCAAGTTGCAATTAACATTGATTCTTCTAGGATCCGCTTTCAGCTGCGCCGACAACTCCAACTCGTCGTAAATATGACTCAAAAAAAAACCATTGGTCTGAGCTGCGTATGAAACAGCTCTGTGGTGAAGAGATGGGCCACCTGGAGTGGATATTATTGTAATGAGGAATAATGAGTGGCTATAATGAGGATGGTCATAATGAGTATAGTAATGAACTGTCAGAGAATGGTATCGAATTTCATTACAAGCCCCTGAACTGTCAATTGGCCACGACGGAGGTCCGAGGCTCATGTCGATCTCCACTTGTGGACACGGACGGCGTTCCCCGAACCTAGTGCGAACTGTATTAATCACTATGCATATGCTCTGAAGAAATTTCATGCGCCCATTTTTCTCTTCTTCTGTAGAACCTCTCAGACCAGACATTTCTGAATTCTGATCCTATCGAAACATCCAATTATAAAGTCCAAGTTGTGCGTCATCTGAATGGCGTCTATGGATCTAGCTTAACCTATACACCTTTGACATCCCGTGTGGACCCTATCGCATCGGGCATCGGGCCATAGCGCTAGACATTCGAGACCACCGGACTCAAAATTCTTGCCGGTGGAGCTCGAAGGTGACTTTACTGGCTGAGTGCTGCTCCATTGACAATGGGTCCTCTACACGTGCACGACTACATGTAGTTACGATCGTCGCAAGGCCTGCCCTGGATCCCACGCCATCAGGAGAACTATGGCTAGCAGTATTGGGCTAGACCTCTTAATGAACAGTCCTCAAAGATCAGACGTTCTAATGGAATATGGTATGGCCCATGAATAGGCTGAGTACTCGACAGCACGATCTCATATCTCTCAAGGCAAAATTAAAGATATTCAATAATGAGAGAATCAGGGGATTCTCCTTGAAATTCATTGAGCTCATCCCATCATTCGAACGACCAGATAGGCCCACCCATCTCCATAAGCCGAGCTTCTAACAACCTCTTCAATCGGGGCAGACATGGGTATCACAGCGCCATGCAAAACGGGCTTCGCGAGAACAGGAGTTCTCCGACTAGGAAACAGATTTGGTAGTAGTGTGTGCAGAACAGAGCCCACAGTTTGAATTTGAGTGGTGGAGCTGCCGCGCGAGGGCAAAAGCTGACTTGACTGCATGCTTGATGTGGGTATCGAAGGTGGAATTGGTGATTGTACCACTTTCAAAGATGAAGACTCCGCATCAGGCGGAAGTGGAAGAAATATCCTGACTGGGACATTTCGGAATGGCTGTGATAGTTGAGGTAGAAGGATGCTTGATATGCGTTGGAAAGAGGGAAGATCCACTGTATGCGTGTTAGACTAATCTTGAACATTTGGAAGGGTGGAGATCTTCGTGACGAATGTACCATCTTCAACAGCTCTCCAAAGTCCTGAAGAGTCCTCTTTTGAAAGACTCATGATGCCCTTTGCTGTACCATTTCGGAGGAAGTCTGCCTCCTTCACGCTATTTATGAAGGCATCATTCATAACCATCCCATTGGCATCGAGTCGCACAAGTTCGTCGTCCGGCCAGTCTCTGAAATGCACTACTAATTTCCAGGGCATTGGCGAAGCTTTCTCAGTAGACTCATCACCTCTTGAGGCAGTCTTCGACGCAGGGTCCGCCCCAGCATAAAGGTCAAATAGCAGACCGACAGGGTAGTGCCATTTCAGAGGTACTCCCTCGAACTCGAACCAACCATCATGTGGTTGCGAGTCTGGCTCTATCAAAGAATTTGAAAAGAATGTTCGAAGCTTGGCAAGCAATGAGGGCAGATATGAGATGCGTGGGTATGAGATCTCTCGGGGGGTGAGCGTCTCGTCATACTATGCGCTTGAAGATCTGGGGGACATACAAGATATGGGTCCGTTCTATCAAAAGTCCTGCTTTCTGATGATGCCAGAACAATTTCTAGCGGGATGCGCCCGTTCCAAACGGTCTTCTGGATAGAGCCGAGCGTGACCCGGTTCTCCATCTTGAGATGTAGCTAAGAAAGGGTTTGTCTTTTACGTGTTGCTATTCATCGGTCAGTATATGTATTATCTGTCTGAGACACAGTGAGTTTGCCCCATGGGTTGTCAATCGCCATACCTTGGTATTGAATGGCCGACGGCGCGCTGCTAAGATTCACAGCTTTTGCCCCGCTTTAGATGTGGTCATGGTCGGACCGATGAGGTATGCGCAGAATTCTCATAAGAACTATACACTGGCCATGGGGATATTTGGTTTGCATGGATCAAGCCTATGGGTACTTGAGCTACTGCTAGTGTGTATTGACACTGGCACTACCCAACTGGGAGAAACACGGAAAGTTGATAGCACGTGTTTCTGCCTGAGGCAGTAAAGTTGTCTGATGACATATAAGGCATAAGTTAATGCCTCAGGCCACAATCCGCATCTTCGCTACGTGCAAATCGTTCTGCTAGACTACCGACTATTCCCATGGTGCAACGCCCAACTTCTTCAGATATATCTTCATCTTCCGTCTGGTGTATCATGCTTTCGAGCACTGGCATATCACCTTACTAACGTCTACTACCGAAGCTGACCCTAACGATCGTGACGCGTTACTCAGGTCACCCATGATATCTTTCTGTTAAAAAGACTGAAATGAGACCTGCCAAGCAGTGTGTGTCAGAACCACTGTGGCTGCTGTCAATGCGCAGAATAGCAGGAGTATACACCAGACCCAAGCATTTTGTGTCCACGCGACGGGAATATGCTACGAAGCTTTCCACTCGCTATTCTTGGCAGCAACCTCGGATATCTTGAGCGCTTGGTGAGCGTGTATCATCCAAGTCCAATCGGCTCCCAGGCACAGGCTTTGCGTTACAGTGATTGCATTAGTGCTGCGGTGGTTTCTGGTCGCGAAATCTGATACTTGAACACGGAATTCGTCCGGTTGCCAAGTTCTGCCCAGACATTCAGTACTCTCGGGTAACAGCCATGGCAGTTTTCGCTTCCCCCAAGGGAAATATCAAGCCCCCATGTGGCTCTTTGAACATAATTCGAATGCCGGTGCTCCGGTTCTGTCAGCACGGCGCTGCGGATATCCGACTCCGAGCTGTGAGGCCGTGCTGCGTGTCCCTCATATCACTTCCGAACTTGGAAGACATACCCCCATGAAATAAATTGCAGGCGGTGTCATGGATTTCTTCAATAGAACCTTCTTCCACGTTGTGTCGCTTGCAAAATGCCACTGTGGAGGCAATGGCCAAACGCTGTGCCGGTGTGCATTCTTGTCCAGACGTGGCTACCACATAGGCACAGACCAACCCAAGGAGCGGTCTCGCTGTTCGAAATAATCGGCAGGCGAGATGCCCTACTGAGAAGTCAAAGTTCAATAGTTTTCGTCCGTTCAGCTGCAAATGGTGCAGATAGGTGAATGGAGTTCAAGTGAAATACCTCATCCAGAGGACGAGTGCGAAATGCCGCAGGAGAGGGGGCCGCTTTTCTCAGGTGGACTGCCGACCATGGCCCATGCTAGCCAAGACATACATCACAGCGCCTTTGTGTATCTCCACAACAGGCGATACCTTGCCGGCTCACTTGCAGGCAGTGTGAGATTGGAACCGCTCAAAGCGAGAATGGTGACGAACACACAGAAGGTCTAGCGAGTACAAGCTTTCTATCCCGAGCTTTGACGGTAAATGAATCACCCTCGGACTACATTATGGATGATGAAACCAGGAACATCATTTCAGGATGCCCCCGTGTCATCGCCGTCCGGGTGGGTCCTGACATATGGAAATGTGTCAAGAGTCACAACATAGGTAAGGTCTCCGAACTCAAATAGGGATGCGGTCATGATGCCGATTTTGTCGACTCCTTTCAAATGCTAAGCCCGAGCGGGGGGTGGCTTACTTCCACGCCGGACGCGGCCCGAAACAGGCATATTGATAATGATATAGTAACAGCTACGGCAACGACACACAGACATCATGGCTATCTTTCACCCTGTTGAATCAGATTACTAGTTCCTCGGACCTCATTTGTCAACAGTCCGAGTCAAACCCCAGACTCCCCGGAGTTTCGTTTAGTACACAGTTGAGCTTATCAATGGAGCAGTGGGGGCCGGTGCCGCCATTTCCGGGGGAATCTGTGGGATTGTGGGATTCCATAGGGGCAAAATATCATAGTTATGATGCAAAGGATCTGCATACGCAACATGTACCAATGATAGCGGTGGGAATGTGTTGAGATGCAGATGCAAGAGGACTCACGTGACCTTTAACTATGTACCAAAGCGGCTAGCGTCATCCCTTCAGACTTTTAGCCCTTCTTCCGTCCCCGTGACCTTCCCAATGAGAGCTCGGCAATTTTCTGTCTCCACAATTGTGGTTAAGGGTTCTCCCCCGTGGGCCTCTTCTTTTTCACTTCTATGCAGAACAGCTGGGGAAATGAGATCTCGGGGTATTCGCTTAACAAGCGGGACTACAATATCCCCTCTCCACCCTCAGGTTGAGGCAAGATTCCGCCCGACCCGGAGACGCAAAGATTTCTTCGCTCATGCTCAGTGGCGATGGCCTTCACCGGCGTCCACATACTGCTCAGACGGCTAAACACACAACGCACTTTCTCCAGCGCTAGAATACCACATCTACAACATGAAGTTCACATCCAGTAGTAGCTCGTCATGTTGAAACACTGAGTATCTAGTGTCCAGGAACGACCCCCACGGAATTCCTTTTCTTTCTATGATTTCATCCAGGAAAAGAGGGTTCCGGGTTACATATATACTGAAGCTTATTTGTCCCCGGCTGAGTGTTTCCATGTTTTGTCCGGGGAAAACACTACCCCGGCCGACGTTCCCACATCACCATGCATCTGTAATCATCCCTGTCTCATAGCCTCACGTTCGAACCCCATATTGCCCCAGTCTATGGGGATACAGGCGACGTGTGTTGTGGAGAGCACCTAGTTGGGGAATTTGCCCACCCACAATTCCACTTGGATAGCAGAGATTACTTAGGGGACCCATATCCGGCACCTTTCGACCCATTTTCTTCTTCCCATCTCCGATCAAATTTTTTCCTCCCTCCCACCTCACCTCATTCTTCACCTTCCCTCGAGCTGTTACATCTGCAGCCATGGGTGTTCTCACACTTCACGAGGATCGGCCGACGCCAAAGTCCGTTTACAATTGGCGTGTCTATGTCCTCGCCCTCATCGCATCATGCGGTTCCAACATGATCGGATATACCAGTGCCTTCATCGGTACAACCATTACACTCTCATCTTTCCAGAAGGAATTTGGTATCGACAAGATGGAATCTGCCCAACAAGATCTAATTAGTGAGAACATTGTCTCTCTCTTCATTGCCGGTGCCTTCTTCGGTGCTCTTGGTACATACGTCCTCGGTCACTTTATTGGCCGCAAGTGGTGTTTGTGTGTTGCTTCCGCCATCTTCACGCTTGGAGCTGGACTACAACTTGGAGCCGATTCTTCTCGAGGACTGGGAATTCTATACGCAGGCCGTGTGCTTTCTGGTTTAGGAACCGGTGTGGCTTCAAACATTATCCCTATTTATCTGTCCGAGCTGGCTCCACCAGCGATCCGAGGTCGGCTGGTCGGTCTCTACGAGCTCGGGTGGCAGATTGGCGGTATGCTTGGTTTCTGGATCAACGTGGGTCCCCTAGCCTTGCCGATCTCTTCGGTGTTTGTGCCGTCTTTGCATTAAAGCTAACCTAAATCGATAGTACGGTGTTGAACAACACATGCCTTCGGACCATCAGCAATGGATCATTCCATTTGCTATTCAGCTTGTGCCGTCTGGTTTGCTCTTTGTCGGTGCCTTGTGGATCAAGGAGTCTCCTCGCTGGCTCTTCCTCAAGGACCGTCGCCGTGAGGCAATGGAGAACCTCTGCTGGATTCGCCAATTGCAAGCCGACGAAATTTACATCTCCGAGGAGGTTGCCGCCATTGACCAGGCACTCGAACACCAGAGAAGCTCGATTGGTATTGGTTTCTGGAAGCCTTTCCAAGCCCTCGCCCACAACAAGAGTGTCATGTACCGCCTTGTGCTCGGCTGTATGCTCTTCTTCTGGCAGAACGGTTCTGGTATTAATGCTATCAACTACTACTCTCCCACTATTTTCAAGTCGGTATGTATATGCTCTACTCGTCGCAAAATTTTCATCGATACTAACTTTGATCTTAGATTGGTGTTGACAGCGACACTGTCAACCTTATGACTGGTATCTTTGGTGTTGTCAAGGCTGTTATGACGTTTGTCTGGCTCTTGTTCCTCGTCGATCAGTTCGGACGACGGAACCTTCTCCTCGTTGGTGGTATCACCGGCTCAATCTGCATGTGGATCATCGGTGCCTATATCTGTGTCGTCAAGCCCGAAGACAACCCCACCTCTCACCTCGATGGCGGTGGTATTGCCGCTATTTTCTTCTTCTATCTCTGGACCGCCGTCTATACCCCCACCTGGAACGGTACCCCTTGGGTTATCAACTCCGTAAGTTGCCTATCATTGCCCTCATTTCGACTGCATCTTTCTAACAAAAGCAACAGGAATTCTTTGATCCCAACTTCCGTTCCCTGGCCCAGGCCGCCACCACTGCCAGTAACTGGCTGTTCAACTTCCTCATCTCTCGTTTCACCGAGCAGATGTTCGAGACTATGCACTACGGTGTCTACTTCTTCTTCGCCTCCCTGTCCTTCCTGGCCTTCTTCTTCGCCTTCTTCCTCATTCCCGAGACCAGTGGTATTCCTCTGGAGAAGGTCGACCGCTTGTTCGAGCAGAAGCCCATCTGGCGCGCAAACAAGATGCTCAAGGCACAGCTTGCCGCCGAGGAGGAGCAGTTCCGTTACGATATCAAGGAGAGCTCTTACCACCAGGAGAACACTGCTGGTACTTCAGACGAAGAGCAACAGAAATGAGCGATACGATTATAGATAGATTGGTTATATATAGAGAGTGGCTTCTAGACCACAGGTTGTACATACGACTACGATTTTGTATAGACGTTGCATAAGTTAACGCGCATTTTCATGAATCATCAATTTTTTATTCATTCCTTTCCACATAATATCTCGGTAGATTAACTTAGCTTGAATGAGCTCTGCTAACATTGTGTATGGTGACATTTGCAAGTCCTGATGACTCCTTGGTCCTCGCTTGGCACCTGGGCAGATATCCATGCTTCCCTTTCCAAGATTGTAATCGTGTTCATTAATGGCCTCTATTCTGTAGCCATGAGTCTGTGTAGTTGCTCATAGGCAATAGCAGCATAAGATACTCAAAGTACAACGTTTGATTGAACGTGAAGAGGCATTTGAATGACCAGTCATTACTTGAAAATATATATTAGCAAGACCTATTATCGGCTTTCATCCTTTCGATTGCACTTTATCACGGAACAATTGTTAGCAAATCTACCTAAGTTCACCTAATAATTCAAAACACTCGTCTGGGTATGCTAGAATAAATTGATTCGTATACTTCTATGGGGGTATCAAATGATAAAACAAACTCAGCACACAGCAGTAGGCACTGCTCCACGCTCCTTCTGCAGCAGAATATCAACAGCCATTTTATAAGCCTTGTCCTTCGCATCACACTGAGATGTCCCTCTAATAGCCTCCTTATCCCACCCATGAGCGCACCCCTCCATCCGCTCACACACGGAGAGCTTCCCTTCCGTCCCATTCAACTTCTTCGACAGCTCCTCGGCCTCAATAGCAAAAGAATCCTGCGCCGCAGTGACTATCAGAGTCTTATTGGGGAAGCAGTCCGGATCCGCGAAGATAGGCGACATCCGCGGATCCTTAGGATCGACTCTCCCCAGATTGAGACACTTATGACACAGATGGGAGAAGGGCGGGAAGATGTCGCGCATGATCCAATTGCGGCGATCTGCCTGGGGCTTTTCTGGGGTGGGGATAGACATATCCATCGGTCCGTAGAAGGAGATGACCGTGTCGAATATCCCTTGTCTCGGGTCGAACTGCTCTGACGCCGCGGCCACAGACAAGGCGATGTTGGCGCCCGCGCTGAATCCAGACAGCGAGAGCTGTGTCAGGTCGAAGCGTTCGGGTTGCGACCGTACCCAGCTCACTACGTCTTCGGCATCGTGGAAGGCTGCTGGGAAGGGGTGTTCCGGGGCGAGGCGATATTGAACGTCGATTACGGTGTAGTGGGCATTGTCCGCGACAAAGCGGCAGAATTCATCGTCTGAGCCAAAGGTACGGAGGACGAAGCCACTGCCGCAGAAGTTGATTAGGACGGGGGCTGGGCCGGGTTGGGGGGCTGGGTTGTAGATGTTTGTCTTGATGGGTTGACCGTCATCGCGCGATGGGACGAGAACTACTTCGTCGGGCTTGGGATCTAGATGGAGTCTGGGCTTCACGAGGAGTCGAAGGAATGACGCGAGCGATTTATGGTAGCCATAAGAAACTCCCATTGCAATGTGATGAGGTGAGGTTTTGGTTGACACGTCTGATGGGGATGTCCCCACGCGGCAGTCAGGAAGGAAATATGTCCTTATCCACACCCCCTGGCTACCATGATATCATCAGCAGTCAACACCTCCCCTCGATTGCCTTTCAGTTGGTAAATGTCCCGTGTGTATGCCGGTCAAATCAAGGTTGGAGCAGATCACTACGTCATGCCACGCAACCCCCGAGACGGCATAGATCAGCATGGCAACGATTAATGTTAAACCGACAAAGAAGGACAGGCAGAGATCAACAGAGAATTGGCTTGTGGGCAATGAGAAAGACCTTGTTGGTTGCCTGCGACTTCCAGTGCAGCTGCAACCGGAGCTCGGATGCCGCGAACGCCGATGCCGAAGACGTTTGAGATGAGTATGTGTGGCCTGAATTAAGCCAAGCTTGGAAGTCCGCTTTGCAAGCATGTCAGCAGGCCATTCTGAGATCTATGTGAGGGGAATTATCGAGTGGGATATTAATTCAATTATTCGAACATGTCGCTGTCATGAGAAGATGCATCCGGCCATGACCTTATAGCGTGGCTGGAGCAGGGGCTGGGAGGGGCTTGGATCTGCTGGATCTGTGGAGCAGACAAGACAAGGTAATCTTGGCCCTAGGATTCACTCGAAGATCGCAGGGTCCATTGTCTCTCTATGTATGTACGCGCGTAGCGGGAAACACAAGGACCGGGGTCCTTACACTCACACAGGGTAGACATCTGGGGCAGAGCCTTTGTAGCCCAAGTGTATGTTGGCCAATGAAATATGACAGAGGTCAATCGTCTTTTCTAATTTTAGCCCGATCCTGCCACCGAAAACAGCAAGGATAGACGACCTGGAAGCTTGCGGAAGGGCCGTGTTCGTATAGACGTTCAAGCTTCGGTGAAGGGTTCAACAGCCGTGAGCGGCATCCAGTGAGACAGGGTCCCTCATTGGTAGTCTGGTGAGTACTAGTACATGGCAAACTGCTTGCCTGTCTGGGAAATATTGTTGCATTGGACCCCTAGACCCTTGCCACCTGGGGAATAAGACCAGTATATGATCGGCCTAGGCTTGCTGCGGGCTGTGTCGGAACGACGCACAGAAAGCCTCAGAGTCAGGGGGGTAAATCACGTAGAACAGGACATAGTCTCTTTGTCAGAATGCAGTTCATTGGAACTTTTCCAGGGTACATAGCATAGAACACACTCAACGCACTGAATTGTCGCTGCCTTGAAATTGTTTCAAATCAAAATCATCGCCTGGGCCCACCTAGCGCTTACGTCGTACTGTGGAGTGTGATGATATCAGGGAAACTCCCCCAAAAAGAATCCTCTCTTTCTCTTCTTGACACTCACACTCGTTTTGGTCGCCATGCAATTATCGACCTTCCGCCCGGGAGGATGGATTCTCTTTACTATCTTCAGTCTGGTTCATGCCGAGCAGCTCATCGAAGCCAACGGCCTGACGGCATGTCACGGAGCCGATAATTCCGACATCACAATCAACCACATGAGTGCGACCCTCACGCCAGGAAACAACTCTGTGAGCTTGGTCTTCGATGGATATTCTGGAGTCGCTGGAGATGTGGTCTTGGACGTGGATCTCTTGGTGTACGGATACAAAGCGCTCTCGCAGAGAATTGACCCATGCAGCCTCGACCTAAGTGTCTTTTGTCCGATGAAAGCAATCGAGTTACAAATTCCGAAATTCACCTACACCTTCGACAATGGGGTGCTTGATCAAATTCCAGGTTCGTGGGGAATTCTATGAGGCTCAGCGGCTCCCAAACTTTTGGGCACTAACGGTTGCGTCATAGGTATCGCCTACAGCGTCCCCGACATCGATGCAGTGGTCCGCATCAACCTGAACCGAAAGTCGGGAGGGAGTGTCGCTTGTCTGGAAACTCGGGTGCACAATGGAAAAACCGTTTTCCAAGCTGGTGTGTCATGGACACTCGCCATCATGACTGGACTAGGCCTCGTCGCTTCCGCCGTATTTTCTCTTCTCGGACACTCCAACACAGCAACCCATCTTGCGTTCCGATCGCTCGCTTTCCTCGGTTTCATTCAGTCGACCGCAATGGGAGGGTTACTCGCAGTCGAAATTCCACCGATGGCGCAATCCTGGATTCAGGATACTCTGTGGAGCATGGGCTTTGTCTCAGAAAGCTCACTGGAGACCATCTCGACCTGGTTCCAGCGCGCGACGGGGGGTACACCTTCGTCCGTGCTTTCCGAGCAAGGCACTGTCTCGGTCGTTTTGCAGAAACGTGCAACCTCCCAGTCGCAAACCGTGCAATCCGGTGCCCAAATCGTCTTGCGCGGCATCAAACGGGCTGGAGCACGAGCAAATATCACCTTGAGCAACATCTTCATGACCGGATATCTGTTTTACTACTTTGTAACCGCCCTCGTTCTCGCTTGTGTCGGAGTCGCTCTGGTCATTCGTTTCGTGCTGTCCAAGAGAACGACCTCAATCACGAAAATAGACAAGGCTACCGGTGCCACCGAAGACTGGAAGACAGTCATGCGAAACACCTTCTTCCGACTTGCATGCATTGGATATCCTCAGATGTGCGTGCTCTGTCTCTGGGAACTAGTTGAAAAGGACTCCGCTGCGGAAATCGTTCTAGCTATTACCATGTGGCTGGTGACGACCGCCGTTCTGGCCTTCGCTGCATTCAAGATCTTCCAACGCGCAATTCGGTCCAAGCAGCAGCACAACACACCGGCCTACACTCTGTATTCCGATCCAGCCACGCTGAACAAGTGGGGATTCCTCTACATCTACTACCGTGCGCCGGTGTATTGGTTCCTCGTCCCCACACTGGTCTACATCATCATCAAGGGAATGCTTGTCGCCTTCGGTCAGTCGAACGGACTTGCCCAATCCATCGTTCTCCTCATCCTGGAACTCGCAATGATGCTCGCAATCGGTATCATCAAGCCATTCATGACCAAGGGAGCAAACGTCTTCGCAATCATCGGCGCGGTGCTCAACTCCCTCAACGCAATCTTCTTCCTGGTTTTCTCAAACGTCTTCAGCCAGCCCCCGCTGATGACAGGTATCCTCGGCGTGCTATACTTCATCTTCAACGCGGCCTTCACTCTGGCCCTTCTCATTTACCTCTTGGTCGGCATTGTCTTCGCTGTTATCTCCAAGTCTCCCGATTCCAAATACCGGGCTCTGGCTGATGACCGTGACTCCTTCCGCTGGTCTCGTACCGGAGGAACGACCGAGCTGGATCAACTTGAGAAGGTCGCAAGAGGCGATGATACGGAGGCTCATCCGAACTTCCCTGCTGCTCACACTGCTCCACCCAGTGATGAGGATGTCTCAATGGCCGCACGGAGACCCTACAATGATGTTGTGGATCCTTCGCTGCCACTCTTCCCCAGTGCTCAGAATGGTGGTCGGCGCAGTTCTTAGAAACTTGTATTTCTAGACTTGTCTCTCGGTTCTATATTTCCTTTTCAAAGATTTCTATCAGCGATACTTCTGACATCTGCTTTTATGTTTGGCGCACTGGTGTTTTCTGTGGTTACTGTACATATCAAAGCTTTGGTGTTTTCGGCTTCGGGATACATAAATCTCATCAAATGATTGATCGTTTATTATATCGTATTCTCCTACTTGAAAAATTACTATCATGTCTAGCGAGCTATATAATAGAGATAGGAAAGCGTGGTTCCACGACAGTGATTGTTTGCAAAGATGGGTTGTTATAGAGAGTTGAAGAAAAGGGTTTCTCATAGTAGACATGATCAAGACCTAGAAAAGAAAAACTTGAGACATCAAACAAGTGGTATCTTCGAACCTCGAAACATAATTCTATTTACATGCTGAACCCGCCACACTCGAGAAAATGAACACAGGGAACGGCTCCGCAAAGATCGTGACTGGAAGACAAAGAATGATGTTGCTTTCATGAGCAAATAGCCATGTATCCGAGAAGGAAAGGACATCAGAGAAAAGAAAAGACAAGTGGTATCTTAGCATGAAGAAACAATAGACGGAAGATCCATGGAAGTAGTTGACGCTCTTGATCCCCAAACCGAGCTATCCTCTTCGCCAACCAATGTTGACCCCCCTATCTCACCAATTTCAGATTCGGTATCGAGCTCATCAATTGTTGTCGCTAGGCTCCTACGCTGCTGCATCGGCGGCGGTGGCGGAGACTGTAACTTGCCCGAATTGTCGAACCACAGCACACTGATAGGGTTCTTGCGCGCCAGGTCAAGCGCAGTAAGCCCACCTCTCGTGGACTTTTCATCTGTTGGAGTTTCAACAAAGTCTTGGATTGAAGGATCTGCGCCCGCATCTAACAGTATTTGGAAAATGTTATGTCGGCCTCGCTCAGCAGCCAAGTGCAATGGGGTCTTCCCGTCCGAAGTTCTCGAATCCAGCGATGCACCACTTTTGATTAGTAGCGACACAAGGGACTCGCGTGGGACTTTTGCGATCACCGCCAAGTGGAGTGCCGTTTCAGAATTGCAAGATACAACGGGAGCGTTGATGTCCGCACCATGAGACAAAAGTAATGACATGAAACTGGCAGTGTGTTCAGTTGAGGAATGTGACAAGTTAAGATCGTTGATGACAAGATGGTGCAAAGGTGTAAGACCACTGCAGGTTGTCGCATTGGCGCTGAAATTGCATTGAAACAAGGATTCCAGAATATCAAGACAGTCTTGGTTTAGCGGAGGTGTGATATGAAGAAGTGTCTCTCCTTTTGCGGTTTGAACATCGAGTCTTGCTCCTTGTTCGGCCAGAAAAAGGAACATCGCTTTGTTCCCAATTACAGCAGCGCATTGTAAGGGTGTATATCCTTGAGAGTTGCAGGCTTCGAGGTTTGCTCCTTGGGCGAGTAAGTGTGCAGCAACAGAAATTGCAGAAGGGTTGCGGGCTTCCTTATGAAGTAAGGATTCGCCTTCGCTATCCCATGCATTGATATCTGCACCTCCAATGACAAGCATGTCAAATGCTACCCAATTGTTCTCCAGTGCGGCAATATGCAAGGCAGTCATTCCATAGGATGAACGAGTTTCCAATTGGGTGCCACGTTCGAGCAACAGCGAGGCAGCCTCGCAGTTGTCTGTTTTACAAGCAAGTTGTAATGCTGTCATTCCATCTCTGTTTAAGATGTTCATGCTGGCTCCCTTTTCGAGAAGGAACGCAAGTATGCGCGGTCGCTTCAATTCGACTGCTAAGTGAAGGGCCGTATTACCAGTAAGTGTATTTTGAACATCCATATCAAACCGACTTTTAATCAAGAGAGGCACGGTCGCTTCATCGTGAGTTGTCCCAACAGCTAGCTGGAGAGCTGTCGCTCCTTCCTTGCTGGCTGTTCTAGAGTTCGCACGCCGATGAAGCAAAATCTTGATCAATTTTCGGTGTCCTTGCTCCCCTGCAATATGCAACACTGTTTTACCATCGTTTGAGACAGCATTGATGTTTGCTTTGGAGGCCAGGAGCAATTCAACCATCTCTTCATTCCCTTGATAGACTGCACAGTGAAGGGCGGTGATACCCAGTTGATTATCGCATTCATCAAGATCTGCACCTTGTTCAATCAATCGTTTTGCTTTTCCAATAATGCCGAAGTAGGCTAGCACATGCAGAGAGGTCCAGTCTGAAAAGTACTTCCCGAGGCCCAGCTGTTTTGGTACTTCAAGCCCCGGGACATATAAGTCTTTCCCAGGAGGCCTTCTCCAGGACAGCTTGTTGAGGAAAGCACGGATGAGAACTTGTGTTGCTTGCTCATCTTCGCCGACTTCGCGAGCGTGGTGACCCCAGAAGGTTGTAGCGTAGTCGAGCAGCTTTCCACGGGGCTTGCGAGGTATCGCTCCCTTGCTTACATAGCAGTCATCAACCACATCATCAGGGGTGATAATCGTGAGACAGACGTCGGCGATATTCACTTTAGCGGTTGGAAAAAACACCCGAGCTGCTGGGCCACTTAGGTACTCCTTGGCTGTTTTATGTACCAAGTGAACTGTCCCACTCATTGCGTCAATCGTCAAGAGTCCAGCAGCTTCATAAAGCATAGAATGCTCGGATGATGTAGGCTCCTTCGGGGCACTCTTAGCCTGTAACTCATAGCTTGCTGCAAAGTTTAGTTCCGAGACTGTCAAAGGCCTCTGGGCATATAATGTCCAATATAGGCACCGACTGGCAAAGGGATTCTGGCTAACGATACGGGTCATTGACTCGCCGTAAGCGTCGTTCAGAGTCTCAGGCAAATGGAACAGTGATCTTTGTAGTAGACTTCCATCCTGACATCTAGATAGAAGATCCATATGGAGTCGAGCTAGCAAGAACCTGTACACCGAAAAATGTCAGCATTCATAACAACTGTGGTGAATAAGAGACTGATAACTAACAAGCCATGTGACTTCCGGGCCACTTGTTGAATAACAGCCACCTTTAACTCAGAGGTGTATTGCTTCAGCATAGCGTTCAGCCCTTCATCTTGTTCAATGCGGGCACTAACATAGGCCTCAAGATCCCTTGGAGTGGCTAGAACAGGTACATATTCATCTTTGGATCCATATTTTGCTTCACGTGAGGTAACAAGAAGTTGCGCATGATCCGGGAGCTTTTGAAGGCGATTCAGAATGCGATCTTTCTCCACATGCATGTCGATCCCATCAATAACAAACATAACCCGAGAGAACCTGTTGACCTCGGCGCGAATAGCATCCTGATATGCCTTTGCTGAAACATTTCCCTCGGCAAATGATTTGGAATCGTACAAGCAAGCGGTAGTGTGAGAAGGGACACGCTTCCGATACACAAGTTGCGCGAGGATTTGGTCAAGAAATCCCACAGAGCTCGCCTCTTCATCCACCTCGTCATGACCGAAAATGAAGACAATCGCTACATCTGCTGATGTAAATGTTCTCTGCAGGCTGTCGATGACGGTAGATCTAAACACTTTTAGTATGAGTGAGCCCCCTGCCATTCCTTGGTAGACCTACGCGAGAAACGTTTTTCCGGCGCCCGCTATCAAATTCGTTAGCTTTGGATTCATATTGACCAACAGATCAAACTATATTGCTTACCTGGCCCAACGCAGTAAAGCGTTCTGCTACAGCCAAAAAGCCATTTGGTGTATATATCATTGTCAAATATCCATTCGCATGTTCCCGTTTGCCTTGTATTGCACAGATCTGCCAATCTCATGAAACTTTTTGTGGTAATTTGGCTCGTAGTAGTGTGAAACTCATTGGAGTCCGGGGTGCTCGTTCGTATTGAGTCTGGAGGGTTGAGGTTTAAGTTAGTCAAATGACCTCGACAAGTAGGAGTTTCAAACTAACCAGGGTCCATTTCATGAAAGCGATAGAGTGCGTTTCGAAGTTTTTCCTCAACCCTGCTCTTCTCCCTACTCATAATCAATGCTGATTAGCACTGCCCTTAAAGGATGCCGATATTGACACGGGTAACTTATACCGAGACTCAGGTTGCATGGACAAGAGCATCATGACCTTAAAATGCTCCAATCTAGGGATAAATGTATTTTCCAACAACCGCTTTCGGAACGAGCGAGCTGTGATACCACCAGGCTGAAAGTAGACCTCGATAGATCCAATAGTCGACTCGAACGAACGGAGCAGCTCATCGAGGTTACGCAGGCGTGATGTATCCACGACCCATTTGTCCTCCGCCCAGTTCAGCTGGTCTTGAATTCGGCTAAGTAAATCAAGAAGTTCGCATAGAAGCAGCATCGCTCGCTGCGCACCATCTTGAGATTCTCTGTTTCCCCCCAGGCAGCGCATAACTGCCCGCAGGGACCGAGCAGCTCGGGTAAGGCGACCCCGAACCACTGGGCCATCGACCATGGCTGGAGGTTCCATGAGTTAGAGAATGAACCTATAACTTAGGAGATAAGAGACTCGAAACAAACATACCTAAGGTCATGGAAAAAAGGAGTGCAATGTGACTTGGAGAGGCACGTGGTTTGCTTGTTTCGAAAGCCGCTTGGAACAACAGGGCAAGTCGATCGGCTGCCAGCCCCGTGGCATTGCGCCACTCTCTGTAGAGTTAGGTGGACATTGTTGGCGTCGGAACAGGCCATGTGAGGGGCCCCTGCATGGCTTTTGGTAAGATACACAAAGAATAGAGACGTGGAGACACAAGGCTGCCTACAGCGCCAACGTCAAGCATGAGCGCTACATGAAACGGCTTCCAATAGTGTTGATCTCGTAAGACAAAGTGCTTTTCGGCCAATAAACAAATTTTCCTTTTTGGGCTAGCAGCGATACGAGCGGGGTTTCGCGCAAACTAAAGCCACGAAGACAGAATTGATCAACGAAGAACGGGGGATTTGATGGGCGTTAGCGCCCGCATACGACGGTGTCGTGCCGCGGGGGGAGCTGTCCACTCAGGATGGCCCTTGAAACGCCTGGAGTGTGATATCTTCCCAGCCATGCAGGATAGCATGCTCACCGCTGAAATCAAGATTCTTGATAGGCGAACCTAGTTAACTTACTGGTTCAATGTACATAATGTAGTATTTACACGATGCATCGTCATACTGTACATCTACTGCTGCCGCTGACTGAAACCATCATGCTGGTAACTTATAACGCGCAATCGCGGAGGCTATATGTGATGTTGAAGAAAAGGTTTATTGAATACTGATATGCTTCGAATTCGTGGAAATTGTTATGGTCATTCTGAATAAACTCCTAAGGCGGCGAAGACAGCGCGAGCCGTTGAACCTCTGCCGGAAATTCCTCTCTAACTAGCAGAAAAGAAGATATTGTAACAATCATCACGAGAAAGAGCAAAAGCCAAAGAAATTCGTAACAAGACTTGTCGTAATATTGAGTAAGATTCATCGAATAGGGGTAAAATGGGGGAAGAAGTAGGAGTATATACTCTGGCCATCTAACCATGGGTATCGCAGAAACATAGGGAATGGCTCAGAGAGTGAGAGGAGAAAATCACACAGAAGGAACATCCGGAACGTTAGGAGATGCAGAGCTTAAATCATGTTAGCCCCATTAAAGGTGACCTCGGCCCCAGTGTCTCGACCACGCTTGAGAGCTTTGGCCAGCATAAGCTCTCGCATCCAGTCAATGCGCTGGTCGCGGGTCCTGACAGAAAAATGATGCGATTTCCCGCTGTTCAAAAACAAGGTCTTTCGGTCAATGATTGCACTACCGTTGGGTGTAGGAATCAGGGAGAATTGAAAAGCAGACGCATTGAGTGGGTTCCCGTTTCGTTTGAGAACGGTCTTCTTGAATGCCGCTGTCAGTTTAGACCTTGACGCAAATGAGGAACAAGCAACTGCATAGTCATCAACATCGATGTACTCGAGGGCCTTGGACTCGAGGCGGGCAGACTCTTCATTGTCGTGCATTGCCAGTTGAGTGCCTTTCAGAGTAAAGTGATGATCTTCCCAATCATGCCGGATCAATTTGGTAGTCTTGCGCTTCTTCATCCACCCACTATGTGTCACATCACCTTCTCCTCGTCGGGTGGAAGGGAACAATGTGTTATTGCGGAATTGAGGGGCCCGAGGTGTATTGTTCAGGTCTTCGGGGGTCTCAATTGGACTCATGGCATATTCCTCCTTGAGAGGGTTGAGGGTAGAGATATCATGAATCGAAGGAAACCGCCGATGGCCCTCCGCTTTGCTGGAGAATGGACGAATAATAGGATCTGGCATAACATATCCTTCATTCCCAAATCTCATGTTGGGTGGCACTGACTGAGAATCTTCTCTGGCCACTGGACCTATCGGAACAGCTGTCACTGGCACATCGATATCTGAGAGAGGGGTTTCTGAGCGATAACAAGGATCGCGTCTGTAGAAGTCCGCGGGAGACGCGATGGCCCCGCTCGAGAAGGACTGGTTCTCTCCAGGGATAGCGGTCCTGTCATTGAACTGGTTTCTTCTAGACAAAATGGAAGGCGTGACAGTCCGTAAAGCTGACAGGTTCTCTGTGATAATCGAGCCATCACTGGAGTCATGCATGCTAGGTATCCGGAGTTTTGGTAGGTGACGGAGATTATCAGCTAGGGTGGGTGTAACCTTTGCCGAGTCGGGGAATTCAGAACCGGGGGATGAAAGACGGTCGGTTGGGGGCGTAGCAGGCTGATTAACTGTTTGCAACCGGTCAAGACTTTGGAAGTTCAAAAAGTTTCGCACATTCTCCTGAGGGTCTCTCGGTTTCACCTCTTTCAGACTTTCTTGTGAAAGCTGGAGGGAGGAGTGTTGAGATCCCATGAGATCAGAAGACGCGACAAGCGAAGGAGTTATATGAGACCTGGGCGACTTGAGGAGATTTGGTGCTGTCTTAGGGTTTCCTGGGTCACCTGCAACGATACAGCGGCCCCCGATAGACTCAAGCGGCAGGTCCTGCGCAACAAGAGCGAACCACTTCTGCTGCTTCTGCCAAGTTTTGCATGCTTCTCCTTTCTTGCACTTGTGCACTTTGGGCAGGCCCTGTTCAATTGCCACGATAGAGACAGAGTCATCGGGAAGAAGGTCAGTTCTCTTGCAGCCGTCACTCTCGGAACGTTGACGACGCGGGCGAGGCTTCGCTTCGGGTATCTTTTTCCCAGCACTCGCGTACGATGTGTGGCCATTTCCAGAAACGACAGACGTATTGGGAGTAGAATCTATGGAACTAGTGACACTTGAATTGCGTGAGCGTGAAGAATGAGTATCGCTACTCATATACACACTTCCGCCTCGAAGATTGTCGATAGAGCCCATTAGGCGGTATCGCTTGCCAAAAGATTTGATCTCAAGCTCCTTGAAGAGGAAATCATAATCGAGATCCATTATCATGGAGCCCGAGATGTCATTCTCGAAAAATTTCTGAATAATATCATCCTCGAAGTTTAGGCTCTGCAGCCATCCCTTCACATGAAAAGGAGTCCAGTCACGGGGTCCGATATGAATGGGCCTTGGGGCCGGACGAGCAACATGTGAGAATTGTTGGCGTTGCTTGGGTTGCCTGGGCTCAGGGGTTGGTGCTGTCGAGCCGTTCGGAACCGGTGTATCCCGTCTATGGGGGTCGAATTTCGAGGCTCTATGGTGATATGGACCGGTAGTGCTGATGGGTGTTTCTTGGGTCAATGGACCGATGTCTATGGCTGAGTTTGTATCGGAGTAGTCGGACGATCGGAACAAGTGAGGACCATTTGGACCTCTGACATGTTTCTCATCGAACAGAAAGTCAAAAGCAGTTAAGCCAGTAGACTCCGGTGTAGTGACAGTGTCTGGTGTAGAGGCAGTTGATATGCTTCCGGTTCCAAACTATGGATAGATAACGTTAGTCCTTCCGGCATTCACGATATAGACCTGTTATTGAACTCACAGAAGCAACACTTCTCATGGGTGAGCTGTTTCTGTAGCGGTTGTACTCATATTCGTCATCGAATATCTCTGTTGCTTCCGACCCCGGTCGTGGCATGACAGTCTTGGAGGGAAACAATGGTAACGGTTCTTGCTTCTGATTCACAAGATATTTCATGTGGTATGCATATTGATCCTTTTGTTGAAATTAGCGTGCTTGTTAGGTGTGCGAATATCATGAACAATGACTAACCATTTTACAACGCCAGGAGCCTAGATGGGCTGCTGGCACCAGACAGGAGAAGGAAACAACAGTTGGATAACCAACCCAAAATGTCTTGGTAAGACTGGGTGGTATATGTTAATGAAAGTGGAACCGGATGTTAAAACGCTATGATGACGGGGAAACTTATCAAAATTGAGTAGTTTGGGCTTTGGACGATTTATGTACAAGGTAACTCAACTGGCGTGTACTAGATGTTCGTCTGTGGGGCCACCAGTAAAAGTGCGCGGCACCAAGTGCTTCGAGCGATTTCGTGGATTCAGCGAATTGCATTTACAGCTCGGACAGCAACTGGAGACATGGCTCAGCGGTAAGTACACCGCGAGGCGCCCATGATCAGGCATCTGGGTGGTTGGTACGCCAACATGGAACACTAGCTTAGGAGACAGGTGCCAGAAACTAAAAATTCATCCGACAAGACTGGGTCCTTCTCGTGCTCGTTGGGTGAGAAGCAAAGCAGTCGGCGTCGAACCTGCATGAGGGGTTGAGGAAAGCGGGTGATAGCGGTCTGTGAGAGGCTGTTCGTCACGGCGCTACTGCGGTGATGATATTCTTGGCACACTTGCACTCGCTGGTGTTCTCTGAATAGAAATCCTGGCGCGTAAAGGGGTTTCGGTTTCAAATTTATAAATTGATAGCATTGCCTCGCTCATTCAAGGGGGCTGAGCTCAGAAAATTATTCTGACTAGCATTCCTGTGCTCTTGACTTGAAGTAACATGAAAAAAGTCGGCAAACTGATAGAGACACAGAGTGACCTTCCTCCTGCAGTTTATTTTAGATCAGCAAATTGTACACTAAATTAATTACTTTCAAGAATATTGACCAGGATTTCTGCCCAGTAAGGAAAATGACTCGGGACGGACCCAAAGTTCCGTTGAGCAGACTATCACACAATCACACTGCAGATCCTCCATTTTTTGGTCTGTCTTACCGAAGCGATTGGTCTAAATGTATGGCCGTCTTACTGTACATCTTTGGGTCTTTTATTCAACCATTTCCTAATAAAAACCATCCTGTCCTTTTTTTTCGTGCTGGTAGAAATCAGTGTCAGACAGGCGAATAGTTTCATGGTATATCGCCGGTCATGGTCCTATAGTAAATCTCAAGCCTCATACCGCACACGAGGAACTTGGAGAATAGCAAAATCTGATCATGGGGGTTTATTGATGCACTATGCAAGGTAGCTTCCCGTTTCTTGAAGCTCGGAGCTTGGAATCGGCCATTGTCAAAATCACCAGTAGTCTAACATGAAATATGGGCTTCGCGTGATACAGTACTTGAATCGAGCGTATTTAGATTGGTCTTAGTCTGACGGTTTATGCATCTAAGTGACCGCTCCCCAAAATCCAACATGAATCACACCGCGTGCTCACACACGTTATAGTTCGGAATAGTAGACCGAGCTACGCCCGACGTATCATTCTTTTACTACAACCTCATATTAAGTCTATAGAACTTTTAAGTATGATTGAATGATATCTGCTTTAATTCCTTAACGTCAAAGTTGAGTTGACAGGAAAGTCTGTCATTTTGAGCTTGCAACAATCTACGCATCAGATTCATCTCGTGGTACGAAGTCAGTTGGGTCTGGGAATTCCATCCCTATTATAGTCCTCCATACAGTACAGTAATGATCTCTGTGGCACAAGCAGATCTCAAAATCGACGGATCCAAATTTTGTTTTTGCTTTGAATTTGGCAAATTGTGATGTTCCCCCGCATGCCACGGGTGTCCACGTCTCAGGATGCAATGTGACTATAATAAATCGGAGATCCAGCATTTCAACAATGATGATTGAGATGCCCAATATTCATTTTATCCACTCGACGCTTTAAATTCAAGATTTCCACCGAGGTCTCAAATGAACGCGAACTTTATGTGAGGCCGAATGTTCCACACGTGGCTAGGTAGACCTCGAGACCTTCTAGATGCGGCATCATCCAGCTACTGGTGTATTTTTAAATTTTAGAACCAAGTAGTTATATTACCCGATGAACAGGCTTCGCTAATCCGCTGACTTTCTTTCAAGATGTCAATATCAGCCATAACTATAACCTGTTGTTGTTACCCGCGGATAGGTCATCGAAAAGACTCGTATGTGGAAATGAGCGTGCAAATTCGTTCCAATGGATTGATCATCCCCTCGTGCGCATGGAACACGTGGAACAGGTCACATGCAGCTTAGAACCTACTGTACAGTATGGCTGGTGCCATCCCTGGATGTCAATCCTGCATAGTGATTGGGAATTGCCTTACGTAGCTGGCCTTCAGATCGGTCTTGGCAACGGTCTTTGCTTTGGGGGCTGGGATGAGCCTTGTTCATTGAACTGAAATCAAAACCTAGGTTGAACCATTTTTAATAATATTTCCATAGAAAGGCTTCATGTTACTGTACCTTAAGAAGACAGAAGGCATATTTGAGGGATGGAATGAAAGTGTACTGTACAGTATAGCATGCACAGGTTCCGATTACACCGCAGAGTTCGATTGCATGCGAGTATATATGTACAGACTTACTTCTACAAGGGAGCTCCCTTGCGGATCGATTGACCGGTTCTATTCCTAGTCTCTTATTCTATTTCCCCTGAATTTGCACGACCTACCAGCCCAGTACCTGCATTTTATCACACCTAACAGAAGTGAAGAGATCACGGGTCTGCGTAATGCGGTGGCACATGGCCGCGATCAAAATCAGTCTCCGAACCCAATAAAATGACATGGAGTTAGCTCAGATAGTTGGTTCCTAATTCATGTGCCTTATTGGGAGTCGGTCGTGTTCCGTGACCAAAAGACTAATCCAGTCCAAGAACTGCCACAAAGATTTGACAGTCCATTCAGGCAGGTATCTAAATTAAGGACGAAAAGTTTTTCGGGCAAACTTCTTCTGTCCAAATTTAGAAAGACCATTGAGCTGATAATGAGGATATATTTCCTAACTCAGAAATTGTATGGCGAGATGTTAAGGTGGTATCCTGGTTGACTGAATGGAGAATTGAAGATGCATACTGTACGGTAGACAGAGCCTTAGTGTAAATGATACGGCCTACCCCGCACGAATCGATACTAATTATGGACTTTCAGACATTTCTATTGCTAATTATGGGTACAAGATAAACCCGATTTCCCTTAATCATGCCTTAAGGTGTTATTATTAGAAGGTTTGAGGGATTTTAGTTCACATGATTTATCAAATTCAGGGCATTATCTCCAAATGCTAATTTCAATAACAGTAAGATTAGCTTGAAGAAAGGCGCTTAAGTGTTGCTAATTAGGGACCCTTTTTTTGTGAGGTGACCTTATCACAGTCCGAGCGTCAGCCTTGGTGCATTAGTGCCCCCAGCTCTGCACGGCCCGACCCCACGGTTGGCTATCATTCAACCGTTCTGCAAAACACCGATGGCACTAAAAGTTAGTTGGCACTAATGCATGATATCACTTAGCGAATGAGGAGCTGGAAAATGAAGCTTGGCATGCAAAGGCAGCTTCTTGGTCACACTCTAAAACTGCATGTTCTTTTTGCTAGTCATTTATCTCTGGGCCAACCAGCCAATCCTGCCCAATATTTGCTACCGTTTGAGGCTAGTTTGCGAATTGCCTGACTTGCAACGATAGGCCGCCCTCCTATCATCTACATGGTCCGTCTGTATTAATTACTTTTCCAACAAGTGGCCAACACCCCCACTCCCACAGTAGGCATCAAAGTTACGAGCGTTCAAGATGCGCTTAAGAAGTTGGTTGGTTGTACTATGTACGGTGTAATAGTGATGGAGCTGTTTAATTAAATCTTCTCAGATACCCCAGTCTCCATTACAAGCGTGTTTGTGGAAATTTAACTGGCCGAGGACCACTACGAAGAAAAAGCAATAATCAAGTTAGTTCTCCAGAACAAGCCTATCAGCGGCGGAATGTGCCGTGTTTGGAGTTGCACTAGGTGATACATGGAAGTTAGCTGCTTGAGTTGGTGATTTCCCAGTTGGGCACTAGCAGGGATAATTTGCAGGTCCACTGTAACTCTCATGGATCATAGGGGCGCTCGAGTCGTCCTACCAGAGATCACTATCCGCTAGTTGCATACGCCACTTGAGGGGATCGACTCTGGTTACCTGTCGTCCGTCGCTCTTCGTGCTTACACCCCTGCCAGGTCCCAAATTTAGTCTGAGGACCCAGCCAACAACCAGTGTCTCGACACTGATTTGCTGCTGGGGTTGTTTTCTCCACCCGAAGTTCGCATATTCTTCCGGCTGGAACTAGGCTCGCCTGCCGCTCCAACAAAAAATAGAAGCATGCATACCATGGCTGCTGATCATAGCGTACACTTATAACTCGCCGCATCCGAGATCTCGAGATAAAAGATCTCTCTAGGACCCGTCTCGAAGTGTATTTTCAAACCTTCATTTCCCTTCCTCTTCGTTTATTTCTTAATAGAGTGCATTAGCTGCCGGTTCAGCTTTGCCATTGCGTCGTCTATTCAATTGACAAATAGGTGGCTGGTCCCCCTCATCAACTATATTATTCCTTTACCGGCCGCACCGCCTCCCCAATCTTTCCGATCGCTTTGGTCATTGACTGACCTTCGTCATCATTTTTGTTGATACTGGATATCGCGAGTTCTAAAATTGAAAATGCCCGCTTCAAGGAATATCGGTATTGCTTCGGCACGAAACACGGCTTCTTCATCTTCATCTTCTACGGAGAGATCTGGTAGTGTACAGCCTGTGGACAAGTCGACTGGACGGATGCACAAAAGATCTCGCTCTGGTATGAACACTCACATCAATAGCACTTGATGAGACACATACTTGCATGATTAAGACTAACAATTTTAAAGGTTGCTTTACCTGCCGCCTACGAAGAAAGAAGTGCGACGAAGGCCACCCCGCTTGCAAGGCTTGTACAAACCTCAATGTCAAGTGTGAATATAAACGACCTGTTTGGTGGGGCACCCCGGAGCAAAGAAGACAACAGAAAGAGCGGATAAAGACCAAAATCAAGCAAACCAAGTCGCTGGAGCGAAGTGGATCTCTCCAAGGTGAGTCGCATGTAGCAAATCCTTGATATATCCTTGATTCAGCTTCTAAATACAGCCTTAACAGATCATATGAACCGAGTTCTCTCATCAGCAAGTCCTGGAGAACATGAATACCACCACCCCTCTTTTGTGGAGAATTTTGATCCATCCATTGGGGCGCACTTCTCTACGCCTGGATTCGTTCCTATAACCTACTCTCGCTATACCCCATATGAGGTTGATGTTAGAACTGAGCGACAAACCTTTGTCAATGATGTGCCCTTGCGACATGACTCTTCAATCTCGACTTTCAATACAATGGGCCCCCCACAGCTTCATGCTACACTCCCAACTTTCCCAGCCGATGATTGGCTTCAGGATGACTGCTTCGACTCTTCTCATCAATTCTCCGAGGCTGATCCAGGTCTCCTTGGCCAGAGCATTGGGCAATCCTATGCTTCCATGCATGCTAATATCCCTGTCGACGACTATGATCGACCCCTACTGGATCATTTCGTGGACAATGTCTTGCGGATGATCTTCCCAATCCTAGAGGTTCATCAACGCGGTTCCGCACGCGCTAGATCGGTGCTTCAGTCCCTCGAAACGAACAAATCATACTTTCATTGCTGTCTCAGTGTTTCTGCAATTCATCTCAAGTCAACTACTGGATTGAACGGAGAACAAATTGATCATGATATCATGCGACACCGTTATGAAGCGATTTCCGAATTATGTCAGGCATTGAACAAGGATGCCGATCACGAGCAAATTTTGGATGCGACACTTGCCATGATCTTCTTCCACTGCTCGGTTGGTGCGACCGATGATTATCTTCCTGATATTCCATGGAACGACCATTTCCAGGCCGTGTCAAACTTGGTCAGCAAACTGGATCTGACCAACAAGGTCATTCCCTGTGGCCCTGTGTACACTGTGCCACCTTTCAGTATGTCCCTGACCTCCTGGATTGACATATTGGGTGCAACTATGCTTGGTAAAACACCCGAGTTCGCCCATTCATATCGCTCCAAGCACCTCAGTGGAACATCCTCTGGTCTCCGAGAACTTATGGGCTGTGATGATCGCATTATGTACCTGATTTCGGAAATTGCCTGCCTTGAATCACTCAAAATTGAGGGTCGCGTCAATAATATCACTGTCTGTACGCATGTGTCTGCTTTGGGAAGTCAGTTGGAATTTACCGAAGACCCCAACGACCTACTGGAAAGCCCATACTCGCCAACTGGGGCAATCCGACCTGAAGCATTGACGAAAGCAATGACTGCCATTTTCCGCATCGCTGCCCGTATTTACCTTTGCAGTTTGGTTCCTGGCGCCGACCGCAATCAAACCAGCACCATGAGCCTTGTTACCTCTTTGACAGATACTCTCTCCTATATCCCAACCGGAGCCTTTGGATTCGACCGCTCTCTGGTCTGGCCGCTTCTCATTGCGGGAGCATTCTCTACTCCCTCCAGTTCTTTCCGTCGGGTTTTGGATGATCGAATTACAACATTAGGAGATCTTGCCGACATTGGAAGCATCGGTCGTATGTATCAGTTACTTACCGAGTACTGGCGTTTGAGTGATGATCCAGTCAATCCCTATGTCTCGCCGGAAGAGAGTGTGGGTGAGACAGGATATTCATCTGCAGATCATGATGCTCTTGTATCGCCTCCACTTGCGTCCCCAGGAATGCGGGAGATCAAGAAGCAGCAAGTTCACTGGCGAGATGTCATGATCCGAAACAACTGGCGCCATCTTTTGATTTGAATTTTCTTCAAGGGCCACTTTTGGGTTTGATTATCGCAGGCTTACAGACGCGTTTGTTTATTCAATGATACCTCCTGGGCTTTCTCGGCAATTGTTCAGGATTGCATGCATGCCTCATCGTCGGGCTTTAAGCGTTGGTGTTTTCTGAAGTTTTCGGGAGTTCCTTCCTTGCATTGGGCTGAGCCCTTTGATACTCTTGTTTTGTTTTTTGAAGTCATCCTTGCGGATATTTCCTGATTGATATTTTCTGTTGACGCTATACATGTCGAATTGAATTTATTTTGCACATAGTTTCCGAACCCTCGGTCTGTAATGCATACCCCCCGGGGAACCAGGCTCTTAACTTGTTTCGTCTGCTTTGCTGGAGCATCATAAGCCAATGAGCTAATACAGTAGAATCACTCCTCGCTGTCTGATTTCATTCTCAGATATACTGGTCTTCAATGATCACAATACTATTACCGAAGTGAACATGGCATTTTCTTGAGTCCATTCCCGTTCCTAGATTGTTGCATGAGATTCACCAGGCTAGTTATCTCCATAGTAACAAAATCAAAGGTTTTCTATCAATGTCGAGCATGTCATCGTCTAGAGTGTGTTAAGCAGGAACCGCCGATTGTCTCCTGAGTTGCCACTATGAATCTGTTTCATGATTAAATCCTCGCTGGCAAGTCTGCTCCTCGGCGACAAACGGACATATCAGTCAGCGGCAAATGATCAAAATGGGTTCTCATCTTCGAGTTTTAACCCCCGGATCTCTGAAACAAAGGTTTCCGCTATTTTCTGCACTTTTTGCACTATATATGCATCTTGAAACATAGATGATTTTCTACAGGAGTCCGATTTGGATGTGAAGAAGCCGCTTTGCATGCAGGTATCAGAGGATACTTTGATGGTTATTCCGGAGGTAGTATAATCGAGCGCATATCGAATGTAGGAAAAGAAGTCCCTGCAGAACTTGCAGGCGACGCGCTCATTTTTGGTACGATAAGTAAGATAATTGGATAATCACCGAAGCCACCGATTCCAGCGATTGATGAAACAGTTGCTATGCCTTTACAGATATCGTCCGCACTGTCATTGCATGCGGGTTGAAGAAATCCACGACGATCTATTGGCGGCTCAAACTCGAACTTGTTAGTCGAATATATAATCTCGAGCTGCTAACTATATGAATGGCGCGCGCTCCCAGGGTATCGAGTCAGCAAATCCAACGCGCCATAGAAGGACGGTTGCTAAGGAACCAAGCCGCCAGTCGACGCCTCAGTCGCGCGGGGGTTATTTTGGGAGAGGAACGCTGGTGGCACTCCTGAACCACAAGGCGCGCGACAATGCAGTCGGTGTTTTATCTAGGGGGATTAATTGAGTATGAAGGGCGGTTATTTTCTGGCATACTGTAGCAACTGACATATAATGCACTTGACCACCCCAATAAGATGTTGGAATCACCTCCGGTCTTTTCTTCCTTTCTTATTTGTGTTCATCATCAGCCAATATTCCAACTCTAGTATTCTTTCTCTGACCCAGCGCTGGCCGCTTTTATACGTTCGCTGCAACTATCTTTGTCTATTCTTAGGAATCATCTATCCCTCAGCTGTACTCAGCCCCTTCTAAGATAGGTGAGTGTACCAAGATTCCTTCGGGGGCCAGGGGGCCAAATACGCGATTGGATTGGCTGCATGAATTAGGGGCTAACTCATCTCTAGTTTCAACTTTCGACTTCTCCGTATTGACTAATACCGTCTGGTACGGTATTCTAATACGGTCTTGTACAATACCGCTCAGCCTTTCCTGTATTCCCGTATAGAAAAAGATCGCCTTGGCCCTCCTGAGTCCTTCCTTGTAAGACTTACTTATTCCCCTCCTTCGGGTCAGTCCAACATTACTTTGATTCTCATACCTATCACAGACATTCTGCCTTGCTTCTTAAAGCGCGAGTGAACCGCTTGAGCTTGCGTCACATCAAACCACGCCAATCCTCTCAACCGAATTGACCTGCGCCGCTATCTTTACTTTTACCAAATTTGCACTATCCTGTTGATCAAGATGCCACCACCCAAGCCAGAGCTTCAGCCACTGAAGACTCCCAAGTCATTCACATTCCCTTCGGAAATACACAAGGCCTCCAAAACCCTCACTATCAGTGAAATCAAACGCGAAGACGGAAGCGCAACCCCCATTACACCTCCACTGTCATATACCGAGTTCCTCAGCGCTCTCACACCAGTGTTCACAAGCCCAGTGAGTGCTGGAGGGTTTCCAAAGTTCTCGATGGAGAAGACCCAGCCGTCGCCAATCTCACAGCCGCCTTCTGCGACAAGTGCATCAAGTGCAACAAGTCCTGTGTCCTCCGAGAATTCGCTGAAATCACCAGCAATCTCCTTGCCCCCACCTGCACCTTCACCTCGCATTACGAAGTCCGCAAAGGCGCCGCCTGCGCTAAGACGACTGCGTATTCCTCAATCCCTCAAGACTATTTCTTCAAAGGATTCTCCGCAAACTGCTACACCTTGCAGCGCAACTCCATATAGTGCAAGTCCTTATAGCGCGAATCCCTGGAGTGCTCTTCCACGCAGTGCGAACAGTCTCCGATCACCATTTTCACCATCAGATTGGAAACTTCGGTATCTCGATGTGCCGAAAAGTGCGACCACAAAGGCCGTTAGTGTTCGACAAGTGGTCACTCGCACTGTCACATACAAGCGTACCCCGCTTGATCCCCCACCGAAGGGGAAAAGACGTAAGACCCAAGAATGTCGAGAGGCTTGAGCTGGTATCTCGCCGCCTATTCTTGGAGAATATTTCCATCGTGTTCTTTGTTTTTGAGCTTTGGGGTTTTATGTGCAATTCATAGCGCTGAGCAATTTGGAAGCTTTATATGATGTCACTTTGCACGTTCGAGACCACACTCGACACTATTGTACGGCGTGCAAATCGAGTCGATTCTTGGTCATTGGGCTTTAATGGTTTTTATTATGTTTTTTTCTGCCAAGGAAGGGAACATTTTGCGAACGTTAAGAGGGAGGCGAACTGGGGAATTGGAGTTAGGTGGAGCTTGCAATTTGCGGCGTTATAGTTTAATGGCTTGACAAACTTGTCCAAGGAAACAGAAGCCTAACTGACACAGTCGGTATTCGCGGGTGGCTTCGGTTTGGGGAACACGAATTGGGCTTTCATTATGTCTTGGGCTTCTACATTAGGTCAAAATTGGTCATTGGACCAAATCAGTAGCATTTACGGCGAATACAACTGGGTCATGCATCTTTGTCTCACTCTTTTTCCTTTTGTAATCTCGCAGCCAACCTTCCATGGATACATGCGTTTGATTTACAAGTACAATGCTTGATAGGAACAATGTATAAATTCAAAAATTCGTCACTTGAGCCTTGTACTTTTGTATCCCTTGAGGCTTAGAGCCTCATTGAGCTACGGTGGGTCGAGACCTCGGGGGTCCCAGTAAGACTGAATATACCCTGTCTGACTCTATCCTGTTATGAATTGATACATCTCAGACAGCGCAGATTTATCCGAGTTGCCACGTGTTATGGAATGGCTTGGTAGCTAATGAGATCGCGCGAAAAACCAACAGACATCCAACATCTCAACGGGGAAAAGAGGAACACCCCACTGAGAGTATGCCTTGCATTCTTATCCGGGCAAGGAATAATTAGCGTGCTAACTGTAATTCGGAGATTTTATGATGAGTTACAAAAGAACCTGATATACAGATATCGAACTCTTGTGGTTTTCCAGAACCGAAGTCACCACTATAAATTCGCAAATCTCAACATAACCAGTTATCCTGATTAATGAACTAGAGACATAGCCTTAATCTTTGATTATATATGATCTTGAGAAAGACTTCTGTACCCAACTCAAAGGATCTTTTGCGATCAACTGGATTGGCGCACAGTCCTTTGTAAAATGGCCCACAGATCCTGGCGCCACGAGGGATTCAACTAGCGCTTCAAATACGATAATCAGCCTCTTAGGCGATCTTAAACTATGGTTCCAACAGCCAAGGTGAGCTGCTAATGGAGTTTCTCTTTCTCCGATGCCCTCTAGCTCAGCCAGACGGAGGGTATCAACTGGTCCCTTCCTTTCCGGTGAAGCCCCGAGGGCGCCACTGTCGCTCTGGTAGCATAAGAAACGCGATTGATCATCAATAAGTGGCTAGATTCTGACTCGAAGGATCGGAGGTGCAGGGAGGCTCAGCCTACGTACGATTGACATATTACGACTGGTGTTGATCGAGCATGTAAGCGGTGACTGCTGGGTTGACACATATGGTATTTTCAGTAAAGAAAGCATAAGGTCCATGATGCGGCGTCAATGAAATAGTTCGTATAGCAGGCGAAGGATTCGATACTTACAATTATACGCGAATACGTACTCGGGTTAAGAATCCTTATCGAGGCTGTTCAAGAGACAAGTACCGATTGTACGATTCACTGACAAGCTTCTAGCTTCTTCTTATCTATGGAATGGTTATAACACCTCCAAGTCCGAGTTAAGAAGTATATTAGCGAGTATTTTATGTTCGTAGTTGATGTATGAATATGCACCGTTTCCGATAGAACGATCTTGAAATTACCAAATTACTAAATTACCAAATTACGAAGTACCCACTTGTGTATGAAATCAAAAAATACGCTTTGAAAGTATATGTATCTTCAATCAAAATAGTATGGTGGGTCTGTTAAATGAACTATCAGCCCTGGAGGCTTGCTATTTCTGACTCAATTATTGTCGCAATCGGATGTTCTACCAAATAAAGCAATATCTTGCCCAAAGATCCATTAGCGTAAATCAATCGTTTAGTCTATTGTTATACCGCAGCCTGTATCGATACACACAATTACGCAGACCTAATCACACGAAGCTTAGGATCCACGATGCAATCACAAACCTTAGAAGCAGTCCGCTCAACGACGAAGGCAGGTGATGAGCTCAGCTACAACTGACCACTGAGCAGGCATAGCAGGAGATCTGAATATTATGCTCAGGGAACCTTGCGCCCTGTTCCACGTACAGCATGCAATCCGGTGACATCCTTGGCAATCTACAAATTTAAGCGCTGGCGCTATCCCCATTTGAGACTAGAGGTCCGTGTGGACACACAATGAGCCCCGTCTTCAACCATGGTTGGACCCATAAACTCCTTGAGACCCGCTATGGGGTATTCACCCTCATAACTACGACTGCTTTGTTTGGTGTAACGTGGCGTGTTATAGTGTTACCCACCCTATCAGAATGTAAAGATGATACACTTGAGTTTTGAGAAGCCTCAAATGCCAACGGAGAATCCTGGCTTTTGATGACGGCTGATGGGAGTTTCTACCTGAAATTTCCATCGCTCTACAGAATTTGCCTTGGAACAATAACGATATATTCTAACTGGTGTAGTTGCACTACCGCTGGTCTCGGATCAAAATTCGTGTGCCACCATGCGCTATCCTTGCACTTACAGTAGTGTGAAGACTCTTTTCTTAGGTGCCTTACCCAGGCTACTTGGGTTGGAGTGGGTTGACAATCCAGCCAATGACAACAACAGAATAACCGCTGTGGCTGTTTATACGTCAGGCCGGTGGTCTCTCTCTGGTCATCTGGAACACTTCCAAACTCAAAGCACGCTAAGCCAATATTCGATCCTTGGTGAGATTTTGCTATTCTAATTTTGTCGTGTTGCGGGTGCCTTTAGCTTAAACGTGAAAGGTTATTTTTGGAGCCAGGATGCCGGGACGTCAACTGCACATGGATATATAACAAAATCCGCCTTCTCTCGTTCTAAATGAATGAAAAATGCCGGTTAAGGCACCATATGGAAGTATCCTGCTTTTGCTACCAGCTCGTGCCAATAAAGCATAGCTTGCTTGTTCATCCTCGGTGCATTATGTCCTGGGTGCAACAACGGCAAAAGCTGGTCAAGCTTTGACTTCTTGTAGATTGACCATTCTAATTCAGTTTGGCACTTGTTCCCGCTCTGTGGGCCAATCATTCTCAAATACCTCATATCGGTTCAAATTCGGATCAGCCAAAGGCGTCACGCACCTGCATACTGTACACCAGCTTCCCTTGAGAGGGTTTTGTCACAATTGAGGTTACTCTCTCTCTCCCCCAACGGGAAGGTACCAAGCTCCACTTCTCCAAGAATAGAACCGTCCGAAGATCTTATGTTGCCATGCTGCCAGGTGGAGACTTACTTCGCGCTCATCTACCGGAGGACTCCCAATAGGTAACGATAATCACCCTTGATACAGCTCGCTTTGATCAAGATACGTCTTCTATTGGCTAAAGAACGCCCTTCATGGCAGCCGATCTTCAACTTCAAAGTTTCTGCTGCTATACTTAGTAATGGGGAGACTTCGCATGCATGCCGTCTACCCTATAGCCCCAGTTCCTGCAGCTTGACAACGATATATGCCGCCGTTCTTTTTGATTCAACTAATCATGATGTCCAGCTAAGAATAGACAGCAACGTGTTGTCCATTACTCCCTGTTTTCCCTGTCGGCTAGGGTTCTTTGCCGCCGATCTCACAATTGTGAAGTTCAAAGACCAAACTACAGGTGTTCAGTGCTCAGAATATGTGACAAAACTGCAAGCACGGGTCTATCCTTTCCAAAGATGTACCGTTCATCCATTACCCGTCTTCTAAATATACATCTGGTCAATATTTCCCCTCCCTGGGAGCTGCTATTCAACTTTCTTGTATCGTACAGTATGATACTTGCCCCTTTCCACGACTTGGTGAAGCTCTAACGGTCAATACAGAATCTAAGTAAAGAACAACACCGGAACAGCCATGCAGGATGTTCTGGCGCTAGACTCGAGCATGGTACAACCATTATATGGACTTGTGCTCTGGGTAAATGCGCAACACCACCGTTGAAACACTATAAGACTATATACCGATTTCCACTGATTGTATTTGATCTTCTTAGGCTTATTGGCATTTCGATTACTTTCATTGCATTGATATACAGGTTAATATGCTCTTCACGTTCAAGCGAGTGATCTATACAGAGTCGGCTCATACCTCATGAGTTTATACGCTACAAGTACGACTCTGATATTTATAATTATAGAAACATTATGCAGGGATTCAATTGGCTTCAATTGAAAGAATATAAATAGACCATGCGCCCTTGATGCATGAGTGCGGGGTCTATCACAATTGCGTTCAGTGATTTCTCACACGGGCCATGATCTATTTCTGTTGTTATCATGGGCCTTTGATGCATTTGCTTTGGGGCCTGACTTGATTCTCTGGCACTTAAAAGGCCTCGCACCCCAGCGACCAACAGATTTGAAAGAGTTGACCGTGAAAGACTATGAACTAGAGCAGGTGGTTCTAAATTTAGAGGCGGGGGACCTAAACGCTTGTGATGCGATTGTCTGCTACATGCCCCTGTAGCAGCTCGACGAATTAAATTGACCAGATGAGGCCCTCTTGTCTAGATCGGTTAGACTGCTTTCAACACAAGGAATTGTAGAGTAGAAAGTAGAGGGCCCAGGGAGGGATTTCCAAAATCCCGTGATCGTCCCGCCTCGAACGCCCTCCCTCCCTCCTCCAGTTGCAGTTTCACTCACCATCCCACTCAGACCGACCGTGATTGTTTGTGCCGCCCTCCTTATTCTGAACCGTGCGTCGCCTTAGCACGCTTCGAGTATATCGAGTACACTCCGTGCGCCCATTCCCTCCGATTTAGGGGTTCTGTTCCGTCCTCGATCCCAGCCATGGCCCAGGCAACCCCCACCTTCACTCCAGACTATGAATTCACCGAACTTGAAACCCCGCGTGGTCTCAGTGGTGGAAGCTTATCGATAACTGCCCTGGCCCGATTTGAATTCGAGGCGGGCAAGGGAAATGAAGGTACTAAGATTCTGATGATCGAGTGGGAAGACGACGATCTCACTCGATCTTCTGTTGAAGGATCGTGGCATGTATCTTGGGCTGGAAAGACGAATGTATTACCCGCAGATGAACGGCCAAGTGATAGCTTACGGCGCTTTTACTTCTTGCTTCCGCCGCATGCTACCATTCCTCCCGTCGTCACTCTTTCATACGAGCCGCGGTCTATACCCTCAGAGGGAAATGATACCAATGTCCCGCTGTCTTCGACGACACGTGACGCTCTTCAACTCAATCCTCTTCCTGCCATCTTTCCTCCTGAACTGGGTGCAACTGGCCGTGCAGCGGGTAAGAAAGGCGTGTTGCACACAATCTGGGGAAAGAAACGACTCCGAGTTCTCGAGAAGGAGATTGCTGCTGAATCTCAGAATAACGTAGAAGGAATTGCTCTCCATATGGCTATTCAAGAGAAGGAGTGGATTGAGGATAACTTCGGAGTAATTCCCCGTACTGGTGACAGTCTCGGTGGCAGCCAGGATTCTTCGAATTCGTCTTCTGTGTATCCCGCAACCCCTGTATCGCCTATCAGCGGAAGGAAGCTGTCCGACAAGCTCAAAGGTCTCAAGTTGCAAACTGGCGAAAAGGAACTGTCCACTAATGGCGGTATGTATATTTTGCTCGCGATGTTACTGGACGCGATTCACGAGCTAATAATATTACCAGGATCAACTCCAGACACTGCCCATTTATTGTCACCCCAGTCGCCTGATGTTGCCGTTTCATCGTTCAGCTCTTTCCGCAAGAATATTCACTCAATGCCGACGCCTGTCACCAATCCCACTTCAACACCAATGTCAATTAGCAATCTCTCGGCTCCCGAATCACTGAGGCCTGTTGCATTCTTCCCTCCAGAAGATGTACAGCAAGCCCAGCAAAACAGTGGGCCCACCGGATTCGCAGCCATGGGCAGCGCACTCGTGCAAGTCCCGAGTAATGATAGCGACGAACTATTCGCAAAGGCTCTGAGCCCGCGCTCCCCGGACCTTCCCCGGAGCCCATTCTCGTTCACTTAAGTTTCCTTGGATATTTTTTTGCATAAACGCACACCATCTTTCACTACTTTGCGCAATGATTCCCCCTCTGCGGTGCCATGACATGTCTGTCTATGATCATTTACCATCCCAACTAACATTTACCATCCATCGTTCGTCCATACATTTCATTCTACGCTGTCAAAGCTTTACCAATTTTGTCAATACCTGATACATCGCGGACCCATACCATGCCTCATTCCTGCATTTTCATCTGCTATCTTTGTATGGAGCTGCCATACCATATCTATGGGACATATGTACATAGACAAGAATCGAAATTCCCACGGCTTCTCAAAGAGCCGGTCACGTCTTCGATAAATATTTTTTCTCACGCGATAAGCTATACCCTCGCGTTGTGTAGGCTACCAAAAACAAGTGAATCCTATACAAGAACAAGTAAAAGCCAGCGCGCCACTCCCATCCTCTCCAGCCCACCCACCAATCCCAGGGACAGACAACACGAAAACGAAGCGAAGCGAAACGAAACGTAATTGAGAACCCATCAATCGAAAGAAAAGAAGAAATTAAATCAATTACTCTTCTTCCGCTGACTACCCTGACGACCAGGCTTACCAGTCGCAGCAGTACTAGCCCCAGAAGCCGAGGCCGAAGCAGCCGAATCAACAGACTCCTTCTCACCCTTCTTGCCAGAACCAAGCGACTCAAACTCCTGCTGGTCCTTGCGCTCCGCATACCACTGACCAGCCTGCAGAACCAGAATGCCGACCAGCACAAGGGCAAGGATGGTGTTCGAAGCAGAGAGAACCTTGAGCGAGTCCTCCCGGCCAAGAATCTGATCCTTCTCGTCCTGGGTAGTGGCCAGCTCGGCGCCGTATTGGCCAGCCGAGGCGAGGCGCAGGCCCTTGACGATGTTGGCAATGTAGACTGTGATTCCGCACATGTAGAGAACCAGCGAGGCGCCGTCGAAGAGCATGTTTGATTCGGAGGGCTTGTAGAGTTTTGTCAGGAGGCCTGCTAGGCCGAGGAAGATTACGATGTGCAGGATGCGTGGGATGAGCGGGGGCGAGGCGTGCAGGAAGCGGAGGTGCGCTTCCAGGTAGTCATAGTGGGCGGCCGGGGTGGTGATTGTTGACCAGAGAATTGGGTAGTCGTAGGGGAAAAGGGAGAAGATAATGCCCAGGAAGAAGCAGGTTGCTGGTGAGGGTGTTAGTTGGTGGTCTTGCGGGTCCCGTGGCCTCTTGGAGGTTTCGGGTTTGGGAGAAGCCTTGAACGGGCATACTTACGGCAGACGATGAGGAAGGTCGCGAACGACCCGCTTTTAAAGGCCATTGTGGTGAGGGATGGAGAGTTGAGGGAAGAGAGAAACGTGGAGAGACCAGGGGAGAAGTCTATCAGGTGCCAAGGCGGGAGATAAGCGGCTCCGGGGGGAGATTGGAAGCGAGCGATTAGAAATTGACTGATTTAGATTGGAAATGAACTGGATGAAATTGGTAAGATCCAAAAAAAATGAAGTGGAATATAGTACAGAGTAAACGCCTTGGACTAAATAATGCCAGTGGTATCTTCCATATCCCCCCATAAATGCAAAATATACATAACAAATCACCGCTGGTACCGAGGCAAAGACTCGTCCGCATGCGCCGTTCCACCGACCAATTGATCATCTTCGTCGAAGACCGGTGCGCTAGGCCCAGCGCTGGTCTCCTCAGGCTCATCTTGGGGTGCACTCGCCTGGTCTTGGAGTCGGTGACGCTCCATCTCTTGCTTGTCGTCGGATACACGGGTCTCACTAGGCTCGGCAGAGGTGCCATTCGGCACAACGGTCTGAAGCGACTCTGCAGACCGGACCATGTGCGGCTGTCCGGCTGTGGCTGGAGATGGGAGATGCTCGTAGTCGTGGAGATGATGATCATCCGACAAGACTGGTGCGGTCGGAACATCCATTTGGGAGTTGGACGGCCCTGCCTCGGCTTCATCTGGCGGTTGACTGGGTAAAAGGGCTTCCTCGTGACGCCTGACGCGTGTTTTCTCATCAACGGGCTCATCCACCTCTGGAGGTGCAGCCAGAGGATGGATCGGCTGGAACTGTTCAGGGTATTCTTCCGGATACTCTGCCCACTGCGCCTCGTCGGGGAAGTATTCCTCCTGAGTCCCATATTCGCCTTGTGAATTAGGCAATGGGCTTGCTTCAGGCCACTCCTCCCCGTCAACGGGATTGACTAGCATTGTAGATGCCGCAGGTGCAGGTTGTGACGTTGTCGATTCGGCGGTCGTGGACGGTACACGTTTCACGGCCTTGCCTCGTTGCGAGTCACGAGTGCCAACAACGACTTCAAATGCAACCGAAATCACCCCTTTTTCACGACGGATTGTATCCGTGTCCATTATGTTACCGGCCCAGTTGGCAGTAACGTTGTTCGCATCGGCTGGGTTAAGAACCTGCCCACTGGGCGAGAAGTTCGTCCCCCCTGATACCATGTTGAAGCGCGGAATGAAACGATCGGGGGTAGCAGTTTTGCCTCGCAAGTCCGTTACAACTTCCACATAGTAACGGAAATTGATCATGGCTCCTGGTACACGCGTGATTGTTGGAAACGCGTCCTCGGGTACTCTGATAGAAGTTTTTACAATAGCAGTCATTGTGCTCGGGTCGACAATCAACGGAGCGAATGTCTGCGACAGGTCTTTGCGGAAGGTGCTGCTGGTTCGACTCGTCCCCAGGGTGAGTCCTCCAAGTCCAGTGCGTGAACGAGGATAGCAGTCTTCGTAGATCGGTTTTTTTCCAGACGATGTTGAGCCGACTGGTATTGCGGGATGAAGATCAATGCGACCTTGTCGATATAAAGTGATCATGATTCCATGCGCACTGCGCACTTGTTTACAATGGTTGATAGTGACTGTGATGGGTAAGGTATCGCCCGGGAGCACGCCGGCGCGCGAGAGCTCAGTCTTTGCTGTGATGGTTTTATCGGAGACAGAAGGAGTCGCGCTGCGTCCTTCGCTATTTCGCCCACTGGTGCTGGCAGATGAACTAGGGTCACTGACCACCTTGAAGCTCTGGCTGCTGTTGCTCGGTCGACTGGATGAGCTCACATTGCTTGGTGAAGGGCTTAATGGTGGTCTCCCGTCTACTGAGGGTGTCGCACCGCTAACAGGGGTGTCAACAGAGGATGTGTCGGGTCCTGCTGTTGCCTCGGAACTCGTCGATTTTGCTTTTGCGCGTGATTTTGAACGTTTTGAAATTGGTTCCAAAGTGACTATCCGAGCCTTGGGTGCAGGAAATGTGGAAATGTCGATATTTTCTAGAAGATTAACCCGTCGTCGACAGGTGAGTGTAGGGTTCATGGTAGTTGGTCGGGTGAGGGTGGAGGTAAGTGAGTAACCGATGATGCCGCGTTCAAACTACAAAGGTCTTAGTTAGCTGTCCGGAGGAAATGGTGGCTTGGAAAACGCACGTTGATGCTGCTAGGAAGCGCATAGGGAGGCAGCCCCATTTCAAAGCGGAATTTGTATACGCCTTCCTTCAATCGTCCATCGCCGCATAGAACAAGCTCATCCTCGAACAACGTTGCTAGTCCACTGCCCATGTATTCCGCACCGCGTCGGCCCCGTCCTGGCCCTAAAAAGCCCAGGTCGGGGGTTGCCTCCCCGGCCGGTGTCGCATTCTTGAACACTTTCACATAACCGTGGAGGCACACGACGATATGTGTAATACGAACGGGACGAACGACAGTCACTACGACTGTGCCTTTGATGACGTCCCCCGGGAAGTATGAGCGCCATGGATCGTCGGGATCGATGTAGAAGTCTGTGATACCGCGGTTTCGTTGGCCGAGCGGGGAGCGAAACTTGGATAGGAGGGAGTTGCGATTCCGACTAGGCGGCAACGAAGGTTGGGCGGGAGGGTTGGCGGACATGACACACGGCCGTTGTTTACTGCATCTATACAAGACAACGTGGCAGGGGACGAGAAACTGGGAAGTGAAAAGCTGAGACAAGTTGGGCAACCGCAGTGACCAGACGGCGGTCTTGTGGGCGGCACGAGAATGGCGGGGATGGTCAAACAGACCAGTGAGCAGCTCCAGCTACGTCAGGAACTCCGATCGAGCGACACGAGTAGGCGTTGGCGTCGGGAATCAGAACCAATGCAGTGGACACGGTCTGGTTCCAAAGGTGCACGGAATGTAATCTCCACACACGCGAGAGATTCCCCGGGTCCAAAGAGAGGAATGGGGGAGTATCAAGGGCCACTGCACCACATTGTTTCTGGTATCAAAGCGAGAATCAACTGTACCCCCGCCAGGAACGTATCGGTGTCTCGGGAACGGGGTACCGTGGCGCGAGATAAGTATCGGAAATGCGGGAGGAATGGAAGAAAAAGAACCAATAGCGACAATCGCTGTATGCTGGGGGGGCCGCGGAGTCAAGAGTCCAGAACACGAGGGCGCGCGACCTGGGGGGAGGGGAGGAATGTGGGACTGGAGAGGAGCGGAGGTACGAGGAAGCGGAGAAGAGAAGAAAGAAGCGCGAATCGGAATACTCGGTAAAGAGAAGAGAGAGAATAGACAGAGAAGAGAGTCCGGAGACAAGGAGTGAGAGTGAGAGAGAGAGAGAGAGAGAGAGAGGAAGAGAGAGAGGCGAGTCGCGATAAGCCGGGGGGCGGAGATGGATTCGATTCGAGAGTCGCACGGTCAAGCTTCTCTTGGTGGCTCGACTAGTTCCCCTTTTCTGGGCATTTCCGAGGATTATCACCTATAAACGTTTCAAACTTCTTTGATTTTACTGCGCTAAGCAAGACCTAAGCTTTTTAACGGATACACCGGATCATATCATAGTTCTCGTAGGCCCTCCCCGTCCACGTATTCGTCTCCATAGCATTCTCGCAGCACTGCCTCAACCAATTGTTGGTCTCCTAGTTTGCGCAAGTACTCTTCTAGCACGTAGATGTTGTCCGTCCACTGCAGTGCATCCTCCCGAAACCCCGCTAACTCTGCCTGGACTTGCTTGACGCCCTTGTTGAGCGAATCCCGGGTCCCGGTGAGTTGGGCTTCTGTCATGCGTACCCGATCCACCGCCGTCTGGAGTCTGGCCTTCTGGAGCATGAGGGCTTTCTGCTCCTCCTCATCTTCGGGTTCTCTTTCGCGACGGGCTGTTTCTTCGGCCAGCGCCGCCATCACTTGGGTGCAGGATTTCCGAAGTTTCTCCACTTCCGCACTCACCCGGGCCAACTGGCGCTCTTGTTCGTGTTTTTCGTCGCTGGTGAAGCTCCAGTACCAGTTCCCACTGCCGATCTCTTCGACTCGTAGCTGATTCTCGTCCGTTAGCGCCTGGATGTACTCCTTGACTTGGATCCCATTGATCGAAGCCACCGAGGGTAATATCTTCTCGAGATCCTTGAGCGTGTGACAGGTGCCAGTGGCGCGCAGGTGAGTCAGAATGAGATCTTGTCTAGCGCTTTTGGATAGTTTGGGTGGCTTGGGGTGCACCAAGACGCGTCAGTAATTCTTTTTGGACAACCCTGTCACTCGACCACTCTGCCACACTCGAAAACGCCTGAAGCCACGTACCATAATGTCTGCTGTGATTCTTTTGTTAAGCGAGATACCCCAGAAAGCTTGAATGTGCTGACCTTTCCTGATGTGGTCAAGAGTGGGACGGTTAAGCATTGGTGGCGAGGTCAAGTCAGGGAAGTGGGCATGTGCCACATCCATACAAGCTCACGAACAAAGAGTACAGACATGCTTGATTCCTGACACAGACAAACGTTAGACATTAATTGGATGTTTAAATTGCTGAATGACTATATTTAACCCGGTTCAGGTAGTACCAACTATAGCCTGTACTTTCGTCCAACGTTCTGTGATTCGACGCTGCATTATCAAGCCTCGACGGAATCTAATCTAGGAATTTCCTGGGAGACCCTGGGAGGTGAACGTGTCAAGTGAGACAGCTCGCTGTAACCAAACTAGGTTTCATGGAATTAGAAGAGAGATGAGGCAGTTTGAGCCAGCGGAGAGAGGGCAGGATGCACAACATATCAACCTTCTCTGGACGGGGTATATGTGACGGTCAAACCCTGTTCCTCAGAGTATTAGCCATAATTATCTCAGATGCCGATCCCCAAATGCTCTGCATGCAGATATGGCGCCACACGTGGTGTTCAATGCAGCAGGAGCCACCGGAGCGCAAAGTCAGACAGAGTGCTGCCTAGTGGTTGTATGTCATAGAGTATTGACTAAATTGAGAATATGCGAATACCATGTGCAGGTTTCTGTACGACTGCAAATGGTGCGACCCGATTCGTCGTCGAAGGTTTGGGATGAGGCTCTGTGGTCTTTCGCGCATTGCGATACGGCTAGAGGCATGAGCCTCCGAGCATACGCATGTGTAGATGCAACCTCATGTAAGATTTTTCACATGCCACGAATTTCATAGTCGATCGTCAATCTCAGTGTCCGCCTCCGTTGTGGCAGAAGCCGAACGAGTCAACTTGCGGCGCTTCGGTTTCTTCTTCGGGTTACTGCTGGCTCGTTTCCTTCGAACAACTTGTGCTGCAGACTGGTTGGTAGTGTCACTCTCGGCGCCGGTCTGCTCTTCCTCTTCTTCAACTAGCTCCTGTCCTTCGACGAGGACAAGGTCACCTGTCTCGCCTAATGCATCTTTGGACATCTCCTCAATCAGAATTCCCATTGCAAGTAGTGCAGTCTCATCCATTGTCTTGTGGTCGTCTTGGCCATTGTCTGCCGTAGCATATTCGTAGAAGTCGGCCGCATAAGCATGGATCGTCTCGAGGAGCTCGGAACTCGGCAGAGGCTGATCAGCGGGTAGATCTTCGTGTGCGAAGTATCTCCTCTCAGCCTGATCACTAACAGGCCCCGCTGAATTGTTTTGTCGGCGGAGGAGAAGCTCCTCCGGTCGAAGTGGTCGAGCACCCGACGAGGCTGTATCGCGGTGATAAGAGGCAACCGGCTGCGTTGCTTGAATCCCACGAGGGTTGACACGGCCTGGGTATTTCGATTAGCTTGATTCATAGAAGTTGAACTAAGCAAGTTACATACCAGCTATCGCGTCGTAGAGATTAGCGCGGCGTTTCCCGAACCTCGAAGACTTATCTTCGATTACCTCATCGTCGTCGTTTTCCACAGACTCGACATAGTTCTCTTGGGTGATACTGGGCGACCGGCTAGCAGACATATTGATATTTGCCAGAAAGATCAGTCAAGATTTGGCAAATCATCGAGTGCTGCGCAAAGTATGGATGAAATCGACTCCTAAAAGTCCCAAAAACATTGAATGCGCCGGCGCAACCTTAATCCGGAGAAGCATAGCATCATCGGCCTCCGCAATACTTCCGACCCCACGCCAGGGCACCAACACTGATGAATGAATGAATTCCTATCTCCTAAACAGAGCCCTCGGGTCTGTCAATCCGAATGAATTCCATGTCGCTCAAACCACCCGGCTAGTTCACCACCTTGAGCCCGCTCCAGGCATACGGTTCTCCAGCCGCAGAGCAGCTACATCAACAGATCAGGCTGAAGATGACGTCGCGCCTTTGGATCAAGAGCTGAGTGTCGCATCGGAAGTGTTTGCTCACAAATCCGGTGTGAATTGCCTCGCCGTTGATCAGTTTGAGGGCCGATAGTACGCGCAACTTCCATCCTTACAGTTGCCAATCTAATGCGCGTATAGTATGATATCGGGAGGTGCCGATCCATCGATCCACCTCTGGGACCTTGAAACGAGAGGCTCAGAGCTTGAACATGTCCATCAATCCTGCGCGTCGGTGAGTAAATCGTCGCACGCTGACGCGCATACGCACGCGATCACCTCGCTATCAATTTACCCGTTCGACCCCGTTCCCTCAACCATCTTCTCAACATCGCATGATGGTACTTTGAAGCTGTCGGCGTTGGATGCGCCTGCTATCACTCCGGTTCATACATTCAGTCTCGACTGTACTCCATATTCGCACTCGTTTTCGTCTCAGCCCGGGTCTACCCTGCTTGTCGCGGTAGGCACGTCCGATCGATCGGTACGGTTAGTAGACTTGCGATCAGGCCTATCAACACAGGGATTACCTGGCCATAATGGCGCAGTCTTGTCTGTTGCATGGGCTCCCCATCGACCCCACCTATTGGCCTCTGGCTCAGTGGATAATCGAGTGATCATATTCGATGTTCGTCGCGGAGGCCACAACTCTGCCATTGCCACTTTGGACATGGATGACCCAGTGGGACTAGGGCTTCCAGGGACGGGGTCTATACCCGCCTCCTATGAGAGCCGACCGGCGTTCTCTCGACACGCCCGTGCCCATAACGGACCTGTTACGGGAGTACGCTGGACATCCAATGGCAGTCACATTGTAACAGCAGGTCAAGATTCTCGAATCCGAGTATGGGATTCAGCAACTGGTGCCAACACACTGGTACACTTCGGCCCCCGAGTCCGTAACAGCTCTTCCTCGCACTTGGCCGAGCGGGCCCCGTTGGTGATACCGAAAGGTGCAATGAGTCCCGGCCATGAGACATTACTATGGCCTAATTTCAACGAGCAAGATGACCGCGGAGAGATATTTATGCTTGGACTGCGCGAAGGAACGTTTATCAAACGTCTTAGAGTTCCAGGTCTAGCAATTGGGTCACAGAATATGCGTGGTCGATCGAGCGCTCTCAGTGCCGCCCGCATCAACGATCTAGTGTGGCGTGGCAATGGCGCATCTGGAGAAGGGATCGAACTATTCTCCGCGCATGGCGACGGAACAATTCGAACATGGGCATCCCGCGAGCCAGACGGTGAGCCCACAGAAGCCGAAGAAGCAGGTATGGCCGACCGCAAACGAAAGAGAGATGTTCTAGATGAGATCTACCAGGGATTCCTCGCGCCCGATCAACCCAGCCTTCAACTCTGACAAAATACCTACAACCACCGGCACAATACAAATCTACATCGATATACCAATCAATCATTTAGACAAAAATAAATTTGTTCTACTTCATAACCAATGAGAACAAAAACAAAAACGCCATATCATAACATCATGGGTACTTTACTCGTTGCGCATTTCATGCTGACCAACAAAGTCCCCGGAATCCTCATCCTCCTTAGCATAGCGCTCAAATTCACTACGGCCATACTTCTGATGCTTCAGATCACGAGTATCGCCATGACCAGCATGATGGTTCGCGCCCATGTAGGCATGTTTCGACTCCACGCCAGCTGGCATGGAGTTTCCCGTTCCGGAAATGACCTCGCCGGTTTGGCCGACGTCGCGGGTTGAGCGTGGCATATCGGTGGCGTTGTCGGCTGCCATTGCGAGTGATGGCTCTGCGATTCCGGCGTTATCGAAGCCGAAGTGGTCGGTTCTTTGGTCTGGACGGGGGACTGACGGGATGGTGTTCATCTTGCCTGCGTCGTTGGGGATTGTTGTGCCGGTTGCGGCCATGTCGGCGAGGCTTCCGCCTTGGTGGGAGTCTTGTTGGCGGACCATTTTAGGTGGATTTGAGGGTTTTTTGAGGTTTGGTTTTGGGTTGTTTGATGGAGGTCCGAGGAAAAGATTCGGACTATGGATGTATAATGTTCTTTGGGAATTGGGAGATTGTCCTTCCAAATAGTAGCTGGACAGTCTGGTCTTTTATAATTGATTTAAAGACCCAATTCCTGTAGGATTGTGCAGGCTGATGTCACAAGGTCCAGGTTGGTCTGGGGATGATGGTGCGATGATCTCACATCGGGTTTGCCTTGATAAGCCGTGTTATGGGTTATCCACATAGACCGCAGATATTAACTACGCAGTGATCGAATCAGCTGGACGCAATTGGTTTCTCCATTGTTGTACTGTAAACGTAGTGGATGGTGTCCTTGTAATGTTCTGAGTGACGAAGCTGGGTCGCAACTTTAACTTGATATCAGATCCGGGTTGGACCCACCCTCTATCAGGTTTCTGACAAGCGTGAGAGTCTGGACCCTTGATTGAATGTGATTGGTGGAAACTTTCACAGATCTACAGTACTGCAGTTGACATTGATACTAATATGATGATGGATGGAAAGTGATAGAAAAGACAAGTGGATGTTTTATAGATACTCATAAAATCCCTAAGGGCTGGACATTAATGGAGAAGTCAATCGTGTAGAGTACAAAGGAAAATAAATAAAAGAGGAAATGCCTAACGAGTGACAGTGGGCTGAAGTTGAGAAGGGTGCATTGTTTAGAGGATGAAAGCGAGAACACCCATAACGCCGGCGGCAGCAGAGAAGAGACCTCCAGAGAGGCGGGCTGCACTACCCTCGAACATCGTGGTGCCATGTGCAGAGGCAGATGGGGAGGCAGCTGCGGAGGACTGGGCTCCGTGGGACAAGGCATCAACCCCGGTGGGCATCGACTTGGCCATGCTGCTGGAGGGAGTAGCCATGGCGTTGGAAGAGGCAGGGGTGGCCATGGGGACGTGCACAGGGATCATGGAGTATGAAGCGGCCTGGCTCATGGGACGCTGGGAAGCGTATGAGTAGGGAGCGAAAGAGCGCACAGCAGATGAAGCGGGAGCGGAGGCCGGAATGGCGTTGGAGAACACCTTTGGGTCAACCTGGGCAGACATCTGGGGGACGGCGGCCATTGGGACGGCGCTGGTGGAGGCCGCTTGCTTGTACTCAGGGGTGGCCTCCACGGTCTTGTACTGCGTCTTAGTCACAGTACGCACGACCTCGTGAACCTTGGCGGCACACTCCTGGTGGTCCTCACGGGGAGGAGTGTCAGCCACAGGAGGAGCAGCGGGAGCCATCACTGGGGGAGAGGCAGGAGCCTCGGTGGGGGCCTGGGGAACCTCGGCGTGGCTCTCGGGAACTTCTGCTACGGGAGCTGGGGGAGCTGCGTGTCCCTGAGGGGGCGCAGGATAGCTCTCGGCGACGGGAGCCTCAACTGGGGCAGGAGGAGCCTCATAGGTGTATGGGGTATCCTCGTAAACATCCTCGTCATAGTAGGGGTGGACATCAGGGTGGACCTCAGTGAAGTCACCCTTGATGGCGTGGTTGTCCTCGTGGTGCTCGTTGACACCGCTGGTCACATCGACGTTGGTGGGATCAGAGAACGAAGTTCCATCATCGTCACCGGAGGGACCACCCATAGCAGTGCCGCCACCAGCCTCACGGCTAGGAGAGTAGGCACGGCGGAAGGGAGGGTGGGCACCGAAGTTGACGGGGCCAGGGCCACCGAAGTGAGGAGGAGGGGGATAGATATCCTTGTGCTTGAGATCAATGGAGTGGTCATCCTCATTGTACTCGTTAACGTCGGTGTCGGTGTCGATGGTGATAGGAGCATTGAATTCCTGGCCACCGTCGTCTCCAGAGGGACCACCCATGGCGGTGCCACCATTCTGGTGCTCAGGTCCCCAGCTACGCTTGAAAGGAGCACCCCAAGGAGGGAAGTGGGGAGGAAGGTGGATATCCTTATGCTTGAGGTCGATGGAATGGTCGTCCTTGCTGTACTCGTTCACATCGGTCTTGAAGTGGCCAGTGACAGGCTTGCTGAAGCTGATGCCATCGTCATCGCCGGACGGACCACCCATGGCAGTGCCACCGTGGGGGTGAGCGTAGCCCTCGGGGCCGTGGTGGGAGTGAGAGCCACCGCCGGGTCCGCCCATGGCAGTACCACCCTCTTCCTCAGGTCCCCAACGCTTCTCAAAGGTAGAGGGAGGAGCATTGAAGGCTGCGGAAGGAGGACCAGCGGGACGACCGTGGAAGCCGTGAGGAGGTCCGTGGAACTGAGGAGGAGGGTGAACAACATGGACTGGGGGAGGGTGGACATGAGTGTCCTTGACAGCAACGGAGTGGTCATCCTTGTTGTAGTCATTCACCTCGGTCTGGAAGATGCCCGTAATGGGCATGTTGAAGACCTGGCCCTCATCGTCGCCAGATGGACCACCCATGGCGGTGCCGCCAGGTGTACTACGCTTCTCGAAAGGACCCATGCCTGGGACTTCAGGTCCCTTCTCAACCATCACGGGAGGTCCGAAATGGACATGGTGAGGAGGAGGGAAGATATCAGTGTGCTTCAAGTTGAGATGGTGGTCATCTTTGCTGTACTCGTTAACTTGAGTGTTGGTCTTGATATCAGCAGCGTATGGGCTGGTGAAACCGCCGTCGCTATCATCTCCTGAAGGACCACCCATGGCGGTGCCGCCAGCTTGGGGCACGAAACCATGCTCTTGCTGTATACATCGTCAGTGATCATTCTTGTTCAAAACCGATGAGGAACATACGCGCTCAACAAACTTAGCCTGAGCAGCAACTGCAAGCAGCGCAATTGGGATTCCGCCAACGAAGCCCTTCATATTTGCGGTAGTATAGGTATTACTGTATCAGGGTATGTATGAAATCGCCCTTTGGGTTTAAAAAAAAGAATGACTGTGAAGAAATGTTACGCAAGCACAACAAAAGAATGGCAGAAAACTTGTAAGGTAGACCTTGAAAACAGCAAGTAGCGCTTTCTAAAGCCTCTGGAGATGTTTAGATCTTTAGTAGTTTGCTCTACATTCATGATGACCAGGCCAACCAGTAGGTCGGAATGCCGGCATCTGAATGAACACTAGGGCTCGAGGTGAGGCCAAGGCGTGGAAGACTCCATGAGAATGTCGTCTAGAATGAAAAACAACATTAAGCACTGCGTAAACGCCCCTCGATCGAGTGTAGATCTTAAACATTTGTCGTGTGGTCCCTTGGAAGGTGGTGCTGCGGCATTCCAGAGGTGTTTTTGATAGGGATAGGACAGGGACCGTAGCATTCACAGGCCCTACTAGTCAACCAAACAGGCTCTGAGTAGGAGATTGATGTCTAAACCCTTCGAATTACATTGGATGTCGTTGACGTGTGATGCCAATCGTTGTTGGATGTCTCAAAGAGACTGGAATATGGACGATCACGATGTCCGACCTTCGGATGTGGCAAACAGCCCTCCGCCTGACAACCTGAGATTCCCAATGATGTCGACAGAACCTTCAAGCATTGATAGAAACCCATGCAGATTTTACATATCGTCCCAGTGTGGACTTGCAAGGCACTTGAGTAACCGCGAACCCGACACAAATGCACATGCATGTCACCCCCAGAGAAGCAACCTTGGAAGGGAACCAAAGGCTTTCCCGGGATGATCTACTGTTACTTGGCCAAACGTTTATTCATTGTTCAGGCCGCTACACTTGCTCAGCTTTAGCAGCTTGAGTCAAGGAAATGTATCCCGTCTTCGACATTCGAATCCCATCGCCCTCACTGAAGAAGACACTAAGGGGAAACGAACTTCCTATCGAGGATCATCAATCTCCAGAGCCGATCACCCCCGCGAACGGGGGCGAAGGCAACACATCGTCGTAGAATTCGTCCGAAGACAGAACGATGGTCGTGGCGGGCTCCGTTGCTTTTTTGATGAAGAAGAAAAGAAAAAGAAGGGAAGGTCGAAAAACTTCGCGGCTTTTTGTAGGTGCGGTGGGGTCCGGGTCGGGGCTACGTTGTTCCGTGTTGCGCTAAGTATATTCACGTGATCACTCCCAACACGACCATCAGGTCCATGGCATCTTGTTATTGTGAGATCTAAGGATAGTAAAAATACATAAAACCCCTGCCACGCCAGCTCCCAAGGACACGTGAAGCTCAAAAACGAGGGTTGCGGCCTTGCCCCAAGAGGTCCTAACACCCCATCACTGATAATAACTCGAATCAACCCAGGTCGCTGCGTAGTGGGTCGGTGACATATTTATCCACTGGGATAGCCGAAGAGAAACCTACTCTCCCATGGCGGTCTTCTCGGCACTGGATTTCCATGCGGCTCCTCCCACAGCAGCGGTGATTCCCAACGCAATTGCAATCATAGTTCCAACGGTCACCACCGCAATCACTGCTTTGAGTGCCATCTTTTGTTTGTGGCTCAAGGATTGCAGCCATGTCTGAGGCTTGTTTTCCTCTTCCCATAGCTTGGAGCGGCGGGGACTGTCGGTACGGGCGGCCAAGTACGGACCAGCGTTCTCAAGATCCCGCAGGTGACTTCGATAGTTGTTGTTGTGTTTACTCTCAAAGGTGAGTTGTTCGTAGGATATAGTGGGACTCCCATGGCGATAGAAAGGTGAGCAAGGCTTAGCACCGATTGAGGGATCAAACTCCTGGTGGCCTCTCTCGGTGATAGAAATGGTAGGTGATGAGACGATAGAACACCGACCCGAATTGATACGAGGTGAGGTAGGCTTTTCGTCGTGACTCTTGATTGATGCGGCCACCTGGGCCCCAATCACTCCGAGTCCATGTAAGCTCATCGCGATATTCCACGGCCAAGAGGGATGGTGCCGGGAAGAATGGTGGTGGGGGTCCAAGATCAGAAGATCTTGGAAAGTGAGCGTTTCAGGCTTTGTCGCTTGGATTTGGAACGGGATACAGGACGGGGTTCTTTGATTTTGGGAGGTGGTGTGGTGATGGCCTCGACAGGAATGGCGACTGTTGAGACACCGCCGTACATAAACAATGCCGTATCAACCTGGAATGCACTCCAAGTCCAGCTGGCCCGCGGCAGTCTCATCACTCAAATGATGAACGATAATTGATATAGTTGGAGTCGAAGGGCGGAGGTGTGCCCGTGTGCGTTGAAATGGGAGTGGTGGCAGCTTCCTAATATTCAGTGGACTTGGACTCTCGGCAACTTCGTGGATTTTCTAGAACTGCGAATGTTTGAACCTGTACATTCGAGGCCACCTTTTGGTGAAGTGAACTATTTTGGCGGGGATGCAAGGCTCCTCACTTGTCCCCTTTTGCTTTTCATCCCTGGATCTACATCTCGTGCCACCCCCGGGCAGCATTCTCGCTCCTTTCATGGTAGGGATTTTCTTTCCCCTGCATAAGAAGCAAATATGTCATTGGCAGATGCGACTCTGATTGCATTTTTTGGCTGCTTGAAAATGCAGCTCCTTCTTCCGTGGCCATCTCATGGGTTAGTCCCATGTGCTTCCCACTTCTGTGCTTTGATAGTCCTATCTGATGCAGCATCGACGAAGCTTGGCTATGCAACGGAGAGTAGATCTCAATGGTGGGCACCTGCTTAGACAGTACGGAGAAGAGTGTGGGCTATCGTACAGTGCAGTAGGTCTATCCAAAAAAAAAAAAAAAACATCCCGCCAAATGATAGATCATATTCTACGAGTGGGGTCTAAGAGCCTTCGTAGATGTTCTGTAGAATCTGCTTACTGTAGATATACAGTAAAGCTCTCTGTCAATTTACTATAATATAGTAGTACAGTAGTCTCAATACTGGGGTTAGATGGCCGTATTCGGGGGCGATATGCAAATGCTACACGTTCTCTCGGCTAATCAGCTTGAAGATGAGCGTGATAGATCCATATCAAATCACAAAATTAATCATTCATCACAGTTCAGATAGGATTTCTACGTTGTTTCAGTAATATCTTCTTGTTCTAGCCTTGAGTTAAAATAATTGTGTCAAGCGTGATGTAGATATATATCGTCAACTGGTACGCCTCACTACACAATGGTGGATCCAACCCAAGCAATTGAAATGCGAATTCACGGTCTCATTATATACATAACGGACGATAAATCAGTGCCTTTGGCCTGGACAATCGAGACTTTTATCTATAGCCCATTTACTGGTATCTATGTCTTGGCTGTCGCTGGCTATTTCTATGTGCTTTCAGTATACAGAGACATCACATAAACCCGCAGTACTAGATTTCTTGAATCACACCAATAACGTTTCCCAGATTTGACAATAAATCGTAAGTTTCAATCCAACCTTTTGTCTCTGATCGATTTTGTGGCAATGATTGCACTATTGTTTGTGGGTCATTGCTTGGTTATGCAGTCAAGTAAAATGGCACAGATCACAACCTCGCGCTTATTCTCATGATCCAAGGCATGATCTGGAGGTCCTTGAATTCTAAATAAAGATAAATCATCTCCAAATCTTATTATCAATCAATTCTAGTTTCTGCTAAATCAGTAAAGGAAACACGAAGAATGTGTTGTCAGCCATTTCACGCGTCGGGATTGAAGATGCTCGATGATCCGGCTTGACGTTTACGTTGCCCAGTCCCTGCAGTTCCTGAAGAAATTTGACCCAGTCGCAACACGGAAAGTTGCAACAGACACTCTTTGGTCGGGTAGCCAGACCCTTCGGGGCTGGGGAGACACCCGTGGACGCCGCCCTTGATGACTACCGCGACGACTGCGCGAGATTCATCTTTGGAGGTGAGTCGAATAGGATCTGTTTTTTTCTTTCTTTTCTCTTTTTCTTGAACCAATGATCTTTCAAGTTATATATTGTAAGATCTCGACCGCTGGCAGTGCATTATCCTAGCCTGTAGCAGGTTAAGGAGAGAGCTCCACCAGACTGTAGATCTCCGGACTCGGTCGAACATGTTCGAGTGTTTCACCGCTCACCCTTGTCCATCGACGATCATTTCACAATCACGCCCCAGACTGTTGCTGAGTGATGCAATGATAAATATGTAACGAAATTGTACAGTGCCTAACGCACAGAAATGGGTTAGAGCAACTTATTTTCCAAGGAGACAAACCATGCATTTGCCCAGGGATGACGTCGCAGTGGAGCTCATGCAGCTGGAGATCGAAGTCGATCGTGGATCGCAAAGTCGGGTGGGATTTCAGCTCGTCAATCCCCCGGAAACAGTTCGTTTCTTTTCTCTTCCTCCCCAGGTTGATGCTCGCGTTCATTGACTGCCACAAGCACCATTGATTGCATTTTTGAAACCATGGCGACCTCCAATTTCCCTTTCCAGGTGACAGAACACACCATTGAGGGGCAACACATTCGAGAATATCCCCGTGCAACAGCAACCGAAGATGCACCCCTAAAACTCTTGATCAAGAAGTATACGCCCCTTGATAACCTGAACCCCCAACCTGGTGATATTACCCTGATCGGCTTTCACGGCACCGGATTTCCCAAAGTGAGTAACTTATGAGCTGCCTGTGGCATGCTTTGCATGCTGATATGCTTCATTGCGACAGGAGCTCTACGAGCCATTATGGGAAGAAATTCTTGCAAGAAGCAAACAAGATGAATTCCGCATTCGCGCGATCTGGATGGCCGATAGTGCCCATCAAAACGCGAGTGGAGTTTACAATGAACAAAACCTGGGAAACAGCCGTAAGTGTTCATATGAACGGCATCAGCCAGTGGACCGAAACTCATACAAATATCAGCCTCTTGGCTCGATCATTCCCGAGATGTCCTCCACATGATCAACCATTTCCGCGACGAGATGCCTCGACCACTCATGGGCTTTGGACATAGCCTGGGCGGAGTACAAGCGTGAGTGAAAAGCAGCCCAAAATTTACAATTTTGATCCTCATACGGACCCAGGATCTTCCTTTCATTGATGCATCCACGACTCTTTACGTCATTAATTCTCACCGAGCCTCACATCACCGACGAGGACAAAGGCCAACGCAAGGACCTCTTGCTGATGACAATCAAAGCCAAAGACAAATGGAACTCCCGAGCAGAAGCCGCAGCAAAAGCGCGTAAAATGCTCCGAATCTGGGATCCGCGTGTGCTCGATCGCTGGGAGAAGTATGGGCTGAGAGACCTTCCCACTGCGATATATCCCGAGTCCAAGACGACCAACGGGGAACCTGCAGTAACGCAGACTACGACGAAACACCAAACAGCTCTGATGTACTATCGCGAGAACCTCAAGCGTCACAAGCACCTCGGTCTACCAGACGAGGAAGATGAAAACGAGACCTACGGCCCAAGCCCAGCCCACGATCCGCTCTTTGTGCCCGACATGCTTGGCCCGCTGTACCGTGAGCAAAGACATTACCGGGCCGAACCATTGCTGGCAGCTCAGTTACTTCCGTATCTACGACCATCGGTGTTCTACCTCAGCGCGGCCAAGTCCGAGCTGACTCTGACGGGACTCCAGGAATGGGCTGCGAAGCGGACGGGTACTGGGTTTGGTGGAAGTGGCGGTATGCAGTCTGGCAAAGTGAAGCATGTTGTTATTGAGAAGGCTTTCCATACGCTTCCATTGGAGAAGGTTGCCAAAACTGCTTCTGAGATGGGGCCTTGGATGGCGCAGGAGTCGCGGCGGTGGAAGGATGACGAGAAGCGCATTGCTGATGGATGGGAGGGGCTTTCTGTTAAGGAGAAGTCGACTCTTCCACATGAATGGGTGAATGCATTGGTTGAGGCATCTAGTGCTATTGAAGCTCGCGCGAAAAGGGAGTCGAAGATTTGAACAGATAGACCTAGAAGAGTGGCATGAACCTCAGAGATGGCTGATAGAATTTTACATACAGTCTTCATTGTAGCTTCTAGCAATCAAGTCAACGTGAACTTTTCAGGATAGGTACTGTATTCCCTCTTGAGCGTGTTTGCAATTTCCTGGTGCAGACACTGTTCATCACTGTACCACGGCCAAAAAGTCATTGCTTGGGGTGGAGATGTTGAAGAAGTTGAGACTTTTCTGAGAGGGCGAAGGAGGGTAAACAGAGCGTAAACAATGAAGTGAAAGTAAGGGAAGCAATGGTTGGCATAAAAGTGTGAACAGTATGAGACGATTAGTGCTTAATAGGTAGGTACCTTTCTCTTTTTGACCTTGTTTTTGACCTCTTTTTTGATTACTTTCTTGGCCACTTTTTATGTTCTGCCAACGGAGCAAATATTATTTTATTCGTCGTAGCCAAGAAACTCCACGAGAATGACCGCGATCATCGCCAATGCCTGGCATATCTAACAATGATTCAGCCATACCGAGGGGAATTGAAGATGGCTCTAACCCACCTTTTCGGTCTATCGACCAACGGCTAAATCTGGCGCTTCATCCACCTTCAGCAGAACAGAGAGGTCGTGACTCAGGAATGATTCTAGGAGAAATCAATCTCGAAATCATGCAACTTCTACGCAGGATTTTCCTTGATGCTGCTCCCTCAAACCACCAACAAATAAGCACAAGGCGCAGACTTACGGACATGAAACGAAAGAGTACCTCGTACAATGGGAAGGATTGCCATACGAAGAGGCGCCCTCCAAGCCGACAGCGACGCACGAGCGGGCAAAGAGCGACCTCGATGGTTACCTGGCGATCCATCTTCGAGCGAAGACACCGCCCACGCATGGGCACCACTGGCCACAGCAGTACAAATGGGACAAAAACGGGAAGTGGCTCGCACCACCGGCACGTGTACGCCTATCAGATGAACTCACATACATCGTAGCGAAAAAAACATGTCAGTACGTGCCCTCGCTACAACTTTCCCTTGGGACTTCGACCGTCGAGGACACAAAACACCTCATGCGAAGAGCGTGCATTCGAGCCCATGGACTACAACTCATTGTCCTCGCGCGCGAACAACGAATACTATACAATATAGCAAATATGATATCTTGAGACTTGAGGCAATAGTAAAGATTTAGGACAAAAAGAGAAAAAAAAAAGTCACAGTCTCCCGAGCTACTAGCCGAGAAGAAATAGTGAAACTTCTTTACACATACAAAATCTGTACATTAAAGAATAAATTCCAGTGTGTCATTAGTAGACCCTTCATCATAGGTTGTGATCATGACTAGTTCATATCAACATCGTAATCTTCGTCGTTATCATATTCCCCCCAGAACTCTTTCAAGTCTTCGACACGCCAGGCAGTGGCCCAACCAGTCTCGCGCTCAATTCGGACCAAAGTTTCAACAATGGCCGCATGCTCCGAGTAGTGGGACATGGCTTTGCCCGCTATCCAGAGAGGCTGTAATGCATTCGTCCAGCAACCACTGCGAAGAACCGCCCAGTCAGTGGTCTGTCATTCCTGGATTTTAAATAGAGCAGGTACACTCACTGGTGTGCATTAGATGCGGATATCGCGCATATCTGTCGTGCGTGCCAAAGAACCGATCTCTAGTGTTTCTTGAGCGTTGGAGATAGTGAAACCGAGATAGAAAAGAGCAAACTTACCGGTCTCTTGTTCAAAGCCAGTGTCTTTGGTTTCCTCTGAAGAAGCAGTAGGGCAGCGACATGATACATCTGGTTTCCGGAAACTAATACTTATGAGCTCGAGAGTTCCAAAGTGGGCAGGCTATGATACTTACTCGCCGACCCATTTCCATATAAGGCAATTGGAAATGCCCGGTCACGACCTTCGCGTTCGGAAGCGGCGACACTGAAAATGGATTTCATCTGTGCCGGTCGTTTTTCATACCACTCCTCTACGCGATCAAATGCATCCGCCCAGCGCGGAACAAAGGAGTCACCGTCATCGCTAGGAACGGATTGACATGATGTGCAAGAGTAATCTGGTTTGGACGCGCATCCGAACAGAATGTTCACTACTCTTGCGACAAGATATACCGTGTAGTTGGCATATGTTTCGACGTTGGTCTTTGCTGAAGCGATGAATATCTGTGCTGCTTCATTGTAAGTCATGTCACTGGGTCTCCAGTTATGGATTGGTATGATGGTTTCCTCCTCGGAGATAAGCCCACCGCACACATCTAACAATGAGCATGTTAGTATGATTGGATCAAAGTGAAAGTAGTAGAGAGCTAATACCCATTCGAGCAAAACACCAAAAGAGCGCCTGCTCCTCTTTTCCAGAGAATCCATTTATACCAGCTGCTTGGATGAGATACGCACATCCGTCTAGATGGCGACGCCATTCTTTGGGATTACCTATTTCCGATAAGATATTGAGCAAGATCCAGAGGCCAGAAGAGCTTACAACTCAGCATTTCCAAGACACACAAGATAACACAGGACGCAATGACAGGGGTTGTCTTGCTTCCTAGCTCGGGTAGAAGGAGATGAATGGCTTCTTGATAAAGTGACAAACTTTCAGACTGTGATTTCGCATTTTGCTGTCTTTCGAGCTGTCGTGCCGACAGCGCCAAGATAGAATATCGAAGATGGGCTGAAGTTTTGGCCATCTGAGTGAACGTTGAAGCGAAATGTCGCTGATTATCAAACATGTCGAGCTTTGGGAGTCAGCTTGACCTCCAATCCATTTGGCAGTGAGTTGACTCACCCACGAGCAAATCTCGTGAAGATAATTTTCCCACAGAACATGTTCTCTTTCGGGTGATAACTCAAACCGTCTACTAATCCCCGAATGCCGGGATCCCCTTGCCGTCCTCGCAACTGAACCAGCGTCGCTATACCCTGTTGGTGTATGCACCATAGGAACAGAATCTTGCGAGCTGCGGCGACTCGGAAAGTCGGGTCTCGCAGTCCATAGCTGGCGGTTTCGTAGCGTAGTGTGGAGTGCCTCATATGCAGATCCCGGAAGGAAAACATCGTTGATGAGATCAGTTGGGTCGGAGAAGATGCCATGGTCAAAAACCGGTGACTGTCCCGTTTGGTACGAGTCGGCCACCGAGGAGTGGAACTGAGTATCTTGGTGAAGACCCCTCAGAGCAGAGAGATCATTGATTACGTATTCGGGACTGGAATTGATATAAGGGTGCGAGATAGAGTCATCCCTACTGTGAGACGGTTGAAAATCGAACTGAAGGGTTGGATCATAGTGAGAATGAGGTGATAGTACTTGAGGGCCCAGAGGGCTGACATGTGTTTGAAGTTCAATATGTCCTGGGGGTTCATTGAATGTCTTGCGTGGATGTGATGACGTATCACTCGAGTATGGCGGCGATATACCAGGGTTTACCCCAGGATTTGAGGCTGATATCTCATTGGCAGCCAGAGGCGCGGCGGAATCTGAATCATTCCTCTCAATAGCCGCAGGGACCGGTGTATCACTTTCGTCTGGGGCCGATGGTGGAGGTGAGCCATGCCCTGGTCCTTGCTCTGGGGCAGGTAAGGGCTGACCCTGCTGCTTAGGTGCACGCTTGGTCCGTGTGCTCGCAGTATTGACGATCTTGAATTTACTATGGCGCTTGTTTCTGCTAGCTGCCACCCCTTGGCTCATAGAGGGATGGTCTGACTCCAACACTTTGATATTCGAGTCGCGAAAAGCACCCATCATGCGCCATTGACATTTGTCGCCCCGGCGCTTACAGCCTGTGCACGTGGGTTTCGCCTCATCGCATTTTCGCCGTCTGCGACTGCAATTGACACATCCAGTCCGCGTGCGTTTCTTTCGCTCTGCGCCCGTAGGGGGATTCAACCCTTGCAGGTCTGGGACTGAAGTTTGGGGCATTCCCTCTCTATCTTCATTAGCTGGGTTATTCGAAAACATGTTCGACATTGTTGCGCAAAACATGTACGATGTTGGTAAATTGGAAGCATAGAATGGGATGTAGAAGAGTGGCGGAAGTGGGTTACCGAATTGGGTAATGTTACGCGCCGAAGGTCCTGACGCCAAGCCCCCACTCGGCAACTTTTCGATGGTCGATTTTGTGGAGAGGAACCGGGCATTCCCCGAGGGGAGTCATCTTGCGAGATTGGGGGTGAATGTATACTTAAGTGTGGAGTTGGAATACAATTCATGGAATTCACTTAAAACAGTGTACAAAGCAATGCATAATATAGCGTGGTAGGCTAAGCGCCATCGCTTGCTCTATTGGGTATATACTCCCCCGAAAACACATTAAACTACTCAATATGCTGTGCTTGAATATTTTCAAGATCCTTCATCGTGGCATTGCCGACACGAGTGTCGACATCTCCTGCAATACCCATGGATGAATCCCAGTAGAGCTGAACCTTTTCGCCCGTGAACAGGCGATCAATCTGCTCCAGGGTCAGATTTCGTGTTTCTGGATAGAAGAAGAAAATGAGTGGCAGGAAGCAGAAGTTAAAGACTGAAACTTTGTTAGCAAATTACTGGTTTCAATATGAGATCCACTGATCAAACAAACCGGCAAAATAAATGTAAGTCTTATAGCCAATGTTAGCAATGCTAACGGGGGTAATTTCCACAACCAAGAATGTGCAGATCCCTGAATAAAGGTGTTAGTTTCAGCCTCTTGAAAGAAAGATTGCAACACTAACAGTTTGTGGCAGTGGCCATGGCAGCTGAACGAGTTCGAATTGCCAGTGGTGAATATTCTGCGGGCACTGTATTGATGTCAGCTATTAGTACCTCTCATGTAAAGAAGGGGTTGGAAAATAGCGGTACTCACAAAGCCAAGGGATAGCGAGAAGGCCTACACCGAAGAAGAAGTTGAACATGAATAACATGACAGTCGCAACCAAGCCGGCAGCATGTCCACCATCCCAGACGGTACCCGCTAAAATAGCCATACAGCATCCTTGTCCAATGACAGCAAACATCATGAGCTTGCGGCGACCAAGACTGCAAGAGTTAGTTGACGATCAAGCAAGAATTTGCTTTAACGTACCGTTCAATCGTCCAAATAGGGACCAAGGAAGAGAAGAAGTATGCAATTCCGTTGAAACCAGCCAAGAGCAACGCAGTATGGTGAGACATTCCAACAGACTGTTCGAAGATAACAGTTGCGTACTGTAATATTGTCAGTAAATGCAAATTGAAGATTCTTCTAGTATCAAAGTACTCACGTAGGTGATTAAGTTGATACCCGATATCTGCTGCATCATTTGTCCTCCCATTCCAAGCAAAGTTCTGTACAAGAAGCGCTGCTTGTTGTTTTGGAAAAGAAGCTTGAATGATCCCCCAGAAGCAGCTTCCTCTTCCTCCTCAACTGCCCGAGTAATTTCTGTGACATCGACATTCACCACGGGATCATCCATCTCGATTTCCCGAGCGTTGTGTTGGAGGGCCCAAATAATCTGGCGGGCCTTGTTCTCTTGGCCGTGTTTGATGAGCTATTATAAGTCAGTTGAGTAATGGAAAACTAGGAGGGACTGTAACGAACCCAACGAGGAGACTCGGGGAGACAGAGCACGCCAATGAAAGTGAGAATAGCGAACAGAATTTGTAAAGCGAGGGGAAAGCGAAACTGGGCTTCATTTTTGACATAACTCATTCCGTAATCTTGATGGGTCATTTATTAGCACGTAGGTCTATAGAAAAAGATCCTGAAGAAAGCTTACCAACCCAATATGAAAGCATGACACCAAAGATGTTGATGGCCAATTCGATGGCTAGCTAATAGAAAGAGTCAGAACCAATATTTACAACAAGATTCAGAGCAAAACTTACTCCTTTGCCGCGGCTTGCCGCTTTGCTTAGTTCCGAATGCCAAACGGCTTCGGCGATATTAGCAACCTCGATTCACTATTTTGAGTAGAATAGAAGCCTCACGAATAGTACTGGTATTGAGGCCATTTCCAACACCGGCAACAATGCGACCAACGATCATGTGAGGGATGCTGTAGGCACTAGCCTGGAGAGCAGCACCAATGGCAAGAACTACACATCCAGCCAGGATACACTTGCGACGACCGAGTTGTTCACCGAAGCATAGAGAGATAATTGCACCCAAAAAACATCCCTTTGTCTGTTAGCTGATTATAGGAAGATGATGGATGGATTCCCACTTACTATTTCATAAATGGCAACACTGCATTTCGATGACAGGTTAGTTAGAATGAAGCATTGAAAGCGTACAATTGAAGTCCACATACACTGTTCCCTGCAAAGAAGAACTTCCATGTCCTGTACTGGTTGTATCGATTTCAGGAAAAGTAGCAACAAACGCATCGCCAGTCAACAGACTGGACATCACACCCTGGTCATAACCAAAGCTGGTTGTTCAAGTCAGGAATAGCCCAGGAAATAGAAACAGCAACAGTCCAGTATAGGACAGCCACTCACAGCAAGAAGCCACTGCCAGCAGTAGCCGTAATAGCATATGATAATAACCGACCCACGAGGAAAGTCATGGTGAGATATTGTTTCCTCAAACAATTGACCGGGGGTGCAAATCTGGGGATTTAGCAGCAAGGGGTGTTTAGTCGGACTTTGTCAGAGCAGTGGGGCATTGCAGCTTTTATAAATTGATTGTATAACTGCAGCATAATCTGTACAAGGCAAAGAGTGGCGCCATCCCAGATTGAACAATACCGTGGCGTAATGACCCGCGCCGGCGATCTCAACTCCCCCGGGTTGCCATCATCCTGGGTCGGGTCGTCCCCGTGTTTTGCGGGGTGCATCTGGAGGCCATGACCGATTAAATCCCGCATGTATGGATCGCTTAGCAATTAGTTATATTAAAGGGATGTCTTATTGAAGTGTAGACTTCCATTTTACGTGTCATTTTTGTCCTTATTTCATCTTGCATCCTTCGCAAATACAGAAAAGAAGCGGCATTTTGACAGCATACTTTGTTGGAAAATGACAAGGGCTGGGCCGAACGGGGTCAGCCCTGGGCTCGAGACGGGCATCCCCATACCGGCTAAGCTCTTAAACGGCAGAAGCCGGTATTTCCAAATTGGGCAATATTAAGCACAATGCCACCGAGCATAAATTCTTTATAGCGAAGTGTAGATCACCTGTTTCTATATCGGTATGGGTCAAGTTGTCTCGCTATTGCAATATTCCACTTAACCGATACCACCGATGTCATCTGCACTCCTCAGGCACCGCAGCCCCGTTTATTCCCCAGTTTATTGCTCCGTTCCCCGCGACTCTGCATCCCAGACTAGCCATATACAGCAATATTTAGCACCCCCGAGGTCATAGGAACCTCGTCTGACTCTCCGTGTCCACTGTCGATCGGGCCGCATCGGCATGATTTGTCGGCACGATGAAGCTGAAATGGTTTAGACCTTGAACTGATGTTTCACGCGTCGAATATCCTTCCCCTGTGGACCTCCAGCTCAACCCTTTCCTAGTTAGGTTGTATATAGCCGCTGCAGGCAGATAGGTACAACAGCATGTATACTATATGAAGTAGATGTCTTCCACTCTTGAAAAAGAATCCTCAAACATTTCAAATCCACACCCTTCTGTACATCCTCATCCCAACCTCTTCTCACGATGACTCCCTCTATCTCGCTCGACCACACCACTCCGGCTGTCGTGCCGGAGTCTAACGAGACTCCCGCTGCCTTCGTGCCGACAAACGACCTCTTCTCGCTAGCCGGTCGCACAGTCATGATCACCGGTGGTGGTCGCGGTCTTGGTATGACTTTGACCACCGCCGTCCTGGAAGCTGGCGGTGACGTCGCCTGTCTCGATCTTCTGGCTGAGCCCAGCCAGGAGGAGTGGGCTGTTGTGCAGAAGACTGCAAAGGCGCGCGGTCTACAGGCGACCTATAAATCTTGTGATATCACCAACGAAGAGGTCACCAAGAAGGCTTTGGAGGATATTGCTGCGGAGGCTATGCGTCGCAACAAGCCTCTTCGTGGTGCCATCACTTGCGCCGGTATCCAACAGATGGTTCCTGCGCTTGACTATCCCGTTGAGGGGTACCGCAAGATGCTTGATGTCAAGTGAGTCGAAAACATTCAGAAAGGAATAGCATGATGCTTATAGCTTTCCAGTGTCCTCGGAACATTCATTCCGGCCAAGCATTGTGCTCGTATCTTCGTTGAGCAGAAGACTCCTGGAAGCATCGTGATGATCGCGTCTATGTCTGGCCAGATCGCCAACCGGGTTTGCCTCCTACCCCCCAAATTGAACATAGAAACAGAGTGCTAACAAACTTTTCATTCATTAGGGATTGACTTGTACCGCGTACAACTCATCTAAGGCTGCCGTCCATCAAATGTGTCGATCCGTCGCCCAGGAATGGGGCCAACACAATATCCGCGTGAACACCCTATCTGCCGGTGTAAGCACCCTTTCCACATTTCTTTCGTTTGACCATATTTGTCTAATATTTTTTTCAATTAGTACATTCGCACTGCCATGACTGATGCTCTCCTGAAGGAGAAGCCTGAGGTCGAGGAGACCTGGATGCGTGGCGCTCTCCTCGGGCGTCTTGGTGCCCCTGAGGACTTCAAGGGACCGACCATCTACATGCTGACTGATTCTAGTGCTTGGATGACAGGCGCAGATCTCCGTGTTGATGGTGGCCACTGTGCATCGGCGTGAGTGACTATTGTTAGATGAAGTTAAAAACGACGGATGAAATAGATGTGGCATGCTTACGGCGTTTGACTTTGGGGTTTGATTTGGTATACAGAATTTTGAAGAATAGATATTCAATTGCACATATTGTTCTTGTTTCACTTGACTAATTGCAATCGCGTGGTTTTTAGGGAATCTATAAGAACATTCCTCCCGTCGGGATGACATTTTAGACCTTTCTCACGCCTATGTGCAATGAAGAACGCCCCCGTCGTGTGTATGGCAGTTCTGGGGGAGCTGGTTAGCATGGGATAAGTTAATTGACAAAAGGGAGGATTTACTTACTTCAGGCACATCAGAAGTCGCAGAAGGTTTATCAGCGGTAGTCGCAGAAGGAGACGCAGCCTCAGTCGTTGTCTCATCAACGTGTTCTTCATGTTCATGCTGAACACCGGGACAACCAATCCCCGGCACGGCAATATCATATGCATAAACCTCCAAAGCGAAGTACTGAAGAGTCTCTGAGTCATGAGTGGACAAAGTGGCATTCTCCTTCGCCTGGTCAACAACCTCTTCATAGCCATCGGCGAAGTGGTCGATCCAATTCTGTCCCACGGCAGGGACGTGGTACAGCCGATGCAAGAGATCAGTCGCCCAGAAAGTATTCGTTTCAGACCCAGAGACAGTATATCCAAGGCTGCACATTGTGGAGAGGGAACGACGCGTTTCGTAGCTCAGATCGCAAATCACAGTTTCATCGGTGGCATTCTCACCTCGCCAGTGTCCGGCCCAGCCTACACAATGAATTTTTAGCTGGAGAATTTTGAACAAGAATAGATGAACAATTTACCTTCAAGCCCGCAGTTTCCGTCAGGATTATCGCATCGGAACAAAATGTCCTTCTTATCACCGTTGACCACGATATCAAACGCGCCAACGGCTTCCATGGAGGGACTATCACCAAAGTACTTTCGGTAAATTGAACTCTCGTTGCTCCATCTCAGAATATGGTCCTTGGCATGTTGAGCCAAAGAAATGGCCTCGGTGAGACCCAATTCAATCTGGCGATGCTGTGTTGCATTGCAGCTGGAATGAATAGGATATTCAGTCACGGCACCGGCGTTCCACGGTGCGAGCCCGGTCTGGGAAAAGGGCTGTGTCTGGTTTCCGTCGGGGACTCCAGAAGTAGGCAGGGCTGCAGCAATTGCTGCGGAGGAGATCAAGAAGGTCAGGAACAACATGCTGGCGATCAAAGCTTGAAATCTTGTTTACAAATATCATAGCGAGGGCATCTTACAGCCTTTATATACTTGATCCGATCATACTTTTGATCGAGCACTCTCTATCCACCATTTTGAAATCATCGCCGCACCTCTTTGCCAAGGGTGGCTGTCACATCCTCATTTACACAGATTCTATGCTGGGACTAGTTCACACACCACCGAATCCAGAATAGGAAGCGGGATGTTAACCCATTCTCCTCGGTACTCGGGATATTATATTTGCCAAGGGAGGACCTTGAGGGCTTAATTCTCCGTAATGACCTAGTTTTGCAACCAGAAGGTGAAAATTGTTGTCTTTGGTGCCAAGAGAAAGGCTCGGCGGAGGGCTGCCAAGAGGCTTGGGCGGGAGTACCTTGGAGGAACAAGAGACAGGAAGCGATCTTCTCCGATGAAAAGACCCTCTTTTCCGTCCAAGACTCTTCTTGGCATACAGCTAGAAGGGTCTTCCGCTTGGCGGCGGGAACCTTGGAGGTGAGACCCTCGAGAGGTGCTCTCATCCCGGTTACCGAATGGCCTTTTAGAGTGGTCGGCTTCCTGCTTCTGGTCATGTTGAAAACTGTTTCATGCGTTGAGGTTTGTTGTTTACTATACCTATACTACCTGTTCAGAGCATTCTTCTTTGCAATATGCTCGTCTTGCAATCCTTCCTGATATCACTCAGCATTGCTGGAGTATATGGACAGACGGCAACTACCACAGCACAGACATCATCCGTAACTGGGTGTCACAGTCATGGGTCAGATATCTATTGCATCAATGGAGAAGGCCAGGAAGTCTTGGTCTCTGCAACATCCACTCCTACAACTGGTGTACCAGCACAGTACACGGGGTGCCATTCTCATGGAAGGGAATCGTAAGTAGCCAGCATCTGGATACTGTAACAGAGAACTAATGTGGAAATTATAGATACTGCATGGATGCTGACGGAAATGATGTCTTAATTCAAGAGGAAGAAACAACGACAGAGAGCGAGACTGAGAGTGAACATGATCATAATCACGAAGAATCATCAAGTGGAACAAATTGCCATTTCCACGCAGGTGTTGAGTCAGTTTTTCAAGATCCACCTTTGGTCACTATTTCTAACTTTTTATCTAGACATTGCGTCAGTGAGGGTGAATCCGAAGATAGCCATGCTTCATGCGATAGCCAGACACGAGACTACGATGTGCCTTTGCGAATCGGCACACTGTTCGTCATCCTCATTACTAGTGCGATAGGTGTCTTCGCTCCAATTCTACTGCTGAAGCTTCCTTTCGCCTCAATCAACGGCGTGGTATCGACAATTATAAAGCAGTTCGGAACTGGTATCATCATTTCAACGGCTTTCATCCATGTAAGTGGTGTCAACTTAATCAATTTGTTCCAAGCTAACAGATTGGTCTAGCTCTATACGCATGCCAACCTCATGTTCACCAACGAGTGTCTCGGGGAGCTGGAGTACGAAGCCACTACTTCGGCTGTCGTCATGGCCGGTATATTCTTCGCCTTCCTGTTGGAATTCATTGGCCACAGAGTGGTCGTCGCTCGCAACAGCAAGAGAACTGTTACTGAGACATCGCCTCCGGAATCCCAGCAACCGTCTCAAAAGGGCCAGTTCGATCACCACCAGGGCCAGCAGCAGCCCACACTCGCTTGCCTTGGGCACAGCCATGGCCCTTATGATCCCACTTTACCTAACAGCAAGTTCTCAGTCCTCGTCATGGAGGCCGGTGTTCTTTTCCACAGTATCTTGATTGGTCTCACTCTCGTTGTTGCCGGAGATTCCTTTTACAAGACGCTTTTGGTGGTCATTGTTTTCCATCAATTCTTTGAGGGCCTGGCTCTCGGTGTTCGCATTGCGACTCTTCCGGGCGCTATATTCCCCTCGAAGGCGATTATGGCAACGGCGTTTTCGCTGATCACGCCTATCGGGATGGCTATTGGACTTGGTGTGCTGCACACCTTCAATGGTAATTCCAGAAGCACTTTGATTGCCCTTGGAACATTGGATGCGCTGTCTGCTGGGGTTTTGGTTTGGGTTGGTGTCGTGGATATGTGGGCTCGTGACTGGGTAATTGAAGGGGGTGAAATGATGAATGCTAAGATTGGAAAGGTTCTCACTGGAGGTTTCTCCTTGGTTACTGGCTTTGTGTTGATGGGTTTACTCGGCAAATGGGCTTGAGCTTGCAATGCTCACTTGCTTTCTCATTCGGTGAGATGCTTTTCAGTGGTCTTGAGTAGGCACATATTTGAAGACTTCTGATAGTATATTCGCTTCCATTGCTAACAAAAAAAGTCATTTCAAGAAGGTTGATCTCAAGTGCTAAAATCCGAAATTCTGTCATGTCAATCTCTCTCGCTTAAAGCCCCTGTGCTGTATCTGATATTAAACTTGCTTTGAGGTGTTAGGATTTGGACTTGGGTCTACGAATCATGCAATAAAGCTGAGGTTGCTTCGGTTAGTCACATAATCGGGGAGTGAAGCCGTCAGTACATACCTTGCAGACATCTCCTCCATCCACACACTCAATCTCTCTGACAAGCTCGAAGCCCATCTTTTCATAGATGCACACATTAGGATATCCTTTAGAGCTCTCAAGGTAGCAAGGCATTCCCTCTTGATCAGCCTTCTCCATGACACTTTCCATGAGCTTCTTTCCAACACCCATGCCACGCGCCTCAGAATCCACACCGACAACATTACAAAAGTAATATCCACGAGGATCCTGCCAGATAGAGTCATGGGCGGATCGTTGCACCTGCTTCCAGATCCAGTAGCGGCGGACATTCAAACCTCCGCGACCGAAGAAGAGAATGTTGTTCATGAGTTGGCGGAATGAGAGAAGCCATTCCTGCGCCCAAACAGACCAAGTCTGCGGTTTAGATGGAGCTTGTGGCGAATACCACCAGCCCACCCCGACCACAGTCCCGGGCGGTAAACGGACTTCAAGGTCGTTTTTGGTCTCATTTGCCGCGCGGGTTATCTTAGCGACGGATATGGGACAGCTGCAGTTAATGCCGTATTGAAAATGGGCCGCGAGGGAGGCTGCGTTTCGTTGGATATTGAACTATGACAGACCCGTTATTCCTTGCGTCTTCACTTCACTCTTATTCCACTTTTTTCTTTTTTTTTCTCTGGGCCACAAGGTCTCAAGGATATGACGATTGAAGGAAGGTAGCTCATACCTTGGATGGATCGTCAAACGCCCATCGAAAATAAGGGTCATCCGAAAATGCTCTCTGCACACAGTCTACAGCCCCAGGTATATCACCCTGGGCCAGCGGAACGATCTCGATTGCCATAGTTCCTGGCTTGCTACTACGGTTTCGCAAAAGACGATAGTCGGATCAACGGACAAGTTTAGAGGCCCGGGGACTTTTTCTACTGGCTCTGCGAAGAGGTTGAGACAGAGATATAGTATAAGAATGCCAATGGAGCCGTTGGGGACAGTGAGAGAAAACCTCCATCTAAGTAAAATTGAAGTGGTGATGGACCAAGTTGAGGAGAGGGAGTAGCAACGTCTTTGTTTATGGTAAGGTTGTCAGCAATCCAGGTGTGAGTATGTGTATGTGTAGGAGGTAAACAGAGGAACCGAGGACGGACGGGGCCCTCAAATAGCTGAGCTTCATCCGCTTGGACCACTCTTATCTGTTATCCTTTCAGTGCGATCTCACTAACCTTTCTAGGCAGCTCCAGCCGGATTGCACAGGGGGTTTCACTGGGGATTCCACTGCGAGTTCCGTAATTGCAGATGTGACTAGAGACCACATGACACCTTGCATAGACACTGAATTTCAATATGCTCGAGTGTCTGGAGGATCTGGGGTTATTCGTTGAATTCATCTCATATGCAATACAACCGCGGGGATCGGAGCGTATTGGATCAGGTGGGGAGGCTATTCGCAAATAGGAAGGTTGTTGCGGACTGAAAAAGGGGGGGGGGGGCTTATCTTATCAGCTGAGGGATCGATAAGGAATCAGATCAGAGTGAGACCATATCTAAGGTCTCCCTAGTGCGCACTTTATTTCTTATGGTTCAGGAACCAGGTCTGGTAGCTTCAGAGTAAGCAATAGCTAATCCTGACAAGTTGGGGTTGTTATAACATTTCAGATCACTCGATATGGTAGGCATGATTCGGCAGGTTTTTCACGAGTTTTGGTTGGTTAAAAGGTCTCATTCCTCTCACTGACCGCTAAATGAAAATCACAATGCCTTTCTGGATAGACAAAGGGTGCAGCAGAGGGGTCTGGGTGTACGTATGTGCAGTTTCCCTTGTTGCCGTTCTTTGGTCTCACGAAAAGTAACAACAACAAAGAATGTAGCTCGGACAGTGTTCTTGTTCATAAGCTTCTATTCAAATCCAAGGTACAAATAATCACAAATCGCCCATTTGGTAGCATTCGCAGCATTAAATCAACAACACTGTTCTCTCACATTCTATTCTATAGCCTCTACGACTACAATACGTCGTTTTCTCTGACCGTACTACTAAAAATCTAAAATGGAACCCATCAAGCGGGTTGCTGTCATTGACATTCTACGGACACAAGCGTTTCTCCTGAGTAACACTCATTATTGTTACCCCGACATACCCCAGGAGCTCAAAAAAGCTATTTACATATTAAACATGCTTCATCTTGAAGCCACCGAGAATGGACACACTCGTTCTCAAATAGTATGCCATTGGTCTCGGCTCTGGTTGGCACAGCACATCAAAACTCTTGAACTGGGATGCAACATGGAAACTGGTCGACTTATTTCACAGGACCTTTGCCACAGAATTATTCCTGAACTACTGAATCCAGAAAACTACTCCTGATATGTCACACCGGGAATCGTCGAACCCCTCATCATTTCATACACGATATTTACTTTATAGTTTCTTCATGACTAGGAATATGAAATGGGTTTCTTTTAGATCAGAGTATATATTTATGTCAAAAATCAAATCCAACCCCAGACTTCTAGCAAATTATTCATCGAGCCGTAGTTTTAATGATCCTTGAACAGTAAAGCCGTAGATCTATCTTCATACCTAGGTATTAGCTGTAGTGATAGCTTAGGAATAATCATGAACTTAACGTTAAGCTTTTTTTTACCCCTTGATTTCTTCTATGAAGCTACATGTATACTTTAAGGTTGCTTTCAATCCAAGTTGCGTTACCCAATGTTCACAATCTTTAAGACACTGCAGGTGATACAGATAAATCATAAAAAGAACAAATTTTCTAGCGAGTGGAAAGGAATCATCTAAGTTAATGCGATCTTATGTCACTTAGTAATCTTCGAATTGGCCTTCACTGTTGGTCCGTTTGCATGTAAGCGTGGCATGAAGCTTCACATTTCATGTTTAGCCAAGATAGCCGATATGGTTGGATATTCGGCGGTTGTTGTTGAAAAACAATAAAAGCCAGATGACCGTATTTTGTTAAATGCTTTGATCAAGTTGGATTCTGAGTATCTTGAGTTTCGTAGTAAAAATGAAGATATGAATGTAGTCGTCAAATGATATATTTAGCCATGCGACAAGAAAACCGGACTTCGTTGACATTACTTCTGACGGAATTGAGCAAAGCAGATTTGTATAGCTGGTTTTTGGTTATGGAAAAGTACAAAAATATCATTTGATTGTTGGGGTTTCTTTCCGCCACGCACGCACATCCTGTACTGTAAGGCTCCTTCTATGCCATCGGGTCTCATGATTAAATATCAGTGATCTCAGGATAAAGTGTAGAAAGATAAAGACTCAAATAATTGTGAAATTTGACCAGAATGATAGAAGGACCAAAGTGGCGGGGATAATCAAATGTTCGGCCGAGAATAACCTTGGGCGTTCAAAATCGACAAGCCATGGGTTGCCAAGGCCTGGTCTAGTGGCAGAAATATAAAGATAATAGAATAAAAACTCATTAATCTCAAGGTCAGCAGCCATGCATATCCTAAAATTGCCCGGTAGCTTGGCACTGACAGAGTATAGACGCCGAAGCCCGAATCGCCGAATCATGGGTGTGCTTTCAACGATTAGGAGACGTGCAACGATGGTACCGGATGAATGTAGCAATGAAGCAACAAAATAGATCTTGTTATAGCTATCTCATCTCGTTCCATTTTTGGAATTTGCGGGGGTTGACTTGAAAGCACTAGTCAGCCTTATGGTGGTTAATTACTGTAGTGTCTCCCAGTCCAATACTAGCACCAAATAGGAAATTGCCCTGTCCTCAGCTTTTTTTAACTCTTCCGCGACTGACAGAAATTGAAGACCTGCTGATCTGATGTAGAACAAAATTGATTAGAGTTATCATCTCATAGCTGCCCCTCGAGCACTTTGGCTGGGCGACTCGGCTTGAATCAAATGATCTAGGCAGCCTCAACGTTTTTTTATTATTGTTGTTGTACGTCTTCTTCATAAAATTTAATGTCAGTCAGAGTATAAAACTCTGAATAAGCATCTTTGCTGTTACAATAACGGAGTTCTTTGTCACCTCTTTGCTGTTAATGCGCTTACTTATTTAAATGACTGCGCATAGTATGTTTGAGACATTAGCCTTCTAGATACATTGATTCATACAGTAGATGAGGGGTAAGTCCGTTTGAAATATGTATTGTTGATCCAAAAAGAGCAGTAGCTGGTATGAGCGACATTCGAAATTCGTCCCATGGACTAATTGTTTTGAACCTAGAATGTACGGAGCTAAGAATATTGGTTGTTGCTTAATGCTCATAAAGCTCCCACTCAACAAATTTAGCAAACCAGGCTATTGTAACCAAAAACTATTGATTGAACGATGGTTTAGAGCTGACAATCATTGGAACAGGGTTAAACGGCAAGACGGTTCTATTTCGTCGCCGAGTCCATCATCCTCTTGGCAGCAACTCCTTCTCCGGTCATATTGAGCCAGTGGATATATATTCTTATTTGCGGCCAGAAATTCCATTGATTTCCGTGTCTTAGATCATAAAGTACGTGCCCCAGGGGTGTGTCATTGGTTCCGATCAGATCCGTGAAACCTTGCACTTCCTCTGGGATACGAACGCCTATCGAGCAAATTCCCATTTCCGCCATGGACTCATATTTCTAGAACAAGTGTTTACGGAGGTGGCTTGGCGAGAGTGGGCTTCAATAACATGAATTCCGGGGCAGTGGTTACAGCACCCAAATTAGATAGCTCTTGGGCCAATAATAATTTACCCGTGTGGTTTCACGAAAATGTATACATATCGTCAGAGTGATATATTTCGGCTCTTTTGGCCTTTTTAGTGAGCCAGTAAGCCCAAAGGAGAAGTTCCATTGCTTGGTAGCTCATCGAGGTCACCGTGGAACTGTTAGCTGCAGCTGGAAAACATCTTGTAACCCCTCAAAATACTTTACTGTCTTCTTAGGTGGTTGAATTCAGTGTATATAAGATAGCTCAAGGTTCTGTCTCAACTCTATCCCAACAATCTCATTTCTCCTATTTCTCAATCTCCTCAGCTGAGTCCTTTAGCCTTTCCAATTAACATTCCTGGAAATCCCAAGATGACTGTCAAGGAAGGCTCTCGTTTCGACTTCATCATTGTCGGCGGTGGTACGGCGGGTAACACCGTCGCCATGCGTCTGGCAGAGAACCCTGATGTCAGAGTTCTGGTCATTGAAGCCGGTGTTGGCAATTCGATCGACATTCCCGAGATCCGAACTCCCTCCGGGGCAATGGAGCTCCGAAACAGCCAGTATGACTGGGCCTACAAGACGACCATGATCAAGCGTGATGACTACGAACGAGTGGAGAAGCCTAATACTCGCGGCAAGGCCCTCGGTGGCAGTTCCTCGCTCAACTATTTCACCTGGGCCCCCGGAAGCAAAGGGACATTCGATATGTGGGAAGAGTACGGAGGCAAGGAATGGACCTGGGACTATCTTAAGCCCTACCTCCGGAAGAGCGTTACTTATCACGATGACACTGGAAAGCATCCTGCTGAGCTCAAGAGCATCGGTGGTGGAGGACCGATCCTCATCTCTCATTCTGAGCTTATCCCGGAGATGGCGCCCTTCCGCGATCGCCTGACGCAGGCTTGGAAATCTACCGGCAAGCCCATCACAGACAACATCTTTGATGGCGAGATGATTGGCTTGACACATAGCGTCAACACCATTTATAAGGGTCAGCGCTCGGGGAGTTTCCTCTGTCTCGAGGGGAAACCGAATATCACTGTGCTGGCCGAGACCCACTCCAAGTGTCTGATCATCGATGAATCCGACCTCACTTGCAAGGGTGTGACTGTGATTACCAAGTCCAACAATGAGCTAAGTCTCTACGCCACCCGCGAGGTTATCGTTACCGAGGGTGTATTCGAAAGCCCGAAACTGCTCATGCTGAGTGGCATCGGACCGAAGCGCGAGTTGACCAAACATAACATTGACGTCCTTGTCGACTCTCCCCACGTAGGCAAGCATCTGCTTGATCACCCTGGTGTCCCGTTCGTTCTCCGTGTGAAAGATGGATACGGCATGGACGAGCACGTCTTGCGAGAAGGTGCTAAGCGCGACGAAGCAATTGTGGCCTACAAGGAAAACTTTAGTGGCCCACTCGCATCTGGATTCCTTGAAATGGTCGGCTTCCCTCGTATCGACGAGTATCTCGAGAAGGACCCTGAATACCGCAAGGCAAAAGCCGCCAACGGTGGAGTCGATCCCTTCTGTCCGTATGGCCAGCCGCACTTCGAACTTGATTTCGTTTGTATGTTCGGTAGTGCGTTCCAGTGGCACTACCCGACACCCAAGAAGGGCAATTACATTACCGTGATGGTTGATCTTGTTCGACCTGTTTCCGAGGGTGGTGAGGTGACCCTTAATAGCGCCGATGCTCTTCAGCAGCCGAACATCAATCTCAACTACTTCAATGATGAGCTTGATATCATTGCTATCCGTGAGGGTATTAGGTATAGTTATGATGTTTTGATGAAGGGTGAGGGGTTCAAGGATATCATTGAGGACGAGTACCCTTGGGAAATGCCCCTGGATGATGATGAGTTGATGAAGAGGACGGTGTTGGATCGCTCTCAGACGTCTTTCCACCCTTGTGGTACTCTTCGTCTGTCGAAGAATATCAAGCAAGGTGTCCTTGATCCTACTCTCAAGGTTCATGGGATCAAGAACCTACGTGTTGCCGATGCATCTGTCATGCCGGTTATTCCAGATTGCCGTATTCAGAACTCGGTATATATGGTGGCTGAAAAGGGTGCTGATCTGATCAAGGCAGATCACAAGGATCTTTATAAATGATTGAGGTGTTTATGTTACATGGTATGTTGCTGATGTAAAAGTCTATTGAATCATGTCGCAGACCAGATTGATTTGATTTATTCTGTTACATCCAATTAACCTCAGATAAACAATTCAAACAATGGATGACTTGTAATTGCTATGTTCTCCGCAATATTCACTCAAACTTTCACAGTGATAGGGAACATCTACGCGCCGGTCGGACTGTAAGCGTCAAGTGTTTCAGTATGAGGTCACGAGAAGTGAATACTGGCTTCCTTATGAATAGACACACTTATTGGCCAGAAATGCCAGTGCATCGACCAATTGATCCTGAGTCGGTGTATCTGGGGCATTATCATAGGGCCCTCAAATGGTTGCGTAACCTGTCATTTCGTCGTACCATCTTAGTGAGAAATCAAGCCCGACAAATGGTGCTTTGGTCATTGATAGATCTGCAAGGCTGTTAGAAGAAGATTACTATGAAGTAGCCAGCAATATTCTGGCACCTCTACGGATACCTCCACTCTCCTTTGATTGAAACTAGTTGATAAGAATCCCCGCATTCGTATTCACACCTGTAATCTGCCTCGAGAATGATGGATGAAGAAGTGGGATGTTCCTGTATGCGTCATTTTCAATTTGTTGCTGCCTAGTGTTGATGTCTTTGTTTTGTGCTTTTGTCTTTTGGATCTTGGGTAGTTTCTGTGGCCCTCGTGAAAGGTTACCGTTTCTACTCGGCTCTATTTCAATTGCACGTGGTATTATGCCTGGTATTATGCCTGGTATTATGCCTGGTTTCATGAGTTATATGTGACTTTGCTGTATAGTCCACTGTATCCTGGACTGAAGTGGCCAATCAGCAAAGTCCGACGGGTGAGACAAGCTTTTCCCGGCCAACAATGGATCCGAGTCATCCACGTCAGCTTTGTTGAATGGCTATTCTGGTTGATTCGCGGTTTCAAAGGATGAAGTTCGGTTCCAAGAGAACCAAGACAAGGCCCGAACCCCCAGACCAATCAGAATCCGATTTCGGACTGATCAGGTTGAAAATCTGAGGCATCGGCGTTGGCGTAAGCGTCGCTTTGCGTTGCCTTTGTGTAGCTCGGGGTTTTTCTCTTCCTTCCCACACTCGTTTGTCTTTTTCTCTCGCATCTCTCGCATCTCCCGCATCTCCCGCATCTCTCTCGCCCTCTTCCACGTGAATCTGCATCCTTTGCAGCCCTAGTGGCTCCCACTCACCATGCACTGACCCGACGCTACTTACTCCAACGCCACGATCCACAATTCCCCGATCCTCCATTTCGAGTGAATCATGGCTCTCACTCACGCTGCCATTATTGTCATTGTTCTCGTCGGCTGTCTCGCTGCCACGGCCCTCGGCGCATCACTCTTCAAGCATTACAGTCCAAGCCCAGATGCCGAAGATGGCCGATTCAGCGCCAGCAACGAGCAGAAGATATACATGGCGCAAGTGCGGGCGCGCGGATTCGACGGTCTGATGCAAGCCTGTTCTGATCCTCGAGATCTCGAGGCGCGCTGTATGTGAACTCAATTCTCTGTTCCTTGGATAGTGTTGCTCACGGAATTAGATACCCCAGCGGGGTCGGGCTACTATCGCCCCCACACTGAAGTCAAAGACAGCAGTTCATGAACTTCTCTCTCTTTTTTTCTCTCTATTTCACGACATCGATTACGAATATGATTTGCACGATCTTAGGGACAGGGGAGTTATTTGGGTACGGTCGCACTATCTTGTTGCCATGGGAGTTCTATCTTTAGTGCATCTTTGACCGATTGGGAGGGGCACTTTGTTTATGATTATGGTAGGCCCTGTGAGGAACTTCCCTCTGTTTCATAGGTGAGTTCTTTGAGACTGGAAGTTCCTCGGATCGGCTTCTGAAATCTACAGCCATAGCAATTGATTCAATCAAAATCTCGGCTTTCTGACATCTTTTTCCGTGCACTTGGGCTTCACCGCATCTACTCATCTTCTATCACCATATCTGGAGAATGCAACGTCTACAATGACTACGAATATGACCTTTTTCTTCAATTTGATATATCTGGGTTTCGCCCAACATGACGTCAAACTGAATTAACCTCCGTGGACCTCAACTTTAACATCGCTAACCCTACCAAAGAACGAGGCTCACTTCCAAAAGGCAGTCCAATGCAGATAATATCTGTGTTTGGCATAAACACGCATCACGATGCCAATTGAGAGGGAAACCATCCGACCACCATCACACCCACTCTCCCTGGCCCTCTGGAATTTCTCCTCGCAATGGTTTCTAATTCCGCAAGGAACGGGAATAATACCCGTCCTCTTCCACCGACTAGACTACCAATTTACAGGCCTGATGATCCTCGCCAAGATAGTCTGGGTCTACACAATCACCCTCCTAGGCATATGTCTAATTCTGTATCTCCTCCGCACAATCCTCTACCCCAAACATGTCATACACCAACTCAGAACCAACCTAACCGAAACCGCATGTCTCTCATGCATCTCAATCGCCTTCACTTCAATCCTCCAACTCGCAGTACTCGAATACGGCGAGAAAGCAGGCCTGGAAATCTACATCCTGTGGTGGATCAACACCGCAATGGCAATAATAGCCTGCGCAGCCCTACCCTTCATCCACCTCACCCTCCAATCCCCAGAAATAAACAGCATCCCAACCTCCATCCTCCTCCCCTTCATCGCAACCTTAGCATCAGCTGCCTGCAGCGGCGTCGTCTGCCGCTTCAGCCATGTCACTCCCGAACTCCAAGCCCCCGCCATAATAGTGGCCTACCTCCAAGTCGGAGCCGGCCTCACACTAGCAACCGTCTTTGACGTAATTCTCATCCTCCAATATCTCAACTGCACCCACCCCACCCCGGAAACGGTATGCCAAGATATGATCCTCTGCGGGCCCTTCGGCCAAGGCTCATTCGCCCTGCAGGTCCTGGGCCAGGCCGTGAATACCGCCAGCGTCGCAGCCTATGACCGAGAGAAATTCTTGACCGTGCACGCCGCCGGCACGATTGGGTTTATTAGTCTGTTCTTGGGCCTACTCGTCTGGGGTATGGGGTGTTTTGGTGGTGTTTTGCCATCATGCGTATCGTGCATACGCTGAGCTCGCAGCCTGGAGGCTGGAGGCAGACGCGTTTCAGTATGTCGGTTTGGTCGCTGATTTTCCCGTGGGGGGCTTTTACCAATGCTGCTGTGGAGTTCGGGCGTGTTATGCAGAGTCGGGCTTTTGCGGTGTTTTCGACCGGGTTGCTTGTTTTGCTGCTTGTTATGTGGGTTTTTGATCATGTGCTTCTGGTCAGGGGCGTTGTCAGCGGAAGGATCTTGGGGCTGAGTCGGGGTTGGAGGATTGGGTCTTCCTCTCATCGGCGTCGGTGTTCCGTGGAGATTAAGGAGGTCTAGAGAGTTTGGGTGTGAGATGTGAAGCTTTCGTCTCGGCTTCGGAATTGGCGAGGTACCGAGTTCCGAAGATGTCTTACACTTTCTAGCCAATATACTCTATGCTCTTTGTGTGTATTGATGTGGGCGGCTATTTTCTCCATTTCAACGTTGATATTGCCCACTCATTGTAACGTGCCACCTCTTAAGGGTCTCAGTGATCGGCATCTGGGCCAGAAACCGACCGAAATGCCTCTTTTTATAGTACAAGGCTAAAGGGGTTCGACCCACCCTGCTTGGCAGAGTGGAAGAATCTTCGAAGTGTACTGTAAACAATATCCACACTGTGTCTTGGCATTTTTCTTCTGGGCCTGTCCAACGTGGCTGCGATCTGCAATAGGGCTATACACGTACTGACCCCCGAGGCCTTGAACATTCGCCCTGTGCTGGGCGTAACGGCTCGGCCCCGATAGCCTTGATCATCTCTCAGGAAATCTGCCGATCATGATCCACAGTCTCAAAGAAATCCACCTGAAGCGCTCGAGACCCTGAGATGTGGTATCACAATTTATTCTCCATGCGGTATGGAGCATGTTTAGCCTCGGGCAGCGGAACAAAGACACGCCAAGGAATAAAAGGTCAAATTTTGTTATATATCTCACGCCAGATAACTAGAAAAGCTTTCAGGCAACCTCAATACAAGCATTTCAAGCAAGAGTGGTCCGTATTCGTGTTTTTCACCAGATTAGCATTTTCTCCACATGGGGTCGTGGGTCGTGCATGCGATACGAGTACGGCAAAAGTGTCAATTCATCACTCTTTTAAGTCTGCATCTTTGGCCTCGAGATAATTGATTCCTATCAATTCAGATTCGAATTGCCTGACATCCCAAAATGAATTCTCCCGACACTCTCAGTTATGACAGCGACCTACCCAGCGAAGAACAGTAAGTATAAGTTATCTAACTTAACAAAGAACCCCCATGTAGAACCCTCCAAACTACCCCTATATCTGCGATACAAGACTAACCAAATCCAGAGCACCATCGCATCCAAAGCTCAAAATCCAAGCCAAATTCCAGATCGCCCGCCCACCCCCCAAATCCCACCAACTTCTCCGCCTCAGTCCCAAACTGATCCTCCAAATCCAACAACTACCTCCAAACCACCGCCCAGTCCCCGTTTTAGAAATATGGCAGCCACCACTGCGCAAATCCAAGTTAACACGGGGATTCCCACATCAACCAAAACTCGGCGCGAGGGATATCTACGCCACACTCAACGAGCCCTATGTCACGACCACGCAAAAGCAGCGCGCGGTATCAGAACCCAGCGAGCAATGCGCGCAGGACAAAGATATCGTTGCGGCCATGTGTAGCCAGTCTTCGAACGAAGAGACCGCATCAGCGATCCATTTCAGAGATGCCAGATGTATATGGCAAGCCTGTCCAGCTTCTACGGCAACACAGAGCTCCAGCACGGCAGGATCCGAGCAGGCGTCGAATTACCGCTTCACGATCGTCAACGCGGAAAATACAGGGGGCGAGGAAGGCCGAATGCTGATGCAGTGGGAGAGACGGCTGGACGGCGAGAAGGGCGAGCAGTTCGTTTTGGTGGCTATTGATCGGAAGGCGCGGCGGAAGAGTAGAATTGCGAGTATGACGAGGGATGGGGTCGAGATTAATGTGCGGAAAAGTTCTGTTTTGGAGCATTTGCGGTTGTGTTTGTTGTTGACGGATCCGGTGGCGGGGTCGGCGGGGGACGATTTTTATGGGAATTTGGAGATTTGGCTTTATACCCATGTTTTGACGTTGGGTGTGTGGGTTGCTTCTATGGAGGGCTGGTTGAGCTTATAGATTGGGGATATTGGGAGGGAATATTATGCGGGCTGATGGTGTCGATGGTGTTCATTAAGGCGGCGACCTTTTTCTTTTTTGCAGGATCGATAGATAGATCAGGTATATTTACTATCGAGATCTGGTTATACCCGAGAATAGAATTCGAGAAGAATTATGGCTATTACTTTCTTTTCAATTTAACCTTAGAAGTTGTTGGTTGACTTAACACACTGTTGTACTTAGTAAGTAGTGGTTCCCTCCTCAATAGCCTTGATCTGCAAAGCCAAGAGACGAGAGTAATATCTGCAGAGGGCAAGGTTTCCTCCCATGAACCAGAATCCAGGGTGACCACTGCGCTGCCAAATAGTCCGGAATTCACCCTCCTGGTCAAATCCCCAGACATCCCCAACACGATCCGCAACATCGTCACCGAAGATCAACCGAGTGTTGGATCGCATGTTCTGGTACCCAGTCGCAAGAATAATCTCATCGGCGTCAATTGTCGAGCCATCGGCAAAAGTGATTCCCGTGGGGAGAATCTCGCTAATTTCCTGGCCTTGCTTCACGTTGATTTTGCCGTCGATGATCAATTGACTGCCACCCACGTCGATATAGTACCCGCCTCCACGCTGGAAATACTTTATGATCAGGCCAGCGTCCATAGGTCCCATATCGACCTTGAAGCCCGCTTTTGCCAGCCCCTCGAGGGTCTTGGCGTCGTTCTGGTTCATCACTTTGGTGACTTTGATCTGTTGCGCTTTGAACAAAGGAGGGGGAATGCTGTACAGATACAAATCTGCATCCTCGGTGGGTGGGCCACCCTCTTCATAGAGCCCCTTCAGCCCGATGTTCACAATCGAATTGGATGAGATCACGCAGGTTGAGCTGCGCTGAACCATTGTCACGTCATATCCTTTCTCATAATAATCCTGGGCGATATCATGGCCCGAGTTGCACGAGCCAACAACAACGGCCTTCTTGCCCTTGGAGTTGGGTTTCGCACCGGTGAACTCTGAGCTGTGGCAAATACGATCACCCTTGAAACTGTCCATGCCCTTGAAGATTGGCACCTTCTTCTTTCCTGAATGACCAGTAGCCTGAATAATGTGGCGAGGGTGCAAAGTACGGCTCTCGACGGTTCCATCCTCCTTGCTGCGCTCCAGCACGACCTCCCATTGCTTCTTGCTCTCATCCCACGAGGTCTTCTTCACATTTGTTCGGGTCCAGACGTTTAATTCTAGCAGTTTGACGTAGCTTTCGAAGAAATCGGCCAGCTTATCCTTGGGTGTGAAGATGGGCCAGCCCTCCGGGAATGGTATGTATGGCATATGGTCATACCACACAGGGTCATGGAGCACCAGCTGGTGATAACGCTTGCGCCAGCTGTCTCCGATTCTGTCCTCATTATCGATCATCAGAGTGTCAACCTGGAGCATCTTCAGACGTGCAGCGACAGTGAGGCCACCTTGGCCGGCACCTTATCCCTTCCGTTAGCTGTGGTCTATATCGGGGCAGTTGATTGATACGTACCGACAATCAATACTGCTGGTTCTTTCTCCTCCAATTGTTGCTCGGTGGTGCGACGATCTTGCCAATTCTGCCTGCCTTGCTGAGCACCATGCTGCACCCCAGTAGGTCTGTTCTTGCTGACAGCCTCTTCACAGCCAGCCAATGCCGTTAAAGAAGTGAAGAAAGTGAAAATCTTCCATGTATCACCATACTGGGCAAGTCGCACCACACCATTTCCAGTACCATTCTTGGTCGTAATATTAACGAAGAACTCAATTCCGTGAACCTCCCCAAACGCGTCAATGGGACCAGCATGCGGAGACTTAAGTGGCGAGCCACGGTCAATTTCAATCTTCAATTCATTCTGTCCCGCGGTGAATGCAATGATTTCTTCGCGGCCCTTGATTGTGCGAAGATCCCATGAGAAACACAGGTGATCACGCCAGTACCCATTCTTAGCAAAGATCTCTGAGATAGCCCCCTTGTCACCCGCGATGAGGCTGGTGTTCAATTGACGGATGATTCCAGCTGCAATCTCGTCTGGCTTCTCCGGGGCTGCTTTGTTTGTCTCGGGGAGCTCGCCGAGGGAGATGTCAAATGAGCCTGCCTCCACTCTGTCTCTCGACGGGGGTGTATCAATGGGAATTGGACCCGTCATAACGTGTCTAATATCGTTGGGAATAGCTGGGGGATGTCTGGGAAGATAATAAGCCTGGTTCACGGATCACGTCCCCCCGGTATTTATGCTTAGCTTCCCCGCACGCCAAGCTTACCCGACCCTTCACATCTTCCCCGCCGTTCCTCGCCGGAGATCTCCCGAGATCTTTGCACGCCCGTGGAAGTTAATCTCCATCTGAGTTGGTCGTATCTTGGGCATGTTTGTGTATACCCGACATCGTGTTAGGGCTAAATTCGCTTTCTGCCTTGGGGTTTTGCAGTGCTCATGCATGATTTCCAGTGTGATTCTTTGTGGGCCTTGTTGAAGTTCCACTTTAGGGTCGCACTTTCATCTACTGTATGCCCTAATATCTGCAGTGTCGGGGGAATTTTTGAAGAGAGGTGATCTGCCTTGGGCTCTTGATCCGTGACGTAGTAGTAGTGTGTTTCTGTCGGTATTCTGGCTGCAGGAATTGGCATCATACAGATCAGGCCAGCATGGCCGACCTCATGCTGAGCCAATTACTGAACTCTCATGATCATTCCTCATCTGAGAATCGGATTATGTTTAGTTCGAGGAGTTCTCCTGTATATATGGGGTTTCGCATGTATTGTTGGAACCCCAGGGTTATGAACTCGATTCCTTCTGGACACATTCTCCTTTGTACAATCCATACAGTATCATTGATTTGCCGGACACCATCTATTTTCAACGGTTTTCGGGGCTACATGAAGGTTGAATCTGTTGAAACATGGTTTGATCGCGTACGTGCTTATTCTTCGTAGTTCATGATTGTTGTTGCTATCAAGGCATGGTGATAGCACTGTTATATATATTTGCGTGTTTCTGGTGACTTATACTCAATTTTGAATCCCTTGAATTAACGGCAAAGGACCTATACTAGGTCAACAAAAGTAATGCCAACGTGATTGTTGTTCGATGTATCAATTCCAACTTACACTAGGAGCAGAATTTTAGAGTTGAGAGGGTAGAGTAGACTGATTTACATTACCTGTAGTTTTTGATTTATATAACCCTAATGGCCAGGAGAATATATCAACTAGCATCATTGGTCTAGTGGTAGAATTCGTCGTTGCCATCGACGAGGCCCGTGTTCGATTCACGGATGATGCACATCTTTTTTTTGCTTTTTGTCGTTTATTTTATGTTTATTACCACTTAGATTTATTTCGAGTGTATTTCTTATTTGTTTTCATTTTCCTACAGTCTTTTCTCTGTTGAATCCTTCCCCTAAACACAATCTGGCCATGAAACGTGTCGGACCCACATAAATTATTTTTCCTGTTCCAACGTGTTTGACAAACTGTTGCCCCAATGATTCTCCTAGCTTGAATTAGGCAATTGAACTATGGAATTGAACTAAAAGCGCCGGCTTAAAATAGAAAGCACCGTAAGGCTTCGCACTATAGTCACGATACTGGCCTAGCTTCCAGACTAGCGATCATGCAACGCACAGCGGAGGAAGCGTCGTCAGCTGTATACGATATCGGAACGAAGCTCAGAACAAGTCTAGAGCCGCGTCAAGTCCGATTCCCATTGGATTCCCATTCCACTCTTGGCAAGGCCGAGATTGTCTTCGAGTACCCAGCTCTCCGCTTGCTGTAACGCGAAGTTTCATCTTTGCTCTTGTCACACTTCCCCTCCTTCGCAATTCTGCTTTGCTAGTCTTCCATGCTGACTATCTCTGGCATTGAAAATGCTGGTGAGAGTCAAAGAGTGAAGTCATGAGCCGGGCTATTCGTCAACTGGTGGGGATTTTCCTCGCAGTTTCCCTCATACTCTGTCTATACCGGTACCACCACACAAACACCGAGACTGTTCAGCCTTTAGATACTGTTCAGCCCTTAGACCCTATTCCTACTATTCAGCATCCACCTGAAGACCAGTCAGCCGATGAATACAATCCCCAATTCCTTTGGAGGACTCTGCCGGTCCGATTCCCAGTTGCTGAGATTCAGCCTCTCCCAGTGGAACTGCCCCGGACACTACCCAAAATCCAATCTGCAAACGCCAAAGTTTCTCACTCCACATTGTGGCGCCAGAGCAAAAGACAAATTGCTGTGAAGGACGCCTTCGAACGATGCTGGAAATCATACGAGGCTCTTGCCTGGTCGGCCGATGAGCTTGCGCCGCTTAGTGGTGCTCATACAAACAGCCTAGGTGGATGGGGTGCGACCTTGGTGGAAAACCTCGATACGTTGTGGATCATGGACATGTATGATGAATTTGACAAGGCAGTGATTGCAGTGACAGAAATCGACTTTCAGAATACCGCATCCCCCGAAATCAACACCCATGAAGTGAACGCCCGTCTTCTTGGTGGTCTGTTGAGTGCATACGACATCTGCGGGGATGCCAGGTTGCGGAAGAAAGCCATTGAGCTAGGTGATATGCTCTACGCTGCTTTCGACACTCCAAATAGGATGCCGATAATTCACTGGGACTTTCAGAAGGCTGCTCGACAGGAAGAGCAGGTTGCTGAAGAAGAAGTCTTAGCAGCAGAGCTGGGCTCTTTCACCCTAGAGTTCACCAGACTGTCACAGATCACGGGCGATCCCAAATATTTCGATGCCATTCAACGAGTCATGGAAATATTCAATAAAAAGCAGGACTCCACCAAGCTTCCTGGACTATGGCCGGTATCAGTCAATCCCAGAGCAGAGCTCTTCGATGGCGATATGTTCACATTGGGCGCAGAAGCAAATTCACTCTACAAGTCGCTTCCCCGAGCATATGCTCTTCTTGGAGGCAAGGTGCCCATGTATCGCAAGATGTACGAAAAAGCAACACTCACAGCGGCGGGCCACAATCTATTCCGACCAATGAACCTAGCGGAAAAAGACATACTCACAGCCGGAATTGTTCGAGTAATGACGACACAAAATGGAAAGCCACGCACCCATCTGGAATCACAAGTGCAATACCGATCCTGCTTTGCAGGTGGTATGTTTGCATTAGGGGGTGCATTATTCAAAATCCCCATGCACAAGAAAATCGCCCACAAATTGGTCGACGGCTGCATCTGGGCTCATGAAGCCATGCCCCTGGGAATTATGCCAGAGGTTCTTGACACAGTCCCCTGTGCATCGCAGACAAACTGTCCATGGAATGAGTGGCATTGGAAGCAGGAAGTGTTCAAGCGAGTGCACAGCCTGCAGGTTGAACCAGATCCAAACCTGAATGTGGACGCCTTCATCACTGATCATCATCTTCCGAGGGGCTTCATCGGCATCCCTGATACCGCTTACAATTTGCGACCAGAGTTGATTGAGAGCATGTTCACTCTCTATCGAATCACCGGTCGCGAGGATCTGCTTGATACTGCTTGGGAGATGTTCCGCGCAATTTTGAGTGCTACTCAGGCAGAGAATGGCAACACTGCCGTCATCGATGTAGCTATTGCCACGGAGCCAATTCACGTGGACTCTATGCCGAGCTTCTGGATGTCGCAGACTCTTAAATATTTCTATCTCATGTTTAGCGCGCCCGAATTAATCAGCTTGGATGAGGTCGTGTTCACTGCTGGCGGGCACCCGCTGAGAATCCCCACAGCATCATGAGCAGAGTTCAGTTTTCGCATTCTCTCTATACCCAAATGTGTTATTTTATTCCTTCAGCGGAGAGATAAGTCCAGAATATTGTATATTACACCAAAAGGCAATTGAAGTTTTCTGAACATGTATAGATACAGCCAAGCCTGCAAACGAAAGACCGGGAGGCTCTCCAGATCTCGCTGCTAGAGCTGAAGAAGACTTAAGACTTACTCACGAGCCAAGACTTTAGTCCTCTGCTTCAGCATATAGGAATACATCATCACCGAGCCTGTCACTCATCAGTTTCCAACCCAAACAGGAGAAGAAGTACTTATAACCTACCAGGCAAATATAGACCCAGGAAGAAGGCATACAGGGCCGCCAAAGGCATGTTCTCCGTGTTTCGGGTCGCTTGGAGCATCAGCCACCATTCGCTGCTAATGCCAATTGGGTACAAGATTATGAAGAGAGAGTATCTGATGATATCACGATTAGAATCCTTAACCCATAGCCATGCCGGTGCATTGAACAAGCAACGATGAAGCAAAAGCAGAAAGAATCTCACCTCAACCACTTCAAAGCCCGCGGAGCTGGATATCCAGCCAACACAACAGCAAAATACGAATACCGGATCGCATCAGCGGCCGCCCAGGCAAGAATCATAGCCGGATAGGCAATAGATGGTGCGGTTTGATCCGGGAATGCATAATTGACACCCCAGACCTGAACAGAGCGGGCAAAGACCTGCGTAAAGGTGGTGAATACGGGAGAGCGGATGAGTCCTGAATTTCACAGTCGTCAGACAACAGAGTTTGCGGTTCGCCAGAGTCAAGTAATACCAGTTGCGGCGTGCAATATCTCAGCTACAGCTAAGGTTTGAGCATATCGTGTCCACGGTTCCAGCGACGTGTACACGGCTGAGATATCATCGGAAAAGATCAACGTCGCTGCTGTGCCGAGTAGGACATACAGCCAGAGACCAGCACAGATAGTATTAAATCCCAACAGGTAGACCTGACTGGGTGATTGAGGCTTGTTTGTTGCCATTGTTCTCTTTTCGTTGCGGGTTTTGACAGGTCGAGTCGGGGTTGGAACGTTCTTATCAATTCAATCCCCCCAGGCTAACCACTTTTGGAAGTAGAGCAGTTTTAGCGTCAGGACCACTATCAAATCATGCAGTTCTGTTACTGTTACTTGGGTAAGAACATCTATTTCACTTGATATTAAACAACAGGGAGATCTCTTCTCTGTATTTATTCAGTTCCCACGTGTCTTCAAAAGCCTTGAGGGTGGTCCATCTTTCGACTTGCTTCTCTGGGGCCTGATAGTTTAGGCCATTGAATTGGGAAAAGATGATAATTAGTCACATTAAGTTAAATATTTTGACATATACATCTCGAACCAATTACTCAAAGTCCCTCAATAATGCAGAAGCATCAAACCCCGTGGCGTCCAGGGGCGCGATATCCCAGAAACTCAATGAATCAAATGCAAGATCTGGCATCTAGAATAAATCAGTAATTGTTCCATGCAAACAGAGAATCAACAAAGAAATATCTATCACATACCATGAGATCAGAGCCTAAGCTTGACAGAATACCACTATCAGGAGTCCATATATCCACACCACCCGGAAGAACGGCCCCCTCCGCATCGGAGCGATTGATCTCACTAGAGATATAAGCCTGCAGCAAGACCCGAGAAGTCTCTAGACTTTCTGTCATTGATTGTCGGATTCCTTCCTGGATTCCTTGCTCATCACGACTAGCCGAGGTAATTTGGGCGATCATGCCGTTCAATAGACCATATCGTTTCAAACTAGGAATACCCGCTGCTATACTTTGATACAGATGGTCTGATATGCGCTCGAGGGCCTCAAGAAGTGGAGCTTGAGTGGCTTGAGCCAATTTATTGACAGCATCTGGTTTCGTTTGTGAAGGTACTGCGGACTGGTTGCATGCCTCTTCCTCGATCTGGGTTATGAGCTCGAGTCCAATGACCACTATGACATCTGGTGAGAGATACCCTTTGAAGAGGCCAGCCCCTGAAAGACAAAGCCGGAAGAAGTCTTGATCAGACTGTTGTAATTGATCGTCGGAATTGGTATTGGTCTCGCCATGCGAAGCCATTACCAGAGCGGAGTTGAGGCTGAGCTTTCGGGAGAGATAGAACCGTGGGTCCGAGAGAGCTTTGAGTGCGAATGGACGATAAAGATTGAGGAGCAAGCGATGGATTATTGTATCAAGGAGACGCTGGTGGAATACGGTTGGGCCATTGGCACGTCCAGCAGCGTGACTTATATAGCCATGAAAGAGAATCGCAATCTCTTTAGAGGCTGCTGTCAATTCTACACCTAGAGCCAAAGCTTCTTCATATGACTGCTCACGATTGCAATCATTGATGTTCCTGGCAATGCATAGACGCGTTACAAAGGACTTTGCCAGAGCAACTTGAAATGAGGAATCGGTATACTGGCTTTGATTTTTCGAACCAGGCAGTGTTTCGTTCGTAGCGTCGAAGTCTTCATCGTCTAGATTAGACGGCGGTAAAGTATCATAATCATCCACAGAGATCAAAGGCGGCATGGAAACATCAATGGAAAGCTGCAAATTGAGTTCCAAGATTGTCATCCATATACGACGTCGCATCTCAGTGTCAAAAGCAGACAGCCGTGAAAAGTTTTGGGGATCTCGATGGAGACCTTGGCTGGTAGCCAACCGCAACAGTGAGCCAGCAGAGTTCCAGTTCCCCCATTTATCGATCGCGTATGCCTGGCGACACAGAAGCAACAAACAATACACCTGCAAGCCCTGGAGAGTTGCACTTTCCCTCGCTGTAGGACCAGTGAGCCACCATTGCGCTGCATGGAGCCAACGGCGAATCGGTAAACGAAGCTCGTTGGATGGTCCAGGCTTGAAATAGAATAAAGCTCCAATAGACATGACCAAGAGAAGTTTTGTGAGGAATCCTGTCGAGGTTGACTGTGGATCTACCCAAAAGGTCTCATATTCTTGCTTGAAAGATGGGACATGTAACACTCTGTAGATCAACTCCATTGTCCGCAAGTAAGACTGAACGAGTTCATCGCACACCTCTTTTGCGGGGAGATCACCTAGAAGATTTGGAGTTGGATCTAATAAGTGTGGCTTTTGCCAATTCTTGACTTTCCATCTCAGCGTCCGCGCCTCTTTGAGTGATTTGCTGATTTCGTTTTTGGGGACGCCTTCATAAATAGCCGTGCCACGAATGCTTCGTAGATGATGAAACTGGATCAAGTCAATGGGTGCATAATCAACTATGAGAGTAAGATGCTCACTTGTTGAAATACATGGGCCCAGTGTGTAGGCCCAAACAGCTTCGTCTCGTGCTTTGAGCATCTCAGGTGCGGAGCCAACGGAGTGATCAATGTCTGTGGTCTATTTTCACTACTAGAAGACTCTCCATTCTTTAGTGGACGGTCTTTTTCTAGCTCCTTCACCCGGTTCTGAAGCCTCGACACGCTGCGCTCGAGCTCTGCCAATCGAGCCGCATCGGTTGTACCGTTCTGAGAATGGGAGCTGGAATCCTGTCCCCCAGACTCTGATTCCAGAGCTGCTTCTTCCGATCTCGCATCGAGTATGGCTTTCCCTTCATGGACAAATTGGCAGTCCAAAGGGGGTGGGACTTCGTACATGGCTCACAGGGCATTTCCCGATCGCACCGCACCTTTCGCCGACGACATTGCTCGCACGATAAGGCTGGGCGTCGGCGTTTGCGCGGATTTGACATGTTTTCTGCTGTTATAAAGCGAAAATGCCGAGTGGGCAGCCAACTTGATCTTTTCTATCGGCGTTTTCGCGTTGTCTGTCGCGAATTTCCGGACAATTCCGGAGATAAGGGAATTCCCCGACATGATTTCGGCCATTTTGACAGGAAGCAAGATGGGAATCCCAACAACGCCATGTGGATCTCCGTATGTTTTTCTTACTGAAAATTAGCGTTGAAGAAGTTATTTCGCCGTCGGCCTCCGCTCTGCTTCGGTCCGAGTTGGCCCCTTGGCGCAGTTGACGCATCTTGAGTCATTAATACTCACCAGCCCCCAGTTAATAAAATGGAGAGGGACCATTGAGCAATATGAGAAGAAGCAATAGGATCTATCATAATCGAAAAAAAACAAACATGACAGCCATTGAATCCCAAAGGCTTCACCCAAGACTGCAACAGTCGCCAACCTCGACACCCTTGTCAATCCTCGATGCAACCGTAGCGCGCTTTGCCCCGACAGGCGCAATTTGGATATTCGACGAGAAACCCACAAACTTGCATGAAGAAATATTCCTCAGCTCTCTCAGGGTTTCATTCATTGAAACTCTCTCCAAATTCCCTCAATGGGCAGGCCAGATCCAGTGGGCACCAGTCAAATCAAACGGATGCCATACAGAACGATTCAATCGGCCAATCCTTGTATACGGCACCGACACTGATCCCGGCGTTGACTGGAAAGTAGTCAGACATCCGTGTAGAATACACGAGATAGTCCCCACTGCTAAAGATCGAGCGTCAAAAGTCACCGGGAATCGACCAGGAGCATGGAACGGCAATGTCTTCAACCAAGGACTATTCCTACCGTCCGCACCATTGGCACTGCATAACCTGAAAGAATGCATCGGTTTACCAGGAATGCAAGTACAAATTAGCCTTCTCCAAGATGGGGGATACGCGATCGGAGTCAAGATTGCACACTGTCTAGCCGATGCACAGGCATTGATGGTCTTCGTACATCTATGGGCAGCCAACAACCAAAAACAAATTGGCCTGAATCCTCAAGGATCAACAATGGCCGATCCAATCTTCAATCCCGCACTACTAGACAACTCCGCTGCAGGCGATATCGATGCCCCAGAACCAGACTCTACTCTCACAAAAGTCGCCCGCGAACTACCCTTGCACCGCTACAGTTGGTGGGATACATCCGACAAAGCGTATCCAACAGTCTGCATACCAACGACAGAAAACTCAAAGCCACCATCCGCAGACCTCGCCCTTGCAATCCAGCAGAACAAAATCACCCCTTCAACCCCAGCGCCCTGGTCATCATGGGACTTTGCCAAACCCATCAGCTACACCCTGCTACACTTTACAGCCGCCCAACTCCGCACCATCCAAGCCCAAGCCCAAGCTCTCAACACTCAAGAATCTAGAAAAGACATCTCCCGCCTAGACGCCCTCCTCGCCCACCTCTGGAAAAGCATAACAAAAGCACGAAAAGACACAGCCCCCGAATCACCAGACCCCATATACCTGAACCTAAGCCTGGGCGTACGCACACGCACACAACCACCTCTCCCGCAAACATTCATCGGCTCACCTCTATTCCTAACACACGTGTCCATGCCGGGCACACAGAACAGTCAGGCACCGCTGTCCGAGATAGCAGCCCGGATCCGTGATACGATGAAGAAGTTTACGCCCGAGGCTGTGGGGGCTATATTGCATGATGCCGCGCACGAGATCTCGCCGCAGAGGCTTTGGCAGGGGTTTTTGGGGAGGGGGCATGTACTTGCTACTTCTTGGTTGAGGCTGGGGTTGTATGATGTTTCTTTTGGTGGTGGTGGTGTGCCGAGATATGTGCATGCTGTTATGCCTAAGGTGGATGGATGTTTGCAGGTCATGGATGATGCTGTTGAGGGTGGGGGCATGGATGTTGCGCTTTATCTTGATGATGGGGATATGAGGACTTTGCTGGGTGATTCGTTGCTGTGAGGTGCTATGTTGATAGATGCTTGTATGTTGTATGTATATAAATGAACTTCTTTTGTCCATTCTTATATCCAGTCATGTGGACTGGAGGGTATCTATCAGTTGTATTCACGTATCCCATAATATGTCTGACCTCCCAAGTCAGTCCCTAAATATCCAATCCACCCCAATATAAACCTAGTATATTGACAAGAAGTATAAAAAAAAAATACAGAAAGAAAAAAAAGAAGGAAAAAAGAAAAGAGAGAAAGAAAGAAGAAAAGGGAAATAATATATCAAGGAGTGATCAACCACTCAAGGACATCGCCCGATGCCTAGAAGCCCGTTTCCTGAGATTGGCATCTCGACTCTTTCGACCCATACGGCCCAGAGCCAGACTTTCAAGCGTCTCGGGCTTTCCACCCCAGAGCTTACTGCGACCATTGCGCTTTTGTTGAATGGGCGGAATCCAGAAGTGAGTGACTGCTGCGCCGATGATCATGCAAGCGCTAAAAACAAGGAGAACGATGCCGTGCTTGCGTGTTGAATCATCGCCTGCTCCGCCGAAACGGTAGTATGTTGAGAAGATTTGAACGAGAATTGAGCCTAGTTTTCCTGCGCCGGCGCTGAGGCCGTGGCAGGTTGCTCTGTATCGGGTAGGGAAGATTTCTGCGGGGATCATGTATGTTGTTGCGTTGGGGCCTGTGATGGTAAGTACGAGGTTGCTTTCAGTGTGCTTCAGATCGGACTCACCAAAGTTGAACAGAACTTGTCCGAGAATGTATAATGTCACAACGGCAGGGGGGCCAGAATAAAGACAGACGAACATCGTTCCTAGCGCGATGAAAAGAGCGGCAAGAGCGAGGAACATGTATTTTTGAAGGGCGACACGATCAAGACGATGCGCGAAAATGATGAGAAGGATTCCTCCGACGAAGCTGCCCACATTGAGAATTACCAACCCGCGGACGGAGGTATCCAAGAACATCTGGAAGATGTTCGCGTTGGGACGATCATCAGTCTTCCAGTTTGGTGCCGCGGTAGAAATATGAAGTGCACCCCAAGTCTTGGCCAAGAATTGAGGACTCGAGAGGCCGATTCCGTAGAACCCAAAATCGAGAAGCAACCACGCAATAGAACAACCGGCTAAACTGCGCCAGTTACCCTCTGTCCAGAAGTACCGGACAATGTCAGTACGTGCGAGTCGCCAATGGGAGTTCAGTGTAGCGGGTGGGAGACGAGTCAGCTCTTCTTCATCGTCATCGATGATCGAGCTGGTACTAGCAATTGAGGCAATCGGCGGTAATTGCATGGCACTGCCCGAGCCCCAGCTCGAGGACTGTACCATTCCAGGACTTTCACTAAACAGGGTTGTTGCGTCGAATTCGGCAGTAACAGGGTCGTCTTCGATATCGACGAGGTAACGGGGACTTTCTGGAATGGCGAATCGGAAAAGAGTAGCGATTGCACCTGGCACGACTCCAATGCCGAGAACCCACCGCCACATCATGTCCACGGTGCGGGTGAGGTCTTCATCGCCTGTGCTGTTGTTGCGGGCGATCACAATCACAATCACGGAGACGATATTACCGGCAATCTGACCGAGTGGTTGCATGAAGAAGACGGTGGCCATCATCCGGGCGCGATGCTTTGTCGGGGCGAATCTGATATGGTCAGTTGCCTTCTTTCTCTCCGTTCCAGGGCCTATCGGACGTACTCTGAAGTAATGACTGCACTGAGAGGATAATCGGCTCCCACACCGATCCCGACGCAGATTCTCCACCAGATCAACCACCCATAGACGTTCATACTTCCGTCCTCGCCGCGGGAGGACATCACCACTCCGAGCGTGGCCGTGATGAGCAATACCAATTCCACACCGTACATCTTCTTTCGACCGTTTTTATCGGCCAGAAATCCAAAGGCCACTTGCCCGAGTAGCGTGCCCGCTAATGTCGAGATGTTGATGCATGTAAGCCGTAATGAGGAGATATCGTTTCTCCAGTAGACGTAGGAGATCATCGGGAGGGCCATGTTACTGGCGAATAACTACCTTCTGCGTCAGTATTTGTTTCCCACCCATTTTCGGTCTTTCCTCTGTCGGAGAATTTCCCCTCATTTTTGGCCACTCACAGTATAACCGTCCAGGAAGAAACCAAGACCAGCAACCAGCACCACAATCCATTGGAAACCCTGCCGATCGATCGTCTCGTAGATCTGTCGCATGCGAACATATCGATCCTATATATTATGATCAATGTCAGCACCATCCTGAATACCCCATACTCCGGTGAGGGGCCAATTCGTACCTGTTCATGATCAAAGTCCCGCGCACGGTCGGTCTTATAAAACCGGGCGTGGAACTTGCCCATGTTGAAGAGGTTGCAGAATAAGAAGACTCTACACTTGCATCATCCGTTCAATATGTAACTGACAAAGAATAAAAGACTCACCTATAAGACCCAAATCAGCACAACGTGATCTCGACCCACGTGAACCCTGCACACGCTAAGGCGGAACTAAGCGGGAACGAGCCAAAGCTTGGGGTCCGACGCTCCACGTGCTTCCGTTCTGTTGCTTGGTTTGTCGACATGCCATGCTTGACATGGCTGCTCTTTGATTGTTTACCTAGAGTTTATTAGATTGAAATTGTAATTCGCTTAACTTGGAGCGCTAGGCCCGGCTTTATGACTGTTCTGGTCTGTATTAGCCTTGGTAAATGGTGAATGGCTCGTGAAATTTCAAGTCTACTGTATGCCACAGGGGGTATCTCGTATTATGTACATGCTAGTTATGGTCTCCCCCCCCTCCAATTCGCCAAGGAACTCCGCCATGCAAGATTCATTATCATCAAGTGTGGGGGCTAGGGGCTGTCTCTTTGTGGTTTCATCCAATCGTCAGGTCGTGTGATAGCATCTGACAGAAGTCCTTGCAATCTAGAAAGAGATGTGAGCCACGAGCAATGAAAAAGAGGAGAGCAAGGAAAGCAAGGAAATAACTTGATATGCACTAACCGTCGTCGTCAAGAAACTGAACTGTAAAATTCCTCATCTGAGACAGAATCTCAAAGTTCGGATTTAGATCCAGTGTGGCTGGTCGCCCAGCCTTTTTCGGCGGTTTAATACCCCCAACGCAGTTAACTAGCCGGAAATTAGCAAGTGCCACGGGGGAAGGGGCGCGTCCGAGTCTAGACAGAGGGCGTGTTGACTCACGTGGAATAGAGACGTATCGTTTGAGCTCCCTCCGTTGGGAATTAGCAAAGAAGAGCATGACGCGTTTTCCATTGTGGCCGCGGAGGATGCGGAGGTTTTGGCTAATGCATTCTTCTCCTCGACCTTTGGATTTGGCCTCGGCCATCCCACCGATGAATATGAGCTTGGAGCCGAGGAGAATCTCCTGAAATCGTACACAATCTGTAACCTGTAAGCGCAAGGCCTGGAACTCGGGGTTTCGCGGTCGCATACCATTCCAGTTTTCGAATTTATAGGAGAGTTGGGTCATAAACACTGTATGGGCAGCCTGGATTGTCTGCTGCTCCATGAATGACACCCGCAGAGGGTAGTCGTCGCCAGCTTTTGGGTGCTCTAAATGCGGAACTGGAAGTTTGGTATTTGAAACTAAATCGCCCTGATTAGCATCCTTTGTCGACTCCGTGGACAGCCCGCGCAACTCACAGCCGTGGATGAAAGGTGTCTGTTGCCCGAGTCCTCCCCCAAGCTCTAAACACCTCAGCGCACCCGTCGCATCTTTGCAGATATCGATATAAGTGTATTTCAGCTTAAACAGCTGTCCATGTTTCACAAAGGAACTATACAGCCGTCAGTAACTCTTCCCCGGAAAATCCTGTTTCACAGCACCGACATTTGCACCGACGGAGTCAGTTCCAGCCGCACGACATCATCGTAGAACTGCCAGGACTGTTTCCTCGAGCTGGACCCCGGCGAGGTCGCGGGGCTCGGGAAGAGGATGCTCGTTGACGCGGACGACACGGTGGAGGAAGAAACAGTACTTTGGCGTCGGTCCACCCAGTCCTGGAAGTCTTGCGAAGAGAAGGAGTTCATTGTCTCCGACTCTCTCGGAGTCTCTAAAGAGAGGATCACAGAGTCAAAGTGGGACAGATCAAAGTAGCATATGAACTGGAGATCAAGCGGATCCGAGAAAAAGATCGGCCAGGAACGAATGTGGCATTTTTGACCATGGTATAGAAGAAACTAAAGAGGCCACCGACCTTACAGGGTTAAGAGCAAAGCCATCACATTTTGGCCGGAATGTGTGGAGAATAGAGAGGGGCGAAACGTGGTGAAATGGCTGGCTATCAGATCATCCCGGGGGGTTCCACCCGTTACCATGTGGTGGAAGAGTTCATGTCATCCCACCTTATTCCCATGGGTTTGCTTTTTTTCTTCGTATGACTGCATTGTCAGTACTGCTACAGACTACTGCTATTGCTATGGTTGTTATTTGACCAGTGTTGGATTGTGGCTGTCCATTCTCGGGGTACTAAGTACCATGTTCACATCTGCCCGTGCTGGTCCGATCTATACGATCTCCAATTCCAACATTGCCTTCACTCAATCCACTGGAACCTGTCAACCGGATCTCACAAAGCTAATTATCTACCCGGAGCTTCTCCGAATATTTCTAGAAAAGATCTGGAAATTCATGCCGATCGACAATCGGGTCATAGCTTCGACACTTGCAGCTGCCTGTTGCGGCTGCATCGCCTGGTAAATGACAATCCCTCTGTCAATGCCGAGTCTGGAAATCCAACACCCTTGGCAACGCGTAGCAATCACAAAACCCCCAGCATCAATGCACGTGTTTGGCACTATATCCGGATATCACTCGGAACCAGTCTTCCCCTTCCCCCCCCTGGGCCTCGGAACCAGTTGCCCAGACGCACAGGTAATTCCCCGGCTGAATGGGCTTTGGAAGTAAAATACCGATCCACCTTGGAACGGATGTATTCTTTCGGTATGGGTACTTTCTTGTGAACTGTGTGCTCTGTGCTCTGTGCTTTGGGCTGTATGGGCTCCGTAGGCTAGGGAGACCCGTTGCAGTAGCCCCATGTGTACAGCATCGGCCTGGAGAGCCCCATTCCCCCTCTGTATATATTAAGACAATGTCAGACCAGTGGATATCACTGTTGATACGCCACACCGGACAACGCCCTGGTTCGAGTGAAGATTACTCGATCCTTGGGTCGGGAAATTGACGGCCGCGAGCCCGAGAATTTCGAGGAACCTCGTCTCCACGTGGCGTATGCTGGTGATGATGCTCATGTTGCTGGATGGCTGTTTTTGGATAATGTAAAAGTTGCCCACAATGCCAAGTGCTGATGACACGGAGCTTTTGCTCTGCGATGGATTTCTCTCTGGTACTGGGATACTTGGGGAAACCATTTTTGTATTGGGGATACTGTTTTCCCACGTGGTGTATTTGTCGCCTTTTGTTGATTGAGCTGGCGCCTTGTTGATGCAGCTGCGAGGTTGCTATCTTATGACTTGACATACGAGATAACTTCCTTTTACGGACTGGCCGGGCCTTTTCTGCCTCGTGTGCTCTGGCCAGCGTATCAGAAGCTCCCAGTGACATTCTTGTTTCTGTTTCGTCGAAATTGCCCCCGGTCATCACAGTCTTAGAGGATAATCACATGACAGCCAATGTGCTGCTATTTGAAGGAATCAACTAGGGTGAGGCGGATTTCTCGAAAGAGGCCTGGTATCTTTGTGCGAATCACACAGAATATAACAGGCTTGTCGGAGATGCCGAAAATGAGACCAGTCAGGCGACACTTAATTTTAGTATCGTGTCAAGAAATCAATGTTTACACAAAGGACGAACAGGGCAGAAATTCATACTTTGAACGCGAGTGATCATGAGGTATTTTGCATTCATTCTAATGCTGAAGGAGGGTGAAGGCACTCGGTATTACAGGAGCCTGTGGCTAACATAGTTTATAGGGTTATGAGGCTGACTTGTTTGTAGTCTTTTGGTGCAGATTTTTACATAAAATAGATCATTTGAAGGGTGTCAATTTCATATATGAAACTATAAAACAGAACCGGTGAAGTGAAAGAGGCAGCATTGAAGGAAGAACAGACATATCCACGGTGAGGGGCTTGCATGGAAATGCATATATCCTGATCTAAAGACCATTGAAGTGGTGCGGTTGCAAGCAATCAGCAGCTATGTGATCAACCTGTGAGACGAAAGCACGAAGCAGTCCTTACTTGAGGACAGAACAAACAAGACCTGAGGAATGTTTATGAATAGCCTTGACCAAGCCGATATTCTGACTGTTTTGACTCCCGCTTATTGTCGCAGCGAGAATGATCTCAGAGTATACTCGGTGATCCGGCATAATGTGAGATGATAGGTTCCAATTTAATTCCCATGGCCAGGTTAAGGCTGTAGTAAAGGGCCAATGGGAGACGCAGACACCTATAAATCTGAAATAGATCGACATGTCTTACTGTATACCCCAACCTCAGCTGTCAGCCAAAATGATCTAAGTTTAGCCCCGATGCTTAGCCCTGCGCCCCCGCGCCCTACTGAAGGGACGGCAAATATAGGGCGCCTTATTCCTCCCCTTGAAGCTCTCCTGTCTCATATTCATGTAGGGACGTTACACCTTTAGCTCCCCTTGAAATTGTAGTAATCGACGTGTTTTATCTTGCAATGGTAATGCAGGAATCCCGCCGAGGGAGCGGTGGCTAGCCGATGCAGACTTACTGTAATACATGCGATCAAAACTCCCGAGCATTTTAATTCCAGTTCCTACTTAAATCAGTAATATGAAGCAGGCCTCTGAATCAAATCCAATGAGTGAAACCCTCACAAGTGAGACCCGTTGGCTTGCTTATTTGAATCTGCAAGGCAACCCGCAATAATTGGGCGATCGCCGAGCTGGTTACCGGATCGCCCTCTAGTGTCGACCGACCAAGGCTTCGCACTGGATCGTCCTGAGACTTGCAGAGACTTGACGAATTACATCCATCGCCGCTGGACGATTTTAGAATTTTCAACTCTCGAAGAACTACTTGTACTGCGGGTTCATAGAATATAAAACCCCAGATCTAACCCGACGTTTTACAACCCCATCAATCTACTCCGCACAATCCTATCTACTATCCAATTCTCTATTCTTGAATATAACTTGTCCCATATTCACATTCCTCACATACCCACAATGAAGTTCTTCGCCTCCATGATCCTCTTTGCCGTCTCGGCCCTCGCCCAGAATGCCGTGATCGGCCTCCCTTCCACGGGCCAGAAGGTCACTGCCGGCAGTGAAATTGTTGTCCAAGTGCAGCGTCCCGTAAGCGAATGCTCTTGAAGATCAACCAAAAAGCGCAATTCATCTGACAGAATCGTTCTCGCAGAACTCCCTCACCCCCTCTAAGGAAATGGCAGTCGCCATTGGCTTCTCCTCATGCGCCTCGTCCCCCTGCAGCACTCCCGAGGAGGTAATGGGCACAATCCTCTATAACGGATCCTTCGACCCCGAATACCACGAGAGCAGCCTGCCACCCTACGAGAACTTCACTGTCACTGTGCCCCAGTCCGCTGCCAAGGGAAACGGTCAGATTAATGTTGCTCATGCTACTTTAATTGGGGTAAGTGTCTCTAGCTCATAGCGTTGTGTGCTTCTGCAATTGGGATCCAAGTATACTGACGTTTATATTGCAGGCTGGTCCTTTCCCTTACTTGGAGACTCTCAACACAACCGTCATCGTTGCATAAGCGGGATGTTTGATTAATGTAGAGTCTTCGACGAGTAGATTTGATCTTTTTTTCGTTCTATTGTATATGGCTTTTGGTTGTGACTTTGTTCTTGGAAGTGTTGACTGTGATTACGGGTGCTGTGAAAGAGGTAGATATTTGATCTAGAATGTTGATAGTGTTGAACAGATATGCAAATCGTTTATTAATCTGCAATGGACTCAGTACAAAATGTAATTGTGCGAAGCATAAACCGGAAGGTCCAAGGACCGGGTGCATGACGGAAATAGCCGGTATTAAGGAATATCCGGTTGAATAGGGTCATGGCCATTAATACCCAGACTATCTCATAGTAAATTGCTATTCCCTGGAGCATTGCCAATATCTTGCATTGATCGAATCACAATGCATACACTTGCAGGAAAGCAAATTAGCCAGGATGGCCTCGGTCTCATGCGTACGTTTCCCCACAATCAACACATACTTCCCAAACCAACCCAGTATTAGGTCTGACATGGGCAAGTGGTGTCACACCGGAAGAGCAATGCTTCAAAGTCCTGAAAGCCGCCCTCGCCACCGGAGTCAACGTCTGGAATGGCGCCGACTTCTACGGCACAGCCGAGTACAATTCTTTACACTTGATGAATCACTATTTGCTGCCAAACTCGTGGAATACTAGATGACAGCCGTTGATTGTAAATTTCGTATTCTCTAGCGGATAGACCTGGGTCAAAATTATCGAGGTCAGGTCGTGCTTGTGAAGGTTGCGTTTCTTTGTTTGGCTGGAGACTACAAGCCCGGGATTATCGAGTAATTCATTCAGACGCCTCATTCCTATAGAACGAAGCAATCTAATTGGTGCCTCTGCCACAAGACTTATTCATATCCCAATCGAGTCCTCTATAGAGATAGCCTGTTTAACCTCTCTTTGTTTTGCAATGGTTGATAAGAGTATCATTTCAACCACGCATCTCGCCCTCGTTGTCCGGACCTTTCTCTTTCTGAAACCCCCTAAACTGCTACCGAGTAATCAGAGCTACCAGAATGGACAAACCATACTCTCGCGACTATGAGCCTGTTTCCAGACTGGATTCCGACGGCGACAACGATGCCCCAGTACTAAGCCGACCTCAACGTCCCTTCCAGTCCTTTCTCAAACGTAACCTCGCCGCAATCACCATAACCGGACTCCTCCTAGTTCTGATTCTGATGGTGCTCGCCATCATCGCAGCAATCACAGTCGACCCATTCCGCGTCCTCGTCTTGAACGGCTCATCCGCCGACCCAGCCGACCTAAACGGAAAACGCCAGTGTCTGCCGACAACAACCCGCACAACCTACACCTGCGGCAACTCAACCGCAGAAGCCAAAGCCCTTGGCTGCGACTATGATCCTCTTGCCGGGTGCTGGCTGCACGAGAAGTGTCCGCGTGACTTTACACACGAGTTTGCGCACTTCAATGATGGAAAGCCCTTTGTGTATTACTATGACGAAGCGGCTACCCGCCAAATGAAAGACTATGATGAAGTCGGTCGGAATCCTGATTTCTACTGGACTTCGATCCGGGAGCATCTGGTTCATTGTCTCTACTTGCTTCGGCGAGGTCATGATGTCCACATGCGGGGCGATCGTCTGGATACTATGCTTGGGGATCTGGAGCATGTCGATCATTGCACGGATATGCTGGCGAATTGGCTGCGGAGACCTGATCCTGTAGCTGACAGTATTGGTACGCAGGGACAGACTCATTGCTTCATGTCTTGTAGTTAGTTGAGCTTTGATATGGAAAAGGGTTGAGTTCAACATGGAGGCATGGTATGAGAAGATGCTGGTATATCCATTAGCTTGAGACATTCACACAGAATGGCATTGATCTTGGACATTTCTTTCTTGTTTGACATCTTTTATCACGAGACTGTTCATTCTACAAGTTTTCAAGGAAATCCGAAGGCAAATATTGTATAATGCAAGGTTTCCGACAGACCCGACCCCGGACCCTGATGAAGTCATACATCATACAATTCCCATCCCAACATCACAACTCACCTAAACAATCTATACATATACAACCCATACACTCCATACACTCCATACAGCATATACAGCCTCCACGACCCCAAAGAAAGCAAGAAATGCCACCCAAACGAGTCGCACTAGTAACAAGCAGCACTCGCCGCCCAAGACTAAACCCAACAATAACGCAATACGTCCACGACACTCTAGCGGCAGACCCAACAATCCCAACCAAACACACACACGACAGCACAATCGACACCGATCCGCGCCACATAACCCTCGACATAATCGACCTCGCCGCGCAATCCCTGCCGCTATACGACGAATCCGTCATCCCAGCCAGCCTGCCAGCCACAGACCCAACACCGCACTACAGCAAAGCCCACACGCGCGCCTGGTCCGCTCTCGTCCGGCAATATGACGCCTTCATCTTCGTGACGCCGCAGTATAACTGGAGCATACCCGCCAGCTTGAAGAACGCGCTCGATTACCTGTTCCATGAGTGGGTGGGCAAGCCGGCTGCGATTGTCTCTTATGGGTCGCGTGGTGGGGGCAAGGCGGCAGAGCATTTGAGAGGTGTGCTTACCGGGTTGAGGATGAGGGTTGTGGGGACGGCGCCTGGGTTGGTGGTTCGGTTTACGGGGTTGCCGGTGGGCACTTTGAGTGAGGTTGAGGAGGGGGTTTGTGTTGATCAACGGGATTTGGAGGGGTGGAGGGAGGCTGGGGTGGAGGGGATGATGAGGAATTTGGGGATGGAGTTAGTTTGTGAGTTGGATAAATAGGAACACTGGAGTTGGAGTTGAAATTCGAGTTAGAGTTTGAATGGAACACATGAATTACCACTTTTGTATTGTGCTGTGCTATATGCTGATGATTATAGTTATTTTATATGCGGAGAGTATATAGGGCTGTACATGAATATCATAAAAGCGTTCAATCTGCGTTGAGGATGTCTTTGCGGGTGATTCCACTGCGATCACACATCGCACGGAAGATACCATCTTCCTGGTCCCACAGAACAATCGGCGCATCCATCTCGGCGATCTGGCCCTGGTCCATGACGCAAATCCGGTCATAGTGGATGATCGTGCGCAGACGATGCGCAATACACAGCAGAGTCCGGCCCTCGAAGCCTTGTGCCATAGTGCGCTGGATCTTCTGGTCCGTCTCGAAGTCGACGGAAGAGGTAGCTTCATCGCAGACGATAATGCGCGCATTGCGAACCAGTGCGCGAGCAAGGGCCATGAGTTGCCGTTGGCCGAGGGAGAAGTTGAGACCTTCTTCGTCGACGGGGGATTCGAGCGTGAGGCGTTTTGTTTGGCGCTTGCCGTCGTCGCTGCCAATGGCCGGGCTTTCGGCTGCTGGTGTGGAGGTTTCACCTTCGCCTTCGACTTCGAGTTCTTGGTCTTGACCGATAAGGTATGCCTTGCGCAGGGCGTCCCATAGTTCCATGTCATTGTGTTCGTTGAATGGGTCCAAGTTGGATCGGATGGTTCCTTTGAAAAGGGCTGGGTCTTGTGGGATGATGGCGAGACGGGATCGAAGTTCGTTGAGACCGACTGTGGAAATATCGATTCCGTCAATCTGAATATTACCTCCTGATAACTCGGTCAGGCGGAATAATGCCGACATGATGCTTGACTTTCCAGCGCCAGTGCGGCCGACGATACCAATGCGCTCGCCGCCTTGGACGTCCATGCTCAGGCCCTTGAGCACGAGTGGAAGTTCGGCTCGGTAGCGCATCTCGGTGTTGGTGAATGTGATGCGACCTTTCTCCGGCCAGTTAGCAGCCACCTCGATTTGGTGCAAGGGTGCTTCCTCTTCAAGCTCGGTTCCGTAGTAATGGAGACGCTCTGTGGCATTCATGTTATTCTCAACTTCTGCCAGCTGACGAACCGTGAACTGCAGCATCTGCGCGATGGAAAGGATATAGGAAAGGACCAGTCCAGAAATACTGGGTGAAACGTTGAACCGTGAAGTGACGACCAGTACACCAGTCACGAAGACCAGCGCGGTAGACACGGCATCAAGTCGAACGCTAAGCCAACGCTGATTAGAGAAAGTCAAGAAGTAGGCTCCATTCATCACATCAATTGAGTCAGAGATGCTGCGGCGGAATTGGTCCTGGACACCGTATGCGCGAATGCATGCTGTGCCAGTGATAGCCTCGCCGAACTTCGCATAGACCATTGATCGTAAGACTGCTTCGTGGCGCTTCATCTCTCGGGCCGAAGCACGGTAGTAGTTGGAGGCCAGGATGAAGAGAATGGTAAGTGGGACGAGTGCAATGACGAAGTAATAGAAGAATACGATGATCAAAACCATGACAGAGATAATCATAGTCATCGTCAATGCGTAAATTCGCATCGCATCACAAAGTTCATTGTCCATGACGGTAACATCTTTCGAGAAGCGATTGGTGATCCGTCCAAGGGGCGTGGTATCGAAGAAACTCATAGGGGCGCGGAGCACACGAGTCATAGCACGTTGAAGCATCGTTTTACTTGCGTTTGTACCGCAAGTGGTCATGTATGTTGAGAATGCAAACATCAAAATCGCAACGCCTACACCTAGACCAGCGTAGACTCCAATATATTGACCCGTCGAGAAACTAGGGTATTTGTCGGAAGTCCAGTATGAAAGCCAAAGACTGGTCCAAACGTTGGCGACATTGACGGCTGCGATTAGAATCAAGACCATGATAGCGTTGAGGTAACTGCCGGATGCACGGATGTAGGCTTTCCAAACACTCCAGCCCACTGATGCTGTGGCCTTTTCTTCACTCTGCATTAAAGCACCCGTGGGCTTTGCAGGCGCGGCCTTTTTGGGGATGAGCTTCTTTTCTTCGGCCTCTTCGACGGCCTCGTCAACTGCTTCAGCCTCTTCTTCTTCCGTGTCTTCTTGTTTGGAAGTAGACATTAACCGCTTGAAGAGTACATTGTCGCGCATCAAATTGTCGAATGTGTCGACGGCATCAATACGTCCCTCGTCCATAACAACAATGCGATCACACCGGTTGAGAACGTGGAGTTGATGTGTTGCCAAAATACGACAGCGATCCTTCAACAAGCCACAAATTGCCTTGTCCATGATGTGACGTCCAACGTGAGCATCGACAGCCGACAACGGGTCGTCCAAGAGAACAAGCTCGGCATTGAAGTAGATCGCTCGGGCAATGTTCAAGCGCTGCTTTTGTCCTCCAGATACGGTGATACCCCGTTCTCCGATTTCAGTCTGATCTCCATTCGGGAGGATCTCCAGATCGGGAGTCAGGGCACATGCGTCTACAACTTGCTCATACCAAGTCTCGTCATACTCTTTTCCAAATAGAATGTTGTTGCGGACGGAGGTATTCTGGATCCAAGCATACTGAGGACAGAATGCGCGAGTTGTGCTCAGTCGTACAGTTCCGTCGGTCACACGCATATCGCCTGCCAGGGCCGACAGCAAGGAGCTCTTACCGCAACCCACGGTTCCTATCACAGCCAAAAGTTCATTTCGACCAACGTCTATCGTCATGTCTTTGAGCTTGAAAGGCTCGGTGACTTTTTCTGTAGTATTTTCTCCCTGGGTGATTTTGGGACTCGGTGACTTTTTCTCTGCCTTTTGGGCCTTTCCTGCCTTGGCGGCATCATTTTCGTCTGTCGGAAGACGCTCCCATGTAAATGAAGCGTGCTCAATCTCAATGGCGTTCTCCATTTTGTGATCTACCTCAATGTCTTCCTTCTGCTCCTCGGCGAGGAGGAACTCCTGGATACGGTTAAGAGCAGTCCAGGCATCGGTAACTTGACCGATAACCATAGGCAACATGTTCAACGGCATCCGTAAGGAGTTGAATAACGCCAAGGACGAGAAGATTGGCGCGGGGTTTAAGTCGTGATTCGAGAGGGCGTAGGTGATAAAAGCCAACATGGAGGCAAACGTGGGAATAGACATGGACACGCAAAGGATGAGATTTCGAAGGGCCAGCAATGTTTGGATAGATCGAATTTCTTTTCCACGTAATTCTTTCAGTCGGCCTAGGAAACTACTTTCCCAGCCAAAGTACTTGACAAAGCGGACGGCTTGCAAGATCTCCTGGGTGAGAGATACTCGCTGGTCGGTGAGTTTGTTGATGTCTCGTCGACGCTTGATCAAGGATCGGATGGCGAAAGTAAGGAGCGGCATTCCGATCAAAAGCAAAGCATATCCTGACAAGCAACTGTAGCCCAGGTTGACCAAGAGAAGAACTAATGTGACGATGAGGGTGACGGGCGAACTCCAAATCATATGGAACATGCCAGAGGCCAGGTTGATTCGGTCCACGTCGATGCTCATGAGAGCAGTGATGCGACCATTGTTCCAACCAGTACCATCACCAGCCACGCCACCAGGGGTAGCAGCAGCCGCATCGGACTTCTTTCCCTGGTCTTTTTTGCCCTTCTCTTCAGGATTGAGAAGAGCCTCCTTAGTAGCTTCCAGCGCCTTGATTTCCTCATCAGTGGCTTTCCCTCCGGCCTTAGCCCGACCAGAAAGCTTCATGGCCTTGTTAAAGATATGCGATATCAGCACGGCACGAATCTGCCCACCAACAATCTGACCCCTGTACAAGAACTGATTCGTACACAGACTCTGGAGCCCCTGCATGCAAGTGATACCTACCACGAATCCCATACCATGACCAATATGCGGAGCCGGCTGACCACTATGCTGAGCCACATAGGCGCTAGTGGCAAAAGCAATGAGATAGCGAGTCAAGTACGGCGCAAAAACAAGCAGCAAGCAACTGAAGAACTGACACACGCCACCCAGCAAAAACTCGAACCTGAACGTATCATACAACGCCCAGGCGAGCGGGTTTTTGGTCCCGCTCTCATTCCGCTTTTCTAAGGCTGCGTCCAGCCGCGCTGATAGTACATCGACGGCGCGGTCTGGGTTGACGGTCCAGATATCCTGCAAGTCTAGTGGGCGCAAGTATCCCACTTTCATTAAAGGTGACATCCATTGGAAATAGATTATGCTGAATACCGAGGCGCCGTATTCACGGGAGACTGATCGCTCTGTTGGGACTGGAGGAATCTTTTGCAGGCGCAACGGGTTGAGCTTTTGATACCATTTTTTGGAAGGGTTTTCCGGCTGGGACTCGGAGGATGACCTTGAGCTTAGGGCTGCTCGGGCTTTCTCGTCCGTCACCACTCCCTGGAGTGGTTCGGGTGTGGACATTGCGTAGGATGTCGAACAAGGGTGAGTCCGAAGTTTTGTATGAGGATTAGATGTGGGGCGATAAGCATTTCCTGAAAGCGGAATTCTTGACGCTGGAATGTCTTTGCCGAGCAGTCGATCAGAGGACAGGATACAAGGGAAGTTAAGGAAATTGGGGGAATTAGAGAAATTAGAAGAGAAATTAAAAAGCAATCCAGAAGATAGCGGGTGAGTCAAACAATGGATTTATAGCCAACGCTCGGTTTCATCTCGCATTCGCTTACACGTCGTATTGCAGGCTAATGTCTACCTGTTAGTAGTTTAGCCATCGGAGTCGGAGATCCAGGAATCCCGTTTCGCCGCTTGCTGTTCCGTTTGGGCTGGATTACTAATGCATATATTATCCCGTGGGACCCCGTAGGGTCCTAGTTATCCCCCCTGCAGTGCTAACTATGGGTGGATGCCCTGGAATTCAGGTAGAGCATTGTGCTATTTCATGCTTTCATGCCATGGGTTCTCAGTCAGGCCGTCTGTTTTGACACCTCTTCATTCCCTATCACGTACTGTTATTTACAAATCAAGTCCACTCTGATCCAGGTGGCGCTAAAATTGAAAGTGTCGGGATATTCAGGCGTTAACGCGTTAAATCCGAGGCTAAGCTTTCGGGCTTTCCATTTTCTAACCTAACGGTATCTATGGGTGATTTGCTATGGGATACAATTTTGGCCATTCCATCGTCACATCGTGGGGAATTTGTCTGCGGACTTGAGACATGCAATAATATCTGATCAGGGTCCAATTTTCGGTTTAGTTTTCGACGCCAATCTTGACCTTCTTCTCGGGGGGAGGAATGACATGGTCCTCAGACGAGCCCTTGAGATTGGGAAGCTCAGTGACAGCCTCCTGGATGATGTCAAGGGCCTTCTGGATCTCCTCTTCGGTAATAACCAGGGGGGGAGCCAGACGGATGATGTTCTGGTGAGTGGGCTTGGCCTGCAAGAAGTCAGTCATCTGCAAAGTCTGATGCGAACACGGATTCTATCACATACCAGCAATCCCTTCTCCTTCATTAACATGCACAGATCCCAAGCAGAGTGTCCATTGGTCTTGGATTCATCGATGACGATAGCATTGAGCAGACCCTTTCCGCGCACCGTCTGAATAAGTGGACTCTGGAGACCCTCCAACCCAGCCCGGAACAAGTGACCGAGCTCCTCGGCGCGCTCGACCATACGTTCCTCGCGTACAATCTCAAGGGCGCGAATGGCGACAGCGCAACCAAGTGGGTTTCCGCCGTAAGTGGACCCGTGGGTCCCGGGCTCGATCGTGAGCATGACGTCCTTGCTGCCCAGCACACAAGAGACAGGATACATACCACCCGAGATGGCCTTGCCAAGCAGAACAAGATCGGGCTTGATCCCGCTCCACTCGTGGCAGAGCAGCTTGCCCGTGCGGGCAATGCCAGTCTGGATCTCATCACAAATTAACAGCACATTGTGCTTGTCGCAGAGAGCACGGGCTTCCTGCAGGTAATCGGGATCTGGGACAACAATGCCTGCCTCACCCTGAATGGGCTCGACGAGGAAGGCGGCGAGGTTGGGGCCGGCGGCTTCGAACGCCTCGCGGAGAGCAGCCTTGTCATTGTATGCGATGGGCTTCTCGGTTCCGGGAATCGTGCAGCCAATACCGGGGAGGTAAGGACCATAGTGTTCGCGAGACTCGGGGTCAGAGGAAAGTGAGATGGCGGCAAACTAATGCAAGGGGCAAACATAATCAGCCACTGATGTAGTGCGGCGTGTGACCCGGGATGGAACTGCAACTTACTGTACGACCGTGGAAGTTGTTCTCAGCACTCAGCACAATAGCCTTGTTCTCAGGAATTCCCTTGACCTTGTATCCCCATTTGCGGGCGATCTTGATGCCTGTCTCGACCGCCTCGGCACCAGTGTTCATGGGCAGGACCATATCAAAGCCAAAGTAGCTCGTAACAAACTGGGCAAAGCGAGGGAAAACATCATTGTAAAAGGCACGGGAGCTCAAAGTGACCCGCGAAGCTTGGTCCACCAGTGCAGCAATCAATTTGGGGTGGCAGTGGCCCTGGTTCACTGCGGAGTAGGCGGAGAGGAAATCTAGATAGTGACGACCTTCGGGGTCCCAAACCGAGGTGCCCTGAGCCCGAGCAAAGACAACTGGGAGAGGGTGATAGTTGTGAGCCGCATATTGCTTCTCAGACTCAATGGCCTCAACGGAAGAAGCCGCATGGTAGTGGGAGAAAGACCCGTTGGTAGCCATGGTGGATTGCGGGTGGGGGGGGGGGGGGGGGGGGGGGGGGACGCTAGGAGCTAGGGGATCGACAGGGTATCTTAAGTCAAACGGTAGAAGTGAAGTCAAGAAACAGGAGGAAGTGAAGAAGTAAAGATGTCCAGATGTAAAGAAGGGAAAAGCGAAGAATGCCGCTATATAAGCAAGGAAAATCCCCGTCTGCAGAGCCGCTATGCCGTTAAGTGTTAGACCCGATCAACCCTCGTCCGCTAAGTACAGGTCGTGCCGATGCTGTTCCCTATGCGCAGGATTACCCTACTATCCCCATTTTCTTTGTTTTTCACCGGCTGTGATTCGTTTGTTTTCGCCGAAACTGGGGGAATTATGGTACTGCAGATGAATTTCGAATTAGGGAAGTCGAAGAGACAGTCGACTAGAGGCTATGTGCTATGGGCGATGGATGCGTCATGGCTCGGTTACTGCAGGATGCGATCAGAGTCTATTCAAAAGTAACCTGTTTCGAAAGATCAAGGTAGCAGAGGTTAGTTGCTCATAGGCACTCGATCATATAAGTTATATTCAAGTCAATTGAATCCTCTTGTTGAGAATCAAGTCAAAATGTTCACATTACGTAGTTCCCCTCGGTTCTCTCAGGTGCCGCAACTTCTCCCCTTATCTCTCTCTCCTTGTTCGCATGCCCACCAGCCAACCTTGAACAACTTTGCGCAATGCGCCACTTGGACCAGTCCCCGCGATCTCTTTGGTGACCATGTCTACGCCTACTTCTCCGCGCCGTCGCGCGACTCCAATTCCCCACGCGCCAACCCGCAACATCCTCCTCTTCCTGGTTGCCTTCCGCCTACTGAACGCATTTACGACGCGAACATTCTTCCAGCCAGATGAATACTTCCAGTCGCTAGAGCCTGCCTGGCAGATCGCATTTGGTCCAGACCAGGGGGCCTGGCTGACGTGGGTGGGTGATTGCGATCGCGTCGGAAAATCTCCCAGTCTAACATGGCATTGCTCCTAGGAATGGCGAAACCAATTACGATCCTCACTGCACCCGCTCATCTTCGCCGCCCTTTACAAAGCTGCAGATGTTCTTTCTCTGGTGCTGCAGGTCTCCCCCGCGACACGCGCCGAACTCCTGATTGCCGCCCCGAAGACAGCGCAGGCCGTTGTAGCGGCAATCGGGGATTTCTATACTTGGAAGCTTGCAGTTCGCGTCTACGGAGATGAATCTCGAGGCGCCTGGACGACGGTACGTTTTTTTTTTTTCTTTTCAATATCCCGGCAATCAAGGAAATTGTATGCTGATCGTTGGTCTTTTACATGTAGCTGGTCGCTACCGTCCTGAATCCCTGGCAATGGTTCTGCTCGACTCGAACCTTATCGAACTGCCTGGAAACCACAATAACCGTTGTCGCATTAGAACTCTGGCCATGGCAATGGTCAACGGCCTCTGCGATCACCGATGGCCACGTTAAAAATGCCGCCAGCCGAAAGAAAAGCACGGGCCAAGACCGAGGTGTTATTCATCGGTATGAAGGAAGATCCAAGGTATACAACAGCCACTGACGATTCTTGCAGACTGCACAAATGTCTACCACTGGCTGCGCTCGCTTGCATACTGCGGCCAACCAATATCCTGATTTGGGCGACACTGGGTAGCATCGCTTGGCTTCGGACTTCTTGGGCCCAGCGTCGGATCCTCGTGGCTGAAGTCATAGTTTGCGGGTGAGTATGTCCGTCACTGAAGTGAGCATCAGCTGACGTTATGAATCGGTAGTTCGGCAATGCTAGCTATCTCTGCTGTGGCAGACCGCTTGTTCTATGGCCTCTGGACTTTCCCGCCACTCAGGTTTCTATACTTCAATATCGCCCAATCACTGGCGGTCTTTTATGGCAGTAATAACTTCCATTATTATGCTACAGAAGGTTACCCACTACTGCTCACCACGCTATTGCCGTTTGCATCCCTTGGGCTATACCGAACCTTGACCACTCGGAGGTCCTCAGTGGTCGATAATGTGTCAACCACCATCCGAGTGCAACTGGCGACAGTATGCCTTGTCATGCCATTGGTACTCTCCCTGATCTCACACAAGGAAGTGCGCTTCATCTACCCATTGTTACCATCTCTACATATCTTGGCTGCGCCGCCTTTGGTACAATTTTTCTACCCTGCCATTTACTCCCGAGCATATCCTCGCCATACCCCTCGCAGGTTGATCCTTATTTTCCTCGTATTTGTTAACTTAGTGATTGCACTGTACACCACTATTCGCCATGCCTCGGGGCCTCTGAGCGTCCTCTCTTATCTCCGCCAACAACATGAAGCCCACGCCCCCGCTCAGAAAGCAGCAGAATCTACTTCTGGAATCTCAGCCGGCTTCTTAATGCCCTGCCACAGCACTCCGTGGCGCTCCCATCTAGTCTATCCAACAATAAACGCCTGGGCGCTGTCCTGCGAGCCCCCAATCGATCAAACAGAAGCCCAAAAATCCGTCTACCGTGACGAAGCAGATCAATTCTACGATGACCCAAGCCAATTCCTCCGCCAGAACATGTCAGGTGGCCTCTGGCATTTCCCCCACCGACCCAGCTACGCCGCAGGCTCCCACTCCTTATCAGGAACAGACCTAGCCCCAGCTCTGCAACACGAGTGGCCAGACTATCTGATTTTCTTCGCTCAACTCGAACCAACCCTCCACGGCCTCCTCCGTAGCTCCTCCTACGGTGAATGCAAACGCATCTTCAATACAGACTGGCACGATGATTGGCGCCGTCGCGGCGACATCGTAGTCTGGTGTCTTGATCCGAAAGAACAAGATGCCTGGCGCGCCGAAACCCAAGCACGAGTCCATCAAAGTCGCGAAAAGCAATTCGATCGCATCATGGAATCGTTCAGGAAAGAGATGCGCAGCCAGCAAAAGCGCGGTTGGAGCTCTCATCTACCTTCCTGGTCTTCGTGGTCTTCATGGCCGTCTTGGCCGTCATCTCGCCCAACGCTTGCCTCGAGCTTTGCTTCGTGGCAGCGCTCCGCACAGTCTCTCTTTTATCCTAGATCTTCGTCTGTGGCCTGGCCTTGGCGTCCAAAGTCTCGCTGGGAGACATTTATGGCACGTTTCCGGATGCCGGCGCGAAGGACCGGCTGGATCCCGTCTTGGGGCGTGGATTGGGTTCCTGCGTGGCCTTCTTGGGCACAAGGTAAAAAGAAGACGCCGTTAGATCGTGATCTCTGGTCGTGATTGGATCGTCAAAATAAGATGATACTTTGGCTGCTGCTGCATGGCTTTCCTGGGTTTGCTGTGGCTTTCCACTTTGCTTCACTACATATGGTAGTTCGGTCCCTTTCTATGTCATTTATTACCTTGAATACATAAACCTAGACAGAATATCGAGACAATCTTGAGCACTTTTAATACTGAATTTAAATATATATCAATTTTATCAAAGCTAGTGACAAGAAGTATGTACTATATACCATTTTGACCGACTAATCGGAGACCAAAACCATCTTTTGTATACAAACACAGATTAAGAAAAGGAAAGAGAGAGATAAAGAAGGACAGACAGTCAAAGAGAAGGAGGAAAGAAAGTAAAAAAAAAAGAGCGGCAAACAGACCAAAGACTCAAGATGCGACATGCACAAGCGTAACACGTCTCGTCAATCTTCTATATCCATCATTATCAGTTTATCAACGTCAACATTCAATTTCAACCCAAAAATATTCATTATACCCCGAATTTCAAGTGTGAAAAGCCGGGATCCGAATCCAATCATGGAATTGAAAATTGTGTAAGCATCATGACAAAAAAAATCAACCATAGCGAGAACTCAGACTGGCAAAAGCATCAGGGCTGTGCCGACCATTCTGCAATCCACTCACGTCCACACTTGGCTGGCTCATGTGTGTTCGGTTGAAGGCCGAGCCTGCTGGTGCCGCGCTTTGGAATGGAGAGGGATTCCCTCCCATTGTTGGGGTTGTGCCAAAACCTCCGGCCCCAGGCTGGCCGTTCATGCTACCGATTCCTAGTCCCGAGTTTTGCTGTTGTTGGTAGGGGTTTATTCCTGCTTGGGCTGCGAGACCAGTGCCTGAGAATCCCTGCTGTGGCTGTGGCTGTTGTTGTTGTTGCTGTTGCTGTTGCTGCTGCTGCTGTTGGTAGGGGTTTATTCCTGCCTGAGCGGCGAGTCCACTGCCGGTACCCGAGGAAGGCTGCTGCTGCTGCTGCTGTTGGTATGGATTTAGACCTGCTTGGGCAGAAAGACCGTTGCCGGTAGGAGCGCCGCCGAAAAATGGATTATTGGTTGACGAGGGTTGACCATTGGCAGCGGGTTGTTGAGGCTGAAGCTGATGTTGCGAGTTTGTCTGGTTTTGTTGCATAGAGGCGTATGGGTTTGAGGATTGGGGCTGGGCTTGGGCCTGGGCTTGGGCCTGGGCTTGATATTGTTGAGGAATAGGAGGAACATTAGCTTGGGAGGGTCCCAAATTATACAAGGAAAGAATGCTGTTTTTGTCCATCTGTCCCGTGGGCTGCGGCATAAGTTGCTGCGGCTGCTGAGGCTGCAGGTGAGATTGCTGTTGGTTGGGGTAACCGCCTGCACCCTGCGCCGGTGCTGGGCCTGATTGGAACGGGTTGTATGATCCCAGACCAGCGTTCTGCTGCTGCGGTTGTTGTTGTTGTTGTTGCTGCTGCTGCTGTCCTTGGAAAGAAGGCGAGGCTCCGAATTGCGAGTTACCAAAGGGTGACGAGGAAGACATGGCCTGCATGGTGTTCGCGTGTTGAGGCTGGTTGGGAGCTGCGAGTGCCGGCGCCTGCTGGCTCATTTGCTGAGATTGCATGGGTTGGTTTTGCTGTGCTGGGTTGAAGAACGGATTGTTCTGCTGTGCACTCGGGTTTGGATATGACTGGCTGGCTAAGCCGTTCTGTGGCTGCTGCATCTGCGGCTGCGGCGCTGTCTGGGCAAAAGGATTGTAGCTATCCATATTCTGGGGCGATGCGACATATGACGACTGTGAGAAGGTTGCCGTGACAGGAGGTGTATAGGGCTGTTGGTACATGGGCTGCTGCATGGAGCTTTGGTTTGGGTAGCCACCGGTGGAGTGTGGGAACAATGGCTGGGAAACCTGCAGGTTCTGGAACGACGATTCCAAGGGTTGCGCAGAGGCTGGCGTGAGAGTTGGTTTGTCAAAAGGATTATAAGAAGCGGTCTGAGGTTGCGATTGCTGGGGAACTGGATTCGACACGGCGCGGTCAAATGGATTGTTGGATGTCTCGGGCTTCGGGGTCACCGCGCGTGCGGTCGCCGCAGCAGGAGTTCTGGATCTTGATGTAGGGTTGCCTCCCTCGCCCAACCTGACCATTGTTTCAACTGCCCGGTCCAAGTCCTCGTTCAATCCCTTGAGAACCATCTCATTTCGTCGGTCATTGGTGAATCCCATATCCCGCAGCGCTGCCATCTTAGCTTCAAATGAGGCCGTCGTCACATCGGCGACAGGTGCGCCAAGTCCTGTTGTCCTCCTAGCAGGCAATGCCGGTGGTGGTGACCAGGATCCACTGTCTGAAGTTGGCGATGTGACCTTGGGCTTGTTTCCAAATCGGCGGAGGTTGGAGGTGGAGGACGAGTTTCGAAGACCGAATTTGAAGAACTTGCCAGATTTTGGTGGCAGCGGCGGGGGGATCCTTCTGGAGATCTATCATCGTAGTCCTTTCTTGACATTTCTGGTGATCTGGCCCTGGAGGTGGAATAGCTCGAATCCTCCCGGCTCGGGGGCTTCGGCTTGCCATCTTCTAGAGAACGATATTGATACTTTGCTCGAATGTGTCGCTCCATGCACGCATCGGCTTCGTCGATATCGGTCGGGATTGGGGGCTTAATGTTCCGCGGGTTGTAGATCTTGTTCATGAGAAGGTTGCCATGCGATTTCATGCTCTGGTAAAGCCAGCTTTGTCAGTGTGTGCTCGTGCCGAAGGGTCGAATTGACTCACATCAACCTGCTCTGCGGACCAGGTGTCCATGGATAATGACTTGACCTTGGAAATGTGTGTGCCCAGCTTTCGGTGTAGTGCGGCGCAACGCATGCAGAGGAAGATACCCATCTATCGGCGACGAACGGTCAGTTTGTGGATTCGATCGGAGGTTCAGGCAACATACATTCCAGCTTGCCCATCCTATCAGACAGTTAGTATGTGATCAACAATGGTGGCGCGGGGGACAAACCTGGGGTCAAGGCATCGCAATCGGCACATCGGTCATTGCCAGGAACGGAGCGGATCAGCTCCGCCAGGGTCTTTTCGTTCCGTAGCTGCTGGCGCTTGCTGATGCCGGATGGCATGATGAAACACAATAAGATTACAAAGAAGAAGGAGTGGTAGAAGTACAAGAGAAAGAGTGGAATGGATAGGGGAAAGAATCCAAGTTTCCGAGGGGCGGAGAAGATCAACGCCGATTTGGTATAACTTAACGTTGGATGTTAATCCTTGCTAAGCCTTTCTGGATTTTTTTACTTGGGTCTGCTCCAGAGGATGGAGTCCCAGGGGTCCAGCTATTCGCATCCTGATTACTGCGATGCTTCCCTCGGGCCCGCACCGTGTCTTCTAGAACGCGTGTAGAAGCCTGCAATGAGCCGGTTGGGCACATTGGGCAGCCTTCACAGCTTGCGTCAGGTTGACTCTCAAGCAAACAGAACTACGATATTTAAGGATGTCCGGGCAGCAATGACTGCATCTACCATCGCACCAAAGGAGCCGAAGCTCCCCGATACCGTCGAAAAGTACTAATGATGCCCAGGAGTTTCATCTAGTACGCCAATATGACCTGCCATCCTATGACATAAAGGAATTGGAGGTTGATTATGCGTTCGAAAAGTGTAAAGAAGAAACAGAGCTAGAGGCGCGAAATTTTCGATACAAATGGTTGGTGGAGGTCATGTGACCACACTAGAAAGTCACGTGGGACATGGGCTAAGATAAATTTTCTGTCGCGGGCCACTTCTTCTTCTCCAACCATCACTGAGTTTGTCAACTTCAAGGGTTCCTCCAATTCTTTAATGTCGAGAATTGAATCAACACTTCAAGTTGCGCAAGCTCAGTAGATACCCCCCACATAACCCGCGTGGTGCCTTCTTGTGGCACTGGACGTCTCTTGGGTGATTTTATAATCGTTCGTTCGTGGCATATCAAAACCAAACAGTTTTTAGCAGAGCTGCGTCTACTCCACCCTGGTGTTCGTATCTATCGAACAGCAGGACTTTTTTACGACGGACATCTCAGATACTTAATAAATTCTTATTTCAAATTATCCACTACTTCGCGTAACACCCATGGCTGATCCCCAACCCTCGCGCTCTCACCGTAAACGCTTCCTGCTCCGTCCTTCCGCCTTGTGCTTCCCAGTCTGACCATTGACTCCAAAGACCAGACATGTAAGACAACTTATGAAAGGCAGAACCAGATGACACCCTACTCTGCCCCGTCGAAGCTATCCACGATCCGATAGGATAGTATGTCCGGGGCGTCGAATACTTCTGCAAGGCGCCTATAACTTCCTGTTGGTTGTGTCTACCTATCCCAAGACTAGCACTTCGTAGGCCTCCTCAAAAACGTATTTAGTCACTGGTGCTGTCAAGTTCCTTCACCTGCGTGACATCTTCAAAAAAGTGTAGCGCCATACTCTTTTATGATCTGTATTCTCTCGTCCATATTCATCGCACCTATCTTTCACTTCCCAATGGAGTGGTGATCTGACGAGATATGTCGACATTTCTATGAGGTTGTGTTTGGGTGGGAATACATACGTACATCTAGGGGAAGAGGTACTTTTCGCAGATTCCCTTTCCACTGTAAAGTTGTCTGGGCCCATACCTCCTGAGAATATCAAATCAAATTCAGCAGTTCTGCATGGAAGCGGTGCTTATTAATAAAAATAGCTTATCTAGATGCAAAAGCCATACATCTAGACTGCCGTTATTAGTGAGCGGACCAGACCGATATGTACAGTAAGCTGTGGGCCTCAGAGGGCGCAATTGGCCAAACAGAGTGTTGCTGTTAATAATGTTGTCCGAGGGCAACTCTGTTTCCGAGGAACACATGGACCGAGATTGCTGTATTCTTGTCAATATTGAAGAGCAATTTCAACAGAAAAACAGTGGAAGAAAGGAAAGCGTTCAAAAGAATAGGCGCCGTAAGCAATCGGTAAGTGGTCGTGACAGCCCGGGGAGCAAAATGCGGAGTGTCGTCAAACGCCGAGGCAAATCGCATATGTGGCCCCCTTGATTGGTTGTTCCAGCGGCTTCTATGGGATGTATGAAGGACGGAGTCGAAAGGTACTTAGGGCTCCCGATTCTTCCCTTCGAATTCTCTCTCACATTCCTGTGCAACCCAATAGACTTCTCTCGTTTACACACCCTCCTTCACAATGGCTTCGGTTGCAAGAAACGCATCCCGGGCTTTCCTTCGCTCGACCCCGGCGACCTCCTCTTTCCGTTCTGCTGCGCGCAGCACTCGCTTCGCCGTTCCCCAGGGTCTCCGTGCCTCTGCCCGTCGTGGATATTCTTCTGAGGCTGGTTCTTCCGAGGCTGGCTCCGGGAAGTCTTCCTCTTCCGCTGGCATCTGGGCCTTCGGTATCGCTGCCCTCGGTGCTGGTGGTGCGTACTTCTACCTGAACGGTGCCTCCCCCAAGGGTCCCTTCGTCCCTACCCAGGCCGACTACCAGAAGGTGTACGACGCCATCGCTCTCCGTCTCCAGAATGAGACCGACTATGACGACGGCAGCTATGGTCCCGTAAGTTAAACCCCGCACGCTGGCAGCTCAAGCAGACAGCTCACAAGTCATCTGCACAGGTCCTCGTTCGTCTCGCATGGCACGCTAGCGGTACCTACGACAAGGAGACCGGCACTGGAGGTAGCAATGGCTCCACCATGAGATTCGCTCCTGAGTCGGACCACGGCGCCAACGCCGGTCTCAAGCACGCCCGTGACTTCCTCGAGCCCATCAAGGCTCAGTTCCCCTGGATTACCTACTCTGACTTGTGGACTCTGGGTGGTGCTTGTTCCATTCAGGAACTGGGTGGTCCCACGATCCCCTGGAGACCCGGCCGTGAGGACAAGGATGTCGCCGCCTGCACTCCCGACGGCCGTCTGCCCGACGCTGCCCAGGGTCACCGTCACATCCGCGACGTCTTCGGTCGTATGGGCTTTGATGACCGCGAAATGGTTGCTCTGATCGGTGCCCACGCTCTGGGTCGTGCTCACTCTGATCGCTCCGGCTTCGATGGTCCCTGGGACTTCAGCCCTACCGTCTTCAGCAACGACTTCTTCAAGCTGCTTGTTGAGGAGAAGTGGAGCCAGAAGAAGTGGAACGGTCCTACTCAGTTCACTGACAAGACCACTCAGACTCTCATGATGCTGCCCTCCGATATTGCCCTGATCAAGGACAAGGGCTTCAAGCAGCACGTTGAGCGTTATGCTAAGGACAGCGATGTTTTCTTCAAGGAGTTCTCGGATGTCTTTGTCAAGCTCATTGAGCTTGGTGTGCCTTTCCAGATCAAGTCCGAGGACCGCTTCGTCTTCAAGCCTTCTGAGTAAGCAAGTTGCTTGAAGCTCACCGTCGTTTTGCATATTTCTTTTCCTATCTTGATATCCGAGTCAACTGCTCATAGAGATTTGTTCTCATTCGAATGAAATACTAAATTTCCTTGCATTTTCACTGCACCACTGCATTTCGTCATAGTGATACTGGTAGGTATTGCCGTATATCCCTGAGTAGAGTATAGCATCTGAGTCCACCGGTAAGGTGAAGCCCGCACCAAACTGTGACTGCGTGGATCACTCGTCGACCAAATTGTTTGAAGAACACGCTGTATACGAAGAGAAAGAGAGTAGTGGTGAAAGTGAAAGCTGAAGGAGAGCAGGAAGTATGGGTCCGGGACAGCCTCACCCAAGTGGCGTGCCCTTCGCCGTTTTCAATCTTCAAAAAACCCAAACACCCCGCTTTCCACCAGCCTACCCCAGATTCTCAAGGCGAATCCTGATATGCACGCGGTTAGACCTCTTCACTAGACTACGAGGCGTCACCACTACCCATTGCACATACTCCGACCGCACGAGGACCAGGCGCAACACGGGACCAGCACAGCGCAACCACGCAGAACACCCTCCACCCCAAACCGACACGGCCTTCGCGACGCCGCAAGAACAATGGCCCATCTAGGCGATTTCTATGAGATCCTTAGTCTGCCATTTACGGCATCTTCGGCCGGGGTGATCCTTTCCAAGCAGCAAATAAAACTCGCATACCACAAAGCCCTGCTAAAACACCACCCGGATAAAGCGGGCGCTGTCGCGAAAGATGCTGGATTAAGTGACTCGAATACAGTCTCTTCTGCGTCTATGTCTAACCCGCTCTTTCGATCGACCGAGTCCCCGCGACAGCCGTATACCGTTGACCAGATTACTGCCGCTTACAAAACACTATCTGACCCCCTTCTTCGCGCCGAATATGACCGCTCTCTTCGACTGGACAGGGTAAAGGCAGAGAAAGGTGGCCAGGTTTTCCATACTGGACTGGAGATTGTGGATTTGGAGGATCTCGCTTGCGACGAGAGCGAGGACGGGGACTGCTGGTATCGCGGTTGTCGGTGTGGTGATGAGCGAGGATTCTTGGTTACAGAAGATGATTTGGAAAGAGAGGCTGAGCATGGGGAGATCGTCATTGGGTGTCGAGGGTGCAGCCTCTGGTTGAAGATTCTTTTTGCTGTGGAGGGGTGAAGCAGATTTTGAGTATCAGGAATGATTTCTTCACTCTGTCTGTTGTAACCCGCAGTACAGTACCCAGGACTAACGTTTACCGACTAGCTTGGTCTACGCTTCCAGGGATCTGCTACACTGGACAAATTACTCGGGCGGATGCTTTTGCAGCACTGTTGCAGCTCATGACCTGCTCGTGAGCTCACGCTCGCTGTGGGTTGGACGCCAGATTTTTTTTTGCCGTCGAGCCTGCAAGGCTTATCAGTTCTCGAGGATTGGCCGAGGCCAGTCAGTGGCTTTTGCCGTCTGTCTCGTCGCATTTTGAATCAATTGTGCCTTGAGTGCTCAGTGCAGTTTTGAATCCTCCTGGGGGATCCCACAGCCGCTGATTGTGATCCCAACTGATGTCTTGGTGAGACAAATGCTGTGTTAGATAGCTGCAGGCGAGTTTTAAATCTGATTATGCTTGTCGTCAGTCAAATATCTTTCTACTATGAGGTTAAGCATCAAGATACAGTTAGTCTCGGCTTCCGGTTACACCTCAATATATATCCTGCCACACGCATAGACAAACACCAATCTTCAAGAACCTAATGCTCTATTTTCTCCCAGGATTGAATTAAATCACCGACCTAAATAGCAAACAATGCCGAGAGTACTCTAGCATATCTAGATCGCCCGTGTGGTTGATAGGTTCACGGGTAGTTGAGTAGGTATGCACCTTGCAGAGGGGCTGATGACATATTCGGAGGCACCAAAACACGCCTCTTCCCATCCACCGCCATCCTTCCTCACACCCCAACTTCACCATGTCTGTCGTTCAGATCTCCTCAAAGGAGCAATTCATCTCGCTGCTCAGCGCATCGCGCCTAGTCGTGGCTGACTGTAAGTTCCTTGGATCCTACCCCGCCGATCCTGTCTTAGCAATCACTAACCCAGGCCTGATCCAGTCTACGCCGACTGGTGCGGACCATGCAAGACTATTGCGCCAGTTTATGAGCAGCTCGCGACACAGCTCACTCGTCCAAAGCAAATCACCTTCACGAAGATCAATGTCGACCAGCAACAAGACCTCGCCAAAACTTACGGTGTCACAGCGTATGTACACCCTACAAGAACCGCCCAGCCAGCCCAGCCAAACCCTACAAGCCAAATTATACAAACCATTGAACAACAGCTAACAGCCTGAATCCAGAATGCCAACCTTCATCGTCTTCAAGAACGGCCGCGTGAACGAAACCGTCAAGGGCGCCAACCCGTCAAAACTGAACTCAATCGTGCAAAAGCTCGCCTCAGAAGCAAGCCAATCCGACGACGCCAGTCCCGGCGAAGGAAGCTCCGGCGACACTTGGATCGGCGGCACAGTGGCCAAGGGCTACAGCGACATCACAGACCAGGTTGACTTCAAGGGCCTGGAGCTGTTGAACCGGGACACGGAGCTCGCAGCCCCGCGCACACTGTTCGGCACATCGAAGCCCTCCAGCCTGGCCGGCAAGGGCAAGGGCAAGGGCAAGGAGAACAGCGCCGCGGACTGGGTGGAGAGTGACACGGACGAGCAGCTGATGCTATATATCCCCTTCCAGTCCACGCTCAAGGTGCACTCGCTTCAAATTACCTCCCTCCCGCCTGCAGATGGCGATGACGAGACTCCTATGCGGCCACGGAACATTCATATTTACAAGAATACGGCCCATGTACTTGGATTTGACGAGGCGGATGGGATTCCACCTGTGCAGAAGGTGGAGATCCAGGCTGGAGATTGGGATGAGAAGACTGCCACTGCAACGGTTGGGTTGCGGTTTGTCAATTTCCAGAGTATTACCTCGCTGGTTCTGTTCTTTATTGATGGAGATGGGGAGAGTGAGAAGCTGCGCGTGGATCGCATTCGGGTTATTGGTGAGGCGGGCGAGAAGAGGTCCATGGGCAAGTTGGAGAAGATTGGTGATGAGCCTGGCGAGTAAATATAGAATACTGGATTAAAGAATTTTATATGACAGAATAGCTTGAGCTTGAGCTTGGAGCATCAATCGAGCTCGCATTGGCGTCCTGACCCGAGCTTTCAAACCAAGCAGAGCGCAGTGTTGGTAGCACTACCGCATTGTTTATGACCATGAAAACTACTCGTCAAAAAAAGATTCCACAAGAAAACCGATCATATTCACATGTATCAAAACTAATAGCTAGTCCCCGAAGGGAGATGTCCGATCCCAAACCAAAAGGTCTCATCCTAAAAGAATCAGAAAGACCTATAAAGTAAGAACCGATGTGCAATTTCATTTCTCTGTGACGCAACTGACACCTGGGTAACATCACTGAAGGCCAGACAAATGACCGTGGATGTCCAGGCAACACGGGTAATCCTTAGTTGCGCCGCCGCACGAAGAAAGAAAGAAGAAAAGGAAAAGCTGCCCGGCGAGTTCGAGCTTTTATGTCCTGCCCGGACGCTGGGTTTTTCCGACCCCCCTTCACCGAGCAGTTTTCGCACACAGAAAAAGTAGGGGCCTTATGTAAGCACCGACGCGAGGAACTTTTCTTCGAAGTTTTTCCCTCTCTTCTTCTTCATATTATTATTATGGTCGATGATGAGTTTTGGATTCTATGATAGGAAGAGACTGACTCCCTTTGGGAGCGTGATCTCACTTTTAAACCATTCACTGAGGCCATTTTATTAGTACTGCTGTGTATACAGCATCCAGCGTCCAGGGTGTCCAGGTCTTCTGTACCGCTGTTGGAACTTGATACTCTCATTGGTCTTACCTTTGCTGCTCTTTGATCTGAGAGTCCAGCAGGACCGCCACAGAGCAGATATAAATCATGTCAGATACACACTGCATAACAGTGTCCTCGCTTAGCAGCCGATAACATTATTCAGACCAAAAAGCAAATTGCATATCTTCCAAGGACCTTTGGGGACTAGGAGCCACACACCAGACCATATCCAAATCCACAGTACAAGAAATTGAAGCATGATGCAATATTTGTTCCGTCAGAGTAAGGCTGAATGCTGAATTGCATCACCGGGCCTCCGGCGGTCATGGTGCATATCCATATCTCGGCCTGGCGAATCCACATCGGTACGCTCCCGTCTCGCAAGGTACACACACTGGTTGCCGACCAGCCCGTGGTCCGTCCTGCACACAAAACGTGCATTGTTTGTTTGGATCACACGGCCCGCGGAGCATGGAGCCTGGAGAGCCGAGAATGGAGAATGGAGAATGGAGACCGCCGTCCCTGGTCCGCAACTGGAGTTCTCGCGCTTGGCAACACGAAAAGTGACCGGATATTCCGCGCTGCAAAAGCCGTGAGGTTCGTCTTGTCGCGGGTGGCATGTTAGTGGCATGTTGGTGGCTTTTTTGGTGTTTGGTGCCGGCTACCTTACCGAGCGCAAGAAGCGGATTGTGGCGGCTATTCGTATTCACCGGATGCCTCGATCTCATCGGTCCCCATCGTCAGTCCCATATATAGTAACGTTGGCGCTGTAGACTGTCGATGTTCCTCGTCTGTTGTTCTAGATCGGGAAGTGTGTGTGTTTGCCCACTTGCTGCTACAGTATAGTGCTGTCGGCCCACAAGTCTGGGTCGGTGCCTGAACCCAACATGGACTGGACTGGACCCCCGATCCATGGACGCCGACCTTGGAGATGCACGATTTTCGTTCCAAGTGGATGCGAGATCTGAGTTGAGTTTCATGTTTCAAGTTTCATCCCTCTGCAGGTCCCAGATAGGTGTATTTCGTGATGAGATCCCCGGTTTACCCGACCCAAGGAATGGAGCTTCTGGTTTTTCAGGCTAAAGTCCACAAATTGAAGACAACTTTCAATTATGTTGCGCAGAATCCTCCGTCGCAATGGACCGGGAGACCCGCTTTCTCGATACGAGTCAAATTGGCCTGGGTTTTGTGTTTGTGTGTACAATGTAGGCTGTGCGTTTCCGTGTACTCCGTACTGTGTATTTGCTGCCCGCATTTCGTGCTCGTGCTCAGTGGTCAGTGGATAGAGCTGTGGCCAGACTGGCAAGATCGCTGTTGATGTGCAGGGAGCTATGAGCTGGACCGCGCTTTTAGCTGAGAAATTTGAGATTGAAGGGAATGTGCACGATCGAATGATGTTCGTCATGTATACTCGCCACCGGGAGGGATCTCCCCCAAGTTCAGCTCGGCTTTGGTCCTGGTTTCAGCACGTGGGACCAGATCTGGCCACTGGCGCTGGCATGCGTTGCTGTCCACCTGTGCAAAATGCAGTAGGACTGGAACGTGGAAGACAGCTGAATCGTTGGCCAAAGGGTAAAGGCAAGCCCGCGTTTTCCCAAAACAGTATTTGCAATATTCCCAAGCTTCATCGTCAAAATTTATTACGTACAGAAGATTGAGTGATGATCTGCTCCAACGTCAGCCCACTTCCTTGGTTTTGAGCCGTGGACTGTATACACTATCTGATGGCAAATGGAGCCGGGCGATCGTGATAGACACGGTCATCCGCTCGACGGTATCTCCCCGAGTCTGACTTAGACTTGCGCCACTTGCATATAGTTATCGCTAGACGGGGGATGGTGCGTTCTGCAGGGTTTTCTGGTGTTTTCGGTGGATACGAACTACGGCATATAGACTGAAGATATTCGTCACGCGAGAATATAGTGTTGAACCTTGTCAGGAACCTTTTTTTTCTTCTTATTTTGCTCCAATTCTTGAGTTTGGACGAAGAATTGACTCTCTAGTCTCTCGGGCCCATTCCGTGCTTAAGATATGGGGGACCAATGAACCCGAAACCCATTGCGAGAACGGATCAGATAGTGCACCGTGTTCTTTGGGGGAGTAGCCTCTAGGATCCAGTCGTACCAAAGAATGGTCCGAGAAGATACGACATCGGAGGATCGAATCACTCACCACATCATCCTCCATTAACCCCCAATCACCCCCAATCATGCCCCAATCATCCCCCCAATCATCCCAATCAATTGGCCCACCACGGTCCCCATCCAGGAACACCCGATAATTGGGTCAGCGGGGAGAAAATGCAGTTCCTGTGCCAAGGCTTTGGGTTTCCAGACGGTTCGTTCTGGGTCAGGAACAGGAAAGCTAGTCTTCAAGTGTGAATACAGTAGTCTCGCGAACAGCCAATTGGCAGATAGCGAGGTGCCAGTAGGGCCCTAATGCACCACGGCTCACTCCATCCCACCACGGGATAGATCCATCTCCGCATTTTGGGTGTATTTTACACAGTTGTACCGCATACAGATCTTGTCCAATTTCCATTCTCTTCTCTAATTTGTGGGCTCACCGGAGGCCGATCCATACCGCGGGTGGAAACGAGTGGGGGCAAACCACGAACCATTCCCGAAAAGAGAAGCTTTTGAAAAAACCTTGAAAGCGTGAACTTGCTGATAACGCCATTGGTTGTGCTTGCTTTTTGGCTATAGCTCGGGCTTAGGAGGATAGCTGTGTACTAGTTGTGCTTGTGTGCTAGTGGGCTAGTGTGAAGGGAAGGGGATCTCTAGGAAATGAACCCCGAGTGACGGGGACTGCTCGATGCGCAGAAGATCTTACCTGAAACGAACTGCTTTCTCCCCGTGGCTTTTTTTCCCACGTTCATGTCGGCAAGGGCGAAGCATGTGCAGGTGGAAAGTCCAGTGGTCAGAGATCCGAGCGTGTCATTTCTTCTAGAATAGCAGGTAGCGAGCGATGGTACGGCTGATCTCAAGGTTAACCACGGTGGCCAGAGCAAGGACTGAATACTACACTGGGGTTAGTGTCGGAGGCAAACTTTGGAACTGAGATCGCGATTCTGGAGTCCGGAGTATGCGGATACCGAGGGATTGAATGTGAAACACCTGCAGTGTAGGGCTAAAGCTCTAGTGAAAGTTTGTCTGAAATTCTCCGTGAGTCCACACACACACACACACACACACACACACACACACAGACACAGACACAGACAAACAATATTCCCACATCATACCCGTGGACTCTGAAGAGCTTTGCACGTGTCTACCTAGGTATCCACGGTGCTCTGATGCACGTATTTTCCTAAAACGCTAAACCCGCTGGAGACCCATGGATTCGCCACGCTGGTTAGCCGAGTTTCCTCCCCGCAATTCTCGAATGTAACATGACATCTTGAGACACGTGCTCCGAGGACCTTGTGGCTTCGGCGTGAAGCTCCCTTTAGAGCGTCCCGTGCGTAGAACCACTTCCAAGGTTGGAGGGTGGCAGTGCTGGTGTATCTCTAGTCTCGAGTCTCTAGATTAATTAGCCACGGGTGTGATAACAAATTCGGCTTAGAGACCACTGTATACAGAGGCAAAATATAATAAAGTACTTGAGACGACACTAAGAATGTTCCAATCCGCCTCCCTCCAACATCCCAATATCCCTCATCTCGCAGTGACAGTTAATTAGAGAGTCCATTAGTGACCAATTGGTGATCATTAGTCAATTGCAAAGCCCACCCTCGAGCACGTTTTTCTCCCAACTCCTGCTGTATCCAGCAAAGTCACCTAAACAATGATCAGAGTCAGGCCAAAGCTCTCCCAAAACGGAGCAACTCCACGAGAGCACACCGCAAAGTATAGGCTCCGCAAAAAAAAAGCGACCATGAACAATAATGCAACGCCTCGCACGCCGAGAGGGTCTTGCTTGGAGAAATGTCAAAAGTCAAATTAAGGGAAAAAAAAAACAAAAATGGAAAAAAAAGAGGAAAAGCAAGGAAAAGAAGGAAAAACCTCGCCAAGGCCCCGGTGCACGCTAGTGTAACCAGAGGCCTCAAAAACGCGTGTTCTATCCCGAGATACGGTGAACTGGCTGTTTCAGATTCAGGCTTAACGGAAAGGGCCGACCAAGAGCGAATCCACCAACTGACCGGCTCCCCCACATGGAGGATCTGCGTATATCAATGATTTCTACTGTCTCCGGATAGAGTATGGTCGCTTCTAGATGACTCTCTACATCTGGGGAGGTCTGTACTCTGTAGTTAATAGTGTACGATAGGCAACTTAGTATGGAATACAGTAGATTGGATAACCCAATCACTTCGATGGGACAGGATGATACAATATAAACGGCAACCCGCGGATCTGAATATCGCTCAATTCCCGCTGTCAAGCCCACTCTCCTGGAATTGTCTGGTATCTGGGATCCGTGCTCTCACACCTCGGAGCCACTATCCGCGTAAAAAGAGTGATAATCTCCATGTCTAGGTCTGCTCCATTACGACACAACATGACAGGGCCTCGACTCCGCCGTACGCCATGGCACGATTGAACACAACCGACCCTTCAGTCTCAGTGCTAGATCTTAGACTACGGTCTGTTCCATGTGACGGGCGCTAGTGTCAAGGCAAAATATCATCCCTGCAAGTGTATCGATGTATCTCGGTCGCTAAGGGCCGTTGAGAATGAATTTCCTCCAAAGCGGATCTCCGTCTCTGCTCCACTCTCTTTGTGACGTTTCTCGTCTAGGTTGGCGTGTATCATATGGTCTGATCTGTCCAAATCCCGAATCCTGGTGGCGTGGAAATTGGCCTCCAGTATCTTATTGATTCTGGTTTCTTCCATTTGGGGTTACTTTGTTGCCTTTTTTCGACGGGACTGGGGCTTGGAAATGCACTGTTAATCATATGTGGGTACTGCTCCTCCGAACGGAGGAGAAGTTTGTTTTGCTACTGTAGAGGCAACATGCATAGAGAGAAATTGAACCCTTGCTTGACGGGCGCAGTCGGCCTTCGGATCTTGGGAAACTCTCCCGATGCTATGCATAAGTGACAGCTTCGACTCGTCGCCTTTGCTGTGTGTCGGATACGAGCATGAAGATCTCCAAACGGTTTCTCGCATCCTTTGCGCCCTCTCTCTTTTCCCCATATTCCGATATTTCATGTGCCGCTCTGATTCGTCGGGGAACTGAACTTGGGTCTCTCCCTTCCCGGCCAAGCATCCTCTGTTAATTTTCTTTTTGCCAATCGCACGGTTGTTTTCTCGATTTGTGTCTGTCTATTGCACCATTCCGTGGACTCCAGTATATACCTTGGCAGATCAACTGGCAATTCCTCTCTGTTTTTCGGGGGTCCATCAAGGTCCATAGAGGACCACTTAGTCCCCTCGGCTGCATTGGAGGACCTTCCGCGGACCTTAGTGATGGAACTAGGAACTGCCCGCGTCAATCTCCAGTCAGCTCCACTCACGTCTTTCTAGAGCTGTTGGTTTTGAGGCTAGAAGGTCATCAATTTCCTTAGGCCGTTTGTAGTCGCCATAGCTTAGTTTCTATCCCGTGTACTCCCGTGTGTACAGTACAGGACAGTAGTAGGGGTAGCCCGTGTGAAGTCAAGTCCAGTTTTATTTTCTTCCCGCTCGG